GGTCTCGTCAACACCCTCCGTTGAGATAGCACAGTATGAGGCAACAACGCTCGGCATAAAATCATACAGTTGAGCGTCTGGCTGTGTGAGCAATTGAGCCACAATCGCACTGCTGAGACGGACCTGGTCCCGATACTGGTCAGAAACACCGGCTGTAGATCCCCAATAGGGAGCAAGCCAGCCAACGCAACTAGAGATCAAGGTTTGTCGCTCCTCGCCGGATGCGAAGATCTCGAACTGTGTGTAGCTCTGGATAAGCACCAGCTTATAAAGCACAAGCATCCCAGTCACATCCTTGCAAGAATCCATGAAACTCAGAGCAATCATAATCATTTCATCCCGACCTAGAACCTTGGATAGCTCGGGCAGCCAAGAATGGAAGTGCTGGACGATGAGAGTCTTGCTTCCCACTAGCGCCGGGGAAGAATTCTTCATCAAACTCTCCATGGACTTGAAAATTGTATGTAAGTCTCGGTTGAAGGTCGATTGAACAGTTGTGATTCCAATACCCTCCTCCTTCGCCTTTTGCTGTTCGCGAGCGTTAATGATAAACTTGAGCAAGTGTCGTCCGACCTTGAAGGCGGCACGAAGATTCCGCGACTGGTGCATATCAGTGGCAGCACTGAGAAGATGCAGAAAGCTTCGAATAAGACACGGGGTGACAAATGGGAAGTTAAACTGCTCATCGGCATAGTGATCGACCAAGGGACCGAGATTGAATCGTCGATCATGAACAATGCCAAGCACGGTTACTAGGTTGTTAAAGATAATATCTTCATATTCTTCGTTGCCAGCATTCTCAACCAAAATGCCGAAAAGCGCATCAAAGACCCCGCGGAGCTGCTTCACGATCTCCATCTCTGGCACAAAGGGCAGTCGCTTCAGGGTATCAAGCACTTCGTCAACAGGGCGTTCTTTCCAGTTGAGTATGCTCAGAATGATCTGATCCTGGGAGTACTCTGTACTGCACAGGTGAGTCTCGAGGCGCAAGGTTGCCAGGGGACCTGTGATCGCTTCATCCTTGGCGGCTTCATTTTTACCCAGTGAGCTCCACGGAAGATTCAAATAAGCTCCCTTTCCATTCTCCATGCTTGAGGTCTGCTTATCATATGCGTGAAGCAAAAGCGAATGGCTTCCATCCCGAATAAATGCCTGCTGGTCCCAGAGGGGCATCCAAGCTAAAGCAAATGGGAATTCAGGCGCATCCGCAACACTCATGATTATATGCGAGCCTGGAATTCGCTCGGTCGGGATCTTGAGACGAATGGTCTGGTTCCAAGCAGAACCGCGCTCAGTAATTGTAGTCCGCCAGGCTGTATGTGAGATAGGAGCTGAAGATGGGAAGACGCAGCGGTCTACCCGTGCGCCAGCAGCATCCCGTACCTCCAGGGTAAGTTGAAGATTATGAAGTCCAGTAAGGAAAGACAAAGGTATTTGGCCGGCAGTGGGATGAGAGAGTAGAGCATCCGGAGGCAAAACCGTTTGTGATAAAGTGACATAGATATCAGATCGAGGCTTTGTTGGGGCTTTGGAAAACCCGATGCGTCGGGTCTGAATCACATCGTGAAGGATCGTGGGGCTTTGGCGAACAAGGTCTTCGGGGTCGGTGCTTGCGAAGGGGTACAGATGAACATGTAAACGCGCGGCTGGTCCAGTGCGCACATAGCGTCCAGTGGGACTTGGAAGCAGATGACGGAGAAGCTTATCGAAGCCATCGGGATGTCCCTCGCCCTCCTCGCCATCTCGGGGCGCAGACCAGATGTTGATCACCTGCTCAGTATCGCGCTCTTGCCGAAGGACCGGGGATACTTCCAGAATTCCGACACCGACTGTGCGAATGGCATTGGAGTCTTTGATGGTGGTGGGCTGTGGATTCGCCACCTCCTTAGCACTTGAGGAACTGCTAGATGATCGTGGGACTCCTTGGACAGCGGGTTTGTTGGGCTGGTCGAAACTGTTTCCAGCCCGTGTCTTGGGAGTCCACATCATGCTCCGACGTGTCCGCAGGCTTCCCTTAACCGAAGGTTGAACACCTCCCGCTGCGCCTGCCTTGGGAGATCCTGGACCATCTCTGGAAATCGAGGATCGTGATACCGGTGTACTATCGGCAGAGGTGCGCATCTCGGGGGCCCGCACTGAGGCAACGAGGTATAGCTGGCGTCCATTGGCAGATCCATCTCCAACGTCGGTTGCAGCGAGTTCAGTGAATAGTGTCTTCAACTTGTTGCTCTGGGTAAGGCTAACAAATTTGTCTGGAGATGGAATGTCCAAGTTGTACGTTTCGGATAACGGATTGAAGGACCCTGCGTCGGACCGCGAATAAAGCTGCATTCCAAGAGAAACCGGACCCGTAGTATTCCCAGACAAGGCGTTTATTTCCAAGAGAAGATGGTGCAAGGCGGTCGAATCGGAGCTGACGGTAGGACGGCTATCAAGCATGCTCATTTCAGACTGGAGTTTGGCCAATTGGATTGCGGAGTCGTCACCGGTCAGCAGTCGGCCTCTTTGATCCGGGTCGCGGACGATGACATCCCCGCTCAGCATCTTGTTGGCCTTGACGAGTTTCCACACAGTCTCGTCTCGGAGTGTTTCCTTTTCCTTGTTCGTCAGCACGTTGTGCAGTAATTGTCGTCTGGCGAAATCCAATTCCTGCACGATTGTCGACATCTCTTCCAGTACGTCATATTGCTGAGCCAGAAGCAATTCGTGCAAATTCGTGGAATGCCATTCGCGGAGACATGAAGCGATCTCATCTACGAGCGGCTCAGTGAGAGATGTCGGGGTCTCGTCGCCAATTTTTAGCATGGGCACTGGCGCGGCTGGCTTCGGCGCATTAGGGTCGCGGGGTGCAAATGTCACTGGAGTATGGGGAATTGATCCTGTCGGGTATGTTTGAAAAGAGCGCGGGCTTGCGTGATCTGGATCGTCTGTTTTATGTATCGTAATTTGTGCCGGTTTGCCTTTCTTCGCGACCACGACATCCGACACTTCACCGCCAGCCTGAGAGTCGGCCATAGAATAGGCCATGCTGTTCCGAGTCAATTGGTCGGCCTCGAAGCCAGACAGGGTCAGTCCATCTATACTCTTGTGATCGCCATTCAGGAGTGCCTTGTAGCCGTCGCCATCGCCGAGCACTTCTCGGATCTCGACACAGTTCCGCGGGAAGATTCCGGAGAAAACACGGGCTTCGAGGGTCTGGCCCTTGGTACTCGATAAGCCTGCGAGCAGTGATGGTGGCGCAACAAGATATCCTCGACACCACTCGCCATCGGAGCCACCCTGTTCAATAATGTACAATTCGTCGCCGAGTTCCAGGGGGAGGTCCGCCGGGGAGGAGGGGTGGAACGGGTATATAGCCACCGCAAAGGCAATGCGAGGCAGCGGCCGCCAGGGCATAGCTGTGGTGTGCGATATTGACCAGGCGTGATCCCAGGTTGAGACAACGGTCTCTAGAGGTGCCAATCCCCGCGGAATGTGGGATTGGGGTCGACGTTCCGAACCGTTTCAAAGCAAAGGAGGCAGGGATCCACGATGAAGAATGTTGGATCGGTCAATGGCACGCGACATGCAGTGGGGAAATTTAGGTTATCGGAGCGATAGAGGAGAGGAAGGAGAGGAAAAGAATGTGGGCGAAAGCGAATTGAAGGTATGCGACAGCTGGAAAGATCTAAAGGCTCATGATTAGAGAGTGCTGGGGGAGAGTCGGATGGGGCTGATGGGCTCGCAGGCTGGGGAGGGGGCCGAAAAGCGTGAAAAGCGTAAGGGTTGGGAGTGGAAAAAAGCAAAAGGATGCAGCTTGGAGAAATGAGGAGGTTTCTTGCCAATTGCCAGCCACGCGCGGCCAGTAGCGAAACTCGTAACTCGTCAGGGTCCGAAGCATTGGGGTAACCGTGCCCCCTTTGCGAAACCTTTCGCGTAGTGGAGCCACGACGAACGCCGGCGAAACACAAGTAACCGTGGGGAAAGAAACGAAAGGGGGGGGAACTCACCGAAAGAATTAAATAAAAGGAGGAGATAGAGATAGGATAGGAGAAAAGATCAAATGCAAAGGACCAAAGGAAGGAATAAAGATTTGGGAGGAGAAGAAGAAGAGAAGAAGAGGGTAGAGGGGAGGAAAGAAGATGAGAACGATCAAAGAATCGAAAATCGCCCGATCTTCACTTTCCCCCCACACACCACACCGACCCCCATTACTCTACTACTACTACTACTACTACTACTACTACTACTACTACTACTACTACTACTACTAGCATGAGAATTGGACACGCCACGTCTACTCGTACTGACTACTGACAGTTACCGGTACGCTTAATTGCAGATCTGGGCTACACTGAAGGGCAGCACTTAATGGAATCCATTGATGGTCAGCTCCCCTGCCTGAGTGGCTGCCCAGCTGCAGCAGAGGAAAGTTAACTACAGCAAGGTTGCTACTAGAAGAATACTAGTAGTAGTACGGAGTATAGAAAATAGCTACCCAGATGGTGCCTTTTCAAGGCAATGCCAGCTGGTCATTTTAAAATTACTCGACTAAATAGAGTACGAGTACCCCAGCTAAGCCTATTGGAGATAACGAACTAGTTGCCATAGTCCGTGGGATGGAGAAAGAGTAAAATTACCACGGCTACACACAGTTACTAGTAGTAGGGGACCCTAGTAGTGCCAGAGGTCTACCTCGGTACAGCCTCGTCGTGGAATATATGAATATGAATATCTGGATATATGAATATGTCAAGTATTCCTATCAAATTATTCTACTAATATTATCACGCACAGACCAGGGTGTGCCCCTGAGCGGAGGCGTAAAATGAGGCCTCGAACCAGTGGGCCCCCAGTGAACCAATCATTGCATCGCGCCGATCATATCTTAAATTCCAATCCAGCAACGATTATGGATGCTGTAGCCTCGATATACATGAACATGCGGTCAAAACCATTACGCCCAACCAATGACCGAATGCTGCCCCGACTTCCAACAAGATCAATCAGTTCAAGTTCCCTTATCTCCGGAACATCGCTGCCGAGTCCTCCTTACGCCACTCCAGCTCCAACTGCCCTTCATACACCGTGTCGATAATACGACGTGTGCGGTCCCAGGCATCCTCGTACCGCCCCTCACATTCGCGCAGAACCTTAATCACCAGGCTGCGGCTCAATCCAGGGTCATCCGCATCGCCAAAATGCTTCTCCACCCGCTTCTTAAGCATTTCAATGCCGCGCTTGATTTCCTTGGAATCATACGAGGAGAGAACCTTCTTAGCCACGGCCCGAGAATGACTGGTACGGGAGGCGACGTCGGCAGTACTCCCATTGGCCTGAATCGTTTCAATCGACGAGATGAAATCGAGCAGTTTGCCGAGCGGTCGGTGGATGACGGCGTCAAGGTAGAGTTTCATATGTTCGGCGAAATCTTGGTGGGCTTTGTCCACCCAACGTTGGAGAACGGGCAGGTTATGCACATCAACTTCCTCCGCGTAGTGGTTCATGTTCTCGATGAGAAGAATGTGGTGGTTCAGAATCTCTTTGTCTTCGGGGTCTCCGGCGCTGGCAGAGACGCCTGGTGGCTGCCCGGGAGCTTCCTTGGCGATGAACTTGAGCGACTCCCACATGGCTCGGTTGATTCGCTCATAAGCGTCATTAACGCTGATTCGAATGTCACAGAATTCACCCGATGGCTGTGATAACATGTTCTCAACCGCAGTCGAGAAGTGGGGGAAAACACGCATGAAGGAGATGACTCCCTTTCGCTTGTTGATTTTGACTTTGGTGTCCTCCACGCCACGGATCTGATCATCGACAAATCGGTTGAACAGTCCCATCAGGCGAGAGTGCATTTTCTGAAGACTGTGAATAATGAACTCTTGATTGGTATCGTCGAGATCGGCCATGGCCGCCTCGATAGCAAATAAAATCCCGATTCCTTGCCTGGGGACTTGTTAGAACCAGAGACCTCAAGGGGAAAAACACGGGGAATGGTAGCAGGGAGGTGGAAACTTACATAGGGTCAGCCTGCAGAGCCCAATCCACCATGCTTTGGATATCATTTGGCCAAAAGGAATAGAGCTCGTCCATGACTCCCTCGACCCGCTTTGCCATTGCGCGATCCGGGTCATGGGATTGCTTTGCAGAGAAATCTGGGCAGGATCGGTGTTCCGGAGGTTGTGAAGCAATAAGATCAGAGTATTCGGTGGTAGCAAGGGAGTCGAGATGGAAGAATTGAACAACAAAATTCTGCTCTTCGGTGATCATGTTCAAGGTCTCACGCAGCGATCCGGCGAACGCCTCGCACGGCTCAACTTTACCCTTGGCAACATTCTTTTCCCCAGAGCCCAGGCGGTGCCCTGCGGCAGCTCGAACCGTTTTGCCTCGTCGAACAGTAAGCTTTCGAGCGGCCATGGTGATGCCTTCGCCTTCCTTTTCCTTCTCTTGGTGCGTGAAAAGAAGCTCTTGCTCATCTCCGGTAGGCTTGCGAGCCGTCCTCTTCCAGGCCAGATTATTGTCGCGGAACTCATTTTGGTACGATGACTTGGACTGCTGCTCGTATTGGTGAAGCAGACTATGCCACTCGGATGTGCTCACTTCTCGAGCGAACAGCATGAGAGGGTTAAACATCCAGATCTCGCCACGGCCTGCCTGCCGCGCCGCGTTGTCCAGTTTCTGAGGATCCTTTGAGACCGAAGACATAGTCTCAGTGCGTTTCTGCTCTGCCAGCTTGAATGCAAGTGACATGAATTGCTTGAGGCGTTGCAAGAACGCCAGTGCGGTGGAACGGTACTCCTCCTTCTTTTGTTTAATTGCCCGCATCTGGCCAATCTCCGTATTAGCGTAAACACCAACACTGGCGTCTGCTTGCCGCTGCTTGTTTTGCCCAATATCGGCATCGATCATGAGCATGGCCTTGTAGAGGGTCGACAATGCATTTTCGGTGCTCTTCAAGCCGTCCATGTTGCTTAGAGTGGCCTCCTTGAGTGGGCGCATCTCAGCGGAGGAAATGGAAAGCGTCTTGAGGAGATTCTGCAATTCGCTCTGCAAGAGCTTCTGGTTTGCAGTCTGCACCTGCAAGCCTTGCGACTGAGCTTCGATATACGATACGTCTTCATTAAGGGTCTGTCGAATGTTAGCGTATAAATTCATCGGGGGGGGGTGAGTGCCACTTACGTTGAGTTCGTGTGAGTAAAGCGTTAGTAGTCCGTCTAGCTCCTCACACTCTTCGATCGTCTTGTTGATAAGAACCGCCAGTTGTTCCACTTTTCCTTCTTGCTGCTCCAGATTGCCCAGCCAACTTGTTGCTTCGACACGTCCAATCTCACGACGCACATCTGCCTCCAAATCCTCAATCTTTTGCTCGTCACTCAACCGTCCGTTCCAGCCGAGATCGGTAAGGATTTCGTCAAAGTCAATACCACGACCATCTAGCACAGTCGCGTCAATTCCAAGGATTTGACAGTATTTGAGGGTGTGATCTTCACGGCGTCGACGTCGGCGGCCTTGGGCTGCCGGAGATGGAGTTCTTGAACGAGTTTCCACCCGACCAACTTCCGTCAATGAGTCTTTAGATCCTTCACTGGGGAGCGGGAGAGCTGCTGCCTCCTCTGTTGCGTGGTCTGTAACCTCAACAGTTGGCGTCTCCACCTTTTGAGGTTGCTCCACAGCCGCTGGCATTGGAGGGAGTGGTGCTGGTGGTGTTGATACTGGTAATCCCTTCTCCATCGCATCACCCACGGGACTCTTAGGTGTATCGCTATCGGTGCGAGAAAGAAAAGGGGCCGGGACGACGCCGGTGATACCATCTGGCTCAGGACCCTGTGCTTGCCCTTGTTGCTTTTTGGCCGCCGCAAGGAGCCGCTCACCAGCTCCACCAGGTCGCGGCTTGAAAGCGCCATGCAGATTTGCAGCTTTACGGAAGGCACCTGCGACGTCTTTGGCCGACTTTTTCTTAATCATAGGGCCTAACCCTGGACGGTGAGGCTCGTCACCTTCCTGTGTCTTGTCGGATGCGGTCGCCGAGGCTGGTTCTTTTGGCGTCTCCACGGCTGACTCTGTAGCCGATGCAGAGGTGTCGTATGCTGCCATCGCTTCTGATGCCACTGCCGGGTCAACAAGCGGTGGCGCGGGTGCTGCCTCTGTTTCGGGGAAAGGTGCTTCCTTCGGTTCGTCGGCGAGTACCATCGGAGAAACTTCTTGGGGCACATTCTGTTCCAGTGGCGGTTGCGGCGGGTTTTCCATCGCGGGTGCCTTGTCGACAGGTTCACGATATGGTTTATACTGGCTAGGGCTTGGGCCTGCACCCTGAGTATCACCTGCAAGTGAACCCGGAGTAGTGGGTCGCAGAGCATCAGCGCTGGGTTGTGAATCCAGATGTTTAGCCTCGACGGGTTGTGCTGCAAGCGTTGAAGGTTGGCCACTTCGTGATGAGGATGGCCGAGCCTCATCTTGCATGCTAAGACGGCTTTCGTCTGTGTCAAAAAAGGTCTTTGGCTCTGCGCGCTGGGGTGGAGAGATGGCAGGTGGCGGATTTTGAGGTCCAAATGGAGAGGGTGCAGGAGGTCTGGATCCCGTAGATGGGCGTGACATCTGTTCTCGGCTTTTCTGGGATCGAAGAGGCGGCTCCTCGGAGGGTTTCCGTCTAATTTCACGCGATCCATCACGGCTAGGATCACGGCCGCCATAAGAAGACGGCGGCTGGGCGGGAGGTGCAACGTCTGGGGGTGGAGCAGGACCACTCCGTGATGGCGGTGGTACTGGAGATCCTGATGAGGCTGTTCCGACTAGCGCTTGCCGTTCCCTCTCATCGAAGCCGATCAGATTGGGAACTTTTCCACCGGTATATTTCTTGTAGATCTTGACTAGGCTGCCGATAAAGAACTCTTTTTCCTTGGCACTCCGAGCATGCCAGTAATAGGGTTTTCCCACAGTCACCAGGAATCCAAGGGTCCCGGCCCATTCCTTATGTTGTTGCTCGACGGGTGATCTTGGGACGAATGCGGTATATGATTGGATTGAGGTCAGGTCATCAAGCATCCACGTCTTGCCAATTGAGAAAGATCCATCATTATTTTCACGAGCCTTATGCATTCGAACCCTCCCAGACTTCCGGACGGAAACAATGATTACTCGGGGCTTTTTATTTTCAGGCGCCACGGTTGGTGGGGCAGGGGTAGAAGGGTGCGTGCCATCTTCCGTGATGCGAACGTGGGTAATATAGGACTCGTTCACTAGAACACAGTAGAGGTCAGCTATGATAATCTGGGGAATGGGGACATGTCTCCATATAAGAAGCAGTTCGCGATAGCGGGAGAGCTATGGGTATCCGGGGTACCCCGTAACATCACCGGCGTCATACATCGCCATCCCCTAGGGTGGGCAAAAGGAGCTCGCTCCCTTTGAAGGTAGCAAGAGCTCAAGGCAATAACTTACAGGTTCCATCAGTATCTTTCTTCGAGTAACAACTCTGAATAATGCGTTTCTTCTCGTCTTCGAACTTCTCGGCTCTCGACATGGAATCAGATGCGCCATTGCGAGGGTCGCCCCCGCGTCGCGGGTCTGCGGGGGGAGGCGGTCGGGGACGATTAGGACCGTTCATCACGGCGTCTTCTCCGAGGTAGGTGACACCAATATCAGTCGTGGAATCCAGAAGATCAAGGGGACATGATCAGGTAGTCGAGATCGGCCAGCCGAGGAACTCCCGCGCGCACGGTGCCTACGCCCGGTTTGTGAATTGGTAGTTGATTAATAGCGACCTGTGCACACTTTTCTGGCACAGCTAGCAAGAAGGCGCAAGAGGACAAAGTCGACACAGGGCTAGGTGGGAGGTAGAGAGAGGGGTTCTGGGGTTAACTTGAACTCATCTGTTTGGGGTAGCGGGCAGGGCGGAGCTCCCAACGTGGAAGCTGGTTACCTAAGGACCATGAATCCTACAGTGGTTAAATGATCCACTTCAACCGGTCTATGCAACAATGTCCGGTGCAGTTTTTTTAATGTGAGATAGAATTTTAGAAAAGATTTTCACATTTCACATCTTGTTCTTTTTTTACTCGCAGACCATGCGGCCCATTTTCTTTGTTTTTAGTCGACGGGAGGCATTGTGTACTGCCTGAGGCATCACATTCTTATACAGTGCACGTGACTCGGGGGTCGGCCAATCATGTGCTCTTATATCTTCACCGCCCACTCGGTATACTTTTTTTTTTCTTTGAGCCGTTCCTGAAGCATTTCCAGACAGCCAATTTTGGTCCACCTGCTTCTCTTTCACTTGATTCTCTCCAGTCCTCCTTTCGTTTCAAATACTGGAATCTTCAACCCCAGCGACCATGGGCAAGAACTCGACTTCCGTCAAGAAGGTCTCGACTAAGAAGGTGAGCACAAATTCAGAATCACCCGCATCATCTGCATGATCGACAACAAAGAATTTCACTAACAGCAATTACGATTGGCCAGGTCGAGTCTTCCAAGCCTACTATCTCCCCTCAACTTCTTTCGTCTGTCGCGACCTTCCTGTCCGATAATGGCTACTCCAATGCCAGTACCGCCTTCGCCAAGGACCTGAAGAAGACAGGCGAGGCCACTGATGCGCAGAACGCCCCGTCTCTGCAGGAATTGTTCCAATCCTGGGACAAGAATGCCGAGAAGAAGGAGTCTTCCACTTCCAGCGACAGCTCCGACAGCGACGGCGACAGCTCGAGCGATAGTGACTCCGACGTTGAGATGCAAGACGAAAAGCCATCCCGCGCCTCTCCTGCTCCTTCCTCTTCCTCTTCTTCTTCTTCTTCTTCTTCTTCTTCTTCTTCTTCTTCTTCTTCTTCCAGCTCTGACAGCGATGCCGATGATGAGGATGAAGATGAGAAGGCACCCGCGCCCGTTGTGAAGAAGCCTACCGGTGTGAAGCGCAAGGCCGAGTCCAGCAGCGAGTCTTCCTCTGAGAGCGATGCCCCCAAGGTCAAGAAGGCTAAGAAGGCCAAGTCCTCCTCCAGCTCTTCCTCCTCCAGCTCCTCGTCAGACTCCGACTCTTCTAGCTCTAGCTCCAGCAGCTCTAGCAGCTCTAGCTCCGACTCTAGCTCTAGTTCTAGCTCCAGCAGCGACTCTGACTCTGACTCCGAATCTTCTGAGTCCGAAAAGGAGACTGCCAAGAAGGCCGATTCCAAGGCTCTGAAGAAGGCAGCCAAGACTCCTCTCCCGGAGTCCTCGAGCTCTAGCTCTTCTAGCTCTTCTGACGACAGCTCTGATGATAGCTCTGACGATCAGGCTGGAGGTGTCAAGGTTGCCAGCGGTACCTCTTCGGATACCAGCGCTACCATCTCTGCTGATGAGCCCACGAAGCAGGCTGCGGAGGAGCAGACGTCTTCTTCTAATGCCAGCCCTGCTCCCGGCAATGGCTATGCGAAGAAGAAGCACACCGGTGCCAAACCCACTCCTCTCGCTTTGCTGAGCCAGCAAGACTACAGCCATCTCCCCTCCAACACTTACGTCGCCTATGATTACGCCGACCGCGCCTTCGCCGATCTATCAGTTACTCGCGGAAAGGGCTTTACCAAGGAGAAGAACAAGAAGAAGCGCGGCTCTTACCGTGGCGGTCCCATTGACCTGTCTGGTGGCAAGTCTTTCAAGTTTGATGATTAAACGATATTCTCGATACCCATCAACAAACAGGTCAATCGCGATGACCTCGAGTTAGAACAGAGAGAAACATTTTGCTTTGGGCCTGTTGGATCCATCATTGCTCCAGTTATGCCCCAGTGGAGTTGCTCTTTAACTATCGTGGCTTCAACGAGATCCAATGGTTTGCTTTCTCGCTATCCTTTGGATTCCCTTGGCCCCCCTTTTACACAGCACGGCGCTTATGGAGCTATTTGAATATTTTGTCGTGCAATTTGCACGTTGTATGTTGTTTTCGAGCTAAAAGTATACCACAAAAAGTTTGATAGATCAAGTTTCCGGTAGCATTCATCATAACCACCGATCTAGTGGCAGTGTCCGAGTCTATATGCATGTCTGGCGTGTGGGGGTTTCCTGTCTCGGCTGCCGCCGACTTAAAGTATGAGGGCGTTTTGCTTTCTTTTTTCTTTTCATTTCAAGTTGATTGAAAGATAAGGGATAGGCTACCCAAGAGGGGACTCTACTGAATGAAGGACAACAATGAGAGAAGGCAAGCTTCCTGTGCCGATAGAAAATATCCATTAAATCGTAGTAAAAGATCATTCAGTATCTCACGACGAGTTTAACGCAAGAGTCATTTCCAGGATAAAAGTCTTAGCAAATTCGCGGGAGTAGAGGAAATGTCATCATACGCATTGTCCGGCAAAGGAATCCCCATCAGTCGCGATGTAGCCTCCTGCGCAGTACGAATTCCATAACTAATGTCCACGGCACTATACCGCGGAATTTCGACAAACTGGCCAACGAAGCCAAAATTCAATGACTTTGCAGGTACGGTTTCAGGGCGGTCGGTCATCGAGCGGACGAGTAACATGGAAGTCATCCGTGGCATGAGACGAGGAATTGTCATGGTGTGGTGGACCAAGGCTGGGTATCCAAGATGCCCAAGCACTTCTGCGAGGATTTCGGCACCAGAACATTGTTCCATCAATTTTTTAACGTAGTTTCCCTTGCGTTGGGGGAGCAACATGAAGCCCCAAAGCACGTAGGTATCGCTCGGCTGTTGGCTAAAAACGGGTTGAGTAGGTACGCAAAGGCGTAACCTCCAATTGCTTTCCGGTAGCATTATCATAGTCCCAGCTTCTCCATCGTCCGTTATGTAAGCCAAAAATTCCCAGAGAGAAGCGTCTGCGGTGGTAATTGTGAAGGAAGCTAAGGTCGATTCGTTCATGCGAGTACAATAGTTGTAGGGATTGCCAAATATGAGCTGGTTAGTCTCAAGCTCCAGCCACAATGCCCAATTCTCATCAAGCTCGTCGGTTGGCTCAATACGTTTGCAAACAGGATGGTGACTATTTGTACCGGTTGACGAGCCTGAGACGGTGGAACCCAGCATAATAATAACTATATCTTCTGTGTTTATCTCCTTTGTGATTTGGAATCCATTCGCAAGAAGATTCAATCTGGATATCTTTTGCCGGCCGTCTTGGACAGTGGTGACAATGATATCCGTGACTTTGGTGTCAAAGAGAAATTCCACCCCTAAGTTATAAAGATAGAGGTATATAGGTCGGAATATAGATTCATTTTGGTAATATCCAGTGATATCCAAGCACTTCAGGATACTCAGGTAAGGATATTGCCTAAGATATTGACGGAGAGCTCGTCTGAATTCTATGGCACTATGCCAAGGTTGGAAACCAAATCTAGTAGCGTGAGTTCAATTTCAACTCAAACACCAGAGAACTGGCTTACTGAGCGGCCCATGTAGTCCAAAATATGCTTTCGAAGAAGCTTTTGGACATGAAATCCCTAATTTGATTCCTACCTAGGCGTTTCTCGCTTCGGAGCATCAACAGGGCTAAATCGACTCGGTTTTTGACGCTCAAGCCCAGCTTAGTGACTTGTAGATTTTCTTTGCTCCTTCCTCTTTGGACAATAAATTTAGTTCGGTGATGCCGGTTTGTGGGCATATGACTCGCTTCTGCCTTTCTGATCTCTTCCAGCACTGTGGGGTCCTGAGTCCTCCCCGAGGGAATGGACGCCAGAAGTTCGTTCAAAGGCGTTCCTATTGGGACGGGCAGGCATCCTGCGAACTGATCGTATCCTTGGCTGGAGTCACCCATATCGTGCAATGCTGCTCCCATAGATATGTGTGAATCCAAAATGTGCACATTTTGGGGTGGCAGCTTGCCGCGCTGTATTAGATAAACTGCTGACGCGAGAGATGCAGTGCCGCTGCCAAGGATCCAGGCATGGGTTTCATTTGGATTTCGTTTATTTTGAGTGTGTGTCCCGTCCATTAACATAGTATGTGATGGTAGAAAGAAACAAAAACTAGTTGGAAGGCACTATCGTTGTCTTCACTCGTTTGAGCGGCTACTATATTATACGGTCGGTATAGTATGGGCGGTCATTAGATACTAGCATTATCATCCATGGATTAGGCTGTAATAGCCCGCTAGTGTGTAATAAAATCACGGCTGGCCAATAAATACTGAGAGTGGCTTCAAGTGGTAACGTCAGCGGAACGCCCGCCATCCGGCTAGACCAGCCGAAGAACACTACGCATTCAGCAAAAATATGACCAGTTTATTCCTGCCATTCTTCATCAAGTAAGGCCTTCTATGATTAGTTCTTGAGGTATATTTATCTGTTAATGCCTACTTGTGCTGGAACCTTGGTTTTCTAGAAATTTTAATCATAGATCACCTGCTCCCAATTCATGTTCAACTTTTGGTATAATAGTAAGCCATGATGACATTTGGTTACAAGAGCAGTTCTATTTTGCTCTATGCACTAATTATCATAAGCTTTACGGCCAGCTTTCCAATACGGTACAACTGAAATGGCTTCCCAAACACAGAATGGAAACTCGCAAGAAGTGTCCCACGAAAAGACTACGGCTGTAGACTTCCTGATCAAGACAGGCGCTATTATAAAAAATATCGAAAAAAATCTGGAGAGAAATCGGCTGGACAGGAAGAAAATCCGCGAGCTCTTGAACCAATATTCCCTTCGCGCCGAATCGGATGGGAGACTAATGAACGCTGCAAGACAAGAGGACCAGTGTGCCAGCCGAGGTTTATTTCTTGCATACACTCACATGGAGTTACTATGCTGGCTGGCGAAAAATAACTACAATATTCCATCGTCGTCAATACGATGGGTTAGCTTGCGACAATTTTCCCCAAAGTACCGTATTCCGCCATTCTGGTCCTCGGCAAAACCGTCGGAATTGAAAAGTCTGTTGGATCATATCAAGAGGACAGCTGCTTTGGTTTATGCGGATCTTCAAGCCCACCATGTACGTCAAACAGAACACGAAATTTAATGTAGTGCTACTCTGACTTGAAGCAAGATTTCCGTCCCTGAAATCGCCATCGAATATCCTAGCGTCCCGGCAGGACAGCCAGCCACTCAACCAACAGAATGTACATGGACCCCTACCCCCTTTATAAAAAGCTTTGAGCTGACGAGATTTTTGATAGCTTATAAAGAGCTCCTTCAACGAGGTCTTAAGGCGCAGAGGTCTCTTGAGGGATTGGTTCCGACCTGAGAATCTGTAAGAATTCTCAGAAGTCTGTTAGTTTCTTACTCTTTTTTTTTCGTTTTCTTACTTGTCTTATGACAATAACGCGAATACGTCTGATAATATTCAATTTCTCTTTCCCATGGACTGCTTTCTCAATGTCGTTGTTTAATTTGGTCGCGTCTCTGGCTACTCTGGTTTGATCATGTTAAATGAAAACCACATGGTGCAGTCTGAAAATGCCGATCACTGGCGACAAAGAGAGCAAATTGCTCATTTACCGCGCGGAAATCCAGCAGCAAGACATCTTGACCTTGATCCGAGTCTCGAAACACATGAAACGTCGTGCCTCTAGGATAATTTTTTCGTGGATTCGGCGCCTGGCCTAGACCATGGTTTGAACATGGAAAGGCCAAGGTATTCTTGATTATGGGTTTCTTTTCGATTTATCCGGAGTATGTTATACCGGATTCCGTCCGATATGTATGTCTCAAACTCGCCGTATATGCAGTCATTCAGTAGTGTAAATCCATAGATCTAAGTGTGCCTCTTAATCCCGCCTTCTCCATGCACCAGGTTTCGCGAGCGGCTCCCATCGCCTATCCCAGCCAGTCACCACCTCATTCTCCAGGTCTTTGGGCATCATATACCAGTATCCATGCTGTGTTCGCAGCTTGGAAGTGGTAGTGTAATCATCCTGAGCCGGGCGTTCATAGCCCGCAATTTTAAACACTTGATCTTCAGCGGCCGCAACTCCAGGCTGTCCTTTTTCCACGCCTAGGTCGAGGTTATAGTCGTACCATTCCTTTGCTGGGCCAGTCAAGTCATCTGTAGAGGCAAAATCAAGGCGGATGATACCGTCCACGACACCAGTATACACAGTTGGTGATGATGGAGATGGAGTGGACATGCTGTAGATGGGGCCACGATAAGATTGACGACCCCTCCTGTGAGGGCGAGGAATATGGCGTGTGAGATCTGGTGGGAGATTGGCAGATAGAAACATGGAGAAATCCATACTTGGTCGATCTTCTCTATTGCTTTTCTTTGATGCCTGTGGCCTTTGCGCTTCTTGATAATTGTAGCTTCTCCCCATGCGCAAGTCGAACATTTTCACCAAACCATCACCACTAGATCCAGCCAAAAACCGATCGTTTCCAATCGGATGCACGCAATACACAAGATTTCCATCTGTTGTATCGCGATATGTTTTTTCGTAAGATCGCGGGGAACGAAGATCGTGAAGTCTAAGGTGATGTTAGTAACTAGCAATTTTTGAATTTTCAGCTGGACTGTAGATATGGACAACAAACCGTATAGTACGATCACCCCATGCAGCAAGAAATATGTTACCCGGGGACTCGATGTGAGATTGTAGAGTATCGAGGGGCGCAATTGAAGTAACACTAGCATGTACGCGATTGATGCGCTCCTCTATGTCCAAAGAATGAACATCTACCACCCGATCAAGGGAGACCCCGTCAGGAGAAATTGTTGAAATCGAAAGAGAACTCTCCATTTCCCCGGTCGCCACAGCGACTTTTGATGGGGAAAGCAGTTTTGAGTAACGACTACGCCCTAGGCTGCCAGTCTCATTGCGGATCCAGGCGAATGCTTCGACCTCCTCTTCATCACTGACGGTGTTGTAGAATGCAATCGATCCATCGTCAAAGTGAGCGGATAGTGTCGAGTGTGCGCCTTGACTGACATCTGTTCTGTCAAGTTCCAAGCCATATGTCTTGAACCTTCTCCGATACTCATGGTATTCTTGAGAAGGAGAAATCGCAAGGTGGATAATGTCGCCCCTCCTGCGGCCAAAAATCAAATTTTCTGTATCGGCCTTCTTGTTCGACTCTGGCCGCATGAGGTGCACGCCACAGATATCCTCGTAGCTACTGACTTCTTCCAGGTCATTGAAAAGAATCCAATTCTCTTGTGGGTTCTTGCCCGATTGCTTTACTCGCACAACGAGTTGATGTGCCGCACCCCACGCGAGCACTTCTTTCCGATCTGCCCAGGCCGCACCATTCCATATCTCGTAGGAATCAATTGCAGGCCTGTAACCCAAGGTAGGATTGTCTCGTCGAGTCGTCTGTTGACAGCCGATCCGAGTGACAGTTTCAGGCAAGACGATAAAGCGGCCAAATACGCCGAGTCTGTCAAGGGCTCGCGACCTCGACGTGAGAGCACACGCTGCATCTTTCCAGAACGCTGGTGTGGGGGTACAGGGAAATTTGCTTTGCACTAAGGCTCGGAAAAGTCGATACTCATCTGTGGAGATAATCTTGTACAGCCTGTGACAAGTTCGCGACAGATTTGCCAATGCATTTGCGGTCGGTAAATAGATTGCGATGTGATAGATGATCTCCGATGGCAAATCGGAGAGCATGGCGAAGGATTGTCTCTTGATAGTAATTCCCTTTTCTTTGTCGAAATTCCTTCAATGAGACTTGTTTATTGCTGGGGATTTTACATGTATGTTTGCGTCCATTATTGTGATGGTGCTGGTGCTGTTGTGACTCAGGGCTCGTGTTGCGATTGGAATAATCGTCAAAATCGAGCCGCAAGATTCAATGACTCTTCAATGACTCCTCGAAAATTAGGCAAGCAGCACACTTCAAATTTGAGACACAAGCAAATTGATCGCGAGGCTGCAGCCGATGTGCACAATGACGTTAATCCAACGTTGGGCATAGTTCATCAACCTTGTTTCGCCCGTGGCTGAAGTCATTGAATTCTATGACTAAGCATCCGGAAAATTGCAGACCGCACGCGATCGGCCTTGACCTTGACCTTCGACTCTCGAATTCAACCAACCCGGTCGTCGATTGAGGTCTATTCCACACAATGCCACCCAGACTCAACCTCTTTACAGCACACAAGGCAGCGGCGGCTCTCCGCCAGCCCGCCTCATTCGCACCTCGCAACATCGCTTCTCCTCTCCGATTCCGCGCCGAACAGACCGCCTCGATTCAGACAAGATGGAACTCGTCCAAGAGTGGCAAGAAGGTCATTCCTCCTGAGGAGCAGAAGTTCCCGACTCAGGATCCTCTTCCCCACGTCAGCGAAGAGGCTGCCGAGGTAGACAGAATTATGAGCAAAGAAAAGAGCTGCGATGGACAACCCACCGCTCCCGAACTGGAGCAAGGAACCCCAGTCTCGGAGGTGAGCAGGACTTGAGAATAGCCACTCGAAGAATATTACTAACTTTGGATCTCATCTATAGATTCTTTCCCGTGACCAGGAAGCCATGAAGCACATGCCAAAGGTCATGCAAGACCAGCTCAAGAAGGGCACCCGTTCGTTCTCGACCTCCGCTCGTAGCCGTCTGCCCGAGACCGAAAACTCCCAAGCGGAGGGGGATGCATCTGCCGCCATGCTTGCGAGCATGATCCAGGGAGTGGAAGAACAGGCAGCTGAGCGGATCCCAGGCTTGAAGTTCGCCGAGCCCGAGGCCCCGCGGGGGACATTGAACTTCCGGAAACGCTACGATACCATGCAGGACCAGTTCACCAAGATGCTGATGCAAGATGGCAAGCTGGCTCGCGCCCAAAAGGTCCGGCATATCTTTTCCATTGTGTTTCCGAACCCCGAACTGACCCTAAATCACTAGAACATGTCCATCATTCTGGATACCCTCCGTACCTCATCCCCTCCCAATATCCAATCCCGCCGTCCTCTTCTCGGAGCTCCCCCCGCTCCGCAACTGCCTCTCGATCCCGTTCTTTACCTCACCCTGATCGTCGACTCGGTGGCTCCCGTATTCCGAATTCGTCAACAGAAGGGTATTGCTGGTGGTGGTACTGCCGTGCAAGTTCCCCACCCCTTGACCCTGCGCCAGCGCCGTCGCACTGCCATCAAGTGGATTATCGATGGCTCGGAGAAGCGCCGTGATGCGCACCTGGCGCACCGTGTCGCAAATGAGCTGATCGCGATCGCCGAGGGCCGTAGTGGCGTGTGGGACCGGAAGGACGGGCAGCACAAGATTGGTATCTCTGGACGTGCCAACTTGGGTCTGGCGCCCCGCCGCCGTTAATATAATCATCGAGTGCGTGCTTCTGTCTTTTTGGGTTGACGGTTTGAACATGGTCTTTCAGCAATCTTTCAACAATGTATATTATCTGAATTAGTTCAAGTTTGGCCATATGGAGTCATGTATGTATGCTTCGCCAAGCTACTAGTACACTTGAATTGGTTAAATCGATATAGGTCTATGGTAGTATACTAGTATCAGTACTACCTCCATCCATACTAGTACTACTATTATCCCATTACTTAAACTATTTTATGCATATTCCAGCCTATATTACATCCTAGTATACTACTAATGCATACTTGATATAGCGTGCGGCTGATAGGCCACAGCCACGCTGACTCAGCATCAAATTATTCTCGATACGGCATGTAACGGTTCCTGAAGTCATCGCGAAAAAGGAGCTCTTGGCTTGCAAGCAGGGACCATGCTCATGTCCAGTCATTGTCTCGGAGAATAATAGGAGAAAATATCTTGTCGAATGCGCATGCGATCAGCCGTGCTCACCACATTTCCAGCCTGACCATCAGTGCAACCCACGAAGCCGGCTCCAGCTGACCACACACCCGCCCACTCAGTCTGTCTGGCCGCCCCGCAACACCTCCTCATTTCCTCGATCGGACCCCCCCTCCTCTAAAAAGCGCAATTGCCTGCTTGTGGCCGATTCCCCTCCGGGCCCTCAACGACGGTGGCTACCTCCCAAAGCCGCGGATCCATCGAACTCACAGATTTCAACTCTACCACCCGTCCGTTAGCTCTACGAGCTCTCGGGTCTGCAGCTGCGCGCACACAACGATCGACGAGCGCTTCGCGGCCGTTTGAGCCAGCTGCCAGCTCACAATCGCTTGCAGGGCTTCCATCCGAAAAGGTCGAGGACTGGGAGAAGACTGCTTTATCGGAACGCCCGCGGGGCTACCGCTCCTCTCGTCTCAGACTTTGGCCTGAAGCTCTTCGACGTCGAGCTCACCGTGTTGGTCCTGGTCAGGTTGATCCTGATCCCGAAAAACTCGCCAACATGAAGTTTTCACACAGCATTCAGTTCAATGCGGTGCCAGATTGGAGTTCGAATTATATTGCGTACAGTAACCTGAAGAAACTGTGAGTTTATTCTGTCTCCTTTGCCCTTCCTCTGTGGTTGGAATGAGCAGCTGCGATCCTTGGCGATATGTGGTCGTGGTCTCGGATGTACATCTGAAAATATATATCGGAACGGGAGTCACATCGCACAGGAAGGGATAATTGCATACGGTTCGCGCGCGGAATGGTCGTATCGTTCATGTGGCTAACGGACCGATCTGTATCTTAGCATATATACCCTCGAGAAGCAAGTTCATCGGCCCGATGAACAGTCCGCCCCGGACGTTGAGTCCGCTCCGCTGTTGTCCGGCGCACAAGTGCATAACCCGGACGGTGTGTTCAAGCGTGCCCTCGATGCGGAACTGGGCAAGATTTGCACCTTTTTCCAGCAAAAGCAAAGGGAGATATTTGAACTGACAGATGAATTGGTACATGAGGGCACGGAGTATCTTATGCAAACAGACGGTGTCAATATGGATCCTGTGAGTGAGAGTGTGGTCAAGGCGAGAACCATGAGTACCAGCTCTCGCCCGGGAACTGGCTACAATCAACCTCATCGTCGCCCATCAGGTGGCGTGAGTGACGATGCGGATGATAGCGATGACGACGCTTATCCTCCAGTGCTCAACCCTCGCAATCGACTCATGCAGTCAACCGATGGAGAGTCTACAACGGAAGACCGCGCAGGCGACATGGCGGACTCGGCCTTCTTTGGCCTCGGAAGCAGTCGTGCGCCCCAGGATTCTGACCTGAGTGACCAGGCTTTCCTCGATCTGTACAATACGGGAGTCTCGTTGAAGAAGCGTCTCGTCGAAGCCTACGTCTCTCTGTGCGAACTTCGTTCATTCATCGAGCTGAACAAGACTGGCTTCTCCAAGGCCTTGAAGAAGTACGACAAGACCTTGTTCCGCAATATGCGTCGGGATTACCTCGGTTCAGTCGTCAACCCAGCGCTGCCATTCACCGAGTCCACCACGTCCGCTGTTGATGACTACATTACTAAGGTAGAGGGTATCTATGCTGAAATTGTCACCAAGGGTAGTCGGCCTTTGGCTAGCCGGGAACTGCGTCTACATCTACGTGAGCATGTGGTCTGGGAGCGAAATACCGTCTGGCGCGAAATGATTGAGATCGAACGCCGTGCGCAGGCCGCGAATGTCGGTATTCGTCGAACTCTGCTGGGTGGTGATGAAGATCCGGCCACGGCACGCCGCCAGGGTGACAAACAAGAAATTCGAACTACAGAGATTGGAACCCCCCTTGGCAGCATACACTTCCCCACCTGGCTCTGCAGTCTCAGCTTCGGTACTCTGGTCTTCAGCTTTGCTGTCTTCGGAGCATTGCTGGCCACGCCCATGATGGAGACGCCCGAACAACAGAACTGCCTTGCAATGCTGGTTCTTGTTAGTTTTCTCTGGGCTACCGAGGTAAGCATTCTGCAATTTGAATTTATATGGGAGATCCGAATTTCTAACATGATCATATATAGGCCATCCCGCTTTTCGTGACTTCGCTGCTAATTCCGTTCCTGGTTGTTGTGTTGGGTATCATGCGATCTGAGGAAAAGCCACACAAGCGACTTGGTCCAAAGGAATCCGTTGGCATGGTATTTGCAGCTATGTGGACGCCAGTGATCATGCTTCTTCTGGGTGGTTTCACCATCGCTGCAGCTCTATCCAAATATGACATTGCCCGACGCATGGCTATGTTTGTTCTGAGCAAGGCTGGCTCCAAGCCCAAGACCGTGCTATTGACCAATATGTTTGTGAGCATGTTCCTCAGCATGTGGATCAGTAACGTTGCGTCTCCCGTGCTCTGCTACTCGATTATCCAACCTCTTCTTCGCAACTTGTCCCCGGACTCGAACTTCGCGAAGGCGCTGGTCCTGGGTATTGCTCTGGCGGCCAATGTCGGTGGTGCAGCTTCGCCAATCGCTTCACCGCAAAACATTATTGCTCTACAGAACATGTATCCCAGCATCAGCTGGGGCACATGGTTCTTCATCGCGCTGCCTGTCTGCATTATTTCCATCTTCCTGATCTGGGCCCTGCTCCTGGCGACGTTCCACCCGGGACACAACACGACCATTATCCCCATGCGCCCAGTCAAGGACCGTTTCACTGGTATTCAATACTTCATCAGCGCCGTGACTCTCGGAACTATCGTGCTCTGGTGCGTGAGCCACCAGCTCGAGCATGTCTTTGGCGACATGGGTGTCATAGCCATCATTCCCCTCGTGTTATTCTTCGGCACGGGTATCCTGAATAAGGAGGATTTTAACAATTTCCTCTGGACGATCATCATCCTCGCTGCTGGTGGGTTGTGTCTTGGCAAGGCCGTCACCTCCTCTGGTCTTCTGCACACCATCGCTGGGAGCATCACCGAACGGGTCGAGCACCTGAGTCTGTATAGCGTGCTCCTCGTCTTCTGCGCATTGATTCTTGTCATTGCCACCTTCATTTCTCATACCGTTGCTGCTCTGATCATCCTACCTCTCGTCCGTCAGATCGGTGTCAACATGGAAAACCCTCACCCCAATCTGTTGGTCATGGCCAGTGCCTTGATGTGTTCTGTTGCGATGGCCCTGCCCACGAGCGGATTCCCCAACATGAGTGCGTATCCCTATGATCCCGTTTGTTGGATGTATGTACTGACTTGTTATAATAGCTGCCATCATGACCGAAGTCCCGACAACCGGCCAGCGCTACCTTCAAGTCCGCCATTTTATCACTCGCGGTGTTCCATCAAGCTTGATGTGTTTTGTAGTGATCGTCACCCTCGGCTATGGACTGATGTATATTGCGGGGCTATAGGAAATGAAAAAAAAGGCAATCCATCGATATATTTGGGATATTGATGTAATGAATTCCACGGCCTAGAGGAGGAAAGACTCGGTGAGATGTTGGTTTCTTCTTTCTTTCGTTCTTTCTTTCTTTCTTTCGTTTTCTTTTTCTGAGCGCTTAACTTCTTTTCTCTGCGTGGTCATATTACCGGCGGCCACTAGGCATACTCAGCTTTTGTTTTGCTTTGTTTGGGCAAATAGACTGACGGATGGCATCTCCGTCCGGCTGCGTATCTTACATACCTGGAATCCAGCACATACCCCCATATTATCTCATTGTAGAATAAACACCTATGTTTTTCCTCGCGATTGGGCATTGAGTTAGAGATGTCAGATAAGGAGTGTCCAACCTTGCTCGTCTCACCTGACAGTCCCGTCTACCCGACTGGCTGGGCGCGGACAGTAACACATCCACGTCACTAATACTCCGATCCGACACGGCCGGCAAATTGGAATGAAGTGATCAACGTTATTGAATTACGAGAGTCTTGAATAAAGTAATGTGTCACTGAGTAGACAAGTACGAGTCTTGATTATCCCTTCGCCGAAAGCAGCTATATGGGAGAACAATTATACTGTACAATCATGACCAGACACCGAAACCCTGAATGGAGGCGCCACGTCAAATCTAGGGATTGAACAAGCCTAGACACACGATATAAGAAGAGGGGGAAAAAAGAGAAGCAAGTAAATGAAAAAAAGGGAAATAAAAAGCAGGACGTGCGCAGTCATAATCGAAACCGGCCAGCTATGCAATCCTGCATCTTGCATCACCGTACATGAGTCATCGCTCGCAGAGGTATCAAACGTAAAGCATTGTGGACAGAAGGGGTATTCTGCTATTCATCCACTATACTCGAGTTGAATTAATTCCTACAAGATTAGTTAGTACAAATATGAACAAAGAACGTCTTGCAGGGGAAGTGAAACGGAGAAAAAAGTAAAAAAGGAAGGGGAAATACTGACAATAAGCCTATAGTCAAATCACCATGAATCTTGGCCTTGAGTTGAATCTCAATATCAAGATTCAGATCCAGTCGCAGACGCAACTGTTCGTCCTGACCTTTATCATCACCCTTCTCCTCCTTTTCGCCTCCGCCCAGAACGCCGCCGACAGCTTTCCCGGCGGATCCAGTGACTCCGTTCAAGGCATTGCCGGCTGTGTTCTGGACTAGCTGGCCGGCTTGATCGACGCCGCCGAGACCACCGAGTGGGCCACCTTCGCCGCCTTGCTGCTGCTGCTGCTGCTGTGGCTGGCGGGTGCGGCGAGTGCGCTGGCGTTGCTGAGGTTGAGCGTCCATATCGTTGCGGGGAACAGATTCGGTATCAGTGTCTTGTCTGCGAGATGGGCGCGGACGACGACGACGACGGGGTTCTTCTTTTTGAGGTTGGGGTTCGGGCTCGGGCTCGGGTTCTCGCTCTTGCTTCTTTTCTGGCTGGGCGTCACCGTTCTGGGTATTTTCCTTCTCGTGATCCGAATCGGGTTCTTGTTGAAGGGATTCAGGCTCAGGCTCTTGGTTTTCTTCCTTTTGCTCAGATTCTTGCTCCTGATCTTTCTCTTCGGTCTTATCTTTGTCTGATTGGTCTTGATCTTGTTGACCTTGCTCGGAGGGAGGAGGGGTCTGCTCTTGCTTGGCTGGAGTCTTCTTTCCCAGTTTGGGAGGGGCACGCTTTGGCTTGTTGGGGGTGGTAGGGGTGGACTCCGGGTTGGGATTAGAGGAATCTTGATCGGCCATGGTGGAAAGAGAAGAGAAGAAAAGCAATGAGAGGGGGGAGAGGGAGAGCGGAGAATATGAAGTGGTCCGATGCAGATGATATGGGTTATGAAGGACCAAGCGCTCTGTGTAATGAGGATGTATCGCAATGACGCGGTCTAGAAGAAGCCACTTTGGACAGACATAAAACCGGTGGAAGATGGAGATGAACGTGGGGGGGAGGCCCGCCTCCGACGTCAGATGAGACGTCAATTCAATTGTGTGTACTGTTTGGTGGTTTGAGAAAGATGCCAAACCAGACGGAAAGGCTGGAAATGACGTGGGAGGGGAGCAGGGATGTGGTGCACTCAGGTGGAAGTATATCCGTGGTACGGAGTATAGTACGAGATATACGGGAGTGTGCAACCACCTTAGAATATGATGTGAATCTAGGCGGATCAGATCAACAGTGGAAAATGTCCGTGTGGGCTTTCGTTCTTATGTCAGCAGCCAATCAGGAGATGCGCCGGTGCAATTTGGCAGGTGCGACCCACTTTTATAGATTGGAAAACGACGTAAGACGGTCGCACTTGCCAATCGCCGTTGAAATTCGATATTAAAATGACGTAGAAGCAGGGCACTTTGGTTCAACGGGAAGTTGGAACTGGAAGTTGGCAGCTTCAAAGTTGGAAGTGCCAGTCCCTCTGAAACTGCCTCTTGTTTCCACGGGTCGAGCAAGGGCGGAAACCGGCTCTTGCTGGCTGGTGTGGCTGGTAGACGCTGCGTCGGCTACCTAAAATAGAACTGCCATGCTATCTCCACGCCCACGCCAGGTGGCACAAAGCATGGCATGACGCCGGTGGTCCTCTCGTCGAGCCAGAAAGTAATTCGTGACAGGTACATGTACCACTTGTGACAGGTATCGAACTCCACGTACCTATATTACCACTGACCACACTTCCTGGTGGAGAGTCCATCTCACCCGCCGCCAACGTCATGGCAGTGAAGTGACGATCTAGTCCTGTCCCTTCATATCATATCACCGCTTTCCTCATTCCCCTCCCTTTTCTCCAATCCTTAGTGTTGTATTCCTATTCTCCTTCCAATATTGATTCCTTAATCCATTGACCTCGGAATACTCGTACCTCTCTCTTCTTACTCATTCTATCTCCATCCTCGTCCCCACCCATCCAAAACATCATGGCCACCGTCGAGAAGCCCAAGGAGCAGCAAAAGCAGTTCCAAGTGCCCGAGTATTCCGATGATGAAGATTACGACAGCGCCGATGACTACGAATACTCAGACGAGGAGGAGGACCAGCCTAAGCCTGCTGCGAAGGACCAGCCTAAGCCCGCTGCGAAGAACCAGCAACTTCAGCGCCGCAAGCAACAACAGCCTCAACAGCAAGCCGACGATGAGTATGACTCAGAAGAGTATTCCGACGAAGACGAATACTCCGATTACTATCCCGATGACGAGGACCGCGATGAATTTGGAATGACCAAAATGAACGGCGACACTTCGATGCCACCTTGGCAGGGTAATTCCACCGACATGAACATTGCCGATGAGAAGAAGAAGAGCATCCTCGATGAAGAGGGTATGAAACTGAGGCTGGAGCTGAATCTGGAGATTGAGATTGAACTCAAGGCACGCATCCACGGTGATCTCACCCTCGCTCTCATGTAAGTTGCACCCCATCTATTCCCTTCATTGTAGAATATCCGCTCAAACCAAATAGGAGTTGATCGCGTCGGCTACAGGGCATAAAACTCGTCGACATTCCCTATTTTATATCTCCTATATCCTTTTCCGTTTACTTTTACTTCCGTCTCCGTCTCCGTCTCCGTCCCAATGTCCTCGCTTTACCATGGTGTTCGCATTTGCAGTGGTCGCCTTTCAAATGATGATAACGATCGATTTAATTTTTTTTATCAACTATCCCTGCTCTTCATCGTTTCATAGAGTCCTTGCTTGATCATCGCTTAAATATACATTCTCTTATTTGGTCTGGATCGGTCAGACAGGGCCTTACCCACGGTACTGGAGGCGCCGCGCCTGAGTCGATACTTTGGATCCTGTACTACTATATGTATATATCAATCAGAGTGGGTTCATACCTGCAGTCTAATTGAGGTTAGGGTAATTACCTGTTGATCAAGCAGCACGTTGATATGATTTTTATTTTTTCCGAGTCGTGGGCGTGACTATATATTTCCACATACTAGTACTATTACTAGTATATCATCCATTGGTTATCGAACCACTCGGATGAACCAATTATCACGGTGGTTCGCCATATTCTAATGAAAACTACCTGGGTACATGCTGAATTTACCATAACTGCATAGCCGTGATCAAATCTGATCAATTGCCCAATTTATTGCATGTTCCAGGGTTGGCTGCCGAAATCACACCCAACCCATGAGGCCTAGGCCGAGGTTCGGGCTTGGCGTGGATCCATGAGATCTTCAGACCGCACCTGGGGGCATTTCCTACCCTTCTCCCCTGTCACAGCAGCCGGTGACTTTTCTGCCTATCGCAACGCTCACATCATACTCTTGAATCTCACCAGGAATTATTCCTGCCTCAATCCCACCGAATTAACACCACGCCTTACTACGTCTCTCCGATCTTCGGCCGACTACTCCACCATGTCCGGCAAGGACTTCATCATCAAGCACATGAACGCCGACCATGGCGATTCACTACAGCTATACCTACAAGCCTTTTCCCGCATCACGGCCAGCGAAGCCAAAGGCGCAACCCTAGAGGACCTCACCCTCTCCGACCTCACGATCCGAGCCAACGGAATCCGCTACGGAATCCCAATCGACCCGCCCATGGCCAGCTACAACGAAGCCCGCGGTCGGTTGGTCGGCCTGCACAAGGACAGTCTGCAGAAACTCGGCCGATCCGACGTGACGCTAACCGAATACCGTGCTCCACATGGCCATCAGATTGTGATCTTTGCCCTGTGCGCCTTCCTGTACATCACCTGCTTCAGTCGCGAGAACCTCCTGCCTGGATCATTTGTCTATGAGAACTTTGGCTACAAGTTCGTTCCGGACTTTGCGCACTTTGTGTATAATATCCAGCCCTACCTGTTTCCCATCACGGTGGGTATTCATATCTTCGAGTCGGCTTTGTTGGCTGTGACTAAGTTGAAGCCTCATGGGGTGCCGTTCTTGTCGGGGCTGTGGCTTGCGTGGGTGGGTTCGTGTTTGGTGGAGGGATTCGGGACGTTCCAGCGGATCAGCCAGATTGTGAAGGAGGAGCGGGAGAAGGGTGGAAAGAAGCAGTAGATGGTAGATGGAATGATAGAGTGAAATGGTAGTTTATCAGAAATAGCAGAGCACCATTGCAATGAATGAGAACGTCCTATTGGAAACAGCCTACCCGCATGTACAACCCTGCCTCGGAGCCCCGTGCCAAGCCTGATAGATGACTAAGCAGAGATAACAGGTCACGGGACCGCACACAGTGGCGCTACACCCAAACCGGGTTAGTTCGCTTAGGGCAACCGCACAAGCGAGTAACACACTGGGCCTGGGAATATTCAATCCTCCGCCGCTCGACGACCGCATTCCCACGACAACCCAACGACAACTTTCCGTGTTTTTTTGGTGGCAGAGTTAGGGGTGAGTTATCCTCGAGAATCGCCCTCTGTTCCAGTTTCCTACTTTCTGCTTCGTCCCGACAATCGCTGCGTGAGGGGGAAAAATCCCACCGTGGACCTCGAAATTGAAATTGAAATTCGACACATTCGACATTCGTTCCTTACCTCCCTTCGACATCCTAATTCGTTAAATCATTCGCCGCTTCTCGACAACACGACCTTTTCAATTTTTGAATTACCGATCTTGTTGCACGATTATCACGGACGAAACAGAAGTTGTGGAAACTGGAATATACAGGGTCAAACGCACCAACCCGATCGAGTTCTAATCTTGTCTTGTTAAGCTAGACTCCATCCATCAACCGCAAACATGGGTATCTCTCGCGATTCTCGTCACAAGCGCAGCGCTACCGGTGCCAAGCGCGCCTACTACCGCAAGAAGAGGTACGGCACCATCCATCCATGAATTTTTTTTCGTTCCTGTCGTTTCGTGTGGTATAAGGAGGTGAATTTTTGTTTATCTACGGGGATGGTTACTGTGGTTATTATGTGGAAACGATTTTGAAGATGCGACCGAAGATTTTTCCTCTGTGAGCCATATTCTGACTTATCTTCAACAGAGCTTTCGAGAAGGGCCGCCAGCCCGCCAACACCCGTATTGGCACCAAGCGCATCCATCTCGTTCGCACTCGCGGTGGTAACCAAAAGTTCCGTGCCTTGCGCCTCGAGTCCGGTAACTTCTCCTGGGGCTCTGAGGGTGTTGCCCGCAAGACCCGTGTCATCGGTGTCTCTTTCCACCCCTCCAACAACGAGCTGGTCCGCACAAACACCTTGACCAAGTCCGCCGTCGTCCAGATCGACGCTGCCCCCTTCCGTCAATGGTACGAGGCCCACTACGGCCAGGGCATCGGTCGCCGTCGCCAGGCCAAGACCGATGTCACCGAGGAGAAGAAGAGCAAGTCTGTCACCAAGAAGCAGGCTGAGCGTTACGCCGATCAGGGCAAGGTTGAGGGTGCCATCGAGCGTCAGTTCGAGTCCGGCCGCCTGTTCGCCGTTGTTTCCTCCCGACCTGGCCAGTCCGGCCGTGTCGACGGTTACATCCTGGAGGGTGAGGAGCTGGCTTTCTACCAGCGTGCGATCCGCAAGTAAACGAAAAACAAAAAGGGAAAGCCATTCGGTTAATAGACCGCGTGGGTTGTCGATGCACGGGTGGTTATCGGAGTTTCAGCTATGTTTACCAGAAAACTTGTCATGATCTGGGCATCCGCGGATGCAATGTCTGTAGAGCTCTGAGCCGTCAATTCTATGGGAATCTATTTTCCTGTTTACGTTACTTGTGATTTCCTGCTTTCGCAGCACCTGGTATTGTAGGATGCCATGTCTTCCCAAATCGTAGTTAACCACAGTAGAACATCCAATGGCCATCACCTTGTTGAACATTCTGCGGGGGGGGCTGATGTCGTTCCATAGCGATAAGGCCGACCACAGTAGGGAAGGTAGCCATTGGACCGAATGCAAAATATTAGATTGAAGTCTACTATATATACGTATTAGCTAATGCACCGGTACGAATATCTGTATAGCCTACTAGTAACTATGAGCCACTTAGGCTACCGCAACCAGTGGTCCGGGTCGGTTTCCATGTTTTGAGGCTGTGATTCATCGCTCCCCATCCTTCCCTCCTCCTCACCTCAACACACCCCACTCACCTCTGCACTTCCTTTCCTCGTTCCAAAAAGACTGGAAAGGATTCATCCAAGCATTCTCCTCCCCAACTTTATCTTCTCTCATCCCATTTCCTTCCAGAATGGCCTCAACTGCGGGTATCAAAACACGCATCTGCATGATCTCAGACACTCACACCACCAGTCCCTACTCGCCATCAGAAAAGGAACATGCCTACCGCAATCCCCTCCCAGAAGCCGACATCCTCCTCCACTCCGGCGATCTCACAAAAGTCGGCTACCGCACCGAACACGAAGAAACAATCTCAATGCTCAAAGCCGCGCCCGCAGAACTAAAGCTCGTTATCGCAGGCAATCACGACATCACCTTAGACGAAGAATACTTCCTCTGCACCGGCTACAAAAAGCACCGGAAAACAGCATACTTCGGCGCAAAAAATATCCCACTCCATAAAGACGAGCAAACCCGCCTCGAAGCCATCAAGGGGGGAACAATCCCACCACCCCCGGAACTACTATCTTATATAAGAGACATAAAAGACCTATACACGAACGAGTCTGCCCGCGCCGCAGGAATAAGATACCTAGATGAAGGAATCCACACATTCACGCTAACCTCTGGCGCAAAATTCACCGTCTACGCCTCACCCTACCAACCCGAGTTCTGCAACTGGGCGTTTGCATATCATCGCAATGAAGATCGCTTCAATCTCCCCGCGCCGGGGTCTACGGCCCCAATTCCTGCAAACCCGGTCCCGGACTTCCCAAGTATCGATATTATGATCACTCATGGCCCGCCGGCGGGGGTCCTGGACCGGGTTGGTGATGATCGCAATAAATTGGAGCACGTCGGGTGCGAAAGCCTGATGCGCGCGGCTGGGCGCGCAAGACCAAGACTTTATCTTTTCGGACATATTCATGAAGGATGGGGTGCAGTGCGGGGGGACTTATGACGGAACGAAGGCCTCTGAGAAGGGCAGCAAGGAGGGTGGCAGTGCTAGTGTTAGTGTCAAGCAGGAAAGGATCCCCGTCGACGAGAAAGATATGCTCGAGAAACAAGGCGTTTATCTTGATATTAGTTCAGAGGGTGAGCGACCGCTTGCTTTCGGGGATGAGACTCTTTTTGTCAATGCTAGCATTGTGGATATCTATTATCGGCCGGTTCATGCGCCTTGGGTGGTTGATTTGGATTTGCCAAGGGGTTGAAGTTGAACGTGAATTGTTGGCGGGCTGGCCCGATGATTGCTATGACTCTGATTATTATTATGATTTGATGAATAAAATAGATTCTCTTGCTCGTTGGCGAGCATCATTGATTCAATATTTCGTTTCTGTGGAGTTTCTTCTGGGTAGGATAAGATGAGTTGGTGGGTGGGGGGCCGGGGGGTCCATATATATCTTGACCCTGATGAAGATACCACTACCTAGTACTAAGTCAACCGTCTTTCAGGGCAATATTTGTGCCAGTGGATGATATTAAAACAACCGTGACTCGGAGCGCATCTACTAGTAATGTACACAGTCTGAAAACGAGTTCAAATCTTGGAATAGTCATTTGTTTTTAAACCTAACTATCGTGGGATCGCTTCATCTCAGGCATACATCATCCTAATTAGGGCAAGCTATCTAGCCCAACGAAAACCAACCAGTTCAGTCCTGGACTCCCCCCTTCATAAATGCCATAACAAGCTACTATAACTATATATCCATCTCTACGAGAAATAACTACTTGAAAACCCGATGAAACAAGACTGAAGACCCAAGCGCCGAAAACAAAATAAGCAAGATGAGACGAAAAAGAGAAAAGAAATTATAAGAAATATAGAGATAGAGGGCAAAACAAAGCAAGATGGGAGTCAAGAAAATAGAAAAAGGCCGCCGACGCCACATTCAAGTGTTGTTCAACACGGCTCCAGGAACTTGAACCTACAGACCGCCAAGGGCAGCGGCATAGGCTAGGTACCATGTGCGTGTGGCACCGCCGTCAATCCAGCTGTAGTTAAAGTGGTGCTGGGCAAAGAAGCTCCATGATGCCTTGGGGTTGACGAGGGCCAAGTTAGCGAACAGGACGCCCTTCCAACCGCCCTCGACCTTGTCGGCAGGGGTGGAAGCATTCGGCGCGAATATGGCTTCCCACTCCTCTGCCACGAATTGCGGGGTTCGTGTGTAGGCAGAGTTGGGGAGGAGAGGGATCATGTGGATTCCTTGGATGAATTCTAAGTTGTTACCGAAGTATGTGGTGTGGTCGACCTTGTTTTCAAAGAGCTGTTGGATGGAAATTAGTACTGGTCATCAAAGCGACTAAAGCAGGCAGGGGTGAGGTGTATTATACTTACAATGCCAGTGACCTTGTTTCCGATAAATTTTGAGGGTTGGTTGACGTTGTTGTTGCGCATGAGGAAGTAGTTGTCCAGAGATCGGCGCATGATGCCCAGCATCAAGTTGCCGCGAGCCTCCATACTCACGTCGCCGATTGTACGACCCCACATCTTCACAGCATACGCAAACATGGTATCTTCTGAAGTGGACTCCTCATCCTTACCATCGTAGGACTCGAAAAGACCTTTGGCCCAAGAGTGACCGTTGAACCAGTCAAAGGCACGAGAGAAGGGGAAGTGCGGGTCATTCTCCACTGAGTTGCCGGCATCACGGACCAGCATGTTAACCCAGTCCTTATTCTGGGCCAGCCAGTTGGAGTCAAGAGAGCCAATGATCGCTGCAGCTTGGATGAAGTAGCCGTAGTGGAAATGGTGATCGTTGTACGCGGTATTTCCGAAATCCTGGTTCAAATCGCCTTTGTATCCTGCCGTCGACACAACACCCTTCCAGACAGAGTCATATGCGAGAGGGTACTCTTGTTGGTTATTCACAAAGCGCGCAAAGCTGCTCTTGAGTTCCTGGAAGGCATCGCTGGCTGCATGCAAATCACCGCCAAGTTGGGAAACAGTCCAGACGAGAGTTGCGAACTTGCTTAGGGCTTTGCCGCTGTAATACATGCTGTTCAGGTTGCTCTCCTGGGAGATGTTCTGCTGCAGCTCGTAGGGGGCAACCTGGACAATTGCTTTCTTGGCTTCAGGGGATAAGGTGTGGACATTGCCTGACGTCGCTGACCAAGGAGCAAATCCCATATCAACCGGGAGATCGGGCTCAACCATCGTCCAGCTATCGCCAATAACGGCTGTCGCATTGCCCTTGGTAGTACTGCGAAGGTGTATGCTGGTGACACGCGCGGCAGTATCGCGGTCAAAGGATTCGAGGTGATGCGGCAAGGCGAACATGATGAGGGGTGTTCCGTGGGCGTGCTTTCCAGCTTTGGCCCAGGCCAAGCTGTATGAGCCAGTATCGCCAGTCACAGAGCCAGTAATGTGACCCGAAACGGGATAAACACCAGCAGAGTTGTCGTAGAACTTCTCACCCGACTTGCCAGCAGGGTTCTTGGCGACCTGAATAGCACCAGAGAACCCATGAGTACCACGGATTCTCGACTTGGAAACCAATTTCAGGTTGGGGTCAATTCCATCGTTGGGAGAGGCATAGAGTACCCAGTGCGTGTCATCTTCCAAAGCAACCTGGTACTTGAAGATTCCAGGCTTGGGCGATCCAGCGCTGACAACCTTGCGGAAGAAAACTCCACTCTCGATCAGGGGTTGAAGACGGTTGTAGATACCGGTGATAAATCCCATACCTTGAACAACGGGGAAGGTAATGCTATGATGGGAACCAGCAGATCGTTTCAAGACAGCGTGGGCGGAGAAAGCCTTGGGCTCCTCGACGTCGAGGACACTCGACTTATCCAGCTCGGTGGCAGATAGAACAATATGCTGAAGGCCCACGGGATTGATGTAGTACTCAGCAGGGCTACCTGGGAGCTTATGGTTCTTTGGACCAAATGCCAGTACCTTAGCTTCCAGATGCGAGACTCCGACGCCAAAGCTCTTGAGGGTACCTTGTCCTCTCGACCAACCGAGAGAGTAGGGCTGTGTGAAGCTAGCATTTGTCTGAGTTCCAAGAAATAGCCCAGCGTAGAATTTGTTGGTTTCAATCGGATGAGAAGTATTCGCCTGTACTTTATATTAGAAATACACAATATCAGTATCTGTCAATGGGTACTCACATGAAGATTCTTCACCGGGTGATCATGACGAGCCTTGATATTCGCAGGAGGCGCATTAGTGGCCACTGGCTCGAAGACATCCTGGTCGTCCATAGTAGAAGGGTAATCGGGACTGTCTGGAGGTCCAGGCAGATCAGTGGAAGAACCTTGGCCCAGTACGTCTGTTGGAGAAGCAACCGTTGCCGGACCTGTGGCAGGAAGTACAGATGTAGCTGACGGAGCAGGATTGGTACTCGAATCGCTGGGAGACAATAAGTCCGCGATGCTGTCTGGAGGTCCAGGCAGATCAGTGGAAGAACCTTGGCCCGGTACGTCTGCTGGAGAAGCAACCGTCGCCGGAGCTGTGGTAGGAAGTACAGATGTAGCTGACGGAGCAGGATTGGTACTCGAATCGCTGGGAGACAATAAGTCTGCGATGCTGTCTAGAGGTCCAGGCAGATCAGTGGAACGACCTTGGCCCGATACGTCTGTTGGAGAAGCAACCGTCGCCGGGGCTGTGGTAGGAAGTACAGATGTAGCTGACGGAGCAGGATTGGTACTCGAATCGCTGGGAGACAATAAGTCCGCGATGCTGTCTGGAGGTCCAGGCAGATCGGTGGAAGGACTTTGGCCCGATACCTCTGTTGGAGAAGCAACCGTCGCCGGGGCTGTGGTAGGAAGTACAGATGTAGCTGACGGAGCAGGATTGTTACTTGAATCGTTGGGAGACAATAAGTCTGCGATGCTGTCTAGAGGTCCAGGCAGATTGGTGGAAGGGCTTTGGCCCGATACGTCTGTTGGAGAAGCAACCGTCGCCGGAGCTGTGGCAGGAAGTATAGATGTAGCTGACGGAGCAGGATTGGTACTCGAATCGCTGGGAGACAATAAGTCCGCGATGCTGTCTGGAGGTCCAGGCAGATCGGTGGAAGGACTTTGGCCCGATACCTCTGTTGGAGAAGCAACCGTCGCCGGGGCTGTGGCAGGAAGTACAGATGTAGCTGACGGAGCAGGATTGGTACTCGAATTGTTGGGAGACAATAAGTCCACGATGCCATCTAGAACCCGGTCGACGTTTGTTGACGGAAAAGGAGGCTCGGAAGGATGGCCTTGCTTATCGAGGGCAATCCGGTAGACCTATAGTCCTATGTCAACATCGGATAGAAAGCTCTTGAGGGCTGATCATGAAACGTACCGGCGAGGCCTCTGGGATAAACACTCGGGCTTCAGAATTTGACGGTGGATACTGAGTCTTGAAAGAAGTACTAGGCTCTGTAGCCGTCTGCTCCAAGATGCTTTCCGCAACGCTGCCAATAGGCTGCGACTGCGGAAGGCCGTGTACTGATTCTGCAGCAAGAAGCCATGTTAGCAAGGCTGTGGCCTTCCATGATGATCCCATTTTGCAATTGAAGGACCAAAATAAGCCAAACAACCAATCGCAGGGGAGTAGGGATGCTGTAAGCGCAATTCAATGCTTCAATATGTCCCACGTATGAACGTGGACCAACAGGCACAGTGCAGCTTCACAGGTGTGGAAGTGGAGGAATGGGATCAAACAGCAGGAGGAAAAAAGAACCGAGGAAGAGGGATAGGGACTTACAAGTACGCTAGGTATGTGCTACAGATTCTCGTTGGCACAGTGAATGTGTTTCGAGCTGAGGGCCCTTCCAGTCTCGCAGCCTCCCGCGGGCCAAATTGTTGTGACGGGCCGAAAGAAAGAATTCTAGCCTGCCGATCCTCATGCGAGATCTGCGGCACGGAGCTGCCAGATAGGGAAATACGGGTGGATGGTCAAGCCATGGGGAGGACAGCGTGTGTTTAGTTCAGCAATGAAGGGCGTCGGGGCAACAATGAGGTTCCTGAGCGGGAGAGGTTGTCCCCACTACAAGGAATGTGAGGCGGAGAGGAGTCAACAAATGTCCATGTCCATGTCCATGTCCCACAAGGGAGAGCCTCTTGATTTTAATTGTAAGTGAAAGGTATAATTGAACCAATTGGTCGAGTGAATGGTTGATTGTTTGCAATTATATTTAAGGGGGGCAGGCAGCTATGAGTGATGACTCCAAGCCGGTGATTCACCATACAAACCATGGGTGGGAGAAAGCATGCCCTGATCAGCGAGCTGGTTTACCTAGCACCCAGCCCGGCGATGGTTGGCATCCCGATGCGCGGCCGAGACGGGCCTTTCCTTTCAAGCCCTACTACATTGGAAGGCCCGTCAAGTGTTGATCTGTAAAGCCATGCGAGAATGTCGGGGAAGCCAGTAAAAATAAAAAGAGGCTGAATGAGGTGGAGAAGAAAGGCTGAATTTGGTCTACAAAGTCGCTTGAAGCAGCAAAAAAAGCATGGTATTCTTTTTGGGTTGTCCAGACGCCGTTGGGGTTTACCCTGAATGAAAAATACAAGGTAGATATAATGCGGAAAGAATATACAGATTCCCGATTCGTTGCGGTTAGACCATGGGCTTCTCCATGGGCTTGATAATTCCTTGCTTGACCAGAAGACGAGGCTTGGTGCCATCCTGGTAAGATTCCTTGGTTGACCACTCCGGGCCGAGTGGCATGCGTAGCGATCGCTCGTACTGGGACTTGGTCTCGAACTGGTGAGGCAGTTGTGTGGCCATGTACTTGACGTTCTGTGTGTGTGAGAGAGATAGATTAGCCGTAGTTCCGTATATGTGGACAGCAAGAGAAAAGCGATGGTGATTGCATACCTTCTTGACACGCTTCTCATTGATGATAACCCGAGATAGCTTAGCATCCTTGCGCTTATCGGCCTTGACACCCTCAACAGTAGTCAAGAAGCGCTTCTGCTTCTTCTTCTGTTTGCTGCTGATGCCGTCACCTGTCCAGCTACCCCATCCATCCAGAGTGTTGTCGACAACCTTGTCACCCTCATCCTCGATGGTGTCCATTTTCTCTTGCTCAAAATCTTGTACCACCTCGTCACCGGCGAAAGCCCGTTTCACGAGGTCGTGGTTCTTGAGCAAGACTGGAACGTTATCCTCGTCATCACTGTCATTCTCTTCTTGCGCGCGGCGCTTGGAGGGGACTGTCTTGGCGGACTTGCCATTCTTGGAAGAGCTACTGGCCTGGGCAGCCTGGGGCTGTTCGGCGCTGACGGAGATGTCAAGTGCTTCTTGAGTATCAGCACCTTCTCGTCGACGGTTGTTGCGTCCAGTTTGAACGAGCCACGGGTTCTCTTCCTCCGCTGGCGCGTCCTTCTGAGGAGTAGACAACTTCTTGGAAGACGCAGCAGCAGCTTTGGAGCCAGAAACACCAGGCTTCTGCTTCGCAGGACGGTTGGTAACAATGTCAATATCCTGATCCGAGTCGATCACCCGCTGCTCGTCATCGGAGTCGGCAACTTCCTCAAATTCATTCTTTGGCAGAGCCTTGGTCTTTGGCTTGGTCTCGGTTTTGGCTGATTGACCGAATTTCCGACGGCCAACTTCAGACTCTGCCTCGGACTGTGACTCTTCGCCATGCAGATCACGATTGAGCTGTCGGAGTTCCGCGTCATTTGCTTCTTTCTGAGCAGCTTCGGCGTTTTGCATGAACTTCATAGCGAATAATTTGGAATGAGGACCCTTGTCTTCGCCTTCAGGCCCTTCTGCCTCCAGCGCAGCAAGCTTTTGCTCAAGCTTATTTTTCCGAATTTCCTCAGCATCCTCGGCCCAGGGATCCTCATCATCAGATTCCGAGCTTGATGATTCCAAGTAGGCATCATCTCCACGAGAAACACTCTTTCCTTCAATTCGTTTCCGTAGCTCCTCCTCTCTCAGCGCGAGATCAGCAGCACCGTTACGCGCATCCTCGTCCCAAGCGGTGCGTCCGGTCTCCTTCAGGCTCTTGGCCCACTTGCTCTCGCGGTGCTTAGAGCCCATACGAGCTTCGGCTCTCTTGCGCTCGTTCTGCTCTCGCTCGGCTTCATCCATATCGACACCGGATTCCAAGAGTGCTTGGCGTTCCTGCTGCTCAAGCTTCTCGCGTTCCTTTCGGTGCACACGACGATAAGCCTTGCTCTTGATCTTCTTGATTCGTTTGGAGCGAACTTCCTCACGGAACAGCAGATCACGCCGCTTCCGTAGCTCAGCTTGTCGGGCGCGGATCTCTTCAATAGGCAAAGAACGAGACTGGAGCTCTTCGAAGTTTTGAAACTGGTCCTCCGCGGACTTGCCGTCGGCAAGGCCACTCTCCGCCAAGATGTTCTGAATCGTGCTTTCGAGGTCGGTAGTAGGCTTGGCGACATCCATGCGGTGAACTTGTTCGCCATCGGGGTTGGGCAGAGGGAATACGAGATGCTCGGCTCTGCGGTTGGCCTTGACGGTGTCCAGCCATCGGTCAAGGGTTTCTTTACTCTTTTCGTAGGCGGCGGCACGGTCGATTTTATCTTGTTGGCGCTTTGCCAATGGGGCGTCTAGCTTGCCTGGGATGCCCGACTTCGAGGCTTGAGGTGTGGCGTCAACGTGCTTGAGCGAGCTTTTGAGACGAGAATCCGTAATTGAAGGAAGAAGGTCGGCAACAGTCAATTTCTGAGACGCTGTTAAACCGTACTCAGTTGGGTTGCTCTGCTCCTGTGTTCTTTTGGTCCTTGTAGATTTGTTGGTCCCCATTGACTGGACGAAATCCTGTAGTTTGGCCAGGCCGTCCTGTTGGGCGTCGTCGTCGGATACAGACATATCGGAGTCGTCCTCGCTGGGATCACTCTCGCTATCGCCTTCAGAACCCGAATCCTCATCGCTGTCAGCGCCAGCAGCGGCTTTCTTCGCCCTGGTAGCAGCTTCTTTGGCCTCTGACTGTTCTTCAGCGGTATTCATATCCCAAGCTGTAAGTAGATCCACAGCATCTTCTCCTAGGTCGTCCTCGTCATCCTCGTCAGAGTTATTATCCTCGGACTCGTCCATGTCCTCAGACAGAGTGATCTCTGGGCGCTTTTTCGGTGGGGCTTTCTTCTTGGACTTGTTTGAAGCACTTCCACGGAATGTGAAACCCTCAAACCGCTCTTCGTCGCTGGATCCCAGAGCCTCGTCACTGTCTAGCTCTTCATCGTCGTCACTGTCGACTTGTCCCAACTTCCATTCGTGACCTTCGCTATCGCTGCCACCATCGGCACTGTCATATTCAGCTCCGGTTCTGCGGCGTTTGTGAATTGGTCCTTGCTCGTCGTTGTCATCTTCATCGTCATCGTTATCGCGAGCGGAGTGTCTTTTGCGTAAATTTTTGTCGTCGGAGACACCAAGACGACTCCGACGGATACCCAATCTGGTTTTGGTATCTGCCTCAGCGATAGCTAGAGCATCTTGAGCTCGGCTGGCCTGGCGTCTCTGCGCAGGTTTTTGCGCAGTGTGGTCTTGCGGCGCACGCTTCTGGGTTTGCCTGCGCGGCATGGCGACGGTATGAAAAAAGAACGCAAGGATTCAATAAGCGGGAAGAAAAGAGTAATGACAATCTCTTCCACGATCAACTCCAAGCGACCTTGTTGTTGTTGTTGCGGTGTGGAGGGGTTTCGGGCAGGTCAACTTTTTTGCTGGAAAAAAAAAGTTCTCGGCGCGGCGAAGAGCGGGTCCGACCGCCCGAACATTTCGCTCTCTTCTCAGGCACGCCGCACGACTACCGTCACTACGAGATATCTCCCAGCTCCTCTCCCTGCCCTCCATCGCCAACATGTTCAAACCCTCCAACCCTATGATGGCCCGCCTGCGCTTCACGACTAAGCAGGTCAATGGAGGATTCTACAAGGGTAACCGGACCGGCGCAATGGGTCACTTCGACAGGAAAGGCAACTACGTGATCGACTGGCACAAAGTCCGCACCTATGCCGCCCCGGAGGACATGGGGGATTTCAAGGTGGGTGACCCTGATTGTCCTTCTCAATATATATCTGAGGGGAATGGATAAGAGAGCATCGGGATGCTAATATTGTTGTAGCTCACACCTTTTGTCACCAAGGTCGCCGAGCCCAAGCGCAGCAAGTACACCAAGGATGTCGAGAAACACGGGCGCACAGTCACCATGAACGACAGCCTTAAGGGCCAAGACTTCCTCAACATCTGGGGCGAGCGCAATGGCGAGGAAATTATGCAGCGCGAGGTTGAAGAGTACAAGAGCCAGCGGTAATGAATGGCTTCCGGGGAACCACCCGATATTTGGCTCGATGGCCTCAACCAGGCCATAACTGAATTGGATGTGAGTACCTGCGCTCTGATAACTGTTTCATTCTCCCGGTCTTTCGGTTTGCTGACCAGGGGACCTCTCAGGCGTTCGGCAATGCGTATTGTCTACCACCTTTCTATCGCTATCCGCCTCCTTGATATACCTTTCTACCGCTACGCTGGCCGATCGCATCCTCTATGTATTATATGTACAGAATTATTGATTGAAAAAGGGGCCCAGTCTATACCTACCGATATTGAAACTACCTATGGTCGCATGATGGAAGTGTGGAGAATCCAAACGTGCAAGCTGTGTTGATCTGGGCCCTGGGGAAGAATAGTTGGAAATGAGAGAGAGAAGAGAAGAGAAGAGACCTGCTCTGTTAAAGTCTATAGAACGACTATTGTTTGCAATAATCAGCATAACATTTACCACCATTACTTCGTACAGCGTAAGACTCAACTCCGTTAGCGAGTGGCAATAGCGTGGTACTAGTGCGTCTCACGCCAGAAACCGCGATTTCCGTCCCGAAGTGCGTGTGCCGTGCACCCAAGGCGGAGCCCGATAAGGTATTCATGCGCATATCGGGAGTCGGAACACCGTCTGGATATGTCATAGTTCTTCAACGCTCACTTCCGCAGCACGGCGGTATGAGCTTGCTTCTCTTTCATTCTTTCCAAGGTTGCTTCTGCAGCGATACACTTGCGCATAGACCTCTATCTCACTTGAAGTTCTAGTTCTCGCCCTCCCCCCCCCGGGCGGAGAGGAACCCCACACCATGTTCCAGTCCTTCACCGGCAGCTCTCGTCGTCCGCGGCAGGTGAACCTCAGTGGCCGCTCCAACAATCCTTTCGCTGCATTCCCCGGTGGCTCACCGGCACGATCGACCCCTCATGCATCGAATCCTCAAAGTGCCGTCGCCATTGCACAGCAAGAGCGTATGCAACGGCAACGGGAGAGGGAGAAACAGAATGCGTCTCGCGTGATCCAGAGAACCTGGCGGGGCTACCGCAGCAAGTCAGGAACACATCGGCTATGGAGATCAGAGTGGGATAACAATGAGCGGCAAATGACGGATGCCATGGACTTGACGGTCGGTGTTGAATCTTCCGCCGATGATGCGGCATTCTCGTCCCGTCGCTCGACACCCTACGCTACGGGGGACCAATGTTTGTCCCAGCTCAGGCTGCTGGTGCAATTTGTGTCATCCCGGAAGCGTGATGACATCTTACGCTTGGTATACTTCGTCGATGCCTTCGAACAGACGTTCAGGACACTTCCTACGATCGCCGCAGAGGGGGAATGGACAAAACTGCTCAAGCGCTTGGCAATGGCGGTTCTCAGAGTCCTGAGCTCGGCGTCAAGATCTCACGTCCCAATAACTGCGATTGAACCTTTGATTAAATCGGTCATGTTCCTGTCCGGCCTAATACCGAAACAAATGGCAAACATTGCACGTTCTTATTACGAGGCGATGGCATACCTGACCAAGAACCTGTCTAAGTTGCACCTTGAACGACAACAAGCAGACTCCGTTCAAACAAACGAAGGTGTTAGTCCTGAACTCCTCCAGGAGGCGATCCTCGCTCTTTTACGTCCGATAACTTCGGAGACAATGTCCGTATATGAATCATTCGCGACCTCATACCTCACAATCCAAGACCTCGAGATTTATCTGGGGAAGCTGGATGGGCTGGCTAGTCAGATGAACTATAGGATGCTGGCCTTGGCTGTCTCAGCATGCCTTGCGGAAACCACACCAACACCTCGCGCCCTAAACGATACAAAATCTCGCACCTGGTTGCTGTCCTATCTCATCTTTTTCCAACGACATGCCCTTGGCACGCACGCAAATACCCATACCCCAGAGCTGGAATTTGTGACTGTGGTGTCGGAGTTGCTCACCTCAACAGCCACTTTCCTAATGCAGGGCCTGGAAGTCGAAGACCCAAGTGAAGTGGACTTGCCTAAAGGTGTCCGTCCTTTGCATCCATTTATCAAAGAGCAAGTGAGCAGTCTTGTCAATCAAAGCAGCGTGACTGGGCTTCTATCCCGCATTCGCTCCCCTCGTCAGTCGCAAACGGGCTTGATAACCCCATCGGACGAGTCAAAGAAGGCACGAGTGCTTGCCACATATGCACTGAATTTGCTCAGAATATTCCCACGACGCGGTGATGATATTCGAATGTGGCTTTATCTGGGCTCTGCTCCGTCCGGAGAGCAAGTGCCTGGCCAGTTGGACGCAAAGATTCCAGCCATAAAATTCTTCTGGCAGGCCTCTAGATCGAGCCGGATCTTCCAGGTGATCAGCAGTGACTCGAACAAAGTACTTCCTCTACTGCTGTTAAGAGAACAGGCAATAGAATCCTTTGACATGCCCCAAGACCAGAGAGATCAAGAGTGGACAACTATCCTGCTTTTCCTTGAACTCTACACTTTTGTATTGAAAGTCATGGACGATGATGAATTTTTCTCTAGCACCTCCTCTTTCACCTCGTCTGATAATACGAAGATTTCTTGGACGAGGGAAAGTGCCTTGCCACTGAAAGATGTCGGGGACATGACGATATTCCTGAAAAACCTCGCCTTCACTCTTTACTGGAATGCAGTGGACCTAAGCGAACCAGAGCTTCGACCAACAGCTGTCAACCTCAGTAGCTATTTCAACAGCGTTTCGCAAACACCCGGCTCCTCTGCCCCCGTGCCGAATGCCGAGGATCTTGAATCTAAAGGACAGAATAACTATCTACCCGGAGTTACTGGGATCCCATTGGAGTATTTCAAGGGTCTTGTTACGGGATTGCTTCGGATGTTACATGAAAGAGAGTAAGTTGAATTCCCTAAATCTGTCATAAAAAACAGGCCGATACTAAACAACGACTCAAATCTAGTTCACGACGGAATTTCCTCCCCCCAGATCACTGGCTTATGACCAGCCGATTCGATATGGAGGGTTTCATTCCTGCTGTTGTCGGTGAAGAGGAGAGACGACATGAAGTCCAAGCTCGGATGGAAGACCCAGACGAAGCCGACGCGGTAGATGATGGAACGAACACACCATATGGTCTCGCCGGGGCTGGCCATGCCCAGCAAACCATCCGACTGGAATCCCTGCGGCGTCATCAGCAACGAGTAGCTCGAGGCAGAGTCCTTGCGGCTATCGCACCAAGACTTGAAATCCTGCGAAACATGCCTTTCTTCATTCCGTTTGCCACCCGCGTTCAGATTTTCCGCCAATTCATCTATCACGACCAACATCGCCGCCGACACGGATTTGTCGAGCCCGACTCGTGGCGTGCATCTATCGCGCAAGCCACTATGGGGCAAATGTCGTCTAATGGCCATCCAACGTTCCAGGAGATCTTGGCTCGCCATCAGGCAGAAATTCGGAGAGAGCATGTATTCGATGATGCGCTGTCCCAGTTCTACCAACTGGGCGACGGCCTCAAGGAGCCGATCCAAATCAGCTTCATCGATAAATTCGGGGCCATGGAGGCGGGCATTGATGGTGGTGGAGTCACCAAAGAATTCCTGACAAGCATTACCACAGAGGCATTCAAGACTGAGAGCGCCTTGGACATGTTTTCTGAAAATGACCAGCACTTGCTGTACCCGAATCCGACGGCCGTCGCACAATGTATCGAGGAATACAACGACAAGTGCAGAAAGAGCGGGATGCCCGAATCGAGTTCCGAAAGCTCGGGACACGTTCGTGAATTGCTGCGTCGATATGAGTTCCTTGGCCGAGTAATTGGAAAGTGTCTATATGAAGGAATCCTCATCGATGTGAACTTTGCACCCTTTTTCTTGTTGAAGTGGGCTTTGACGGGGGGTACGGGGTCAGCCATGAGAGAGTCGTCATACCGGGCCAATTTGAACGATCTCAAGGACCTGGACCGAGGTTTGTACCAAGGACTGGTAAGTGCTGAGAATGGTGTAGTTTGTTTAAGAGTAGAGTGAAGATGACTGACGAGCCTCTACAGTTGCAATTGAAGAACTATACTGGAGACGTGGAGGACTTCTCGTTGGACTTTACCGTTACCGACACGATCCCAATGTCTGATTCTCCGAATCGAACGGTGACGAAGGATCTGCGGTACAATGGCTCGCAGATACCCGTGACAAACCAGAACCGTCTGGTATACATATCCTACATTGCTCGATACCGTCTCCAGGTGCAACCTTCGATGCAGACCAACGCCTTTTTACAAGGCCTGGGCCAAATCATCCAGCCAGCCTGGCTATCCATGTTCAACCAGGCCGAGCTGCAGACGTTAGTGGGTGGCGAGACTGGTGATATTAACGTGGAGGATCTGCGGAAGAACACCCAGTATGGTGGGGTGTACGTGATTGGCGATGACAATGAGGAACACCCGACGATCAAGCTGTTCTGGAAGGTGATGCACGAAATGAACAACCAGGAACGGCAGAAGGTTGTGCGATTTGTGACCTCGACACCTCGTGCACCGCTGCTCGGGTTCAGCCACTTGCGTCCTCGTTTTAGTATTCGGGACTCTACTGATGATGAGGAGCGATTGCCGAGTACTAGTACGTGTGTGAATCTGTTGAAACTTCCACGGTATTCAACAGCGGATGGGCTACGAAAGAAGCTGTTGTACGCGGTGAGCTCGGGAGCTGGTTTCGATTTGAGTTAGCTGTAGCGCAATATCAGGTCTTACTATTTACCTTGTACATCTTTCCAGCAAATAGCGGGATGTTCATTGGTGGGATGTCGAGGGTGGAATGGAATGTGGTCGCTAAGGTGTTGCTCCTGTATAGTATGCCTTTGTAGTAACATTCAATTCAATTCTCACGGAGTATACTAGTAGAGTACTGGTATAGATGAATGTGATGCGCCTCTCATACCTAACGACACTACTACTACCAGTACCATGGTACTCACTCTGGTGCACGTGAACCCCACGCCCTTAAAGCAGCCTGCCCACCTTCCCCATTTGGCCTAGTCCCCCTCTCTTTCTCCTCTGAGTTTTCCAGAAAGGCCTTTCGCGGGTCAACTTTTTTTTCTTTCTGAAACCACCCAACTCTCTCTCTCTCTCTCTCTCTCTCTCTCCTTAGGGAATCCTTTTTTTTTACTTTCGACCATCTCGAAAGCTATTTAAAAAATCCTCAAAAAAACCCGAAAAACCCCCCAGAAAAAACTTCGGTTATCTTATCTTCATCCCCTCCCCATTGTGCGGTGTGCGGAAGATTTCCCTTAAACCGCCTCACTTTTCAAGGTTGGTCGCGTCCCTCGAATTTCTCGCCTCCCTTTCTCTACCCTTACTTCTCGAACCACTGCCTTGGTTCTCATTGCTCTGTACTGTCCTGTCCTGTACTGTTTGGATCCCTCCCATCGATTGCAGCTACCATCTTGGTATATCTGAAATCAGTGCAATCCCCCCCCTCCCCTCCCAAACAGCCCTTTGTTGCGTGGTCATCTGTGTTGTATGGCTCATCATCCCCTTTGACACGTTCCCACCCCTCGCTGGCTTTGATCAAAGCACCCATGGTCCTCGCCAAAGAGGCCGCATGGAATGCGGTGTAACATTGCCGAATAGCCCATTTTCATTCTACACTTATTCCCCACAGCTAAACACCTCGCGAGAGTCCTCTGCTAATACCTCACAAATTCAGAAAAGAAAAAAAAAAAGTCAGCCCGTCATCATGTCCGCCGACGCTGCCACCACCCCCACCGCCACTGACAGCAATGTCAACGGCTCCCCCGCCGCTGAGGCCAACGGTGCTGCCCCGGCTGCTGTTTCCCCCGAGACCGCCGCCGAGGCCGCTGCTGCCAACAACCAACCCCACTCAGCTTCTCTCTACGTCGGCGAACTTGATCCTTCCGTGACCGAGGCCATGCTGTACGAGCTCTTCTCCTCCATCGGCCAGGTCGCCTCCATCCGTGTCTGCCGTGACGCCGTCACCCGTCGCTCTCTCGGATACGCCTACGTCAACTACAACAACACCGCTGATGGTGAGCGTGCTCTTGAGGACCTGAACTACACCCTCATCAAGGGCAAGCCCTGCCGTATCATGTGGTCCCAGCGTGACCCTGCTCTGCGCAAGACTGGCCAGGGCAATGTTTTCATTAAGAACCTGGACAACGCCATCGACAACAAGGCTCTTCACGACACCTTCGCTGCCTTCGGTAACATTCTGTCCTGCAAGGTCGCCCAGGATGAGTTCGCCAACTCCAAGGGCTACGGTTTCGTCCACTACGAGACCGCCGAGGCTGCCAACAACGCCATCAAGCACGTCAACGGTATGCTTCTGAACGACAAGAAGGTTTTCGTCGGCCACCACATCTCCAAGAAGGACCGCCAGAGCAAGTTCGAGGAGATGAAGGCCAACTACACCAACATCTACGTCAAGAACCTTGACACCGAGACCCCCGACGAGGAGTTCCGCATCATGTTTGAGGCGTTCGGTGAGATCACCTCTGCCACCCTCAGCCACGACCAGGACGGCAAGAGCCGTGGCTTCGGTTTCGTCAACTACTCCACCCACGAGAGCGCGCAGGCCGCCGTCGAGGAGATGAACGAGAAGGACATCAAGGGCCAGAAGCTCTACGTTGGCCGTGCTCAGAAGAAGCACGAGCGTGAGGAGGAGCTCCGCAAGCAATACGAGGCTGCTCGCCTCGAGAAGGCCTCCAAGTACCAGGGTGTCAACCTGTACGTCAAGAACCTGACTGATGATGTCAACGACGACAAGCTTCGTGACCTCTTCGCCCCCTACGGTACTATCACCTCCGCCAAGGTCATGCGTGACTCCCTGACCGAGGGCTCTCCTTCTCCTGAGGAGAAGGAGGGTGAGACCTCTGAGGAGACCTCCGAGAAGACTGAGGAGAAGGCCGAGGAGAAGGCCGAGGAGAAGAAGGAGGAGGAAGTTAAGGAGGAGAAGAAGGAAGACGAGGAGAAGACCGAGGAGAAGACCGAGGAGAAGAAGGAGGGTGAGGAGGGCGAGGAGGAGCAGGAGGACGACAAGTCCGAGAAGAAGCTCCTCGGAAAGAGCAAGGGCTTCGGTTTCGTTTGCTTCAGCAGTCCCGATGAGGCCTCCAAGGCTGTCACCGAGATGAACCAGCGCATGGTCAATGGCAAGCCCCTCTACGTTGCTCTTGCCCAGCGCAAGGATGTCCGCCGCAGCCAGCTCGAGGCTAGCATCCAGGCCCGCAACACCATCCGCCAGCAGCAGGCCGCTGCCGCTGCCGGTATGCCCCAGCCTTACATGCAGCCCGCTGTCTTCTACGGCCCCGGCCAGCAAGGATTTATCCCCGGCGGTCAGCGCGGTGGTATGCCCTTCCCTCCCCAGCCCGGTATGGTCATGGCTGGCATGCCTGGTGGACGTCCCGGCCAGTACCCCGGTGGCTTCCCTCAGCAAGGTGGCCGCGGTATGGGCCCCAACCAGCAGCTTCCCCCCAACTTCCAGGGTATGCCCATGGGCATGCAAGTCCCCGGTGGTATGCCTAACGGTATGGGCTACCCCATGCAGGCTCAGTTCGGCCGTGGTGCCGGTGGCCGTGGCCAGGTTCCTGGTATGCCTATGGGCCAGGGCATGCGTGGCGGTCCCGGATATGGCCGTGGTGGTCCTCAGGGTATGGGCCGTGGCCAGGGTCGCGGTCAGCCCGCCCCCGCCGGTCAGCCCGGTCAGGCCGAGTCTGCCTCTACCAATCCCGCCATCCTCGCCGCTCCCCCTCAGCAGCAGAAGCAGATGCTCGGTGAAGCTCTCTACCCCAAGATCCAGGCTCAGCAGCCCGAGCTTGCCGGTAAGATCACTGGTATGCTTCTGGAGATGGATAACGCTGAGCTGCTTGGCCTGTAAGTTTCTTTCCCCTCAACATTCCTAACCTGCAACCAAGAACTGGTGTGCTAATGCTTTTCTCTACTAGGCTTGATGACGAGGATGCTCTCCGCGCTAAGGTTGACGAGGCTCTCAATGTCTATGATGAGTATATGAAGAACAAGGGTACCGAGGGTGAGGCTCCCGCCGAGTCGAAGCCCCAGGAGGCCGCCAAGGAGGCTTCCTCGGAGGAGAACAAGTCTTAATGACGTGTCTCAATCAGACGCTTCGGAGATGTGGTAGACCCAACAATGGTCGACACTTTCCTTCGCTCGGAACCTCTTGGACGCACGTTTTGATGACCTTTCATTTTTTCTCATTTTTCCTTTCTACTGTTGAACCTTTCTCGCTCTGCTCCTCTTTCCCTCCGATCTCGATATCCCTCGGTTTGAAAAGTTTTCTTGTCTTAGGCAGTGTCACCTACTGGTGGTTTAGTGAACGCGGCACGACTTCGATTTAATCTCTCCTGCCTCTCCTATCGTACACCCCCCCCCTTCAGATCCAAACCTCCTGTCTCCTGCCTTGAGACTTTTTCTCAAGGGATACGTTTGTCTGCAGAGACGAGGTCGGTAAAAGTTTTTTCTTTGGGCGCTGGATGTGGGTTTGTTAAGATCTACCTTTTTTTCTCCTTTTTTTTTTTTCTTTGGGAGGGAGTTGTGACGTCTTTCTCTTCCTGTCCCCCTGAAATTTGTGTTTCACGTTATCTTCCTCCCTAGTATTTCCCCATATTTTCTTACCTTGTAACATAGAGATATGTCTTCCTCGCGGAAGGGCCTCGTGTGTCCCTCTTACTGCCCCGGACCTAGGAGTGCAGTGCCGTGAACCTAATGGGATGGCCGAGTGCCTGATTTGCTTTTACTTTATTGCTTCTCATAATCATTTCCACTATGTAGCCTCATGTTTTGCTTCAAGTTTCAACTCGGACCTCTACTGAACATTAACTCTTAGAATTTGAGGTTGTGTTCGCGGTGGCACCGCCGTACTAGTAGTACCATGACTAAGCATTCCAACCTCCTCAGTTGAAGCCGAGGGTAAGGAACTCTTGCAACTCTCCAAGTAAAAAGCTCATGAGATTTCCAAGTCTCTAGCTGCTAGCTAGGGCGAGATGCTCAGCTCACAATGGACCCGCCAGAGTACATGCCCGGAACCTCCGAGATTGGTTCCATAACAGCCAACTCCAATGAGGACAGCCAGTTCGTCGGCTCCTCCAGCGGCGTTTACTTCGTCAACACCGTCAGACGTGCATTTTCCACGGGTCAAGATACACAAGGATCACCGGAAACGGAGTTTCCACCAGCAGAGGATACCCTAGTCGGCGCAGAAGACTCGCCTCAGCAGAACCGACATCATACCGCGTCTTCGAGCACAGACTCAACCTCCCCTCAAGGGGTGAGAGAAGACCACGCATACTGGAGATATGATCCAACCATTGCTTCGGCTTTGGGCCAAGCTCCGCCCCTTGAGCTGTCCAAAGAACTCATGATGATGTATTTCAAAGTCTGGCATCCTCTCTTCCCATTTTTGCACGGCCCCACCTTTTTGCAGGCCATGGAGGGGTTATATTCCCCTGAGGCACCAGATCAGCCAGCCCAGGACACCATATCATCAGACCATAGGAGCTTGTGTTGGACAGTAATTTTCCAATGCATCTTCAACCTCGGAAACCTACTCCGCCCGGACATCGAGCTCCCGGCTGAATGCCGAATTCAGTCTCCAACTAACATGACCTCGTTGCTTGCGGTCCTGGCAACTCGACACGATATCGCTTCATTGCAAGCACTACTCTCTGTGCAAGTCTACCTTATTGCGACCATGTCCCTTAGACTGGCATCCACCTTCGGCGGATGTGTCTTACGTTCTGTTCTTCATGCAGGTCTGCATCGATGTCCATTCCGGTATACACAACTCTCGTCCCATGATAGGCAGTTGAGGAAGCGCATATTTTGGTGCGCATATGCTATCGATCGCTACTTGAGTCAAGCTCTGGGTCTACCGCTCGGGATACAAGACTCAGATATCGATGTTTGTCTACCTGCTGCGTCTGAAATCCACACGCCAAGACGACGATATATGGGCTCGAAGGCGAACGAAGATCTACAGAGCGTGGCACATACTCCGGTCGATAATTCTGAAAATGGAAAGGAACCTGTGCCCTCTCGCCCTAGTGAAAATCGGCCAAGAAGTGCCTCAGAAGCAGAGAATCGCAGGAAAGAAACAGTCTTGGCTAGCTATGTCGACTCTGGAACACTGACGGGACGAGCATTGGAGATTTTCCATAAGTCTATCCTCGTCCGGTCCGTTCGCCGAAGCTCAATTCTTTTCCTCGTGACAGATGTGCACAAGTGGTGGAATAGTCTGCCACTCGAGCTTCAGGGGAAGATACCAGGAAACCCCGTTGACACAGATAGCCCGTTTGACTTTGGTCCATTCTTCACGGTGCTATACCAGCATCTTATTCTCATCATTCATCGGCCGTCATTATCGTCGGACCCGACCACGGCAGAATTCTGCTCGGGCCTGCAAACATGCATTGGCGCAGCCAGGGCTATCCTCGCCGCATTGAAAAGCCAGGTAGATAGCAGACAGGCATTGTTTTGGCCTGGCTTCTTATCCGCGGCATGGATGTCGGGCTTAGTCTTGGCTTTCGCTTGCCAGCTTAATCAATACGTTATCGCGAAAGGTCTTCAGGAAATTGATGCGTGCTCGGGGTTTCTAAATCGGATGTCTTTCCAATGGGAGACGGCTAGACACTGCCAGCTCGCACTCTCCGTTCTAGCTGCCAAAATTCGACAAGTTCAGAATGACCCTGATGCCGCAGCAAAAGCCCATTCTTACACATTAAGAAGGAGAGGCGAGGAAGAAGCTTTGGATCCCGCGGAGCAGCGAGAGCAGAAAAGAGCAAAGCTCAACAGGCGTTCGAGCGAGCCGCATAGCCCTCGTGGAATATCGGATGATGCGTTGGTGCGAAGACATGCGTCGCAATCCGACGTATCTTATCCACCAGCAATGGCAGGCCTTGGATATAACAATGCCATGGGTTTACAACCCGGACAGGATTTTGTACAAAGGCATTTCCAACCCGTGAATCTCAATGGGGAACCGACTCTAGCAGACACGCCTTCTTCCTTGGCACTCGATTTCCACCGAACAGATACCAGCCAGCTACAAGGTGGTCTGAATTTCGATCTTAATATGGTTGACCTGCTTCAAGGGGCGAATTTTGATTCTTTATTCGATATAATTGGACAGCAGTATCCCAGCTTCTAGGCTCTCTGCTTATAGTTTCTACAATACAAAATGGAAGATGATTACGGTCTACCACATGCGGAATATCGAAACGAAGGTTGATGGAAGAGTTCAAGTTACGCTAATGTGTAGTTTAGTCAATTGCTTTCGTGAGAAATAATGTATATTGGTATGAAGGTGAAGTGGCGTGCATACTAACTAGTCATAATGAAGATTACGTCGTGAGGCTGCGGTTTTGCGTACCGGCCAATGCCCTCAGCAGAGCTTCAATATATCAAAGCATACCAAAAAAAATCGTACAATAATATGACCGATCAAGTCTTATCCTCTCCCTCTTTGAGAGGAGGAAAAAGATCTACCCGGCGGAAAGGCGGCCCCTGGCGGGCGTACTCCTTAATGAATGTCGCAATAATACTCTCCGCCGTAGAGAGGAGTTCGTCAAGGTCGTTGTCTAGGCTAATGACTAAAAGGGGATATCTATAAGCTGTATATCCAGGGTCGATCGGGGTCCAGGTAACGGGGAGCCGGTCTTTGATGTCGATGCGCATTTTCTTGAGCAGCTGCATATCCGTCATCCAGCGGTCTGCTTCGGTGAAGTATACGACGACCCAGTACATTATCGGGTCGAAACTTTCTTGCGAAGACGAAGCCATGAAGCTGGCAGGGGTTGATGGTGTGCGACTATTCGACATTAGTAGTGGGAGGAGTAAGCTGAGTTAGCTGTTTGCTCTTTACTTGAATCTCAGGCCTGCTGTGTAATTTCTATTTTGAGGGGAGTCGAGGGGTCTTATATAGCTGGTCGAGGCGGGCATTGGCTAGAGATGCCCTTTGTGCTTTGTTTTGACACATGACAATGGTAGCTCGATCTTATTGTTGAAACTATTTGTATGAATAGTCTTTGTTTGCCAGTCAATGTTAGAAATTGAAAAAAAGGGCAGGGGGTTCGTTATCCTAGACAATGAAGCTTTGGTGGAGCTGATGAGCGATTCCTGAGCTTGCATAATTGTATTACTAGGAGATTAAAAATGAGGTGGGACTGAGATTTCCCATCTGTTACCAAGTTTTAGCAAATGTTCGCGGGTAATAATGCTTTTCTCACCATTAAAACTGTTTGGCGAAAAAGATACATACCTTACTCTACGTGATGGAGAGATGAAGTGGTATTATTGGTGATTTCTGCATAGAGAGGATGTGGGATAAGGGTTAATCTAGTAAACACCTACAGGTGGAAATCACAGCTCTTTTATTATTAGCCTGGCCTTTGATAAAAAATCAATTGCATGGTTAATAGTTTTAATTATTATCTCCTTATATCTCCCTGGTATCAGGTAGAATAAGAAGGCCCATTGATACCTAGCAGTATATTAGCATTAGCTCATATAGAGAATACGTTAGCAAAAATATTTGTTTTATTGTCCTTAAAACAATACTGGCTTGCGGAGATTGATATCAATTTGAGCAAGAGGAACTAAAAGACACGATACACATCCAATTCGATTAATATACCTACCGAAGTCACATACCAAAAACGTTCTGATGAGTAAAAGGTAGACCATGAGTAACAATCCTTGGAACCATATCCTTCACAAGTTGCTCTGCCTTATCATAGGCCTCATTCTCCATGTTATAGACATCATTGACAATAACCATCATGGTGTGAGACAAGTGTCTCCATGGGGGTCTTTCGTGGACCGGGCCTGTGAGTATTGCTCGCTTTTCCTTAATTGCCCTTAGCATAATTCTCAAAATGGCTATATTGCTCTTGTTTTTATCTGAAGCATCGAACTCAATCGTAACCCAGTAAACGAGTGGAAAGCAATATTTGGGCATCTTGTTTATAGATGATGATATGATTTCCTAGATATGACTCGAGTGTATTGGACTCGATATGAGGAGAGCAGAGAAATGTTTTATATAGTACCAGTGGACCTCGGGAAGAGTGAGCTTCCAAGGTTTTCAACAAGGAAACATTTTATATATCAAAGAAAGGGTACTGAAACCGCTTCTTTAAGTATCTTAGAGATAATTATGGGCGTTCTTTGTCTGATGTTTTTGCTCAGGCTCTTTGTTTACGATTGTTAGTTCTGGCCGTCTTGAGTGAATACCACGTCCCAGAAGATAGGACTTCAGTAAATTATTTATGTGATGAAAATGGTTAATATCCCATTCAGGTACAGTAATATTCGAAATCAGATTTACCTCACACTCTTCGACTTTAACTCCCGGGCTATAATTTGAAACACGCTAACCGGATATGGTATATAAGCTGATCCCCTTTGTTCCTAGAATAGAAACTGTATTTTGCATGACGCTGGTGGGACCTTATCATTTGTAAATTAAAGGAATCTGCTATACATACGATACCACTCTACCCCTCTCCTCTCACCTAAGTAACAGGCTTCTTCCCCTCTAATTGAAACACCATATTCAGCTTGTCAGCCACAACTTTCCACTTAAGTCTTCCTCACTTTGATGTACCAAGCTAACGCCAAACCATGTTACTAGGCTCTTCAGTGGTATTTTATGCATTGGAGGGATGACCTACATTCCTTCTGATAATGATGATGTTTCCTGCCGCCCGGATCTATGGGACCGAACTCCCTTGTATGCTCCCTCTCCTGGTTATATTTGGATTTTGAATCCGTACCATCTGTCTACGAGTCACCCAGCCCCAAGGAAACACCTAATGGATGTTCATCCCCCTTGCATCTATCATAGCCCCACGGAGTGAGTGTTCTGCCTGTAGAGTTATGTACATGAAAGTCTCTGAAATGTATCGACCGATATCGTATTCATCTCTTGGGCATAGGTAATTGAAGACGCTGCTCACAAATTGTGATGAACGGAGAGAATATACCCGCTAAAAACAGCTTATGACCCTTCGCATCATGCACAGCGACTGTCGAGCTGGGAAGGCTCTTAGCATCTCTATCCTCCGCCAATTTTGACACTTTGACATTCTTTCCATAAGTCTCCAACTGATTTGCAATGTCATCGATCGCGAGGACAGTAGCAGGGGCAACAACATTGTATGGATCCATGCTAGATTTCACAAGGGCAATTGAATCAGGGAACGCAGCTGCAATAAGGTTGCCATCCGCATCAAGCGACAGGTTATCTATTGGGTACCCGGTATTGATCGATTCAACCTGGATCAATTCGTCATTGACGAGTTTATGAACGGTGATGAGACCAGACGCAGAGTTAGCGACGTAGTAGTAGCCATTCTTGTTGTGGGCTATTCCATTAGCCATAGAGAATCCCTTGTCAGCCGCGATATGGCATTTCCCTGTGTCAGATCGACAGTATGCCAGACTTCCGCCTCCAGACAGCATTTCCAGATCACGCAAGGTTCCAGTCTTGGTGTTGTGGTCGTTTGTGATCACGAATCCCAGACCATTTTCTTCCACTGCCACGCCATTAGGCGTAAAAATCGCCTCGCTGGCCACTGTCTTAACATGCTCAAGCGTGTTCGAGATTTCATCCAGATCAAACATCTCAACAGTAGAATTTGCCCCAACGACCAGAGCATCAAGGAATTCTCCAGTGACATGGTCAACAGGAGGTCTGTAATTGATCAACCAGAACCGAAGCCGACCTTCAATCTTGCGGACATCAAATCCATGCAAGTCAAGATCATCCTGATATCCGCCGATCTTGAGCTGGCGTAGACCGTACAGTCCATCTGAGCCAGGTTGGTCAACATCGATAACAGCGATGTGATCCGTGCGGGATCTCGCGGAGAAGTTGTAGAGGTTGCCTCCAGGCGACCAGCCCTTGCGAGAGTCCAGGCTGTTGCATGCTGCGTACAACTTTCGGGCCTGTTCATCGAGCCACAGGTCTTCACAGCCCTCCAAGAGGGAATGCCGGACGCGTGTACAGGTCTAGGGAAGTCCTCGATTGGTTGGATCTCTCGTCCAATACCGAGGGTGAGGAAGATGAAGTTGTGTATGTATGTTCTGTAAATCACGCCTGTGGCGAGGACGATAAAGGCCCAGAAGATGGCCCGGGGGCCTAGAATTCCAGCCATGTCGAGTTGTAGAGAGGTAGAAGTGGAAGAGCGTTGGAAATTGTAATCAGGTCCAGTGTTGATCCTGCGACCCACTTTTGTCTAGTGCTAATGTGAGACTCTTACAAGGCTGCCAGTGCCTTCGAATCAGGATTTGCGCGCACCAAAGGACGATGGTTTTCGAAGTGGGATATCGAGGTGTCGGCGTATCGAAGTTACAAGTGAAAACATCCCGCAATGTGTCGGTTACTCTGTGTCTGTGTAAAAAACAATACAAGCCCCACTGACAAGTATTCTCCGGAAAAATTCTCAACTGCGAGATTAAATTGTCGTAATTTGGGCTCTGTATCATCTTGACACACGACGGCAGCCCTTGACAGGTCCATGCCAGCTTCTTAGCGGTACCAGCTTTCAATCGACAACGGCGACCAATGAAAATCGCAGTGAATAACAGTAGCCACAGGAAGAAAAAACATATTTGCCTACCAAGGTTCGTTCTCTATGTAGACACTGCAGCCTTCTATTGGATGTCAAAGGAGTGTAAGTGAAGGCTGCTGTCATGAGAAGATCAAAACGTAAGAGACGAAGATGCCTCTTTGTTCGGTCTCTTGGCATCGAAAGATTCAATCAAATTCCTAGTGTAGTGGGGGAATCGCTCTGGTGATATCAGGTGACGTTGTAGGCCTTAGGCCTTACATGCAGTATACAAGCCCTCGATGATAGTTAACTTACACAACACCTTTCGGGTCACCCAATGTTATTTTCGTTATTTCGGATTGCTAGCATTCGAGCAAGGGATCGAATGCTCTGAATGCTGTTTTCTCAGTAGGGCACCGCTTTGTCTACTACTACTCTCTCCTGCACTCTGCGAGTGTGGTGGTTTTGTCCTCTTGTGATCGACCCGTCTGCTTGACAGACTGCCAGCGAGCGTTCCCATCTTACACTAGGCAAATTACGGTATTATAACAACGACCCATTCTTTGCTACCAGGAAATACAATACAGCCTGACAGGGGGCTCTTGGGTAAAAGGCTAAAATTAGACTACGTGTTTTAAGCTAAGGTACGGGAATGAAAGTCCAAGAGTGTAGAGGTAAATCTGATTTCGAATATTACTGTATGCAAATTGACCGCAGAGTTGAGCTTCTCAAAGTTTGAGTCTTAATATCTTGAGCAATGAATCAGCTTAAATAATCTTACTGAACCTTCGAAATAATACTGTGAGCCGAGAAGATGAATTGACTTACGTGCCAAGGTACTATATAACTACAATTGAAAGAGGCTGAAACTACCTACAAGTAGAGCACTACCTAGGTAATATATGCCAATGAATGGATTTTGAAATGTGATATTGGTGATGATTTCCTTAACAACAAAGAAAGTTATTTCGAAAGCCACATCATCTAAAGCTTGTATCGTGAGACTGCGGCTTCTTTGCCGACCAATGTCCTCAGCAGCCCAAAAGATGAAACTGTGCTCTCATTTAGATGCATATTAAGGAGTTTTGCCTGCAGGGCTGACTCAAAGTTTGAATATCTCCCTGCGTGAAAATGGACATCCCACCAGATCAACTGTTTGTAGCCAAGCCTCGACTTTACTAGAGGCTTCTTTATAAATACCGTCTACACCGTGGAATAGCCCGTTAATCTTGATAGAAAAAAAAATAGGATGCATATGCGCCGAGAGAATGACAGGAGATAGTTACTTGTCGACTTTGAATCGAGGTAAGGATCTTATCGAGGAGGTCCCTATCCGATAAGTCACTATCCGAGGGGACGAATTTAAAATTCAGCCAGAGAGCGCCTGTATACTCAGCGGCACCCGCTTCGGAGTCGGTATTCATGATGGCAGTGGATGATGGACCTTTGTTGTGCCTAGTTGTACTAGTAGTATAAGTCGGACTCTTGAGAGAGAAACTCGGATCGTAGGAGCGAAATGTGAAGATTCGCTTGAGGCCCCGGCGGGGATGAATAATGTAGGATGTGAAAGGGAGTAGCTTGCGTCTTTATATACCCCGAAGAGTGAAGAGAAAATAGTACTACTGAAAGTGAGAAACAATACTATATTTAACAAAGCCGCGGAAGCTTGATTGTTCTTCTTTGAATGATGGAATAGCAAAGTGGAAAACAAGGGCTTTGTTCTGGATCAAATAAGCTTGGCCTTGGGCTTGAGACTTCAGTGTTTAGCTTCAGCGGAGGATGAATGGATGTCACTAACTCATGAGACTCGTATAACGTATAAGGAAAGTTTGTATATACGATGGAGATCAGAAATTTCAAGTAAGTGTTAGACAAAAAATCTTCAGGTAAGCAGGATATACAACCAGGGTATAAGAAAAGAGAACGCCAAAAATCCATTAAAGCGAGCATACTGTCCCTCGTTTATACGAAAGTCCTTATTAAAGTTCAGATACCGCTCGGGGCGTAGTATTGCTCAAGAAAATGGTCATCAAGGTAGGGGTTTCCAACTGTATTGATATGTCCAAAGACGTTGTATCCATTCAACTGATCCCAGTCGCCAGCGAACAGTCCCATGACCGTATCGATCGGGGGTTGAGCCTCTGTGATCATATCGTATTTGGAATTGACCGTTGGGTTATTGACAACAGCCATGAAGAGTTGTGTAAGAAAAGTCTTGGTCTTCTGCCCCACTGGGCTGAATTGTGACATCTCCTCGCAAGCATCTATCCCAGTTTGAACTTGATTGCACCAATTTTGATAGTCTGCATGGTCTTCCGATTCCACCGCAATTGCCATTAATGGGATAAGACACGCTTGAAATAGGAACCAGACAGCATTCCAGCAACAGATTTTGTTGGGTCGCCATTCCGCCTGAATGCTAAAAATGGTCTCCATGGCGACTTCCCGGCATTTGGAGACAGCTATCCGCTCGTTGAGAGCAAGATGATCCATTGGAATACTTCTGATGACTGTGTCGAGGAGGATTGGCCTGTGTAATAGAAATCGGATATTGTGATACCTCCACTTGAGAACCACTCGGGCATCCTGAAGGTCGGGTGGACAGATATTGGCTGAGTGTAGGAATGGCGGCAGGTTTTCAAACCATGATAGCAACATCTCATCATAGTGTCGAAGCTCATCATCTGCCATAACTGAATTCACTATTAGGCGATCCTGGATCTGGTTCATGATCTTGCACAGCTCGATGTTATGAATGAGAGGAGAGTTTATCGTGGGCTCCGACATAGGAAGAATACCGCGCTGGACGCAAAATTAGTATACCGTGGCTGCCATGGACAAAGGCAAAATGTTTCCAATTGATGGGTCATACCTTGTCATCGAGAAGGTTATTTGGTAAATCTACCGCAATCCCATGTGTAGTTGAAGGTCTACCCAACGTCACAGAACCCCAGGTATCGAGGACATAAATAGTCCACCAGTTGCGGCGCTTTAGCTCTTCTTGGGGACAAACCTTTCCCTGCATATCGTCAGGGGATTGTAGGTGTAGCCCAAGACCACTTGCAATCCGGTAGCAAGCCCCGATAATTGCAGAAGCCATATTTGGACGATTCCTGAAATGCAGGTACTGGCCTCCCATGAGCAGAAGTGCTTGTAGAGTTTCTAACCGACCACTACCAAAGCTTTCCAGCGACAGATACTGTTGAGCCAAATGGAAGTACTGCAAATCCTCTTCGGAGTCTCCTGCCGAGGAGGTTATGCTTCCGAGTGCGAGGACTATATTCAAAAGCGCAAGCCATGATCGATCAGTAGTTCCTTGATGATTCAGATACCTGCTGCGAAAACTGGGCTCGTGTATGACAGGAGCAAAAACGTGAATTTTCGCAAAATAAGCGTCAATCAATCGTTGTTCCTCACGGTATGAACATATTGGCCCGAGGTTAGAGGTCGTTATTGTTGTCGTTCGCAGATCTTCGAATATTTCAGATTTTGCTCTTTCTGACCCAGGTGGATTCTCTATCCGGGATGGGAGAATTTTTGTTAAAGCCCTGACAGCTGCAGCGACAGATGAAATTCCGACAAATGAAGACTTGGGATCTTTTGATAGAGAAAGTGCATTCACATCGTCTTCCACAGACGTGCAAACTCCTGGCGAATTCTCATCCCATTCAAAAATTGCCGAGTCTTGATACTGTAATTTGTAGAGTCGATCATTGGCATCCGAGTCCGGCACGGATCTCGGCTTGTGTGCAATTGCAACGTCAGGCGATGTGACTGAGGAGCTATAATTGCTTGTGCCTGGAGTGAAGTCACCTTCCAGCCGAGCTTGCTCTAATAAGTTCGCCCGGGAAAGACTTTTGAGTGTCTGTACAGAGGTATTCGGAAAGAGAAGCTTGACAATAGCCTCATAGTCCCCACCAGGGGTAGCGTTCGTTGCCACCTTCTGGCTCCTATCGGAGTTGAAACGTCAGTCGAAGGAAGCGTTTATCAAAATGGTGTGCCATGCTCACTTCCTTCCTCTCCGACGAAATTCAGGGAAAACACATTCCACGTTACAGGCCAGACAGCCCGTACAAGGCTGCGTTCCGACGCACTTGGTTTTGCGTCTGCGGCATTCCACGCATGCTTTAGTAACAATTGAACGACGTCGCTCGGTTGGAGTTTGCACTGAATCACTGTTGCTGACTCCGACGAAGGTATTAAACATCTTTCACAACTTCAAGAAAAGTCCTTGCAAATTTTCTTCTGTTAACTCACCGACTTGCTCTCCAGATAGCACACAATATAGAGAATCCGGGGCCCCGCGTACTGGAAAACCAAACGAATCAAATCTGCCCTAAATGGCCGAGAGTGGATAATACGCATTGACCACGAACTACAAAAGGCTGTCGCTTGCACCGGTCTCATTGGACTGTGCTCACCGGTGGCCCGATTCATATTCCAGAAAGCCTGTCGACCTATGAATTGCGATATAATACAATTTAGCGTGAATATGATACTTGGCTGCATCAAGGGATTAGACCATAGTTCATCGATGCAACCTTTCAAGCCACAATGTCGGTCTAACGGTCGCAGGTAAAATTCGCAGACATAACCTATAAGGCGTCACCGTGTCATCATCTGAAGCTAATACATTTATGGTCTAGCTATCTAGTGTAACTTGATATTTCACAGTCTTGTCTCATAAGGGGAAATGCTCCGGGGCACTATCTAGGGGTCAGACTGTACGCCTGAAACAGAATCGACGGTCAGGGGTATTGTCTGCTAGTGGCGCAGGGGGCTTTGCGGGGCTTACTCTGTTCCAAGGGCGTCTGATCGGCGCTCACATTTTGGGTGAACGGATGGATGGCTTGGACACATGCTCCCCGCCGTATATATATTAACCCGGATTTTGCGGCGATATCGGGACCAACAATCCCGTTGACCGAGTCCTCTGAGATATTCGTCAAAGAGAGGACATGCGGTACAGAGAACTCTCGTGGGATTATCCATATTATGGTAGCACTGGGGACCTCATTAACCCGAATAGAAAGGTTAAAATGCCACCGGTGTGCCGAAGCGAATGGCTCGGCACAGTATTTGATTGCGGGCTCGGGGTAAGTGACAGCCGAATTCCGCCCTTCTCCACTTGGAATACGCAAGTAATATGCCTCACAGTCAGCCTCGTTTGTCTTTCTAGTGACTTGCGTGAATAATTTCTAAAAACGGTCTCAAAACGGTCAAATCACCCGCGCCGGGGCTTCGAGGACGACAACTTCTTGTTCCTTCTGTAAGTATATGATGTTTCTTTTACAAGGGAGAAAATGAAGTCGTTTGTTACAACTATTTTCAGGGAAGCCAACCTCTGGTCAGCTAGCTATCCTTTTCACACATCGATTCAGATTCACGCGAATCGAAAATGCCTCGTTGAGCCTTTCGTTTATCAATAGAAGAAATCCCAATAAAGAATTTTAATCAATTTTCAACTTTGCTACCCCACATGTCTGCACGGCATTCGTGATGGTCGGAGGGGTCCGAGTGACTCGGCAAGCGCCTAGCAGCGCACAGGGCCGCCAATAGCGCCTGGTCCGAGTTTCATGCGTTGCAACGTGAGGACAAACCCTTTTGATCTTTAGACAAAACAAAGTGACAAAAAAGGGATGTAAGCATGCGGTTCATAGAGATAGAAGGGAGGAAAATAATTCTTAGGATAGAGTTTATCTTCTTCGAATTTCCAATATACACCCTAAGGGACTTTTTAATCTCAGCTTCATGATGAAATTCAACCTTCTAGCAGCTTGTTTGGTCCACATAACCCTCGCAGTCCCAAGTAACCAGGAGAAGCGCGATTCTATAAAGCCTGTCGTGAAAGGAACACCACAAGTAGTTGGCATTCTGGCAGACTCTTCTTTGAATCGAGACTCCTGTGGATCTTCTCTGTTTGGAGATCGTGCTTTGTGGGTATGCCGAGACACACAACATTATGATCCGGATGGAATCCCAAATTTGCCGATTTTTACTAGCTCCGCGTCATGGTCGGACTTCGTTACTGGTGGTGGCTCTCAGCTGACCATGTACGGTGATAATCAAGACAAATCTTTCTATCCACTTGTTCCTGGGAACTGTGACGATAACCAGGCTGGGATATGCTCAGACGGAACAAGATATCCGCTGTGGGCCAACGCACCTCCCCTGGTCACCAGCTTGGATTCTAGTGGTACGACTACTGGATATACGTGGATCAGCAACTCCCATATTTCGGGTCTTTCCGACCTTATCCAACACCCATCCGTCGCTCTCTACCGCGTCACCTATACATCTGGGGCTAGTGGACTCCCCAAGGCCGAGTTGGTCAACCAAGCTTTCTGGGCTGAGAACGACATTCCTTTTGGTACATATGGAGGTGTGGTCCAAGATGACATTGTTTATATCTGGGGACAAGCCACGGGGGGGCTCTGTGAATCTCGCACGTGTACCCGTTGCCAGTGTTGAAGATAAGTCCAAGTACGAATTCTATGTGAATGGAGCTTGGACAACAACCAGGCCAGAACTAGACGACGATGCGGCAACGATCGAGAATGCATCTGCCGGCGGTCAGGGAACTTACTACTTTTCCAACCCTTGGAAGTCGTTTGTCTGGATCGGCCAGCCCAGTAACTCAGTCTCGGCGGATTTCTATATCACCACTTCGCCTGCACCAGAAGGACCGTGGACTGAGCCAGTTAAATTCTACTCTGGTGCCAACGGAAATTATTCATTGGGAGCATATACCTTACAGGCGAATCCTGCATTTTCTCTGCCTGACTCCAATGAGATCTACCTCACGTATACAAAGACCGACGCAGTCGGAGATAATGTCGCGTTGTATACCACGCCTCTGATACTCGTGGAATGGGAAAACTGATGGTAATAACCCACCCGAAAGCATAATATTGTGATATTACGCTTTGAATTGATTCTTTAGACAAAAAATCTTGATCGTTATGCACTTAGGGGTCAATTTCTTAGAAATCAAGGCCCCTCGAAGAAAGGGGTGGTGATTGCTTCGGATCCGGACTGGAAATCTCGGATCCGATTCATCACCACCAAAAACAACCACAGGAATTTTCTATAAGAAGCTTTAGTTTGTGGCCTCGATTAGTTCTAAATTAATTCTTCATTCGTGATCAATCATTAATTCCTCAATACAAACGAGCATCTTTTTTTGCAAGTAACACCACAAGTCGCTCATCAACTCAATATGCATATCCTTATCATCGGAGGAAGTGGCCGCACTGGAAAGCTCACTATTTTTGAGCTTCTACGTCAAGGTATGGTTTAACTGAAGCAGGAACCTATAATACTCTTGAGTTTCTTGCTAATACTTTAAATAGGACACCATGTCACAGCATTGGTTCGTAACCCAGTCTCGATGGACGAGTTCCCAGACGTGAATGTAGTCGAAGGTATGAAATTCCGCAATGCTACTGCTTGCACAGAGACAAATGACTAACTCGATTACAGGGACTCCAACAAATATCGAAAACATACGAGATGCCTTCAAAATACAAACACCAGACGCGGTAGTCGTGACTCTTAGTGCCCCAAGAGCCTCTGACAGTCCATTCGCTGCCCCGATCTCTCCACCACGTCTGATGGCTGACAGCAATGCCAATGTAGTATCCGTCATGAAGGAGTTCAAAGTTTTAAAAATCGTTATTCTACAGGCCTTTGGAGTGGGCGCTTCGTGGGATAATATGCCCTGCCTGATGAGGGGACTGATGAGCATGTCCAACATGAGCTACCAATACACCGATCACAACCATACTGACCGTGAAGTCCGCCAAAGTGGTGTTACTTATGTGATGGTGCGACCTTCGCGCTTAGTGGAGAGTGACGCTATGGATTTACGAGAGTGGCCAAATGATGGGAAGGGTGTGCCAATGATGGGGTCTGCAAGCCGGAAGAGTGTTGCTTCTTTTTTGGTTGATACAGCTGCTCAAACAAAGTGGGATAACTCTTGTCCTGTGATCACAAATTGATGCGATGCTCTTGAATAATGTGGAATTGAGGATTAAATACTCATTGGGCGTTCTTTTCTCTTTTTACGGGTCGGCCGCCCTTATGTTCTGTAGTGGTTTTACTTGGAAAAGATCTGAAATTATATCTTATTTTTGAAAACAAAGCCCTTTTATTAAAAATGGAATTTACTAGTAGGTTGCATTTCTAAGCCCTGGAAGCAGAGAATCGATATAAATTGGCAACAAATACCATCGTAAAATGATAAGACCTCGCTTTGTGTTTCCAGATCGACGCTGCGTTCACGTTGCATTTCTTTGAGAGTATCCCGAACGACGCTTACTTAATTGCTCTGAGCGCTCCTCTGGTGTCACGAATCGCGTTCCTGGTGGTAGAATAGATCCAAGCCCGGACAGAGGAACTACTTGAGCAACTATAGCGGGGGGGATTCGATGAGGAAGTTGCATCGTCAGATAAGCCTTGCCAACGCACCATGGCTGTCCCTTCATATAAGCCAGTTGTGTTGATCCAGTTGTAGACACCTGGGTCCTCAAGAGATACCACAAACGTGTAAGTGCCATTGTCGTTAACAGAAGCCTGAATATTATTCAGGCTGACTTGGCTGTATCCTGGCTCAGTCGTGATCATCCAAGGGTCCGTCCAGGGAAAGACAAAATAATCTGCATCGCCTTGGGTAACTGTTGCGACAAGAGCCTCTTGGTCGCCTAGCTTGAAATGGCCGAAGGAGCTAGCCTGGCTCGTCAGGGTGCCCAAGGTGCTAGACTGACTTGGGGCTTTGAGGGTGTTTAATTTGTTGATCATTGTCTTGATGCCCAATGCGCCAACCCCGTAGTCCACGATTGATTCCTGCAAATTCCATCTTGCGGTGCTGATAATTTTCGATTCGCTGATCGGATCCTGTCCCGAGGCATCATCGACCAGCACAACGGAGATGTTGTCTGGTTTTTCAGACTGCCAATCGCCTAAATTGTTTCGCACAAAAAGCTGCTTTCCTGAGGAAGTAGACTGAATGTGATTCTTTGCACCATCTGCAGACGAGCTGTTGATAGTGATTGTGTATGAACCATCGTCCTCAATGACCAAATCAGAACCGGACAGATGTGCCACGGTATTTTGTGAATTTGGGTCGCTGATCAAAGAGAAAGTAACATCTATAGGGCGGGGGTGTGGCGGTATCCTTGAATCACATAATTTAGACTGTCATCGATTGGAATAGTGCGATAGATGCAATCCGGGTTGTCGTATGAGTACCGACCACCAGGAACATCAAGATCAAACCAGCTCCGAGGTCCAGCATCAACCCAGTATGCTTTAGGATGATACGGGTCCGTATTTATGGCCTTTTGGAGAGCACTGAAAGCCAATTCGTCGATTGCTGCGTCGAGACGAGAAGAGGCTGCGTCACTAATCGGAAGCCCATGAGCAGTTTGATATGCGACTTTAGCTTCGGCCTTGAGCACGACAAAATCATATTTCTGATTGAGCTTGATCGCAAGTGCATCCAACTCCTTTTGGTCCGGTGTAGCCAATGGATTGTCGGCAATCACTGCGTTAGCGCAGGTCATGACAACGGTGAGAACCTTCCAGGAGACAGGGAAGTGCTTCATTCTGAAATCCTGACACGCGTAGTAGGAGAGAGTATCAATCAGTGCCGTGATGTGGCTATTCTGAGTCTCGATTTATACCCGATTTTGTACACTCGTAATACGGGCCGTCTCCATCTAAGCGAGGTGATCGTCTTCGATTGTCGATATGGCGCAAGGCAATGGCGGCACCACATGGATAATCTCAATTGGCGCTTCACTTTAAGCGAACTAATTTTTTAAATACTCCGCTTGGCATTTGATGACCTGATTGGTCTTTGCAAAAGCGAGAAGGAGTGATCGCCGCTGTCAGGGATGCATCAGGGGTTCAAAGGCGAAGAGCAAGCCTGTACGAGTAGGAAGCTGCACATGGTAACCTGCACATGGCAACCTCGGTACTGCGTATAAGGTCCGGCGCGAAGAATCAGGTAAGCTTGTAGTGAACCTATCGGAAATTTTTGCCTGGTGATATCATCCGATTAGAATCGCACCATCGCATCAAGTGTCGCTTGCAGTTGTGGATTGTTATTGAAATGGATAGTTACTAGTTTATCCGCCATCCGAGTTGGTTGTCAATTTTGAGAAAATACCATGCGGTGGAAGTTTTGAGGATATTCCCTGGCAGTCTGAACGACCCAGACTCGAACTTTGTTGGGTGGTTGAGGGGGAGTACCTCTGTAAATTGCTTGATGGCTTCAAGTCGCGTCGGTCTGTGCTGGGATCTTCTCTTCACATCGCACAGCAAACACATACCAACTGGCAGCAAACTGGCAACCGACATCCCAACACTCGGGCCTCCACTTGATTAGCGTGACCTGGGCTTCTCACATCCTACATATCTATTGATGGATAGTGATAGTCCACCATCGCGGAAGCGGCCGCGCCCGAGGCCAGTCGTCTCTTGTTTGCGATGTCGGGATAAGAAGCTGAAATGCGACCGGGCTACCCCTTGTCAGAATTGCATCAAGGCAGTCTGCATCGCGGAATGCACATACAGCCAGCATCCCGCGCCAAATCCATCTAATTCTCCCGATCACTCAAATGCCTCACTTCAAAAGCCGAAACCGAAGTCGAAGAGAGTCCACCTCGACATCTCCGAGGAATCCGACCAGCGGGTCCAGCTGGACTCTCCACGGAACATCGGCATCATCGAAGATCTACAGCGTCGCGTGCTTCATCTCGAGGAGCTTGCCGCTGTTCAACCAAATTCGACCGTTTTTGGTCCTCTAAAAGATGCCACTATTCAAAGTCCCTGGTTAGTATCTGCTCTCATTGTCATCAAGCTATCTCTGGTCCTCACGCTGACTATTTCCAAGGCCTCAGGAGAATTCCCCTCTTTCTACTCCTTTCCAAGGAACGTTGGTGATCAAAGGATCTCGTTCCCGCTACCATGGCCAGAATAACAGGATTTCCCTTCTAAACCAAGTGAGTCTACTTAGTGCCTTCGTGGTCGGGCCTTTTCTGACGGCCTCTGCAGTTCCCGGACGCGAAAGCGTTTATCAATCAGTGTGGCACGGACTCAAGCCTCGTCGGATTAGCCAAGGAAGTCCAGTTTCTCCAGAGCAAGTGTCAGATACCAACGGCTTCTCCCGAGTCTCTGTCAGAGTTGGAGTCCTTCCCAGAATTACAATGCCTCCTAGACTCTCTTCCACCTAAACCTCTCTGTGATCACCTGGTGGATGTGTATACAAAGAGCTTCGAAAAGGCCTTGAGGATTGTTCATGTTCCCTCTTTCTTACGACATTACTCTAAACTTTGGGATGAGACATTAGACTTGGAGGCTTCTTCGGCCAAAGATTTCGTTCCTCTCCTCATGGCCGTACTCACCGTCACTGCTGCTGTACTGGCCACACCTCCTTCGACTGGTAATACAGCATCATGGCGCTACTTGAAAGAAACTGCACCTGGTAACATACGCGCCTGGCTAAAGAAGTTGCCACGGAAGCAAAGAACAGAAATTACTACACTTCAAGCCGAGACGCTTCTTTTGCTGTCGTGTCAACTGCATCTCGCAGATGCAGAGGAGCTGTGGAAGACTAGTGGGGAGCTAGTGCGCTCTGCGATGGTTATGGGTCTTCACATTAGTACGGACACCTCTACCGAGATCACTCCTTTTCGAGCAGAATGTCGGAAGCGACTTTGGATCACTATCGCCGAACTGGATCTTCAGATGTCTATCTCCTCCGGGATGCCAGTCATGATTCCAGAACTGGATTTTAAGGCTCTTACCCCGGCCAACCTTAACGACTCAGACTTCGATGAGACAACCACGACTCTCCCTTCTGCACGGGATTTGAGTGAAGAGACCGACTCTTTGTTTCAGATTTATCTTGCTGCATCGTTATCCCAGCGCATCAAAACGATGAACATGGCCCAACATACAAACCCGCAGGATAGCCTGGAGACGCGTTGGAAGCAAAAGCAGACCCTAGAAGAGAGTTTCGAGAAGGCATCTCTTTGTCTGGAACGATCTATTGAACTTGGAGAGCTTGACTCTTCCGGGCGTGCCTTAAATCGCGTTATGTTGAACGTTTTTCTCCATCGGCCTCTCCTTGCTCTTCTGCAACCCGTTGTTACCGCAGGCACCCACAACGAACATCTCTTATTCCCCGAGATTCAACAAACATTCATCAAATCGTCACTTTCTATTCTTTCATATCAGGACTACTTTGATCCGAATATCTCCGGTCTTGGTTTATTTAACTTGTCAGAGGCATCCTGGGAAACTTTCCAAGCGTTATTCCACCAGGACATCCTGAGCGCTGCCCTGAATGTCTGCAAATATATGCGATATCTAGATCAAGCATCGGTGCAGCGAGGTTCGACCAACCACAGATCCACTTCGTTAACATTATCAGGTCAGCCGGTTAGTAGAGTCAGCCTCATACGACTCGTCGAGAACACTCTGGAGACTTTGACACGTCGCATTTCTGAAAGAGGGACGAATGTCAAGGATATTCTATTGCTTTCTGTTGTACTTCAGTCAGCTCGCGGTCGTGGCACGACGACACAGCAAGATCTACTCATGTCACAAGGCGCCAGAAAGGCACTATCGTCCAGCAGACAATATTTGCTTTCTAAGCAGTCAGAAGAAGCGAATCCATTTTCCGTTTCCGATATTGCACAAATGGTATCATCATGTTCATTCCAATTCGAAGCTCGCATGCTTAATTTCTAATAGCCTCATTCCCCTTATATCCCAATGGGACCGTCACACCAGCTGCCATCTGCATCCAACCCTACGCATCTTGCTGATCTATTCGAGCCATCCTCTGCCCTTGCGGCCGAATTCAGTAACTTTGAGAGCGACCTATTTGCGTTAGACGATGGATCATTTTTATGGAATTTATGATGATGCAACAGTGCAAATCAACTGTAGGATGAAACAAATAGACAAATTATATGGATCATCTTCAACCAAAATTGAGCTCTAGATTCCAAATCTATATTTGCAGTATACTAACTCCAGGCTATCCCGAAGAATCATCTTACAGATGGGATCCAGGAATGTCGACTTTGCCTTTGGGCTTGTTATAATACTGTGTCATGTCGTGCTTCAAAACATCCAACCCCTGCGATCATCAGAACAAAAACAGGTCGAATCAGAGACTTATTAAACTTACCAAGGCTAGCTCCTGTGAGAGCTTATTATCATTTTCTGCTTGAATACACAGTTTAAAGAACTCATCATTCTGGCGAGCTTTGTTGGGATCCTGGTCATACAACCGTCGGAAATTTTCTCGCGACATAGGATCGATCGTCTCTTCCCAGATACGTTTGCGGACTTCACTATACTTATCAAGGATGCTTTCGTCTGCAAGTCCTCTGTGGATACCAATCAATGCATCGAAAAGATTACCCACGTCGACAATTCCACCCGTTAAGCCTAGGCCGCCACTGGGTAAAACAAGTCAGCCATATGTCATCTGGGCAATCTATGATGGGAATGTCTCACAAGGGGTTACAGAGATGCGCTGCATCGGCTGCAAGGAGAATTCTCCCGACCCGGAAAGACGGAGCACATCGCTGCTGCAACTTGTAAGGGCTGATGTTCGTGATGCGATATTCGCCAGGCTTCGGATTTCCCGGCAGAATCTCCTCGTATCGCTGAGGCTGTCGCGCGATGTATTCCTCTCTGCTCAGGCCCGGGGTGTCTCCGTATGTGACTCGGTAGAGTCCATCCGTAGTTATCTTCGCTGCCATATAGTAATTTTTCGGGTGCACAATAAAGTTACTGTCCCAATATCCGTAGCGGTCGAAGTCGTAATATACCTAGTTCGACATGATTAGTTAGACGCAACCATTGAGAACGCAGGGACCGCGCCACGAACATTTGTAGCGATAATTTGTGCATTCAGAGTTTCACCGGGATACTCAGGGCCAAACAGCTCACGCCGCACCGTGCTGCTTGCTCCATCACATCCAATGACATAGTCCGCCTCAGATCTTTTCAAACCAGTCTGGGTCTCCACATCGACCCAAGCCTTGCCCTGTTCCTGACCGATTTTCACCACGCGATGCGACCATTTGACCTGTGCTGTGGGTTGACGCTGGATATGCTCGTACAAGAGTTTGCCCAATCGGTCGAGAGGAAGTACAACCATTTTGTAAGGATAGTCCTCCGGTAAAGAATCGTGATGAACTCCAGCGATAAATGTTGTATCGATTTTCCTCCAGGCAAAGTTCTTCGGGTGAAGACCTCGAGCTTTGACGTCTTCTAGGACACCCGCCCGTGCCAGTTCGTAGGCCGCTGGGGTCGCGTAGTGGGCTGCACGGGGCTGTTCGTCTAGCTGGGCGCCAGCATCGAATAACTCGACCTCAATGCCTTGCTTAGCTAGCAAAATTCCGAGAATTAGCCCCGAGGGGCCGGCCCCCACTACAATGACCTGTGATATAGGTTAGTCCAGGTCGGGTAGTTGAAAATCTGTGTGAATACCTTTTTGATCGCCATCCTTTGATGTGAAGTGATGAGAGCTCACCATCTAACAAGTGAAAATGAGGCCGGAGAGCAATAAATATGGCTTCGCAGTATTGCCCAGGGTCAAAGGATCCTGGGGTTGAAAACACCCCACCTCCCCCGCCGTGGGGCCTGTCCACTTGGTGTGAGTTGATGGATTCAAGCCACTTCCAGTCAAACTAAAGAATAGCAAGATGCGGGGAAGTTGAGCTAAACATTGTGAAAGCACGAGAGGTGCAGTGAGTTGCGGGGCGATTTTGGGGGAATCCCGAGGCTCCGAAGTAACTGCCCAGACGAAGACGCGAGCCCAAATTTCACCTCTGAAGCAGAGAATCATATAGCTCGAGCTTTTAAGAGTCTGATCCAAGCCTCACCAAAGAAACTGCTGCTGGAAATTGACCGAAGGTGCACCTTCCCAGTTGCTACTAGTCTGCACTGGTTCTATCCCTTGGGATTCTATCGGACCCTGACCCTCCATCGGTAAATCGAGCGGACCCGAGAAACCAGCCTTATTCTCCATTTGAGATTTTCTAGTCGCAGCCTCAAAGGATAACCAGTACTGATCCAAGTGTGGGCGGGTGGTGACAAGCGATAGCAGCGGCTGTTCGTGCCGTTGACTCGGTAAAGATATGCCAGGGGATACCATTGGGAGGTAATCTTGTTCCGACAGGGTGTCCTGGTATCCATTCTCACCAGGTTCCTGGTGCTTTCTTTTCACTCCGCTATCCTGGTGATGGTGGACGGGAGATTGATCAGCCTTACTCGGCAGAGTGCCGGAATCCACCGCGCTCTGGCCAGTCAAAAGATGCTGCCATTCTCGAATGTTTTGTGCATTGTCGAGAGGAAATTGAGACCACTCGTCAATTCCTCTCCGATTAAGTCTGGCAAGGGGCATATAAGTAGCAGCACAATCCCGGCTGATCGCACCATCCCTTGGGAATGTATTGGATAGCTGCTCGTCGGAAACCTGGGAAAGCAGGCGGAAAAGTACACCTTCAGTGACCTGCAGTCTATGCTCCAATGCTTCAACATGTCCCTTGGCGGGTCCACTGTATAAATAAGAATATGGATCAGTAGTTGAGCCGTGTGGGTATGCCTTCGCTCTCCCAGCTACATACCGGCGCAGCTGCTCTGGCCAATCACAAGGCCGGTTATTTTCCAAGCATTGCCCACATACGGGCCTTTTCAAATAAGTTAGTTCATCGGTTTATTTCGATAGACTGAACAGTCAGATCGTACTTATCCCCGCTGCACTGGAATGGGGTTTCGTATTAGTGGCAAGGTCACTTGGCTCGTCCGGAGGACCCCGTACCTTTTGCTTTCTAGAACGACAAGCATTGCATGCAACCGTGATCCTTGCGGGTTTTCTCTCCTTTGACTTCGCCATTTTGAATAGATGTGAAAAAAAACCACTGAGTTGGAGAGTTGAGAGATGCAAGGCAAGCCAAAAAGGTGAAGAGGGGAAGATGAAATCGCCTGAAAGTTCTGCCGACGGGTGGAACTATCAGCCTCAACCCTGTCGGATTCCCTGAAAGTCATTAATTTAAATACACGGTTTACTTTGCAGCTTTTTATTTTATTTTTAATCATTTCTTCAAGAAATCTTGCTTTCTATCTAAATTTCTTCTTGAAAGATCTCCAATATGTCACCAACATACCGCATCGCCTCCATCCCCGGTGACGGCATTGGTCCCGAGGTGGTTAGCGCCACCATTCAAGTCGTCGAGAAACTCGCCAAAAAACTGGGGAAATTTCAAATTGACTTCACCCATATTCCCTGGGGAACTCAATACTATAAAGAGACTGGTCAATATGTCTCGGATGATTGCTTAGAAACGCTACGCAAATTCGATGCCGGCCTGTTCGGAGCCGTTGGTGCGCCGGGTAAGATGCAAAATATTTTCATGATTTAGGATATTTGTTTAACAAAGAAATAGATGTCCCTGACCACATCTCCCTATGGGGTCTTCTGCTAGCCATTCGTGGTCCGTTGCAGCTTTATGCCAACGTCCGTCCCGTACGAACATTCCCAGGAACCAAATGCCCACTGAACACTGCCACAGAGGGTATTGACTGGATGCTTGTTCGCGAGAACTCGGAAGGTGAATATTCTGGTCAAGGTGGACGCTCACATGTTGGACAAGAATGGGAAGTCGCAACTGAAGTCGCAATTTTCACTCGGGTCGCCATTAAGCGCATCATGCGGTTCGCTTTTGAGACAGCGCAGTCTCGTCCTAAGAAGCACTTGATCGTTGTCACCAAGAGTAACTCTATGCGAAATGGTATGGTTCTCTGGGATCAAGTTGCTTCTGAGGTATCGAAGGACTTTCCCGACGTGGCCTGGGAGAAAATGCTTGTCGATGCGATGACTGTCCGAATGGTGGCTAAACCACAATCAATCGATACTATCGTCGGAACCAACCTGCATATGGACATTCTCTCTGATCTCGCCGCCGGACTTGCTGGATCTATCGGAGTTGCCCCCTCGAGTAACTTGGACCCAACTCGCAAAAATCCGTCTATCTTTGAGCCTGTTCATGGTAGTGCTTTTGACATCACTGGAAAGGGCATCGCAAACCCAGTGGCAACGTTTTGGTCAGCATCAGAGATGCTCATTTGGATCGGGGAGAAGGAGGCCGCGGCGAAGCTTATGCAATGCGTCGAGACAGTCTGTGCTGCCGGTACATTAACGCCCGATCTTGGTGGAACCGCGAACACCCAGGGGGTGGTCGATGCGGTTTGCGCGGAGATTGAAAAATTGCATAGCTGAATAGTGGATCATCAGAGTGGCCTGTAAATATTATTTCTTTATTTCTCAAAAGACAAAGTCAATATTCCATTGTATGAATCTGAACAAAGATTAATTGTTTATAGGAGGCAAAGTTAATGCTATGAAAAAGCCACAAATGGACATCGGATCCTTCTCTGGAAGATAGTACTCAAGTGTCTCGAATCCCCTGGTATCAAGTAGCCACTAACATCAATAATAGCTTGCATCATGGACTACGACATACTTAACAGACAAGTCAAAACGACTGGAGTGAGTATTTGGTGGGTATCATTTACGTTGAGCCCCGAAATGGCTTATTGGTCAGATTCGAAGATTATGGGATGCATGAAGGATTACATCGCCCAAGGCCGTGTCTGGGTCGGTCAGTATTAAACAAAGCAACGGTGGTGCTTCTCAATGCTAGTTCAGCTTTCACCTGAGCAGATTTCACTTAAAGGAGGATTCGTTGAAACATTAGCCCTCGAGGAGGCAGCCCGCCTTATCGACACTTGGATTACCCAGGGGGGACTGCCTTATCAGCGACAGCAGTTCTTTGGGCTGTCCTGAAGTGCCGTGGCATTCCTCCCTCGGTATTTAGAGACCGGTTTCGATCCCAGTTAAGCTTTCCCCTTGGTTCCAACTTTCTCTCTTTGCTAATTTTCTCCTTTCACTAACCTTGGACATTTCTGCTTTCACTAACCTTGGACATTTCTGCTTTCACCAACCTCCTCTCAACATGTTAAAAGGCTATGCTAGATCTGAGAATAAAAATCACCTACATACCTAAAAATAAGCATTGAAAAACAAAGTTTCAGATATTCAAAGGAAACCTAACCTTATGACCAAATCAAAGAACATTAGAAATTGAGTTCATTGTTTCTTGCTTAGCTACATTCATCAAACCCCAGTAGATCATTTACTAACCTTGAGCAACTAACAGGATAGGACGGAGATCCCTGACACAGTAGGGCCTTTCAATTGGGTTGTTTCGGTGAGCTTGAAACGTTGACTAGCAGCCTCGTCAAGAACGTTCATTCATTGCACCCGTCGACGTACTCCGCGAGAGCACTCGAGTGATTCAAGTCTAGCTAAACTAAATGAATAAATGAATAAATGAAAAGGGATCTATATAAGTCTGAAGATCCATCTCTAGCTGCATCATATTAGCTAGTTCTACGTTCGACTGTCGAAAAAAGAAACTTGAAAGAATATAGATTCCTTAAATACCCTCACTGTAAGCAAAATGCCGCTCTTGGGGATCACTTTCTCGAGTGGTAACTCATCACCGCAAGATGTACGATATGTGAATGTTCGTTTCCAGTCGTCAGACTTGCGGAGATCTAATCTGGAGCTCCTTAATATCATGCTGAGCGCCATTCAAGACCGTTGCGCCTCCATCACGCCCACTGCGATCGGAAGATATACGGCCTCCTCGTTGATTTACTCGATTGAAGTTAAGGGGCGCTATAGGAACGATAGTGACGTCTATAATAAAGCGGAGGAATACGTCTTGCGATGGAGAGTTGAAGAGCCTAGACGGGGGCTTCCTTTTCCCCGCAGAGCGATTTTTTAACCTGGGACCACGATTGCAAGTCCGGTCTTTGACTTTTTTGAAGCTGGAATCAATCGAGATTTTTGATATTGTTTCTCCTATTTTTAGCTTTAGGTTGTTGTCTTTGTCATATGTCACGGCGCTGAAATATGCGCTAACGCAATCATGTTTGTTTCTGGATTTTCCATATTACTTGTCCTCGTCCACCTGATTGTAGCGAAGAAAATGCTACATATTTAATATGTGCTTTTTTTCGCTCTAAAAGTAGCAAACTGCCAAGCGGCTACAGTATTATGCATAAATTTTCAAGAGTAAGACACAGCCCCGTACGAATACGAGTCCGCCTCCCGATCATCACCGCTCCGCCCCGTTGAGCGGAAATGAACAATCAACTGGGTCGGGAACTTTAACTACCGGAATGCGACTAATACTAGAATGGAGATTCCGCTCGGTAAATGAAGGACTCAACAAAGATTCTGATTGTTGGCCCTCCGCGGCAGTGTGTGGCTGACGACAGGCGCCAAGAGACTAAGGTGGAATTGGCTTAGAGTTGAGCGGGTCTTTGTACGACGAAAGACAACCATTGGAACGAGTACGAATCGCTATGGATCCCCCCTAAGCTCCACAAGCGGCAGAGTCTGGCATTGATGACGACCGCGTTTTAAAACAAACTCATAATACACGTGGATCTGGCTTCACCTTGAGGGGAGCTTTGTTTTGCTGACTACGAGTAGTATTCGATTTCTGAATTCATCGTAATGAAAAATTGGAATGATCCAGAATCTGGAATTCTCCTCAATTGCATATGAAAAGTATTATGGACAAGATACCCCCTTTTTTCCATGAAGTACGTATCTTTGATGTATTGACAATCCCACAATTCCGTATAATTTCAATACCTATCCCGATGTGGACCTGGGGTTGACGGAGTCACCCCTGACGAAGCATACGCATGCTCAAACGTAAACTCAACCCGAATGACGAGGAACTCGAAATTCCCCCAAGCGAACTCCTCCACAAATGCAGTCGATTTGGCGCCGACTTTACTTTGAGCCATCAGAATGAATTTCTACAGATGGTAAGACTGTCAATCGATAGCGCTTGGCTACGCTGTAGCTGTCTGGAATTTAAGGATGGTGCTACCGTTTATTTGGGCTAGTATTGCCGTACTCGCCGCAGGAGCATGCGGGGACTTCGTCTCAACCAACTACGATGAATACAACGATGGCGTGCTCGGTCACCGTCCTCATCTGGAATTCCATTCCAGCGATGAATATGCGCCGATCATGCAAGCTACCGTCTGGGATAGCGATGCTATCTCCGATGCGGGCTCCCACATTTTCCTACGACATGATGGCAACGACACTTCGCCGCTCGCGTCCCCTTTAATTATTGATGCACGCGACTTGAGCGCGGTATACATGAACCGAACCTTCAAAAATGTCTTCGGCACTCGGGTTCAAGAAAATAAGGGAAAGAAATACTTAACCTTTTGGGAAGGAGAAAAGGGTAATGGGATTGGCGATGGTTATGGACTTGCCTATGACGATACGTATCGCCTAGTCTATAAAGTATCGGCGCAAAATATCCAGGTACACAGTGACTTACATGAGTTCGCATTCACTGGAAACGGATCAGCTTTGGTTACTGGCGTGAACTCAATTCAAGTGCATCCATCAATGTTCCCTCAGTGGGAGCTACCACCATTCAGCATCGAAATACTAGATGCAGTTTTCCAAGAAATTGACCTTGAGACGAACGAGGTTCTCTTCCACTGGCGAGCCCTCGATCACATAAACCCTCTGGACTCGTACGAGTCAATGGGCCGTGGCTGGGATGCATATCACATCAACAGTATTGAAAAGGTGAGAACAAATAAATGATGTGCGATTATGAGATAAATTCTAACATCTCGTGAAATCCAGACCCAAGCAGGAAACTATCTCATATCCATTCGCCATACATTCTCTATCCTGCTTATTAGCGGGAGTACGGGAGAGATCATTTGGCAGATGGGTGGAAAGAGAAATGACTTCGATGAAATACCCGTGGTGAATGGGTCGGATACAACCCAGGCTGTGTTGACAATGAGCTGGCAACATCACGCTCGTTTCGTCCCTGGGACGAATGAAACTCAGATTACACTGTTCGACAACCACGGCACTGCCACCAACCACGGCGACTGCAAGGCTTTATGCTCGCGTGGCCTACATTTTGCCATCAATGATACTATCTCTCCTCCCACGGTTAAATTCCTGCGTGAATTCCGTCACCCCGCACAGCTTCAGGCTCAGAGTCAAGGAAGTGTGCAGCCACTATCCCCTTCCATGGATGGCCTCGGTAATGTTTTCATCGGCTGGGGCCGATGTCCATCATTTACAGAGCATAACTCCCAGGGAGAGACAGTGATGGATATCCAATTCTCACCATGGCATAGTGATGAGATCCCCGATGCACTCGATAACTACCGTGCGTACAAGATGAACTGGTCCGCAACTCCCTGGTGGGACCCTGCCATTGCCATGCGGAAAACCCAGAATGGCGAACTTGTTGTTTACCTTAGCTGGAACGGTGCAACGGAAGTTGCGTATTGGGTTGTCAGGGGAGCCCATAATCCCATACAGGGGGGACTACGACAAAGTCGTTACAGAAGGTTCGAGGACTGGGTTTGAAACAAAGTTAATTGTCGGGGAGACCCCGTGGCAATATTTATGGGCCGAAGCGGTCGACAAAGCCGGAGATGTACTTCGGTCAACCGATATTGTGGACTTGACAACCGCAACCCTCCCGATAGTTTTTGATACCTATGATGCTAATTTCACTTTTCCCTCTGGAAGGGTGAATACACAGCATGTAGCTCAGCCATTGAGCATGACCTCGGTGTTATTACTCACTGGAATAGCTACCGTCGCCCTTGTGGTGTTCTCCATTGGGGGTATCTGGCTATGGCAAAGATACAGGAACTATACACACTTAACAGCGGAGGATTTTGACCTCGGTCTGGAAGAGCTTTTGGACGATGATAAGCAAAATGACAGCGACGATGGTGATATTTTTGACGATGAGGGAGACACTCTGATAGCCTCACAATCACTATTTCAGGATCATGACGGACGACCTCTTCTGCCGAGGAATGAAGGGAATATACACCCTAGGAGTTAGCGACTACCAGCTAGTGATTTTTATTTTGAACAATCATTCCAATCAGATGTATCACGTTCCGTATGCCTACATCATCATTTTCACTGTTGTGGAAGAAGACTCATAAGATATGCTACACCTTTCCGTAGTAATCCTTTGGAACCTCCCAATTTCATAACGACACATGGATAGCTGCCAAAATCTATTCAGTATTCAGTGCTAAGTGCTAGCACGCGCACCAATGCCATCCACGACCTCCCCTAAAGCCTTTCCCCCGATCGTCATCGGCTGCGAAGGCATCAAAACATATAACATCCGCGCCCACTGTGGAGTTCTCTCGTTTGTCACTGGATCGATCACATCCGGCGTCGCATTGCGCCAAGCATGGTTGGTACCGCGCTGGACGGCAACATCCCCACGCTTGAGTAGCCGTGTCTCTCCCGAATCCAGGATAAGCTCAACCTCCCCCTCCAACACCACGCCATAATCCAGTGACACAGTGCGGTGCATGGCACATGTGATTCCTGGTTGGACATCCACAATGCGGCAGACATTTCCCGTGGAGATGGTGATTCCCGGCGGGTTGGTGAGGTAGTTAGTGTATTCGGCCAAATCGGCGTCACCGTCCAGCTGTGCAGGGAAGTGGTCAGAGGTATAGGCGAGGCTGAAGTCAGCGCCGTTGTCTAGGGACTTGACTGGCATATCTTCAGACAGCGCGGTGGAGAAGATGGCCTGGCCTGTCTTGTTGTGGGTGGTGATGTACCGGTTGAGGGGTCGAATGCTTTTTGGTGGTTTGTCGCCCATTTTGAATTTGTTGTAACAGGAGAGAAGTTCAAATTAGCACCGTTTGATAGGATGTGGTAGTAATGTGACTGGGACTCGGAGTTGGAGGATGCAAGAGTAGTACCAGTAGTAGTATGGTGTGTACTACCTCGATATATAACTTGAACTATTCTTTGTGCGGAGACCCCGGCTTTCGGGACCGTCTGCGCCCACATTCGAGTCCGAGTCGGCAGTCGCATAATGCAGTAAGCGGGAGTTCGGACACCCGGACTCGGACATAACGACTCGACTGCAGTCAGTGGATGTTAGCTCGATGCAGGGTCAGCTGCTTCTAATTTTCAAATTGGTTCCAGGAGATTCACAACAATAAAATCTTGAAGTCATAGTTATCATATGATGCGAAGGGGCGCAGTGGTGGGGCGTATACTTTGTTACAACCCAGTAATAGACTGGGCGTGGATAAACCCCCCCGGTTTTCTAGCAACCGACGTAGGTTTTTTAGACGTTTGAAGGTGAAGATATATGCAGTTTATGCAAGGGGAACCAAGTGTTTATCGGGGAAATAAGAATCCTGCATAACTCGAGCAGTCCACACCGCTTTCCAACACAGCGCGGAGCAACCCCATCACGCGAACAATATCTCCGTACTTCGAAGTGTATGGCCAAAGAGCTATATGTCCTTCACTTGATTGGATGACCCGGCCCACTTTATTTTCAATTTCATCGGCATGTGGGCGGGATACGAAAGGGTCCGGAGCCAGGAAGAGAATGGATCTGAGCAATTCGTAGCCTATTCATCCTTTAAATTGCGATGATTCTTCTGATATTCCGAGCCTCAGTACAGCTCTAGTAGGTAAATCGCTTCGGTTTCTTCATTTTCAAGCTCAGGTGAATACATATCCAGCAAACCTCGTCAATCATTTCCTTGGCAGGCTTCTTCCATCCTTATCGAAACTCTCAAAATGCCCGAGCCCAATTGGCGCCCCGGAAAACGGGTCGCTATTGTTGGAGGAGGACCGGGGTCAATTTCGGCCGGTCTAGCTTTCATCAACCGAGGCTATGACGTTCGTATCTTCGAGCGACAGCCTGAATGCAAAGCTATCGGAGGCGCAGTCTTGCTATCAACACCTGTCTTGGCTATTCTACGGTCCTATGGGATAGACCCAAAAGATTTTGGCTCCTATACAGTGACCTATTTTAAGAATAAGTCAGGCTTAGAACGCGTCAAATTGCCTTTTAACCCCGATATCGAGAAAAGTATGGGTATAAAAGGCTGGCACTATGGCGTTCTTCGCTCTTCCATGTTCAAGAAAATGCTGGACCTCGTTCCCAACGATGTTATCTATGCCGATCATGAGTTCACTTCATATATTGAGCATGAGGGTAGTGTTGAGCTTTTGTTTCAAGAACGGCCGTCGAGAGACAGCCGATATTTTGATTGGAGCTGATGGGATTCGCTCAGCTGTTTCTCGACAAGCATTTGGCGAGCCTCAATTGTTTCATACTGGAATCCGACTCTGGCTCGCCTGGTGTGACCAGATTCCGGATATTCCACCCAACTACGGTTTCATTTCACATGATTGGCAACACCAAGCCAGCTTCTTCCCAATGCTTCATGATGGAAAGCCAGGGTTTGAATGGTGGGTGGTTGAGCCTTCATGGGATGGAAAGCCTGTCCCTGAAGACCCTAAAGCCCATCTTACTGGGATTCTCGAAGACTGGTCTCAGCCAATGCCTCGCTTTTTGAATGCTACAGACTTTGATACTCAAGTTTATCGTTGGGAGATTTTCAACAGACCGTCGATGAAGAAGTGGTCTAGTGGTCGGGTTGTATGTCTGGGTGACGCTGTACATCCAGTCTCACCATATGCTGCATATGGTATGGGTATGGCAATTGAAGATGGCTACTTCATTGCTAAATTCCTTGATGGTGTTGACCTACGAAACCAGTCAGCAATCAGCGCTGGATTTGAGCTATATGAAAAACAAAGAGTCGACTATGTCAATCATAACGTTGAATTCGCCCGTTTCCTTGGCAGAATGTTCCATTGCGTTCCCCGGCCTTTTGCTTGGCTCAGAGATTGGATTTTCGACTATACACCTATGCTGAGTAACTTCCTCAAAGATGGCTACCTCAAAAAGTCGGAAGAGGAGACACTTGGCCTCAAAGAGCTTCAAGTGACTTGAATACTCTCTAAGGAATACCCAGGATATCGGTGATTTTCTAGTATCAATGATCAAAGCAAAGAAAGCAAAATCAAAAAAAATATACCACTAAATTGAAATTGAAATTGAAATAGAGTGTAAAACGATAAATTACCTAGGTACTATGGTAAGGGCTACTCTAAACTATGATAGTTGGCGTACCCTCGTAGGCTACCACTGGCAGTAGTAGGGGTCTTCAAATAGTCCAATCATTACGAAATTCGACATAGGACTCTACTAACGCCCTGAAGAGATACCAACATCTCGTTAAGCCGCTATTTCGAGATGACGGGCAACCTATTCTGTCGAGGACTAAGGAAAAAATACATTCTAGAAGCCTGCGACTACTACTAGTAGCTTGTTGCTTTATATTTTGAATAATCATTGAGTCGGCAGTATAATGATCCATGCTGCTGCGTCATCCTGGTTTATGCACATTACTCGGTAATTTGGGCCCCATTAGAAGTTCAGAACAGAATGAGAGGAGAATAGCTGTAGATAGCAAGACCAAATCTTGCATTCTATCCCCGAGGATTTTCAATAATTTTTCCGGTGTGGCTGAACAAAACGGCATTCTAGATCTCAACTGAGCTTGTTCAGTAGCGGTGTATGCAATGTAACAAACAATCCGGTTGCTCGGATGCCAAATATTACATCGGTCGAATGGAAACTTCTTAAAAGGGCTTAGCCCGCCATCACTGCCTATCACTTCAAACAATTGAGTAGCGGACCCTTTGCTCCGTCGATCAAACTGGTATAGCCCTGCAGATCAATATAGTGCCACCCCCGCGTTCGTACATACTACCCCTCTCGAGATGAGATCCCTCGCCCGATTATTGTACCGAGCCCGAATCTTGGACTTTTACTAGTATAACTTGTAAGAATACCCCAGATAAAGATTTAATTAGCTTTGAATCGAACTGCCATGCTATTTCTGAGACTCGTATCGCTTTCCCTTCTGGGACTTCCAGATTTGCTCGAAGGACGTCCATTAGAAGCCAAAGGTTTTTCGGGAAACCCAATAGTAAACTTGGGATATTCTCAATATGAAGGGACCGCACTGAGCGCTGGTGTAAATCAGTTTCTCGGCATAAGATATGCGGCTCCTCCCGTGGGAAATCTCAGGTTTAGAGCTCCTCAAGATCCACTACGCCAAGATGGCGTGCAAATTGCCAAGGAGGTACGCGTATTATTTGGATGAAATACTATGTTGTGCAACCGCTCATCTGAGTCCTAGTTTGCACCTACATGTATTGGAACAGCTGGGATTCTCAGCGATTCGATAAATGAGGACTGTTTGTACGTCGACGTTTTTGCTCCTAGTAATGCAACTCCGAAGAGCAAACTGCCTGTCTGGTTCTTCATCCAGGGTGGCGGTTATGCTACGAACTCAGATCAAAATTTCAATGGTACCGAAGTCATTACGCGGTCCAATCACAGTATCATCTTTGTACAAATCAACTATCGTGTCGGCGCCTTCGGATTTTTAGCGAGTGAAAAAATCAGGCGGAACGGGGATCTGAATGTTGGGCTTCTCGATCAAACTAAGGCGTTGGAGTGGGCTCGGAAGTACATTTATCTGGTAAGCGTACTCATAATCTAACAGTATTTCTAGTCTAATATGCTAACTGGTCAAATTAGTTTGGTGGAGATCCAAACCATATAGTCATTCACGGCGATTCGGCCGGTGGAGGCTCAATCGCATATCACTTGACAGCCTACGGAGGTCGCGAACGATCATTTGTCGGTGCAATTTCGGAGTCTCCCTTCCTACCTACCCATCGCACAGTCGCGGAGTCCGAATTTCAATTTGACAAATTTGTAAAAGATGCCAATTGTACTGACGATGAAGACGTCATGGAATGTCTGCGTTCTCGAGAGTCCGCCACGCTACAGTCTGCAGATGTGAAATCCGGATTTCCTGGTACAACACAAACTCCTCTATGGTACTTCCTGCCAGTAGTCGATGGCTCCTTCTCGCCAGATCTCCTTTACACTCTCTTTGACCAAGGCAGAGTGAGAAAGGTTCCTGTTATCGTCGGCAATGACAATGATGAAGGAACTGGGTTTACCCCGAATGTCACCACTTCGGCCGAGTTCCTAGCCTTTATTCAAGCCAATTACCCCAAGTTGACCGCAGCCAACCTTGACTTGATTAACCGGACTTATCCTCTTCAAGAGCCTTTTTTGCCCAAGCATGCGCCTTATTTCACCCCAGCTGAACTGGCTTATGGCGAAGCAACTTTTACATGTCCGGGCCTCGAGATTGCATCATCTATGGCAACCCATAACTCTCCAATGAAATCTTGGAGCTATAGGTATAATGTTCTAGAAAGTTCTAAGCAAGCCGCTGGTCTCGGGGTATCACATGTATCTGAGAAACCAGCTATCTTTGGGCCAGGAAATGCGGGATCCTGCGCTGGCTGCTCTTATTTCACCTATAATGCGCCCATGGTTCCAATCGTCATGGATTATTGGATCAGTTTTATTCTGACTCTGGATCCTAATACATATCGCAACCCTGCCGCTCCAGAATGGAAACCTTGGGGATCTAGTGGTAACCAGAGGTTAAAGTTTCAATTGAACTCAACAGAGATGGAGGCCGTTCCTGATGCCCAGTTTCACCGATGCTCGGTTTGGAAGCATCTTTCTACTATTATGGAGCAGAAGTGACGTAGTGGCTCAATGTTCTTAGTGTTCAAGTTTTTGTGATTCTTGACGAAATTGGATTCTATGTGGTTCTATTTCAATATTTTACAATATAACAGATTTTCCTTATGCTATGACTCCTTTGCTCCTCAACTCTTCAATCTTGCCAGAGCCCATTCCAAGAGTGCGATTCAATACCTCGTCGGTATGTTCTCCCAACAAAGGAGGGGGTAAACGAATATTCGGCTCCGCATTCGAGTATTTCACCGGGGGACTGATAACCTTGATGGGTCCACAAGCCGGGTGATCGATGGTCTGAACCATACCCCTTGCACGCACTACAAAAGTCAGCATACCATGAACGCAATTAATAAATCAAGATTTTGCATACCATGTTCGTGATTCATAGTTCCTTGGATATCATTCACAGCGGCATAGGGCAGACCACTACCCTCGAACAGATCCTGCCATTCACGAGTAGTGCGTCTTGTTAATTCAGCCTCGATCAATGGCTCCAACTGAGCACGATTATGCACACGCTCATTATTCGTCACAAAGCGAGGATCGCTCTTCCATTCAGGTTTCCCAATCTTGTCACAAAGAATGCCAAAAAGACGATCATTCGCCCCTCCAACAAAGATATCTCCATCGGCAGTTTTGAACCCTTGATAAGGAACGACAGAAGCTAAAGAAGAAATTGGTCAGTCAACCAGAAACACTGGACACAAGCAAGGGAAAAAGAAATTTGAATCTCACGATGCGCAGTCCCCCACCGACCCGAATCTTTCTTCCCGCTAATAAGCACCGACTCCCCCATATTCGCCAAAGTCGCGACCTGGCAATCACTCAAACACACATCCAAATGCTGGCCCTCGCCCGTATTCGCGCGAGCCAATAATGCAGCCATGATTGAATTACAGGCATATAATCCGGTCGTCAAGTCCGTTACTGCAACACCAACCTTAACAGGCGGTCCATCCCGCGTCCCGGTCAAATGCATCAGTCCAAATTCCGCTTCGACCATCACATCAAAGCCGGGACGGTTGCTGTAGGGTCCTGTCTGTCCGTAGCCAGTGATACTGGTGTAAATAAGACGCGGGTTGATCTTCGACAGAGTTTCGTAGTCTAGGTTGTACTTTTTCAACGAACCGGGGAGGTAATTCTCGACGAGGACGTCGCAGTCGCGGGCAAGTTTGTGCAAGATTTCAACACCTTCAGGGTGGGCGAAGGAAAGACCGAGGGACTTCTTGTTTCGGTTTACCTGTTCATTCTTGTTATTTCAACGGTTCTGTCGCGTTTTGATTTTGATTTTTTTTTCTTTATCTTACTGAGAGGTAATATGCGCTTTCGCCGTTGCCTTTTCTACCATCTTTATATGGGGCATAAGGTGGGCCCCAGGCACGAGTATCATCGCCTCGAACAGGATGCTCGACTTTGATGATTTCCGCCCTGGATACATCAATCAGTACTATTCTTCGCGAACCTCCACCATCAGGGATGTACGGATAATGCATACCCGAGATCGCCCAAGATCTGCGTGCAGTACGGCTATCAACAGTGTCAGCGAACTAGTCAACGGCAATATGGCATACATAGATAGGATCCCTGTATGTAGCTGAGATTTGAACTTACTCCCGCCAGTACTCGACTCATATCCAAAACTTTCACTCCAGCCAATGGCAGCTTCTTACTCTTCTGCGCCGTGGCCAATCCCCGGGAAAGACATGACCCGATCAGGTGAGGGCGGGATGTTGTCCTCGCCACCAAGAATGGGCGTGATAATAAAAGGTAATTCATTATGACAGGGCTCGCAATTCCTGAGAGCAAGCTTGTCTAGTCTGTAATATTTCTATCTCCAAGTTTACCTATTTTAATTGCAAGTGCTCGTGGGGAGCCCCACTGCACAATCTGCAGGTGGGTTCGAATGTTGACCCCACATGAGTTGCCCCAGGGTGCTCGTGGGGTGGATGTCCAGATTGTAGAAGTATTCTGCTGACAATTCTGGGGCATTTCACGTTGAATAGCAAATTTGAATGTTTCCTATGATCTCTTATTGTTTATACTATCCGCAGAAGGAGGAATTGAATTCTTCGAAAGGAAAAAAATGCTCTAATTTTAGTCTAGAACCTTATCGACATGCAAAACAAAAACGTATTCAGAATCCCGAATTTACAATTGGTATATTTCCATCAAATTTACAGCTGCATGGGCTTCAAGTCGGCGGAGACGTTGAAGGGGGCAGCAGTCTTGCTGCGGATCTCCTCGACGGTGACACCCTCGGCGTGCTCAATCAGAGTCAGACCCTCGGAGGTGCTGACGTCGAAGACAGCCAGATCGGTGATAATAGTCGAGACACAGCGGGGGCCGGTCAGGGGGAATGTGCAGTCGGCAAGAATCTTGGGGTTGCCCTTCTTGTCGGTGTGTTCCTGTAGAGTAGAGCGGTTAGTTGGATTTTCTTCTATCAGTCGGGATTAAATTGTAAACATACCATGGTCACGACAACCTTGGTCTTCTCGGGGTTGGCGACCAGATCCATGGCACCACCAACACCCTTGACCTTACCGGGAAGCATGAAGTTGGCCAGATCTATAAAATAATTAGTACAATGCGCATATATTTTGATCAGGAGAGTGGAAACATACCGCCGTACTGGCTGACCTGCAGAGCACCAAGCATAGTAAGATCAATCTTACCAGCGCGGATCATACCGAAACTCTCGTGGGAACCGAACAGGGAAGCACCACGGCCAAGGGTAACAGTCTCCTTGCCGGGGTTGATCAGGTCGGGGTCCTGCTCACCAGGGTTGGGGTAGCCACCCAGACCCAGGATACCGTTCTCAGCCTGCAGGACGACCTCGACACCCTCGGGAAGGTAGGAGGGAGCGATCAGAGGAATACCAATACCGAGGTTGACGTACATGCCATCCTTGAACTCCTTAGCGGCACGCTTGACGATACGCTCACGGCGGGCGGTAGCTTCACCGGAGCCAGCAGCAAGCAGGTCTTCGGGGCTCTTGGCGAAGGTAAGCTTCTCAATCTGGGTGGGCGCGGTGCTCTTGATGACAGCGTCAACGTAGACACCCTGGATGTGAACACTCTCCGGGGCGATCTCGCCGACCTCGACGATCTCATCAACCTCAACAATGGTGTACTTGGCGTTCTTGGCCATGGCCTCGTTGAAGTTGTTCATAGCCTTGCGGAACTGGCAGTTACCGAGCTTGTCGGCCTTGTGCGCGCGAACCAGAGCGTAGTCACCAAAGATCGATTCTTCCATAAGGTATTCCTTGCCGTTAAAAGTGCGAGTTTCCTTGACCTTGGACATTTCTGCCACAGAGCCATCCTTGTTGTACCGAATAGGGAGTTCACCAGTTTGAATGATAGTACCGTAAGCCGCGGGGGTGTAGAAAGCCGGGACACCAGCTGCACCGGCAGCGCACTTCTCAGCGATGGTACCCTGGGGAGTAAGCTCCAGGGTCAGGTCACCGGTGAGATACATCTTCTCGAACACCTTGTTCTCGCCAATGAAAGAGGCGATCATCTTGGTGATCTGCTTGGACTCGAGCAATTGACCTGTCAGGGAATTGCAGGTTAGCCAATGTTTCAATGGCTGCGGAGTTTGACCTCCAATGGCACATTGCACCTACCGAGACCGGCGCCGGGCATGCCAGCGTTGTTGGAAACAACAGTCAGGTCCTTGACCTCTGGACGAGCGTGGACGGCGTTGATCAGGGTGTTAGGGACACCCGAGAAACCGAAACCACCGACCAGCAGGGTCGAAGAACCCTTCATGTTCTTGACAGCCTCCTCTGCGGAGTCACATAGCTTGTTGATGGCGCTCCGAGAAGTTGAGGCAGAGAAGTTCCGCCGCCAGATGGGGCTGAACACCTTGATCGCAGGAACAGGCCGCGCCATGGTGAGTACTACCTTCAGATAAAAATTCCGGGGTAGTGCTTTCTGAACCAGCAGAAAGAAGAAGAAGAAGAGAATGAGAAGAAAAGTAAAGAATAAATTGAATTATCGCGAAAGTAGCTACCCCATCCCCCCATCGGGTTTTCGGCTAGGGACTGAGCCAGACAAGCCGAAAAAACGCTTACCCGGCAGCCACCGCCCAAACTCCCCCACAAGATCGGAGAGGGAGAGCGGCGAGCCCCAAAGGCTTTTGCCGCCATCGGAAGCCGACCCCACAAAGATAGCCGATGGTTAGTCAGATGGCGTGGCCATGCCAATGGGGGAGATGGGGAACGAGGGGTGAATGTGGAGGAGGAAAGATGGCAGCGGGAGAGAGTAAATGGGAATTCTGGCTGACTTATCTGATGACTGTCAACTGTCAACTCGACGCTGGGGGAAACTGAGGAAGTGCGGGTGATTTGCCAACGCGAGGCAAGTGCGACGGGGGACTGCCCGTATGGTAAATATCCCGTAATTCGGGCTGTACATAACACGTATCTTACACGGAATTCCCTTCGGCAACCATTCGGGACTCGACAACAATCTTCGGGACTGATTCCGTCTGACTCTCCGGTGCCCCACATCGCGTGGTTCGCAATGCTGTTGAATGCAATACCAGCAGCTTGAAGAAGAAAAACATACTCCATGTCTAGACATATCACTTCGGATCGTCGCGTCGAGTGGGGCCCGTCCCCTCACGTCTCCGCTCCACCGTGCATATAGCTTCGGCCTGCTGTCACCACGCTATCTGGGGTAAATCCGTAGGCTAACATGTGTTTCAGGAGGATCACTGCCAATGAAGGCTTTTTTCTCCATTCCCACAGACATTGGCAGCTCGTCTAGCAGTAATGTCCAATCACCATGAGAGCCCAGCACCAGTGTGCATGAAAATGAGGGGAAACGCTTATGGCAGGACCGGGGAAGACAAAAGTAGACAATATCCCACTTGAACGAACTACCATACCATAAATTATCGAACAAAGTAAATTTTGAAGAGCCCTATTACCTTGAGAACTCTACCCAGGCACTCTACTATACCCTAGCGCACTCACCGTTACCATGAGTCCGAAAAGCGTATCCCCGACGCCGCTCCTTTCCGAAAAGTACAACGGAATCCCAGCTAGGCTGTTTGACAAGGCCCAAGAAACAAAATCTGCGATCTTCGATATATCCACCAAATCCGAAAACAGTAGGACGAAAGTGGCCCTCCCGCAAGGCATCAATCAAGTCACCTTTCGTACCGCAATTGCAGAACTCCGCGATCGACTAGGAGAAGAACATGTAGAATTTGTGACAAAACTAGATGATGGATGGTATGATCAACCGATACCTCACTTTTTTGTCATGGATATTTACTAACTAAGCGCCATATACTAGGTATATGGAAAGTCAGTAGAAATAACATACCACACTAGGTAACAGTCGCAAAAACATTAACCCTTCACAGACCCAAATACCCACGATGGAATGCATATCTCTGAAGAAAGTGACTTCGTCGCATCCGTGGTAGTTTACCCCAGCAGCACCGAGGAAGTCCAAACAATCGTGCAATGGGCGAACAGCTATCGCATCCCCATTTCCCCGATCTCAATCGGTCGAAACTGTAAGCCTGATGCCCTTTCTATGCCTAGGTGTAATTATATCTCTCTAACAAAGACCAGACGGCTACGGAGGCGCAGCCCCACGCGTCCGCGGGGCAGTCGTACTCGATCTCGGTCGGCGAATGAATCGAATCCTCGACATCAACCCGGACGACTGCACCTGTCTTGTCGAACCGGGCGTGACCTACTTCGCTCTATATGAAGAGATCCAAGCGCGGGGTTTCCAGCACCTTTGGGTAGACGTCCCCGATATTGGAGGCGGGTCGGTCTTGGGAAATGCACTTGATCGTGGAGTCGGGTATACTCCTTATGGAGACCACTGGATGATGCATTGTGGGATGGAGGTTGTGCTTCCAACTGGTGAGGTTATTAGGACTGGCATGGGTGCTTTGCCGGGGAATAATAGCTGGCAGCTTTTCCCTTACGGCTTTGGTCCTACTGCTGAGTATGTGTTACTACTGGTATAATTGGTATCGCTGGGAGAGCATGAGATTCGCTAATCGTCGTTTTTATAGCGGATTGTTCTCTCAATCGAATATGGGAGTCGTGACGAAGATGGGATTTGGATTGATGCCCAATCCTGGTGATCATGAGAGCTATGTGAGATTTTCTCGAGTTTCTGGCTTTGTGCAATGGCTCACGGATTGTCCAGCTTTATACATTCCAACGAGAAGAGGATCTCAGCCAATTGGTAACATGAATTTTATCCTAACCGCAAACATGCCTTCCAAAATAAACTGACCGGCTTGATCAGATTGACATAATCCGACCTCTTAGAATCGCCATGATTCTGGAGAATGTTGCACAGCTCCGCCACATTAGTATGCAAATTGGACTAGAGGGAAGACCCCGAAGCTTCTATTACAACGGGAAAGGGCGTGTCCCAGACTCATTCATCCACGAAGCTGCGCAGAAACTCGCCCACGGCGACTGTACCTGGTTATACTACGGCATGGCCTATGGACCCAAAGAAATCCGGCAGTACAAACTCGACATAATCCACAAGGAATTCATGAAAATCCCCGGCGCCAGACGAATCGACCCTTCCACTCTGCCCGCAGATAACTATTTCTGGGTTCGCGACCGGATTGCCTCCGGCGTACCGGATATCGAAGAGCTACGCTGGGTGAACTGGCACCCCAATGGAGGACACGTTGCCTTCAGCCCTGTATCCCCCGTCCGCGGGAACGACGCGACGGCACTATGGGACATTGCGCAGCAGCGATGCGAAGAGTATAACCTGAGACCTCTTTCCCACCTTTGTCGTGGGTCTTCGCGAGATGCATTTGATTGTAGAGATTGTGTTCAACCGCGACGATCCGGTCATGCGAGATAATGCGCGTGCATGTCTGCGCGGAATGGTTGATGACGCTGCGAAGAGGGGATACGGCGAGTACCGCACCCATCTTGCCTTTATGGATCAGATTGCGGGAACGTATAACTGGAATGACGGCGCATTACTCAAATTCAACGAGAAGATCAAGGATTGTCTGGATCCCAATGGGATCATGGCTCCAGGTAAATCGGGAATCTGGCCCGCGCGGTATCGTGGACGGGGGTGGGAGATGAATGCACAGGACGAGTCCTCTGAAGGAAATGGGGTGAATCCGAGTCCTGGGACGATGAGGCTGTAAGATGAAGCCTTAGCCTGATATCTTTGGTGAGAATGAGTGCATTTTTCGCCGGTTTACGCGTTTGGTAGTGTGCCCCCCCGATCACCCCACATTCGCATGCTTGCTTCTCCACCGATTTCCCACCGATTGCCCATCGATTGCCCATCGATCACCCGCAATTGGCCACCGGTTGTGGCGAAAAGCTACCAAGAAATAAGAAGAAATATATGTACCTTTCCCCCCTAGGTAGATGAAACAACCTGGTTCGGAATAAAATGCCCAACCGCGGTAGCCCATGTAAAATGTAAATTGCCGAAAATCGGGGGAATATACGAGGTGCATGCACGAGGGAGGAGGGGAACAAGTTAAACAAGGACGGGAAGAATGCAGAAGACGATCGCCAAGGGGTGCAAGCGCCCCACAGTCTGGGGAAGGCAGCACCCACTGGCAGCTGGCAACTGGCAGAGCAACTGGGAAGCTCCCCATGCGACTAACGGCCCCATTCGGCACAAATTTATGATCCGTTTCTTTCCTCTTTACATTCCCCTCCCCTCCCTTCTCTCTTCTCCTGTCTCCTGTTTTCAATAATTTATATATTCACTCCCTCCAAAATGCTGAGAAGAACAGCAGGCGAGGTGCTTAAAAGAAGCCCCAATGATGTCGTTGTGCTCTCCGCCGTGCGGAGTCCCATCGCACGGGCGTTCAAGGGCGGATTCAAGGACTCCTACCCAGAGGAGATTCTCATGCAGGTATGCCCATTTCAATTCGCAGGGTTGGCTCCGTTGTTGAAATTGAATTGCCTCCTAACAATTTATCCCATCACAGGTCATGCAAGCCGCAGTGACACGAGCGAATATCCAAGCCAGCCAGGTAAATGATGTGATGATTGGCAATGTCCTCGCAGAGCTGGGCTTCGCGAAGACCGGTCGCATGGCGCTCAATGCGGCGGGTTTCCCTAATTCGACCACTTTCCACACCGTGAATCGCCAGTGCTCGAGCAGTCTGCAGGCTATCACGCATATCTCGCATTCGATTCTGGCGGGTCAAATTGATGTTGGACTTGGCGGTGGGGTGGAGAGTATGTCGCGGAATTATGCGACTCGGGGAATTCCCGTCGATGTATCTCCGACTCTGAGGGAATCATCGGTAAAAGATGCGCGGGACTGCTTGCTGCCTATGTTGCAGACTTCGGAGAATGTTGCGTCGCGCTATGGAATTAGTCGGAGGGAGCAGGATGAGTTTGCTGCAGAGAGTCAGCGACGAGCGAGCGAGGCTCAAAAGTCGGGGCGTTTCAAGGCGGAGCTGGTGCCCGTTACGGTGCGGTCTGTCAGTGAGGGAATTGACGAGGAGACTATTTCGGTGGTTGATCGTGATGAGGGTGTGAGGCATACAGTCACGGCGGAAAAATTGGCGACTCTTAATCCGGTGCTGGAGAATGGATATAGTACTGCTGGTAACTCGTAAGTTGGGGAGCGGAGGGAAACCCTTGCATTCCACATCCTTTTGAGATGTATGCTCACTTCAGGCAATCACAGGTCGCAAATCTCCGATGGTGCTTCCAGTACCATTCTCGCCCGTCGATCGTGGGCCGACGCTCACGGTTTAAAGCCCATCGCTCGATTCGCCGGCACTCAAGTGGCAGGCTGCGCACCAGATGAGATGGGCATCGGGCCTATCTTTGCCATTCAAAACTTGTACAAGTACCTTGGTATTGAAAATAAGGATGTGGACATCGTCGAGATGAATGAGGCATTTGCAAGCCAGTCCATCTACTGTCTTCGCGAGCTAGGTCTCGATATGGACAAGGTCAATCCTAACGGCGGCGCTATTGCCCTGGGACATCCGGTTGCAGCAACCGGTGCCCGACAGGTCGCCACGCTTCTGGCCGAGCTGCAACGATCAGATAAGGAGATGGGCATCGTGAGCATGTGTGCAAGGTAAGATCTATCCATCAAGTTCGATGAGTTCAACTGCTAACTGTTGACAGCACCGGTATGGGTGTCGCATCCCTTTTTATTCGAGAATAGATACACTACTAGATCGGACTAGATCAAACTTGAAGTTCTTCGGAGTGTAAATAGCACAGGTCATGAATATATCTAACTATTAGTATCTTGGTTTCATGATGTTCTCATAGTAGTAGTACCAGAATGATTTCAATGTGAGATTTTAGGCATTCTCGGTGTAGTACGGATTCTGGGCAACTTTCAAGTTCTGCTTTTCTACCATTCTCTCAGTAAAATAGCTACTAGGTATAATTCAACTCACTTTAGCTGGAAGCTCAACCTCCCAGTCCCCTTTCAAGTTCAAGTTGGAACCTGGAGTTGACTTCGGAATAGCCTCTTCCACCAGCCCCACATGCAGCCACCAGATTGAATGTGGGGCCTGGCTTCGAGGAACATTGTGGAGCGCAGACCGCATAACACCCGTCTGGATAGTACTATCCATTCAGACTCGTCCAATTGCAAAGCTATACATAATTGAAGCTGTCGTTGTTAATACCTCTTCTTTAAGTGTCAGTTGCAAGGAATAACAACTCCATCGCCATGTCAATGTTCTTGCGTCTGTCGCGGGTGAACGCTCGCCCGGCAGTCTCGGTAACCTTCACCAGTGGGCGCCGATTAATCGGATCAGTCAGTGCAATTGATTCGAGCATTTTCCGAACTCTGTTTGGTACAGATGAAATTCGCAAGGTATGCTTCTACTTTTTAACGCATGATGCCAGGACACCTCTCTTACTCGTTGTGATTCTAGGTCTTCGACGACGAAGCTTATATCCGACGATGTGTTGACGCCGAAGCTGCCCTAGCACGAGCGCAATCCCAATGCGATGTCATTCCACCCAAGATTGGAGCGATGGTCACGCAGCGTGTACAAGAATCCAGCCTCGATTTTGATCGCCTACGCCACGAAACCGAAATCGTGGGCTACCCCATTCTACCTTTGGTTCGCCAGCTCTCGGCTATCTGTGGCGACGAGGCTGGCAAGTATGTACACTGGGGCGCGACGACACAGGATATCATGGATTTAGCAAGCGTGCTCCAAATGAAAGAGGGACTCGACATCATTGAGAGATTGCTCAAAGATGTCATCAAGACGCTGCGTCTGCTTTCGGAGAAATATAAGGATACCCCTATGGCTGGCCGCACGCACTTGCAGCACGCATTGCCGGTGACCTTCGGATATAAGTGCGCCGTGTGGCTATCTGGGTTCCAGCGACATCTGGACAGACTGACGCAGCTTCGTGATCGGACTTTACTCGTGCAGTTTGGCGGTGCAGCGGGTTCGCTCGCGTCGCTGGGTTCTGGCGATGATGGACTTCGGGTGCGAAAGGCGTTGGCCAAGGAACTTGGTTTATCTAATCCTTCGATCACATGGCACGTTGCTCGAGACGGTGTGGCTGAAATTACCAACTTCCTCGCGTTGATGGGAGGTTCTATGGGGAAGTTGGCTTTGGATATCATTATGATGTCGTCCAATGAGTTGGGTGAGGTATCTGAGCCTTTCGTGCCACACCGTGGTGCGTCGTCTACCATGCCGCAGAAGCGTAACCCCATCTCGAGTGAGGTTATTCTGGCTGCATCTAAGATCCTGCGATCGAATGCAGGTCTAGTTCTTGATGGAATGGTGGCCGACTTTGAACGCGCTTCGGGACCTTGGCATCTCGAGTGGGTTGCTGTGCCAGAGAGCTTTGTTATTGCCGTTGGGGCTTTGTCGCAGACTCATTTCGCACTTTCGGGTCTATCTGTCAATAGCAAGCAGATGCTCGAGAACCTCCACTCTACGAAAGGGTTGATTGTGGCGGAGGCCGTGATGATGGGTATGGCGCCGCATGTGGGTCGTCAACGGGCTCATGATATTGTCTACGAGGCCTGCCGGGAAAGTATTGAGCAGGGAGGGTCGTTATTGGACTGTCTCCTGGAGAAGGAAGAGGTTACATCGAAAATGAGCCAGCAGCGACTCAGTGAGCTTTGTGACCCAGTTAATTATCTGGGCGCATCATCGAGGATGGTGGATGATGTTTTAGCTCTTGATTAGATTCAGTTCTCAAGTAAATAGCCGCGAAAAGTCTGTTTATAGCTGTACATACAAATGCATAGTTCCCTTACATGTCTACCATGTCTCAGTCATTTCAGCTTCTCCTCGACCATGTTAATCTTACCTCACATCCGCATTGCTCTCATCACCACCTACGGCTTTGGAGGTGGTGCTTGTCTGCTCCACATCCACATGGCCCCGCAAGAAATAACCAAAACAAAATTAAGATTCAAGAAAAGATAGTTCCCGATGGGTCCATAGCTAAACCCGGGGCTTTCACAAGGCCATAAGGTCTATGTGGGTCCTGGTATGTGGGAGCATCTATTTACACAGCACAAGATGATGAAAGAGCTCCATATGGGTCTCCTTCTCAGTGATTACATACCCACAGGGTGATACACCCCTTGAAAAATATTTCAGCATAAGGAAACCTTTCGTCTTCAATAGACTACCATCATTATATTTTCAAACTTGGGTATCTCTATCTCAAATCTTTGATCTCAACATCAATCTCAGCTCGATATCTGCCAAAATGCTTTCTCCGCCCGTCAAGGAGAGACACCCAGTCAAGGACCTCCAAAAGGTCTTTCACTACACAGATACCATGACTCGCAAGCCTACGAGAGACAATGACCCATACGAATATCAGGCTGGCTTCGGTAATCGCCACCAATCTGAAGTGATTCCCGGGACACTGCCGGCAGGACAGAACAATCCCCAGGAACCGCGTTTTGGTCTATACACTGAAGGAATCACATATTCTGCATTCGCAGCTCCTCGACACGCCAACTTCAGCACCTACATGTATCGGGTGCGACCTGCAGCAGCTCATAGTGAGTAAATTCGAGTCTGGTGGGCTGAAGTTCATATCCTAACTGATCTGCTCTATAGATGGCTATAAGGCCAACATCCCCCACAAATCCGATATCGAAAATTGTTTCCTCACTTTGAATCCAAAGGTTGCCACACTGGCCGAACAAGGCGAATGGGCCCCCTTTCCATTGCCCGGTGACGACGAAAAGATTGATTTCATTGACGGACTACACACCCTCGGAGGAAGCGGTGATCCCAACCTCCGCGAGGGCATTGCACTCTATGTTTACATGATAAATGCTGACATGGACCACCGTGCATTCTGTAACACCGATGGCGACTTCTTGATTGTCGCTCAACTGGGTAACCTGGACATTCAGACCGAACTTGGCAAGCTTTTCCTGCAACCCGGCGAGATCTGTGTGGTTCCGCGAGGCATCCGATTCTCGATTCGGCTGGGCCCTGGCTATAGCGTTGCTCGGGGGTATATCACAGAAGTTTGGGGTTCACGGTGGGATTTGCCTGATCTGGGTCCCATTGGAGGACATGGGCTTGCCAACCCGCGTGATTTCTTGCACCCAATCGCATACATTGACGATAATCTACATGAGGACTGGGCAATTGTGAATAAAGCAAATGGGTTGTATCATGCTATTGAGCAAGATCATAGTCCGTTTGATTTGGTTGCTTGGCATGGCAATGTTGTCCCGTACAAAGTGAGTCCACAAGACCCGTATCTACTAGTTAGTTGGCTGGCACTGACATGACTTTCTTTCACAGTACGATCTGACAAAGTTTTCTTCTCAAAATGCCACTTCGATCGATCACACCGACCCCTCTGTGAATTGCGTGTTGACTGCCGCCTCTCGCGATCCGAATAATCCGCTGGCGGATTTCCTATGGTTCGGGCCGCGCTGGGATGTAGCCTCCAACACGTTCCGACTACCCTATTTCCACCGCAACTCGGCTACTGAGTTCCTGGCCTCGTTATATGGAAATGGATTGGGTCGTTCGGATGACTTCCTGCCTGGTGGAGGTAGTGTGGAGATCAGCCATACTCCCCATGGAAACTTCAGTGAAGACTACGTGTATGAGATGCGGAACCAGGTGAATGAGCCCCGGAAGATTCTTGAAAGTGAGTATAGCCCTAACCCTCCCCATGGGAGTTTATGTTCCAAAATTATTAGATAGGGGCACGGGCTGACCAAAGTTAGACCAAATGACTATCATGATTGAGAGCAGTCGGTCGTTCTTGTTCACTGAATATGCCCGCACTGGATGCGGTACATTCAAGGATCAGGGTACCGACCCCAAGGTGTGGGATGCTTTGCCAGTAAGTTTCAAGTTGTTGCCAGTGTATCTTTTGGGGGCTTGTTATTGATTCTTCTTGTAGGACAAATTCTCAGCATATCCGAATATTCAGAAGATCCTGCAGCATGCCAAGGAGGACAAGGAGGCTCGCAAGCGGCGGCTGGAGACCTTTTATGATGACGATCAGCTGGCGGAGTTGGCTCGCCAGTAGATCGATAGTTCTAACTTGGAAGTAGTGATTCACTATCGTTGTGATGATATGTTCAAGCGTGTCGGTACTTGCAGGGATGGTCAACTGCCGGTCAATGGGGTGGTTGGTGGGAGACGATAGGCTTCACCCAATTCAATCATTTCACATTTGTTGTGTTTGCTTATTTCACCGTAAACCTATAAATCCCATTGGATGCAATCACGACGCAAACCATTCCCATCTGCTCCAAAATCAACAGTGGGCCACCCCTATGTAGGGTTCGGAGCTGTTGCCTTCTCCCCACGGGGAATCCGGTGGCTTGTCATCAGGGGCCAATGCGACAATCCCAGACACGAGTCATGGGCTACCATTCGTAGAGCGCAGTGGAACTGGGGCCCTGCGGTATATCCTCGGTAGAATTTGCCTCGAGCTGAAAGACCAGTTAAAATGAAGGTCAAAGGAGAGTCGTCACGATCGGCTTAACCCCGGGCTGACTAACACCTTCTCCCCTCTTTCCCCGAAGGGCAGCCCCGACACACTCGCGCTCTCTCTCAGAGAATCATGTCTCCTTCGTGATGCCGTCGCTGATTTGCGAGCTCCATCATGGTCCTCCGAAAGTGCACCATTTGCGATCGTCGCTTCAAGAAGACTGAGCATTTCAAACGCCATGAGCGGTCACGTCAGTCCCGGTCCCGGCCCTCACGCAGAAATTGGACGACCGCGCATGAAGCGAATCTCTAACATACTCTACATTAGACACCAAGGAACGCCCCTACGAGTGTAATGTCTGTCATAAAAGGTTTTCGCGAAGGTAAGCATGCACCGGGGGTGCTTGAATTTTACCAATTTGATCTGCGCCCCACATCTGCTATGAACTGCCGTCGATAACAATCTAACGCGCACACAGCGACGTTCTAAGTCGTCATGCCAAAGGTCATAACCAAGGTGCTGCGCCAAATGCTGCAGCCAAAACAAAAGATGCCGCGACGACAGAGGCCCATGACCGACGCCAGTCTGCAATATTAGGGATGTCTCCGATGGTACCGGGCCCGGAAAATGGCACCCAGATGTTGCCCAGTATTGGGCCCGAAGCGCATCAATTCCCTCCTAACATGACGCCCCGAGACGTGAATCTCTCAGTAACCGGAATCCCGCCATCCTCATTAGATTTTCTGGCGGACATCTCAGCCCACCACAGCCGAACCGACCCAGAGATGAACACAATGATGATCGATGAACAGCAGCCTTATTTCGGCTGGAACGAGACCACGCCTACAGCCCAGTCCCAGCGAAATAACAGCTTAGCGTTTGATGCGGGATCGAGTGATTTGTTACAGATGTGGCTTGAGCCGCGTACCGATGCCGGATCGAATCATGGATCCCTCGATTTCACAAACGGCCATCTCCCGTTAATTGGCGACAACGTGGTGCTCACCCCGGACCAACAACATCGCCAATCTGTTGACGGCGCCAAACCTAGCGGTGATAACATTCCCAACGAACGCTTTGCCAAGGTTCAACGGTGCTGGCTTGCTCCACCAAATCATACAGGTCGCATTATGAACAGTCTCTGGCGCGATGTCGTGTACACGGACGTGGACAACGTATTTTCTATCAGCTCGGCGCTATCTCAGAACAATATCCCACTTGCTCAAGGATCCAGATGCGGCATTGATGAAGAGTGTAGACGCAGGCTTCAGGCTGTTATTGGCCAAACTATGTTCTCTTTTCCCCACATGCAACATCCACACAACGGTGCTGCTTCTCCAGCAACGACGGGCTCGTCTTCGAATTTCTTCCCTCAATTTCCTCCTGCTGAGATTCTAGACATGGCACTTGATCTCTATTTCCGCACTTTTCACCCACTTGTGCCGTTTGTACACCTTCCTACATTCTCCGCTAAGACGACCCGCCCACTATTACTTTATGTCATGTGCCTCATCGGAATGATGTTACTTGGTACTAAAGGAACCGCCAGTTTTGTCTCGAGAGATTTTTCGGTAAGAAGCATTCTCAAAATGGTTATCTCGCAGCTATTAATGATACTGCTAGAATATGCTTGAAAGGGTCACTGCCGATCTAACAAAATGTACCATGGGCGTTGAATCGCCTTCTAGTACTATGTCTATTTTCGCAACGGCATTTCTTTTCCTGAATCTTGCTGTATTAACAGGTGTATGGATATCTTCCCTCATGTCAGGGAATATTTATACTAACACATTCACAGGACAAGACACATTTAGAAAAGTGCCAAATGCTTTATGTTAACTTGATGTCGGTAAGTAATCGGTTTCCCGATCCCCCCCTCCCCCCCCTTCAAGTATGGGCAACTAACCCGATGCTAGATTACCCAAAGACATGGGCTTTTTGCGGCCACGGAAGGTCAAATCCTAGACATGAGTCTTTTCGAGGCCGTACCCGATATTGAGATGCGATGGAAGGCATGGAGCAAGGTTGAGTCTACCAAGAGGTGAGACACTATTCGTTTACCACATAGCCAGCATCTAATATCTATAAACAGGGTCATCATCGGTCTCCTTCTTTTGGACTCCTGGTATTCTTCGCTCCTTTCAACAAGTCCGATAGTCGTTCCAGACTCAATCCAAATCATCATGCCCTGCAATGAATCCCTCTTCCGCGCACACTCATCGATACGATGGACCCAGCTGATCCGCAGCGGGAAAAGGATACTGATGCCAACGGTGCTGGCGCCGTCAGAAAACATCAATATTCCAGCAATCGAAGGTCCCACCGACGAATTATCGATCCAAGCAGTCTTAGCCATGGTCCAACTGCGCCAGTCAGAGGCCTATCACCGCCTACTTTCCAATCGCGCAAGTTACCCCTTCGCTCCCTGTCATACATATGCAATGGACGGCCGAGCCAGGTGCCTTCCATCTCTTCAGTTCCAAATTATCAGTAACTATCGCGAGTACATGGAGAAAATGAACCCCAATGCGCTTGTTATGTGGCATCATATGTGCATGATGCTTACTGCCGACATTCAAATCTTTGAATTCGCTGCTGGTCGAGCCGGGCCGGCCCCAGCTCGAAAGGCGCTCGACGATATAGCTGAGTGGTCCCAGACACCTGCTGCCAGACGAGCGTGCCTTCACGCCGCTCATATCTACAAGTCCATGACTAATCGGAAAGCTTCCGATCATCCTACATTTCACTCAATCCTATCGCTATTCTCCGCGGCGCTTGTCCTGGGCCTGTATACCTTTATGGTTCCCAATTCTGCGAATGTTTCATCCACTATAGGGTCCATTGAATTAATGGACGACATTGATTGGCAGCAAGTTGGAACAGAGGGCTTCACGAGTTTCATGGAGCCACGGGGAAGTCAGTCATTTTCACCGACTGATGATCCCGCTGTCAACTTCATCCGCAACGGCGCGACAATTTACCTTCGGGGTGTCCCTTTTCAAGGTGGGTATCAATCTGCTCGTCGGATCCTTCTTGATTACGCTGGCCTTCTCAAAGACTCGGGTAAATGGAGTGTAAAGAAATTTTCTTACGTACTACACATTATGAGCGATGTACTTATGGATGTGGAGTGATTTGGATGCCCTTGATTTTGGCTCTGTATTACTTTGTACACTATTATAGGGAAGCGTGTGGGTGGAACAATAAATCTTTATACATACTATTAACCGCTGGAATTCTGATCAGTCCGAATAGTACGCTGAGATATACGCTCGATAACTCCGACTATACTAAACACCTCATAAGAAGAAAATAAGAGAGAAACAGGCCCTTCTAAACAATCTTGCAACAAACACAACATCAAGGATTTTCAACCTCATTTTGTGCTTCTTGTCGTTTGATGCCATCCTCCTCCTTAGATTCAACTTGCGCACTAGCCTGGACCTGCGGTGCGTCCTCCGCATCCTCCGGGACTGCCACTGGCACTTCACCCCCTTTGCGATTATAATCCGTTTTCAAAATATCCATCAACCGATCTGCTGTAAGATGATCGTTTGACGCCTCCATCCGATGCGCATATCTCAACTTCCCATCAACAAAAATCCACTCCCCACCCTGCTGATCCCAGTTTCCACCCTTCAAACCCGCCAAACCACGCTTCCAAATTTGCTTCATACACTTTGCGAACGAACTTCTAAGCGAGAGCTCTGCATAAGGCGGTGGATCGGTGAATGCAGTCGTCCGGTTCATTTGTAGCTTATCGTATATCTTCCCTGACGGGTCGGAGTAGATGGGAAATTCGTCGGTCGTTTCTTCCATGTATGGTATGATCATGGAATGGTCACCGCATCCGATGATAATGACTTGGGCAGGTCGAGCGTCGGGTGGAACTGTGTCTAGGAGGTTCTGGTGCATTTTACCCGCGAGGTTTCGGACGTAGTCTTGATCGTAGATGCAGAAAAAGTGGCGGACTAGGGGGGGGAGCATTCCGTTAGTTTTGTTTATTTAGTTCTATAGGCGGTCTCGGAATGGGGTAGCATCATCGTGGGTTCTCACCAAAGATCACGATCGTGGTGATTGAATCGCCTTTTCCTGCTACCAGTTCACCGAAGCGTACAGTGTCGCCACTCTGTGTCTCGAGTTCGATTTCATAGGCTTGGTGTAGGGCATCATCGTCGGGGAATGTGGGCCAGTCCGAGAGAGGTGTCCGGGTCAGTCATATTTGCCCCGGTATTCTCATTCATCTTTTGCACGATGGGCATTGTTGGAGTTTTGGGTTATTGCAGTTCCTCACTTTCTTTCTACTAGCGGGTCTTCTCGTTGTCAGTTTCCGCCACTATCATTGCATTCGAAAGTTTCGAGAATGTCATGACATCATGACAACCACATATAATCAGGGGCGGCGAATGAGGGCTTATGTGAGGTAAACTGATCAATATTAAACTTGATTTAAGATAGTTTGGGTCTAGGCGTTCTTTTAACGAGATGGTTCGTTGGATTTCGCGCCCTTCCATAAACCGTTACTACGGGGAATTGAAATTGAATTCATTGTCGATTTACATCGTACTACTACAAACGACCAATTATATCAGCAATTCTCCCATTCTTCCTCATCATCGCTTATATCAGTGAGCGATTTCCAAAAGAATTCTCGCAAATTCTCAAGTCTTGGCTTCGTGGGGCGTAGCGTGTTCCCCGAACTGATGCAATTCGATTTTCTCCGCACTCCTGTAGACGGAATGATTTCTCGGACTCTATCATTGGATCTAGGGACCCGACAACATTCAAGATCGGTGTCTGCAATGTTAACTCGTACATGGGGGTGTATATTGGGTTTGCTAATATGAACCTGGTAAAGCAAATGGCAACTTGAAATCCCCAAGGTGCGTGCTAGATGAAACAATAAATATATTAGCTCTATACCTGAAGCTGAGGATTGAAACATCGGGGTCTGGGTCTCTTATGCTCGATCGAAAATCCAAAGCTGACTCTTTCTTCTCCAGAAGGGAGGCTGTAAGAGCCGCTAAGGTTAGTTCGCAATGAGCATATTATATAGCTCAAGTTATTAGTTATCTACCAGTACTATTCATCTATTATCATCATGTGGCGCTTTTTGACAGGAATATACTAGTAGTAGGATTTTCGCTCAGTCTTCCAAGTTTGGTTGCACATGTATCACATAACCAATGCACAGGTGATGACAGAAGAATTGTCTACTATGCAAGCTTGAACTCAATATACATGAACATGGTCGCTAGCTGCGAGGTTCCGAATCAGAAGCCGGGGTATAATGAAGAGAATATGAGATTCGTAACGCTCGTTTATAGACATATGCTATATTTGATCTTAACTCATAAGCCTGTAGCCATCAGCCACAGCATACCGTAGTTTCCTCGACACCTTTGGCCTCTTCCCGGATCGAATTGAGGTCGATCTGCACCACCATCCAATCACACAAGAATTTGCCAAGTCCCGCTCCGATGAAGATGCAAATGATCACGTAGACGTTGAAATACATGGCAAGCAGCATCACGATATAGGCGCCTCCAAAGGTCAAAGCATGAATCAGCGCCCGCGCCAATTGCTGCAAGGGGGTCACACGAAAGCGAATCGCGCGCCCGGTCATGGTGGATTTATCGACGCAATTCGCGACGAATGCGGCCTTTTGCGCCACCGCTTGGCGCTCGAACTGGCGCGTCAAGAAATTATCGTACTCCTTGCCAATCCGCCGGAAGGCTTCCACAAGCACCACAAGAAGGATCACACCAATACATGTCGCAGAAAACATGCCATTATTTTGAATCTGCCATCCCTCAGAAAGAAAGCAAGCATCGATGGTGTACCAATTGAAGAGCATCTGCAATTGCGTGAGTTGGTGGAGTCAGCCAAGACAGCCGAACCTTGGCACTCACGGAAATTTTGCACTCATTGCTCGAGCTGCTCGAGCTCATATCCATGCCGTGCATGGTGGATTGGCCTGTTCAGAGGGGAATCGTAGGAGTAGGAAAGTGTCTAATGTTGGTGTAGACTCATGGAACCATCGCGGAGGTCGTCGTGGCTTATATGACATGGCCGGAAGCTCTACCCCCCACAGCGGAGATTTCCCCGAGTGGAAACAAATGCGGTTTATTCTGCTCAAATGTTCTCGTCTCCGGACGTTTCAGGGATCTGGCCACCTAGTAGCAGGGTGGGAATAGCCGTGAATCGCGCCATGGGGGTTATTATATTACAAAGACTAACCCACCACGGCCATTGAGTGCAAAACAAAATCACATACTAATAGCCCACTCTCACACACACGCCTTTTCGTTCATGTTGAAGTCAATTCACAAGTCCTGATAGTCTAAGGCCCGTTCGAGTCTTGTCGTCAGCGGTCATCGATTTCATCTCATTGGACGAGGGCCAATATGGCCGCCCTATCATCATCCCTGTTGGGTGCTCGTCACATTCAAAACCTAAGTGCTGCGACAGTATTAGAGCCTCATTGGGGGTATGCCGACCGGGCAGTCCCTTGTACAAGTGATCCGGGTTCCTGCGCATATCTCGATGTTGTATATTCAGCCCATGATCGGGGGATGCTCTATAGCGGCATCTTCTGGTCTATCATTGGCGCTATTCTACTCATCTGGGCATGTTGGAGACATTATGATCGCCCGATGATGAGTCCGGTTCTCGTTGCTCCTCAATTATCCGGTCTATACAAAACTCGTCGCTCATTTGCGGCGCTCACAAATCAATTCCTACTGCCAGATGCGTGCCGTATATTCTTTGGCCGTACTACCCGCCTCCAGGTCCTCATCCTCGCCTCACTGGCTTCCTATCTACTTGTGTTCAGCTTTGTCGGAATTTCATACAACACTTGGGTCACGCCCGTATCGGGCATGTCGAACACTTATAACACTCGCTCAAGTATCGGTCCCTGGGCGGATCGCATCGGCGTGTTTGCATATGCCCTCACCCCACTCTCAATCATGTTGAGTAGCCGAGAGTCTTTTCTCTCTCTCATTACTGGCGTCCCGTACCAGAGTTTCAATTTTTTGCACCGATGGCTAGGGTACATTATCTTTGTGCAAAGTTCTCTCCACACAATCGGCTGGTGCATTGTCGAACTCAGGCTTTATCAACCACAGCCATCAGTTGGAATTGAATGGGTCACTCAGACATACATTGTTTGGGGTATCGTTGCCATGATTCTCTTGCTTATGATGTTCGCCCTCAGCACTCCCTGGGGCATCAGGGCCACGGGGTATGAGACTTTTCGAAAGCTCCACTATGTTCTCGCCATGGTCTATATCGGTGCCTGCTGGGGTCACTGGAAGCAATTAAAGTGTTATCTGTGGCCCTCCCTGATCTTCTGGTTTCTGGATCGCGGTGCTCGATTTGTCCGGACGGCAATTCTGCATTACCATCCAGATCAATTTGATCAATCGCGAATGTTGAGCTTCAAACCAGCAGAAGCAGCTATCACTCGATTTCCAGATGAGGAGTACGGCGATGTCATCCGACTCGATATGGAAAATCCACAAGATATTTGGGATGTTGGCCAACACTACTACCTGTGCTTTCAGAAAGGAAGCATCTGGCAATCACACCCCTTCACCCCACTCAATGCCCCAACTCTTTTGCAAGGAAGAGTGAAGCATTCATACATCTTCCGGGCCAAGAAGGGCGAAACAAAGAAAATCGCCGATCTCGCTGCAACCGGCATTCCAACGACACCAGTCATCCTAACGGGTGCCTACGGAGAAGCAATCATGGAGAACTTGACGCCTGACACAAACATCATTTGCGTCGCAGGTGGTACCGGAATTACATATGTCCTCGGGGTCTTACTCGAGCTTGCACAACAAGCACCATCTCCCGACCGAAAAATCGAGCTCATCTGGGCAATCCGTCACACGTCCAATACTAAATGGATCAGTGAAGAGCTTTCTTTACTACGAAAAGCCAAGAAAAACCTGAATCTTAAGGTCAAGATATTTGCTACGAGAGATTCTAATAGCAGACCCCACTCTATTGAGGTGGATGAGCCATCGAAAGCTTTTGCAGCAGATGAGGACGAGAAAGCCGTGCAGGTGAAACCCGTCTGTGCTGCATCTGATTCTGATGTTTGTGACTGTCCGAGTGGCTCAGTTGAGAAGCTCGGTGGTTCAGCAAATAGCAGCCAAAGACATCCTTCTCTTCATAAAATGATCCCGGGCTTCTTGGAGGACACTGTCAGGGGACCTACTACCGTCTTTGCCAGCGGGCCTGGCGGGATGATTAGTGACCTGCGCAGCATTGTTGCTTCCTGCAATTCTGGCTCCAAAGTATGGAAGGGCCAGGAGAGATTTGACGTTAGCCTTATCTGTGATGATCGGTTGGAATGGTAGCAGCATGATACGCACTTATGATTAAATGTATATATTATTATCTATCAATTGAATGATTGAGACCAAGCTTCTAGCCATACTACCGTGACCTGTATCTTCACAACTTGAAATTGCTACCAATACTAGGGGCTTCTTCTACCAAGAACCTCTTCAACAACCTGCTAACCATGCCCAGGTGGCTATCTAAAAGTCCGAGATAGAAGTACCCAGATTCTTCTTCGCGGCTAATGCCAAAATTGCGTTTCCAGCAACGAGATCGGTGACACTGACGCCGATACTCTTATATACAACCAATCCCTCTGCGAGCCACCAGTTGAGATCTTGTGTAGCTTCCGTACCAAGGGACTCTTCTCGTTTCCAACTTAGGACCTGACCAATACCCAAAATCTGATCTTTGTTCAGGCCACTCTGTACGATCTCCCCTGCATGAATCAAGGCATGCTCATCATCATCGACTATCACGGCTCCTGACGATAATATGCCATCATTTTTGTTAAATCCTCTAGTCTCCGTAACATGATGAAGAATTGCCGGGTCAACTTCGATCATATCCGGCTGCCATGAGCCAACAGCGGAGATGAAGGGGGACCTGCTCCTCCCCTCCAGGTTCAAAGCGGCCATAGCGAAGATAGGCTCTCTGGATGGCACTGTGCAAAAGATTGCATCGGCCTCTACAAGGAGCTTTTGCAATTGCAACTCAAAGCCTTCCTGGGTGGGGACTAAAAGTTTCAGCTGGCAAGATGATTTCCAGTAGGAGCTGTTCTCTTCGTTCACAGTTTGAATCAGCTCCTGTGCTCTATCAAGCGATCGGTTGACGATCGTTATAGATTTAATTTCATCTCCGCGAAGAGCTAGTGCAAGCCGGCTGTGCCACAGTGCTTGCTTTCCGGCTCCGAAAATGAGAATATGCTCAGTGTGGCATCTCCAGGAATATGGAATCATTGTGCTCATGGTAGTGCGATAGCCAGTTATTTCTTCGGCGTTAAGAACACCGGTGGGAAACCCGCATTTGTCAACAAGGACGATAATTCCATGTAAGGCTTGCTGGTTTCTACTCGCCGCTGTTGATCCTGAAGGTTCGGAGGCAGGAGCTGGGTGTACAATGATTTTGGTTCCCACATTATCTGGGGATGTAAAGGGTCTGAAAAGGACCTTCTGACCATCGGGGCGATTGATGATGCCTGGGCTTGGTTGATAGTCACTTTCGTTTCCAGGGCAAATTGAGATCAAACTATCCTCAATGTCCCGTTGGATGCTTTTGATTTCATCTCTCGAGAGGCCGAGGAGGAGTTGCCTAATGGCACTGTCACCAAGAACGGTGAATTGGCTCATTCTGGTGAGTAATGTAGAGCGTCTAGAATAGAAAACTTGATGGGAGTAAAGGTGAATATTCGTTGAAAGAGGAATAAGTTCTATCACGTTAATGTCTCAAAACCTAGCTCCTTTCCGGTAATATCTTTTTCGGGGGGTGGAACCGATCTTCGAAGCCCGTCACTCTTTTATACGCTGCAGCAGACTACCATCCCATCCCATCCCCTCCATCGATGCCCCGCACATTGCCAGCTCCGCAATCGACCGACGTGCTTTGGAAAGAAACTCCCTTGCACTCTACCAAAAAGTGTCTTCATCCTCTTATTCCATCATCATTGTCCCGCAGAGTTGTTCCATCTAACAAAAAACCGATCAATTCAAAAACAGCCTAATAGCTACACATATTGGGCGAAGTGGTTACTATCGGTATACATTCCCGATTATCAGTCATTTGCATCTCGGCTGGCCCGTCCGAGATTTTGCCATTCGTATCATCACTCCGGGGTTCTAGGGGGGATGGTTCTCGGGGGAAGTGAGAATTTCCAGCCGAAGAAGCTACCGAGGGAGTCAGTGAGGAGGAGGACGGCGAGCGAAGGTAGGGAAATAAGACCAGACAATAGCGGCGGTAGAAAAGGATAGGTATAGTATAGTGGCACAGCAAAGGTTTCCAACCTCTTGTTGACCGTCCTGGTCTCCGTCTTCCTAATGGCGGACTAGTAGCTACCTAAAATGGATTGGGGTTATCACTCCAGGGGTCATTCAACGGTAGAGAATCCCATCAACCATCTCCCCAATAGCCAAGGAGCTCGTCAATCCAGGACTTTCAATACCCAGCAGATTCACAAAGCCCGGGAATCCCTCCTCTTCCTGGATCACAAAATCCTGGAAGGTCTTCCCGATGTTCACACCACCACCTCGGCTTAGCTTGGGCCGAATTCCACAGTAATCAAGAGAGATGGCTGAAGGGTCTACGCCTGGCATATATGCTAAGATCTCCGGGATCGCTTGTTCCAAACGCGCAGCGCTAGGCTGAAGGTCATTAGGATCATCCACCCATTCAACATCCGGACCAAAGCGAATACGCCCTCCCATATCGAGCGTTAAATGCGTTCCTGAGACCTCCGTGGCCCGGCACGGTAGCAGGGTATACGAGAACTGAGGCCCGTGGTCGTGATCCGCCGTACGAGAAATATGTGCCCTTCGCGTAGTGCGGCTCTCGGTGTCGTTCCTCTGGGAGAATAAGGTTATTGATGGCGCATGCGCCGTGTCCAGCACTGTTTATTAAAGTCTCCGCTGTGATAGTCGTCACGGAGCCATCCTCGTCCGAAACGGCAGTGATCTCATATCCATCACTCACGCGCTCAACGCCGGTAACTCTCGTCTTGAATGCGACATCACCACCCCGGTCCTCGAAGTCTCCTTGAAGATATGTCATCAGCGAATGAGAATCAACAATTCCCGTGCTTAAACTCTCAACAATGCCGGCATCCGCTTTGACATCGGGTTCGCGACGGGCCGCTTCGTCACAGCCGACAATCCGGGTTGGAGCATCGCCTAGGGTTTGTGCATGTTTGTGGACCCGCAGGCATGACTCCCATTGCTCGGCTGTTTGGGCGACGATCCATTTTTTGGTATTTCTGTGTGGGATGGCGTGCTTGGAGCACAGATCATAGAGCATATTGCGGCCTTGAATGCAGAGCTTTGTTTTGAGGGAATCGGCAGGGTAGTAGAGCCCGGCATGGATGACCTGCATAAGGGCGCGTACAATTAGTGGTGGGTTCCAATTAAGCTCAGAATTGAGCTTTCCGGTAGTTATTCTGGATATGCCGAGTTGCGTCTCACCTCGGAATTGCGACTGCTCGTTTCGGTTCCTGGCGCATCGTGTCGTTCAAGGAGGATCGTGGATGTACCTTCACGGGCTGCTATTTGCCTGGCGACTGCGAGCCCAACCACTCCAGCGCCAATTACCTGTCTAGAGTCAGTCAAGGGAGCCCCTATCGTAAAGGCAGCTGTTAGGCTGTTCCTAGCTCGAGGTCATGGACCTTCGTAAGGTTCGCGGCTAGTAGCTCGACTCCGAAAAAGGCGCACTCACCGCATGTGTAAAGTCTGCGCGGCAGACTCGACTGCTTGAGAAGCAGCGACTAAGCACTGGACTTCTTATGGCAGCTCTTCGTATATACATTTTGGGGAGTGTAGCAAGCTGGGTTGAGCTGCGCCGGCGGCGGGCGATAAGGAGCCCCCCCACCCGACTGGCCGAGGCCGGAGAACACGCCGATCCCATTCCGCCTACTCAAAAAGAGAAAAAGTATACATAGTTATAAATTTTTACGGAGTATTAAGGTATGATTAAATTAAAATGCTTATGTTCAAGGGTAATAATCTAGAGAAACCGGCAAATTTCACAATTGCCATACGCTATGCGGTCGTTAACGCTTGCTACAATTCTTCAACATCTCGTCCAAATGCTGTCGCTGCTCCACTGCTAATTTGCCTTGGGTATCCTGGTGACTGGTCAGCATTTCCTGCAAAATATGTCGATTGCGAGCAACTTACACTAATAATCGTCAAGATCAAGGAATAATTGTTGAAAAGGAAACGTTCCCTGCGCTTTGCATCCGTGCCGTTGCGACTCAGCTTCGCCAGGAGAGTGTCGAATTCGGTTCTCAGTCGAGCCAAACTATTGGATACAGGCTCATCATCACCAGCGTCACTGCTGAGGACAAGAATTCCATGCATCAATTGTCCGAATCTCTGCGTCAGGAAGTGTGGTGCAGAGGAGTTCTTCAGATCATCGCCGCCAGCGATCGACAGGGCAGAGACCGCGCTGCGCCCCGTATTTGATCCAACTCGCTTCAGTGACTCTCCATGGAGATCCATAATAACTTGAAAGCGGGGCCACAGCTGCATATTAATTCCATTTACGTAGGAATCGGCGACAGGTACCTTGCGCCGTTGCAGCTCGAAAGCCGAATGTTGATTCAGTCGCACGCACATGAGTACTCCCAAGGAGTCCGTGGTGTTTTCGATCAGCTTTTTGGTCAGGTTGGAGCCAATTGTGAAAGATGGCTCAAAGATGTCTGTCGCCATGCGCGAGATTTGATGGAAGGTCATAGGTGGGAAGAATTCACTAAGGAATGAATATTCCGCCGATATGTTATCCACTAAAGCGACATTGAAATTCCGGAATGGTGTTTCGATGCCATGATAAGAATGATCTTCTTCGGCGAGATAGGATGAGAGTGCCTGTTGATTTCCATTTCGAAGAACATCAATCCGACGGCCCAGTGAGAAAGGATCGTGGGCGGCAGAGCCAGCTCGGCCGCTCTGGAGAATACTGCTCCCTCGGCTTCCATGAGAGTCTCCTCCTAATACTTCGTTCCGATCGCTTGGGTATACCTTGACCTTATCAAGGGCTTGAAGGTAGCGGGTGAAATTGGAAGTATAGTACCAGCGCATTGTGTTAATATAAGCTTGGGAAATCTCTCCGGCAAGTTTAGGGTGAACTTTGAAGAGATAGCTAAAGAGGTCCTTGAACTTCACCAATCGCTGCTGTTGGATAATTTGCACATTGATGTTTGGTGATCGTATAGCTCGGATCTGTGATACCAAGTAATCCCGGATTCGCTCAGTGGCCCTATCTTTCACATTGACCAGTAGCGGTCTGACATCCTCAATGGCTTTGAAGCCACTAGAAGACGACGCCTTGGCTTCGATACCCGCCGTTCGTGCATCGATCTCGTTCAGGGCGCGCACCCAGTTTTCATCCATGGGCCCGTCGGCGATAGTGCGCACTGCTTTGGGAGAGATGCTAATTTCTTCCACGGCGGGTCCTGAGGAGACGTTCCACATTGCGCCTATTTTCCAACATCGCATTCAATTGCGTGGAGCGGGTCTGCAATGTTTCAATCTCCGCCGATACGGCCCCCAGCTCATTTGAGAAGTCATTGAGATACATCTCTACCGATCTAGACACATCATCGCATCCAGTGATTGATGTATGTAGCTCCTCAAATTTGTCGCGCTCCTGTTCAAACTGCTGGATCGTTTGCGCGTTGACATCGCTACTCGGACTCCTTCTGATCGGGGGCGGGTCTGATTTGTTGACAAATTGCTCTAGGCTCATTCCATTAAAGTCGATCGTCTCTACCAGCTCGTCTGGTCTCGCGTATCGCTCGTCCAATAATTGTGGGAGGTCCTTTTGTGGCTGCTCTTTCCCAATGATTCCATTCAAGACCTCCAATGGGTCGGGAACGACGGCTGGGCGTGTTCGCTGGCCACCACTGGCTTGTCTCAATCCTAATCCATTTGGCGCACGTGTAGTTCCAGGAAGCGAAGCCGTCGAATCATTCGGACTCAGGAGTAAAGAGGTCGAAGAGTTTCTCGCGCCGCCACCAAGACGGTTGTTATAGGGACCACCGCCAGGACCACGGGAGAGTTGAGAGGAGGATCGCCGGGGTAGGGGGGGGATTTCGATTCGGGGGAGGGGTAGCCTGGCCTGATATACGGTCACGCCACATGGTATTGAACAGTCTGGATGGATGGCAATGGCAATGGCAATGCTAATGCTAAAGCTAAAGCTAATGTATGGAGAAAGACCACGTCCAGTTGGCCGCGAGACACGGGGACGCTAAGCCGAATTTGGTGGTAGCGACGACTCCCCCCACCACAAAGCCTTTTTCTCGAGAGAAAACTTCTCCTCTTTCCATCTCCCCCATCCTTAACAACTTCTCTCTTTATTTCCTCTCCCCCCACCACTCACTCACCATGGCTGACGAGGTATGCGCTCTTCTACAGAGATTTTTCTCTTGAAAAACTACTCTTCCCCGACTCCCCCCCCAATTACCCAGCTCTGGGCTGGTCTTCTAGCCCCGCATCTTTTGCGGCTCCCCTCTTTTACCGGGAGCACCATGCGACACACCCACCCCTCCATTCAGACCACACCTTACTTTTGAAACAAATGGCACTGGTATACTAACAGGATGAATAGCACGATGTTACCTTCGAATCCGCCGATGCTGGCGCTTCGACCACCTACCCCATGCAGTGCTCTGCTCTGCGTAAGAACGGTCACGTCGTTATCAAGGGCCGTCCCTGCAAGATCGTCGACATGTCCACCTCCAAGACTGGCAAGCACGGTCACGCCAAGGTCCACCTTGTCGCCATCGATATCTTCACCGGCAAGAAGCTCGAGGATCTCTCTCCCTCCACCCACAACATGGACGTCCCTAAGGTCGGCCGCAAGGAGTACCAGCTCGTAAGTGGCCCGGCCCCTGCGCTCTACCCCGCTTCCCCCCCTCCTGGGCACGCAAACTAACTCGCTTCCTTTCTAGCTCGACATCACCGACGATGACTTCCTCTCCCTCATGAAGGATGACGGTGACACCAAGGATGATGTCAAGGTCCCCGACAACGAGCTCGGTGAGCGCATCATCAAGATGTTCCGTGATGAGGAGAAGGACGTCAGTAAGTGCAACCTAGAATCCTACGATCAATCAATCGAGAACATTGGATCTAACCAATCGTTACAGACGTCATCATCCAGACTGCCATGGGTGAGGAGGTCGCTATTGAGGCCAAGGAGGCCCCCAAATAAATGTCATGACATTGGATTCCTCACATGTTATGTCAACCTTTTATGTTTCAAAATGGGATTATCTCCCCCAAAAAATTCATCTTCAATGGTTCAATGGAGGACCTGGTCGCTTCTTCAGCATCTTGTCCAACATCTAGCCTGGGATGTAGGCTGGACCGATGAGAAGAATTGCTTTGGTTGGCATGCAACATGTTGTCCGAACAGTTCTGAACTCCAGCATCTCATGATAGTGTGACGAACGAATAAATATGAAAGCCTTGCTTGGTTTCATCCTCTCAAATTATTTTTGTGTAATCAACTTGAATCTGTGTAGCATACCAAGTAGACACCCGAGGCACTATAAGCACTAGAAAACTGTCGATAGGCCAGAAGGAAAATTGAAAATATATTCATTATTTTCGTTCATTTTATTACATCTTTTTATCTACTACTCTTTGTTGGATCCTTGAAAGTTGACATGTATAAGTCAAATCCAACCGTGTGTGGTTGGCTAGCAGCAAACGCGGTGGGCAGAAAAAAAGTTCCCGGACTGACTTCCAACACTCCGTGCCGGACGAACATTCCCGCCCAACCAGCATGACCAAATCTGCCTCGGCATGGACTATGTCACCCGAGGGGTCTGTGGCCAAGAAGGATGCCGTGAGAAGCGATACTATCTAGATAACGGCCTTTGGTTCTGTCGCCGTGGTCATTTGCAAGAGGTATGCGCCATTCACGTTTCTCCCTGTTAATGATGTTATCACAACTGCATCATATATCTGCAAGCGGGGCGCAGAAGTAGGTATCCAGAGAAAAGGCGCTAACACATTATGCAGGGCGTACAAGTTGAAGCTGATCCGGATGATTTCGGAACACAGGGAAAGACGCATCGGGTGAGGAAAGAGAAGGCCGAAACCTCACGGAAGAGTATGTGGAATCTGCATCCGATAAATCTCTTACTAGCTCTGCCGACCTTCGCTAACTAAATTCATAGCATATCGCGGTCGATGGGCATCCACGCTCTATCTACAAGCCTATCAATTGATATTATGGAAGCAATGCCATGTTCTTGTTAAGGACCATGGGTTTCCAGAGCAATTCGAGGTGAGTCTCAGTACTTGAGAACGATACAATCTTCGCATACACAGCCCCAAATGTCCAGCTCTAACGACTTCTTCCAGGGCGTTGTTCGAGATCTCTGGGCTTTGAGACTGCGAGGCTTTTCCATGCGAATCAATGAAACTACTGACGATGACGATGATGAGCCGCAAATATTTAGCTCTCAGACAACACCGGCAGAATCGGAGAACGAAAGTGCTGATGAATCAGGGTTCAGACCAGAAACTCATATTCTTCAATGGCCTCGTTTGCTCGACTCTGTCGGTCTCTGCTACTTGGCAGCAGTTTTGATGCGGCTTCCTGTTTGCGTAGTTGACTTGCATCGGTATGTTCCGTATTCTTTGGGAACCCACTTTGAAGTCGTACTTGGCTTACAAGAAAACTTCAGCTTGATAATTCGCCAGGATATACCATACATACGAGCTATGAGAAGTATTCCCCAAGAAATGGGTGAGAAACTTCCCCCGGAATTTGTTGCGAGGCTTGAAATCAACGTACGTGGGTCGAATTTTCTACGTTCCCTTTTTCCAGGAACCTTTTATCTAACCCATTTTCATATAGAACATGCCCAAACCCGAGCGAATGCATCGCGGGTTTATCGAGCTGGGTGCTTTCTATAGCCGTCGCTTCGGGATTACGCTCCCTCGTCTAAACGCACCTCTTTTGCTTTATCGGCACATCAAAAGAATGGCTGTTCCCAGTATGTGTAATAAATACTTGTTTTCTCATGGCAAAGTACTAATAGCTCGGTAGTCGATGTATACGAGACGGCCAAAACACTGCAGGGCATTCTTGGAATTACATTTGAATACCCCACACGAATTCGAGGCAATGGACGAAAGGAAGCCCTCAATCTGCCTGAAGTACAGACCATTGTCCTCATCATTTTGGCAACAAAGTTGCTATTTCCTTTTGATGATTTAGAAAGAAATCCCGCCACGTCCAAGGAACCTGCAACGCAGACCGTAAACTGGCAGAGATGGATGCAAGCCCAGCGACAATTCAGCAACCATGAGCAAGCTGGCGGCCAGATTGGAAAGGAGCAACTTATGCGCATCACCGATCATGATGCATTGGGCATGAATTTCTCCGAAATCGATCAGTACCTGGACTGGTATGAGAAGGATTGGCTGCATAATGTCAAAACATCCAATCCGATTGCGGAAATGTTCCCAACTAGCCGATCAAATGCCAGGGATCAGTCAAACACAATTGCTGGCCCGGTTCCAACTGTCGGTACGGACACAGACGAAGCACTCAGCGCGTTGTTGCAAGCAGTTTTGGCAGACCTCAAACCCGCCTCCATGGACCCCAGTTCAAAGGCCTTGCGGCCGGGTTCATGGTATGCTCGGTACCGATGGGAATCGCAGCTCCCGGAGACTGCCCGGGCATTCTATGAATTGGGGGCTCAGCTCGCTTCCATCACATTGACAACACTTGTTCGGGCCGTATCCGTAGCAGAATGGAGGGTCGCAAGATTTCTCCTTAATCAACGACGGGACAAATACATGATGGAGTGGGCGATGAAAGAGGAAGAGAACGATGTGGACAACCTTGATGAACAATTTTCAGATTTGGAAGTTTGAGCTATCTATCATTTATCCCCACCTGGGCATCATAGCGGCGTTTGGTCTGACATCTTGGTTATACTAGCATCATTAGTTAGGCGTTGGAATCATCAATCCATTTGTTAAAGAATACCACTGTTGTTGTTGTTGTTTTTTTTGGGTTTTTTTTTACTCTCTCTTTCTGAAAGGAGTGTTTGAGTTTTCACCTACCTGTTTTCAAATGTAAAGTTCCAAATAATGCAATTAGTTATTTACATAGTAATATTATTTCATAGATCTCCATGACGCATGATGCCAAAAATGGAAATTAAGATCACGTGATACCTGCTAAGCCTAAAGCGGACGTTGGTTAGGGCTTAGGGCACCCCCGGTTCGGTCCACCTTTGCTAAGCGAGCACCGCCCCGGGCACCATCAAATTGTATCGCCTCCTCCGCCTGGAACACAGCGACCGACCGCCGACACCAACGAGAAATCGCAAACAGTACGTGCCGTGAAACCCGTTGAAATACATTCCTGAGACCTGCGTGAACATGCCGAGCTAACATATTCTTCTTCCGCGCGCTTCCAGTGCAGATGTAGGTCATCTTGAATCTCCGAATGCTTTCGTCGTCCGCGAACCGCTCCCCCTCTATTTCCCCCTCTATCCGACGATCTACGAAAGAGCAACACATCACCAAACGGACGAGAAGATGGACTTGGGCTAACCCCGCTCGATATAGTTTCGTCAAGACCCTGACGGGTAAGACCATTACCCTCGACGTCGAGTCGAGCGACACCATCGACAACGTCAAGACCAAGATCCAGGACAAGGAGGGCATCCCCCCTGACCAGCAGCGTCTGATCTTCGCTGGCAAGCAGCTCGAGGATGGCCGCACTCTGAGCGACTACAACATCCAGAAGGTATGACGAACCTCGACCTCGAATTTCGATAGTTTTGGTTGGTCGGGTTGGGCATGGGCATGGGCAAGACAAAGGGTTACACTTTGATTTCACAAGGGGGTCGGAATACGTCAACGACTCAAACAAAGCGACTGTCAATACTGTGATTGAAGAGGAGGATTACATTTTTTCTTGCCCTGCCGACCTGACCACCATCAATCACCACCTACGTCGAAATCGTGGCTAACACAAACGACCTACAGGAGTCCACCCTTCACCTTGTCCTCCGTCTGCGTGGTGGTATCATTGAGCCTTCCCTGAAGGCCCTTGCCTCCAAGTACAACTGCGATAAGGCCATCTGCCGCAAGTGCTACGTACGTTTGAAATCCCTCCTTCCGCCCTGCCATCGCGGATTCGGTCCAAACGTCATCGCCAAAACCACCCACCGGGCCGAATCACAGCGATCTGCAATACCATCAGAACCAACTTACTAACGCGACAAAATCAATAGGCCCGTCTCCCTCCCCGTGCCACCAACTGCCGTAAGAAGAAGTGCGGTCACACCAACCAGCTCCGCCCCAAGAAGAAGCTCAAATAGACGACTCGCTTATCGGTGTTGTGCTCGGTGTGCTGGGGTACAGAATCCAGGTCTGGTGTATGGCTGGAACGCGACACGCAGAGGTTTATTCATGGCGTTAGAAATGATGAAACAATAACAGCCAGTCATACTGTTTTTAGTTGGCACCTCTCAATCAGGTTGCATTCCATGAATTGAAGTAAAAGTTCAAAGATTCAAATCGGTTTCCATCATATGGCCGAGTCTCGGGTCTCCCGGGATCTCGGCCTTTCCAACGCTTGTTTCACGCTCTGGGCATCCAATTTCAAGTTTAAGTAGGAGGGCTTTGATGGAGGGACATAGTTGGTTCTACAAGACAGACGGTTTAAGTAGGAATTACAGATTCCCATCTGCCAGTGGGCATACCAGTAGTCTTGAATTATTGCAATTACTTCCAAATACTACTAGTACTAGTAGTATCTAAATGCTGAACCTGCTTCAACGAGGGTCCACGGGTTCCATGCCAGTTCCTAAGCGCTTCAACATACGGTCGTCCCGATGGTATTTTTTTGGCATGCAGTATTTAGCAACATATATACTACAGTTGCTAGGATAGTATGCCTACTTTTCCTAGTGTTCATAAAATTTACCGGCACGATCTCGCACGGTTCAAGTTTCATTCAAGCCCTGGAGTTTTAAGTCTTGAGACTTTTCCCGTTATATACTAGTACTGTAATATCAGTGTCTCTACAGCTTTGAATTTGCCTGCCATATATATATCTGCGTCCTACTACTACTGAACTAGTACCACTTGAATATACCATGATATAAATCGTGATAGATACCAGTGGAACTACTAGTAGTAGTACTAGTAATTACTAGGTACTACTTCTAGTAGCAGGTAATACAACCTTGGAACTTGAAACAAGCACTACTAAGCTCAGATAGACCGGGGACAGCAAAGACTCGTATCTTTGATTAAATGCAAATGGGACATTCATTGAAACTACAAGCCATTGATGACCTGCGCATACACATTCAAGACAGGCGATCGGATCCAGACCACACCAATGAGAAAACATAAAACACCACATGCTACCCGAGCAAGACCGGCGACATTTCCAATATCCTAACCCACGCAACTCTTGCACTCCATCTCCATTTTATAGGAAAACAGGATACTAGTTATCCTTCTTGTCTTCAACGGGGCTAGCGTGCCTATGAAGTAAAGTTAGTACCCAACTGGACTGGTAACGTGCACTAAGGATAGGGCAGAAGCACTCACGCAAAGAAGAGGAACTTGATGGTAATAGCCAGGGCCGCATGCAAGACAACAACCAGAATCAAAAGAATCTTGCTAGCTTTGGCATCCGTGGCATTCAACACGGGGTAAAGGTTCCGTAGGAGGAAGAAAGTCGTCCATGCAAATCCAACGCCAACAAGCGCCCAGTTGAGCGCAGTCAACGGACTCCAGCTCAATAGAGCAACAGCAATCCAAACCAAATTAGAGTATCCGTACAGAGCCCAGCATTCAATCAGATCAGCCGTCGAGCTCCCGAACCAGCGCAGAGCACCCCATAGCGCAATAGGCAGAAGGCCAGTATACCCATAAATGAGACCCGCCGCACCAGAGAGCAGTTTGAAGTCGTACTCGAAGTGTTGTTCGTGGCGGTTCGATAGCCACTGCGAAATCGTACCCGTCAAGAATAGAATCACAACGACCGTCGTCGCAATCCAGACGGGGCCGTACAAATCCGCATTCCCCTCTAGCACATCCAGGAAGTTGGAGCGCGGGTAAAGTGTGGCAACACAGCGGCGCAGGACCTCGTTTGTGTCGACGTCGAAAAATCGCTCGTAGTAGTGAATCGACCACCAGCTGTGCTTGGTGGGTGTACCACCAGGGGATCGATCACGGCCGGCGCGCGAGGAGCTACCGCCGCCCAGGAATGGCTGTGAATCGGCCTGGACCTTGGCGCTTCGTTGGTCGTTTTCGAAGTCTATGACACGGGCGCAAGAGCGGTATTTAGAAGGCTGGTCGAACCGAGAAGCCTGGACTGACGTTGGGGAACTTACTCGATGGGTGGAATTCAAGGTCCTCTTGGAGGTCGGTATGGCCGAGGTCGCCCTGTTGAAGTGTGAGTAATTAAGGACAGAGGAAATAGATAACGTAAATTTTACTCACCTCGGCGTCCACGTCGACAACCACGTCGTAGCCCCGATTTGCCATTGTGGTGGGATTGAGTTGGAGAGTCTCGGTGTTATCGTGGAGGTGGAAGTGTACACATCAGCTTTCCCTCCCGCGGGCCACGCCACACTTTCAGCCACACTCGGTCCCCTTAGTACTACTTATATGCCCACACTTACTCTGACTACGTGGCTAGAACTACATCATGATTTCCAATATTTCTATAAAAAAAATGGATGAATTTTGAATTTATCTTCATACTAGCAATATGGGGTTGAGAGTTGCTTTCGTTGTTATCGTACAATAGGGGATTGAGGAACCTCGGTGTCGATCATGTCTCCTACCCGAGGACCATGGTCTGGAGTCGACCCAAATACGACCAGATGGAGGTGTCAAGCCCCTTCTTCCGAATGTAGATAGAGGCAGCACCGATGACAATTGCCAGAGCCATAGAACCCACGGTTCGGCGATGCTTCCAGGCAAATTCGAGAGCTCGTTTCCGGCGTTCTTCATGGCGGATTTGTCGCGCCTGCCGTTCGAAAAGACCTATCGCCTCTTCCACTGTTGGATGATGAGACAGGTCGCGCGAAGTCTTCAGAACACTGTAGCGAGAGATATGCTTCCATGCTTTGAAGGGTAACGAGTCCGGTGGGTGGTCATTGAACAGCTGTACCGCGCTAGAAATATGGCCATCTAGATCGAGCGGACAAGGAAGTTTAGAAAGCGTGAAATGGAGCATTTCGGGCTCGTCCACTGGTATTTCTAAGAGTTCCTTCTTCCGGGACAGAATCATTGCAGCAAACAAGTAGATGGCGACCACGGGTTCTCGAGCCAAGAGGAAGTCGAAAAGCCTGGCGATGTCGCTGTATTCCTGAATGTCATGGGCGTAAAGGGTAAGAGTAGCTGCGAGAGCAAAGAATGGTTGAATATTGTTGAGATGTTGGCATAATACGGGGTCAGTTGTCTCGATAATTGCAGGAATAAGATGCAGATGTTTCACAGCTGGGGAGAGTGACGGAAGCATGTAATCTCGAATGCGTAAAAGAGACAAATTTGCCATTGCCGGTGTCGCCTTCTGACGACCCAGAACGAGGAGAAGAACTTGCACAATGTCATGATATCCTTGGAAATAGCATAGCATAGGGTTGTTTCTGAGAACTTGGGTTATCAGGTCGGAAAGTTGCTCTTTCTTTTGGGAGAGCTCATCTTTGGGGGCTGAACCAATTCAATTAGCGATTCCGCACGAGTCAAATAAATTGCATTGCAGCTCACACTCACCATTAGGGTAGTAAACAAATGAGCGATTGACATCTAACTCAACCTGTTCTTCATCGCGATGCCGGGGTAAACTCTCCAGGGGTTTGAGATCGTCAACTCGTGTGCTTTCATCGCATTGCAGGAATATGGGCCCTGATTGCCCGAGGTTAGCTCAAAGACGGTCCAAAGCTTTTATAAAAGGTATTACTAACAAGCCTTTTGTCGCAATTCATCCTCAATCAAGCCACCTTCGCTTGTCGCATACGAGACCAGCGCTTCCACGTCATGGGTATCGCATGCCTGACGAATTGCTTGTGCTTTCTCTGCTCGTGCCTTTTCCATTTGTTGTATTTTCAATAACTCTTGGGAATCCTTCGACGATGCAACCGAGAGTTTCTCATCGTCAATTATGCCTGGGCTCTCTGAAGGGCTGCCATCACGTTGTTCGATATCTGGTGAATCCATTTGTCAAGCTTCACACTGACCAAGAGGCCACAGTGGATGGATGAAGGGGAAACGTGTCGTAAGAAAAAAAATTTGCGACCCCAAAATCACATTCCAGGATCATGACATTGGCAGTTGCCACGATTCTGATAGATGATTTGCTAGTCTTGGATGCAAGAATGATGATGCCTTAAGCTTGGGCAGCGATTTGATCTTGGATGACAACTCAGAACCCCAATTTTGTTTCAGACCTGCGATCACAGCGAAATAATCTTTAAGGAATCAGAAACAGAGTTTGCACGCTTTCTCCTTGCATTCCCTGCAGGGCACCGGCGACACCAAAGGGGAGTGCATGCATCGGCAGAAGAGCGGAGCCCCCGCTGAGTCCCGCCTGACTGCCTCAGGCACAAAAAAGCAACGTGATCCCCTCCCATCGGCAAAACATCGCCATTTCAAGCTCCCGATCCATCCACTGCTGGGCTCCGCTGGCTAAGTCAAGGGGTTCAAAACAAAGAGGACTTCCACAAGCTGGTCATTTTAGCCTTATCCGGCTAAGCCTCGAAGTCAAGACTCGACAGCCCGTGAAGAACACCCCGCGGGCGGTACAAGAACGCATAAAGCAGAGCTATTGAATACAGGTATACATGATATATCGACCTCTTCTCCCTATTACGGCATCTGACCAGGATATCAGATCTAAATAGTGTGGGTTAATACCTGATAATTTCATCTTCTGCCATAGAAGCTGTAAGTCCTGCAGGTGCTCCAACTTCTTTGGATCTCGCGAGTATTAATGTGATGGCTAGAGTTCGACGAAGCTATCGCACATAGAGGCAGGTGAAGGCTACATTCGCTGTCGACAGGGCGATATCCAGACGTGCCTCTGTAATACACAGCAAGCTTTGAACCCCAAAAGCCTGTCAACTGATTCAGCGGCCCCCACACCAGTACTTTTGACATCTCGATCATGACCACGCAAAGTTGATCATTGGATACCCTCAAGGACCTAGGCGCTGCAGTACTGTGGAAACAGCAACTTTGCACCAAAATTCTCGGCCCTCATCGCGGGCTGTATCTTCGTCGATTGGCTCACTGTCAAGTCAAGCTGTGGAGTCTGTGCTCAGCTCACGCCGAGAGCCTCATCCCTGCAGTTGGGCTTGTTCCCTAATATTGACCTCACCTCTGTGGCCGTTACGCCCGTTCCCTCGATGATTTTTTCTCGTCAAAGATAAATTTTCTAAAATATCACGGGTTTAGATATTTCTTCTCATCATCATTTCGTCCCGCCTGGCCACGAAGATGCCACAGGGAACCGGCATCCAACCAGAGCTGGATCGTGAGACCACGGGACTTTTGACCCAGACGGTTCTGTCTAGTCCGGTCATTCAATGGATTCTTCCTGCGCGTCTGCGGAGTAAGAAGCTTAACGATGTTGTATTCGTGGGGCACCGGCGACTTCAGATCAAAGAAGCAGCCAATGGTGGCTATCTGGAAGACGTGATGGAGATGTCAGACTTTGACGGGACCATAGTATCGGCAAAAGTTCTCGATATAGGCTCGCCAATTCCTTGGGAACAGCAGTTGAAGAATGAAGGGCCGGCTTTGAGGGGTAATGGTTATATCGACCATCATGATAACCTGCCTTCCCAAATTCTCGTCCTTTCTCTCGACTACAAAGAACTCCTTTTCCTATGCTGTCCACGTGGCCCCATATCGTCAAAACCAGAATTTATAACCTATCGTCGCCCTCTGCCAGTTGATGTGAGCTTGGCCGAGAGATATGGCAAGCACGTCGCCGTTGATCCAAAGTAAGTCGGGCAATTGCCGCTTTCAAACCTGAGCTAACCATTTCCTAGAGCCCGTGCGGTCGCAGTTGGGGCAGCAAGCAATTACTTCGGAATTTTACTCCTTAAATCACCTGGCGTGATTGATCAACAAGTCTTCTTGGGTGAGCTAGATCCAATTGAGAAGGTATGTCACAGCAATTGAACTATCCTCGCCGAAAAAGATGCTGATCCGGGACTTTAATCTATAGGAGAGCTTTTACAGAATTGACGGCAATATTCTGTTCATGGAGTTTCTGTACCCAAGGACACCTTCAGATGAGAAAATAATCCTACTTCTCATTGTGGCTAGAGATGGCCAGACCTTTGCTGAGATCTACGAATGGAACGAGAAAGATTCATCCTCTTTGAATAACCCGCGCAAAAACAATTTCAGGCTCCACAAGGAGGACAGGTTGCCGAGCACAATTGTCCCATTGACCAAAGGGTCTGCCTTTTTGGTCATTAGCTCGTCGTCTATGGCAGTCTACCCTCGCAGTGGCCCCTCAAACCGGATCGGTTATGAGCCGATTATTCCCGATGGAGATGTCATAAAAGAGGTTTCTCTCTGGACTCGATGGACAAGGCCTGCACGCAACTGGCTTTACAGTCAGCAAAAAGATGGAATTTATCTCGCTCGAGAAGACGGTTGGATTCATCTCCTTGAGTTCGGCAATGAGGGGAATCTCGAAAACCACTGTACTCTAGGCCAAGTTCATATTCATGTCGACACCGGGTTTGCCTTCCTTGACATGGGCCATGAAGGTTGCGACTTTATCCTTGCATCTGGGAACATGTCTGACGGTGGACTTTTCGAAGTCGAGGCCAGATGTCCCCCGAGATGTATACAGCAATTCCTCAACTGGGCTCCCATTATCGACGCTGTTATGGTTCCGGATTCTAGGGACGGATTGGGACTAGACGTGCCTCGCAAACGCCTTTTCGTTAGCTCTCCGTCTTCGAATGGAGCGCTTCATGAGCTCCGGTATGGGATTGAGGCCCGATTGGGTACCACAACTCCTCTAGAGCAATTCTTGAGCATCCGAGATATGTGGGTGATGATCGACGAAGTGAATCTTGAAATCTACGTGCTGCTCTCAGATCCTCTCTCGACACTCCTACTTTCAATGAAGCCAAACATGGAGGAAGGGATCACTGCCCTACACGAAGAGGACACGGGATTTGATAATGCTGCTCAAACACTTTCAGCCGGCTGCACCCCCGAGGGTGTGCTTATCCAAGTGACAGAAAAGGCCACCCACTTGTTCGTCCCTGGAATGATGTCTTTGAACACTAGTATTCCTCATGAACCCGGATCCACAATTGCTGCCGTTTTTGTGGATGGACCGAGTTCAGCGGTAGTCACTGCCGTAAGGTATCAAAACAGACTAGGGCTTCAATTCAGCCAACTCGTTGTTACACCAGACGAAGCTCGACTGAATTTGGGACCACTATTTGAGATTCAGAGGGAGCCTGTATGTCTCTCGATCAATACATTTGAGGCAGCAGGAAGTGGCGGCCTCATATTCATGGGCACAGGTGATGGCAATGTGATGGTATTCAGGGTTGATAATGGGAATATTTCATTCCTTTTGGAGCAGCAGTTATCCATCGAACGAGATCAAGATATCTCTAATGCGGTCGAGAGTCTAGCCATGATACAAGTCGCCTGGGAAGGAAAACCACATGCATTTCTACTTTGCGGTCTTCGAAGTGGTATACTGGTCCCGTTTGAGATCGGGTTTGAGAATGGCAGCATAATAGGTAAGGTACCCAATCGCACGAAAAGGAAGTGCATGCTGATTTGAAAATTGCTAGGTTTCAAACAGCAAAAGTCATGGAACATTGGAAGAACCTCCCTCCGACTTCAAAGTCAAGGTTCCTTTGCCCTGTTCACATGTGGTGATGAACTCTGGAGGGTGTCATACAGTCCTAACCTTCCAGGGGAATGTCTTCTTTGGCGAGTTTGGATCACAGACCAGATTAGCGTGAGTTCGAATTCTTTTTCCTGTCAGGCATAAACAAAACTGACTATGAACTAGCCTGCCTATTCCCCCGTGACATTACATGGTTTTAGTTTGGCCAATACTCGCGGGCAAGAAACAGCACCGATCCTCGAGAATCTCTATTGCTTTGCAGATGGTGATCTTCTCATCTGCTCGCTAACTCAAGAGGCCAAAATGGTTCCTCGAAGGATTGGCTTACCCGGGAATCCTAGCAAGCTGGCGTATTCCGAACATCTCAGGAGTCTCATCGTCTCATACAATATCACCGAAATAGAGGATGAGCAAGCCCCTCTTGAGAAAACCACACGATCATACCTCGACTTCGTGGATCCAAACCTACAAACAAATCTGCAGCCGAACAACGAAAGATCGTGGAAAGGTCACAGTGCCGCCGGAGAGATAATCACTTGTATTCTGGACTGGGTTTTCGAAAAGGACGGTAATAAATTTCACCTTATCGCTATTGGAACTTCGCTTGCGGCACTTGATTCTGACGAGCCTCCCAAGGGGCGAGTCATCATCATGCGAGCAAGCGCATCTCCTGCCAACCCCTCCAGAATTGAATGTGCAACAAAGCATGTGCACGATATGCCTGGCCCTGTGCGGGCAATAGCGCCTTACGGGGATAGTCTGATAATTGGGGCAGGGAAAGTAATCATTCCACTGAGTTCTAAGGGTGCTACTACACGATGGGCTCCAAATTTTTCACGGCCAGCTCCATCCTCTGTAGTTGGAATCACGACTTACGAATCCTTTGTCTTCGTCACAACAGCACGTAACGGTTTCCTCGTCTACGAAGTCCAGGATGGGCGCTTGATCAGCCATGCCTGGGATCTACAGCAGAATGATGGAATGGCCCACCAGATCTGTCTTGGGGAAAAGCCCATGGTGTTCTTGAGCAGCCGTGGCGGACGGATTCGAGCGCCTTTGCTATCACCAAGGGATTTCCGCGACCGAGGTTTCACGACGCCACTAACGGCAGAGAACAAGCTGCCCGACTCCATTCTCAAGTTTGTCTTGGACTCAAGAGATTCTTCCGATTCGAACTCGCTTTCGCGTGTCTCTGGTTGGTCCAAGGGAAGCGCCGTTTACGGCTTCGCTCTCAGTGGTGCACTCTATCGATTCCAGGTCGTCAAAAAGGATGAAATGACCTTACTATGGCTTTTACAAGTTATCTGTCTTCGTGGTGAAACTGGTCTCAGATCGCGGCATTCTGGATTTAGGTCCAGACGACGACGAACGGCCTCGTATAGAGAACCAGAGAAAGACAACACTCAGGTTGACGGGGATGTCCTGGGTCGGCTAGCCCAGCGTGGCACGAAGGCGTTTGAGGACTTGGTAGCATCGCTAGACTCTTCTCCTGAAGATTCAGCAATGTCATTCCAGAATCGACTACGAGATTTAGCGTATTCGGTGTTGGACGTTGATGATGAGCATTATCTCAAGTCCATCATGGCATGGCTCCAGCGACTCCTACATGTTACCATCTGAAACCCGAGATAGCAAAAGATCCTCATAATGCCACCGTATTTTGATTTTTATATTTACTAGTACCTAGTTATCACTCAAGAATAGTATACTGGGTGTAGGCCATTTCCCATTCTGAGACCAAGTCAGATGATCACGATTAGCGAGGTGAATGAAAGGAACACAACTTTGAAAATGAAAATAAAAAAATTCCATAAGAATCATTGAAGCTATTAAAAGATAGAATCTTTTTGTATAAGGTAGCTAAGGTAGCTAGCTCATTCTTGCTCAATCCTACTACTACTACTCGTACAAGATTCGCCTCGTGTGTTCGTGGCAACCTTGGGTGAAATCAGACGTTCCCCACCATCAACCTCGACCCATTGAAACATTGAGATTCCCTTCCCGAAATTCTTTTTCTCCCCCACCCCACTCCCTTGGTGAACTACCAGCCTTTCTTTTCTGGGGACTTTAAGATCGAAGTCTTCGACTCGTCTTTTACTCTTCGCGGTTCGTGATTCGACCACGATTCTTCACCACCCGCAAACGAACGGTTAGCTCCGTTTGTGCGATCACTACGGTCCTTTGATCACCCCTCGACCCCTACATCAAACCACCACATCCCCCACAAACACAAAATGGCGCCCAAGAAGAAGGGAGGCAGAAAGCAAGAGGAGGACTGGGAGGCCGATCTCGGCGAGTCGGCCCCGGCTGTCGATGCTCCCACCGAAGAGCCCGAGAACGGCGATGGGAATGAGGAGGAGGCCCCCGCCGGTGGCCTGATGGCTGCTCTTCGCAAGAACAAGGCCAAGAAGGCTAAGAAGGGCAAGCAAACCAATGACTTTGTGGAGGGCGAAGATGCTGAAGTCGCCCCCGCTGCCAGCAAGGAGCCCGAGGAGGGTACTTTCGATGAGGATGACGTCTTTGCTGGAAAGCCCAAGAAGCAGGTGAAGGAGGTTGCTGCTACCCCGGCCGCAGGTGAGCCCGAGGAGGGCGAATTCCGTGTGAAGTCGAAGAAGGAGAAGGAGCGTGAGAAGAAGGAGCGCGAGAAGGCCCGTAAGAAGGAACAGGTATGGTTATTAAATGAATCCAGTGCCTAGGAATCTGCTAATTGGATATCTATTATCAATAGGCCGCCTCAAAGAAGAAGATTACTCCTGCCCAACAGAAGGCTGAAGAGGCAAAGGCTGCCGCCGACGCCAAGAAGGAAGCGGATGCTGCTGCTGCCGCTGCTGCTTCAGAGCCCGCTGGTAAGGGCCGAAAACTGCCTAAGCACCTGGCAGCCCTGCAAAAGCAACAGGAGATTCTCCGTCAACAGCGCGAGGAGGAGGAACGCATTGCGGCCGAGGATAAGGCGGCCCAAGAAGCCGCCCAGAAGCTGGAGGAGGAGGAAGAAAAGAAGCGTGAGGCTGCTCGTGCTATTAAGAAGGAGAAGGAGCGCGAGAGGAAGGAACAGCTCCGCAAGGAGGGCAAGCTTCTCACCAAGGCTCAAAGGGAGGCCCAGCAAAAGACTGAGATGCGCATGAAGCAGATGCTTGCATCTGGTGTTTCAGTCGCGGGTCTGCAGGAGGGCGGTGCTGAGAAGAAGCGTCCTGTCTACAACAACAAGAAGAAGGGCGGTAAGAAGCAAGAGGAAGATCTTGAGGCTGCCGCCGAAACGTGCTCGCGCTCAGCGTGAGGCTGAGGACGCTCGCCGCAAAAAGGAGGCCGAAGAAAAGGCCAAGGCCGAAGCTGCCGCTGCCGCTGCCGCTGCCGCCGCTCCTGCTGAGGACAGCAATGCTGTGGATGACTGGGAGAAGGCTGCCGCTGAAGATGATGATGTGAAGGATAGCTGGGATGCTTCCAGTGACGAAGAAGAGGGCGACAAGAAGGACGCTCCCAAGGCCGAGGAACCCAAGGAGGAAGATTCCGAGGAAGATTCCGAGGAGGATTCTGACGATGACTCTTCTGATGAGGACTCCTCGGAAGATGAGGAGCAAAGTGCCAACCAGAGAGCCATCGCACAGAGGAAGGCCGAGGCCGCAGAGCGCAGAAAGAGGCTGCACGAAGAGGCCCTGGCTGCCCGCTCAAAGGATAACCTGCGCTCGCCTATCTGCTGTATTCTTGGCCACGTCGATACCGGAAAGACCAAGCTGCTGGACAAGATTCGCCAAACCAACGTGCAAGAAGGCGAAGCGGGCGGAATCACCCAGCAGATCGGTGCTACGTATTTCCCCGTTGATGCTCTGAAGCAGAAGACCAACGTTGTCAACAAGGATGGCAAGTTCGAATTTAAGGTGCCCGGTCTGCTGATTATCGATACCCCTGGTCACGAGTCCTTCTCCAACCTGCGTTCGCGAGGTTCCTCGCTCTGTAACATTGCCATTCTGGTCGTCGATATCATGCACGGACTTGAGCCCCAAACTCTCGAATCCATGCGTCTGCTACGTGACCGCAAGACTCCTTTCATCGTCGCACTGAACAAGATCGATCGTCTGTACGGCTGGAAGAAGATTGACAACAACGGTTTCGAGGACAGTCTGGCTATGCAGAACAAGGGCGTTCAGAACGAGTTCCGCACTCGTCTGGAGGCCACTAAGCTGGCTTTCGCCGAGCAGGGTTTCAACTCCGAGCTATTCTTCGAGAACAAGAGCTTGGCGCGTAATGTTTCGCTTGTCCCGACATCCGCCCATACTGGAGAGGGTGTTCCTGACATGCTGAAGCTTCTGACTTCCCTGTCTCAGGAGCGTATGACCAACTCGCTGATGTACCTGTCAGAAGTTGAGTGTACTGTTCTGGAAGTGAAGGTTATCGAGGGTCTCGGTACCACCATTGACGTGGTCCTGTCCAACGGTATCCTGCGCGAGGGTGATCGTGTGGTTCTTTGCGGTACCAATGGGCCTATCACCACAAATATCCGTGCATTGTTGACTCCCGCACCGCTCAAGGAACTGCGCTTGAAGTCGCAGTATGTCCACAACAAGGAGGTCAAGGCCGCCCTTGGTGTTAAGATTGCTGCAAACGACCTTGAACACGCCATTGCTGGTTCTCGCCTGATGGTCGTCGGTCCCGATGATGACGAGGAGGACCTTGAGGACGAAGTCATGTCCGATCTGGAGGCCCTGCTCAGCAAGGTCGCCACCGATAACCGTGGTGTCACTGTTCAGGCTTCCACCCTTGGTTCCCTCGAGGCTCTTCTGGAGTTCCTGCGCGTCTCCAAGATTCCCGTAGCCAACATTTCCATTGGTCCTGTCTACAAGCGTGACGTGATGATGGCAGGAACCATGCTGGAGAAGGCTAAGGAATACGCTGTCATGCTTTGCTTCGATGTCAAGGTTGACAAGGATGCCGCCGCCTACGCCCAAGATGTCGGTGTCAAGATCTTCACTGCCGATATTATCTATCATCTCTTCGATAACTTCACCGCCCACATGGCCGAGCTAGCCGAAAAGCGCAAGGAGGAGAGCAAGTTGCACGCTGTTTTCCCCTGTATCATTCGCCCTGTTGCTGTCTTCAACAAGACGGACCCTATTGTCATCGGTATCGATGTCATTGAGGGCAGCCTGCGTCTCCACACCCCTCTCGCGGCCGTGCGAACCAACGCGAGCGGCGTCAAAGAAATTGTTAAACTTGGCAGAGTGTAAGTTCCTAACACAAGCTCCTCTATCCCCATTCCACAGTACTAATTCCATCACTGCAGGACATCGCTCGAGCGTGACCACAAGGCCATCCCTATCTGTAAGAAGGGCCAACCTTCCGTTGCTATCAAGATCGAGGGTGCGAACCAGCCCATGTACGGCCGTCACCTCGAAGAGACTGACACTCTGTACTCGGCCATCTCGCGACGGAGTATCGATACTCTGAAGGAGTTCTACCGTGCCGACGTCACCATGGAGGAGTGGGGATTGGTTAAGAAGCTCAAGCCTCTCTTCGACATCCCCTGATCGTGAATCCTCGGCCAACAATGCAGGTGCTCGATAAGTATTCCATTAGCGATGCTTCAGTTGCGGTCACACCCCGTTCGTTATTGCCAGGCCTGCTCCTCCCACCACAGCCCTGATCACGGCATCATCCCGGTGCGGCATCTTCTCAAAAGACCAACGAATGAGAATGTCGAGATATGACAAAATCCATCCAAAAGCGAGAGAAGAAAAGTTTTCTGTGTTTTTTTTTTTTTTGCTTGCGATATGGACATAACCATGAACGACTACGACTTGAACGTTTGGACAGGGACAAAGAGGAAAGGCACCTGTACATGAATAGGGAATGAGGCCTGGTTCTTACCAGATTATTTTTGTTATAGCTGCTTTTTTAATGAATCTTGTTAGATCTGGACTCCGTATCATACAGTGACTTAGCCTATACCTCCTTCCTTTGACAGTTTGATATCTCCCCACTCGAAAAAGTATGAACAACCCCTCTCACATAACCATCACTTAGCAAGAACACAAAGTACCTTCCGATCCATAGAGAAAAGCATCCCATAAATGAAATAAGTAAAACAAAGATCCACCCTCACTGGCACTACTCTACACAACTCTACTGATCACCATCCCAAACCTCAACCTTCCCCCCATTCTTAACCCAATCCAACCAACTCCCATGATAAACCCCAATCTTCTCAGCATCATACCCAGCCTGAACAGCCAACCGGGCCGCAGCATCAGCGCGCACACCAGCCTTGCAGTAAAAGACAAGCTGCGTCTCGCCATCAGCAGATGGCTTGGGGAACCCGAAGCGCATCTCGAACTCGTCTGGCGTGAGATACATTGCGTCGGGCTGGGAGGCGAGTGGGATGCTTAGGGCGTGCGGGATGATTCCTTGGGCTAGTTCGGCGGGTTCGCGGACGTCGATTAGGATTGGGGTGTGGGTTGGGGAGGGCGAGGTTGATGGGAGGGTTGCTGTTATCTGTGGTTTTAAGAAGGTTCAAGTTAGTGGGGGTGTTTCTGGTGATGGTCCCGGGGTGTCTCTTTTCTTTTGCTTTGGAAGAGAGGGAGGGATGGGGTAGTGTTGTATAGGTACTGAGGTACAATACAAGTGTACTAGTGGTTCAAGTTCGACGTACCTCTTCAAATCCCCATTGTCGGAAGTTAATTTGTTCAGGGTCAGCTTCGGGCTTGGACTGGTTGCTTGACCAGCGGATCTGGGCTCGAGTCTGTTGGGTTTGGATTTGATATTGCTTGTTCTGCGCTGTGAGTGCGCTTCGGCGCGAGAGGGAGGTTAGGCCTCGGGTTGTTGCGGAGTGCGGGAGGGCCGAGGTTGAGCGGAGGAATTGGCGGGTTGGTGTTTTGATGGCTTTGGAGGATATAGTGCTGGCTGAGCGCCGGATAGCGGATTGGAATGCGGATGCCATGACTTATATTTTATGAGGGGGGGTTTTTGGGGCTGGTGTGAAAGTCCGCGGAGGTGAGGTCGATGTTGGGGTTACGATAGTACTGGTGATGTCAGTGCTAGTGTCGGTTGTGACCGCCTTCCTAGTTAAGTATTTTGAAGCAGATAATGATTGTGTCGCATGACTCGTGTTGACTTCTCGTCTATAGTATGACAGTATATATCAAAATACTGTTTTCGCGACCGTATTTCAATTTGGGGGTATCCAAGCTAGAGTCCTGATTCTAGTACGTACTACCCACCTACTACTAGTATGTACCTGGTTCACGGGGTAGGCTTCAGCAGGCAATTGTGCACCTGACATTTCTGCCCTCATCAGTAGACCGTGGAGTGCGAATATATATCTACGAGCTAGGTGGACATTTCAAGTTGGAATTCATGCATGATTTTCCATTGAAGGAACTGGCGAGTCTACTATTGCAAATTAAATTATTTACAATCAATCAAAGAAAACATGAATCGAAAAAAAAATTATTAATATTATTCTAATGTGCACGGCTCGTGGCCATTTCGAGCCCGGGAAGAAGAAATGAAGAACCCCGGTAATGCTCCATCGCAGCGTGCCCACACGGGCCGCAGTCATAAACACATAATGGAAACAGGACACGGGACGCGGGGTATAAGGGTGATAACTTTGTCCTCAAAGTGCAACCCAATGCGAGGCCAAATGCCAGGACAGGGGACCCCTTTACACAAGAGGGATCTGCCACGTCGGCCAAATCAAATCGAGAAGAGAAGAGAAGAGAAATGTTCGAACAGGCCCCGCCATCTCCAGGACAGAAAAGGACTTGTTGAAACGTGAGCGAGCCCTTCTATCCGGATGTCAGGGCCGGGTTCAAATTCATGCTTTTTACTTTGGAGACTGGGGTTGCTTAGGGCGCGGGGCGGAAGTTCAGAAGGCAGTCATCCTGCGTATCGAGTGGTTAGTGATTGTATTTTCATCATGTGGGGGATTTACAGAGATGTAAGGGATTATGCATACCTGGGGGAAAATTGTGGCGAACACCTTGATGTCCTCCGACTGAGCAGTGGGGAAGTGCTCCCAATCCATCTCCAGACTGGCCTTGCCGATCATGGCAATCAGTGAGGAGACGGCGTAGTTCTGGCCCAGGCAGTAGTGGGGACCGGTGCCGAAGACCAGGAAGTTCTTGGACTGCTGCTCGGCATCACCGGTGATCCAGCGCTCAGGCTCAAAGGAGTCGGCGTTGGGGTACGCATCCTCGTCGTGGGTGGCGGGCCAGACGGAAGGAATGATCATAGAACCCTTGGAAACGGTGATCTTGTCGGTGATGGGGAAATCCTTCTTGACGAGATAAGGGACCATGATGACAGGGGGACGGTAGCGGAGGGTCTCCTTGACGACGGCACGGGTGTAAGTCATCTGATCGATCAACTCGAGGGAGATACCAGTGTTACGGTCACCGTGACGGACGCGCAGGTTCTCCTCGCGGACCTTCTCCAGAACATCGGGACGGTCAGCCAAGAGCTGGAACAGCCAGGTGGTGGCGGCACTGGTGGCATCCTGGGAGGCGAAAAGGAAAGTGAAGATAGTCTGGGCAATCTCAAAGTCAGAGAAATCACGGAGAACCTGGGCAGGCTTCTCAGAGTCCTCAACCGGGATACCCTTCTCAATCTTCTCACGGTACTTGGCAGAGTCCTGCTGGGCCTTGACCCAGGCGTCCAGAATGCAGGAAACCTCACCACCGGCAGCCATGCGAGCCTTGGACTTGGCGGTACACTTGGAGAACTCGTCAAGGACCATGTCGGCGGCCTTCTTGCCGTACCAGGTCTTGGTATAGGGCAGGATGATGGGGAAGTTGACCAGCTCGAGCGCGGCGGTAATCAGGTAGTAGTCGTCGGCGACCTTCTGGACAGCCTCCTCGGACATGTAGTAGCCGACGAAGGTGCGGCAGGCCAGGGCAGTCATCAGCTCACGGAACTGAGGCATCCAGGGAGTAGGCTTGTGCTCGAGCTTGGCAGAGTTATCGAGGAAACGCTGGAAGTAGTCGTTGAAGACCTCCTCGACGCGGGGCATGTAGCAGGACAGAGCTTGGCGGGTGAACAGGCCATTGAGACCCTTGCGGTAGTCGACGTGAGCCTTGCCATCAAGGAAAACCCAGTTGGTCTTTCCGAGAAGCTTGTGGGCGGCGTCCACGACACAGGGCTTGACATAGGCGGGCGAGTTGAAGATCTTGCGGGACATATCACGGGACGAGGCAATGACGACGAACCTGGCGCACGGTTAGTCAATTGATACCGAGAATGGCACTGGGTGCTGTGGAAGCATCAAGCAGCAAGGCCATTGTCCTGAGGGACAGATTTTTGGGGAGGCTCACTTGTGGAAGACGGAGACACAGCTCAATTCGCCGCTGTCCCATTTGGCCTTATATTCGGTGAACTTGGGGTTGACAGATTCCAGGAACGGGCCCATAAAGGGGATCTTATAGGCAGGTCCGATGATTGCGCCCTTGAGGTAGTGATACTTCACTAGAAAAGGGGGAAATTGCATGTTAGATTCATATTTTCATCTTGAGACGCGCCACGAGACCAAGACGGGACAGAGTCTGTCGAAAGAGACTCGACTCGGATTTCGGATGGGACGGATCACACATACATTGATCGTAGACGACGGCGCCAACGAAGAGAGTCACCAGGAACTTCCAGATGGTGAAGCCATCGAGCACGGAGGCGATAAGACCCGCTGGCGCAAACAGCTGGGGGGGAAATCGTCGCATCGGCGGATGGCGAGACGAAACTCCCTGTGATATTGACCATGATGTCCGGTAAGGCCACAGAGAAGAGGCCTCTTAAGGTTATATTTTTTTTTGAGTAAAGAGAGACCGAGTAACAGAAAAGGAAAAAAAAAGCAGTGACCAAAGAACCGGACTATCACCGCGCGCGAGTGGGTGGAGAGGGGGGGGGGAGAGGGAAATTCCAATCGGTCAGGGGCGGGAGCGCCAATTCCGAGTCCCGGTTGCTGGGCGAGCCACGAATGACTATCGAGCCATTATTATTTTATCCTTACGAGTAGCATACTATGGCCTGATTGACCCACCATGGGAGATTGTGCAGCTGGATTGAAATGAACAGGAACGCCTTTTATGAATTTTAGTCCCATTGGATCTGAGTCGTGTGTTCATTTTCTCGACTCCGTACTCGCCATACTTCATTCCCCGTACAGTAATGTACCGTGTAGATTGGAGTCCACCAACATTTCGAATATGCTTACTCCGTACAACATCATACAATGCAATACAACAGAAACACGATATTTACTGCAGTAGAATGACCCCGCCTAACAGGCAACATCCACTATAGCCAAGGTAACTAACAATTGTTGTTTGTGTTCTGTACTCTGGACATACTACGAATACTGCTTAGTAGGGCTTTTGGGGATAGCGTGACTCGGCTCCAGTTTGTCCCGGGGCTGGGTCACGTGGAATGACTAAGGACCGACTATGATTGGTGGACAGACATGCAGGGACAGATCTAGATCTAGATATACCTACGAGTAGCATGGGAATGGGAATGGGAATGGCCATGGCTAGATGTGTGGGCAGACTAGAGGATACCCCTCCAATTCATCGATTCCATGAAATAAATACATGACACATGACACATAAGGTATCTGCTCACCGTCCGAATCCGAACCATCCTCGTCCCTTCTTCTCTTCCCCTGCTGCCGCTGCCGCTGCCGCTGGCGCCGGGACTGGGGCCGCCTGTTGCTGTTGACCCTCGTGGGGATACTCGAGGTAGTTCCATGCAACGTCCAGGAACAAAGGCTTCACCGGCACCGGCTTCATCTGCGGCGGGTACGGCACAAGGTTGCCGAGGTCGGTTCCTTGCTGGAACTGGTGCAGGCGCTCGACAAGTGGGCGTTGCTGGCCGGAGCCGGATTGGGCTTCTAGCCGCTCCAGAGTGACCAATCCCCGATACCGGGCGACCAGTCCGCGCAGTGCGGTCTCTAGGGCACCTGCTTGTGCCCGAGAGACATCCCAGACGGGGAAGCCCCTGTGATTCTGCCGATGCAGACGGCGCCGCAGACTGAGACAAGTCCAAAGCTTGAGCGAAAAGGGCAAGTGCCTCAGTAGGCTTGCCCAGCACACCGTGAGACCGTCCGACGGCCAAAGATCTAGCCAGACATTAGATTAGTGAACTGCTGGATAGGGAATGCGGGGAAATAAATGGCGTACCTCAGAGCCCGGAAATAGCGGCGCTTCGCCTCCAGATCCTGTACAAATGCCGAGTCGGCTGCAACTCCCGGCAGCTCAAGAATGAAGTCGATACTTTGCAGAGTCGAATCGTATAGTACCACTCGTTCGCGGAGCTTGTTCAGCTTCTTGCCATTGCCTGCATTACGCTTGACAGTCCTGCCGTGGGTCGTCTGTTCCTCGCCAAATACAAGACCATCTTGCTCGCCGCACAGCACACGGTTGCGTCCAATACGCCAGCCAACAAGCTCGTAGTTGACAGCGGTCCGAGTGATCTGCAGTGCCTGCATGCGTTTATCGCCGGGATCCACGCCCTCACTGGTAAGGTCATCGAGTGCAGTTTTCGTAGCATCGACCGCATCCTGACTGGCGATAATGACATTATCGTATGCGGCAGCCTGATCTTTAGCGGAAGCTGACTTGCCCTCATCGGATAGCCAAGCAGAGAGACATCCTTCGGCGGCCGAAGCAGCAGCCAAAGCCTGAGAGATAGAGGCATCGTCCAGAGGAACAGTGCGCGACCGCCATGTTACAGACTCGGGTAGTTTCTGCACCTCGCCTTCGGCAGTTCTCCGTGTACCTGCGGCCTCCTCAGCCAGACAAGAAGGGTCGATCTTCTCCACCTCCGAGCGAATATTCGAGTCGGATGGGAAGTATTCAATCGCAAGAGAGGAGGTGGGCTTTGAGCGTGGTAGCTTCATTTGGTAAGCCGCATAACGCAGACTCGGGTCAACGGTACCGGTGAGCAAGTCCCGGAAAGCATCCTTCTTGACCTTCTGTCCCAAAGCCGTATAAATGACTCTGGCAATGGCAAAGTCGTGCAGGCACTGTTCCCATCGTCGCTTTTCCAGCCACAGAGCTCCAGAGATTGTAGCAAAATATGCCCGCGCCTCAAGAATATCAATGTCGCTCGCACCGGTGGCGGATTGCTCGTGCAGCAGGTCCACTAGGTGCTGCGCATATCCTTTAGCTTTGTTCAATCGCGAAATGATATGACGTCTGGTGGCGCCAGCAATTCCTTTCGCATCTGGATCTGCGGAGTGTGTCGACTTCATATGCATGGCTTGCGCCCAGGCTCGTTCGGATCCCAAAAGCAATAGGTGTACATATCTAGACAAGCAGCGGGAGTCAGCCTAAAAGTTCTTCACTCCTTCTTGAATATCCACAGCATAATTGAAAAGACATACGAAACATTGGTCCCGACATTCTCGGGGGTCACAGCAGGTTTAGCTGTGTATTTGCGGCCTTTGGGGGTGGCCTGGCCCAACTTCTTGCGGAGTTTGTGCAGTCTGCGGGTGGCGTGTGCCCGATAGGCATTGTAGTCGCCGACAAGGAGAAGATCCTCACGCTCTTTGAAAACGAAATCGGTGATCTCCATGATGGTGGGCTGATCGGAATGGAGGGGGAGTTCCTGGAGTAGCCAAGTTGGCCTTGGGCGGAGTTGTGGTGGGTAGAAAGGCGGTACCCCAATTCGGCCAAATGAATGGGCCGACGTGCAGCCCGGCAATTTCCAATCTTTCAACGTTTGTTGCTCCCGTTCTTCTCGATCCCATCGAGCTACACTGCTCGTGGTTCTCTCCACCTGGATTCTGCATTTTGTCTTGAAGTTGGAAGTCTCGAGCTTTCATTTCAAGGTCGCGTGCTGAGATCAATTGATTTTTTTCTATTTTTTCGCGGTATGTATGGCACCATCATCTCTCGGAACAGCTTGTTTGAATGCTGCGGAGAGAGAAGGAGACAGGGAAAAACCCACTCTACCATGAAATCATTGGCGTCTGACTTGGATGTGCATTATTTAGGACCATATTATACGATATAATGCAGCCTGTCGATCATCCTCGGTGACTTCAGTGTTATTCCAACACCGCGACGATTGGGGGTGATGTTGGAACGGGCAACCGCCTGTTTCGAGAGCGCAGGACGGCGTTTGTTTCGAGACTCCAATGATGCGATTCGAACACGGAGATCCCTGTATCGCAATTTTTGGAAACACAATGCTACTGCAGAGGACTTCCCCGGTTGGTTTCTCGCGTTGGTCCAGCCGTCAAACCAACGCTCGTCCTCCGCTCTCAACCTCGCCTCCCAAAACCAAAATCTATCGGCCCAAGATGGAGGAACGCCCTTTTTGGAATTCTTGTACCCCCGAACCTCTTCGCCGGCATTGCGCATACCCCGACAATCAAGGAGATTGGGTCTGCGCCGAAGAAGACGATCGCTGGTCGGCTTCCCGAGAAACTACACCTCCGAAGCGGTCTCAAACACTCAACCCACCCTTCCCGACACTTCACGGATACACGGGACAACCCTCCAAGATGGGACAGATAATCCAGCAGCTAGCCGGGCCATAGAAGAACTCTCAAGGATACTGGAAGACAAAAGCAAGGATGTTGACAAGGATTTCGACAAGGCATGGGTTCTTTACCTGGCTGCTGGAAAACCATCGGCCATTCGTTCCCCCTTATGTCAATATCTATCAGCTTCCAACCACAGCTCGGATTCGGACCGGGCTTGGCAACTCTTTGAGGAGATTCCGCTCAAAGACCGCTCACCCAGTGACTTTAATCGCATTACTTATTCCCAAGCACGAGTCGAAAATTCTCCAAGACTCATGGAAATAGCCACGCAAGCAGAGCATTCTACAACGCAAGAAGCTGCCAACTTATGTTTTCCTCGAATCTTCGCATATTTCTTCAAAAGGAAACTGTGGAGTCCCGCCGTGGAAGTCTCGCGAATATGGGGTTCCCTCGAACACCCAGAGGATATTCAAAAAGCCCAATTGTTATTTTTACACGTTGCAGACGTTACCCTCGTTTCGAACTGCCTGGAATTTGGACTCCATCTTCAAAAATCCAGACAATATGCTAACAAAAGAAGGCATAAGCATTTCTTTGACCTTGCAGAAGCGCTTCTGCATCAAATTTCACACTCCCCAGCTCAGCCTGAACATGCCTCGCTGTATATCCTGCTCGAAATGCTGAGAGTATATGGAGACATATATGTCCCTATGCTGAAGCATTACAGCAAGATCATCAAAACGCTTCAGTCGTCGCCAACTCGCTCCGGATTTTCTCGATCAATAGTCTTTTATCGCCAACTGCGTTTGGAGGCGCCTAATCTCCGACCTTCATATGACCTGTTAGCTGGCCAGTTGGACTCTATGAAAGCATGGGGAATGACTAGCGGTATATCATATATTTTGGCCGAATTCGAACATTTCTTTGAACGGCCGAGCATGCGTGCATACCTCGTGAGCCTGGACTGCTATGCCCATGCTGGGGACTTTTCACAGGCTGAATCGGTCTTTAACAGGATGCTGGCGGATCATGGGAACCCTACAGACTGTCGGCCAGTGCTACCACTACTCGTTGCTCATGCCAAGACGGGCAATGTGAAACAAGCACGTCGACAATTCGAACGATTGACGAATGAATTTCAGCTCCAGCCAAATACCCACTGCTGGAATGCACTTATCAGGGCACATGCTGCCAACAATGATTGGACTGGTGCACAGAAAACCTTCACTCAAATGTTAGATGCCGGCTTGCAGCCAGATTCATATAGCTTTGGCACATTGATGGGAATCACCGCAAAGAGAGGCGACGTTGATGGCACCCGTCGGCTCCTGGAAGAAGCACGTCGGCATCGAGTATTAATCACAATGCCAATGCTTGATACAGTCATTCAAGCACACTGCATAAACGGGCAGTTGGATTTCGCAGAACAGCTTGCAGAGGCGTGTTCCAAACTTGCAATCCGGGGGAACGCCACCAGAATCTGGAATATGATCCTACTTCAGTATGCGCGCAGGCTCGACGTCAAAGCTTGCTACCGGATCAGAGAACGCATGAGAGCGGTCAATGTTCCGTGGGATGCTTGGACGTATTACGCAACGATGCGTGGTCTTGTCCTGATTGGCAGACCTGAACGAGCACGAAAAATGCTTCAAGAACTGCACCATCACCGTGAAATGTATGCTGAAGAGGCCCATTACGCCCTCGTTCTATCCGGATTCGTTAAGAAACGCAACAGAGATATGGTGCACATCATTTTCAAAGAGATCGTGGAGCGATTTGGCAAAGCTGGGCCTAAGTCAAGCTTCTTGTATCTCAAAAACCAGGTTTGGCGTGATTTGCGAATCGCAAAAGAGACCGGTATCACAAATGATGCTGACGTCCGTCTGGTGCACGCGGAAAAGGCTTTGGCCGAATACCTGGCTAACTCTCATGACGCATCATCGACTTCCATGCCTGGCAACCAACCTGGCAATCAACTTGTCAATAAACCTGTCAATGATGCTGAGGTGGCTCCTCAATACGAATACCTGATCCACCAATACGGGATACGTGGTGCGATTAATCGTGCCCATGCACTATACCAGCAATTTGTGGATAGGCGGGATCCCGGAAACCCTGAGGAGCACGAGCCGAAACCGATGCCAATTGGAGTTCTCACTTCCATGATGTCTGCTCATCTAAACGTGGCACAATATAATGAAGCAGAGAAGCTGTGGAAACTCGCGATATCTGATGCTATGGAACAAGCCAGTGAGATTGTGATTGACTTGTCGCCCAATTCTTCCTCATCGAACATTGAGGGGTCCCATGCTACAAGTTCTCGGTGCTCTGACTTGCCGACCACCAATGTTTCTGTCGTTCCCCATATCCGCAAGATTACATCAGCACAGCGTTTTATTCTTGCGAAACCCTTGTCCATCTACATGCGAGTCTTGGGCTACCAGAACCAGGCGAGCAGGATCAGTGAGGTCGTGGCGAATCTCGAGAAACTTGGCTTCGAATTGACTACCTTCAATTGGTCAAGCTGGGTACAAATGCTGGCATCTTCCGACTACTATCCTGATCAGGTCAAAGCTTTCCGAATGTTCGAAGAGAAATTCGCACCTCGTTTCCCTGGATGGTACAAACTTTTACGCGGATTTGGCCACAAATCACCCAAAATGACGAATAGTACTTGGATGCTTGAAGATGATCGAACAGAGTCGTTCCGGGATGTTTCCGGCAAGAACACACGAAAGCACTGGATCGGTATTGAACCAGATCATCTGCAACCGACTTATCTCACCATCGTTTTCCTCGCCGCCTCTCTCAATCGTATCCGAGATAAAACCATCACTCAAGGCAATCACGAACTCCAGAAGATCAACACCGTCGCTCCCCAAACGGTCAAATTGATCGGTGAAATGCCTTATAAGCGCGACAAGATCCAAGGTGTATTGCTTCGACATCGTTCGCAGCAACCTGACAACGAGAAAAATCCAACCGTGCAACTCATCATGAGAGGTGGCGTTCTCGGCAAGGAAAAACCTCCCAGAAGTCGACCTGACATCTTCAAAGATGGCGAGACATTGGAGACGTGGCAGCGCAAGACTCCAAATTATCTAACCAAAGGGCCCGGGAAATCTATCGAGACTGAAAGTGCTGCGGATGACTTCGTTTGGGATGATCGGGGCGTGGTCACCCAGTTGAATCCGCTGCCAGCCGCAGACGAAATCGACACTGAGAACCACCTCCGCAGGAGTCACACCACAACCCAACAAAAGGAGAATAAACGCCAGTCGCGTTTTGCCAGTGTCGTTGCTCGTGAAAAGAAGCGACGCGAAATCACCAGGGAACGTCTCGAACCCTCTGTGAATCAAAACCTAGTCGACTACAAGGTGTTCGCAGAAGACGACCAAGCCGTTGATGAAGAGGATGAGACTCTTGCTGACCAGCCCTGGGTTGATGAGGACTTTCAGGCTTTCGTCGAGGAAGTCAAGGTTGCTGACGAGGAGCAAGTGGAAGCAGAGCCCTACGAGCAACCTGGGCAGCAAGAGCATTCCGAGGTTGAGCGCTCGGAGGATAGAGAGCAGTCCGAATCTGGATCTAAAATTGAGTGCGCCGAGCAGGCCACAGACGACCATAGCGAGGTTCCTGATGAGAACAAACCTCGCGAATAAGGAGGCGCGCTCCCTACTGTATATTGATTTGTTTAATTAGCCCGTTTGCATATATCCTGTCTAGATAGTGTCACAATGTATATTAGTATTTCCATCTCTACTGTTCAATTTTTTCTATTGAGACCGTAGTCCTAAGTATAAGGCCCTAAGCGGGATATTGCCAGTGCTGCTCGTGAGTTTTGAGTTCCCAGTGGTCCGAACCTTGGAAATCATGCTGTGAGAATTCTGGCGAGATAGTACCGTGACATCTCGAGCGCATGCACTTGAACTTGGTGAAATTTGACTTCTGATTCTATGGGTTGTTTGCTTATTATGTCAACAAAGATTCCAAGGTTTATATAGAGAATTACAGATCCTAGTGTGCATTTTGGCCTTTCAATACGGATTTCCCGGGCTCTCAGTGTTTTGAGCCTTCCGACACACTAATAGTATGCCCAGGTGCATTCTTCTAGCTTTTTCTTTCTGACTCGGACGTTCTTATATAAATCTTTGCAGATTTTTAAATAGTGTTACTATTGTTTTGATTCCTGATATGCCCAATGTCCATGTTCTCTCATTTCATGAATCACCTCTCGCCAGCCAAGGGCATCCGTACTCTCTTTGTGAATCGTGTGCCCGTTTTGCATTATCCGAAGATCCTTGGACTGGGTAATCTGGCATCGGTCGAAAATTGAGCCCTTTAGATATATCATCTGCGTCAAAAACCTTCACAGGAATATAATAGAGTTGAGAACGTCTATTGACTCGTAGCTCTTCTGGATCATCATTCCACACGGGATGCAAATTTATCGTCCCCGTGGGACCCCCTTTCAAATACGACAGATGAAGGCGTGTCAGACCAGGCACTCTTCGCTCAAGAAGAGAGAAAATGTGATCCCATGAGCCCTCGGGGATAATTGCAATCCAACAGAGGGCGAGATCGGTGATATTTGGATGGTTGGAAAGAAATTGAATCAATGAATCTTGACTGGTCGTGATACCTCCAATTTTGCATTTCCGAAGAAGGGCCATTGGAGCTTTACGATTGATGGGGTCAAGTATTGAGTCGGCAACGGCAAGTTTGGTAGTATAGAAGTGTATGTCAAGAGCTTTGAGATTTGGCGTGAATTTTAGAAGCTGCGCTAGACCGTCCATCCTTTCATCGCCTCCAGAGTCATCATCGCCGAGAGAAACAACTTCTATGAGACGTGGGTTTCTTTTCTCATAACATGCCACTTCATGGCATGTGACTGGCTTTCGGGGTGGTCGATCTGTTGCGCCGGTCGAAACCTTGTCCGAAATACTCAGAGAAAGGTGGTCGATGTGTTTTCCCATGTAGCATGACTTATTCGCATCAAGCATTTCCACATGAGTCGCAATGTCGTATAGCGGAACACTACATCTGGGCGTCCGTTGATAGATATTCAGAGTCTCCAGTTTGAGCTGACTGAGTGTGATAGCTTCCATCGTTGTGCAGTAGGTGCGTGATGCTTGCATCCATACCGGGTACCAATTAGTGTCCCCGGTGTCAGTTGTCACTTTCTGGCTGGGCCCTTGAATAATGACTGCGTCAAGTTCAATACGGTCAAGTTTCCGAATTTGACTTAGACATAAGGTGAGCTGCTTTACAGCTTCATTGTATGAGAGCTCGTCCTGGAAGTCCTGTTTGGCCTGAAGCCAGGCTATAGTAGCCTCCGCTCGGGAAAGGTCTTCTTGATTGGGATCGTAAATATTGTGACTGAACATTGTTTGAGTGGATCGATTTTCTTGTTTGTTCTTCCAAGCTTTGATGACCATGCGGGGCGTGGTCTGATCGTAGACAGTGGCTACAATTTCCAGATCTTTGACAGCGGTGCTTAGTGTGGGATGCCCAAGTAACTCCTGGAGGGACCGTAGACTTGGCTGTGTCAGTTCTATAGATTGAACTCGGCAAAATTGCATGAATCGATAGCCTGTGCAGCGTTCGCAGAAGGAACGGCTACTCAGTCGCAGAGACTTGATGCTGTTCAAGTCCAGATATATGAGAATCTCTTCCACAATCTCATGCGGTAATACCCCTGGTGGGGATGGTGTACTTGGGCCCATTTTCGTGACCCAAAGTGCAGGTGGATGCAGAAACGTTCACTTCTGGCGATTATGCTGCTTTTCAGGCGTATCTGCATTGGGGGCCAGGTTGGCAGGATACGTCATGCAAACAGGATCATACTCTACTTCTGTCGTGGAAACTTGCAACTAATCTGACTGTATGCTCGGAGTTTATCGTATTGAATTCTTCCGATCGAAATTAATACTTTTCAATATTTAGCATCGTCTATGCCTCCGCCTATGCATATCGTGGGGTACGGTAGTCGAAAACATTCAAATATGCATAGGCGGAGGCATAGGCGATGCTAAATATTGCAAAGTGGCCCCTGCCAAGCCCTGGAGAGCGGCCCCCACTCCGGGTATCTCTGGGGCCGACTTGAACTTAACTTCAAGAGTGGCCCCCTATGGGCCCCCCCCTACGGCAGCCGCCACTTTGCAATATTTAGCATCGCCTATGCCTCCGCCTATGCATATTTGAATGTTTTCGACTACCGTACCCCACTTGGTTGCAGCGCTCATCCCTCTCCGAAGAAACTCTTTATTTCCGTCTACGCTTGGCTGAAACTAGCTCCATAAATTGAGCTCATTGTTTGCTCATTGCTTGCTCTCTCTTTCAAACCTGGCTAGGAAATACTAGTACAGAATCATTACGGGAGCTAGTCTCTTGGCCTCCAAAACTTCCCACAAACATGGACGAGCGCGCACCTTTCACACTGAGTATCTTACCGGTGGAAATTGTGGAAGAGATCTTGTCGTATCTGGACTTGGCAACTATCAAAGCATTACGTTTGAGTAGCCGTGCCATACACAAGGATTGCACAGGCTTTCGTTTCAAGCATTTTCTACGCCAGAAGTCATTCCCGCTCACACGATCTGGCCTGCAGTATATCCAAGATATAGTTACACACCCTATTTTGGGCGATGCTGTGAAGAAGTTAAAGATTTGGGCCATCGTATATGATCAAACCCCACATGTCAAAGTCATCGAATCCTGGAAGAAACAGCAGAAACAGCAGAAAGAGCATGATGATAATGACGATCCTAATCTCAAGCTCACTGAAAAAGACTCGGAGCTTTCTCAAGCCGAAGCATATCTCAAATGGCTTCAAGCCCAACAAGAGCTTCAAGACGAAATTTCATATGACGAAACTGTCAAAGAGTTTAGCTTTTGTTTAGGTCAAATTCGAAGGCTTGATGAAATTGAACTCGACGCTGTGATCTGTCAAGGACCGAGCAATACAATGCCGACCGACGTTGGGAAAACTAACTGGTATCCCGTGTGGATGCGGGCGTCTCGCAATTATTGCATTGCTATGGAAGCTATGACACTGAGCGAAATTCAGTTAAAGAGTCTGAATGTCTACCAACGGACTCCCAGGTGCAGTGTTCCCTTATACGACATTGAGACCCACCTCGAGATGCTTCCTTCAGATGCATTACATAACGTAGGCAAACATCTCCAGCGGCTTTCTCTAAGCATCTCGAACAAAGTTACCACAGGTGCAATGGATCGACCACCCCGAACGCCAATTCAATGCCATGAGGTAGCCTGGTATGGGAAAAGAAGTCCACACATGCAATATGTTTCTTCACTTGGTGGGGATCACTCCGAAGACGATGATAACTTGGACGGGCTTGCAAAGTTTCTGAGATTGACGCCAAACCTGAAATCTCTTGAAGTTCATTTTTACAACACAAGTCTCCCTGGGAGGCTTGCTGGCTCTCATCGGATTATTAAAAATATCAATCGCAAAACCCTGGTACATCAGCTTCGTGAATGTAGCCTTCAAGGTATCGGAGTTAGCCAAGACTCTTTGATTCAATTCCTCTCAGATCACCCACTCATTACTGATCTCACCCTGTGTCAAATCACTCTTCTTCAAGGGGGCTCATGGTGTCCCGTTTTCACAGCTCTCGAAGAAAGAACGCCCCGTCTCGAGCGTCTTCATCTTGCGACACTGAAATGGGCCGGCGGTCACTCCGTCAATTTGCATCCCGTATGGGATGATCTTCCCAAGGAGCTGGAAGAAAGCAGATGCTCTTTTATCTCCTATGTCCATACAAAGACTTTTGGTGCAAAAGACATATCCAAGGGACTTAAGTTTCGAGAGATGCCATCGGAACCTCAATTTCAATCAACCTTGGAAGCTCAACAATGGCGAAAATCCGTGGTAATGCGTTATGGGTTGCCTTGGGAGGAAAGGCCGAAGTATGTTACTGGCAATTTTGGAAGGAGATATTGAGTTTTACTTCAAATAAAGCCGTTCTATTTCAACTACAGTGGAAATTGGCATTGTCGATAATATCATGAGATTTGAAAACTCCAAAAATCAAGGCGTAGTTTAGGTAACTATAAGCTTATATGTAGAATATTAAAAATTGATTGAATGCCATGTCTGCCCAGTCACTGCTGTCATTCTCATTCGAGTCCTACCCAGATAATTATCAGGGTCGCATCGTTAACCAGAACCCATTCATTCCGAGTCCGAGTCCTCGGCCAATTGATTATCATATGGCTCCTATACATCACTGCCGGCAAGACCTGACTCTACCCAGAGCCTGTAGCTAGCTCTCCAATCCTCACAACCCTCCTCTCCGGCATTTACCGCTTGGGGGTCGTATTCGAAGAATATCTTTCCCATCTCCGACATTCCGAAGTCATCGATATTGTTAACACGGTTCTGATAGTCAACGACATGCGCAGTCAGGCCAGTAATCCGGTTTACTAGAGTCTGAATCTGGTCTACTTTGCCATCATAGCCTTGGTCATATTGATCGTGACCCGAGCTGAGGCGTTTGAAGATAAAAGCTTTAGCGTTGTTATCACCAGATAATTCAGCGGAGGTCCACCGGCTGACACTCGGCGAATCAATTCCACCATCACGAACGGTATTCAGACAGTTTTCTTGAAAATAAGCGTCTGAGCTTAGCGAGGAGAAGTCTCCATCGGGCCCAATCAGGGGCTTTTCCCAGATGTGCGATCTGAAAATGCCCTTTCGTGATACCACAACTATAGCCACACAACCGGAAAGCGTTCCAATTGCAGATTTGAAAGCTTCCCCCTCGAGCGCTTCAAAATCAGATTGAACCCAAGCGAAATCGTAGTCCATAAAGTCAGCTGTTGTCAGCTGCTGTGTGACATAGGCGGATCCGTCGCGTACTGGAGATTGAAGCGTTCGCTTCTCCATGTCTTCGGGCTGTCTTTTTCTAATACACGATGAAGAAAGGTGTGCTCTTTTCGAAGAGCTAGATTTCCCAGGAAACGAGCATTCTTCGGTTTGCGTATCGCTTTGGCTAACTGCCCCGGCAATATCAAAAGTAATTGAGAATAAAATGCAGAGTCCTAATAATAGGCTCCAGGAAAGGGAGAATGTCTTCATGCCGATTTGAAGTGAACAGGAAAGGCAACGATTTGTAGTATAAAGCGAAGAGAGGAACTTGCAAAGGCAAGGCCGACTGATGAGCCCTGGAGGGGGCAACGATCTTGCTGTGATATTTATAATATTATCCTAATTCAGTGTATTAAATTATACTAGTACTAGTACATACCTAGGTACCTACTTAGGTATGCATTCCATTTTCCAAAGGTCCAACCGGGCCCCGGGAGCGGAACTTTCTAACCCATGGTTACGAATCGAGGTCATCCATGTAGTTAAATTATTCTCCACAGCGGGCTATGTAGCCCCCATTGTTTTACGAAAAGGGATAACACTGCGAAGATTTCTGTATTTGTTCTGCTCGCTGCAAGAATGTATGATAGACCCTAGATGGTGGGGCAAATTCTGCCTTTATACAAGAGCTCTACACCGCCAGGCAGTCTACCAGACTGTACCAGGTCCCTTAGGAAAAGACAAGTTTGACTATACGATAGACAAATATAATAGATTATATTGATATGGCGGTATCCAGAAAACCCTAGTCAATACAGATCATACCCGGTCACAATATTACTATAAACTTTGGCTATGCTAAGATCAAAATGATTGGTTACCTGAGGAAAAGCCCCTGAACTCATGGCCCAGCTCGCGACGCGACGCGATGCGTATAATTTCTAGATTTAGGATTTATTTTCGCTCTAGAGCTTAATATGTAGTGAGTATTACAGATATCTTATAGTCGCGAACGAAGAAACCTTGGAAATGGGATTTTGTTCGAATGTATAGTGATTATCTTCCTGCCAGTGTGAAGGGCTGTAGCGACAACTGTTTAATTGGGGCTAGGCCTGTATGCTGTTTACAATAATCTTGGAGAAAGAGAGTACTCATAAGCCAGACCTACATTCCATTTTTACAATCTACACTGTATATCCATCCCATGCTATGAGCCTAGATAAGATCAATCCGCTAACCAATCTGCAGTCATAATGGATTCCCCAGCTCTGGGTCCAGCCTCGGGCACTCCACACGAGACAAGACTGGCACTGCAGGACCTCACAAATGCCCAACATGCCGCCGTCGATCGGGGCCCCCGCAAATCACCAATGCTGGGAAGTCATCAAGTTGCATGGAACCTACTCCTTCACGACTCAGTCAAGCACACATTACTCTGCAACAGACCGCCAATCCTGTATCAGCGACTGTACCAGCTTCTGTGCCCCCTTCACGCATCCCAGTCAGGACGCAGAAGCAGTAAAAACAACAACAAAAGTCCTGTGACTTGCCTCACCAGGAACGTCCTACCTCGTTCTTACCTCAAAAAGCGCGTCCGTCTCGTATACGAGACATCCAAACAAAAACTATACCCCTCACCGAGTTTCCTTGCGACCCCCCCCACCCTGAGGAATTTGACGCATACTCAGGTCCAACCGCAGACGGAAGTTCTTCAACTTTGATTTGTTATATAGATCATGATGGCTTGCGAAAACCATGGGGCCATGAGATACGTCACGCAACACGAATACAGTACCTAGTGCTTAGTCCTAACTAGAAGCGTGTACCATGTACTAATACTCCTGTCGTGGAAACTTTGCAAGTGATCTCTGTACTATTGAGTTCTTCTGATAAACAAATAAAGACAGGGCATACAGTTGTACTAACAGCATACTTGGAGATATCGTGCTCTGATTGGCTCATTTGGTAGAGTGTATTACAATATTACATAAGCGACGCGAACGCGTCTTTTCACGCGTTCCAATTTTGCCTAATCGGGACGCGCTAACTGGGACCCGCACAGGCTGGGAGGTTCGTTGATTTCCATCAACTCTCCCCCTCGACTTGGACTTGGTCGATATCCCACATTGAAACCACCACAACCACCATGGATACCCAGCTGCGTGATGAGGCCGCGCAGGATCGCGTGCGGGCCGCGAAGGAATTTCTCGATCCCAGTAAGTCTGCACGATTCTGCTGTGCTGCGACCGAGATTGTTTTCTAACTTGGTGCTTTTTTTCTCTTCCAGCCGATAACCGCGCACGGAGGTTCGTCGATTTGCGACTTTATTTGAATATGGAGGGAGGATTTCGTTCTGACAAGATGAAACAGCTATCGAGCCGATATTGTGGTGATGCTCAATCGTGGTTCGCGCCGTTTGCTGGTGTGTTCTTGTCAACCCCTTGGCAATATGGGGATGGGTTACTGATGTCTACAGGTTGATCTCGATGACCTTCGCCAACATAGCCGGGAGATGGCTGATGGGTAGGTGCCATTCTCTGATATCATTGACTTCGAATGATGGTTTCGGTTCTGATGATATTCTCAAACAGACTTCTCACATCTCCCTTCGAATACACACAATCCTTCGATGCCGCCCTGAAAGACGTTGTGAAGCATGTGATGCCCGGAAAAAAGGAGTCAGCGGACGAAGTGGTATGTCTCGATTGACGCATTTATAGATGTGCGTCCAAGCAATGCAGTACTAATGGGTTGCTTTGATAGGTTTACTATTGCGCTTTCCACGGAGCATTCGGAGAGTACTCCTGCAACCCTCGCACACTGGGCTCTCAGCAATTGAACCGCATGGTGGCCCTCGAGGGAATCGTGACAAAATGTTCCCTAGTCCGACCAAAGGTGGTTCAGAGTGTTCACTACAGCGAAAAGAAGGACCGTTTTCTTGCCCGAAAGTACCGCGACCAAACTATGACCGCCAGTGGTGCCACCAGCCTGAACGTCTACCCCCAAGAAGACGAGGACAAGAACCCGGTATGTATACCGTTCTATATCAGCGAACGGACTATCGTGATTTCTAATTATCCGACTTTCTAGCTCATCACTGAATACGGCTACTCTACTTACATGGACCACCAATCGATTTCAATCCAAGAAATGCCCGAACGAGCCCCAGCCGGACAATTGCCCCGCAGTGTTGATGTGATTCTTGACGACGATCTGGTCGACACGGCCAAGCCTGGTGACAGAATTCAACTGGTCGGTATTTACCGCACCCTGGGTAATCGCAATGCAGGCTCTGGGTCCTCCACTTTCCGAACTGTTGTTATGGCCAACAATATTATTCAACTATCTTCTAAGTCTGGCGGTGGTGTTGCCCAGGCCACCATTACCGACACCGACGTCCGCAATATCAACAAAATCTCCAAGAAGAAGAATGTTTTCGAGCTATTGTCTCATTCTTTGGCACCCAGTATCCACGGACACGACTACATCAAGAAAGCTATTCTACTAATGTTGCTTGGTGGTATGGAGAAGAACTTGGAGAACGGTACTCATCTTCGTGGTGATATTAACATTCTGATGGTCGGTGATCCTTCGACTGCCAAGTCCCAGCTGCTTCGATTCGTGTTGAATACCGCCCCTCTTGCTATCGCCACAACCGGTCGTGGTTCCTCTGGTGTCGGTTTGACTGCGGCTGTTACCTCAGACAAAGAGACGGGCGAGCGCAGACTGGAGGCTGGTGCCATGGTTCTGGGTGATCGAGGTGTGGTCTGTATCGATGAGTTCGACAAGATGAGTGATGTCGATCGTGTTGCCATTCACGAAGTCATGGAACAACAGACTGTCACCATTGCCAAAGCTGGTATCCACACTAGTCTGAACGCACGATGCAGTGTTCTGGCCGCTGCCAACCCTATCTATGGACAATATGATCCCCACAAGGATCCTCACAAGAACATCGCTCTCCCCGACTCCCTTCTCTCTCGTTTCGATTTGCTCTTTATCGTGACAGATGACATAGAGGATGCGAAGGATCGAATGATCTCGGAGCACGTCTTACGCATGCACCGTTACCGTCAGCCTGGAACTGAAGAGGGAGCCCCAGTCCGTGAGCAAATGAATCAAAGCCTCGGTGTTGGCAACGAAGATCGCGGAGAGAAGAACCACACCACAGAAGTTTACGAGAAGTTCAATGTTATGCTCCACGGCGGAATGATCAACACAGCCCGAAGCCGCGGCAAGAACAACGTGGAAATCATTAGCATTCCCTTCATCAAGAAGTACATTCAGTACGCCAAGTCTCGAGTCAAGCCTGTCCTCACCAAGGGTGCTGCGGACCATATCATTGCCGTTTACTCCGCTCTACGAAACGACGAGCTCCTCGGCAACAAGCGTCGCACTTCCCCATCACACCCCGTACATTGGAGACGCTGATCCGTCTGTCAACTGCCCACGCCAAGGCGCGCCTTTCAAACAGAGTCGATGATAAGGATGCTAAGCATGCGGAAGCTATTCTGCGTTTCGCTATGTTCAAGGAAGTGGAGCAGGACAAGCGTACCAAGAGGCGCAAGATGGCTACTTTCGACGACGACTCCTCGGATAACGACAGTGATCCCGAGCTTGGGGGCGACGACGACGAAGAAACCCCTGCCCGAGGCACCTCAACAGCCACCCCTAGTCGCCGACCTACTCGGGCACGACCAACTCGCGGTGCTGCCAGCTCCGCTGTTCCCGACGAGGAGCCGGAAAGCCAGACTACCCGCACACAAACCCAGACAGACTCCCAGATGTCCGTGGCATCTTCGCACCCTGCCTCGCAACTCTTGGAATCACAGGACGACGACTCCCAACCGACTGCCGCGGAGATCACACCCGTCCGCTTTGCTCTCTTCCGCCAGACACTGGGTCCTCTCATGGGTACTCGTGTCTTCGTCGATGGCGATCAGACTAATGTTAATGATATGATCGAGGCTATCAACACGGCTATCCGTGCCTCGCCCAGCCAAGGTGCTGCGCACGTCTTCTCTCGCGCGGAGGCCATTTCGGCTCTGCGCAAGATGAATGACGAGAACCTGCTAATGTGAGTATTCAACCCAAACCTGAAACGACTAATATTATGACACACATAACTAACCAAATTCCACAACAGGTTCCTCGAGGATGATGACAACGTCTACCGTATTTAAGCTATGCCGTTGTTTTTTCAAGTCTTTCTTACGAGAAAGTCCCGGACATCCTGGGATTGTGATGCTGGTTTATGAACATGTTTCTTACTCGCTGCATTGGGATGATATCATGTTTTCCTTTTTGTCTGGAGTAAGGCGTCGATGCATTGGGGGATCTGGATAGGATCAAGTGATTAAGAATAAGAATATATGGCAGTACATTTCGTATCCGAAACCCACCATAGAGTTGAAGGCACTCGGTAGTAGACATAGCTTCAAGATTTTTGGAAGCCTTCCATACCTAGGGAGCCATACCCGACGGACATCCACGCTGCTTTTACAATCGCAGAAAATGTAGTTGTAGGAAAAAAAAATGCATGCTTGTTTCATGCCACATTACTGGTATCTATAGAGAACTGCCATGCTGCAGAGTCCAAAACATCGAAGAGAACCTTCGTCACAACCTGTAACACCACGTACCAAGGAAGAGATATCTCAGGGTACTACAAGATAGGAAACCGCCCAAGCAACGGCATGAAAAAAAGGTATAGTCGCAATTCTAAGAAGCAGAATTTGGTTCAGGTACAGAGGTCGGTATACTTTCCTTCTCCCTATCACCCACCAGCACCGAGTCATCGGACGAAAAAGACGGTGTCCGCACACCCTCGCGCACCTGCGCCTGAGTCAAAGGTGACAAACCCCGACGTAAGGACTTGGATCCCTTCCGCTTTCTCTGTTGTGGACTTTGATCTCCACCCGATATAGAAGGCGTAGTACTTCCGCGCCGGGGACGGCCGGAGGCAGAGGAGCGGGAAGGCGGACGGTCTTCGACGTCAACGGGGGTAGTGCTGCGAGAAGAGGTACGGGAGTGGGCGGACTCGGAGCGAGTGTTCCGCCGAAGGGAGGGAGCTCGGTGTTCTTGGGTGAGTTTGGACGAATTGGACGGTTGATGCTGGTGGAGGGAATGAGGACGAAGAGGAGGCTTGCTCTCTGATTCAATAGAACGGTGCAACGTCGCAGCCACAAGACGGCGGCGCCTTGAAGCGCGCCAGTCCAAGCCAAGGCGTCCGAGCCAGTTTCCCTCTGATCGAGCAAGTTGACGTTCTCGCTCGCGCAGCTGGTGACGTAGCTTTGCGCGGCGTTCGTTCTCGGAACACCAGAAGTCGGTGCGGTACTGGTCCCATTTATCGCGGAACTCCGGGGAGAATGATTTGGGGAGAAGAAGGAGATGAATATAATCGCCGCCGGGACTGAGATCTTCCTCGACGAGGCCGGACTCACTGTCCGCGCTGGTATAGTATTGCTGGTAGTGCTGCCGACTACCGCGTTTGTCGTTGGGGTGACGTTCGATAAGTTGGAAGTTGCCGGAGGGGGGAAGGGAAGAAGGGAACGGAGAAGGGAAATAGGAAGGAGACGTAGGAGAGCAACTCCTGCCACCAAGGACCGCGGATGATGATGATCTTGGTGTTCATGGTGCGGAGGCCGCGGTTGGCGACGACGAGCCAGCGCCGTGGCCAGCGGATTCCACGCTCCCATTGCCCCGTTCCCCATACCAAGAGTGCAGTGACTACTCCTCCAAGGAGGGCAACCTTTTCTCCCATCTCCACCACCCAATAAACGGAACCACCGACGCCGAGGCCATCTTCTCGGGGGCGTAGGAACAAGGCGTAGGAGAAGTAAGCGATCCAGCCGGCAAGGAGTAGTAAGAAGAAAGTATTCTGACGACGGCGTTCGCGGAGGGCCAGGTATTGCGCTCGTAACGAGGCCTCCATAATCAGAAGGTTGAGGTATATTTGGGGAGGTGAGTCGGGTGCGATGGCCAGCGGATCTGGCGTTGAGGGCCGTGGTGGGGAGGAGGAACCCGAGAATGAAGCTGAAGCCGGAGCCAATGGCTCCGGCGTAGGAGCATGAACTTCAGGCACGGGAGCACCCTTGACAATCTGATCCAAGGGCGAAGCCATGCTTGTAAATAGTTGGCCGTGGCGGCCCCGAGGAGGATTTGTTGAGAAGTGAAGTGGAGGAGGATGACAAGAAGGAGAGAGCGGAAGGGAATGGCGGCAAGACACGACATCATCCGCCTGGCCTGGACTTGCCATCTACTTTCCTCTTCTTCCTCTCTACCTCTCTGCTTCTCTACTCGGACATTGCCACTCCAGTATCTTCCACTGTACGCCAGTGTCTGAATCTCTACTGCTTCTCTACTGCACCTGCATATCCTATTGTGCTCCCCCCCCTCATATTTACCCTGTCTCATTTGCGCATGCGCATCTGCCTGTCGGGGTTAAGCCTCGTCGCCGATTGTCTCCGTGTTCAAAGCCCCCAGTCCATGACTGTCGCAAACCTTCTTTCAACTCGATTTATTCTTTCAAATCATTTTTTCCAACCTGCTTTCTCTCGCAAGGCCTCAACTTTTCTTTCTCGACCCGTTGCTCAACAACATTGGGTTGATTGCCCGCACTCCGCACCCCTCGCCACCTACATTCAGAAGTGTCGCCTGGCTTCCACGATGGCGTCAGAGTCCTTGAATTCGTCGGAAAGGGAGGCTCGTGAGCACAGCAACCGCACCTCAAGCTCGGAAGATCGAACTGGCACCCCGTACGCTGCTAAAGCGGCTGCGGGCGCTGCGGCAGCCAACTCTTTCTTTCCGTTGGGGTACCGTGAAGGGTTTAGCCAATGGGTAAGTTGCCTGCAAATGCGACCAAAAGAGATCCTATCTACCAGAATTTACTCTTACCTCTCTCTCCTCCTTTTAGTGGGCTCGTATTCCTGCCGCGGCCGCTGAGCACAAGGTCCTTTCTTACCTTCCTTACCTCCACCACCAGCCCCCAACGCATCTCCAAACTGGTAACACCACCGACTACCCAAATGGCACAGCCCCCAGCAGCCTCCAGTCGGCAGATCACAACCAACAAGGCGAGATCTCCACTAATTCATTGAACGATCCTTATGGCCCGCGCCGATGGAGCTCGAGTATGATTGAGTTGAGTGGCAAAGACCGCGCCCTCAACGAGTTCTCTGTTGAGAGAGTCGGCGAGGATGCTGACCAACATTTGGTTATGCTTCACGGCTATGGTGCAGGCCTGGGATTCTTCTATAAAAATTTTGAGCCTCTCAGCCGACTGAGAGGCTGGCAGCTACATGCCCTAGATATGCTAGGGATGGGCCGTAGTACGCGCCCCTCGTTCAAGATCAAAGCCAAAGAGCGGGAGGAGGCCATTCGCGAAGCCGAGGCATGGTTTGTGGATGCTCTCGAGGAATGGCGCATCAAGCGCAAGATCGACCGATTCACCTTGCTCGGACACAGCCTGGGTGGCTACATGGCCGTCGCCTACGCCCTTAAATACCCTGGCCACCTGAATAAGCTTATCCTTGCATCCCCAGTTGGTATTCCTGAGGACCCATACGCAGTGACAGCGGATGTACCCGAGCCCTCCGAGTCCACTCTCGCCAACGAGCTCACTCAGGACCAAAGGGACATCACCTCGGCTGCAGCGGTTCCAGGAAGTGCGCCGAAGACCACCGATGGCAGCTTCATCACAGGGCGAAATCCTGAACCCAGTGCCGCTGTCAATCAACCGCCACGTCGGAATATGCCCAAGTGGTTCGCTTATCTTTGGGACGCGAATATCTCCCCGTTCAGTCTTGTGCGCTGGACCGGTCCTCTCGGTCCGCGGATTGTGTCTGGCTGGACGTCACGTCGTTTCTCCCACCTACCTGCCGAAGAAGCTAAAGCTCTCCATGACTACTCGTACTCGATCTTCAGTCTCCGCGGCAGTGGAGAATATGCGTTGGCATATATTCTGGCGCCTGGCGCATTTGCTCGCAGCCCCCTCATCCGCCGGATTCATGGGGTTGGCCGACAGATGATTGAACCCGGTGCATCTAACCCGTTCCAAACCCCAGCATCTTCTTCGTGCTCCATCTTCTCCAAATCCGCTCCCAAACCAGAGGCCCCGCAAACTGCCAGCTCTGACGTACCGGCTACTCCACTTCCCGAAGCATTGATATCCCAAGAGCCTCAACGTGAGAAGGGTATCCCGATTGTTTTCATGTACGGTGATCATGACTGGATGGATGTCTCGGGCGGTCACGCAGCCGCAGCCCGCCTGGACGAGGAAAAATCCCGCGTCCTGGCATCAGCTTCCCCCGAAGAGAAACATGGCGATCAAGGCTCGTCCAAGGTTGTCGTTATCAAGCGAGCTGGTCACCATCTATACCTTGATGGCTGGGAGGAGTTCAACAAATTTGTGCTTTCGGAAATGGAGGATGTAAATACGAGAGAACGGGGACCGTGAGGATTTTGACGTTGGAGCGTGGCATTGACGTCCCCCTTCATTTCTCTCCTTCACTTGGATTTTGCCTGTCATATGGAAATGGAGGGCTGACATTGTCCCTGCATAATGGTCTACGAAATTTGACTGGAGAGCGAGATTGCTTTCCGGGCGTGTACACTTTTTTTTTATCTCTGCTCTTGGAGTTGCCGGCTTGTCGGGTTGTACCCTTGAACTTGACAAGGTATATAAGCCTATTTACTTCTAGACATAGAATTTTAACAAATTCTTTCAATGATTTTGTACATCGTACTAGTACTACTTCGTGAGAATCTGTATTCTGTACTAGACAGACAATCAAGCTAGTACTAGTAGTAACCATGGATGCTTTTAGTAGTAGATTAACACCCAGGCTTTAACACCTGCTAATAAATTCCGTTTAAACATATTGGCGACTAGACCTTCGCCCACCATTTCCACTCCCACTTTAAACATGACCATCGTGCAATCATAAAATTCACCAGTGCTAGCCCGAAGATGCCGCCGAGAACGGCAGCCAGTCGCGTTGGGCCCGCTACCTGGAGTAGTTCCCCAGCGATGGGAATACCAACCAGGGTTCTGGACAGCTCATTAATCGATGAAATAAGATAGTTTGTACGAGGAGAGGAGGATCTTACCCGAAGCTGCTCACGAAATAGCAAGTTCCTAGCCACTGTCCAAATTCTTCGACCCTGCAAATTCTACCAACACACACAGGTGTCAGGCTTAGGAAGCTCCCAGTTCCAAGTCCAAGCATGAAAGAGAACGGGTAAAGAACGCCAATGTAATGTCCAAGTGGTACCCATAGCGCAAAAATCAAAACCGTGGTCACTGATATTATGACAGCCATGGTGTTAAATGCACCAAAATGATCAGATGTCAGGCCTGCGAGCAATCGTCCCACGGCCGATCCTCTGATCTATGTTAGCGCCTGCCACTGTGAGTTACTGTAGCCTGAGATATACATACGCATTTAAAACAACCAGTAAATAAGTGCCTGTGTCAGAGCCGAATCCTTGAGCCACTGCGTAGGAAGGTACCAGACCCAATGATGCAAAAAGAACGATTTCACTAACTGTGAATGACTTAGCCTGAAAACAGATGTCAAAATTGATAATAGAAAAACTCACAAAATGCACCTGCTGTCGTCCATACGAATCTTGAATCCGAGAAGCACTTCATGTCAATTGTTCCCTTGCCTGCCTTCGGAGGGAGTCGACCCTTGACACAAAGATTTCCAATAGTAAGAAGGAAGACAAAAATAAAGCCCATGATACGCATAGCCCACGGCCACCCTAATCGATCCATCACATGTCTCAAAATAATAGGGAAAAGTATGCCTCCGATACTAGCACCCGCCATCGCAATACCCGTAGCCAGGCCTCGACGCTTGTGAAACCAATGTGAAATAGATGCCATTGTCGGTGTCGATATCAGAGAACTGCTGGCTCCACCGAGACCACTCATACAAAGCATGAACTGATAGTATTCCTTGCATTCGGCGAGTAGAAAAAATGATAGGACGTAGAGAACTGATCCGGTGAGAATGATCCATCGAGGACCGTATCTGTCGAACATGGGACCAATTTGGACACCCAACATTAAATTGAAAAAGACAAATACCGACGGTATCCAGCCGACTGTACTCGAGGGATATGCTTTCAATTGATGTGTTTCCCAGTATGATTGGAGGACTCCGACGGAACTCATCATGCCGTATGTGCAGATTAACATCGCGAAAGCGCCGAAGACAACTAGCCAGGCTTTCAGCCCGCCATCGGGGTATTTCTCTTCATATTCGTTTCCGGACAGTGTGTCAATTGGTTCATGAGGCGAGTCTGGAGCATGTGGTGTGTCTGTTGATTGCTCTTGTTTTTTCATAGACATTTTATCGCAGTTTCGTACTCGGGTCTAATCCGTCCTGCGTTGTTCGAAAATGAGATATGAGTTTTATGCGAATTGAAAATGCTCATATAGAAATGTTCGGAGTTGATAGAAAGTAGTGACAACAGTTCAAGTAAGTTCAGACAAAATGATGGTAAAGAAAGAAAATTGCACAAGAGTGATGATTGGTAGGAAAAGCCGAACCGGGTATTAAACATAGGTCCTAGCGCGTTAAACCTAACGCGATGACAAAAGGGTTGGACAATCCATCTTCTGTGGAGCATGCCAAATGATATGGTGGAGTTTCCCGGTGATTCAATCCATACCGCCGCGGAGAACTTAGCATAGGGTATCGATTGGATTGATGTTACTATGCTAATGCCATTTTGTCTTTTATTGAACCATATGGTATTTTGATGAGCTTCAGTAAGGTGTATTCATGTTTGATAAAGCTATTGATCGCGTTTTAGTTTTAACCTGAAAATATTACCGATCTCGGAGGGAAGTAGTCAGAAATATCAACTGGTGGGCCGGGCCGGAAGTGCAAAGATGATTGGCCCAGTCGCAAGTTTATCCTTACTAGTAATAGTCCGAGTCTCAACCTACTTCACCACAACGCCAAGTGACGATGAATTGATCACGGGAAACGATTGCATTTGATGTCTTGTTAAGCATTTTCTTACTGTATTAGATTATTATTAAGTGGCACTTCACTGTACTAGAGTCGGCCTTCTGCGGGTTGTTGATGATGAGCATGATGTGACCGATATAGAGTTCTTGATCCTGGTTGGCCCGTTACCATGGCTTTGTTTGTCGATCTCAAGATGTAAGGTAACTCCCCCACATTCATCCGGTATCCATCCCTACTTCTCCAAGGCTTCAACGGCGTGTGGAATCCTACTCTTACTGCTCTAAACATATACTCGCTGGAGCATTCGCGGTGAAAATAACCAGCGTTGTCAGCAAAGGAGGCCCTTTATGACCCTGGGGAAGACTATCCAGGTAGCTGACCACAACCACAGAGCTAACCCGACACACTTACGCATACACGAAACAAAGCACAGTCACGCCTTCTAATAGCACTCTGCCGCTTATTACTCTGAAAATTTGCAGCCATCTCAGCATGGCCTACGTCATGGAAATTTACATTGATGGAGTGGTTAGAAATTAATAGACCTCATTTTGATTTAGCCGAAGCAGAATCAGAACTTGTTAGTGGGTTTATGACAGAACACTCAGCTAGTATTTTAATAGTAACTTTTCCTTTTATTTTTTTTATATTAGTTTTTTACAACTTAAATCTAGAAGCTAAATTTCTTTTATAATACTTACTATTATTCAAGTAACAGTAAATAATACAACTCCAAGTTTTTAAAATAATATATACATATTACAAAGCCCATGAAATATAGATTTAAAAAATAATCAAGTGTTACCTCACCTTTTTTTACTTCCAATGCTCTATCTCACGCGATTCATAATATCTAATTCATCGATTTTCAGGTAGATGACTAGCAAAAGCGTACTCGGAGTCTCCTACGTGCAATTCAAGTGTACTGGAAGAGTACTAGTATTTCTTTTTTAAAATTGATATTCGGTATATTTAGAGTCTGGTTTAAGAATAGCAGTTCTCCAAGCCCCTGATAATATGACTTAACTGTCATTATTAGCGCATGACCAGGCAGAGGATCCCCCTGACGCCGTATAAGAGTTATTTATAGTTACAATCGACCCGTATGTCCCACCGATTGTCAAGAAAAAACCGGAAAGAATCATAAAGGCACACCAAGCCACATTCAAGCACCATCCGATAGACTTATCAAGCTTACCGGGGGTCCAATTATCATATAGCCACATACAACCCATAGGTTGAAAGCATAATGATGTCGCCAGGAGAGCTCCGACAAGTGCTACGAGATCACTGAACACGGGGATACTACTTGCCACAATGTATGCAACCGTGACGATACTGGAAGTAGATCCCAACCAGGTGACCCAATGAACCATGGTCTGTCCTGTGAGATGAGGAGTCCCTCGAAGTATGCGAACGAATACATGTTTAGCAGGCAGCTGTTATCAATGTTAGCATCTGCTGAAGTCTGTATTGTCGATTGAGAATTAGTGGCGATGACTCACATGAAGCAAAAGAATTGCGGAAACACTGAGCCCCGGCAGAGCAAATCCATAGCTGACTTTCTTGATCAAAATTCCCGCCGAACCAAGAGCTGGCGATGCGACATAGGAGCCGCAGTAGTAGTATACGACTGTTCCAACCACAATATAGATCACAGTGACAAGAACCTGGCAGATGGCTAGAGCTCGGTTGTAGTACTGCGGGTCGCGCATCTCGGAGACGATATTGAAGAAGGCGGGTGTACCGGCGTAGGTCAACGAAATGGTCGATACGGCAGTCATGGCGTCAATAAAGCTGGGATTACCGAAAAGCTTATAATCCGATTGAAAGACGACCCCGTCTATCGGCGGGGGTGGCCTTGAATCCCGACCGCGACTGTCACAATGAAGACTATACTCTGGTTAGACGATGGAAACACCAATGGATTCGAGAACCGGCATACCAGCAGTGATGATACATGCGGCACCTGCCCATGCTAACCAAGATATACGAGCGAGTGTTTGTATACTCGAGAACATGAAAGCAATGATGGCAGCAACGGCAACGAAAACCGCAGTGCACGTTCCATGATCAGTAAGTGCGTTGAAGGAGATCGAAATACTTAGCAGAGCGGAGCCCCCAGAGAAGATCCAGTCTAATCGTATTATGTTAGTCTTTCGAACCGCAAGACTACATTGTTTTAAAAACTCACAAAGGGTATACATGGCACCAAATAACTCAAACCCTATGCGCCCAAAAAGCATTTTGCCCACATCGTCGATTCCGTAGACCGCAGGATGGAGTAATTTAAAGACTCCAATCATCCAATTTGACCATGTTGTCATTCCGGCAATCACAATAAGCAAGATAATTCCTGGTAATATACCAAGCGTGTCGAAGACCTTTGGCATTGAGAGAACACCGAGACCAATTTGTGTCTTTACCATCAAGGCCATCGTTCCCATCCAGCTCACCTAAATTGCGTTAATTTGGTATCAATTGAGGTGTCGATGAAGTAATCCCTCACATCTCGATAGTTCGTATCTCCTTCTTGGATGGCCCCGAAAACGGCATCTTCCTGGATGGTTTTGTCTAGCACCTCTCCAAGATGAGATCGAGTCGGCTCTATAGCACTTTCCGGGTCTATGTCTGATTTCATCTTTTTATCCATAATGTGTTAAGAAAGAGCAAGTGAATTGAGAAATATCGAGTGTGTTAAGCCCAAGAGATTGCCGAATGAAATATCTGTCTAGGTGGCTTACAGGGAGCAGCGCTAATTATCTACAAGCGACAACCCCCCACAAATCCCTATAATGTGTTAAGTTTATCTACGACATAGAACCTGGGGTGCGGGGAGCCAGATAAGAACTGAAATATACATAGAAACTCCTTCGGGGGGCTGTTGGTTATGATTCGTGGCGAATATAATAGTCGAGTTAGACATCAAGAGCGGATCGTCACCCCGGACTCATCTAGAAAGTGTTGAATTGCCTCGTGCCTCAGTGTGGGGCATGTCACCAAATGGTACAAGTCGTTCCGAAGGCTGAGACAGGCTCGCAAAAGTTCCGGTATGAGATATGCACAATTGCATGACTCGCGCGCGGTTACCAGTATCTTATCGGCATCAAACAATTAAGCTTCTCAAAGGCCCCGAGAAATAGTTACAGCTCATAACCGAGCTTCTGCCGGCCGGGCAAACTCCGAGGCAGGTCGTTCCGGCTCCCCACTGACCGTTGGCTTCAGTTGCTCTGAGTGCTTCGCACTGAATTTTAAATTTCCATATAAGTCATCTTTCAAAAACCATCTTTCCTCCTGCAAATTCATGATTTAATCAATCGTGGTATCTTTTGCTCTGGTATATATCAAAGAACTTAACCTTGAAGTATTCACACCGCAAATGTGTCTCTTGTACTAAAATCCTATATACATTTGAACGCCTGGCGTGATTGAAGCACAATCAGAGACGACTCTTCAGAGCCTTATTTCCCCTTCTAATTGAATCAACAAGCGCTCGAACTTTCAGAGCCACCCCGTAGCTGAAGATATAACCCAAGCCTGCAAAGCCATAAGCATGCACAGTGGAACCCTCAGTCTCCAACCGATATCCTCCTTTTCTTCCAGGTCGGAAGGCAACAATGTCTTCTTGGACATCTTTTTCCAGGTCAATGTCGCCAATCTCCCCATTGGTCAGTGTCTTCACCCGTCGAATAATATCCGAGCGTAGATCCTTGTCCACGCTACGGTCCGTGCTACCAGGCTGGCTCACACCTCCAATAATGGCGCCGTTGGTAAACATCCGAGGGATCACATAGGTATAATGAGAGCCCTGATGCATCTTCAACTCCTCAAAATCAGTCTTCACGAACATAGTCTGTCCGCGGATTCCTTCCACATTCTTATCATTGGCAAGGGTAAATGCTCCAAGCCCAGATGCGTGTACAATTAATTTAGTACCTGTGATCTTCTGTGCCTCCTCGATAGAGTTTAGTATTTTGCGAATGAATTTCACTCCGCGAGCCTCCAACTGCTTTTGAACCCAAGGCAGGAAGAATGCAGGGTTGATGGTCATAGAGGTATACGTGAAACCAAGCTTGACGCCCTGAGGAAGATCTTTCTTGGAAATGAGACGATAGCGTGGAACGACAGTCTTGTACCAAATGGTTGAATCATCCTCGCGGTCATCATAATATTCAGTCGCTTTTACGGTCTGGAGTAATAATTATTAACCATGCACATGATGTAAAACCAATTGTGCCTTTCCCCGGACTTACTTGAACACCACTGGTGGGATCTCTGTGGGCTAATGCCCAAAAGTATTTGAAGTTCTCTGTTTGGAGATCATGGCCACCAACGTCTGGATGGGGGTAGATCGACACTCCGGCCCTGAATCCAAGCCCGTCAGCAATGTGATATAATGTAAGCAGTATACAGGGGTCTTACCAAGGGCTTGCCCAGTCCTGTGTTTCATCTCCGGGGAGATCGCGTGCGACAACAGTCACTTTGTAGCCGGCATCGGTGAGCGTTAAGGCTGATAGAAGGCCGATGATGCCTGAACCAATGATACCAACTTCCATTCTGAGGTGGCGTAGCAAAGACTGGAGAATATATGACTTTGTTGAGGAGACAAAAGGTTTCTAACGAAGTATTTACATCGCTAAAAGGTGACCCCTCTTCGGATGGGCCACTCACCCAACGGTGAATGGGAACGGAACGACCTGCCCTCCTTTTTGCCCGCTCGACTTCTCGGGGTTTCCCCGCAATTCACCCCGGTACTGCCGATCTTTAGTTATTGGTTAAGGTAAAATGTTATGTTTATTTTTATTCCATAACTAGATGATTCATATTGAACGCTGGATTGATACTATTTGCACTTTGAAACAGCCACCGAGCTGGGGGGGTAGGATAAGCACCGACATCAGAAATACTCTGCCCACCTGGTACTAACTAGACTAAAAAAAGCAAGATTTTTTTTAAGAATGAAGAATCATAGCTTATGTTTAATCTCTGTGCCTTCAGCTCAACGTTGGAATACTTAGTAACAGCCATGGAGAATTCGAGGATTCCGGACACTAGTCCTCATCTACTAAGAAGATCCTCAATTTCTCTACTTGGTGAGTCTCTCCGAAACATCCGACAGTATCACCTATCTAGTGGCCCTAGTTGGGTATCAGTTCTGTGAGGTAATTGTTTATAATGAATGCAAATCCTTCCGTTTGGACGGTCAGCAACTTTTTGGAAAGCATCGCGTATCTCTGATTACAATTTAATCGATCAGTGAGCGGTTAATATCAGACCAGCTCTAGAATTTACCTTCGATCTACGCATATCAGCATCTGGAACACAATACCAACCATGCGTTCACAGCGCAATCTGTCAATTGTCTGCTCGCACTGCGAGGGAGAAGCTGGCGATGTTATTATTGGCGGTATACTCGACCTTCCAGCAAAAACAATGCACGAGAAGTTATCCCGCTACATAAATGAATACGACGATCTACGACGACTATTACTTCACGAGCCACGAGGATGCCCGGAAATGAGCGCAATGATTATCGTTCCACCCTGCGACCCTAGAGCCGATGCCGGATTTCTAATTATGGCACCTGGGGACTGGGTTCCCATGTCAGGATCTAATACTATATGCACGACCACCGTTCTGCTCGAGACTGGAATGGTGCCGATGATTGAGCCTTTGACTGAGGTCAAGTTGGACACGGCTGCGGGACTCATTACGGCAACAGCTGAGTGCGACAATGGTCGATGCAAGTCTGTGTCTTTCGACAATGTCCCGGCCTTTGTCTTCGCTCTCGACCAGGAAATATTTCTTCCAGAAATTGGTACAGTCCGAGTCGATATTTCTTACGGAGGCCAGTGGTATGTCATTGCACAGGCTAAAGACTTGAATATTGAGGTTGAAACATCGAATGGAGCTCGGCTCATCGAGCTTGGAAAGCAGCTGAAACAGGCGGTGCTTGACGCGTGCATGCCTACGCACCCGGAGAACCCTGCTATCTGCGGTGTCAATAATATCATCATCACTCAGCCGTTGGTCAGCCGGGAGGGCAAAAAGTCTGTGAGACATACGGTTATTGTGACTCCTGGGAGGTTAGACCGCAGTCCCTGTGGCACTGGAAGCTCGTCTCGACTGGCGGTGCTGCACGCAAGGGGGCAGTTGGAAGTTGGGGAAAGTATTACTTTCCAGAGCATCATCAACACCGAGTTTGTGGGTCGTATACGGGGTCTGGATAAGGTGGGCGATTATGATGCAGTGTTGCCAAATATCAAAGGCAGGGCGTGGATCACAGGGGACCGACATGTTTGTCTTGATCCGGATGACCCTTTCCCAACGGGCTTCTTGATCTAGGACTCGCAGGATTGGTTATTGGAACCGGTCCCGGATCTGATTGGATGTCATGTATGTATTCAATGAACTGTAGACTCAAATTTGCAACCCTTGACAAAAAGGTAAATCTTCAAGAAATAGGCAAATAATCAATGCGAGCTCGCTCAAGATCAACAAGCTAAAACAATAATGCAGATGATTCATTTATCAACTCATAAGACTCATCTCAACGGTTCAGCCAATCCGTTCCCCGACCGTGCCCACTCTTGCATGAGGTCCAGATATACTACTTCTGCGATGCCTTACGCTGGTCGGATAATGCGACATCAGCCTCGGTGGCTGGAGGGTTACTATATTTCGATCTTCGGATCCAGGTGTAGTGTACCCACTCCAATTGGGGCTTTCCCTCGTCTCCAAGGAAGGCCCGTAGTGATATGCGGGTCGCTGCAATGCGAAATAGCCACCGTCCAGTGAGTTCGAGATTCCATTTGTCGCACTAGTGGCTGGCATTGTGCGTGATGATCGGAATGTGGGGTATGCTTGTGGTGTCATGAATGGAGCGAGTCTTGATGCCGAGGGTGACACGGCATGACCTGATTCTCGAGCTAGACCGGCATTTGATAGGGCGACAGAAATTCGACTACCAGCGTTGCGCCCCGAGCTTGTGAGAGAGGACGTTGTGTGTGAACGCTGATGGTGTCTTTGACCATTAGGCTGCTGGGTACGGTAGAGCCGGGGTGACGCTGCCGGGGTTAGTCCATGGGAAATGCTGCCCCGAGGAGAAAACGACTCGGCATGGGTTGGGCTGGCAATATTTGAGCTGGAACCCCATGTTACAACTTGGGATGGAAGCTCGAGTCGCTCGTTTAAAGATAGCCAGGCGCGCTCGTCCTCGTCCATAATGTCGGGCCTGGATTCACCCACGGCACTGGGGGCAGACGAAGATGAGACCGAACTGATCGGTTTTTCGTGCACGGATCTCGATCCGTTTTTGGACTTTGGTCGATTAGAACATGATCTCCAACCGCCCACGCCTTCAAAGTCCCGTCGCTCGTCTCCGCTCACAGGGAGACCGAACCCCGTGGGCAGATTATGGGCTTCGACCATGCTTCGAGCATAAAATTTCTTTGATCGTTTGGATGAATCATCTTGGGCCTCAATGATAGACCAGGACGAGAGCGAGTCTTGGCTCTTGCGAGAGTGGATCAGGCCATACACCGAGTTGCGTCTAGAGTTACCCGCTGCAGGAGTGACAGGTTCGGATGGGGCAAAGGTTAAGAGTGAGGAGGTAATCGCTGGGAGTGTAAAGAAATTGACGATGAACTCGTAGACCAGCTCGGTATAAACCACGATTAGTCGCACGAATAGGGTGAACAATGCGAAGACGACGGTTATCCAGGCGGAGATGAGCAGTGGTATGCAAATGAGACCCAGCACGGGCAGCGCCAGCAGCGTCGTCAGCAAGGCGAACATGGGGAGAAAGATATGATCATCGTAAGAGGCATTCAAAGGAAGAGAGAAGAAAAAGAAGAAGAAGAAGAAGAAGAAAGAAAGCAGAGAATGCGATGTGATGTCAGCTTTGATTTCCGAAAGGTCGAGGTCTGGCAGACGCGGAGAAATGCATGTGACACCCTCAAATGCGGAAGCCGCAGTGACTCCAACTACATTTCAACTACACTCCACCTCCAATTCACCTTGCATTTCTACCAATGTCACTCTCCCAAACTCAACCTCAACCTCAAGATGTCTTCCCTTGGGAGCTGGGCATATACGATGCCCATTGTCACCCAACAGACACAATGGCATCAGTCGCGCAGATCCCCTCCATGAAAGCGACCACGCTTACCGTCATGGCAACAAGGGCCCAAGACCAAGAGCTCGTGGCAGAGACCGCTCAATCTCTCAATATCACCGATGAATCCACGCGATCGCCGCGTATTCTACCTAGCTTCGGCTGGCATCCATGGTTCTCACACCAAATCATCGACGACACAACAACCCCCACAGCCACAACTTCAACCCCGCAATCCAAAGAAAATCATTATATTAACGTCCTCACGCCATCTCCAGCCTCCGACCTGGACTTTATCAACCAGCTGCCATCACCTAAACTGCTTTCCGCCCTTCTCAATGAAACTCGCGCGCGACTCCGCCAGTTTCCGAACTCTTTAGTCGGTGAAGTGGGGCTGGACAAAGTATTTCGACTACCGGGCGTGTGGACAGCAGAGGAAATTTCCTCCCGAGATGAAGATCTCACGCCCGGCTCGAGGGAGGGTAGGAAGCTTTCTCCTTACAAGGTGAAGATGGACCACCAACGAACAGTATTGAAGGCCCAGCTCCAACTCGCCGGCGAAATGCGGCGACCCGTCTCCGTACATAGTGTGCAGGCACACGGGGTCGTGTTTGACTTATTCAAGGAATTGTGGATAGGCCATGAAAAGGTCTTTCTTTCGCGGCGACAAAAGGAGAAACTGAAGGATGCCGAGGGGGCATTGTCAGATGATGACAACGACGACGAAGATGAACAACGTGGACCGAGCAAGACCAGCGAGATGGAACAATCACTGCCATTTCCGCCGCGTATCTGCATGCACTCCTACAGCGGGCCTGTGGAGCCTATACGACAGTTCTTACATTCGTCGAATCCGTCCGATGTCTATTTTTCCTTTTCAGCAGTAATTAATTTTAGCGGAGCGCCGGCGAAGAAGATCAGTGATGTTATCAAGGCTTTGCCAGATGATCGCATTTTGATCGAAAGCGACCTACATATTGCAGGTACGCAGATGGATGATCTGTTAGAGGATGTTTCACGGCAAATATGTCAGCTACGAGGGTGGGATTTAAGAGACGGTGTGAAGCAATTGGCGGATAATTGGAACCGCTTTGTATATGGATAGCGAGGAGCAAGTCTGGAAAGACTGTTATCTCTAATATGGGGCATAATTGGCGTTCTAACTTGCTACACTGTTTGGTGACGATGAACGAGCATCGAAAGCGACTACAGTCGACGCCGTTCTAAAAAGCATTAATCAATCATTGCATTGATGGACTAAGACCGCCCGAAATTAGCTAGATGTATCAGTGACAAATAGAATAGCTATAGCTAGCTGCAGTTTCAAGAGGAAAAAGACAGAGCCTCGCGCACAGCATAAGGAACCGGTCTCTTCTTTGCAACACAGACAACTCTCGGAGTCGTGACCCCAGCACCCCGTCCAGCCTCCTCATATGCCTCCTCGATAAGGTCATCGAGATGTTTCGCCTCTTCCTCCCGTCCATCAGCCTTCATCTGGCCATTGAACTCCTTAACAGTCATCAGATGAATCTCGGTATCATGGCAGATCAAGTCCGGCCGTCCATGATAAAATGTCAACTGACTCTCCTCAAACCCATGCTTGAGCAAATGCAAAGGTAGATCAAAAACCCAGTCATGGCGACCCTCTGAGTGCACAAAGTCTCTGATCTTGTCGAGTGCCTTGGTCTCAAGTTTTTCGTCGGTCTTTTCAACATAGGTGTGTGCGGTACTCAAATCATCCCACTGGATCCAGCCACCGGGCTTAAGCAGCTTGATCACATTCTTGATCACGGGGCTCGGGTCTCTGCCTGAGATGGTAAGGAGGAGAAGACGTAGATGGATCACGTCATATCGCTCCTCCAACTCGGAGGGGACTTCGTCGAAGATATTCCAGTTGTAGAGGCGGTGGATATTGCTGGGGCGCCAGGCAGGAGGCGGGAGTCGGGAGAGGTTAATGTCAATCCCGTCGAGGATAGCGTTTGGGAAGTCATGAGCCGTGTCAAGAAGCCAGAGGCCTGTTCCTGCAGTGATTTCGGCAATACGAGGATGATCTCCAACTGCGTCTCTGATGATGGGGTGCAGGGTATAGCCGAGGCATTGTTTCCAAATGAGGTATTGGTAGTTCAGGCGCTGGCTTCCTGCGTGGCCGTTGTCGAGGAGGTAGCCCTTCCCTTCGCGCAGGCCGAAGCCAGCGGTATGGTTGAGGGGCGAAGTCTCGGTCATGTTATAGAAGAACTTGAATGGGATCAATGGATGTATGGGTAGAGAAGAAATGATAATGATGATATTGAGTGATTGATAGATAGGTGAGTTGGAGGGATATAGAGCTCTATTTATGTGAAATCGCCACGGTGAACGTCAAGGAGCCATCGTACTAGTTTCCACAATGAACTTGAACGAAGTCGATCATCGTTCGGAAAAGAACATTCACCAAGCTCATGCAGGCTGACCCCCCCGATCATGGATAATAGAACTTGACTACGGAGTACTCGTACACCGTCACAGATCTACAAGTCGTCGACTGATCTTGGAAGCTACTACTAACCAATCAGTAGCCGACCTCGGGAAAATGCGCGCCTCTGGCCAGTATATCAGACTCCATGCATAATTAATTGTAGGCCCGTATTTCAGATACCCAGCCAGGATTTCTCCTCATTATAAACCCCAGTTATATGAGCACTTAGCTGTTTTGATACTGTGGAATTACAATCGCTACGCTAATGCACGCCAAAAGGGCTCAGATCCACTAGCCAGAGAGCGAACGAACTCCTCTCTTGGTATCTGGCCCTCGGACTCTTCAACGCGCACTGCAGAATAGGATATCTAGTCTCGGGCCTCATTATAAATCTACATTTGGTCAATATATGACCACGACTTGCATTATATGGATTCATCACATTTTCCGTGAAACCATAAAAACAAGTACTATCGCTAGTGGGGTAAAACGAACAAAACTCTCACCTCGGGCTCTTTTAGTTTTACTTGTAGCGATTGACGCCTCAGTTTCCTAAAGAGGTCTCGGAAAAAGAATCCTATTGACACACATGAGACTTTATGGATGTCACCTGATCAACTATTAACCCATTTATTGCTGAGTAACCAATATCAATATCGATTGTACTACTCAGAAATATCTTCAAGCTCCACATGGGCTGAACCACACGAGCTGAACTTCAGCCCGTGCGGAGTCACCACCTGCATAAGTGACTATGCTACTAGGTTGCGCCGTCCCGAAAAAGCAAAAATCGAGACTATTGCCAAGAAAGTTTCTGCGGAGCCGAGATTCTCACTGCAGTACAATGTAGATCTGATCGATCGGCGTCTATTGCCCTTCAGCTCGTGCCGCGATGCAGGCGTAGTAGATGCGTCATCAGATGTCGAACAGGAAAATTTGGTTACCACCTGCTGACCATGTAGTATCATATTGTCAGTCGGTGCCTGTGAGTGTGCCCCCACCATCAAGGGGAATAATACTCAGACGGTTTGCCTACTGTGCCTGATTTTCTCTCCGATTATCTCCCACTGCTATTTCCTACTGAATCATTCAATCGACCTCTTGTGGACCTGTCCGAATCATTGGCCCTCCCACAAATAGAATAAAATAGCACTTCACTTGGATACGTGATACCATATGCTTTGTTGCCTTGGGATTACGATGACGGTGGTGCGGCATGACCCATCGGCTCATATGAGCGCGACAATTCAACTCTTGAGAAACTTGCGTGATTTAATCAGCAAGAGAGAAACCATCGTTCTTGACGGCAAAACTCTTGACATTGCTTCTATTGTCGCTGTTGCCCGCCATGGAGTTGAGCCCACTATCGGTACAGGGCTCGCCAAGCGCCTCGAGATCTCCGTCGATACTCTGGCCGACATAATTTCTCGGAAATGTGTCATCTATGGCGTCAACACCGGCTTCGGTGGTAGTGCCGATGCCAGAACCGACGATCTGATCGACTTGCAGACGCATCTGCTCCAATTTATCCAAAGTGGAATCATCACTTCTGCAGACAAGGATCCGATTAGCAATTCGGACCGGGAGTCGTCACATATCATGCCTCTATCCTGGGTTCGAGCCGCCATTATTGCTCGAGTCAACCAGAATCTTAGGGGCCACAGCGCCATCCGTCCCTGTGTACTCAAGAGCCTGATTGATCTGCTGCACAACGACACCACTCCCCTAATCCCACTGAGAGGAACTATTTCTGCATCTGGAGATCTAATGCCCATGGCGTATATCGCTGGGGCAATCATGGGAAACCCCGATGTTTTCGTTCAGGTCGGCAAGGGTGCAGAAGCTAGAGTTATGCCTTCCTCGGAGGCATTGAAGATGAGCGGGCTCTCCGCATCAGGACTTGGTCCAAAAGAAGGGCTTGGGCTCATCAACGGAACTGCTCCTTCTGTAGCAGTGGCAAGCTTGACACTTTATGACACGCAGCAGCTTGCGTTGCTATCTCAAATATTGACGGCTTTCACTTCTGAATGCTTATCCGGGAATGTGGAGTGGGCTCTGCCCTTCATTCACGAGACTCGCCCTCACACTGGGCAAATTGAAGTGGCAAGCAATATCCGGCGCTTCTTGAAGGGTTCCAAATTCGTTGTTGGCTTAGATGGACATGAAAAGGAGAAATCTAAAGATGGCCTCTGTCAAGATCGGTATTCAGTAAGAACAGCTCCCCAGTGGATCGGACCTTACCTTGAGGACCTTCTCCAAGCGCAACGTCAGCTTGAAGTGGAGCTCAACTCGACGTCAGACAACCCTCTAGTAGATACCAGCAGGCAGGACGATGGTTCTAGTGGGAAAGTCTACTCTGGTGGAAACTTTCAAGCAACCGTCGTCACATCAGCTATGGAAAAGGCTCTTTTGGCTATCCAGATGATAGGACGGATGCTTTGGTCCCAGGTCACTGAGATGATCAATCCGGCTACAAACAACGGACTCGAGGCAAACCTCAATGCTTCGGCAGAAGTTAATTTCACCATGAAGGGAATTGACATCAACATGTCAGCGTACATGTCCGAGCTAGCAGCCCTAACACATCCGGTGTCCGCTCATGTCATGTCAGCCGAAATGCACAATCAGGGCATCAACTCACTAGCTCTATTATCAGCCCGGCGCACTATGGAGGCTGTCGATCTATTGGCACACATGAGTGCCTGTCACATATATGTGTCATGCCAAGCTATCGAAATCCGGGCAAACCACCTACGATTCATTTCCGATATCCACGGTAAGATGGAGGCATTCATCGCAAGCGGAGCATTTGATAGACTTGGATTGAATGGTTCTCAGAGTGAGACATTATGCATCTCAATGATCTCTACTATCCAGTCAAGTTGGTCTCGCACAAACTCCAACACCTGGGAAGAACGCGTTTTGTCTGGAATTGAGGCCGGCATGTTGTCGGTCAACGATTTTGTGGCCACTCATAACCCCGACTGCTCAGTTTCAATGGTGATGACATTTAAGAAGCAATTCCAGAGCATTATGTCTAGCACAGCTAAGGCAATATTTAATACCGACCCAGCTCTTCTCCCCGAGGAAGTGGTCCCCCAGCTTGGTATTGGAACAGCACAGCTTTATATCTGGGTGCGCTCGAAGCTCAATATCCCTATGAACCGTGGCCTCCAAGACGATCCCCTCTATACCGCCCAAAGAGGTCTACCTACGGTGGACAAAGCGAGCATCGGAAGTTCAGTAAGTATTATATATGAGAACTTGCTAAAGGTTGGAATGATGGATATGATCCTAGAGGGTTCAATGCAAGATAAGAAATAGGCATATGGCATGATATTGGGAAATTATATAGTACTAGTAATCCTTGCAATTGACCCGGGTTGTTAAGAAATTCAGGCTTGGAGCGAATCGAATTAAAGCCACAGCTATAACATATTACCACAGGGCTACTAGTAGTACTAGTAGGTGTATAATCTGGAATACATGCTGCATTTAATATACATCGCCTATACTAGCATAACCACAAATTTCAAGTTGTTAATGTAAAATATTCCATACTATTTCAGGGAAACATGGATGGATTGAATGCATCGGCGACCTGGCGTGGTATCGCATGACTTTCGAACAATCGGAAAAATCAATCAATTTAATCAACCTATTATATAAATACAGAAAAAGTGGTTTCTGATCAAATGAGGCCGTATTCGATCAACTAGGGGTTTCCGAGAGGGTATTGGACGATCGATAGGTCGAGTGCATATGCGCCCCTCGTGAACACCCCGGAGCCACAGGCAACAGTCCAGTTAATGCATCCTCAACTGCAGCAAACACCTATTGGAAAAATATCTGCAATAATTTTTGCGTTCTAGATCGAGTGGGCTTGAATTTTGGAGGCTTTTTGGAATTTCTTCTTTCAAATCCAAGTGATTGCTTAGCTCCCGGTCCCCTGCCATGTCATCTCTATGGTGCCTTCTGCATTCCTGACGTTCAACCAGCATAATTAGGAATTGGGAAATTCCGATGGTACGGTAGCACTGAAACCCCTGTTGAGCCCAGCGGTCTGTTGTCCACGACTCCAGCTAGTATAGCCAGCCCTCTTTCCAACCATTATCTCATGCGCGTGAATAAAGCCCTACTGCGTGGGCCATTTTGAAATAAATAGTATTTGCGGAACATTCTTCCAAAAGTCGGTGTGGTCATGTCATTTTCCAACCTGAAGTTAAGTGATGTGTTCGTATAAGGTCTGTCGCTCGACTACTATGTCTCTTTCTCCTATATAGTATAGACCTCTGTCACCTACATACGATCCATACACAGCCACCTTCATCTCTCTCTATTTCCTCCGTACACTACGAACACAATGTCTGTCCCAAGTCGAATGACGTGGTTTTGTCTGGCGCTGATGCCGTTCGTTCGGGACAGGAGGATCACCCCTATAAAGTTGCGGTGTGCATGGGTTATGATACATAAAGGCGGGAAACACCCCATCCCATCAATGGCATATGGAAAGTTCTGCAGGGTAGAAAAGCTAGAAATTGGTCGAGATGGAACCAGCGTCAGCGGTTGTATGAATCACATGGTCGTTGCCTTGTTACCTCGTTCCGGTACCCATTCGCCTGTACCTAGTTCCTCCTCTTCTTCGTCTAACTCCTTCTCCATAAGCTTATTAGTTTCGTTGTCTGTTGCTAGTTACACGTTGCCTGGTATTTATTGTCTCTTGATCTTCGTCGAATCGGAGCTCTTCATAGTAGTTATCAAAGTGAATCATCTGTATGAGGGCTGTCTTGTCTACGACAACGATAGAACCGAAAATACGCAGAAGCAAGGGATCTATCATCTGAATTGAAATGGAACTGAAAGAACTGTATTTATTTTACCCAGTCAATCTTCCTGCGGTTATGTAACAGTGTATATCTCTATTGGAAGAAAGGGTTGTATATGTTCGTGTAAGGCATGGTATCGTACGGGTCTTTTATATAAGCCTCGTGGAAGGCTGTGCCTCTGCGTATCTCTTATCTCGTCTCGTTCGTGGTTGTGTCAGAGCCGGGGGTGGTAATTGTTGGGAGGGGGTCGTTGTAGGTAGTGTGGCGGTGAAGGTGAAGGTCCCAAGAGCTGTGTTGTCATCGGGACAAAGCTTCGGGTATATACAAGGGAGGAGAGCAAGCAGGACGAATAGACTAGCCCGGGATCCAGCCGCCGTCTTGCATCATATCCGCCATCGGGGTGTCTTGCCAATAAATTTGGCGCCACTCGTTCTCCAATTCCATGAGTCCTTCCATCGGCATGGAGGAGACAGGTAGATCCGCATCCGTGAAGGAGAAAAGCTGTCTCCAATCTGGATAATCGCGGCTCTGTTCCATGTGGTCCACCTGCATGGGGGTACTCGAATAGGTATCGTTTGTTTCCAATGGCCCCACATTGAGTCTGAGGGGTGCAGTGATCCAATTATCGAATTGTGGAGTGGCATGTGCTTGCGGGGAAATTGTGGTATGCTGCATTGGGGTAGATTCCGGGGTAGGAACGCCGAATCCAAGTGGCTGGGGTGTTTGAGAGGCCATGACAGCTGCCGCGGCGTCTGGTGCCGTGACAGGTAACTTCGTTGCTTGGGTGCCATTGTACGGTGGCTTGGTTCGATCAAGACGCAGGTCATCCTGGAGACGCTTCGAGTCTTCAAAGAGACGAAGAATTGTACCTGCGTGGACCCAGTATTGAGCCAATTCTCGCAGAGAATAAGAGGCCGAATCGAACCGACGAAGCGCGTTGATTGCGAGGACTGGATTCGAGAATCGAAGTTCGACCCGGACTTGGATCATGGCGGTGAATAGCGTGTGAACGCCAGTGTACCAAAGGAACTTCAGGCGATCGTTAAGTCGAAGCTCTTCGAAGATGGAAGCAATGACACCTGCTGCCGCACTACAAATTTCTGCATCGTGCGGCCCGTAGTCGTCTGAGTACGCCGAGGCTCGGGGGTGAGGTCGGTGTAGCAGAATGAGGAAGTTGTTGTACGTCAGATGGAGCATAGCAGACCATGGATCCATATCAGATGCTCGGAGTCGTAAATTATCTGGCAGTTTGAGAGACCAGTTGGCTAGCGACTCGTCGGCTTCTTGAAGAACAGCCTTCCGTCGTTCGTCGGATGCCCGAAGGCCAAATCGGTCCCGAATGAGATACGAAATCATCGTACAAAGCTCGGTGAAGTTGATTACGAACTCTGTTTGAACGTGTGGGCCACAATTCTCAAAATCTGCGGGCGTTAATGGTGCCACATCTGAATCATCCAAATTTCTAATCTTGGTTAGTATGCATCGGCCATGCGTGAAATCGGTGTTGTCTTACATCGCTTGCGGTCGGCCGTATGAAAGTGAGACCATGACATCAAACTGTATGATAATGTACCAAACTCGCCTCCACATTCTCCTGTCTCGAGTCACGAAGCGACTGGAGACAGGGTTTCGATGCATTCCCAAACCAGTAGCAATTCGTGCAGCTACGCCGACCCAAAAGTGTGCATCTGCAGCAACATCATCATCGGCGCTATCTGAATGCCAGGTAAGGAGCAGGGCGACTTGTACGAGGATATCTCGATTTCGTTCAACGCGATTGTCGAACAAATACTTTGTACGACGGAAGAAGATCTCTTTCAATGTGTCTCGCTCAGCCTTGCCTCGAGTGACATGCGAGCCAACTAGCAAGATGGCCTGCAGAAGCAAAACTGGCGGTGGATCCGCAGGGTCTCGGTTTCGGTATTGCGTCATGAACAGATCTTCGTCCACGATTGGGTATCCTGGATTGACGTAGGTAAAATATGCCTGCACCAACTCATCCGCTAGAGCTGGCTCAGGAAGTGTCAATGCATCCATTAAGAGCTGGTCGTGACCAGTCTTCATCTGTCTCCGGGGAATTTCATTGCTGGCGAAATGGTATACATCATCATCTTGATCGCGCTGTTGACGAATCAAGAATGACATATTAGAATGCTCATGACCAACGTAAAAGGCCCGCACACCTCGCTGGATCTCTCGTCTACCAGAATCCTCTTCGTCGATCAATTTGACGAGATGTTGCTCCATTTCTGTGTGGGCTTCATGGGCATGCGACAGGTCCGGGCCTTGGCGTCCGAAGGGCTCCGGCTGAACATTCGATAGAAACCCATGCTGTGTTGGACCACCGGATAGCGGTGTCGAAGATTGGCCACTCGAAAATGCCGTGGGAAAACTTGGAGGTAAGGCAGTTGCCGCTGTGACGGGGTTGGCGACCTGGTCTAGGGTTGGTAGAGGCCGAGATCGGATCGGAACGGGGTCGAGGATCGACCGCACCGCCAAGCGCTTCTTTTTTTCGTGGATGCGACAATCGGACTTTCCAGAGCTGCGACAATTGGTGCATGGAAGCCCGACGACGCGGGCATCGCAGCGGACCTTGCGCCGGTGGCAGTGGACGCAGGCGGCGGAACCTATTGTAGAATTTAGTGTCACTGGTCAGCAACGATAGCTCAGGCGACCTAGTTCTCGGGAAGCTTGAAGGGAAGCTGGGGAGACCATGGGCGACATCATGACCAAAAGTCAAAGATAATACAGGATTGGGGTAGAAGAAACAGAAATGAGGAGCCAAAGCACATACCCTGCTTGCGCTTGCTCACCCCGTCAGCCGGGAGCGGCGAGGGGGCGTTATCGTTGGTGGAGGACATGGCCGGCGAAGAAGCATCGACATCATTCCCTGTGCAGACCAGCCACTGCCCTGCACTATTTTGTGGAAGTGTCATTCACGAGGAGGTCTCAAGGCATTCTGTAGTAAGAACGATTGCCGAGCGTAGTAGAGCACGAAAAAGTTCGGAAGGTCTTGGGGGACTGCGGGTTCGGTCCCTGCCCGGCACCGGGGAGGGGCTCACGTGGATGCGGAGGCTTAGGTAATATTTCGGAGGCAAATCCCGATAATTGGTTGTACGAGTACGAGAAGATAGATAGACTTACGCCTAAAGTTTACTTAGAAGTATCTAGAAGTATTTTAACACATTGCTCAATCCATAGCTGAATACTGATCTCAATTCACATCTCTTTCTCTCATAACATACTATTCAGAGCATCGGCAACCCATACTATGTCATGCGCCCAGCCAATCACGAGACCAGCTTATCTGATACTCCGTAGATTGCAGCTGGTTGGGAAACTTAATCTCGGGAACTATAGGAACAACCATACAGAAACTACAGGAATTATAGGAGTAACAACTTCAAGGCAAGGACCTCACTGGCCGCGGGGGTGTCTCATTTCTATCGGAAAGCCTGTTCATGCTCTCGAAAAAAAAAGAAGACATCGGTCATAAATACAAGTTGCCATCATTTATCCCGCCAAAACTTCCGCATAAACTCCAGAAGTAGGCTCAGCAGTCTTTCCCCCTGAGTGGGGGGGCCAACCGCATCGCCACTACAAATAAAACGAACCCAAAGACGCATAAACTCGGGTCCCGAATATACCCTATGGAATAAACCCGACGCCATCTCCCCGAATATCAAAATCCAAAGCGCTCACCTCCTTAGTACGCGTCGGCGCCGGCACCGTTGTGTGGTTCACCAACCATGGGTGCATACCCGTATGCTGAAGGGTCTTGCTGCGAGGGGTCCAGGCTAGGGTTCATGATGCTGTTGGCCCCCTCCGCATTGTCGGGGAACCCGGGGCGACCTTGGCCAGCGGTACCGGGGATGGGTCCACCGTAACCGCTGCTGGGGGGGTCTCTGGTTCTCGCCGCGGGCAGATTGAGTCTCGCGATACTTGGAGAGGTAGATCTTGAGGGCCTCGGCGTAGTTCTCGAATCCAAGCGAAGTCATGGCAAACAGAATATCCTCGCCGTTGACCGTCTTTCGTTTCTCTTGCTGGCACTTTTCCGAGGCTGTTATACTCGTTAGAATTCGCCACCCCCTCTCAAACAGACATGAGATGGATAAGATACTGACCCTCACTAGTGATGAATGAGATGAACTCGCTCACGCATTCTTGCATGCACTCTTTGGCTTCCTTTGCGATCTTTGCGTTTTCAGGTAGGGCGAGCTTCATGATGCGAGCGACTATATAGATTGAATATTAGCATGGCGACATCCAGTATGCGACGGTCTCAGTGATCGCAGAATTATCAAAAGCGCAAAGGGCGAGAGATAAATTCCCATCGAAGTCCCTCACGCGCGTTTTCACGCATCTCGTGGATATCGTGGGGAGGGGAAGATTCTGAAAGGGCGGACAAAAAAGGCGGGGAAGACAGAAGCAGCAGACGGTAGTGGTCCGTCATCAGCAGCAAGGTACGCGCAAATCAGAACAACCGAAAAGCCTGCAAGGCGATGCAACTAACCATTTGCAATCGGAAGCCACCGATCTTGCTCTTTCACCTCGAACTCGCCCTGTGCGATCGCGTGGTCGTGCGAATCTTTGTCCATATGCTCCTGTTCTTCGCCCGATTGCACCTCGGGGTCTACCTCCGGTTCCTTTGAGGGCGAGGTCGACGACATGATTATGAATGAATATTTGAACGCCTCGGGGCGGGTCCTTTGGGCGTCAAGTCAAGGCAAGGGTTCGGTCTGTTGACACGTCCACGTCAGTAAATCCCGAATGACTGGTGCGCGGTGCGCGCGCGCGATTCAACTCCGGTGTGCGGACACAGCCCAAGATCGGCTGTGTATGCGGAAGTGGGTATGGGATGTGGGTGGTCAGGTTCAGGTCAGGGAGGGGGGGGGGGGGCTGATGTGGTATTGGCTGGGTACGAACACTTCGCGGCCGCCTCGAGAATGTCAGCTAGGGTGGGCAGAGAGACTTGACAAGTACTGCAGCAGGAGCTCCGGTATACTTGCGACGCGCTCGTGCGCAGACCCAATCAGCCTCCTGGGGGCTAAAACGGGGATGGATGGCAAAGGTTGGAAGGGTATAGTTGCGATCGCGTCACACCAGCTGCAGTGCAAATACCAATGCGCGCGCGCCTCACGCGTTGGGATGGGACTTCTTTGAGCTGCTTGGGGGGGGGGGGGGGGTGGAGGGATGTGTGATGCAACGCGGAAGCGGAGGGTGTGGGTCGGATTGGGGAGAGCCCAACTTCCGTCGCACGTTGTGCAGGGTTGCGCGGGGGTAAAGCAAAGCAAGAACTAACCTAAGCCTGAGGCAATGAGGCAATAAAGTGTCCAGGGATCCAATGGACGTATGATTCTTCCGATTCGTCTGGGGTGGTGTCAGAGCGCTGAGGGGGAGTTTGGGGGGGGGAGGCCCAGCTTGAGAGCAATTGGCGAACCAGAACTCCCTGATCGAATAGGAACCCGGGTTGACCACTCACCAAGTAGGACGCAAGTCAAACGATATATTGACCCACCAAGAGATCTAAGATAGGGATAAGGTTGAATATGAGTTTCCGACCGAGCCGCGCGAGTCGAAGAGAAATGGAATGGTCTCAGAGAAGCAAAGAGAGAGGAGAGGAGAGGTTCAGCTCGAAGTTGCAACTGCCTGTGAGTACCGGTATTGTCATTACCCTATCCATCCCCATCAATTCCCACTTTCATGTGTATTTGTGTATTTGCATTACACTACTTCTCAAGTACCACCACCCATATACTAGTATAAGTGTGTACAATGCATGATGACTGGTCAGTTGCATGACAACTAGAAGAAGATTCATTATTGAGATTCTGATTTGCGTCAACGATTCTCGTCGATCCATGCCCCGGCAGGTTGGGTCCCCAGGGCCCGACGCATCTGGTTTGTTCGATGGTCAGGCATTCAGGCTTGCATCCACCACCATGCAGGCGAAGGTGAGAAGATCTTAGGTACCCATTGTTCTGGATACACTACCGATCATGTGTACGGTGCTCAGGCATTATGTCAACTGGGCTAGACCTCGCTTAGCTGCACAGTGAGACTAGAGTGACGCCAGTGAAAGGTATATCGTAGCCCGTCTACCCTCTACGATCCATGGAGGTCTACACGATCGGCTTAGAATATCAGGTCCTTCGGGTTCTTTTGGTCTTCACAGGTCCATGCCTCATATCATTTTGATTGTTTATTCCAAATGGCCAAGTGAAACGCTAGATTTAATCTGGTTGGATGCCTTGCCCGAAAACGAAACGCCAGTAGCCACTTGCTCCTCCGTAGATCATTGCACCCGAGGAAACCGGTAACAGATTATACACGAGAGTAGAGTTGCTCATGGCTGTACGACCTGGATGTTGTTCTTCTTCTGTAGCGCGGAAAGAAAAGCGGTTAGCCTCACACGATACAAGTACTTCTCGCCTTGGAAGCTCTAGGGAGCGGTTCAACTCACCTTCCAGTTATCCAGATCCGACTGCTTTGTCTTGTACTGCTTCAACATATCCTCCAGCACCTGCTTCAGTCCGTCCGAGTTGGTCTTCAATGTCGGGAGGACATCCTGGACAGTGCGCTCAACAAGAACGCCGTTCACCATGCGAAAGCATTTCCGATCTTGAGGGAGAGGGTCAAGTGTTTCAATGACAAGCCTAGATCACAGAGAAAAGAAGTTGAATCAACATTATGTTTCGAAGTTTGAGCGCCAGTCTGGGTTCGAGGTTGTAGGTTTCTCCTCCCCACCTGGAACACAGTCCATGCTCATGGCTTTTTACAGACAGCGCAAATCAAATGCTAACTCACTTGTGCTCCTCGGCCTCTTGCTCGATATCCCCAATCTTCTGTGCTAGTTGCTGGAGGGTGTTCTTGAAGTTGGTGTACTGAAGCTGCAGCTCTGTTGTGCGGAGTGGAGGGGTCAGCTAGCGAGAAAATTGATGAGAGAGTTCCGGAGGGGGAGCTTACCCTGCTGCTTCTTCGGGTCAATTTGTTGTTGGCTCGACATGATGATGTTGTGCGGACTCGATGCAATGCGATTCAGGGAGCTCAAAAGTTGAGATGACGATGCGGGGCGGTTGCTGAATGTTGCGGGCGGCCGCCGCGGTGGAAACTCTCAGCACAAGAAAGAACAGAATATGGATATGGATACGGAAATGTCAATTAAAGGAAACACTCTGAGCAGACGCAGATCAAGTTCAAACTTATTAAAATAGATTTTATTTATCTTAGACTTATCTTCCACAGAAACATTACAATAATTCCCATCGTCCAAAAAGGAAGACGTATCACGTGACTGATAACGGTTTGCAGTGTTTGCCTCCCGCAATCCGATAATTCAACGTTCATCGGAGGCCATCAGAGCTTCAATCCCCGATCCCGAACGCGTTTGGGATATCGCAGTTCGTCGGGCATCAGACCGGAATATCTCATCGCCATGTCCAATAATGACTCGGGTCCGCCGGCTAAGCGGCAGAAGAATGCCTCGAATATTCCACCGTCGTTCCGCGATGCCAAACGCAAAGACATTGACAACTGGGAAACCAATCGTATGCTTACATCTGGTGTCGCGCAAAGGAGAGACTATGGCAACGACTTCAGGCCCGAAGATGAAGAAGCGACTCGAGTTCATCTGCTGGTCCACGACCTCCGACCACCGTTCCTCGATGGCCGCACCATCTTCACAAAGCAACTAGAGCCGATATCAGCTATTCGAGACCCTCAAAGCGACATGGCCGTCTTTAGTCGGAAGGGAAGCAAAGTTGTTCGCGACCGCCGGCAGCAACGTGAGCGACAAAAGCAGGCCCAGGAGGCTACAAACATGGCCGGTACAGCTTTGGGTAACCTGATGGGAGTCAAGGAGGACGAAGGCGATAGCGCTGTGGCTGCGCCTGTGGAGGATGTTTATAAAAGTGGTGGTAATAAGTTCTCCAAACACTTGAAAAAAGAGGAAGGTGGTGCTAGCGCGTTCAGCAAGAGCAAGACTTTGCGCGAGCAAAGAGAGTTCCTCCCTGCTTTTGCGGTGCGCGAGGACTTGTTGAGAGTCATTCGGGATAACCAAGTCGTCGTGGTTGTCGGTGAGACTGGCTCGGGAAAGACAACCCAGTTGACCCAGTTCCTACACGAAGATGGTTACTCAAAGTTTGGCATGATTGGCTGTACACAGCCTCGACGTGTTGCTGCCATGAGTGTCGCAAAGCGTGTTAGCGAGGAGATGGAGGTAGATCTCGGCGATGAGGTTGGTTACGCGATTCGTTTCGAAGATTGCACCAGTAGTAAGACTATGATTAAGTGTGAGTGCCGCTCTGTAAAGGATCCCCAGTACGTGCGCTGTTACTAATAAGGTATACAGATATGACGGATGGTGTTTTATTGCGAGAGTCTCTCGTTCAAACCGATCTTGATAAATACTCTTGCATCATCATGGACGAGGCGCACGAGAGAGCTTTGAATACCGACGTCTTGATGGGTCTTCTCAAAAAGGTTCTCGCTCGCCGACGGGACCTCAAGCTGATCGTTACCTCGGCCACTATGAACTCGGACCGCTTCTCACGTTTCTATGGCGGTGCCCCCGAATTCATCATCCCCGGAAGAACATTCCCAGTCGATCTTCACTTCTCGCGTACCCCTTGTGAGGATTATGTCGATAGTGCGGTCAAGCAGGTCTTGGCCATTCACGTCTCGCAAGGTGCCGGCGACATTCTTGTTTTCATGACCGGACAAGAGGATATTGAGGCTACTTGCGACTTGGTTGACGAACGATTGAAATTGCTTAATGATCCACCAAAGCTTAGCATTCTGCCGATTTACAGTCAGATGCCAGCTGAGCAGCAAGCAAAAATCTTTGAAAGGGCAGACGCTGGCGTGCGCAAGGTTATCGTTGCCACGAATATTGCCGAAACCAGTTTGACAGTGGACGGTATCATGTACGTTGTGGATGCAGGCTACTCTAAACTCAAGGTGTACAACCCGCGCATGGGTATGGACACGCTTCAAATCACGCCAATCTCCCAGGCCAATGCGAACCAGCGATCAGGTCGGGCTGGACGAACCGGTCCTGGAAAGGCTTATCGACTGTACACCGAGCCTGCCTATAAGAATGAGCTCTATATACAAACAATTCCCGAGATTCAACGAACGAGTCTTGCGAACACAGTGCTCTTACTGAAGTCGTTAGGGGTCAAGGATCTTCTCGATTTCGATTTCATGGATCCTCCACCCCAGGAGACCATTAGCACATCTCTTTTCGAGCTTTGGTCCTTAGGAGCACTTGACAATCTAGGTGAACTCACTCATCTAGGTCGCCAAATGACGCCATTCCCTATGGATCCCCCTCTGGCCAAACTGCTCATCATGGCATCAGAAGAATACGGATGCAGTGAAGAAATGCTCACTATCGTTTCTATGCTCTCCGTCCCCAACGTCTTCTATCGACCAAAGGAACGACAAGAAGAATCCGATTCCGCCCGCGAAAAATTCTTCGTTCCCGAATCGGATCACTTAACCCTTCTCCACGTCTACACTCAATGGAAGTCCAACGGATTTTCAGACGCGTGGTGCACCAGGCACTTCCTCCACGCGAAGACTCTGCGCCGCGCCAAGGAAGTTCGCGACCAGCTTCACGACATCATGACCGTTCAAAAAATGAGCCTCGTTAGCTGCGGAACAGACTGGGACCTTATCCGCAAATGTATCTGCTCTGGCTTCTACCACCAAGCCGCACGCGTCAAGGGTATTGGCGAGTTCATCAACCTTCGCACCAGCGTTACCATGGCCCTGCACCCTACCAGTGCCCTGTATGGCCTGGGCTACGTTCCCGAGTATGTCGTGTATCACGAGCTCATTCTGACCGCTAAGGAGTACATGTCTACCGTGACAGCTGTAGACCCTCATGTAAGTTTTGTTTGAATCATTTTCAATCACCCTTATCTAGAGAACCTATCTAACTTGTATCACAGTGGCTCGCTGAACTCGGTGGCGTCTTCTACTCCGTAAAGGAGAAGGGATACTCACAGCGTGAACGCCGGGTGACAGAGCTAGAATTCAACAAGCGCATGGAAATCGAATCCCAGATGGCAGTGGATCGTGAACGCGCCGCAGCAGATAAAATCCGCGAAGAAGAGCGTAGCGATCCCAAGCGACGCATTAAGGAATTTGAAGCTGGCGGTGGATCTGCCGTCCGCAGACCCGTTATCAAGGGCAGCAAAAAGATTGGCGGAGTGACTGCCTCGTCTTCTTCTCGGCCGGGTGCAAATGGTGGCGGCAGTGGAGGCAGTGTGGTCAAGAAACCTGTCATTCCGCGACGCCCGGGACGTCAGTTCTAATCACCTTTTGTTGGATAGTGCGGCTTCTATATACTATTACATCATGTAAAATACCCAGATGTTAGATGGATAAACTGGATGCGATGGACCTCGGGATGAGATAATCTAGCAACCAAAATAAAGATACCCTTCACATACTAACTAGTACAATACGCTACTTCAATTCCGGGTAAACTTGAATAATGCTAAGTTTTCAGCAATCTCGCTCCGATATTTTATACAATGAAACCATGATCATTCAAACTGAAATGCCAAGTCAAGCGGACCGGATAGATGACTCGGACTCGGATAGATATCAACATCCCTAGGATTGGACGAATCTCGTCCACTTTCTAACGGTCCTGCCAGAAAAGCAAGGGCCTCGAGCTCATAAAGAACAAAGACCAAATCACCATCTCTCTAAACGGACCAGCGCCAGAACTAACAAGAGACTAGCGATGAAAATGCCCTCCCTCGGCATCATCGACGCGCCTAATCAATCAATGACAGATAAATACCTGTCGGCACGCCGTTGCCCTTGCTTGACTTTGGGCCTTTGTGAAACCGGAACGGGCGCGCTTAATTGATGAAGTTGATGCAGAAGAAGTGTAGAATCAGACTTCCGAAGATGAAATCGGCGAATGCTCTGTTGAAAGAATATCGTTAGTTACGGCTATTAAAGCAAAGCAAAGCAAAGTGAAATGAAATGAAATGAAGCGAAGCAAGGCAAGGCAACCAATATTTGCAATTGCAATTGCTCTGGTCCAAAGGAAAGATGTATAGCATAAATGGGTAGGTGGGGTGTATACGAACCTCTCATGCGAAATACCCGTCCCCTGCTCGCTGTCCTCGGTTGACGCAGTCTTCCCCTTGGAATTAGACTTGGCATCAGTGGAACCAGAGCCACTTGTCTGCATGCGCAGACTGGCAGTCAGAACGAATTGGCCAACAGCAGCACTGAAACCGCTGAGGAAGGCATTGAAGGGCTAGAGTATAGAGTGTTAGTATATGGAACTAGATTCGGGCTCAAATCTGATCCAATTCGATGCCTTCCATGGAGGATCAATTTCCTCTGCAATGGAAGATGATCCCGGATTTGAAAGGTAGAAGGGGACGGGGAGGGGGAAGGGGACTGGGCGTACGTAGTTGCCGGCCAGAACACAGTACAAGAACTGCAGACCACCGACTAGAACGAGGAAGACCATGAAAGCGTCCAGGAGGAGTGTGCGCTGCGATGTAGTAGCGGTGTACTGGTGCCAGACATGAACGGCGATTTCAGCGGGCGAGGCATTTGTTTTCAGGGTCGTTGGGCCGGAAGAGAGTGGTGTTGGTGTCGAGGGTGTTGCCGCGGAGGTGGTTGAGGCCGCGTGTCGTTTAGCAGGCATGGTGGTGGGCAATTGATGGGGGTTTTGTGGGGAAGATTGGAATTTCTTTTCTATGAGTTTCGGCGTGGCCGTTTTGAGATTTCCGAGTTTGACTGGGTCGTCTGTGAGAAGGTGGTAGTGGGCAATGGCGTGGGGATGGGGTTCCAGTTGATGCCAGCTGGGAGCTTCGTTATCGGTGTCGGTCACGTGGTTGATAGTACAATGTATGGATTCCCCACAGCTGAGTGGGAACAAAGTATGATCTTACTGGACAAATTGGGTAAATTGATTTCTGGTTATATCTTTCAAAGCTATCCAAAAGCACACCTTGAAAACAGCGTAAATCTTTGTATGGAGAGAGGAGTATCTAAAACATTGAGTGGAAGTATAAGAGAAAGGGAGAGAGGCCCAATCCAAAAAGAACCCATAACACCATAATCATCTTATCGTAAGAGCCCATTGTGAGCGCCAAATGGAAAGAATCCCAATCAATATGAACCTATTTGGCCAAACAAGAGCCAACCTTGCATAGAAATCCCAAGTGTAAAACGCCAACCCGGTCAAGATCTATGAAAACCATTCTGTAACATTAATACCCTGCGCTGGAACCGATCCATTTTCATTCTCGACATCCATCTGGAAGTCCCGCATTACCTGGTCCCATTCTTCCCAGCTAAGCGGGGCTGGTTCGGGTATAGTTTCTTGGGTGATGAATGGGTTGTTGATATTGTTATTGTTGCTCGGCGGTGTATTAAAGTTGATGCCAGTTGGGAGGGTAGAAAGTGACATTGGGGCAGGAGCCGGGGCCAGAGTCGGATTTTGGGGAGGAGGGTTATCAAGCATAGTTGGAGCGAGAAGATTTGTATCTCCAAATATGTTTTGCACTGCCTCCCACGGACCCTGGGAGAGATCGATATCCAAGGGGTTGGGATTGGAGTCAGAAACAGGTCCCTGGACGGGCAAGGGCGACAGTGCCGGCGAATCAGTCGGCATGTGGATATGGGGGAGGGCGTGATGATGTGCGGCTGCAAATTCAACCGTCGAGTGTTTATATGGGATAGGGTTCGGGCCGAATTTTGATCGAAGCTCCGCTTGCTGCTTGGCTCTGCTTGCTGCGGCTCGTTTCATCAATGCGGCGAGCGGGCGCCAGAGCATGCCCTTTTTGTGCGTCGCTTGAGACTTCCAGTCACTGTATAGCGCGCTGATGGCATTCCAGGCTCTATCAGTAACGGGGCAGATTGGGCGGACGCAAACTTCCGATAGAACGAATGCGACGCCATGCCATTGCATGTTGGTGCGGAAGAGCCAACCCCATTTCGCTGTCTTCGGGTCTATTTCAAGGAGACGGCCAAACTCGAGGACTTCGATTGCGGTGAGGAATAGACTTTGACGTGTTGCTTGAGAGACAGTAGTGACACGGTCTTTTCGGGTCATTGGGTGGTGCACGACTAGCCACAGCTTTGCTAGGATTAGACGTCCCACAGTTGCGGCTGCCCAATGAATCGGGATGTTCATATCACAGTGCTTGATATATCGCTCCTCAACTCGGCTGCTGATGATTTGGATCATGCGTTCGCAGTTTTCGATGGACGGGCCGGAATTTCCCATGCTGAACCGAGTGCCTGGGCAACTGTAGTTTGCTCGGCGTAGTGCGCATGTAATCTCGCCACGAATCAAACAAAATGTGACATCTGTGCATCCCTCCCTTTCCGTGGGGGTCTCGGTCATCTCTGGGGAAATGTCGTCGTCGTTGACGTTCAACGGCAGGCGGGTATCATACATGTTTTCATGAATCTGTGAATCGGTCCCATGGTCCTCGGAGGCGCGAATATCTAGAAGACAGATATGCCACCACAAACGTCGACGCATCTCCGTCTCAAAGGGCCGAAGGGCAAAGTTGGTACCGTCGCGATGCAAACCAAGGCCCTGGGCAAGACGGATAATGATCGCGGTCATGGACCAAACGAATTTAGAATCATCCTCTCTGCGCACACAGATCAGAAAGAGGACCGCCGCCTGCAGAAGTCCGAGGCTTTGGGTGTTAAGAAGATTTGCTCTGGCCAACGACTGTTCCACGGCGAAACGATATCGCTTAACAGCGCTGCTGCGCTCCTCGCCAAATCGCAAGAGACACTCCTCAGGCGACAAGCTGACGATGGCGGACAGGTATATGGAGAAGACAAGAGCTTCGGAATTTTTGTCGAGGGCATCAGGGTTCTGGGCCGCCTCGATCAAAAGATTCCTGGTACTCGGGGTGTGCAGAATACAGACCAAAGGAGCTACATTCTCTTTATAGACATCCCAGAATATCGAGATCTTCTGGAAAGGCGGGTGAAACTCTCGCATGGATTGAGATAGGGCGTAGAAACCGAAAAGAAAGCCATCGTGTGAGCCTGAATGCGATGATTCCGGGGAATCTTTGGAGGGTGTGTCTTCTTCGTCAGAGGAGGAGTGGTCGAGGATGTCCTGGAGCTCTTCAATCTGGGATGTGCGTCAGCATGGTTACACAGACACAAATTAGTCACAAATAGGTTGGAGGATGAGTATATACCTCGTCTCCGAGACTCGCCCACAGGCGATTGCTCACATATCGACTTTTCCCTTCCTCAATAACCAACCGCCCAAATTCATTTTCAAACTTCCTTGTGGCAGGCTTCTTTGGATCGGCATCCTCAAACGGACAGCCTCCATTTTGAGGCTTCTTCTCTGCATCTGAAGATGTTGGCACCGAGGGCGCGGGAGCGGTTTCCGAAGATATGGAAGGGATAGTCGCCGGCGTAGGCTGAGTCGGCGAAATGCTGGAGGTCGAACCACCCCCACTCTCGCCGTTCTTCCCACTCAGATGCTCGATGACGCCCTCCAACCTCCGCAGGCGTGAGAGAAGCTCCGCATCGGGTGGACGCTTGGACTTCCGCGGGGCTCGGCCCGGTGGAGGAAAGATACAGTCGATACCGGCTTTAGTGCAATTGGAGCACGGCGTACGCTTGTTGCAACGGACTTTACGGCGGCGACAGGTGACACAGCTCCGTGAGCTGTCCGAGAGTGGACGCGGGGCGGTGGCGGAGACAGGCAGTGCGGTCGGAGAATTATCGCTGGTGGGGGATGGATGCACCCCCTCCGGAGACGCTGAATGGTAGGACATGGCTGGCACACATTCTTCCCGGTCGGGATGGACTTTGAAGTTGATGGTGGGACAAGAATGAGGTCAGAAAGGAACTGATTTCCTCCTTAGGGGCCAAACCACGTGCGAGACTCGGAGTGAAGGTTCGTATTCGTGAGTGAGTCAGCCTGGATTACTAGGCTGGGAAAGTTTTTTCCGTCTCGGATTGATCACCAATCACCGAACTCCGAAAGTTTGAATATAAGGGAAACTTGGAACTTGAGTAGTCCAAAGTAGAAAAGAGGGAGTATTTTCGAAACAGCATCCACGTCAGGATTTTGCTAGTGCAGCCACAAAAACAAATAGAGCAAAGAAAATAGAAATTCTAGGGCAAGTTGAAGAGAGACACAGATCATCAAGTAAATTGACACAGAAAAATCCTCATATAACTATGAATATATACAGAAGAAGATAATTGGTACAGTAGATTCAAGTTCCAGTCCAAACGTATGTCCAAACGCATGTCCAAACGTAAGCCAACGCCGTGTATATGCAGAAAAGAGATCATCGGAAATTTCCTAGGATCGGTTCACCCAAGGTACAGATATAAACATAGGGCGCAAGATATGACGAGTATGCTCGGATATTAACAAAGAACAAGGGCGTATAGTCGCATTTCAAATGCTCATGCGTATTGTCGAATTCCAAGGGAGCGGATGGACTTCGGCTTGCCGCCGCCCAAGGCTCGGGGGAGGAAGCGCTTCGCTTGCTTCTTCACCTGGTCCCAAATCTTGGTTTCGCCGTTAAAGTGGTGGCTAAGGAGAGTTAGCACAAAAGTGATCCAGAAAATAAAATGACCCTAGGGAACTGGGGAGAGGGGAACGCACTCATGGAAGTCTGCGTTAGTAAGTGACTTGGCGCCGTATTCATCCTTCAGCAGCTCAACATAAGCATAGGGAATCTTGGCGGGAACATCTTCAAAATAGCTTTCGCGCAGGGGCCAGATCTGGTCCTGCTGATAGGTGTGATGATCCTTACACATCAGCCACCCTGACTCCTTGGTCTCATCCTTGCGCACGGCGGTGATATCGATAAAAAGACCGGAGGACATGTCGATCCAGCGGGCGTCGATGACGTTCAGTCTGTCGCGGTAGTCCTTGACGGCGTAGTGTTGATTGATCTCCAGTAAGTATTTGCGGCCCTCCGCCTCCCCGTCAGGAATCTCGAAGTGGTGCTCCGTCATGTTGTAGTAATCCGCCAAGAAATGGATTGTCGGTTCGGAGATTTGGACGTCCAGGTCATTGTCCCATGGGAAGATCTGTTCAGAAGTCTGGTCAGCGCGTGGTTCAAGGCCCGCGTTCCTGGTCGTGGGAACGCTCTTACCTTTTGGTTCCACCACCAAGCAAGCAGAGTTCCGTGCATGATCCATGTTTCGGCACCGATGGATTCCATCGTCTTCAAGTATGTTTGAATTAAGGCGGACAGGTATGGAATGACCTTTTCTTCGGGCAGTTGCTTATCGGCGAATCTGGCGGGACGTTAGCGATAAGCAGAGGAATATTGGTACCCGGGGCTAGGGAGGGTAGGGTCGGGTTGAGACGAAATCAACATACCGGCCGTCATAATGATAGTGGAAGCTAGAAAGAAAATCAGAGGTTAGTATCTTCGACCAGTTTTTCGTGCAATTTCCGGGTAATTCCAGGTGGAAGGATCCCAACGTACTTGGATTCAGCTGGAAGAAAAACATTGTTAGTCTATGAAGATGACTTCTAGAGTTGAGGATCGGCCGCGCGGCCCCTGCCAAGATGAGGCGGCCCCCGGGGTGTAGATTTAAGCACTTACTGAAGTATTTGGCGGTGGGGATCTCATTCACATTCTTGTATTCTTTGACGATCTTCTCGCGCACATCGGTGAACTTGGTGGGGATCTCACTGCTGTCAGGGGTGATATCGGGGCTTGGGTTCTCAGTCTCGACGGCCTCGATCGGGGCAGTGGCAGTGCTACTGGCGGGGAGAGCGACAGCAGAGGCCAGGCCAACGAGCCCCAGCAGGGCCGGGGTCATGAATCGCATCGTTATATCGGGTTGGTGAAGTATAGCAGTAGTCGCATGCTCCGGTATATAGAGTCGCCGTCCAGTCCGGGGTGAGCGTGGGCGGAATTGGGGTGTCCAAGAATTTTCAAGTTTTGTCGGGCGCGTATGAAAGGGGGTAGGGCTGAGCGAGCGGAAGTGCCTGGATACGATTCACCAGGGGCACACGGAGAGCGGAGGAGATGAAAATGGGAGGAAGACAAGGAAGAGAAGATCGGTCGTTCAGGAGAGAGAGAACACGAGAGGAGAGGAGAGGGATTAGGGTTGAATGGGCGGAGAAAGACTTTAGCCATCGCATGTGGCCAGTTTCCCCTTTGAGAGTGGAGTTGCGGGTCCCAGCGGGATGATTGAAGATCGATGATTCACGAGTCGATATGATACGAAGTAACCTTACGGTATAGAAAATAGTCTAGATATGAGTAAACTAATACTTAGTGATATTTAATTACTCAAATATACAAATAGACCACATCCATCTCCCATAATGAGAGAATCTCCTCTCTGATCTATTTTCGTATTCGCAAAATGAATGCGAAGCCATCTCAGCCCCACCCGCATCGGGCAGCGTGTACGAGTCTTGGCGATGACTGGGGGTCTGGAAACCACTCGATTTAGCTCATATAGCCTTTTAAAGAGGTAGAACTATATCAAATTCTCTGCTAAGCATCGCCCCAGATCCAGTCCATCCTCAAACTCGAACTTGATGGTCAACTAACAGCACACCCTGTGCAGCCGGGGACTTCCCCTTCTCACGCCTGGGCAGTCCTTGGCCCCCAAATGAGGATTACGAGTATGCCTAGCCCCGCTCGGCACGCCTAAGAATATCGTTACCTCCGCATACGAGATAATATACGAAGTATGTACTAGGTTGATTCGCACCATCTATGAAAGAAGTCATTTCTCGATATCTGACGTCATAAACATACTTGTATCAATTATTACCTACTTCGGCCGTATTATTAAATTAACGACAGCTTGGTGGCATTCATTAGAGTCAGAACTAGTATATACTAGCAATCTCATATACATCAATGAGCGGGAGTTGCTGGCAGTTGCTAGTAACTAGTAACATCTTCTCATACTTCACGGGAACTCTAAAAATGGCTATTTCCGAGATTAGATTTATATCGGACGAAATCCAACGGCCCCCATTGCCAAGCATTGGGCCGCTGGGAAGTACTATTATGTATACAAGCAACGTTTAGCTCAGTGCATCCAGCCACTGGCATTCAACCCCACACCTCTCCAAACTTTATCTACTACTTCAGTCTTGCCTCCAACAGAGCAGGCTGATCTGCTAGCGACTGTGCCTTGCGATCACATCCATCCGGCAACCAAACCTGCACCAGTTTTAACCCACTAGCATCAAGAAGTGACCGCCACTGATCTTCCGTCCGCTCAAGCGACGCAAACGACCCCATCATCTGCATATCCGAGATCACAGAAGGCAACAGAGCCCCAGAATCAGGAAGTAAAGTTTCACTAATCAACAACACCGAGTCGGACCCCATGGCCTCACGAACACGACTTAGAATCGAGACTGCCTGTTTATCCGGCCAATCGTGCAAGACAGTTCGCATAAAGTAAGCCCTTGCACCGTGCACCGGCTGTGTCTCGAAAAAGTCATACTCCTGCGTCTTGATGCCAGTTGAAAGAAGATCCTTGCTCTTCCGAGCACCCTCAATGACACTGGGGAGATCTTGCAGAATTAGTTGACCAGGTAGAAAAGTGGGAAATCTAGAATGAAACTTCATCAGATCTTCGCCCTGACCCCCGCCAATATCTACAAGTAAAGTCTCGGAATCATTCGAGTTGGATAGTCGCTCAGCGACCGGGAAGAATTCAAACCAGTCACGGCCCCGACGACGAAAGGACATGGACATGACTGTGTCAAAGGCACGTCCATAGTAAGGAGTTGAGCCCAAGAAATCAAAATAATGGGCCTCAGTCCCCAAAGCAAATTGAAACGGCCCATTAAATCCATCGTTTGGATCTTTCCAGCCATTGGAGTGGAAATATTCAGGTAACCTAGACAGAACGGTCGTGAAATGCGTACTAGAATAGATTCGGAGTCTGTTAGTTGTGGGACTCCTCTTGCCCTCGTCTTTTTTTTAACGAGTATCTTCAAATCTTGTCTTGGCCGAGGTCTGGTCTGGTCTGGAATGGAACAAGAGTTTACCTGTGGATCACCGCCGCAGAAAAGGGCGAACTAGACACCAAAGCCGCGGCCAATGGAGTCGAGACGAAGTGGTCCCGATCCACCTCAATTACCACGTCCATGGCGGCCAGAAATCGTATGATCCTCCCTACACGGAAAATAAAGTATTTAGTACATACGTAAATTGCCTTGCCTTGCCTTGCCTTGCCTATGGCGCCGGTGGTGAGGTGAGCCTAACTTACGAATCAACAACGGGTCTGCATGAGACAACGCTTCACATATCGCCGAAACATCGAATGATCGATCTGGAACACAACTTGAAGATCCGGCCGAAGCAGGACCGTCACCGACCTGTGCGTCTATCGCGTCAAAGAGCTTCAAATCGACGCCCAGACGAAGGGCCATCAGCTGGTGGGCCTATGTATATCGAAAAAGTCAAAATTAGTTCACCAAAAGTCAAAGTCAAAGCCAAAGGTCAAATGCAGTAGGTGACTACTGCATGCTGCATACTACAACGGGTAGGTAGTGTAGTTTAAAAAAAAAAAAAAACTGGAATTAAAGAACGGGCAGGGGATGCGGTTCGCGTCTTGGCCGCATCCACCTCTCCCCACCGGCATACCGAAAATACGAGGCGTGCCGTAGTGTCGGCGGGTGACTCTAGGCTGCGCTGTAACCGATCACATGCTTGCAACAGTTGTCGGCGATCGGTTTGGTCGAGGGCCGAGCGATTGAGGGTCTCGGTCGTGGCGTTCAGGGTCTGGAGCAGAGAGGGGACGTGGGGCATTTTGGGAGACAGTGAGTGCTAGAAGTATTTTGGTTTGGTTTAATTTTTAAATTGATTCTACGCTGATTATATAGTTGATAGAGGGCGAAAAGAACGAATATCCCGACCCAGTGCCTTCGGACATTCGGGGTATGGGATGGAGATGATCTCCGGTGGTGGGGTTGGTGTCGGTGGGAAGAGCGAATATGCCGACGGGCGTGGCTAGGGTGAAGCCACGGATGAGATGAGGCTGAAGGAAGACGGGAGGAGTGTAGTAGGAGTATAAGGTTGAGGCTTGAGGGAGTGAATAGGTATATATGGTGTGGTGTCGGTGGGAAGAGCAACGGTAAACTCTGTACTAAGTACGAGTGCCCCAGGCACTCGCCAGCATCATGATCACCAGTGATCAACGGCTTAGTACTTCTTGAATGCTACTCAATGTCACAGAGTTCAAGTTGAATGCTGATCCCCCCCGGACTCCGCGGACATCGGGCTAGGCAGTTGACTGCGAGATGGTGGAACTGGTGGAACTCGTGGAACTCTCGGCACCGCCAACCGACTCGCAAGGCCCCCCCGATTTGGGCAGTCGGTCGTAGCCGTCGCATCTTTTTCTGCACTGAGTGGAGAGTCGATCCCGTTACTGATAATATTTCCAATTGATTCGTCAGGTTTAACTTTAGGGTTCCCCTTCCTATTCCCCTCGACTAGAACGTTTTGGTCTCCCCCGTGGCTGTTCCTCCCTAATTCAGCCCACCGTTGAATTCTATCCAGCAGAGTTACCACTACAGTGACACTACAGTGCCACTTCAGTGCCACTTCAGTGCCACTTCAACCCACTACAGCCCACTACAGCCCACTACAGCCCACTACAGCCCGCTTCACTGCCACAGATCTTGGTTCCCCTGGGCATACACCTTCACTAGAACCCACCGGAACCTCATCCTCGCTAAGCCCCTAAGCCCCTAAGCCCCGGACCCCAGTGACAGCTGTGGAGTGCCAACGCCAACCTTGCTAGGCGACATCATTGTCGTTCGACCTCTTACCTAACACCTTCTCCTCTGTGATTCATATTCTGCTCGTTTTAAGCTTCGGCCCTCATGCTCGCTCGCATCCGCACATGATAGTGGCCAAGCCCGAACCGAACCCCTGCTCTGCGCCTTTTTCTCTCTTTTCCTTCTTCGTCTATTAGACTTTTGATTTTCCTTTTCAGGAGGGCTCCATTGTTTTTTTTCCCTCTTTACCTTTTTGGCCCTTCGCTGCTCGCCGCCATTCGATTCGATCGGCACTGTCCTGAGTCCTGACTCTTCTCTCTGGCCTGCACGCAAAAAAGAAAGTGTAGAATCTACTCCGTATGTGCAAATTCGTCGTATCGATCTCCTCTTCCGCCCCCAACAAACCGGCTTGTTCTCGTGCTTGTGATTGCCATTGTGCTTGTCCACCTTCTGCCTGGACTGTGGCCTCATCCATGCTCGCCAGACCTCCACGCGCATTCGTGATGAAACGAGTTCCAATCCAATAACACACACCCCCCTGGTTTTGCGTTTTGGCTCTCTCTATCCCTCTCTCTCTCTCTCTTTCTCTCTCTCCCTCTCTAATTCACCACACACACTCGGTGCTATCTTTCTCGATTATTTTCGGGGCGGGCTTTGAATATATCCCGTGGTCCGTGATTCGTGATCCGTGATTGACTCGGTGTCGTTTGAGTGGGTGCATTTGCCTATTCTCTTTCATCGCTCTGGAGTGTGAACATGTCAGAGGCTTCCTCCACTCCAGGCGAACCACACAATACAGGCCAACCGGCAACACCGGCGCAGCTGAACCGATCCTGCGAATCCTGTAGAAGTCTCAAGGTTCGCTGTCTCCCCAGCCCATCCACGCCGAACCAGTGCCAGCGATGTGCGAAAGGCAAAAAGACCTGTGTCTTCGTGGCCCCTCAGCGACGTCGGCCTCGTAAGCGGACCGACTCGCGAGTTGCACAGTTGGAGAAAGAAATGCGCATGATGCGTTCCCTGCTAAAGGATCGGATCCGTGAAGAGAGCGAACCGGAGTCCCCCGAAGGTAGCGAGGGTTCCCGAGAAATCGACGACGACGAGATGGATTTTCAAGACACCCTTGGTTCCATCGCTGAAGGGTCGGTCAGTAGTACTACCGCTGAGCATTTGATCAACTACTCGCCCGATTTCGCCAGTACGGCACACCCCGGAATGCACGGCAGCGGCGCGCTGTCTGCCCCGCCATCTTTCGTCGGTCTGCAAGGGGAGTTTTCGCCCGAGATCAGTAAACCACCGATGGAGGACGTTGTCGATCGTGGGATTATCTCGATGGACGATTCGGAGCATCTGGTGGCGTTCTTTATTCATGAGCTGTCGTCGTTCTTCCCGCTCGTCGTGTTTCCCGCTGTCACGACCGCGGCACAGTTGCGACAATCGAAGCCAATCTTGTTCCTCTCCGTGATCGCAGCGGCGTCGATTTCCGTCGATGCGGGACTGGCGAGCGTTCTCAATCGTGAGATGATCCGTCTCTATGCGGAGCAGTTCTTTATCGAGGGCGAAAAGTCGCTGGAACTGGTGCAGGCACTGCTAGTCATGATCGTCTTCTATTACCCACCCGGGTCGCCATTGAAGTTGCAGTTCTATCAGTATACTCATATTGCATCGACGATGGCGTTGGAGATCGGATTGGCCACCAAGCGACGAGTTTCGAAAAAGAAATCCGATCGGAAAAGTAGCAAGCATGAGCCGCATGACGAACATCTGGCGGAACAGGCGAGAGCGGTCCTTGGCTGTTATCATCTAAGCTCAACGTAAGTATTCAGAGCCTTCGAAGCAGTAGAAGAAGGATCTCCCTGACTGACTTGAGCATACAGCGTCGCTATGAAGACCCGTCGACCCAATCTGCTTCAATTCAACGATTGGATGGCCGAGTGCATAAATCAGCTGGAGCGATCACCGCACCGAACAGACCAGCACCTGGCCATTTGGTTCGAACTTCAGAGAATAACCGACGAAGCCATGTCTTCTTTTGGTTTGGACGACACGAGCGCTTCCTCGCCTCTAACCGAGTCCCGCGTCCAGGCTGTGCTGCGGTGGTTCGATAAACGGATGGAAGCGTGGAAGAAGAGTACTCCCAATGACATGTTGACTGGTAAGGATCGATCAAACGCCACAGACAGACAGCCAGACAGACAGACGGAACTTGGCTGACATCTTCCTCTCCAGTACCGATGATTCTCGAATACCGCTCCGCCGTTCTCGCCATGTACGAATTAGGCGTGGGAGAGGGCTACCGAGACCCAGACGCCATCAAACGCCGATATTTCACCCTCCCACCACTGGAAGAAGACAGCGCGAATTCGACCCTTCCTCCCCTGAGCGCGATCCGAATCGACATCAACGTGAAATGGATGAATGCAGCACAGGAGATGCTTGACGCCGTATTGACCTGCAGCACGGACACGATGCGTAGGATGCCGAACATAATGTACACGCGATTCGGCATGGCGGTGACGTCGTTACTGAAGATCCATTTCTCTGTGCGCACCGGGGCACTGGGGCATATCGTTACGCCGGACGCCGTAAACGCTGGGTACTATCTTGATGCGATGGCGAATAAACTGGGCGAGGCGAGCGGAGGCGGGAAATACAAGATTCCGACAAGATGGTACCAGGTTGTGGCTGTTAAGGGACGGGACTGGTTAGAGCGGTTGGAGAATCGATATACCGTGGCCGACGAGGCTGGAGTCGGAGCTGGGCCTGGAATGGTATCTGTATCTGTACCCGAGAGTCCGTCAACGGCCACTGAACCAATGCCGGCTTCACGGCTACCAGGCTCGCAGGAACAGGCCGGACATATGGATCAGGTCCCACCCGGAGCGGTAGATTCGTTCTCCGTCCCACCTGGTGTGGCCCACATGCCGCCGGGTATGGAGGGCATGCGTGATGGATACGTCGCTATGAGTAATGCGGGCATGTGGCCGATGGATGGAGGCCAGGGACATGGACATGGACACGGACACGGGCATGGCCATGGGCATGGGCATAATCAGTTCTACCACTCTATGGGGGGTGGATACCATCAGCAGCATTCGCCCTCACATCCGCAGGCGACGATGCCACCGCAATTTGCGTATGACCCGCAGAGACTCGCTCCGCAGGGCGGAGGGATTCCTGGGACTGGCATGGAGTTGGATGGATGGCTTCCGGATGGGAGCATTTTTGGGATGCCGCCTTTGCCGGAGTTTTGATGGGTTCAGTCTGTCTTGGCTAGATGTCAAGGCTGAGTCTCACTTCGCGCATACCACTCTTCATTGCGGAGGGTTTCACTGTTTCACTGTATGTCAGTGGTTGTCCTCGGAAGAGAACCTGGCATGGTTGGTTCTGCATATATCTCATTAGCATATTGTATAAACAAGCATGGTACACGAAATGGAAGGATGGAAAATAAAGGGAAGGATGAACATATAACATGAAGGACGAAATGAACAAAATACAAGTCAATCTCACTTACAAGGAAAAGAGCCAGCGAGCGAGAGAGATGGGTAGAAAGCTCATGAGTAGAACCCGAATGTAGCGATGTGATCAGCCAGTAAAGAAAGAAATAGAAGTATACTCCGAACCCCAAGGCATAGCTTCAGAAAAGAGAAGCTTGGAGAGAGAGAAAAAAAAAACGAAAAGAAAAGAGAGGGAAAAAAAAGCAAAGAAAAAAAAAAAGACACCGAAGATCCGGCAGCAGAAAAAAAGCCGTCAAGAATGTTGAGCAGCAGAAGCCAAGGGAACAGAGCTAACAGACCCAAAAAATCAGCATCAAGCATTTACCCCATTGAAACATGAATGCGGAACCCCAGCTCTCGAACGGTCCGGTGCAGGGATGGCGTCAGTTGAATGACGGAGCGATAAAAGAATCCGAAGTCCAGCGTCGGGTTGATCGTCGTCCGACAGGAGTGGAGGAAGGGAAGAGAGGGTCACAGCTGGTGGTCACCGTCGCACTTAGGCTAAAGGCTTTAGCTCAGCCTTTACTCCGTACCCAGTGGTCCAGGAGTCCAGGAGTCCGGGTGTAGGCGCAGTCGCAGGCAGTTTGAGTTCTTTGTTTAAGTTCTTGGCGGGTGGAATGGTCTGCCTTGGGTTAGTTGGAGTTAGTTGGAGTGGTAATTAATGTCACTTGATTGAGTTATACTCCGTATACTCCGTATGCTCCGGATGCTGGAAGTATGCAAGGACTCCGTACTCTGTCTGTACTACTTTGTACTTTGGACTCTGTTGGAATAGTTGGTAGGTCGGAATAAAGATAAAGTACTGAACGCCGGCGATCGCATCGGTAGTACTAACAGCACACGGGCGAGTAGTTATACTCAATTAGGATATGGTGGGCTCTGACAAATGATCATGTAAGGAGGAGTAGCATGCTTGAGGTGCGGAGTTTATCCGATGCCACGGAGGAGATTGCCTAGAAGGTGTACCATGGCCGGGAGAGTATGGAAAGGGAAAGAGTGTTCCGGTGGGAGTCTACCACAGATGATCACAGTAGTACTCCGTGCTACTCGTACTCCTAGTACTACCACCACGGACTACCACGGATTTACTACGGACTACGGAGTATTGCACATTATCATCGAAATCCCCGTATCCGTGACTTGAAGTGTCCGTCCTCCGTCCTCCGGGCGCATTCTGAACCGAAATCTGAAATAAATTTTAAATGCCTTGAGGGGCCGCACTATGTGGAGCCGGAGAATCATCGATGTATCTCGGCGAATCTCTTCTTATACTTCCGTTCAACCTCGTGTCGAGTCTGTAAATTCATATTTGTGTATTCCATACTCCGTGCCCATACTGTTTATGGTACTGTAGCTTAAGTACATTTCATCCCGTCGTGATACGATACAAATTATGCATGGATAATAACCAAGGAGATCCTCCTCCTCCTTCCTTTCTCCGAGTTTTCTTCCTGTCCCACCCGAATAGTGAAATACTACATAATATGTACGCCATTTCCCTCTCAGATACTTTAGTCCTAGAAAGGCAAATGCAGAAATTAAGAATACGAAGAACGAAAAACGAAAAAACACCAAGGAAAGTAAGGGCCGGACAGAAGATTCGCAGAATCTCGCCCCTGCTAATACCTTACTTAAATTGAGAATGCTTCAAGCGCATCCATAAATCCAGCGATCGCTCCGATCCCCGCTAAGCCCCGAGTCGCGTTCCGAGTTAAATTCCGCTGCCTGTCTCGCTCCCGAGGATCCTCGCGCCGACCATCTTCACGTGAGGATCTATGATGGTGGCCATGCGTTGGAGATCGCTGTCCCGAGCGAGGCGGGGAGGGTCGGAAATTAGACTCGGGCGATGAAGTGGAGAGACCGTATGCGGATTTATGGTGTCGTGGTTGGAGCATGTTATTGTTGTATGGTTGAGGTCGGCCATAAAAGTCATATTGACTCGAACCCGGGGGTGTCCCCCGTGGTGATGGGATTGGTAATCCGTTCGACTGGTTGGGTTGATTGCTGTTGGGTATGGAGCGCGGGGCGCTGTTATATTCTTGGCTCGGGTGAGAGCGATATGCTTGCTGGAAGGGCTGTGATAGGGATGATTGTTGAGGATGTCCCGGGATATAGTTCGGGATGGACTGGCTTTGTACATGTGGCGGGCCCTGGGGACGAGATGAGGGTGGGCCTGGAGGAGGCGGTGGTGGTGGTGGTGGGAAGCTACTGCTGGAGTATGCAGCTGTTCGGCCGTCAGGGAACTGGCTAGGTGGGTACCGTGAGGAAACACTGTTGGAGTGCTTCCGGCCGTCACTGAAAGTTACGTTCTTCGGAGGTTGCTTTGTACCGTTATTCCTTTGCTCGGCTTCATCACTCGAGGTGCTGAATCGTTGACTTGTTGGGCTAACTGGACTAGCCGGTTTGGATTCACGTCGAATAGGCTCATCAGATTCAGAGTCGCTATCTACGTGGGCCTGGTAATTCGAGTAACGGTTGCGAAGTTGCGCAGCATGAGCCCGGGCTTCCTGCGAATGAGGCTTTCGCCAGTCATCGGTCGTCCCCTCCAGGTAGTAGCCACGATTTTCCTCGTCGAAGTTCAACTCCTCCAAGTCGCCATCTTTGTCTGACGAGACGAAGGCTCGAGGGGCGATGGGCCTGCCAGAATCGAGATCAGGATCATGTAGTTTCGATGGATCTAATGACGGTACCCATGCCCGTAGAAGACAGTTCATAGCTTTTTCCGAAAGGTGAACCATATCCTTTGGCGACCGTTCTAGATCCTTCAGTCCAACTTCGCTGTCGCCCAAAGTCACCATGTGTAACTTGGTAGGATCATTCCCTTTAGTGGCTGCAACCAGTGGTTTTAGAGCCGACAGAGTATTGGAATAGTTGAAGTGAATCTTTTGACTTGTCGGATCGTTTGCCGCCTCGGATGCTTCATGTTCGACCATATCCCAAAGACGATCAAGACGCTTGACAGACCAATACCTGACGATAATCATATTCTGGGCTTCTGCCTTTTCCTGGGCAATAAGGTCCTCAGTTCCTAGTACGGGAGAGCTAGCGTTTGAGTTATTCTTGCCCTGCGTGAGCATGTTCCCCAGTTGCAGAATCCGATGTAGGACGATGAGACTCAGTTTCAAAGAATCCAGTTGCGCAAGAAGGTAGGTGACATGTTGCTTTCTGAAACACCATCTTAGCCGCTCCTGTACCGGGATTCTTCTCAGGTCATCGTCCGTGTCGGTTCCTTGTAGTTTGTCGAGCATGCGCTCGATCTCCACAAAGACTATCTGACCCTGACCCGCGATCTCCCAGGCCTTTTCTGTGGCCTCGACGGAGCGGTCCAAGTCGCTGGCTTCCAAAGCCTGACCAAGGTGTTTTAATGTCAAAGCAAATAGTGAAATGCCTTTGGCGATGCTGTGAATTTCGATACGAGACTGCGCCAACTGGCAGGCCGCGGCATTTAAAAGTAGCGAGAGGCGGAAGCCCGCCCCGGCGATGCGGACGATAGATGCCTCTGAGCCTGAGTAAAAGTCAACGAGTTAGCCTATGGGATGGAAGAGGAGGAAAGAGAGTGAGGGTAGGAGAGAGTGAGTGAGTACCTGATGCCATGATCATGACCGGGAAATGTATCAAGAATACAAACAGGACGAGAAGGAGGGAGAAAGATCAAAAGAGATCAAGTCAATAGCGTTAAAAAGACACAAGAGAAAGAACGGAGATGATTCATCAACATGGCGAAAGCCGTCAATTTGCGTGACAAAGTTCGGGCTAGTTGCCACAGGAGGAAAAGAGCAGGCTGATACTTTTATGAAATGATGAGCATTGCTGATTTCCCCCACCTTTTTCACGGGGGCCTCAGAGCCGCAAGTCTCCTGCACATCACTTGACACACAGCATCGCCCGTCAGCGCCGTCCGAGAGCCCTGGGCAGTCTTCATGACGCCATGCATTGGCCTGAACAAGGTCAACACAGCCGATCTTCTGCTTAGCCCCGCGCTAGCGCGGATGTAGGGTCTGCGATTCCCCGTCGCATCGTGACTTTTGATTCGCACGCCCGAGTCAACGGTACTCGGCACTGCCTCGATCAAACAAAGAGGACTTTCACCCGGGCGTGTGAACTGTGATCTGCATGACGTTCCTCGGGCCGCCGTGTCTCGTATTCTTTATCAAGGTCTTTTGCATGCAAGGCGTGCAATGGGGATTGGTTGGTAGGGTCCAGTTGAGGGGGAGGCTCGGCAGAAAGAAGGTGAGGGGAAGCCCTGGGGAATGAAAGTATATCTTAATAATCACCGATTGGATACGAGATGATTTGTATCGGGTCCGAGTCATATTTAGCCCGGGTAGTCAGTCATCTTGAGGGTCTGTTTATCTCTTGCGGTGAGATTATACAAAAGGTAAGCAAGACTCGCCTCTAATGATACTAAATACTCTGTATTGATGGCCCCCAAGATTCTACTTTGAACGTACTAGTACTCTCTTTACTAACTATAACTAGTAGTTCTTCTTCATACACACCGCACTCCGTACCACACTAAGTTACTAACACTTTAAACCTATGTTATACGACCTCCGACTCGGGGCCCCGGCATTTCTCTTTTTGTCTTTTGTTTCTTCCCACGGCAATTTTTGTAAGGTACATAACCTCATATTCAATCAATCGTCGAATAAATTCTTTTTTACATCATTTTCAGACATCCAGACAGGCTGTAGACCATAATAAGGCGGTTCCTAAAAGGGAAAGTGACGGTGCTATTCCGAGATATTGTCGTCATGTCACACTGGCAGTACATAGTATTTATGTATGGGATCAGCAGAAGTTTACAGGTAAAGTTGAAAGCCACTGCCATTTCTGAAGGATAGTAGAGGCTGCTCTAGTTAGTCATGGCCTTCGAACTGATAGCCCCGCCCCATAAAAGAGAAATTCATACAACTTCTCTAGTACTAACAACTGCTCTTGTATTTCAGATTCATTTTGACGCAAGAAACAGAGTTCGAAGATTGACAAACCCGGAAATATTTGACGGTTATGCGTAGTACTTTATCAGCCGATCATATTGCCATCACATCAATAACATGACTTTAGAGACCTCTCCATAATCCATAACAGCTACGACCCCGTTCTTCAGTCCTCGAGCACAATTTCTATTTTTTCCAATATTTCCTTGCCAGGTTTTTTTTCTTCTATTTCTCTTAATCTATTGTCCAGATCTCAGATGGCTAGCCCAGTTCTCGATAAAGCTCATATAAGAGCTTGTCGGCGCGATCGACCCCTTTCACAAAAAGAGGGAGATGCCCAACCACTCATCAGCTAGTCAGGCAGGTCCTATTTACCCCTTTCCGCTTATCAGACTTTGGGAATGGTGCTCTGCATGCCGCATTGATGGCTTGGGCCGAACGCAGGCTCGCCTAGCTCGATTTCACTTCACACCAAGAAATCATGAAGAACCAGCCGCATCGCATGTTGACACAGAGACACGGGAGAACGAAAGACACAAATCATTCATATCTGAACTCAAGGCCCTTTGGTCTCAAAAGAGTTCAGAGTGTCTAGACCCTTCCAGAACACTTACAGCGATCAGCCCAAATGCGCGCATCGAAAAGGGCCTACCAATGGGAAACATCGAATGGGAAACGCTACGATGTGCATAACCCGTACGGGAAAGAGGATATCTTCTACAACAACTCTTGTCTTTTCAAATGGTAGATTACACCTGATCAGATTGTAGGTCATTGGGACTGGGCGAATCTTGTCGATAACCCTCATTGGTACGAAGCCGAGATATTGCCCGCTTTCGAAGACCACAATAATCTTCTCTTGGACCGAAGTCAAAAACGACTCGGAAGGACTTCTGGCATATCGACTTTACATCATGCTTTGCCCACGTCTTTGCCAAAGGCTTTGTCTAGAGCTTTCATGACATCGGGTCATCATAAAGTGGCGCATACCTAGGTACTACTAGTACCTCGTACATAGTGGGAGACGATTCAAGCTCGGACACATCGTCCAGTGATGATGGCATATTTGCCGGTGACATGGATGCTGGATATGTTGAAGGGCAGGACTCGGACCTTTCGAATAATGGCGATACTGGACCCATTCTGAATGAAGATGGGGACTTTCCTAACGACGAGTCTACTGGTTATGCCGAAGAGGAAAATGAGGGGTTTTCAGGTGAAACTGATACTGGATACACCGAAGATGAAGATTGTGGCTTCTCGGATCAGGGGGATGATGGATACTATAATGACGATGATTAGGGTTGTGTTCGTACTAGGACGCAGGTACTGATTTTGGAGGCGGCTAATGCTGCCAGTAATATTTTCAGAATATGAGCAATCGACGTGCAAGGAAGTAATTAAGTATGCTAAGAGATAATGGGGTTCAATTCGAGTTTGTTATTATCTTAGTAGTACAAGTATGTTTCCGCTCAAAGATAAAAAGAAGCTTGAATTGTGTACTTGGTACCTGAGCCCGGTCTTCCTGGAAAAGAGGCTTTCTCCAGTTATAGGTCACCCCCTTCAGTTACTAGGCCTCGAAAAAAGGGGTATCTGCCGAGAATATTGGACTACCGAAATATCCAGGCTTGGGTCCTTGGGTGATTGCGGGGAATCGTTGTGATCGGCAGAAGGCAGCAAAGATAATCGATCAGAACTTCTAGAATATGTGACAAAACAACGCTCAAAATGACATCTTCTGAGGTGTAATAGGAGGAGGGATTTTTGGCTATTTAAATAATATTTTTTTTTCCAACTGTTTATTATGTTTTTCCAGAGTATTTTTTGTTGACTTTCTGCTTTGGGAGCATCGCTTGTGCTCGGTCTTCCGCTTTCGGCGCTGCCGTGGATGACGCGGTGGTTGATTTCGGTTGCGAAGGATTCAATTCCATTCATTTCTCAATAGTTTCATTTTGTTTTGTTCACAATCGCTTTTGACTATATTCTTTCACTCAAATTGAGCTTGCTATTAGCTATTAACCGTTGGCTGTTGGCTGCTTGCTGTAACTGCCAGCCCCGCCATTGCCTCCCGCCTCGTCGACCTCCTTTTTCCGCTTGGCCGTCATCTGTGGAGACTCACCAGTCAAAGGGCCACGATCCGGTCCACCACGGCGCATCGGGCCACTTCCATATAATTTCTTCTTCCACCTTTGACTGGAATGGGTGTGCTCCCTCCAAGCATCGCGAGGAACGTGCCTGGAAGCCAGGACGCACTGCCAACCCGGACCGGCATTCAGAAACCACGAACTCACCAGGGTTGACTGTCCATGTGAAATCATGACCCAAGCGGGTGTCACCAGCGACGGGGCCCCCGATCAGACCACTGCCTCTTCTGCAAACTCTACGCCCAATACGCCTCAGCCGTCGGCTGCAGTCGCCCCGGAAGATGTCACCGGAGAGGGAAAGGGAAAGGAGAACATAACGCCCCAGGAGAGCAGCTCTGGGTCGACTGATGCAGTTCCACAGAAGCCGACAGAGGCACCGCTGGAGTTCGACGACTTTGGTTTACCAATTCGACCTCGCGCAAAACCCGAACCGGCTACCCCAGACCCCTCCGAAGGCAACGGCCGACCCCCCGCAGACTCCTCAGACCCAGAGCCAGCCGCAAGCCCTGCAACTGATTCGCCGCCAGAACAAGATGTCAATCAAGTAGGGCATACCAAGGGAAAGCCGGGGGCAACAGCTGGAAACGAGGAGCCAGAAAAACAAGCGTCAAAGCCAAACAAGGATCCTGAATCCCTGACGCCTGCAGATTCAGTCACACAAAAACCCGACCCTGAAGCCGCCGGAGCTGTCGCCTCCCCTCAAACGTCCACTTCGAAGCCCAAAAACGTCGAGTTCTCAGAATGGTCACACATGCGAATCGCTCAGCCCCACCAAGCGCACGACGATAGTGAAGAGGAGGAACCGGCGGATTGGAAAGCCATGCCGGCACTTGGAGAGTTCGACTACTACGACGACTATGGGAGGCTGATCGCCCGTGGCGCCCAGGAGGAGGGCAACGATGCGGTATACCAAGGGCTTGGAGGTGCTGGAAAGGGATACACTCGAGTTCAGCTCGACGAAGATGCCCAGTCTGCTACAAGTATGGATGAAGATACCAGCTATCTTTTCAAAGACTCAGCAGACACCTCAGCCGGTCTGGTTGGAGAAGAGCTCCGTGACTCTGTCAGCCAGCTCCAAGCCACAAAAGACCTTCTCAACGAGACCCAGAAGATCGCCTACGTGGGTGTGGTTCGTCTAGCAATCCACGAGATGAATCTTGGATTGTCAAAGCTTCCGGTCACGAGATCAACCCGCAAGACGCACCAAAAAGCTTCTGACTCCACGAGAAAATGGGGCCAGGCCATGATGGGCCGGTTGTATCTGCATATGGATATTAACTCGGCGGAGCAAATTATGATTGAGCAACTTGCAGAGCATGGAGTCCAACCTGGGGACCTCGTTCGCCCACTTATGCAAAACGCGCGTGTCAAAAACCCAATGGCCGAAGGCCCTCACAAGACTTCCTCCTCGGTATCATTATCATCTCCTACCTCCAAAGGAGACCCTCGTTCGCGTATGTCAGTTGAGACCGACACATCATCAGAACTGGGCTCCCCGCCACCATATGAAGCCCACGAAGACGATGAGCCTACGGAAGTCAAAACACCATCTCAAATGCCAACCTCCGACCGAATTGATATCGATCTCCGATGGACTGTCCTGTGTGATTTGTTTCTTGTTCTCATTGCGGACTCGGCGTATGATGCGCGGTCCCGGACCCTGTTGGAGCAAGTTGGCGAGTCTATGGATGTGACCTGGCTGCAAATATGTCGATTCGAGAAGCGCGTCACAGACGCCCTGGAAATGCAAGAGCAGACAGACAAAGAGAACTGGGATGAATCCGAGCATATGGAAGAGCGTCGCCAAAAGTCTCGGAAGACGAAATATATGGTGATGGGGTTGGCCACTGTTGGCGGTGGACTGGTAATCGGCTTATCTGCTGGGTTGCTGGCCCCTGTTATTGGAGCTGGTCTCGCTGCGGGATTAACGACCGTCGGTATTGGTGGAACCAGCACGTTTTTGGGTGGTCTTGGCGGCACTGCTTTGATTGCATCGAGTGCCACTCTTGGTGGGAGTGCCATTGGCTTGAGAGCTTCCCATCGCCGAACTGGCGCGGTTCAGACCTTTGAATACCGGCCTTTGCACAATAACAAGAAAGTCAATCTGATTGTGACAGTGTCCGGATGGATGACTGGCAAGGTTGACGATGTTCGATTACCTTACAGTACAATCGATCCCATCATGGGTGATATCTATTCCGTTCTGTGGGAGCCTGAGATGCTTCGAAGCATGGGTGACACAATCAATATTCTTGCGACAGAGGTAACATATTCTCCCAACACAATTCAAACCGCGCATGCAACTGACTCGCTTCTAGGCATTGGCCCAGGGTTTACAGCAGGTGCTGGGAAGTACTATTTTGATGGCACTGATGGCATCATTACAACTACCTCTTGTCCTGACCAAACTTGCCTACCTAATTGATAACCCGTGGACCGTTTCTTTGGCTCGTGCGCACTCGGCTGGGTTGGTCATGGCCGACTCTTTGGAAGATCGCAACCTGGGTAAACGACCCATCACATTACTTGGTTTTTCTTTGGGTGCACGAGTCATTTTTTCATGCCTCACGGAGCTAGCTAATAAGGGCTGCCACGGACTTATCCAGAATGTCTACCTCTTCGGATCACCAATCGTTGCAAGCAAGGATGAATACCTCAAAGCGCGCAGTGTGGTGTCTGGCCGTTTCGTAAACGGATATTCTACGAATGACTGGATTCTTGGCTATCTCTTCCGGGCAACCAGTGGTGGTATCATGCGTGTCTCCGGTCTTGCAGCTGTTGAGGGTATCCCAGGACTGGAGAACTTCAACTTGACCGAACTTGTCAATGGACATATGGATTACCGCGCCGCGATGCCTCGGATTCTTAGAGAGGTGGGCTGGGAAGTTTTAGGGGACGAGTTCGCAGAAATCGAAGACCCAGACCCCGAGAATCACGCCGAGCGCCAGCGAGAGCTGATTCGCGAGATCGATGAAGCTCGACGAGAAGCAGAGCTCAAGCCGGAGAAAAAGCGGTTCGGTCTCTTCAAGCGTGGCAAGATGGCCGAGAAGAAATCTTGGGAGACCTATGACGTTAACCAGAAAAATGCACCACACGATTCGATTGATAAGAGTGCGCCGGGCTCGGTGCTTTTCGATATTGAGGCTATTCGAGCCGAGTTGGCCTCGGAAGCCATCGAAGTTAAACAGCTGGAGTCTACTCTGCCTCCGATGAAACTAGATTTGAACCGTCCATCGGAGTCATCATTTACCCAACCTACCACCCCCACGGAGAAGAAAAAGGGCAAGGGCGCCGAATATGACGACCCCGTCTCCCTTCAACGAACGGCATCCGAGCCTAAGCTGAACACAGCCGCTGAACCCCCGGCTGCCCATGATTACTCGGCCACGCATAAAGAGGACGAAGTTGAAATGACGTTTGATACTTCTTATCACGACCCACCTCCACAGTACCAACACGATCCACCCTCCCGGCCCGAACTACGAACCTCTTCTACTATGCCTGCAATTGGCGCAACAGCTGTGGGCACAACAGCTGTGGGAGCTATGGCCCTAGAGCCGAATGCTTGGGCAGATCATGATGATTTTGGACACGGACATGGAGAAGAGGAGTTTTCGATGACTTTTGAATAATGAGGGAGGTTGGTTTCAGTTCCTGGGGATCTTTGCTCCTGGGGACTTTTTTTTTGTTCATTTTTAGAGGTGCATTGTTTTGCCTAGGTGCCCGAGATGTTTATAAATGTGCAGCTGTCATGTACAGAGAGGTAGCTCGAATAGCTCGAATAGCTTGAATTGGTTTAAGACAACTTGAAATATCAACTGGTGTCAAACGCTCCTCGGGGAGTGTCAACGAGTCTCCGCTGTGGGGCGCGGCTTTGTCGCGTCACGCGTTCTCCAATTCCCCTCTCACCACTCACCACTCACCACTCACCTTTCTTTCTTTCTTTGCTCGTCCATTTGCGAATCGGCGCTTGGCCCGCGACTTTCTTTTTCTTTGTTGGTTTTCTTTCAGATCCAATTCTCCTCCCCTTCGATTTTCCGATTGACGCCCCTATCACATTGTCGCATCGCAACCTCGTCGCTCCTTGTATACGATCTACCTGTCGATCTCCCCAGCCTCTTTGAAATCTCCAGAATTGCTTCTTTGTATAATGCACCTTCAACCTAAGCGCGATCCAAGCCATGCCTCGAACCGGTTAACACGCAATATTCGTGGACATCTACTTTCCACCTTCAACATGCCTCAGCAAGATGCCGCCGCGGAACGCAGCTCCAAGCCCGAGCCTGTCTCCGAAAGCAAAGCGCCTGGACCCGGGACAGATGATGAACCACTTAGCTCTGATGAGGATGAATTGCCCGTCGATTCTGACGAACTCCCGGCGCATGAGGATCGGTTCAAGGAAAGGACACTAATGGAGAAGCTGAATGCACCCTCGTCCCCCGCACCTGTACGGTCGGGAGCTTTTAGCTCACAGAGTCGAGCTGGATCGACCAGGAAAAACCCACTGCGGAGGACCTCCAGTATGATGGCGGGCGACGACGATGACCAGGAAGAAATCTTCTCGTCATGGCGATCCTCACAGAACAAGCGACTCAAGACCAAGACGTATCCGACGACCTCCTTCTCGAAAGTCCCGAGCTCAAGCGCACGCTCTGCTGCTTCCCCGCCTGACAATCGGTTCAAAGTACCAAGCACGTTTTCGAAGAAATCACCGAGCGCCGAGGAGAATGATACATCAGAACAGTCAGAATTGACAGAACTTTCCGAATCAGAAGCTGAGTCCAAACCGGCTATGGAAATCGACCAACCGACTTCTGATAACGACCATGTCGCGGTATCCTCTGACTTTATTGTACCTCCTCTACACCCCGACTCGAAATCCTCATTTGAAACAACACTCTCCAAAGATAATGAAGCAATGGCTCTAGACCCCTCGGGAGGTTCAGGCTCCAGCTCACCACTCAGCTCTGCGCCTTCGGATTTCATAGACCTACTCGAGGATGAAACTAATATGAAACCCCCTGCACCACGGAGGTGGTTGTGTCCAATGTGTAAAGAGGAGGTTGATCCAGATCTCCTTATCCTCTTTGAGTCCCAGCCGAACCAACGTGTTCGCGATCAACAGCAATTCTGCACATCACACAAACAAAATACGGCCAAAGCGGAATGGCAAGAACAGGGATATCCAGAGATCAATTGGGAAACCTTTGATCAGCGTATAAAGAAGTTTTTCCCCAAGTTGGAAAAAGTTCTGGCTCCAGAGCACCCGTCTTATTACCATAATATTCTGTCTACCATCATGAAAGATGGCAAGGCGCAGAACTTCCGCCTTACAATGGCGGGTGATGGCATTGAAACTATTTCGTGTGGATATTATGGGACGAAAGGAGCCGCGAAAATGTAAGCATGCGCCCTCTCGCACATCGATCTGTTTACTCAGGCAATACTAACCGTGCATTCTGTCACAGGCTACAAGCTGTCGTTGACCGCTTCTCTGCTACTTTGCGTCGCTTATCTGCCTCGGACAACATAATCAAAACGGCGGGTGTAGCTGGCTACGCCCAGTCCGTCCTCGTCCCCGAGCTTGCTCTATGTCTCGTCAAAGAAGACATGCGCGTCGATGATGATGCTGCACGCAAAATCCTGAGGGATAGCATTGATCTGGGCCAGAAGCTCAATCCTGCATTGGACGATGAGGTGCCCGTTCCGGCCGAAGATGAAATATTATAGTCTACGTATACCATGCCGTTGAACATTGTGGATATGTCTGCTCGATCTTGGATGGGTATGGATTTATTGGACTTAGCGATTGTATATGATAATCACCGTGATACCTCTTACGTTTCATTGTATCATTCATCAGCATAATGGAGTTTATATGTTTTCGGCCTTGTTTCATTGTTCTTTTTCAAAGATAACCGATAGTAGGTAGTAGCTGAACTGACACGACTGCTGGCTAAAAGTATAAATTCGACTCCTCACGGCCACTCTCTTAGGCTCTAACCAATATTTCATGGGAGCCGCCACTAGTCTTGATGACCCTAGCAGTTGCAGTTGACTCATCAGTGGCCGCAGACACTTCGGCTTCGGCTTTCTCTCCATCGACATAAACCTGTTCATTCTTGGAACCTGTGACCGGTACACAAACAACACCGCTGGTCCCAGTGGGAGTATCTATCTGAAGCTCGAAGCTATCATTGCCCTTCTTACTCCACGAGACTTTGATAGGGCCATGCGGTGTGCCAACCTGACCACGGGACCAGGTGAGACTACCTTCAGTAACAGGGCAAATTTCCCAGGTTTTGAAACCAGGGCCAGTGGGCTTGACGCCCAGGACGTAGTTACTCATGAGAGGCACGATACCTGTTGACCAACCATGCGCCATGGAGGTAAATCCATCCTCATAAGGAGATCCGTTCGGACCAATTCCTTCCCAGAATGTAATCTCAGGATCATGAGTCGACATCCACCCATAAAGACGCTTCAATTCCTCATAGGCAGATCCCGCAGCCCCTTGCGTAGCAAAGCGCGCAGCAAGCTCAAAGTAAGAAATGAAAGCGTACACGCGCTGCGAAAATCCAGCCTGAAGTGAATCATTGTCATAGAAGGCATTGCCGTAGGGGCGAGCGGTAGATTTGCCATAATAGCCTAGCAGGCTGGTAGCCAAGGACGAATTCACAGTGCCCGCAAGAACCGCTAGGCCGTTCCCATCTTGAGCGTGGACATCACAGATCGTGTTGCCAGGCTTGTCGGGGCAGGGTCCACCATCGTAGAATGCTCCAACAGAGGCATCCCAGTTTCTGGCCAACAGTCTTTTGTTGACTTCAATGGCTCGAGAAGTCCAGGTATCGCGGTCGGTACCATGGCCGAGTATGTTGGCCAACTTGGCTGCCGACTTCAATGCATGGGCGTAAAGGGCATTGTAGTATGTGATGACGCCGGAGCGAGGGAGGAATGCGTAGTCACCGTAGCCATTTGTCTTGTTAAGGAGGCCATCAGTCGAGGTAAGATCCTGGCCATAGTAATTATCCAGTGTCTTTCGCATCACGTCGTAGTATTGGGCCGCAAAGTCCGTATCGCCAGTATACATGACCATATCGACGGTGCAGACCACCCACCACATAGGATAATCATAAAGATTGAGGGTATAGTTATTGCTGTTTATAATGTCAAAACTGAACTCTCTGAATTCTGGAAATCCCGGAGTGAGTAACTTACATACTAGCTGGAGGAATCCAGCCATCATCCCTCTGGTGCTCTGCCAAATCCGCCAAAATATTGCGAACGGAGTCGGGATTATCATGCGACAGATACGAAGTAAGTGCAGCAACGCCAAGATCACCAACATAGGGATCTCTATCTCTTTTAGCCCCGTCGAAGAGAACTTCTTTGCCCTCCAATGTAGGTGTAGCCGAGTCTCTTGGATCGGTCTCGTTAGCGAGGAAAATATCAGTGCCCATATCAGCAGTGTACACGCCATCGAACCACCACTGCGTCAGATCCTTATCAGAGCATTCGAACCAGCCGGTAAAAGTATCTGGCGTTCCGAGATACCCGGACCATTCGAGTTCAATGTTTGATATGGATACCGATCCGTATGGTTGTGCGTACGGGGCATCATTTTCGAGGGCATCGAGCCAGATTTTCATGTATCTGAACCCATGAACCCCATCAGAGCATACTTTTGTATCATGTTGACAGCCAGTCTTGTCTTTCCATGTATATGGACCATTTGAGACGGCGATCTAGAAAGGAAATTAGAACGTGTACTTGGAATGCCTTCGATGGGGATAACTTACCTGGTCGGTGCCATTGGTAAGTTTTTGGCCCTAGAGCAGTGTTAATAGATTGGTAATACAATAAGGCGACTATCGAGCCCTCATAGAAGTGTCTGCATACCTCCGGCATATTATCCGATCTAGTAAAATCACTAGTATTGGTCAAAAACTGCTGGGTTTCCGAGAAAGCCAGCTTCAGGCCTGGAAATCCTTGTGAAGAATTGGTAGAACCAGCAAAGTTAATGGAAACTATTCCAACGACATTCTGTCCAAAATCCACCACCATCGACGGGACTTTGTCGTCACTTCCTTTACGTGTCAAGACTGTCGGAGACCCATGACTATCAAGCAAGCCACTTGGATTAACCACATAACCTGTGGTATTTGCCGACAGAATAGCCTTGGGCTTCACGATTGAGGTAGCTGGAGAGCGAACGTATTTGTGCCAATTGTTACCTCCTCCCAGTGCAATCTCCCGCTTGTCGAGGACGGCGGCATCACAGCCAATGCCAGCTGCAATTGTTGCAACAATTGCTGTTTTGAGAAATGAAACAGCCATTGTATATCAAAGCATGGTTTTCAATGTACATACTTCGCAAGGAGATTTGCTGCATTTAAACATAGACCGCAACTCTTCAGATGATCGGCTGGAGCCGAGGGTTCGATGCAACGTTTGGCTCTTTGACCTCGACCCAGTCCAATTTCCGTTCCATTCGTCTCATTTTCCGGGGTAATGAACACCGAGTTATGATGAAAGTATAGATGAATTTGGCTTCGCTTGTTTTGTCGTGTGCTAGTAGTCTTATCGTGGACGAGTCGAGATGTACTAGAATCGAGTTAAGAAATTCGATCGAGTCTCAAATAGAATCCTGGCATTCCAGATCTCAGCAATGTGTGCTACGAAATGTGATATTTATGTGTCAGTGTCTTTTCAATTTTAATAACTCCTAGATTATTCCGTCTCGACTGCTCTGATACTAGCACATACCCCGTGCCGACAACATGGGTGTCAGTGTACTCTGGTCCACTTTCAACTCAAATCCCCGTATTGTAGTCGCTAGTATTTGTCCCGAGATTTAATGGTCCAATGGTCCTCTAAAGCTTGAAGCTTATGCTTCTGCTACCTTCCTTCGGTATTTTGTCTAGGACAATTATGAAGTATATCGAGTCAACTATACAGCACGCTGCCCTCGGCCCAAAACAGAAGGTGGGTATCTTCTCCACTAGTGAGGGGGCGCTTAGTCATGCGATAACGCGATAAAGTGCGGAGAGCTCGAGACTCGACTGAGCAATGACATAGCAATTCCCCTCCTCAATCGTCCCGGGCTTATTTCTCTTTCTTTTTCCCAAATCATTTGAGAAAATGAGGGAGAAAGACATGCCGTACTCTGAGACAACGCCTCTGCTGGAGGTCCATGTCGCCCCGCGGCGGCAGCGGTACCCACATCATGCCCTTCGTCGCACCTGTACTTTCTTCCTCGGCACGCTTCTAGTGGTGGCCACCATTTTGTTCATGATCCCCGGTGCTATTCTGCCGCGGGGGCACGGCTCAATCTGGTCATATGCTCCCTGGTCCAACCCATACCCTCATGATGCCTGGCCGCAAGGCTTTGGTCTTCCATATGACCAGCTTCAGCAGGTCCTCATCAATACCCCTTCGGCAGCTAAGGCCCGTGAGTGGAGCGAGTATTATACTGCTGGTCCCCACCTGGCGGGAAAGAACTTCAGTCAGGCTCTTTGGACTCTGGAGAAATGGAAGGAATTTGGCGTCGAGGATACCACCCTTGCGACCTATGACATCTACCTCAACTACCCGCAAGATCACCGTCTAGCTCTTTTGAAGAAGTCTGGCAAAGACACCGAGGTCACTTTCGAAGCTACCTTGGAGGAAGATGTGCTGGAAGAAGATCCCACTTCCAGTTTGCCGGAAAGAGTCCCTGTTTTCCACGGATACTCGGCCAGCGGTAATGTCACTGCCCAATATGTGTATGCCAACTTCGGCTCCTATAAAGACTTCGAGGACCTTGTGAACGCAAATGTAACCTTGGAAGGTAAGATTGCCATCGTGAAATATGGTGAAATCTTCCGCGGTTTGAAGGTTAAGCGTGCGCAAGAGCTTGGCATGGTGGGTGTGGTGATCTATAGCGATCCTCAGGAGGATGGCGAAATCACGGAGGAGAATGGTTACGAGGCTTATCCGGATGGCCCTGCTCGCAACCCAAGTGCCATCCAGAGGGGTAGCACGCAGTTCCTGAGTATGTAATCTATCTTCCTTAATGGAAGGTGCTTGCCTAGCTAACTCTTCGGTCAGGTATCATGCCTGGTGATCCCACGACGCCGGGGTATCCCTCCAAGCCCGGCTGCGAACGCCAGGATCCGAATGGCTCTATTCCTTCCATCCCATCCCTGCCTATATCTTACAAGGAGGTCCTGCCTTTCCTCAAAGCTCTGAATGGACATGGCCCTAAGGCTTCGGACTTCAACAAGTACTGGCAGGGCGGCGGTCTAGGCTATAAAGGCGTGGAGTATAATATTGGACCTTCGCCTGAGGACGTGGTCATCAACCTTGACAACCAACAGGAGTATGTGACCACCCCACTGTGGAACGTCATCGGTGTCGTCAAGGGCCACATCGCCGACGAGGTCATCGTCCTTGGTAACCATCGCGATGCTTGGATTGCCGGCGGTGCGGGTGATCCCAACAGCGGATCCGCTGCCCTGAACGAGGTCATTCGCAGCTTTGGCGAGGCCATGAAAGCTGGATGGAAGCCACTGCGCACCATTGTCTTCGCTAGCTGGGATGGCGAGGAGTATGGCCTGCTCGGCTCTACTGAGTGGGTGGAAGAATACCTTCCTTGGTTGTCCAAGGCTAATGTCGCGTACCTGAACGTTGATGTCGCTGCGGCTGGCACAGACTTTAGCCCTCGTGCCGCGCCCCTTTTGAACAAAGTCATCTATGAGGTGACCGGCCTTGTGCAATCCCCTAACCAGACCGTGCCGGGTCAGACAGTCCGTGATGTTTGGAATGGTAAGATCGCGACCATGGGAAGTGGTAGTGATTTCACTGCCTTCCAAGACTTTGCCGGTATTGCTAGTCTCGACTTTGGATTCGGTCGTGGGGCCAACGACCCTGTCTACCACTATCACTCGAACTATGATAGCTTCGCGTGGATGGAGAAGTTTGGTGATAAAAATTGGGAGTACCATATTGCAACCACTAAGCTCTGGGCTCTTGCAGCTGCCCAGCTCATTGAGACACCGGTGATCTCCTTCAATGCCACTGACTATGCCCTTGGACTGGGCTCATATCTGAGCCGGGCTAAACCTTCAGCGGATCAACTTCACGACGGGCGACACTTTGACTTTTCCGGACTGGATTTGTCTATCATTGAGTTCCTGGAGGCCGCAAAGACATTCGATGCCTGGTCTGCGGATCTGAACACCAAGCTGGGCGAGCATATCCCGTGGTACCACTGGTGGAAGAAGGTCAGACTTCTCTTCCAGGTCCGGATTGCCAACAACAAGTATAAAGGTATCGAACGTGCGTTCCTCTACCAGCCGGGTCTTGATGGCCGTGATTGGTTCAAGCATGTCGTCTTTGCTCCGGGTATTTGGACTGGTTATTCGGGCGCCACATACCCCGGACTGGTGGAGAGCCTCGAGGCCGGAGATGTGGAGAATGCCAAGGTACGTGAACCTTTTTTTTTCATTCTATTTTCAACTTCCCACGTCTTTTGTCATATCGATTGAACTTGCTAACCATTTTTCTCTTCTCTCTACAGAAATGGAGTAAAATCATCCAAGAGCGGGTGGGAGCAGCAACCAAGCTGATCTCGTAAAGGTGATTCAAGTTTGATTTTAGTAAATACTTCAGAAGTACCTGTTATAAATGATACTACGTAGTCTTGCGGCGCTGCAGCGCAGTTGATCGAGAATGAAATCAAAAGAATTCACATGGCACACGTGAAACCCTATTTAATTGGGTCTTTCACCTTTCACCTTCAAGTTGTAGCCAGCTGACATCGCGCAGAAGTCCGGTTGCAGCGACACTAAAGCGGCTTAGACTCCGAAAGTAAGAGAGAGTGGAGCAAGAGTCATCGCGCTTTTGCCGATCTGGCGGATTATCCATCCGCGGCTTCGCTTTGGTTGCTTTTTTCCCTCTCTTTTCTCCTCATTTTTTTTCTTTTTCTTTGCTCGTTTTTTTGTGCTGCCGGTTGCAGAAAGAGGAGACTGTCTGCCTCCATCTAGACGAGAATGCCAAAACCACAACTGCCTGTCCAGCAGCTGGTTATTCTGTGTATGTCCAAGTTGCCTCCAAGGCTCCTTTCCTTTCTCATTCTTTTCTCCACTCCGAGTTCCCCTTTGAAAGACCTTTCACTAATTCCTTTATAAAATAGCTATATGTCGGCTGTCAGAGCCCAGTATGTGTCACTCTCCAAAATAAAATCTACACATGGATTTTTTTCCCTTTTTCTTGTCTGTCGAGAACATTCAACTAAGATCAACCTATGAACAGTCGTCTTCACGTCGATTCTCCCATATTTGGTAGGTTTTGTTCCGGACATGTTGACGCCATTCTCCAACCAAACATCACCACCTTCAACATATGAAAATATTTTCAATATTCTGAAACACCCCGAAGACAAATAAAGAAAATGCCTCCACTAACGCCTCGCAAATAGCCTGAACTGATCGAATATGTGGGCGTTCCCAAGCCCGAAGTCGCCAAATGGGCCGGCATCGCCTCTGCGGTCGCGTCCGTGACTCAGGCGATGATGGCAGTGCCCTGGGGTACATTATCCGACCGCATAGGACGCAAGCCGGTCATTATCAGCGGGCAGATCTTCACGATGCTGTTGTCGATCATGTTGGGTATGTCGTCGAGCCTATCGATGGTTCTGGTATCGCGTGCTCTGATCGGCTTCATGAACGGAAACGTCGGCATCATCCGCACTATGGTTGCGGAGATTGTACCACAGCGTGAGCTACAGCCTCGTGCTTTCAGTATTATGCCTATGGTCTGGACGATCGGTAGTATCTTTGGACCGGCCTTTGGAGGGGCGCTTGCTCGGCCGGCTGAGAAACATCCGAATCTCTTTGGTGGATCTGAGTTTCTTAGACGGTATCCATTTGCGTTGCCGAATTTAGTTTCGGCTTGCTTCTTTGTCGTCGGTATCACTACGGGTATTTTGTTTCTAAAAGTAAGGAGAAATATTCATTTTAGGATGAGAAGATGTCGGATCGCTGATGTCTTTATCTTTACAGGAAACGCTAGTCACCAAGAAGGATCGTTATGATCCCGGTCTGGTCTTGGGTCAGGCACTTATTGAACCGTGCACATCGCGCAGAAAGCGCGGGTTGGGATCATTGAAGCATGAAAACGAAGACGAAGACGAAGAACAGACACCCTTACTTGCCGATGACAGGCCTGCCTCGACAAAGCCGAAGAAGCCGAAGAAGCCCGTGACTCGCACTGAGTGGTCGCAGATATTCGCGCCCCAGTCAACTCTCGTGCTCATTTCGTATACGCTGGTTTCTGGCCTCTCAATGGCCTTTGACTCGGTCTTCCCTGTCTTTCTGCACTGGCCAGTCCAAGATCTGGAGAACAATCCGGACGTAGAGCTACCATTCAAATTCGCGAGTGGGTTTGGCATCGGTAAGTTCCCATCGAGACCTCGCAGAACATCATAACCTTTTCTCTGTTCTCAAACTGACAATATTATCAACGGTAGATGCCCAAACAATCGGTCTGTTCTACACGATCAGCGGAATTGCAGGAATGCTCATCCAATTCCTCTTCTTCCCACCGATCGTGCAGCGTTTCGGCGTATTAAGATGTTTCAGAGTGGCCGCTCTGTCTATGCCGATCATTTTCTTCCTCACACCCTTCATAGCTCTGGCCCCTGAACCTTTCCGTATTCCCAGTGTCCTCCTCATCCTTTTCGCCAAGCTTGGCTCGGTTATCTTCGCCATTCCATGCTGCACGATTCTTCTCACGAACTCAGCCTCCAGTGTGACTGTGCTTGGAACTCTTAACGGGGTTGCGACGAGCGTCAGTGCTCTTGGTCGTGCTGCTGGGCCAGCGTTGATCGGCACCGTATTTTCCTTGGGTGTTGAGAGGGGATATGTGATTATTCCCTGGTGGCTTCTCAGTGCTCTTGCACTTACGAGTGTGATTCCAGCCATTTGGGTTGTGGAACAGGATGGTCCTTATCGTGAGGTGGAGGAAGAGGAAGAGGAGGAAGAGGAGGTACAGGGAGAAAATGGTTCCGTGGGCACTTATGGTGCTGTGGATGCGTCCACCGAAGCTAATCGGAGATGATTGCGCTGCCCAGGAGGGGCTTACTTTGATTGTATTCGACTTTTTCTTGCATAGCATGTTCTTAATGGCCGTCATGGGAAGCATTTAGATTGAACACAGTAGCGAATGGCTTGCATACAGGATAACTTCTGACAATGAAGAGTTATCTTTTTTAATTCTCACATTCATGTTGTCCTTACTATATCCTTCGTCCATAATTAGATGTGGTAGTGTAATCCGTACTTGTTCAAGTTCTACTGTAACTCTCGTATACTTCGACCTCGGCCCACTCCCCACATTTTACCCTGCCATTACTAATCTCATCACCCCATACTCCGAGCATCTCGCCATCATCACAACTTGCACCACCACCCTCCTCACCACCTTTCCAAACCCCCATTCTCGCCAAATCCAAACCCTCAAAATGGTAACCCACCCCACATCCCCCATAAAAACACCCACCTAACCAAAAAACACCCACAGTCCTCCTCAAACACCCTCCCAACAACCTCCGCCCTCGTCCTCTCCCTCCTCACCTCCCTAGGCGGCTCAATCGGCTTCGCCCGCACAGGCTCAATCCCCTCAATCGCAGCCGGCCTCTCCGTTGGCGCAATCTACCTATTCAGCTTCTTCCGCCTTCGCGCCGGCGAAGCCTGGGGCGAGGAACTCGGTCTTTTGGCAAGCGCTGTCTTAGGCGGTAGCTCGATTCCCCGCGCTATTAAGACTGGAAAGGTTGTTCCTGCTGGTCTGTCTGTTCTGGCTACGTACGGCGCGATCGTTTTTGCGCTCGCTTATCGTGAGAAGAGGGCTTAGGTAGTTGAGCTAAGCTTGGTTTCGTTCGGCTGGGTCGGGGCAAGCTGCGTTCTTGTTCTTGTTCTTGTTCTTGTTCTTGTCTTGTCTTGTCTTGTCGCGCTGCGCTGCGCTTCCAATATTCCGTGCCGTGCGGGGTGGTTGGATTGGAATGCTGTTGCGCTGCGCTGCGTTGAGCATGAAAAAGCGAGATACATGATATCAACTTGAAGGTGCGGGTCCCGGTTTCGTTTTGAAGACTTGCTTTGCTTTTTCTCTTTTCGGTTTGTTTTCAGCGAAGATATCATACCATAGCTATGGTCCAATTGAGTTCAAGTTCTTTCCTGTCTGGGTGTGTGATTGGGGAATGCTTGTAGATGTAGTAGATCTTAGCTTTGTGTTATGCTAGTATTTCTACGATGGCTTCTGAGTCTATACCGCCTGGCCATTGCTTCTACTATCATGATCGGATTTGTAACTTATAATAAAGCCAGGTATTAGTACGTACTATTAGTATGAGATGCCAGTACCTACTAGTATAAACAGCTTCTCCATACTACGACAGGTTTCCTTCAAATACTAGTATTCATTTCTCTACCACTCATCGCTAAAAGACATGTAAAACTTACATCCAGAGTAAATCGGCGTCGGCATCGGCATCGATATCGGCAAAGCTGGGCTGGACTGGCAAAGAGAAACTTGAAGACCCACCTCGAATCCAGCTTGAACCCGACATAGTCAAGGATATATGTAAAGAACGAACAAGACTCGATAACAATGCAAACTGAGGCATAAAAAAGGAACAAAGAGAAGGATCTTGAGAGGGCAGAGAACACGTACGGTCGGATTCTTCATGTCACTCGCTAGCAACTGCCTTCCATGAGAAGTACCTCACGCACCGACGACGACGATGACGATGATGATGGCTCGGCATGCTCGAGACGAGAGCTTTGCTTTTGCTTTTGCCTTTGCCTTTGTTTTTGTTTTCGCTTTGTGAGAGATGTTCATGTCTTCGCCAGAACTACTGATGGATCAGGGATCAGGGTAGGTAAGAAAACGAACAAACATAGCCAGCCAGACGAATGCTCATGTATAGCTAGATATGTGTCGAACTTAGCTGGATTATCGATGACCGTCCCGTTCTCGTTCCCGTTCCGTTTGTTCATTGTGCCATCGAGAGAATTCGCATGGGAATGAAACAGCCAATGAAATGGCCCTTCCTTAGTTTCCTTTCTTTTTTGGGAGAGAGAGAGAGGGGAGGGGTTTACTGTGCCGGGTCGAGCACGGTATTCTCGTCCCGAACCACCCCCGTCACCGCCGAAGCAGGGAGCTCGCCGAGGACTGTGTTATCGGGGAACTGCGCGCGATCAAATGCGTACCGGGGGGAGCTGAGCCATACGCTCTTCAGGACTGACCGTCTCGTGCGAGTAAATCATTCTCGTCGGCTTAGACTTGTCCTTCTTGCTCGGTTTATCGGTCGATGGATCGATCGTCTTCGATGCTGCTGCTGCTTCCTTTGCCGCTCCGGAAATCAGCTCGTCAACATTTAAGCCCGAGCCGGCCTGGACCGTTTCGCTATGGCCTTCTCCGTTCGTGTATGCGGCGTTGGCGCCGGGGGCGGGCGGGATCTGGTGGCCCATGTGCATCTGCTGCATCTGCTGAGAGTTGACTGACGGCGCGCCGAAGGCGGGGCGTTGGGGGAGTCCGGCTGGGATGGGCAGGCTTCCGTGTCGAGGAGGCGTGTTGGAGTCGGTGGGTGTGGGTTGCTGCTGGGGAAATGGTGGTGGTGTGGCTCCGTAACCGAGAGCTGGGGGTGCGCCGGGGAATGGCTGAGGTGGGTATCCTGTAGGTGGGTACGCTACTGCGCCAGGAATCTGCTGACCGCTGGCCGGGGAGAAAGTTTGGTATCCTGGACTTGCGGTTTGTTGGTAGGGGGCGGCAGCGGCGGCGCCTCCGTACGGTTGGGGGTATGGGTGTTGTTGCACGGGTTCGGCGCCTACAGGCTGTGGTTGTCCCTGCTAAAGGTCTTGTTAGTACATCTGTTTCTTTCACCTGGTACTTGAATCGAGGGAATAATGGGACGTACATATGTGACTGGCGCCGGTGAGTTCTGGCCCGCGCCCACGGGAGTTGCCTCGCCGCTGCTTCCACCCGCAGGACCTTCGGCGCGCTTGGCTCGGTGCTCCGCTAACCGCCTCTTCATTTCGGACATGTTCTCAAGCTTTGGTTTCTTTGCTGGCTGGCCGCCAGCGCTACCTCCAGCTGGAGGGTTACCGGTGGCAGCTTGTCGCTCGGTCTCAGCCTGTTGGAATTGGGTCATGACGCGCTGTTGGTGAGACTTGAGCACATCGTCAGGAACACCTTCCATGCCGAAGATTTCCACGTCCAAACCTGCTCGGTTGGGGAGCGCATTCTCAATCTCTGTGAGTTGCTCCTTATGAACTTGGCTCATGTGCACCGATAATCCTGCAATGCGCCAATTTGTGAGTCTCCCGATCGATCGGTTACAATTGTATCGAATGCATTCTCGTGGAACTTACCTCCAGCGGTATTCAGTCTGCGTCCGCATCTCTCGCATTTGAAGTGCTTGGCCTTTTGATGCAAAGTGAGAATCTTAAGGTCGTCAAAATCGCGCTCGCAGTAGTAGCACCAGGGTCGTTCCAAGACCTCGTCGAGCGAGGGACCACGTCTCTTCTTGCCCATTGTGATTGTGGAGTGAAAAGAGGTGAGTTTAAAAAGAAAGAAGCTATGGGCAACTTTAGGTTCGTTAAAGGGGAAAAGGGCGTCAAAAGTGAATGGTGGTTCGATCGGTGGGGAAGAAGTGAAGTCACTGCAGATTGCGCTTTACGGGGATCACGGATGGAGAAGTAAAGGGCACGTGAACAAAATCTTTGATGCCTCAGGATCACAATGTGCTGGCCCATGCTATCATACACAAACAACAAAAAGAAACAAAGTAGAATAAAATACATGCTTGCGGCCAATCTAGGCCTCCAAAAATCACCCTGAGAATAATTCCCAGACCCCTGCATCCCATTAGATGTACAATTCCTTTTTGCGCTCGAAAATCCGCCAGAAATCCCATAGGAGAGAAAAAAAAAATAAGGAAAAGAAGATAACAAAAAGAAAATAGGGAAGAAAAAGAAAAAGAAAAAGCCTGTCCTGTTTTTGCGCCGTTCTTGAGTTGTAAAATCAAGAGCACTTCTCAAGAGTGCCAATGAAATAAAAAATAGTTTGAGGCTTTGCTGCAAAAAGGTGTCGGAATACGACAGCGTGCGGGAAGCTCTTTCGGGAAGCTGCAGCTGTGTCTATGGCCGTTTATAAAAGACGATATTGTTGGCCGAATACCGTATTGAGGGGCTGAGATGTTTGTGACGACTGACTATTCACCCGAGACCCCCCCTATTTAAAGTCATCGGCGGTGGTGGTGGTCCGGAGGAGGCGGGTGTCCAGGTATGTGACCTTGGAAAGGTACCCAAGGGAACGGCGCATATTGAGCATGCGTCGGCATTGGTTGACCAAGTCCCACGGGCGGCGGGTTGAAATGTTGGGGAGGAACGTAGTGAGGTAATCCCAGCGAGGGCAGTGTTGGTCCAGGGGGGAGGTCCAGGGAGCGGACCCAAGTGTTGTTGCGGGCCGGGCATTGGGCCCAAGTGGTGAGGAGCCTTCGGTGCAAGATTGCCACTAGGAATCTGTGCGATGGAAGGGGATTTTCGACGACGACCAGGACCAGGACCGGGACCAGGAATAGGACCAGGGCCAGGAACAGCACCGGGAACAGCACCGGGATGTGGAATTTCCTTTGGGCCCAGAGGATCATCCGTTCGGTCTTGTTCGATCTGCGCTTTGGAGCGCTTGGGATTGCGAATGCGGCCTTCTCTATTGAACCGTTCCCAGTGATCGAGCATCGCCTTGGTTCGTTTCGGGTTCTTAGAGTTCATAATCTTTTGTCGACGGGCCTCCTCGAGTTCCTCTAGCGTAGCATCTCGCTTTATAGTTGGTGTAAGCTTGCTGGGTGGTGTAGGCTCAGGCATTGGGGAGATCGCGGTGAAAGATGGAGTTCCGTCTTCAGTCGCAGGGTGTGAACTCTGAGGAGTCGACGTCGCCAGCGAGCTAGCCCCTCTCTTTCCTCGGCCACGCGTAGATGTGGGGGTGTATGCGATTGGGGTTTGCATGGAATCAAGGGACTGTCGGGAAGCGGAGGGGCGACCCACGCCTCGTCCACGCCCACGCCCACGGCCTCGTCCACGACCACGAGAAACAGGAGCAGTGGGAGTTTCAGGCTGGAAGACCTCAAATGTAGTACGCCGACCCCCACGACCTCGGGTGCGTCGTTTCACAGGATGAGCCTCCTCCTCTGTCTCCTCTGCATCGCGACTATTTTCTCGTGTCTCTTCGGTGTCACTCTTCGATGCATCGATTTCCACGGCCTTGCGCTTGCGAGTGAGTTTGACGGTGGGCTCCTTTCGGGGCTCCCAAAGTCTAGGGACAAATTCAACGCCGAATTTTACCACAGGGTTCCAGCCATCTGGATTCCGCTCCTCGGGTGGAGCTCGGGCAATCATCTTCCTTGCCTGCGCAGGAGTCGGGATGAAGCCGCCTTGAGCGAAAGGATTCTGTTGGAGCCGGCTGACTGCCGTGGTCGTATTAACGGGGAAGTAGATGTGCTTGTAGCCATACAACAGGGCTTCTTTCTTTTCTTCAAAGTCGACTTTATTTTCGGGCACTCGGGCTAACGGGTATCCACTTCGCTTCTTGTGGCCGGTCAGGAAGTCCCTCTTGGCATCTATTGAAAGCGACGTTCGATAGTGGCGGTGGGCGTGAAGATAAAGTTTATCAAGAGCGATGTACTCGTCTTGCCATGCCTTCATCATGAACGATGCAGCCTCGGAGGCCACATACAGCTCTTCGGGTGAGAGCAACTCGGGTTTTTGAAGGATGTTCAACAGTTCATCGGGAGAGTTAATATCGAGGAATTTACCGGCTTCGGCTTCGGTATTTTTATAAGGGGCGGGCAGAGCAATTGGTTCCGGCGCATCGCGCTTCTTTGGCTTAGCATCGCGGAAGACTTGCTGCCAAGCGTCTTCGATCTTGTTGGTGTCTTGCTCATATGTAGGGCAAAAGTTATTGACATCGTTGACTGTCCAGATTTTTGGAAGTCGATCTGTCATTTCTGAAGCCTGCCATTCCGATAAGCGTTGACGCAAGCCATCTGGGTAGGCGCTCCGGGGGTTTGACAAGAATTCAAGAAGGTCATATTTCGTCTGTGGTGCCGGAGCGACCTTGACATTGGCATCGGATGTCTTGGAAGTTGTATTCTCGCCCTCACTTGGGCCACTTGATCCACTTTGGTGACCGGCAGGCGAAGGAGGGGCTGTCTCGAGGGGCTCTTCCTCTCCGGGCTGAGCAATACCGTTGACGTCTTCATCGTTGAAGTCAATTTCGGCATTTGGATCTTCTTCATCATCTCCATCGACTTCTTCATCTTCCTCCTCTTCTTCGTCGAGGTTACCATCTTCGAGACCTTCTTCGAGGCCTTCTTCGAGGCCCTCATCGAGTCCATCCTCGACGACCTCATCGGCATCTTCATCCATGCCATCATCGGGGCCATCATAATCCATTTCATTGAGTTCATCAGGATGATGGGTGGCGTGGTGAGAATTGAGTAGTTCATGGCCGGAGACGGAACCATCTTCGGGAATTTCCAATAGTTTACCACACCACTCACATTTGACTCTCTGGGCGAATGGTTCAGGGGATTGAGAGATTTGAGTGGAGGTGGATTGTGGCCGGAAAGGTTCGGAGAATTGACGGCGCAGCGGAGAGTCCTGGCTGTCGCCGACATCAGAGGACTGATTGTCCATATCCAAATCGCCCCGAGGAATAGGGGACATTATGGAGGGAAAGAGAGAGATGAGATTTAAAGAAAGAAAAAAACCCAAATACCCTCAGGAACTCACACCTGTCTAGCAAGTCACCAAGTTCCCAGGAAATGAGATCTGTATAGATATGGTGGTTAGCCGGTTTCGCTTGTGGCGCCAAGACCAGTCAAAAGGTAATCAGAAACGTAATCTCCAGGGGAGAAGGACTACCGGAGGGGGGGAGGGATGATCAGGGAGACAAGACAAGAGGGGAATGTATCCAACAAAATAAAAATACAGGGAATCCAATAATTTCCAAATCGCCAAGATTTTGAAATGACTTGCATTTCTGTAGGGGTCAAATAGAAGGGGGGGGGGAAGTAAGAAGTGATGCAGACACGGTCGCGGCAAATTGTGTGGATCAGATGAACCTTGTATCAAGAGGGGAGGGAAAAAGAGAAAACGTGAGAGAAAAAGGAAAAGCGAAAGTGAAAGTGAGCAAGAACGTACCATCAGATCCGATGCGAAGGGGGAATGAAAGAAGTAGTTAAAAGGCAAGGCCAATAATTGGACTCGGAGAAGCGCTGCACACTTTGGTCGCGGGCCAGGGATGTAGAGTGAGGGAGAGAGAGAGATGGCTGGGCCGGAGGTTTTCTTCTCCAAAGTGCGACCACCACAACAACCAGAAAGGGGGGGCCGATCGGGTATGGTCCCAAGTAAGATGAAGTAGTGATGAGAATCAAGCAGAAATATCCAAGTCCAGTTAATAGCTTCGGACTTATGCTGACCAAGGGGGCAAAGGCAGATGATTCCGGGTGCGCGCGAGGGAGTATGGGGGAACGAGAGCGCAGAGAAAAATCCTTATGGAAGAAAGGATCATACACAAGGAACACACCGGGGAGGGGGAAGTGAGAGGGCAATGGGGGGAACCAAATGCGGAGAATCGGAATCGGGTGCCAAAAGGAAGACAAATTACATGGGGAGAGGGGATTAGGATGGGTGAAGACGTTGAAGCTGAGGGCGAAAAGAGATTGAGGAAGTAGTTTAGTTTGTAGTGACCATTCCACGACGAGAATGGTAATCCTCTCCACTTTGGGGGCCAATCAGGGGAAGGGGGTGTAGTATAGCCCATAGTATGTATTCTACGAGTATGTAAGTATTCTATTAACAGTATTCTATTTAACTATTACTATTAATCTGTTAATCTATACTCTAATCTATAATAATATTCTATTAGGATGCCATTCCATTTATTCAAGTTACCATGGATAGTGGACAACATCGGATTGAAGTATCAGAACTCACACCTTCACCCCTACATTACACTCTACAGTGACTACACCACACTCACTCATCCACAATCTACTAATTAATTATGCCATACCTAGGTAGCTTCTGACAGAATCCTCTAAATACTAATACTAGTATTTCTAGACTCCATCATCGTGATGCTATTGCTACACCCTCCTTTGTCCCCCTTGATCCGATCGCTGTCTCAACCTGCTGCACAGACCCCATCGCCCGTATTTTTCCAAACTATCCTATCGACTAGGTCATCTACCGGCTCCTTCATGTCTACCAGTACATGAAGCGCGACATTATTCTCCAGTCCCAATGCTCTCCCTCCCACCCTTCACTGACTTGCTATTCGCTGGATCGGTCCTCCTGCAAGAGCCCGAGAGAACCGCCGGCTGGCCCCACGAACCGTTTCCGTTGGCGATTTCATCTATATTCCCTGCAGCCTGACGTCAACCGCTGTCGCCTCTGCCCTTCCTCTGGACTTCCTTTGAGCGCCCTCTGACCAGTTTTTTTTATCCGGTGCGCTTGGCGTGATGATATAATCTATATTTGCCAGCTAGGGTTGGGTCGCGTGATCAAGTAACGGCGAGTTCATCTACTACCGCCCCTTGGCTGCAAACGCGACAAAATGACTCGGCTTTTACTTCCCAAGCAAACACTAGTTACACTACCACCCCGTAGACTCGAGTCGCTTATAATACAGTCATATCATATCTACTAGTAATGATTCAGGTCCATCAGGGAATACGAGTATGGTCATGTCACTCTGACGGGCCATCCCTTCCGCCCCGCCCAATGAAATAGAAGACATTCCAAAGCTAAATCAAGTAAGTAACCAAGTACTAGCCAACTTCAAGTGATTGTGATGGATACTCCGAGTCGTTATATCTATCCACCATAATTCCTTCTCCTCTAATGCAAATGGTTCTTCTCCCCAACATCCAACGCAACCAAAAACCGACTCACACAATTATAAGCCGCAACAGTCGCCGTAATCTCCACAACCTCCCTCTCATTAAAGCAATCCCTCAATTCCCCAAAAACCTCCTCAGGAACCGTAACCGTCTTGGTCATCGCATCGGTATACCTCAACAAAGCCCTCTGTTCCGGACTCAAAACCCGTTCCGCCACAGATCCCGCACCCGAGAATGTCTCCTCCTTTGCATCCCGTACAACCGCCAGTGCCTCGTCGCTCAAACCGCCCTCCGATAGTAAAGGCGCGTGCTGCTCCCACTCGAATAATGCGCCGTTGATCACGGCTACGCGGCAGATGGCTAGTTCTCGGATCACGGTGGAGAGGGTGGTTCGCGTGCGGATGGCTCCTATGAATGAGTTCCAGCCGTCGGCGACGGGGAAGGAGTGGAGGAGTGCGAGGTCGAGGGGGAGGAGGGGGTTTGGGGCTCGGCGGGCTTGGACGCTAGAGAGGATTCTGGCTTCGTCGGGGGTGCTGGTTGGCGGGGGGTCGGGGACGTATGGGAGGCGCATGGTGATTGGGATTCAAGTTGTAGTTGTAGTACGGACTCGGAGTACTGAAGTACTAGTACTAGTAGTCGTTAGATCTGGGGAGAGGAGAGGCTCCGGAAGTATACCAAGGTCGTATAACTACTGGTACTGGAGGGTTATGGGTGACGGACTCAATTGGTGGTTTGGAGGAAGGAAATAAGTCGTGATCAATTGCTTCCAGTAGATTCGGGAGAAGGAGAGGGAGAAACCTTGGAGTAGTGAGTATTTCCGATGGCTTTTATCGCCAACCCCGCGTGGTCCCGCAGCGGGATGCGGTCCGATAAAGAGATGCCGCGGGTGTTGGCTTGCGGGGTCCCGTCTCTTCTACGGTTACTATTACTAGCATTACAAGTAGTACGATATTGTGGGTAGGAGGCTGTCTATACTAGTGCTACGGGTTACTTTAATTGGTAGTATCCTGCATGTTCTTCGGGGTTGCTGAGAAAGTTTATTCGGCTTTCGGATCTACTCCAGGAGATATATACTAATACTACTATTACTACAGGTACCAACTTCAACTTGAAATTGAACCAAAGGATACCTTTAGCAAGCTACCCAGTTATTAATCTTGAATGGATATACACAATAGTACCTGCCTCGGGTAATTATAATGTTTGCCCTTAAAAGTACTCTAGAAAAGTATGCATCTGCACCCTCAGGCTGGCACTGCATGGATGGATCTAGTATGCAACTTGGAATCAATGCAATCCCAAGTTTGTTAATATGTATTCCACTGTAATCTGATTGCTCTAACTAATCACCGAGCCCATTCAAAAAGTAAAATCAATTGTTTTTACAGTGCCTAGGTATACTAGTCCGTAGATGACTACACTGCTAAATGCTAGCTGCACGCAAGTGGTCTTGGCGCGAGTCTCCACCCTCGGGAGCTCCAAACAACCTTCGGTGTCGTCACCTCTCCTGAACACACCCCTCCCAGTGCTCTCCCCAGACACCATGCCTCCAAAGGGAGCAAAACCCACAAGCGATGAGCTTCTAGCTCAGTTCGATAATCTTGACATCGACGGGTCCGAAAAGGTCCCCAAGCAGACCCCTGCCCCCGCTGCCCCTACGGTCGACCATGCAACGGCCGCACAGGAGGACATCCTCAGCGAGCTGGATCACCTAGCTACCCAGCGACCTAGCAGTGGACCTGGTACCCCTAGACTGTCGGTAGACAAGGCGAGATCCTCGACACGGTCACCGCGGCCCAGTGCGACCATTGACCGGGCCCGCCAGTCAGAGGAAACCGGCCGTTCTTCTCGTGCCAGTGCTAAACCCGAACCGACCAAACAAGAGCCCGAGGATGCCTCACAGCAACAGGAGCAACAGGAGCAGCAGCAGCAGCAGCAGGAGGAGGAGGCTGAAGGTGGTGGTTGGTGGGGCGGCTGGTCCGGTGGCATCTTCGCAACAGCCAGCGCAACAGCAACAGCAGCTATGAAGCAGGCCGAGGCCGCCGTCAAGGAAATTCAAAACAATGAAGAAGCCCAGCGCTGGGCGCAGCATATGAAGGGCAATGTTGGAGCTCTCAGAGATCTCGGTATTATACCCTCCACTCAACTAAAACCGATTTACATCTCCCACTAATACCAGTTTCGCAGGCGGCGAGCTTCGCAGCATGGCAATCCCAACCTTCACCAACCTCATCCACACCCTCGCACCCCCAATTTCTTCTCACGAACGCCTCCAGATTCACGTAACCCACGATCTCTCTGGCTACCCCGGCGTCGACCCGCTAGTGTACGCTGTCTTCTCTCGCGTGATGGCGCAAGTCGAGGGCGGCGACCTATTGGTCATTCAGCGGGGCCAAGAATCATCCCCCAAGCGTGGTCTCGACGTTGGCGGATATATCTCTAGTGCAGGATGGGGTGATGGTCCTTGGTGGCGGACAGTGACACCGGGAACCCCGCGGACGATCAACGCCGTGCCCGGAACGATCGAGGCATCCAAGCTCGCTCGTGCCAGCGCCGAGTCCTACGCTACCGAATACTTCTCCTCGCGAGGCGGAATCGAAGAAGCCGCCAAGCAAGCCACCGAGATCCTGAGCGAATCAAACCCCGTTCGCAGCAGTGATATCTTCCTAGCGATCCAGGCTATCACTCAGACCGTTTCGACGGATCTTTTCCAAGCCGGCGCCTCGGGCGAGAAGCCCACCACTCCTGGCGTCATTGAGACCTCCGAGCCGCAAGAAGAGATCTCTTTTGCGCTGTACCTTCACGACCCTGTGCATGGCATTGCCTTCCACACTATTTCCCAGGCCGTGCCCCAGAAGTGGATTGAATGGCTCGACGCTTCTGCACCGGCTATCGAGAACCCGGACGCCGAGGACGCAGAGGTTCCCCGCGCCATCACACCGGAGGCCATCGCGGAGATCATAGAGAGTGGAGGCGTGGATCCGCGCGAGTGGGCTGCTGAGTGGATCGAGGAATCGCTTTCGCTTGCGGCTGGTACGATTGCGCAGCGCTACGTAGCTCGCCGTATGGGCGTTGGCGAGGGCGGTGCTGGGAAGGGCAAGATGCGGGCTGAACAGGCGACGACGGTTGATAGTGGTGCAGGCGAGGCGGCGCGCGCTTTGTAGGGCCGTGATATCTAGTAGTTCCTAGCAAAGCTGTTTTCTTCTCTTTTCTTTTCTTTTGCTGTTCATGTGATACCCCGTGGACACACCCCATCGACTATACCTTGCCTATACTCGTGCTTTTGCCCAACTTGATATTTGCGTTTTGATAGTATGGGGGTTGCAGGCGGTCCAGTGATAGGATACTTAGTTCAATGGTAAATGGAACGTTTCACGTATAAATGTATGTCTATGTACAAATTTCAACCTCTATGCCAGACCCTGCAATATCAATGCTGCCGCGCTAGGAAACGATGAGGTAAAGAGAATATTAATGACCATCTGGTCATCCGCAAGATTCAGGAACCCTTTGTCAGTGAGCTCGAGCTTGAGTTCGAGATCTCATAGTTCAAGATCTCACAGCTCAAGATCTATCGGCCCATCCAAACCAGGGACGTGCCAGAAGTTGGCTCGCAAAGCAGTCACACTATATAACTTGTTAGTATATTGTATGCGTGGGGGCAGCCAAGGTGGTGAAAAAAGTAAAACAAAACAAGGGGAGAAGACCATACCTAGTCGAGCCATTCAGAACAGTATGCGCATCCGTCCCCTCCTCACTCTCCTGCAACGTCTTCTTCATATCCGACAAATCAGCAGACCACTTGAAATGGCGCTGCTTGGAGACAGTCTCAGCCTTGGTCTCAGGCTCATCATGATGCACACCATTAACCCCATTGACACCATTACACTCCTTATGCACACCATTAACCCCATTAGCCGTAACCCCATTCCCATTCCCATTTCCATTCACACCCCCATTCAAGATCCTCTTAGCCTCCTCTTTCCTCTTATCCGTCTCAGCATAAAGACAACCACGAGACCAATAATAAGGCAACGTCCTCGTATACAAAACAGGCTGAGCCTCAACGTCCTCGCGCATGGGGATATTGATATTATACAATTCAACGCGCTCGTCCCAATTTCTCCAAAGATGACCCACAACCTTAACAGCCAGCCGGGCCGCGGCCGCAATAATACTATCAGTTTGTGGATCCTTGCTGCCGAACGAGATTGCGATGCCGCGCTTCCCGCAGAAAACGGCTTCCAGGGCACCGCCCACGGTTCCGGAGGAGAGGTTGTAGATTGTTGAGGCGTTGCGGCCGTGGTTTGGGCCGGAGATTACGAGGTCGATGGGTGGTCGGTCGGTGAAGAGGTTGTATAAGCCTAGCTGGGCGCAGCTGGCGGGTGTGCCGTTTTGGATGACGACCCAGTCGGATTGTTGGCCATCTTCGGACGTGAATCCAGGTTTATAGGTTGAGTCCCAGGTTCCGTCGGGCAGGAAGGAGTCAGGGTGAACGAGGTTCGCTGTTAGCTCGGCTTCGATGAGGTGGGCCTTGCCGATCCAGGAGCGTGAGGCGGCGGGGATGGCGACTGAGACGAGGTGGCCGGAGGATTGGAGCTCGTCGACGAGTGGGCGGACATAGGGCGAGACGCGCTCGTTTGGCGGGCCGTCGTCATTGACGATCTAATGTATTGGGGTTAGCGGGGATGCTAGCAGGGACGCGAACTGGAACAGCAAAGAGAAAAAGGAAAGAAAAGAAAGATAGATAGATAGATAGATAGAGAGATAGAGAGGGCTCATATGATGCTGGAAAAAAGAAAAGATGGTCGCGTGAAGGAGAAGCACGTACCAGGATATGCATGAGGAATCTTTGGGTGGTCCTTGGCTGTACAATAATTGTTTCTTGGTGTTGGTAGTTGTAACTAGTAGGAGCTGTGACTGTGACTAGTAACTAGTTGACTCCAGATGACTCCAGTTGCATGCAGATAAACCCCATGGGACTGGAGGCTGAGTACTTATGGAGAGCTGGCTAAGGATTGAGCCATTGGGGTGGTTGGATTAGGGATTTGCCATTGGTATATGGAGCATACCGGGGTGCCGAATGGGGATGGGCACGGTGAAGCTGTCCGGGTTGCGGGGAGCGGCACTTGGGCCGGATGGAGTCTCGGTGAGTGCAGAGTTTGCATTGGTGAGTATCCTAGGGTGTAGTATACTATAGGTAGTAGAGTATAATATAGTATATTGACAGTATGTATAGTTATATTATAGCATTGTCTACGGAGTATGCTAACTATCATTAACTATGTATAAGTATAAGTATAACTAAGGATAACCATAGCATACCATAACTAGTAACTAACTGCTGTGCAGACTTACCGAAGTAGATTAGCCTGAGTAGTCATCACGTGATCATCATTGAGCATGACTAATCCAGTATGGACCCTACTCAGTACTGCTGGGCACTGAGTATTCCCTGGACTGAACGGCCTTGGCTAGCACTTGTCTGGTTGGCACGTTCCTGGTTGATTATCAGCGATTTGTGATCGTCTCGCGTAAGATCAGTCCACCTTGTTGGTCACCTTGTTGGCTCGGCGATCACCAGTCCGTACGAGTACTTCTTCCATCCTAGTAGAAGTACTCAGTAGTACGGAATATACTACACTATAGTGACTACTGCACCACCACTTAATTACCGCTGTATCTCTTAAAATATCTACTAGGACTAGACTATTCCTTAATCCAATTTCAAATCTGTTCAAGTTGTGTTGGGCCTCCTCGTACTTAGTACCTGGGTCCCTGAGTCCCTGAGTCCCTGAGTACCAGTACCAGTACCAGTACCAAGTACCAAGTACCACCACTGCTTCTCTCCTCCCGCGCAACCCGCCGTGGTCTGTGCGGATCCCAAGACGACTAAAGGCGATCGCAGACGCAAAACTTTGGTGGTGGGGAACTCGTCATCTTCTTCCCCTCTGTCTTTCTCACTCATCTTCACCCATCTATCAGACTCACTTCGCTCCGCTGCTGCAACACGTCGACCCTTTCCTCCCGCAAAGTCGCTGAAGAAAAAGTCCCGTCTTTTTTTTCTGCGATCTTTGACCGGCCTCTTCCAACGCCAACCTCTCCGCCCGCGTATACCCTGTATGGACACTGGAAGCGCTGCGACTGCTGCGGGTATCGACCCCAAAATTCTGGATAATTGGCAAACTGACGGCGCCTTCTCCGTCGCTTCGTGGGAACACCTGGGATACGACCAACCCCCCGAGTGGGATACCAGCCAAGAATCGAGCCAGTGCGCCGATGTCGCCGACCTGGGCGCTTTTCATGACCCGCTAACCAATTCGTTGCTCGATCGATCGCGAGAGATCCGGAACAGGTGCGCATTTCATCTCCCTCTCCGTGTTTTTCGCTTGTGTGGATGACCAGAGGTGGCAGAGAAGAGAGGGGGCTGACACTATAGAATTCACAGGAAACGCAATGTGACCAACGAGACTTTCAACTACGTCGACGGCGGCGTCGAGAGCACAGGCAGTGGCACCATTAGCCCTCGTACTATGCCCTCGTCTACCGACGACAACTTCCACGCCGACGAAACATGGCCGCACTTCCAACTTTTCAACTCCGTTGCGGCGGGCATGTCTGCGGGCATGTCCCTCGAAGCACCCGTGATGTATCCCTACGGCAAAGGGCCCAACAACTCTGCTGGAGGGGCCGTGATCGTTGACGACGTGGGCGAGATGCCTCAGGGGCAGGAATTTCCGGATGCTTCGGCTGAGGCGATCATGTTTCAGCAGGTGCCTCCGTCGTTTCCGATGATAGAGCAGTGGCCTGAGATGCCCCACGGGATCTCAATGGAGAATATAGCCGGCCAAGGAACAGTGCCGATGGCAATGAACGCACAGAATAACTCCAAGGGCCATTATCAGCCTTCCCTCCGAGCCCTGGAGTCGCGCTGGATCAACAATCTCGAATCGCAGTTGCCCGTGACGCAGATGACGCCTCCTACCTCGCTGCCCGCCTCACTCCAGACATCACCAGCGCCACAGACTCACGCCAAACCTGTGCAAGACGGGTTCCAGTTCAAGTCGGAGAATTCTTCTGTAGCCGGTGATGTGTCCGGCCTATATGACTACTCGTACTCTGCCACAAATGATGACGCTTCTGCCTTCGCCGATCGTCAAGTGGACGAGGATGCCCAATGGAAAATCGCTACCCCCGACCACAGTTCCCCAGAGTCATCGGTACCCGGCACGGGTGCTTTCATGGTTAGCGAGATCCCAACCGATTCGCTAGTCAGCAGCATCCCTTCCCGGTCTCGTGCTACCTCTTCGGCAGGCCAACGGGCGTCAGGTCGACCCATGCCTCTTGCAATGCAGTCTGTAGCTACCGTTCGCAAGCGCAAGAACAGAAATTCACAGTCCATGGACCAGGGCCAGCCTAAGCCTTTGCAAATTGTACAGGAAGACGGTCAGGGTGGCTCGATTGCGTCAGCGGACTTTGTTTCCCCTCCACGGGGAGCTCGACGCAAGGGTCCTCTGAGCATGGTCGGCAGAGCCAATGCTGGGCTACGTCGCAAGAACAAGGATACTTGTGTTCAGTGCCGATTGAACAAGCGCAAGGTCAGTGTTTCCGATCCGATGTGATTTTATGTTGAATGATGCTAACTTCAATGAACAGTGTGATGGAAGCGCACCTTGTGATGCATGCCGTCCTACTCTTCACGAACAGCCTTGTGCTCGTGCTTGCTTCTCTAGCATTGTTGAATTCGGAACCTGCAACTACATCTGTAAGTATCTTCAATACGATATGCATGGGCCACCAAACTGACCTTCTCCAGCACAACGAGCTGTCAACCATCCTACAGTCGACGGCAACGGCCGAGTCCGAATGGAAATTCCGACCGAATTCGACATGACTCAACTTTTGTCATTCCTTGGGGAGCGCCAGGGCCGGTTCAACATTCGTGCCAGCCAAGCCTGGGGCTCACTGTATGTCCTCGATCTCGGCGAGACATACAAATTCTTGAAGAGCCTCAGCGAGTACAACGGCAACTCGAAATCAACTTTCCTCGAGTTCATTGACCGACGTATCGTCGATTCCAAAGACAAGTCGAAGAACTGGTTAAGCTGCGTCAAGGACTGCGACCCAATGAACCAGGCATACGTGAGTCCACCTACTTTCTATGCAAAAAATGCAACTCGACTAACCTTCTTTCCCAGACCCTCCTCTCACAGTGGAACAACATGCCCAGTCGTGCCCGCTATACATTCGTCCCGCTAGACGAAAACGGTCAAGAACGCTCAATGGACATAAACAGCCCCGAAGACCGCCGCGACATTCTCCTCGCCGCCCAACTCTCCCGCATAATCTGCCGAATGATGGAAGTCGAAGGATTCCGCAAACTAGAGCGAGACTTCTACAACATCAAATGGAAGCAGATCTCGCACGACACGCACATCCGCTTCCTCAATGAACTCGGCCACATCCTGCTTTCGCTGCGATGGCGCTGCTCGTGGTGGAAACGCCTCGGTGATGGTGGTCAAAGCCCCGACCCCACGCAGCAGCACTACGTTGATCGCGTCGAGTTGCTCTGCCGCATCCTTTACGTCTATTATACTTGCGTGTTAGCCAAGCTGCCATCGTGGTCTACCTCTGACATTCCGAAGGGAACTTGGTCTTCGTATGCGGACTCGGATAATCCGGTCTGGGACGATTTCCCCTCGGACTCGTCGGATGCTGGGTTCGCGAATTGGATGGAGCATGGTCAGGATTTGATCGAGCAGGCTGGTGTTCCGAGCCGAGTCTCCAAGTTCTGAGCACAGGTGAAAAATTAAAAAAAGCGACAGCAATACGCAAGGCATGGCATGGCATGGATTTGGAACGGTGACTGGAGTTGAACCATTAGATACCCTTTTTCTCTTTTTTCTTCTTTTCTTTTTGTTTATATCTCAGATTTTGTTGATATCTTTTTCCGGATTTTCTTGCCATTTCTTATACGCATCACGACCGATACACTACTTTGTTTATGATTAACGAATTCCGCCCAGCATGTTGATTTTCTTATCTTCATCCATGGCGCGGGCTGATTCTTGTACACATTTCTTTTTCCAATACATACATCTCTAGAAGAACCAGTGGTCTGCTATACAGTAAGGTAGGGGCATGGATATGATTTTTTAGTATATAGAGGTACTACTACTAGTAGTATGAATCAGCGAGAACGGGGTATCGAATTCATGAATGTATCGCTGCGATCAGAGCATCGGAGGACATGTTCAGGTGCCAGTGGATTGGTAATATGTAGTTCCAAACATGTCCCATATCCACGCCCTTGGAACATCCAGCCAGACCAACCTAACGAGAGAGAAAGAAACCTGAAAGGAACCGAACAAACGGATAAAGAAAACGGCCCTCGGCCCCGCTTATTTCTTCTGCCCATTGTGAATAGGATTCTTCTTCCTCTCCTTCTCCAACCGATCTTTCTTTCCACCAGCCAACAGCTCCAAATGGCCCGCCTTGGTCGCGAGACTGCGCTCCGTCTTCGAAACGAGCCCGGAAGTGAGTTTCTAGAGCGAGGTGTTGGTTAGTTATTATTATTATTTCGAGGGAGGACCGGGGGAGTGATATGGTTGCCGGATTGGAAGAGTCTGCATCTGCAAAGCGAAGGAATCGCAATCGCAATCCACAACCTGTATACACCCCATACGCGCCGTACTGTACATACCTTGGTCAATTTAGCCGCCTTGACAAGACCCTGCTTCTTGGGAGCGACCTGTCGGACACCGGGTCTGGTTCTGGCATTCGCACCACTAAGTAGAAATCGGGTCAGTTTGGTTTCCCATCGTCTTATTCTTATTATGTTTCTTCTCTTCGTGTCATGTTCTTTGCATCGTTTCGCTACTTCGCTTCACCATAGCAGGTGCAGGCGCAGGCTCGGGACTGGGATGTCCAACCCACTGCCCTGGGTATCCTGCCCTGCCCTGCTCTGTTCTGTTCTGCATTGAACGTACCGCTTTGCCGTGGCCGTGGTGGGCTTCTTCTTCAAAGATCCTTGAACCATTGTGTCGGGTGTGTGTGGCTGCTGTGGTATAAATTCAATGTACTGCCTGCAGCACCGTAGGTTGAAGCGAGTTGGGATGAGTTTTGCGTCGGTGTTGGGTGTCTGGTCCTAAGGTCGCTCCGTCGTGGCGGGCCGGGGCCGACAACGAAAAATCCTTATCGAAACTTATCGCGGTATCACGTGACCGATTACGTACACCGCCCGCTTTCCCAGGGTTGCGTTGTGGGGGTCGACTCCCGATTGGGAAGTTTATTTTCTTCGCTTACTCGTAGAGTGTGCGCAAGTTGCTGATTCACTTGGTAAGAGTATGAACGAGATCTTTGGCAGATACTATGTATATTTCCTTGATTGTTTCTATGCTGTGAGAGGGATGCGGTACAAGCCACGTGATAGTGTGTACTGATCTATACCATACTAGTGCTCATACTCATCCGCCTCAGCCGTTGGCATGATCTATCTGAAACAGTCCGTCTGCGGCCGTTGCGGTTTATATGGAACAACTTTAATTATGCTTCACAGTGCGGCTATTGGTATCCACTCGACTTCGGATGTGCGGATCAAGGAGATCTAGATCTGTTTGAAATCCGACTAGTAGTAGGTCTTGTTCGTGAAGCTTGGAAGTATACATTCCAGATGACGTGGGTTGCCCACCATTCCAAGGTCTTCGCCGACGAGGGTCCGGATCGCTGCATACATCGAAAGACCAGGCCCGGGAAGATCATAACACTCCAATCGCTACGCTACATTAAACTAAAGTGAGACGAAAGGGCACGAGAAGTAAGATAGGAAGAATAGAGCATGTCATTACGAGCATAAGCTGACTTGATTCCCGTGAGAATCTAGAGGAAACAGATGGTACACAAAGAAGATCGCAAAAGAAAGCCCAGCTCAGGGAACCGAAACCGGTCCCGAAAAAAAAATAGAAACAAGAAATGGGAATAAGAATAAGTGGTTCCATAAAAAGGTAAAATTTGTGTCAATCCTCATTAATTCCGTCGAGATACCTCCTTCGAACGAACGAAGGGCATTAAGAGTTTATCAACTGGAGATCCGGAGATCCATGGGAGAAACTCATACAGAAAGATAAGACAGAAGGAGAGAAGTGACCCAAGCAAAGTAAGGGTTCAGGTCAAATTCCCCTCAAGTCGAGCGGGGGTGAAACCGCTTAGAAGGCCAGAACGGCGAAGAGACCAGCCATGACAGCACCGAGGCTGATGGAGGTGCGTCCGGCACCGTTGAAGACGGGGGTGGCGGAGGCAGTGGCGGAGGCAGTGCCGGTAGGGACAACAGCCAGAGGGGTGCTCTTCAGGGTGCTGGAGGCGGAGGGGACGTGGGGCACACGGCTACCGCTGGGGGTAACGGGGGCGGGAGTGGTGGGAGCGACGGGGGGGCTGGGTCTGGGTCTCCTCGGGGCACTCGGTGGTGGTGACAACGACGCTGGAGACCTGGGTGGAGTAAGAGATGGGGGAGACACCAGTGGGGGTGGAAGAGGCCTCCTCCTCAGGGCAGATGGTGGTGGTGACACCCTCAATGACGGTGGTGATGGTGAGGGGAGTGGAAGAAGGAGCAGCGGTCTCGCTCTCGGGGCAGTAGGTGGTGGTCACATCCTCGATGACAGTGACGGTGGAGCCGGAGCCGGAGCCAGAGCCAGCGGCGGTAGTGGTGGTGGTGGTAGAGCCGGAGCCCTTACCCTTGGCGATACCGAACTGAGAAGACCACTGGTAGGCACCGGTGCCCTCAACGACGATCAGCAGACCGTAGTGGGTGGTGTCAACCTCCAGGTTGTAGCCGGGAGTCCAGGTGTAGTGACCAGTGTTGGGGATGTTCTCAACGATGGTCTCAAGGGGAACAACGTTGGTGGAGGGGCCACGGAGAAGGACCAGAGAGACACGGTCACCGAGGAGAGTGTCCCACTTGATCTCGTAAGGAGCGCCCTCAGGGACCTGGTCGTTCAGACCGGGAGCGCGGACAGCGTTACCCTCGGGGCCCTTGGTGTAATCGGGCTGGGTGTAGGCCGCAGCGAAGGCGACGAGGGCGGAGAAAACGGTACCGGTGGAGAAACGCATTTTGATTGATTGGTGCTGTAGAAGCAAAGAATGACTGAAGTTGGGATAATAGAGCGAAAGGACGCTTGGGAGCAACGAATGACTTGGGTTGAAAGAGTGACGGTTGAGAGAAGAAAGAAAGAAGAAGAAGGAGGAAAGGAGGAGGGCGAGTGCCTTTCTACTTCTCGGAGGGTTTGGGGAGTGGAGAGCACTGGGAGCAACTTGGGAGCCCCATAATCAGACCCCCCGCTGGCCAGGCACCAACCAGTAGTAGACTGGTGGGTGGGTCGGCATCGAAAGCCTACTTTGCAAGCGAGAATTAGATTTACGACATTTGGGGGACATGTACGAGGCGCAGCCGAGTGTCTACAAGAATAGGTGAGTCGAAGTATAGACCCTGGTTGGAGGGAGGCAATGGTGTTCACACGCCACCAGGTTATTTTGGATCTGGCATGGAAGTGATAGAAGTGATGGATATGATTATTATGATTAATTGTGATCTGGTTATTTTTACTTCGCAGCCCACCATGAGTACAGATACAGTACAGATGCAACGGTATCCTCGTGGGGCTGTGGCTCGTGGGATTTGAGTCTTGGGCTGCATATTAGTGCATCCTTAGCGTAGATTAGTGTAGTGTATCCTGGAGACGGTAAGGCGAAGCCTTACCGTTGGACAAATGGGAACTCTGTGTATTCTGTGTACTCTGTATACTCTGTGTATGTACAGGAATCCCACCAGTCAGGAGGTGGAATGCAGTGCCATCACCATTCCAAGCTAAACCCAAAAATACCAAGGGAAATTGGATTGTCTAGGGAGTCCAGGGAGTCCAGGGTGTCCAGGGCCAAGAATGGGTCGGGCAATCTTGGGTCACCCTTAATTACTGGACTCCGTAATTAAGATGACATAGCATAGAATACTGTCTGTTTGTTCTGGATCCTTTGATCTCATTATTTTTACGGAGTAAACTATCATTCTTAGCATCTAATTTTAAATGTCTTACTCGGTACTTTACTCTGTCCTCTGTACCAATAACTACAGTCAACACGCAGTTCACCCGGGTATTCTCCGGCTCAATACCATACCATACCGTATGTATCACCTATCACCTGCAGGGACCTCTTCTCTTCTGATCGCTTTCCCCGATGGCTTTTGTGACTTCCAATCAGTCGTCTTTAAACTCTTCCCTCATTTCCTCCTCCTCCAACGCCACCGGCGCTGCCATCATCCATGTCTACCGGCCTCCTCCGTATTCCATACAGGCACAGGTACAAGCGATAGCTCTACCCCCTCCCCGCTCCCCTGAACATCGTGAACTCTGAGTCCCCACCCCCATGAACCCAACTTATCACAATGCCCAACCCACCTTTCACCTCTGCCGATCCCGCCTGTTCGTCGGACCAAAAATGTCATCGGAAAGGATCAACAGCTGATCAGGGGACGGTGTGGACTGTTTGGATGGTTGCGTGCTGCCGTGCCACTCGACCTGTGGCTGTTCCCTCTGGTTTTGTGCATCCTGCGTCCTGACCGTATTCCGTGCTGGAAATTTCGATTGTCTCACAGCGTGCACGGTGATTTGCCGGGGACCAACGGATTTCTTGTTCCTGACCCCAATTCGCGTGGTGGGGTGGAAGGCGTCCGGCACTGGTCCACTCACAATCACCCGATGGACGGAGGTAATTTTCTTTTAGGGACATCCCCCTCCTCTCTGACTGCTCCGGCTCGAGAGACCCGACGCGGAGCTCCCTCCGCGCTATTGACACTTACCCATGGAATTCGGTGAATCGCGCGCTCAAAATAGCCGTGTCTGACTCCATTTTCGAGCTCTTTCACCCTTTCGCCTGCCCCGTGAACTATGATGGAATGGATCTTGAATCTTGCCGACGGGCAACGGGCAATGCATTCAGCCTCTTCGCATCGGATGTCTTTCTTATTGGACTAGCGCTGGATCGAGCTCGCTCCTGCTGGAACCTCCGTTCTTGCATGGACTAACTACTAACCTGCTCCGTAGCTGCGCATCACTCACGCTTGCGCAGGGACAACACAGCACACCGCTGAGGTCCGGTCCTGGCAAACAGGTTCTGCGGTCGCTTTGGTGTTTAGGGTATCGTGGGTCAGCGGTCCGAGTGCGGGAGACTTCCAGCAACCGGTGTTGGCGAGACCGGTGCTTCGCTGACTCAGGGAAATTGGCCTTTCTTGGCTGACATGCAGGTACAACATTGGTATGGCTTTACTTCCTGTCATGCTAAGTATTCTATTCGGTCAGGCACCCCGCCGGAAAAATTGCGAGGCTATGCTGGCTATGTCGAATACGAGAAGCCCGGCCAAGACAAAACAAGACGCCCGTCAGCGTCAGCATGATTTCGAGGCTTCGCACTCGTTCCAAGACACTCGTCATATCGGTCATTTTCTCCATAAGAAGAGTGATTTCTTCGCGGAGCTGAGAGGCAGACAGGCTTTTTTGGCGCTCCCGCCAAGTCTGGAATACCGCCAATTGCACTTCGTATAAACATAAATCGCCTGTAATATCTCCGAAGCGCCACGATGGATGCACAAGGCCATCCACACAGACCCGCCGTGAGGTAATTGCTGGCCAGACCGAGTCTGGTGTCTTGTCGATGGGGTTATCTCGGACACTATTGCGGGTCTTATCATCTCGCCCCCAACGATGGGTCGGACGACTTCCAATTAAAATATTTTCGAGACACGAAGTTGATCTCGGCTTGCTCACTCGGGTCCCTGAAAATCAGGTTATGGAGTAGAGCCTCACCGGTTCGTTGCGAAACACAAATTTGGGCTCGCCTGGCGCGGTGCCTCAAGGCTCGCGGGTCCACGGACTAATCTCGCATCTCGGAACCGACGCGAACGATGCTACCTGCCAGATCAGTCATGTTATATTAAGACATCTGCTGTTCCTGTGTTCCCGCTCATTCCCATCTAGGTTAAAAAGTGCAGTTGGATTTCCAGGCAACCAAGGTTCGACAATCCTACGCCGGTCGTTCACTTACTTAGCCGCCCACTAACAAATCGCCCCATTGCACTGAGAAGTCGAGAAGCAGAAAATTTATTGACCAGATAACTAGTATTACCTAGGTTGAGCGTTTTGCTTTGGCTGAGCTCAACCCATTTGCACCCAGACTCTCTTCGAAGCATGACAATAATACTATCTCTCGATGTCACCCCAGGGAACCTGGCACTCAGGATCGAGACTCCACGAGCCTAGCCCATCTAAAGAAGTGACCCTTATTAGACTATGAATCAGCAACCAATGAAACAAATGAGATTCGGCCATTATCAAAGGTTCGCTTTTGCCAAAATAACCCACCATGTCCGTAATTATTGCACCTTCGTACTGTCCTATACCGTAGTAGTCGACCATATGTACTACACTAGTCCCGTGCAATTGAACAAATATTCCTGATTATAGGTACCACGAGTACTGGATGCCACCCCCTAGGCAACCATCGAAGGTTACTCTGTGTCCGTACTCCGTACTCCGTACTAAAGGAGTCAATATGCGTAGCGCCAACCTAAAAACCTAAGATCACTCTATTAGGCCTATGTCCCTTTTTATATTAAAATAATTAGACAGCCGTTTGGGCTTAAGCCCAATCCATGATACATATGCCACATTGCACTAGAATCAAGGTCGATATCTCCTTTTCGAATTTTCATTCGGGTCTTGATACTATTCAAGACTTTTCTTTTTCGAGGAAAACCAGACAGGGAAATAGATCTTTCTTGTGCTGCTTCTAGGCAAGCTCTGTTGAAATTTTGAATATTGTCATTTCAGAAAGGGGTATTATGTTATATCCCGACTAAGGCTTCAGAAGAAAACACGACCCGAACCTCGGGTCATGAATAAGCCAAAAAGTCGCTCCAAAGAAGAATCGAAATCAAGCTGAAAATCTTTCTCACAATCCGAAATCTCGTGCAGGCCGTCTCCCCACTCCCACCCCCAGCTGACTAGGGGACAGACAGGACTGCCGTCCTGGTACTAACTATTAACTTACTCGAACCAGGTGACAGTCTTGGTTTGCAAGAACTCGTCGTAGCCGTGGATTCCACCGAAACGACCGAACCCACTGCTCTTCCATCCGCCGTGAGGGAGAACCGGTTCATCGTGCACAGTCAATGCGTTGATGTGGACAGCACTAGAAATTCAAGACGAGCGATTAGTATAAGGTCAACGAGAAACGAAAAACGAGAAACGAAAACGAGCACGAAGAAAAACAACACATACCCAGCATCAATTTGCTTAGCAACACGCAGACCACGGAAGAGGTTAGAAGTGAACAAAGCACTAGTCAGACCATACTCGGTATCATTTGCCAGAGCAACAGCCTCTTCCTCCGTGTCAACGACGAAAAGCGAAACGGTCGGACCGAAAGACTCGGTCGCATACATGTCCATTTCCTTGGTGACGCCGTCGACGATAATAGGCCGCATGTGAGTATCGATGGACTCGTTGGCGCCAGCGTCACCGAACAGAACCTTTGCGCCTTGGGAAACGGCGTTTGAGACGAGTTTCTTGTTCTTTGTCGCTGCGGCTGCGTTGACTAGGACGGGGGCTGGAGCGTCCTTGCCGAAGATTTTTTCCGCGGTTTCGGCGAGCTTTTGCTTGAATTGGTCGGCGATTTTGCGTTGGACGACGATGCGCTCGGTTGACATGCAGATTTGGCCGGACTGGTTGGGTTGGGTTGGTTAGTTCAAGTTGTCTTCGAGAATTTCAAGGTGGGTAGTATATATGGATACTCTAATAGAGCAGCAGTGGAGTGCAATTGCAATTGCAATTGCGATGGAGACTTACGTGCATGAAAGATCCGACGGCGCAGTTCATGGCCGCCTTGTCGAGATCCGCGTCGTCAAGGACAACTGCAGAAGCCTTGCCGCCCAGTTCGAGGAGAACGGGCTTGATATACTTGCCAGCGGTGGAAGCAATGATAGAACCAACCAGGGTGCTACCGGTGAAGTTGACCTTGCGAACATAGGGGTGGGCGATTAGCGCATTGGTTACGGCGGCCGCGTCGGAGCTTTGGTGATAGATGACATTGAGGACGCCCGCAGGAAGACCAGCCTGACGGAAGACGTCACCGAGAGCCCAGAAGCACTTGGGCGAGAGCTCGGAGCCCTTGAAGACGACGGTGTTACCCGCCGCGATGGGGAGAGCGATGGCACGAGTGCCAAGGATGAAAGGAGCGTTCCTGAATTTGAATCACTTATGTTAGTACAGCTGTTACACTGTGCCACCGTGGGGTATAACAAAGTCCAAGTTCCGGGAAAGTGGAAAGTCCCTGGAAGTATCGAATCTGCACCAGGGAGGAAGCTTACCAAGGCGCAATGCTCAGAATGACACCGTATGGCTCTTTGTATACAATAGCGCCCTCGCCATCACGGGTCACATTCGGGACGGTGCCCTCGATAGTCGAGATACGGGCTGCGAAGTCTTTGATGAAGCTCACGCCGAGGTTGAAGGTGTGTTCAGCAAAGGGGCGGCCAGCGCCAGTTTCCTCGCGCTGGTATGCGATGAACTCTTCCTTGCGGGAGTCCATGATTTCAGCGGCCTTGAACAAGACATCGCGACGGTCATAGGGCTTCGTCTTGCTCCAGGCCGGGAATGCAGCTTGCGCGGCTTCGACAGCGCGCACGGCATCGTCAACCGAGGCACCGGCGCAGTGACTTGAGAGCTCACCCGTAGCGGGGGCGTTGACGGCGAACTTGATGTCGGTCACGACAGACTCGTTATTGATGATGAGCGGAGTCACCGCGGAGCTGTTTTGCGCCATTATGAGGGGATGTGATTCGGAGGAGATATAGAGAGAGAAGAGAAGAAATGGATGGGAAGTAGGTGTACTACACAAGAATGTCGCGAAGGAGGGGTTGGATTTAACGAGTCAATAGTTAAGCTGATCTTGCCGAATTGGATCGAGATGTGGGGTGGAGGGGTGATGAACTGGACCTTGAACTCCAAGTTCAATAGACCGAACGGGGTTCTGCTTATCTCCGATCGCGTACCGTAGATACTACAAGTATGGATGCTGGAGTTAAGCATGGAGTTGAACTGTATATACGTTCTGAACTGCCTTGACTACGAGCCGAGTGGGGGGGCTTCTTCCGAGATTCCAGGTTGATTAAGAATACAATTTGTTCATTTTTATGCTTTTTGTCCACTCAAGCAAGCAGTCAAAGTGGGGCTCATCCGGAAGTATTCCGCGCAATTGGCTGAGAGTTGTTAACTCTTTTATCGAGATGATTCATCCCGGAGTTTCGGATATACACTTTCAGACAGTATATACTCGAAAGCAGACACAAACTACAAGCACTCCTAGCATGAACCCTTTTCAATTCCCAGAGAGACAATACTGTTATGGAAAATAGCTGATCCAAGTCCCAACTCAGTACTCTGTACTATGCTAACGGATAACCCTAATCCGCCCGCATCCGCATGCTCTCCATATCCAACCGTTGAAATTCAGTGGCGTTCAATTCTGCCCAATACTTTGTTAGAGTCTGCACTCCACACAAGTATTGATTTCCCCTCCAGGGACTGCCCATTCAAAATTTGAGGGTTTTCAAGTGTGTTAGATTGTTCTTGGACAACCACTGGAAGACTGGTTCTCTCCCCGTCAATCGATAATCACCATAATATACCCGACTACGCTTTATAGAGTGCTTAATGCAAAATATAGCAAAGAATAGAGATTCAATTCGCATACCATAACTCCGCCCATGCAGTTCCAACGCCAGAAAGTCCCACCACTCGCTTCAAATGCGACTAAATACAAGTCCAACCCATGTCTTTAACTCCTCCCCGCCCAAATTTTAGTTTCCATAGATTGTGCCTTAGAAAATTCAGCAAACGGACATGCCGATGCTTTAGTTGAACCACTTTGCGCAGTCAGCCCACTATCAGCGGTATGTGTTGACGGAGCCGTTGACGGAGCTATGCTTTGGGCCGTTGTCGTGCCACTAGCAATGCTCGACCTGTCGTCCTCCTCTGAACTGCCTGAACTGGAGCCAAGGATCTTCTTATCTCCGAGGTACCCTTCACGAGATCCGAAACTGTAGACCGACATTTCGTCGGCGTATTCTTCGCCGTCACGGACACGCCACTTGGCGAATAGATCATTTTGGATCCAAAGGATCTTGTTCACCGCACGCACAAGAGCGATCTTGCGGCGGAGCGAGAGGTGCGGATGGGACATCAAAGCCTCGAGGAAAATATCTTGGATGTATCCCATACACACGCTGATGTGGACGTATTCGATGTTAAGGGTGTGCATGCGCTCCTGGCCACTGTGCATCATTCTTTATGGGGTTAGCTTGACGGGTTCTCTTTGGCTGGAATTGAGACCAAAATACGTACCCAACTTTGTTTAGATATCTCCAAAACTCCATACTTGTGGGGTCTTGACACAATCGAATAAGGTACCAGCGAAGGAACATCTTGCGTCGCTGGATTTGAGGGGTCTCTTCCTGTAGATAATCTTCCTCCAACTCATCCTCGTTTGCCGTCGTCCGAGTGTGAAAGGCACGAGATGTGATATCGTATTGAAGAAGCTTTTTGTAGACAAGGTTCACGACAGCGGGAATGAGTTGCTTAATATACTTTGCACCGCTGGCGAGGGCTTCAATATCGGCTGATAGCGTAAACACATATTAGTGCGTGAAGATAAAGTCTATTGGATGGGAACAAAGAATGTACTTACCTGAACCAAATTCGAGAAAGTCATGGAGATACTTGATTCTCTCTTCTAGACTGGTGTGGATAGCCTTCCGGTCGATATGCTTTGGCTGGAAGCCAACACCACCGAGTCCGTAATCATGCGGCATTATTGCGGGAAGATAGTATAAGAATGATACACTCCTATAGAGACGATGACGTTGTATAAATAGAAAAAATAAGGCCGTTGGGATGAGAAAGGTAAAACTGGGGCACCTCGTGGCAAACGCATGATCGGGGCAGACACTTCATTTATATACTACTTGGTGTTAAATCCCGCCGTGTGCCGGTGTGAGATCCGAACCCCCCAGCACGATCGTTTTTCTATCCGATGCCCTCTAGACTCGATTTGGGCATCAGAGATAGGATGTAAGCGGGTCACCTTCCAGGAGAGGTGGCCATCCCGGTTTCTGACGATCGCTCAAGCTCGGAGCGAGAGCACAAAGCAGTGCATCGAGAAAGAGACGAAGTGTTCCGTCGAATCAGACCATCGATATAAGACTAGGTTGTGCAACTCCGGACTAGTACCACCTGGGCACAAGCAGGGAATCGGCAGATGTGGGCTGATCCCTGCAATCTCCTCCACTTCACCTCCACCGGGGGCCCGTCAGGATTCAACCCATGGATGGCAGGCCTAAAGGTCACCAATTGATGAAACAAGCGACCACGTGGATTGGTATACGAGGAGGGCATAACCGCCTATTAGACTCGAGAGCTAATATATACGTTACTCCACGCGCTTTGATCGCGGTCAAGGATCTGGGAGATGAAGCAGAGGCGTTCAAACCAGAAATCGATGCATCGCATTTTTGGACAGCTACGGAGTACCTGTCAGGCTTCCACGACTGACCTACTGCAAGCGACACGTTGGAAACTCCGCTGTGGTCCTAACGGTGTCGTTGAACTTCCGAAATTGGGCCCACTCGGCCGATGGCTCGGCTCGGGCAACTTTTTATTTATTTGTTTTGGATCCCCTTTATGGTTTGCTACATATGAGTATTCGCATGGCATGCTGCTAGCAGGGATTATCGAAGCTCGTGAAGATTCTGTATCACGCAGAATCCTTCTCGGATCCCTCGGCATCCTGATGGACGCATGTAATGGACCTCAAGATGGTATATTGTCCTCGTAAGCAAAGCAAATACAACGGTTTGGGGGATATCTCGGCACCGATGTGGGTCCCGAAAGAAAAGGAGAGAAAAAAAAGGGAACGTATGCAGGAGAGGAGAACGCTAGTGAACAAAGTGTCCAGTCGGAAAACGGCTGTATATTAAAGATTCCTGCAGTCTCAAACGGTTCGAGGTAAATGTCGTGTGATGGCGTGGCCTGATATAAAAGAAAAACGGGGTGAAGTCGGACGCATGGCCTGATTTGCGGGCCATATAGGCAGCCACATAGTTCTGACGTAAAATGTAAAAAGAAAATAAATAGGGGAGACAGCAAGACGAGCCAGAGATTTTTCTTCTTTTCCGATTCCATGTACGTTCTGCGAGAGCTTGATCGAGCATTAGCTAGCTTACCGCTATCTTCCCTATGACTCCATTCTAGGGGTACCAATTACAACCTGAGACGCGCTAGGCCGTTGCCAAAACAGCCGCGCTCGCAGATCAACAATGTCTGTGTTGATCAGTCCAAACACCAACGGTCTAGACACCAGTCGCCGTGCTTTGGCCGCTCAACTGTCGCGTTTGCCCCAGGTTCGCCTACGCTGGGGCGCCGCGTTCCATGGAACTGCCGCTCCAAATTAATCTAATTAGGTTTTTGTGAAGAAGATGACAGCTGCAAGCCGTTCATTTTGTATCTTTTCATTTTACTCTAGAGCCTATATTAAATTTCTGAGTGGGGGTTTATGAGCTATCTCAAATAGGATAATGTGACAAGTCTACCACACTTCCACGATAATATAGACCAAACGCTCTCGGTATCTTCAGGACTGTTAATGTGATGAGATCCTGGCTCTGGTCGAATCAGAGCGAGTGTTTACATTTTCTCTTTTTGCAAAGTCCATGCAGCAATGGCGTCAAAACGTTGATATTCACATCCATGCGCCCGTGTTGTAAGATGAAACAGCAGGAAGTTGCATTGAGCAAAATGGCTTTACAGAGAGGTGCAAAACCACTCTCACCCATTTGCACTCTTCTATCCTTTCTGCACTCCACTGCTAAGACGCTAGCTTGAGAGATGGGTAGATCTACATGAGCCTATGTATCCATGTACATTACGCTATCGGTGTTCGGCTCAAAGTACACACCAATGTCTTGATAGAAATGCGATTCGCTAGACGAACTCCCCTAACTCTATATATGGCACTGGCACATAAATTATGCTTTTGCTATCCCAAGCTCTAACTCGGGTCTATTAAATCATTCAATTTTATTTGAGTGAGAACGCTTTCCAGACTGAATAGTAGCACTAAATTGTGGTGCCCACAGGTGGACGTTCGTAGCTTTATTTCCACATTTGCAGAGGTCACTACTGGTACTACTGCTATACTATTATCTCTATATTCACAGATTTGGATATGCTGTAGCCTATTCACAGGCCGAAAAAGACGAATGGGGAGCTTAACTCTGCTGGGGCAGAGATGATAGAAGCGTGGGGTATATTCTTTCGCGATGATTGGAGCTGGACCCGGATTTGGGTTGTGTTGGGCGTCGCCTTTTTTCCGCCGAGTCTGTTATTTGGAATTCTATGGGGAATCATAAGACAGGATATTCAGGGAGCATTTGGAGTGGCCAGTTGGTGGATGACAGGGGCCACGATTGCGATTGATATTATTGGATCTTGTACATAGGCATAACTACTCCCAAGCAGTACAGCACAGGCCTTGACCTTAAGAAACTCTCTCTTTCATTGGCAACTTTGAGATTTTAGCCCTGTCGAAAATTGATAGATAGTTGACGCCCATCTGGACTTTCGGGTAATCTGCCTTGTGAATCGTTCGAATTTGGTATGCAGTGATCTCGGTCAGATCCTGTAGCTTTTCTTCCGAGTAGCTCTCCCCTTGAGCAACTTTTTCAAAAAGCAATGCAACCCAACATGAATTCGATACAAAGTACTCCCCCGGCACGGTAAACTGGATGCCCGAGGCACAACATGCCTCAGCATACTTTATTTTACTTTTTTGTGGGGGACGGAGGGACCGATCTCCGTAAAAGCTTTTCTTCAAACAAACTAACAGGTGGAATCGGATTATAAATTTCATTTGCTAGCCATGTACAGGCAAAATCCTAACTAGATAGGTATCCATTAATAATATCCTTAGACATTCGATGGTATAGACGTCATCTAAAGAGTGGAAGTGGTCGCATTGCTGCGAGCAGCGGCGGCATCGTAGAGAGCCTGAATATCACTCTTCCACTGGTCCTCATCAACACGCTTCAGGCGGCGATCATAGGTTATCAAGCCGTTGACTTCACCCTCGACGTCGGTGGTTTGAGTCCACACACCACCACTGCAAGCGAAGCGCTTGACCTGGTCCTCGAGTTCTCCAAGAAGCATGTGGCTGCGATAGTTCCAGGCATCAATGGTCTCATCTATTTCGTATGTTTGGTTGATAGTGTTGATGGCTTCTTGAACGTTCCAGAGGCTAGAGATTAATGATTAGCGCAAGGGCCTAAACTAATTGGAAAGGATAACAGGGACTTACTGCTCAATCGAGACGTTATTTCCGACTCCACCAAACTCACCCTGGAAACCGATTCGGGTCTCGTCGTAAGGGCTCGAATTAATTGAGTAGAACGGAGTGCCGCACTGCGGGTTTGCGTAGTGGTGGTTATCCTAAACCCTGTTAGTGAAGGTAATTTTCCGAGTAGGAGAAGTACTCACGCTGAAATCACCGGCCCCATGGTCATACCAACCAGTAACCGAGTCCACTAGACGAGTGGGGTCCAGCTGCTTGACACGTTCGGTCAGTTCGATCTCGGGATAATAGTCCGTAATTTGACCCCAGCCCTCGTTATAGATGACCTAGTGATAGACATTAGTCAAAGCAACGATTGAACCGGGGAAATTTATCCCTCTTACCCAAGTAGCGATGCTAGGGAAGCTCTTGAATTGATTGATCAACAGGTCGAGTTGGCGGTCAAACTCAATTTGTTGATCCGCATTTGGAAGGATAGGGCTCGAAGAGCAGGTGGCCGGGTTTGTCTTGGTCTGCGACGGACGCAGGGATGGCATGTCCTGGATAACCAGAAGGCCAAGCTCGTCGCATGCTTGGTAGAATAGTTCGGTCTCGACTTTGATCTGTTGAACCTCGCTTTAGCTTCACTAATAAAAACAATGAGTTGTCTCCACTTACGTGCTTGCGGACCATATTGAACCCAAGGCTCTTCAAAACCTTAAGATCATAGATCATAGCCTCCTTGGTAGGAGGGGTATAGATACCATCCGGCCAGAAACCTTGGTCCAAAGTGCCGAACATGAAGACAAACTCTCCATTCAGCATCGGTCGAACGACACCATTAACCTTTCCCTTTTCGATCGTGCGGAATCCAGTATAACTCTGGACCTTGTCATTACCTAGCTTCACAGTGACATTGTATAGCTTAGGCGAATCAGGAGACCACAGCTCTGGTGATTCGACGTTGAATTGGAAAGGCCTGTTTGAAGGGCCACTGTGGGTCTTAAGCACCTTTCCATTGTCGTGGACTGTAATTTGAACATTCGAAGTCGCATTCGCCGCTGAGGTGTGGACAGTCACGTTGACTGATCGAGTCGTTAGAAAATTTCGGCAAGCCAACAGCAAATAACTCACCTTGACCATCCATGTTAGCAGCAAGATCAAGCTGGGTGATGTGATTTTGTGGCGCAGCCTCCAACCAGACAGATTGCCAAATTCCACTGCAGGGTGTGTAGAAGATGTGGCTAGGGCGGAGCGTTTGCTTGCCGATGGGGATGACGGTGTCACCGCCATCTGTTGGGTCATGGACAAAGACGAGCCTGAGATGGTGGTAATCAGTTTCCAGTTCAATCATATATGTCGAGAAACTTACAGTTCGTTCTCCTGGCCAATTTTGACATGTTGTGTCACGTCAACAGTGAAGCGGAAGTAGCCTCCCCGGTGGAAACCAGCCTTCTTACCATTGACAAAAACAGTGGCTTCATAGTCAACAGCATCGAAGTTCAGAAGCACCTTCTGATTCTTCCAGTCCGAAGGGACCTTGAATGAGTTGGAGAACCACGAATATAGAGTATATGATCCCTGAATGCCTGCAAGGGAAATTGTTACTTTAAATTCATGTATTATCGAAATGAAGGAATTTACCAGAAAGACCACTTTCAAGGCAAGATGGAACCAAAACTTTCTGGCCAAGCTGCTGGCCGAAAGGAGGACTCTGAACAGCATTTAGACCTGACGCGTTTTGGTAGCCCCAAACACCATTGAGGTTTTGCCAATGAGGTCGTTGCAGCTGAGGTCGAGGATACTCGGGCCATGGATCAGTGCCAACTTTATCCGTCCATGGCGTCGTTAGCGGCGGTTGCTTGAGCGAGTACCCAGCACCAGATTGTCTAGGCAAAACATCTTGCGCAGGACTGGCTGCACTTGTGGCAGCCAGAAGCGAAAGCACAACACCCTGAAGCAAATACATCTTCCAGTACTGGTATCAGATAATGCCAAGCCTCGCGTGGGAAGAACGATCTAAGAACTATGGAAGGGCAACCCCAGGTCTATTTAAACACATCACGGACAAACAGAATAGAAATGACCGAGCCACCGCTTCATTTTCGCAAGGAAGTAACAAGGAAAAAGCGGAAGCTAGACACCCTAGAGCCCCTAGGACTGCATGGGACAATGCTTTGACCAGCCTTCAGATACCCACTGCTCTACCTCGCGGTGGCATGTCTCCACTGGCACGAGTCAACCCCGCAGGAAGGGCACACAAGGAGCTCCATTACAGGGACACCGGTCTTAAATTTCCATTTTATTATGGAGAAAGGCACAGAGCGCCCCGCTGCTTGGCGGAGTAGAGACCGAGTTGGCGCCGAGACTCTCTAAACAGCATACTTGTCGAAATGCAGCTTGCAATGTAGACATGACTGATAGTCAACGCGTGTGCCAAATGGAGTGTTCCTGCATTTCTCTTTGAATCTAGCGTGTTGTACCTAGATTCAGTGCTGATGATCTTTGGATGGGAGGTTTTATCAGGAGTACTGTACATAGGGATGGGCGGCCGTAACTTTATTGACATCCCGGCCAGATTTCGGATCCAGGGAGCATCAAATCAGATCGCAAGATGGGTGCAGGGGAGTCCATGCCGATGACCAATAGAACCTTTGATCTTCGTGTCCGGAGGGTCCTGTATTCCTTGCGCACGCAGTCGAGTGGAGAATCAGGGTCGGGGATAGGCCTGATGATGTGCTTTGTACATCCGGGGTCGGATTTGGCTATTTCGATCCCAGGAATCTTGGGAAAAAGAGCAGTCTCAAGGAAAAAGCCTGAGTCCGCCAAGATCAGCCCGATTCATTCCAGATTCTGGATGCTCTCCTTTGCACGGGAAACCTGACTAGTTGCTCTTTGTTTGTAGATACCGCACCCCTTACATCCGCACGGGTCGCTCCGCATTTACGTTACTGAGGCTGGCGGCACTTGGATTACCCCCGCCTCGATCAAAAGTCAGACAAAGGGATATTGGTCGGCAATCGAGACAAAGTCGCACCTCGACGTTCCATCCAGGCCGTGCTCAAGTTGAATTGAGTCCGAAAAATAAGAGTACGAAAGGTCCGGTGGCCTTCCCCTCATCTCAGCCCTCCACTTGGCATGCCGATCCCTTCTGTACCATTGGAAGAAACAGTTCTTGGCCCACAATTCCGCCGATGAGGACTGCTTTACTGTCAGATTTTACTTACGGTTCAAGTCCGGAGTTTTATGGTCGTGACTTGATTTGATTTCCCCATGGGTGATAAGCCCCACTCCGGGGAAGATTCGAAAGTTGCTCGGAGCGGATGGAGATTTACAGTATGTAGAGGTACGATCGTCATGGGGATTTTGCGGGTGCGGGGAAGTCGGTACCTTTAGGCCGATGGACTCGGAGTTATTGGGATTTTCAGGGGTCGTGAGGTTCAACTTCCAGAGCCAGGCTACCTGACTCGTTAAGAATGCACGCTTTTATAGTTTGCTAGTATGTAGAGAGAAAGTCAAATATGCCAGTGTCGCGTGACCACTGCTATTGTATGCCAGTGATGGATTCGACCCGATCTATAAAACCAAACAACTTGAACATTAGATTGCTTCTGTTTGTACAAAGAACCTTTGAAGGAAAAGTGCATTGAGTTCGAGTAGAGTCCCAAATGGCCTGAAAAAAACTCATCTTCATGCAGGAACGCCGTTTCTGACTGCACCATAGTCTTTCATGGTCCAGTTTCCGAAGCATGCATACTGATACTCAGCCTTGGCCAGGTTCTTCTTTTGTACTTTCAGGAATGTCGAAAGTTCGCACCAGCCATCATCCCGTTTCCCGCAAGCCCCAAAGCTGTCATGCAATGGAACGGTCCTCTGGTTCTGAATGAAATGCACGTAATGAGTTTCTCCAGTGCCAGAAATATAATCCTTAGCTGAGGATTTCGAAGAACGTGTTGGAGAGACCTTGTGCGGTGACTTGATGATTTCGATATTGAAGCGACCGGCAAATGGGACCAGCCTGCTTGCAGAGAATTGCTGATTTTTGGGAGGACCCGTGAGAGGCAAAAAGTCGGCAAATTGAGTGAAGCCAAATGCAGTTAGCACAGATACGATGTTCGCATCATGCGTGAACTCCAAGTACAACGACTGGTTCAAAGGGAACGTCACTGGATTGGTGTCCAGGGTGATATTAGCCCCTGTAGTGTTGGCAGGTACACTCAAGATATGGCCCTCGACTCGAGCGAGAAACTCTTCGACCCAATAAAGTCCCTGTGCCCGACCTGTAGGGCTTAAAAAGCCGGAGATAGCGGCAAACTCGATATCCATCAAGTACTCGTAGCCCTCCCAGTCTTCATAGGTGAAAATGTCGCAGAAGTCGCTGTAGCCAACGCTGATCGTTTCATAGGGGCATAGACTTTGAGCATGATAGGTGTCTGTGATTGTCCAGTCATAGTTACCAGTCAACTTCTTCAGCTCAGCCGTCCGCTCTTTCAAATATGTCGCCATCCAGGTACCAACGGGTGTTGCGACCGAAGCCTCCATGGTCTCGCCTGCTTTGGTGCATGCATATTCACCCGTAGTTGCAGAATCAATTGTAGCCAGAATGTTGGCATGGTTCCTCCACTCAAGACCGAAGAAACCAGCAAGGAAGTTCTCAGCACTCTCAAGCATACGAGACTGCAAAGTTGTACGAATCACAAGCTTCGATGAGTTATCGTAGAGATGACCGTAGTTATAGTAGTTCAAGATGCCACTATCAAAGAGCTCTTGACGCCCTTTCGGAACTAGTATTTCTTTGCCCAGTTTGTACGACCAGTCGTTTAAGAAATCGAGCTTGCCTGTGAATTGATTACTCGCGTTAACAATTCCCGCCGCCCACGAATCTAGACCTTCCGAAGAAGAAGGATATCTTGAGCCATGGCGCTGAAGCATGTGCATTTGAGTAATTTTGGCTCCCTTGGGGAGCGGATACTCGTCGACGCCGAAGCCTTCGGCCGGGGAAAAATATGGACTTCACAAGACCAATTAGCTTTCAAAATAATAAGAAGGTCCCGAGAGAGCTCGTACCTTTGATCTCCCATGAGTTGAAAGATGTTGCGCCCATTGGCACCCTTGATTGGCTCCGAGGTTTCCAATGGAGCATTGGGGATGAAAGTCGACTGTCCGAACGGTGCGGGATTGGTTTCTGCTAGAAAAGGTGCAGATCCAGTTGCCGTGGTTCCTATTTGATTCTGAGCATCTATTATTTCAGCTGTAGTATTACCAGGAAGGACTGACCAGCATAACTGTTGGGCGACGTTTGGAACCAGTCCGGCTGCGTGCTAGTCGCGCCTGGCTGCTTCGCCTTAGCACTCGCAGTGGTAGCTAGCACCACTGAAAGTATCAAGGCTTGTAGCTTATTTGTAGTCATCATGATTACTCCTTAAGCCTTGTTCCAAGGTTTCATATGCTGATAATTTTCTTCTTCTACGCCCTGGAAATATCTCGCTTATAAATGTATCGAAAATTTTCCGCTCAAATACTACTTGTCCTTGATCAAAAAACCACTTGATCGCTTACGAGCTGGCAATTTCCGACGGAGAACGGATGAGTGCAGTTCCGAAGAGATGATGAAGAGTATACTTGCAATCATCTTCTTAGATCTCCCCACGTGCTGAAGGAAAACGCCCAGCGGGGCTTGCGGCTGTAGGTACGCCAGTCAGGGGTGACCGCCCCTGTAAGCGAATGGACTAGCGGCCGCGCTACTCTAATCACCGACATCTAGAAGTATGCCAAAGCTTCCGGCAAGCACGCCGTATGTCAGTATGTCAGTATGCGGGACCTCCCGCCAGGTCCCAGATGCTCCTGGTGACAGTGGGACACACTGGGTAGAGTGGCTGAATACGATTGTATACGAGAACTATTAGGCTTCAGCAAGGCCCTATTTGGGTCGCTCCGCTCCGGCATAAACTGCTGGTGACGCTCGAAAATGCTTCTACCGAAGTCTACGCATTGCACACCGATATATCCGCTCGGCAAAATACGCCGCGAGTCTCGGGAAAATTCAAGATCTTTGAGAATTATTTGCGAATGTGCTGATTTGAGTGGGACCGATGAAAAAAATTCCAACTCAAGACCATTATGAACCAGTGAAGTTATCCAATTCATTCATACGGTAGCCCGGGCTATTCATTTCCTGCCAAGGTCGGAATTACCCTATTATCAACATCCGGGATATCCGCGTTGCCAAAGAGGCCATCGAAAAGGGCTAGATCGATACCCTGTAGGTCCCAATCATAATATGTGTCCAGAGAGGCAGAAGCCATCAGAGTTTGCTCTTGAAAAGGACTGGTGTTGTTAAAAGTAGGTCCTTGTGATTCACCCAGGGCCACTTCCGGGCTATTCAAGGACTGTCGACCCTTCTGTAATCGTGATAAGTGCGTATTGGGGATTAATGGACAAACATCACCGCTGCATGGCCCATAACTGCTATCCGCTAGCTGATCGGCAAGCAGTACATCTGAAACCCAAGTGGAAGTGTGTAATTCAGATTGTAAAGAAGTTCTCGAGACAGAACTTGAACCAGCCCCGGGCTCGAAATTGATTGTCCCGAAATATGGAATATGGATGCGCAAGACTTTGCCGTTGCTATTTGACTTCACGACCGATTCATCGTCTCCTTCATCGCAGACGGAGGTGCTCATGCTGTATAGCTTTCCGTCCGCCGCGTCTGACTCAACTGCAAGTAGATGTCTGATCAAGTGACTGAGCTTCGAGACAATTGAGTCTGGCTGACCATTGCTCACTGACAGGAGAACTGCGAGGGTACGCTCCATTATCCCTCGGTCGCTGAGACGACTGTGTGCAAGAATATTGAAGCCCATTCTCTCGGCTTGGATGGCATGGTCGTCTTGGCTATGTGAGCCAATGTGGGCAAAGCATATGACAACAATGGAAACAAATGCTAGGAAGTCGCTTCCGCGGCAATAGAAATTGACTGGGTTTGAGGAACGGAAGGCTATGTAGCGGGATAAGATCTCGCGACTTGCATTGACGGCTGTAATCATGTTGCAATCGTATTTGTGGTCTGCCAAGGAGCGTATCAAATAAGGCAGATGTAGCCTTGTTATTAGGTTGTAATGAGAAAATTGTACCATGAGGCGAATTGTATCGTCGAAAAGCTCCTTTTCATCAGAATTCCCTACCACAAACGATGGCATTAGCCACCACTGAGGCGGCATTTCGGCAGCTGTGTTCTGTAAAATCCGATCAATCTCACTAGTCTCTTCAACACTGTTTATTCCCGCATTTCTGCCTTGAAGTATCCGCCGAGAGACTTCATAGTGAATACGCTGGATCCGCTCGATAGGAAGACATCCCTCCAACGCCTTCGGCGCAGCCAGGGGGGCTTGAAGTGAACTGTTGGGTAGTCCTAACATTAATGAAAGATAGAGATCCATCTCGAGAATGCGGAACAGTATGTGTTTCGGGTCGAAATTCGCTCGAGTCTCAGGCTCATGGAACTTGAGAGACGGTGAGTTGAGGCCGCGGTGCAGTCCCATAATCTGGGCAATCGAAACTGCCCGGTGTGTCGCTAGCCAAGCGCGGTGAAGATTTCCAGAATAATTGTGAAGCTGTGCCTCAATCATAATGCATTCTAGACCTTCAACAGAGCGAACGAGTTCATCATTGGTGGTGACGAGTCTGGTGGCTCTTTCAACGACGAGGGACAATAGTCCCGCACATGAGATACCGCGACTGTCTAATTGTTGATGGGAAGAAGGGACAATAGCCTGTAAGAGTGCGCCTAGCATGAGAAGCTTCCGGGCAAAAAGCACTGGGTGGGATTTTAATGGGGGTAGCTGGAGAATATCTAGTGGCGAAGGAGGATTTCTGTTTGACATTGTGTAAGACGCACAAACACAGCATTGCAAGTGCATCGAAAACCCAACAGGGAGAGCACAGATAGCTTCAAGGTCATCCCGACTAGGCCACACAGCGATTAAATCGTCGATTAATGCGGTGTGTTCAGTTGCAGAAGGCGTTTGGCTGGATGATATTTGGCGAGTGCGTGATTGACGATGGTGGTTGCGCTTCAAAAAGATTAGGAGATTTTAGGAAACGCCATGAATGATACAACTCACAGGATTACTATCTTTCGATGAAGGTGCGTTCGCTTTAAGGTTGTTGATAGTATCCTCGGCCGTGGGGGGATGGCTTGTATCGGATTTGTCGATCAACTGCTCGATGAGATTCTCCACTCGGCTGAGCCGATCCTCTACTTGAGTGTTGCAAGCTGGAGGCACAGGCCTGTCAGGGAGGTCTTGTGAGATGCATGAAGTTTTCCGCCTTCTACAGTTGTCGCAAGTGAAGTTCCCCTGCGATGTGATGCAGCGGACCTTTCGTCTCTTGCATTCCCAGCAGCTCTGGGTACCTTTACGGACCTTCCTCCGTTTGTTAGCGCGAGCATCTTCTTCGCCGAGCATATTTTTATTGACACGAGTGAATTAGCTTCTCCAGAATGGGGAATGTTTTGGGCCTAGAGGGTGTTTTTGCTGGGTTGAAAGGGTGATGGAAACGGAGCCGATGTGATTGCGCGATCTCGGTCGAAGCAGTACAGTGGGGGCCGCTTCGCCCGAGCTCGGCGGACGAATAAGTCGACCTCGGGATATGCTCAAATAGTGGGCAACAGCAAGGTCAAGAGGGGCAAAAGAGTATTTTTGGTCCCGTAGCCCCTGAATAGTCTAGTGGAATTGGACTGGACAATATTCGGGGGAAAAGAGTCACCAGGCTTTGAAGACCTCGGGAGACGCAACGCAGGTTGTGCGTGCTTCGTATATACAACTACTGACCACCCTCCGCTGATGGATCGCTGTAACTGCCCAGGTGGTTCCTTTGCCAGTATAGTTGGATGTAACTTGAATTCGAGCCACTCTTTGAATATTACGGGTTGTAATGAATATGCATTTTACTTGTCATCTGATCCAACTAATCTGAAGAATACGTAGTAGCGACCATGTCAGTATTCTTCAGGGCTTATCATGCCACGACTCCGCCAGAAATTTCTCAATAGGGGTTGGCTGAAAGCTTGGTAGCAATCGATTCCACTCGTCGGAAACAGAGTAGGCACCATCGTGGGTGGCTAGTAATATTCCGGCACAGACGATTCTCGACATCGCGTCGATTTGCTCTCGGGGAATTGAAGGATGATCGATCCTCGGGACCCATGAGGTACTCCACGTTCCGTTTTGAAGGTCTTGTGCCTTCACTCTTTCCACCTGGAATTTCGCGCCACCTAACGTGGGATATACCCATCAGCTGTCGGAAATAACTCCTGTCGGAAGTGAGAACATACCGCGAACTTTTTCGCCCAGCGCAATCAAATTTCCAATAGAGATGTCGGTACCTCGAATGCCACCAATAACAGGCCACTCACCTTCAAATTCAACAGCCTGGACAATTACCTTGGTGAAGTCTTGCACAGTAATGAAGGACATCCGATCATTGTCACCGTCGTCCATGAAGATAGCACGTCGATTTTCGAAGTCGAAGAAGAGCTCCATCGAAGGAACGTGTTTAGCGGACTGATAAGGATGTGTTAAGTAGTTCACAAATGTGCCCGGCTGAAATAGCGTGTATTCAAGGACCTGTTGAAAGAATTGATAGTTAGAAGCTGCCAATCTCGAAAATTTAGTTATCTCTTGCCTTTTTGTCCTTATTCAGCGCTTCGAGGTATCGGCGAATTTCCCCTTTGTACGCGTACCAGCTTATGTGCTCCAATCCGGCACTATAAACTATCAATGCTTGAAACTATGACTAGCAAAAGGGAAATGTACCAGGCCCACTCGCTAGGGGCAAATCGCTTAACACCTGCTTGGATTGCAGCGTCGATGAGGTTCTTCTGAGCGATGCTCGCTGGGTCCTCCTGCGTCACAAGGAAAGAAAGGACCGTGTGCACTCCGTCGAGAGCCTCGACCAACTGGTCTTTATCTTGATAGGTTGTGTTTTTCCAGGTTATTCCCAGGGCCGTCTTCTCAGTCGGTATATCCTGTACTATCATGTCAATTATCAATTCAGCTGCCCAGAAGAGTAGGGGTGTATTATGAACCTTTCTAGAAAAAATGACAATTTCGTGTCGCTGAGTAGCAACCAGAGCGTCAATAATCTCGTTGGCGACAGCTGTCTATACGTTAGCCAGTACCAGTCGCGGTGTAAAAGGAGTAATGCTCACTGCTGGATCCTCCAGCGATGGCAATCTTGACCATTTTGATATAATGAAGTTGAAGAATGTTTGAAGTGTATTCTCGACGGTTATTTTCACCTTTTAATGCGAGACTATCAATCTTGAAGCTGTTGCGAGCATGTAGTACTTTTATACATCCTTCCACCGAGCGTTCGGCCGAACATTTTGAACCGCCGATTAGGAATCATGATGCTATGACCGAGACTTCGGGTACCGCTATTAGTTAATGGTTGGAAATCACAGCTTGCAGGGTTATCTTTTGATCACGATATTCGGGCTCAAGGTAGAAATCGTGATGATAAAGCCGGCACCAAAATGTGTGAACAGTTTTCAAATTCTGCTTTATTAGGCGAAGACCTAGTCAGATACCATCTACCCTAATATTTCCGTGGTCGGTACCGAATCCACAGTTTACATACTGGTAATGAGACTTATTTTCTTTTTAAATTCGGCACAAAAAGTGCAAAAAATATTTTTTAAAAAAAAATGAGCCGTATACCCAACGCCACGGCTCTTCGTGCACATTGGCCGATAACTAGGAGCTCAAGTAGAGATCGCATCACCATATCCAGGCACCCGGCCTGCCATACCAGAACAGTGCTCAGGTGGAACCAATAAAACTGGGATATAACGGACCTCACATTCCAGTCAACATTCCTGTCGATGTCGTAGGTTACAAAAAGCTGTGGCCACTCCGAGTCCTACACTTCGAAGTCCGGATTCTGGCATTTTGTGGGGATTTACTGAGAAAGAGAGCCGATTTGATTTTCAAGATCCAACCCAACGCTGGGAATAATTGAAATTTCAATCGAAGTGATCCATGTGACGCGAAATAATGGCCAATAGGCCGTCGTTGCGGTTCAGTCGGGGTAAAAAGCTATATGTTGCCGAAAACGGAAGCGCACTGCTAATACCATGCATGTCCAGTCGGGAACACCCTAGAAAAACATGGCTCTGACAGGTGTGAAATGGTCATCTGTGATGGGATAGCATGAAAAAGGAAAATTTCAAACATTCAAGTGTGTTATTGTTTTTCTATCTTCTCGGTGTTTAACCCAGTCGCACACCAACAGTTCCGAGGTCGTTCAGAGCACAATGAAGTTCGCTTGAAATCCAGCGAGGGTAGATATTGAATCTACCGTTGTCACTGATATTTTTCCTCTAGCAAAAATAATTCGAGAATCGAGATCGCGATCGATCTCACTCTCTAACATTCCTCGGAGAAACACCACGCGTGCTGATCTCCTTGCTTGGCCCCCGCCTTGCTCTCTGGCCGCAAACAGCAATTCTGTCTCCGCCGCCTCACATTGTCATTATGGCATAACACACGATTAAATATTTGCCAGTGATCAAGTGGAAAATATGATTTTGAGTCAAATATTGAAAGTGGAAGTCTACGCATAGCCAATTGGCCAAATGTGATTGATGGTCGAGATGGAGAGGAGAGGAGAGGAGAGGAGAGAGAGAGCTAACCCTAACTTCAAGTTGGGCAAGTCAACCGCGCTTTCCTCGTCACTTCGCACATGCGGGTTTACTCGTACGAGAAATTCATCACGCGGCCATTAAACCTTCTGTTTCTGCCCGCCAATCCTCATTTCAATTTGTAAATCCTCTGTTGGCTGGTCGAAGCCTGACCCTCTTTTGCCCCCTCACCGCTGCGACTCTGCCTTCACTACAACCTCACCTGGGCACCTATGCAAAATAAAATACTTTCACAGAATGACCTCCCACCAAAGTTTTTCACTGTTTGAAGCGGTCGCTCCACCAGACGCTCTTTCACCATCCATAAAGGCATTGTTCCATTCATCGACCCCATACCCCAGAGTACCAGGACCCACCCTTGTCTGTTTGCGGCCGAGTTGTTTTCCTTTCCCGGGAGCTGTCAGGTACGCGTGGCCACTTCGTGAAGATAAGATCTACACATAGGTTGCCAAAGGTGTGTGATCTATCATTCCTGAGCAGCTTCGTCGCTTCCGTTCTCAGGCACCGAGCTGCCATTTCACCTGCATGCGGCCAAATCTAACCCTCAGTATCGAGATAGAGTTTACTTATACCGGTCGTTCTCCATGCCATTTGACACAATCATTCTTTCACTCCATTCCAGAAACCCAGCCTCCTATTTTCTGGGTTGAACTGTTAGTGTTAGATATATCGTCAGTATGTCATCCAGATTCTCGCAAAAGAGCCTTTTGGGGCTGTCCCTGGCAGCACTTGGCCTGGCCGTTCCTGCAGTGTGAGTTTACATAGCTTTAGCCTTGAAATATTCCAAAGGCAAAGCAAAATGAAAGTCCTTGGAGATCATGCAATCTGGAAACTAACTTGAAGCAGTGCCGATCCCGGATTTGCCTACGGAAATGACAAGGTTCGTGGTGTCAACCTCGGAGGCTGGCTGGTACTGGAGCCTTGGATCACCCCTTCCATCTTCGATAATGCTGGCGATGCCGCTGTTGATGAGTGGTCTTTGTGTGCGACACTAGGCGCGGACCAATGTCGATCTGTGCTTTCTCAGCACTGGGCATCCTTTGTGACTGCCGATGACTTCAACCAGATTGCCGCTGCCGGCATGAATCATGTCCGAATCCCCATTGGATACTGGGCATTGGCTCCTATCGAGGGTGACCCATATGTTGACGGTCAACTGGAGTACTTGGACGCTGCCGTGGGCTGGGCTCGTGGTGCCGGCCTCAGGGTTCTTGTCGATCTACACGGTGGTAAGTGGATACTCGGGTCGATGTTGTCCAACGATTATAACTGACAAAACTGTATTAGCTCCCGGATCCCAGAATGGGTTCGACAACAGTGGAAAGCGTGGTGCTATCCAGTGGCAGCAAGGTGATACCACCGAGCAAGCCAAGAATGCTCTGCGGGAGCTGGCGAAGCGCTATGCTGGTGATGTTGACGTTGTCACTGCCATCGAAGCTTTGAACGAGCCCAACGTTCCTGGAGGTATCAACGAGGATGGCCTCAAGCAATATTACTACGACGCCTGGGGTGTTGCTCGCGAATCTAGCCAAGATACCACTGTTGTGCTCCACGATGGATTCCTGCCCACCGAGTCGTGGAATGGTTTCCTGAACGTCGCCACCGGCGCCAATTATGTCATGATGGATACCCATCACTACGAAGTTTTCGACAGCGGACTGCTTGCTTTGGATGCCAGCGACCACGTCCGCACTGCTTGCAACTTTGTCAGCGACCACGTTGAGACTTGTGACAAGTGGACCATTGTTGGTGAATGGACTGGTGCCATGACCGACTGTGCCAAATACCTCAATGGAAAAGGCATCGGTTCTCGCTATGATGGAACTTACCCCGGTAGCAGCTCCATTGGTAGCTGTGACGGAAAGTCTGTCGGCACTGTCGACACCCTCTCTGGAGAGGAGCGAGACAACATCCGTCGCTTTATCGAGGGTCAGTTGGATGCCTATGAGAAGGGAAGCGGCTGGCTATACTGGACCTGGAAGACCGAGGGTGCCCCCGAGTGGGATATGCAGATGCAGATTGCTGGTGGTATCTTCCCTAACCCCGTTGTCGACCGCAAGTTCCCTGGCCAATGTTGATCGGCGAAATTTGACCTGCGTTGACCCCCTTTTCATTTTTCACATTGGCTTTTCTTTTTATCCCTTTAAATTGTCTTCTGGAGTTTCCCTTTCCGTGAAAGGGCCATATGGAGTTTGGTGTTTCGAGTCGCTAGGGGCAATGCTTTATCATTAAATAGGCTTCAATTCAACCTAGTTACCAATTTTTCTCAACTGATACTTTTCTACTCGTTTCCGTAGTCTTGAATGGATTCCATTTGATAAGCTCATAAACCGAACCTCATGTATAGCGTAGTGGCCATTCAGGGCCACGGAGGAGACTACAAGAAACTACCCTTGGCCAACTAGCCCTTTGTTTCTCATCCGTCATTTCAAGCAGAATTTTCAACATGCTCGCTGCTTTTTTCTTTCTGAAGCAGGTTACTCTTGAGACCCCCATTACCTCCCATTCCAAGCTGTTCACGGATTTCGGCAATCCTCCGCAGATCTCCCTCGCCGTCATTACCGCCAAATAGTTTGTCCATTTCTTCGATCGGTACCCCTGCTGATGATTAGTACCTTGCGATATCCAGGAATAGCAAGGACTTACCTTTCGTCTCAGGAACACAGAAGTACGTCCAAACTCCCAGAACAAGGCAGAAAACCAAGAAGAAGTAGAATGTACCAAAAGTAATGCTCTCCAGCATGCGCGGAGTGATCAATGCAACGATAAAATTGGAAAGGTAGTTGAATGCGATTGCAAGTCCAACGGCCTTACCTCGGATCGCAGGTGGGAACATTTCAGAAGGCATGATCCAATTAACACAGGCGATGGAAAAGGCGAATGTGCCAATATACACCCACACAAATACGCAGGCGGTCCAACCTGCGGAAGGATGCGAGCTAAAGGTGTCTTTGTACACGGCGTACAAAGTAGCTACGGTTAATTGCGCGATAGACATTCCGGTGGCACCATACATCAATGTCTTCCTTCGGCCCCATCTGTCCAGATACATGACCGCGGGGATGGTAGAAAGGAAGAAGACAATACCCACAACTCCTGTGGCTAGGAGGTTGACCGAGTTTCCGCTGAGTCCGATTGCTTCAAAGAATTGAGGTGCGTAGTAAATTATAGCATCTATCAATTTGATAAAGTTATTAGCACGCTCGTTGTCTTTGCTCTCTCAATAGAGCAACCTACTGATGCCCGTAAATTGTTGAATCACTTGTAAAAGACATGCAACCATAGTTCTCCTTCTCAGATGAGGTGCGACGAAGAGTTCCTTGTATTCTTGCAGCGCAACAAGAAATCGGGATGAGTCTTTGCCATACTTCTCGTCTTTAGTTTGTTGGTCAAACATGCGGGCTGCTTTGATCTCGAGGAACTCTGTTTGTAAACGATGGTCTGTCTCGGGGACGCGTCGCAGCTTTACTAAGGTATGTAGCGCTTCATCTTCACGGCCTAGAGAGAGATTAGTATCTCATAGTTTTTGTTTCGCAATAAATCGTACCCTGATTCATCAACCATCGTGGACTATATGGCAAAAAAAATGTGCCGGTTGCAAGAATTATAGATGGAAAGCACTGGAGCGCAAGTGGAAGTCTCCAAGCAGCCTGGCTTTGACCAACACCCGTGCCCCCAATATATTGAGTTCCATAGTTGATCCAAAAGCTTGTCATGATACCAAATGTGATAGATAGCTGCTGCAACGCCACCAGAGATCCTCGAATATTTGGAGGCGCAAGCTCAGAAAGGTAAAGCGGACAAACCATTGCCAACATACCAACACCCACGCCGAAGATGAATCGGCCAACAAATAACATGGCAACATTCTCTGCTGCAGCCTGTATCGCGGAACCGATCAGAAAGATTATATTCGCGATCAAAATTGACCAACGTCTAGAGAAGCGGTCCGATATGGGCCCGTTGATGAAGGCGCCAACCATAGCACCGAGTGTCATAATCGAAACGACCCATCCTTCGAGGGCGGCGTCGGAGGAAAGATTGGGAAAATGAGTTTTCTAGGCGTATATTAGAGTCGATGCGTTCAGCTTATTGATCACAACTCACAAAGCTATGCATGACCAGCACGCCGGAAATGATTCCTTGGTCGTAGCCGAAGAGAAAGCCTCCAATCGTGGCAAAACATGCCAGACCAAAGATTCGGATCTCTTTGAGAAATCCCTTGTATCCGGCTGGTCCATATTCGATAGCATGATTACCAGCCATCGCTGAATCAGCGACAACTCCTGGCATTGCTTCCTGGGTATAAATGGTAAATTGTTTTCGCTAGTCAGGTTTATTGCGCACCGGTGGGGATTTGATTATTTGGTCAGATCCTTGCAGATCTTGAAACTCAGAGCCGGGGATATGGCTCCTTTTAAGGGATTGGGCACGGAAGACCTTCGATGATCGATGACTGGGTCAACCCCAGATTTCGTTCCCCAGGTCCACTTAGGATGTACTCTCCATTTGGAAGAATCGACTGAAAACAAGGATTGGTAGGTATCGAATCATACCATCACATCACCCGCAAACTAGGGTGACAGAACCCCGATCTGCATAACCTCGGCGAGGACGGTCATTCGCCATGTCGGGTTTACAGCAAGTCGACACCCCACTTCCCCATGGGGGTTTGGCCTTGCTTTGAAGAAGTCTACAGGGCGACAGAGTCCCGTAAAGAGGCAATGACCTAAGAATTTTAAGTCATCTGAGAATATAAAGCTCTTCGCTTCTACATGATCCGACTTTCTCGTCTTTTTGCTAGCGAAATGGAAAGCTATCCATTAGCCTTTAGCAAAATTAGACTCTATGGACATGCAGTTGATCATGGATATGAACATTTGAACGATATTTTCAGGTTGTTTATTTCACCGAAGACAAGAAGCTAGTTTTGAAGGTTGACAACTATTCGACTCTGGCAAACCTTACTCGACTTCTACAGTTCAGAGAATCAGACTGCAAGTATGTTGGATATCCTGTCGGGTGTCCAGGGGTTGGGGAAGGCAATACGAACATTCCTGAAAATTTGCATCACTGGTATCTTCCGATAGATTTAGATAGATAGCCTTCAACAAGAGATAATAGTAAGACCAGTCCCTCACTCGGAGTTCCTCCCGAACCAACATTACAGCCACCGCGGGAAAATCCACCCAAATGCGAACCGGATGAGAAAGTAGGTCCGCGTTTCGGCAAATTTGCCTTCCTTATAGTCTCCACTTCGCATGATCTACCCTTTCGGTATTGGTGGCGTGTCCGTCATGATATCGGAACAACTGCGATCGTCCCGCCCCGCACCCCACGAGGGGAAAGAATTCATGGTGCCACTCCTCAATCCTGAATTCATCGGCCTGTGAACATGAGCGAAACGGTCAAGTCGCATGCGTGCAAAGAGTGTCGTCGGAGAAAGGCCCGGGTAAGTGCAAGTCATCTCACCCCGGGACAAGAATTGATAATAGCTTCTAGTGCTCACGCGAACTACCTGTGTGCGCGCAATGCCTCCAATGGCGCCGACATTGCTTATATGAGAGGCCGACGCGCAGTCCCTTGACGCGCAAGTATGTACATGTAGCCTCTATAGCTCAAGCTCGAGGCATTTGGATCTGTGAACTGACGGGGTGCAGATACTTGACCGAAGTCGAAGAATCCCTCCGCATCGCGACTCAAATAATCCGCGACCATGGCCTCGACGTTGATTTGGATGCCGAGCTGGCGAAAGCGAGAAACGGAGCAAACCAGGAACACGACCAGTCCAATATAAAGAGCGAGGATACTGCGCCGTCCGGAAGTTTGAAAAGGCCCCGGGTCGCATCGGAGGAACCTACCCAAGGCCATAACAGATCGCCCGATTACACCCAAACTGAACCTACGATATTTGAGCCTGGTCTTGAAATACTCATATCCGACAGCAACATTGAGGAGTCTCTCTCCACTGACATTCATCCGGTAGCCGCTGCAGATAACCCCGTAGTGAATGGGGCTGATTACGACTGGGATGAACGAGACACCGAAGCACAGAGCTGCCTCGACGGCATGGCCGCACTTTCGATCGAAGAAGAACGCCCAGGGTATCTTGGACTAGCATCTGGGGCGGCCCTTCTACGCCTCATTCAAAGCCACTTCTCGTTTCCCTTCTCATCTGTCCCACCACCGCCGAAGACATCCACACCGAGCAGCGAGTCATCACAAAGGCTAGCCCGCAGCGAAGTTCCTTCTCATAAAATCGAATCATATATCACAAGCTACTTCAAGGAATACCATACAAATTATCCATTGGTTCATCAAGGATTATTCATGGCTCAGTTCCATGAGATCGTGCCCCGGCCCAAACACAGCAAGATCTTGATCTACATCGTTGCAGCCATCGGCGCCTTCATGTCCGCCACGGCTTCTAACGATGATGACCTTATCCTCTATCAATGTGCGCGGTCGCATCTCTCTGTTGAGATACTTGAAGTCGGCAGCTTGACCTTGGTGCAGAGTCTATGCTTGATCTCGAACTACCTACAGAAGCGCGACCGTCCCAACTCGAGTCACAATTACCTCGGATTAGCGGTTCGCATGGCCTACGGACTGGGTCTTCATAAAGACCACCCTAGCGTGGGAGGAAACCTATTATATCGTGAAATTCGTCGGCGAACTTGGTGGTGTCTTTTTATCTTCGACGCAGGCTCGACTATAACATTCAGTCGCCCTCTAGCAATCCCTTCTGCCGGAATCGACACAAAGCTACCTCTCAATATTATAGAGAGCGAACTGACAGCCTCTGCAAAGGTTGCCCCTGTAAACCTTGACGTCCCAACTATCTACACAAACGTCCGCGTCCAGTCACAGTTTCACCTCCTGACAAACCACATCTACAACCGCGTTATATCCAAACCTTCACCAACGGCCAAACAAGTCCTCGAATGGGACGACTTCTACATAGCCAAATGGTTGAACCTCGTACCAGATTATTACAAGGAATCAGCAACAGTTCCTGAAAAACACCAGTTTCCCCACGCCATCATGACCTGGCGATACAAACACTTCCGCCTCATAATCTACAGACCATTCTTCATCCAAAAAGCTCTCCAGATAAACCAGCAACAAACAGCCTCACTCGCCGGAATTTCAATCCCAATCCCGGAACTTGAACCCTCGCCAGACCAGCCATACATCGACAAAGCCTGCGAGCGATGTCTGAAAGAGTCACACAAAACCATCATCAGCATAGACAATTTCTGGAGTACCGCAGTCCACACACGCATGGCTTGCTGGTACGCATTATATTTCTTGTTCTCGGCAACCCTGGTCCCTGTAATACTCCTGCACAATGAGCCACAGTCTCCGCACTCGGAAGGCTGGCAGGAAGATATCGACAAAGCGATTGCGATTATAAAGAGTATGGTTGAGTTGAGCCCGTTTGCCAGTCGCTGTTTTGAGACGCTGGAGAGGTTGCGAGATGGATTTTCAAGTCCAGTGCTTGCAGAGCTGGGCTCTATGGTACCGGAAATGCCTTCTTTCTCGGATCCGGTCGGCCAGGAATCGTTCGCTCAGATGTTTTCTGGTAATAATGGGTGGTTTGAGGGGCCGGAGGTGTATTTTGAGGAGCAAATGTGGTAAGTTTGTGATTTTGCGATTAGTGCTGTTAAGCACTAGTAACTACTTCATACTTGGCAACGCGATGCTGATTTGTTTTCTAGGAGCAATGACCAGCTTTTCTTTTCAGAATTTCCCCCGGGTACGACGCCTTAGATGAATGAGGTGACACCACAGTATATTATATGATTTTATGACACGAGTTCGAATGCTGTACAATTCCAGCTTTATGATGAACGGATAATCTAAATGCATTGGAGAGGGTATGTAAAAATGAACTCTAAAATAATGAAGAGAAAAAGGAAACTCCCAGAATGCATGACATAACATCACCCAGCTCCCTACGTATCAATGCTCTTTTTAAATCAGACCCAACCCACCAAAAGCCGACACCACATCCGAATCAACATTGACCAACCACTCTTCCTGGAACCGCTGCGCACCACCACAGGCAGCAATAACTTCCTGCAGGCGATGACGCACGAAGTCGCGGATTGGGAAGCGATGGGTGGCATCTGAGTCATTCCATTCGCGGCGGCGACGGTCTTCGGCATTCTCAACGCCCGAGCTTTCAGCCTGGGCTGTCTCGGAACCTGCGGGCGCGTTCCAGCAGACTAAGTAATCGGCGTTCTCGTCGGTTCCGCCTTCCGCTAGCTCAACGACAAGCGCGTTCCAGACGGTGAGATAGTCTTGTAAGAACTTTAGGATGAAAGGGGGCGGGGCAGAGGCGGGGCCCTTCAGGGCGAGGAGTTGGGTCAAGGCGAGGACGTGGAGCTTCTTCTGGCTGGCGGATGCGATGTTGTCGTAGTGGAAGAACCACTCTGTAAGGAGCCAGGTGAATAATTCCTCTTCAGCCTGGTAGGTCGCAGCCGTTGCGGCGGATGCAAATAGTGTAGGATTAGCGAGAGCAAGACGAGCAATAGAGGAAAAGTATTCCGTTTCGACCTTGCCATCCACATCGGACCTCTTCCTGTTAGGTCCGGTGGTCTGGCTAGCTTCGTGGGCACTGTATAGGCCTTTAAGAAGGGATTGAAGCATGTTTGTTTCGAGAAGAGACTGGGCAATTGCATTATAGGCGGTCTCGCTTCCACCATCAACTGTCTCCACGCCACGAATGAGTCTTTCGACAAGACGAGGTATAACGCCAGATCGCTGTTTCGTCATGGGCTCGAGAAGGCCATGAAGACAGTATAAAAGCTTCGATCGGATTTCGTCGCTGAGGAGAGTTTGCGGTGAAAGCAGGACGTAGGATTCCACGATTTCGAGAGCTTGACCCACGCTGTCTGTGCCATCTCCCAGAATCGGGAAGAGGGCAGGGAAGAGCGAGAGGATCTCGGGAGAAGGCGGCGACGTTGTTTGCATCATTACAGCCGCCCAGAGCTCTAATGCTTCATCCATTAGGTATATATAGGTTTCCTGCAGTCTGAGAGTTAGAATTGAATCAAACAACCGTAATCTTTTAAAGACGTAGGCACTTACGGAACCTGTATCAATGGAGCTTTGTATTAGAGGAAGAATCATTGGGTGGTATCGCACGGATTCTTGGTTCATGGAATGGATGAGAGATGTAAGGAGAGTAAGAATCGCCTGTTTCAAGAGATGTTCTTCGCCGGACTTCTCCCATTCCTGTGGGAGGGGCGAGAGGATACTATCGGATAGCACCACAACCTAGACCGAGTGATGTTAGTGTTGTCCAAATTTGTGGATGGGAAGTAGCTTACATGTTGTTCCATTTTGACGACGATGACCCGCACCGACTCCAGCAATGCCATCTTCGTATCAGATAATTCGACCTCCTGCATGAGCGACATGAGACTCGCGAGGATCGGCTGGGCAAACGGCAAGAATGTCTCAACCTTGAAATCGAATGTATCAAGGATGTTGCATAGCTGACGTCCTGCAGTGATGCGGACGACCAGGTCATTCAAGGGATCGTCTTTGTTGAGCAAGTGTTGGAAGATCTGGTAGACAGACTCCATATTCATATCGGCGAACTTGATGGGCACCCATTGGCCAAGGACAAGAGCTATCCGCCTTCTAAGAAGTCGATATTCCTGCTCTTGAATCTGGACTTCGGGAATCATGGTGTTTTGGAGGAACGCATTGATGTCTAGATGCTGTTCTAGACTGGCAGCTGCCAAACCGATGGCAGAATACAACGATTCCTTCAGCATGACGTTCTTATTTTCGGTAGCTGGAGACTTGATCAGTATACTTCACGTAATATGTTTGCCAATCAAATACTCACTGGCGAAGGATTGGAACACATTCAATAGAGGGCTAATGAGCCAGTCTTTGAAATGAGTGACGAGGTCAAGGAAGAGCTTCTCTGAGCAAGAATGGACGGAATACTCCCAAGCATCGGCATCAACTTCCCGCTTCTCCCAGGATTCCGGGTCTTCTTCCCATTCTTGAAAATCGACGTTTCTTAGGCGGAACAAGTGAGTAACAATGAGCTCCATGACGCTGACCACGAACTCTTGGGTGAATAGCTGAGACTTGATTTTGTCCACAGATTCTTTTCGCTCCGCCTTATCTTCCGGGGTCTGATATTTGAAGGTCTGAGCTGGGTTGAAGGCCATCTTGGAACACGCCCGGATCAAAAGGAGAGCCCGCAGGGCAGTTTTTTCGGGTAGTGATTGCCCGTCAGCTTCAGCATCAGATCCAAGGTTGACATAGTTCGGGCTTAACTTGACAACAAACGCCCAGTAGGCATTGACAAGGGCGATTGAGTTAGAAAACAAAGCGAAGGATGCAGGCTTATTCTTTGCCATCTCCACGTGCAGTTTCGATAGTTGCAGAACGTGCTTCTCGACCATCGTATGAACTGATTCGGGCAGTCGACCCGGCTGGTCAACAAACGCCAAGAATTTGGAGAGATGCTCGTTCGTCAACTCCCAGAAGTGTTGCACGTCCTGATCGCGACCAGGGTGCTCAAATCCCGAGATCATTAGGCGACGAAGGACCTTCAGGGAAATGAGACTCTGTTCGGTGATCTCTAAGAGCGCCCCCTCATCCGATCGTCCGTGCTCCAAAATCCCTGCCCATTGGTTCACCTTGTCCATGTAGATTTTCCCCACGACTTGAAATATCTCAGGTGTAACGGAAGCGAGGTGGGTTCGGGTTCTCTGGATACGGGCAGTTGATAGCTCTTTGATGACTTGTAGGAGGATAAGGAGAGTCCGAGGAAGCTGGAGTGGGTTCGCACCGGCTTGGAATACGTGACGAAGGGAGTTGATGATAGCGGTCATCGCATCGGGCCTATGAGGGAAATGTGAGCAAATAACTGTAGGAACAGTAGATTGCGATCGTGGAGATAGATCATACCAGTCTTGCGGAAATTCATAGCGCATGATCTTGGCGATCATCAACGCATTTTGAAGAGCGAGCGGGCGAGATGGCTCAACAATGCCAGCATCCAGAGCTCTCGTCTTGATCTTCTGCTTTTCTTCCGGTTCGATTGCACTGTTGTCCGAGTCAGCGTTGGTCTCGCGTTCCGGTTGTTCTGAAACATACTTTGCCGCCGTTCTGCGCCAGTACTTGTCGATTCCGTTCTTTAGTTGAATGATGGAGAGATATCGGACTTCGTTAGGGGCGGAATGGTCCAAAAATACATCCTATCGTATATCAAATATCAGCCCTGTACATGGCATGTCCCAAAGTATGTTCCACCGACCTGGAGAAAGGCATGGTATGCGGGGATCCGCTCCCAATTCTGTAGCTGCTTGGTTCCCGTCTGGACCTGCTGCTGACTTGAGCTTGAAGCCAAAACCAAAGAGTTCACAACATTCTGTAGACTCAATGGGTTGGACTCCCCCGGTACCTCGATCGAGACTGTTTTGACCATGGCGAAGGTATATTTCCTGGAATCACTTAAGGTGCTCGGCCCTGCACCAGGATGTCGGATTCGACGAGGTTATCAAGCTTTTAGCTATGGCACCTCGGCAGAGTCGATCGAGAATAGCAACGAGACGCGTCGCGATTGTCAACAGATGTCTTCATTCATCCCGCCGCTTCAGCTCCCCTCATTGCGGGGTATCGTTATTCCGGCCCGCCTCCGAGCCCTAGGGCTGGACCCTATAAAGTGGCCAAATTGGGAATCTTCAAGTTAGGGCATTGAGTGGAGCCAATGAAGTCACGTCTATCATCAATGTGAGTTCCCTGCTCGATTTCCTGATATCTAACAGGTCCCGCTCCACCGGAGAGGCTCTGCCCAAGCATCCCTTCAAATTTTGACTAAAGAAACTAGCGGGACCAAGTACAGGGGAGCCCAGTCGAGCCGTGGGTATGGGCTAACCTGAACCCTCCAATTGAGGAGCAGTACATGGAACGCAAGCTATCGTATACATCATAGCTGCCAACTTTGACCAAACAAGATCTTGGAGGCCATGATCGCATCCTTCTCATTGGCGGGTTCTCTTAAAAAGAGCATTACAGGTATATGATGTATATCCGTGATGCAAACTTGTAGCTCCATCCAAATTATCAGAATACTACCAGTAGTATTGATACTCGGATGATATCAGACTATAGAGTTGTGCATTATATATTTCAAGGCCTTACCTCCAAGTCTGGCTGAAACAAGTATTCTGTTCAGAACATTAATCAAACATTTTCGAGTGCATCCTACCAGTTTTATAAAGCTCAAACTATGTCTACCTCCAACGAAGACAACCTCCGCATCGCCCATGAGGCAGAGAAAGACCTCAACTCCTACCAGGCTAAGCAGGGTCTTGGCCCCAAGAGTGATTCAGGTATGTCGCAAGACTTGTTTTTCTATTGGAATGAGACTCAATGGACGCTAACAATTTGATAGCACAAGAGTCCGGCGTCAATGAGTTAGTTGAGAAGCGCTTCCCAGAAGCTGGAAATGTCAAGTATGGTCCTGGCGCCACCGCCTCTGGTAGCGACCACCGAAAGATCCCCGAAGATGAGGGCGGTACCCGTGATGACCGTGGCAGGTGAGTTTTTTTTTCTGCCCATTCGACTCTTCGAATACTATCGTTCGTTGGATATGCTGGAGACTAACGATTATTTGTCTAGACTTGCCCAAGCAAAGGATTTCCAGGGCAAGGGTGGCCCTGAGGACAGCGTCAAGATCGAGTCCGAGCGTCGCCCTGGCGACCAAGAAGTCCCTAATCTTCAGGATCTGAAGCGCCGTGGTGTTGCGCAATAAAATTGTACACTACGATTCGGACATCCTGACGATATGTATTTTACGACTAGCCTTTAAGCATCGATAATGTTCAGTCCATTTGCCATTTGGCTACAGTACAAAAGTACAACATCCCAGAAGTTTCTGAGGGGTTCTGATTGCGGGGCACGGGGGTCCATCAAGCCCAACGCTCTTTCGCCACTTGTGTAGGAAAAGTTTACTTACGTTTGGGTAGATTGAATAGATTGACATGGCAACCAGCCTGACCGCTAGTGGATTTGTCCTGCAAGCCTCTGTATAAGTCTTAAGGTCCTAAAATTCAGTTTGAGCATATTTAAAAGCCTGACAGCCAGCGACTGGTATCTCCTCGAGAAGTGATGGATCAATTGGTGGGATCGGCGTGCATGTCTAGGTGGTAGCCCGAGGCGGAGAGGGGACGGGCACAGGCTGCATAAGCCATGCAATGCAGGCTAGAGGTCATTCCGGGCCAGGCTGACGTGTGTAGAGATGGCTGTCTCTGGAACGACCATCAGTTGAGTTCGTAGTAAGCAACTTAATACTAACGAATTCAGTAAGTTATGCTGTACTAGGCATATTCTAAGAATATTCTAACAATATTCCACCCTAACAGTACCTGAGACTATCGCTTATCGTCTTCGAATGGCGTGATCCGACTCCGTGATCGGCGGGCTGTTCTGGTGGGGTGTAATCAATTGCCAATTAACTGGTAATCCCTGGTATTGTACCGGTATCTGTACTACCCCGTGCACCGGCCATACCGCTATTTGCTGGGTATTCTCTGGGTACTCTCCAGCACATCCCCCACTTTTCTTCTCCAGTGCTGGTCAATGCTAGTCAGTGCTGGCGCAAGTGATCCCCGGTCTGTACAGCCCAATACCCTCCGTACGGAATCCCACAGCTGCCCCTCTATCCCGTTGGGGTTAGTCCCTCTTGCTTCCCCCTCCATTTTTCTTCCTACTTCACCCTCTTCTTCCCCCCCCTTCTTCCTTCTTCCTCTTCTTTTCTTCAAGAGGCATTGGGTTTTTTTTTCATCTTCTTCCTTGCTAAGACCCCGCCTATTCCTTTCTTTCCCCCCTTCAACTTCACACACATCCGTCAGAATGGTTCAATCGTATGTTTACCATCCGAATCCCCTATCCCCATCTTCCATCGAATTCTGTTTGACTGACCTCTTCTTCTAGCGCCGTTCTCGGTTTCCCCCGTATGGGTAGACTTCGTGACCTGAAGAAGGCCACTGAAGCTTACTGGGGTGGCAAGATCTCCCGCGATGACCTCCTCGCTGAGGGTAAGCGTCTCCGTGCTGAGCACTGGAAGATCCAGCAGGCTGCTGGTGTCGATTCCATCCCCTCCAACGACTTTGCCTTCTACGATCAGTTCCTCGACCACTCCCAGCTCTTTGGTGTGATCCCCCAGCGTTACAGCCAGCACAAGCTGGACCCTCTCGATGAGTACTTCGCCATGGGCCGTGGTCACCAGAAGGATGGTGTCGATGTCCCCGCTCTGGAGATGGTCAAGTGGTTTGACTCCAACTACCACATTGTCAAGCCCGCTGTCCAGGAGAACCAGCAGTTCAAGCTGAACGCCAACCCCAAGCCCGTTGTTGAGTTCAAGGAGGCCCTTGCGCTTGGTATCAAGACCACCCCCGTCGTTGTCGGTCCCGTTACTTTCCTGGCTCTCGCCAAGGCCGACCGTGGCCAGAACGTTGACCCCATTGACCTCCTCCCCGCTCTTCTGCCCCTCTACGTCGACCTCCTGGCTCAGCTCAAGGCTGCCGGTGCGGAGAAGATTCAATTGGACGAGCCTGTTCTTGTCCTGGATCTGGCTGAGAAGGTGAAGGCTGCTTTCAAGCCCGCCTACGATGTTCTTGGCAACCTCGGCGCCAAGGCCCCCAAGATCACCCTTGCCACCTACTTCGGAGACATCGTCCACAACATTCAGGTTCTGAAGGACGTCCAGAACGTCGATGCTATCCACGTCGACCTCGTCCGCAACCCCGAGCAGCTCGACACCGTTGTCGCTGCCCTGGGCCCCAACCAGACTCTGTCCGCCGGTGTTGTAGATGGCCGCAATATCTGGAAGGTGTCATATAAGAACGCCCTAGAGATCGTGGAAAAGGCCATTCAGAAGCTCGGAAACGAGCGCGTGCGTGTGGCCACTAGTAGCTCGCTCCTTCACACTCCTCACACACTGGAGAGCGAGAAGAAGCTTGATCCCGAGGTCCGTGACTGGTTCAGCTTCGCTAGCGAGAAGGTCAAGGAAGTTGTTGTCATCGCCAAGGCTATCACCGAGGGCCCTGCGTCCGTTGCCGCTGAGTTGGAAGCCAACGCCGCCTCTATGAAGAGCCGCGCTACATCTACCCGGACAAATGACCCCGCTGTCAAGGCCAGACAGTCCAAGGTCACCGAGGCTGACCACAACCGCAAGTCTGACTTTGCTACCCGCATTGCTCTGCAGACAAAGGACATCAAGCTCCCTCTCTTCCCCACCACCACTATTGGTTCTTTCCCCCAGACCCAGGAGATCCGTATCCAGCGCAACAAGTTCACCAAGGGTGAGATCACTGCTCAGGAGTACGAGAAGTTCATCGAGAAGGAGATCGAGCACGTTGTCAAGCTCCAGGAGGACCTTGACCTGGACGTCCTGGTCCACGGTGAGCCCGAGCGTAACGACATGGTGCAATACTTTGGTGAGAGACTCCAGGGTTACGTTTTCACCACTCATGCTTGGGTTCAGAGCTACGGTTCCCGCTGCGTGAGACCTCCTATCGTTGTCGGTGACATCAGCCGCCCGGCTCCCATGACTGTGAAGGAGAGTGCCTATGCTGTCTCTCTCACCAAGAAGCCCATGAAGGGTATGCTCACTGGTCCTATCACCTGCCTTCGGTGGTCTTTCCCCCGTGACGATGTCCACCAGAGCGTCCAGGCTCAGCAGCTTGCTCTGGCCCTGCGTGATGAGGTTATCGATCTCGCCAACGCCGGTGTTAAGGTCATCCAGGTCGACGAGCCTGCCCTTCGTGAGGGTCTTCCTCTGCGCACTGGCCCTGCTCGCGAGGCTTACATTAAGTGGGCCGTGAATGCATTCAAGCTGGCCACTGCCGGTGTTGAGGATAACATTCAAATCCACTCTCACTTCTGCTACTCCGAGTTCCAGGACTTCTTCCACGCCATTGCTGCCCTCGATACCGATGTTCTGTCCATCGAGAACAGCAAGTCCGATGCTAAGCTGCTCAAGGTCTTCCTTGACCAGAGCTTCGACGCTCACATCGGCCCCGGTGTTTACGACATCCACTCCCCTCGTATCCCCACTGAGGAGGAGATCAAGGAGCGTATTGAGCAGATGCTCCAGTTCCTCAAGCCCGAGCAGCTCTGGATCAACCCTGACTGTGGCCTGAAGACCAGAACCGAGGCTCAGACCATCGGCCAACTGAAGTCGCTCGTGGCTGCCGCCAAGTTCTACCGTCAGAAGTACGCCCAGTAAATCTGAGCGGTACAAACCATTTTCCTTGTTTCATTTCCCATAATGTGTTAATTGGATGGGGCGGCATATTTCAACCCGCCGCCCCTGGCACGGGAAGTTTTGTTTTATGACGATTACGAAGATGATACCAAAAGTTCAACATTCGGTTTCAAACGGGTTTTGCGGATTAGAGGGCACCAAAAGCGGGTTTACGGAGTTTCAACATAACTAACGATTTCAACATGGGTGCCGCCTATTAGGTGCCGAATCTTTCAACAATTTGATTCTCTCGTCCTTGTGAAGCAGTTGCTATCACTTGGACCTGGAGAATGAGAACTTTGTTCTATTGTAGAATCAGCTGTGAATAATATTTCGAGCTTCATGCTACATCAACATGTTCCTTTCCACACGTAAACAGTACATCGTAGTTAGAAATCCCCGCCCCCAAGCAGTCTGGCAGTTTCCGCTGGGTATTTGTCTCCTCCATTCAATTCGGTCTTGCGTTGTGCTGACCTTTTTGGCGAACGGAGTTTCCTTTGGTCCTCTGTCGCCCTCTTGTATTTGGCTTTTCTTGCTGATCGAGGCTTTTCCCAGACGTAGTATCAATTGCTCAATGGCTACAATCAGTCAGCTTCAACCACTGCTAAGAAGCTTGATGAAAGTTACGCGTACGAATATTACGGATGTATCAATTGAGGTGACTTTGTGTCCGACACTCTGATGATTGGCGGTGCTACGGTGAATGACATGAAAATGGGGATTGTCACAGGAAAGCCCCATGGCACGAGTAAGTGGGATAACCAAGACTGCAAGAAATATCCATGTCCCGTCGAGTCACATCACTAATCTCAATCTATTCTGATAGACCTAATGAATCTGGGATACGGAAATAAGTCTCCCACCTCGTTGGCACAAGCACTAGCCAATGCCGGCGCCATCAATTCTCCTGCTTTCAGTCTTTGGTCCGATAATATACTGCTCGGCGGTATTGACAACCTTGGAAATCAAAGTATAATGGCTCCTTGCAAGCCTTTCCCATCGTTGATGTCTCCCATCTCTCAAAGTCCTTTCGTATCAACATGGATGGCTGCTCGGCCAATGGGTCCAGCCAGGCCTCGGACAAGTTCCCACTTGACGCTCTTTTAGACACCTCCTGGTTTGTGACATACGTGCCCAAGTTGGTGGCAGAGGCCTTGTGGTCACAGCTAGGCAATGTATCTGCCCCGGATGAATGGGACGAGTGAACTTGACCTGCAGTTCAGTCAGCGAGAGCGCAACCATCGGATTAGCCAGGTTTACTCGGTATTTGACCTTGAGAATGACCAAATCTCACTAGCAAAGCGAAATAAGGACGTTGCTCCGGATGACATTGTTGAGATTTCATCGGGCAAGGATGGTGTTACTGGAGCGAAGGGCTCGGCCGGTCCACACGTTGGAGGAGATTTGAGCATGACTGCCTTGGTAGCTGCTACCGCTATGCTGATAATGGCCTTTTAATATCTGTATCTTCCTTCGATCATTCCAGCGAAGATGTTGGCCCTACGACCTAATTGAAATTTGAATGCATGAATGAGTGATCTCATCCATTATTACTATTACTATTGCAGCTGCCATGTAGTAGAATGCGCTAATTTCGCATTGAATGAACTCCTATGAACCATGATTCCACGTACTAGGATGGGAACCCCATACCCCATGAGATGCAAGGTAATTCCTCACATCCAAGAGCACCAGGGCACAACAGCTCCTCTTCCAGCAACCTGTTTCTCGCCGAACTTGTCAACATACCACTTCCGTCCCCATCGTGCATGAGGCAGCATATTAGCAACTGCGTTGATGAGAAACACAATCGCTGGCAAAGGTAGCGGTAGTCCGAATCGATCCGTCACAGAGGCAAACGGTATCAACCAAGGGGCTAACATAAACGGGGGTGAAACGGTGGTGGCAGCAGCAGCACTGCTAAGCTTGGTGGACGCAGAAAGAGGATAAACTGCAAGTCCAGCAATGGCAAACCCCGTCCACTCGAGCCACTCGAAGACGTAATGCGGGTACAGAATGGAGCAGAAGATTCCCTGCGTGGGAGGAATCACGTAGACTTTGTTGTACTTGTTACCACAATTTGCAGAAGCAGGTGGGCCGGAGTCCAACTTCTTTGCGAAACTTTGCTCGACCTTGGATCGTCTCATGCGGAAAAGAGAGGTCTCGGAGTAGATATTGCCAGCCATCCCAACAGCAAATAGCGCCGTTCCGAGGAAAGGCAGCGCCGCTATCCACGAAGACGAAGAAGAAGAGTGAAATGTCTCCGCTCCATTGGTCACGAATCCTGGAATGAAAATCTCATGGCCACGAATCCAGCCAATTAGACAAGCTGAGTTGAACCAGTTGAACAAGACTGCAATGGACACGACGAACAGGTGCATGGGCGACATGCTCGGCGCCGAGAAAAAGGGCGAAATGACAGCGCGGTTAGCATAATGGATGCAGTAGAGTGCCGCCACTAGCTGGTTAGCCGCAGGAAGCTCAGAGAATGATGGCGATGCTGAGATGCCGAGGTTGTAGATCAAGTTAAGGGGACCGGCAATCTCCATCAGGAACCATCCGATGCGACCGGGCATGTTGAAAATGGAGTTTTGTATGGAGGTTTTGCCTGCTGGGTGCCATGAAATCATCCATGGTATGATGCAGACCTAGGAAGGGGGTTTAGCTGAAGGGCTCTCGAGGACTGTTTTTTCGGGATTGCCTTTATTTACATACCACTGGGAAGTATTGAAAGACCGTGAGAGCGAAGTGATAACCCACTGGAGAGACGGGATAGAACTCTGCCATTTCAGGCAGAATGGCCTGGGCGGTTGAGAGGGCTGCGCCCATGATATACGAATATATTTTTGAAGAGTGTCAAGGGGGAGAAATACGGCAGGGAGTACGACTTTTAATGAAGGATCGAGAGAAGGTGGTCCGGTGATGTAACAATAAAGACCCGATGTGGTAGGCGGTCAGGGATAAGCTTTGGCATGCATTTCGGCAGTTGCAAAGAGTTCGACAATCCCTGCAGGCTGCATTCTAGTGGAACTTAACTATACGCAGATTCAACTTCGAAAAGGAGAGAATGAATTGGAGGGTTTTCATGCTGCTCTGCTTAATCTTTAATCTGCCCTCGTGTCCATCTCTTCTTTCGCAGCCCTGCTTATACCTCTACGCTCGTTGATGAATGCATCGATCTTGGCCTTGAGCTCAGTATCTAGAAAATGTTAGATGGGCGCAGAGTAGATGAAGTTGGGTAGACATAGTGAATCTTACCGGGTATAACATCCTCCATCTTTAGTGGCACACGGTTGAACGGATCGTGAGGGTCACTGAGCAAGTGCGAGCGGATGGTAGAACGATCGATTGATGTCCGCGAGTTGGGCAGGATAACTGGGTCTTCCATCAGGGTATACATGAGAGGATCTAAAGAAAATTAGTAAATTCCCATCAGACATTGAATACGGTGCCAACTTACCCAGGAAATCGTCAGGGATCTCGCCGAGATCTTCCTCCGCCTGGTCATCCTCTGCCTTGGCTACTTGAACCTTCTGCTGTAATTGACCCCAGCGGTGCATCTCATCTTCTCCCTTCAGCGACCACTTTCGCATAATCTCGGCCGCCTTTTCGAAATTGGCAGGCTTGTAGGACCGGCCGTCCCGAGCGACAGCAACAATGAAGTTCTGTTTTGCCATCAGATTGAGATACACATCGGTGATCTCGCTGAGTAGTGCTCGGGGGTTAAATCCATATTCTGAGAGGTTGTCAACACGCAGGGTGGAGCTTTTGGGTCCGACCATGGCGTCGAGGTTATAATCAAGCATATCGGCCAAGCGTTGAACGATTTCGGGCATTGTAAATGAGTCTGCCAGAGCCTCGGTGAAGAGCTTCAGCATCGCTACAGTCTCATTCGTCAACTGCATGTATGACTTGGCGCTCCGTTGCGCGGTGGCCAAATTTTCCTCTCGCTGTTGGCGGGTGGCTTGGTCCATTGTGCTTCCATCCCTGTTTAGCTCCGTCTGGGTGCTGTGAATGGTCTTGAAGGCACCGAATGACTCGTCAAGTACGTACGTCACATCATTAAGAAGCATGTTGACAAACTGGACGAAGAAGTCAAGGTTTTGGCTGGCCTGATTGGAGAGCTTTTCTCGATAGAGGGTATTAGGCCAGATGCACTTGATGATCTGGAAGATCTCATAACGAATATTGAACTTGTCGAAGAACTGTGTATGTGTGCCAGTGTGCTCAGCCTCAATATAAAACTTCATGACGGCATGCAAAAGATACTCGTTGGCAAATCCAAGAGAGTTCAGCAGATCCACCAGCACACCCCGGGCACCACCAGGGCGACTCCAGGTGCCGCGGAACATAATTGAGACGAGACCAGCCTTGAGGTAAGGGTTCTTGATGTAGGCCGAGCTTTCAAGAAGGGTAATGCAAAGAATGACCAATTCATCTCCCTGGGTGGCGGTGATAATTTGAGGCATACACCACATGATGAATTTGAAGTTGCTGACGATGTCCTCTAGAAAATACTCCGGGAGGCATTTGAAGATCTCGGGCTGTTCCACAGGAAGCGGCAACTTGATGGACTGTTTGGGGAAATTGGTGCCGGATACGAGTCTCAGCAGCCAAACGGTGACGTATCGCATGAACAGCATCGAGCGAGCCTGCCACTGGTCGTCGAAAAGAACACCCTGCAGACTGTACTTCAAGGCCAGTCCAAGATCATACTTATCCTTGTATCGCTTGAGAGCTTGTTCGTACATGCGCAATTGGCCAGGGTTGCCTGAATACCGATGCCGCTCAAGTTCAAACTTGGTGATGGATGACTCCATGTGACGAAGGTCTTTTTCCAGCTGTTCCAGTTTCTCGGTCAATGATTCGCTGCCGTAGTGATGGGCAGCAACTGTTAGGAAGAAAACTTCGGTAATGAAGTTAGATGTACCATCTGCCTTCTTGGCATAGAAGGCGTCGGAGGCATGTTGATCGGCGTTAATCTTGGTCTCCTCCCGCATGTCTACCCTTGAGTCCCGGTGGAGGTACTCGGCATCAATTCTATCGATCTTGGTGAAGTTGGCATCCATGAATGGCTCGCAGAGCTGATCAAGGCATGTGGTGATGTTGAACATGAACCCATCTGAGGAGACGGTCTCTGGATCAACTTGCATGGCCCTTCGCTTGTGATTGATATTCAGAGCAGCCGCGAACCAATCAAGAACCCGCTCGCGAGCCTCTTTCGAAGCACGGATAATGTGATTAATAACATCGAGCAAATCAGAGCTAAGTAACTGTTGCGTCATCCGGAGTGATCGCTGTGCGTTCAGAATATATGCTTGATCCCGGCTTTTGGGATTGGAGAAATATGACATGGTGACTTTGCCCTGGAGTGGTGATAAGCGGAACCAGGGTCCCAGAAGTGTAACCTTCTCGAATTGGGCCGGGTCTGTCGAGTGGTTGAAGATGGAAGACTCTGTGATTGCAGCCGCTATAGCGGGTTGACGAACGAGGTTCCGAAGGGCCTGAATATTTTGTCAGCTGGCAGTGTTCGATAGAGGCGAAAGTGGTCGACAAACAATAGCGTATGGCTTGTAATCATCATTAACGTCCTTGTTCGAGAGCTCCACACTCAATTCCTCGACTGCGGCTATGAAAGCCGGCTTGATGCTCTCGTCCTCGTCAAATCTCCTAACGGCCTCGCCTATGAAATCCAGGTCCACGCCCTTGTCATCCTCAGGGTCCAATAATAAGTGCGACGCCAATGGTGACCGCTCTGGAGTGTCCATCCTGGGAATTTAGATGTCAGTTTCAAGAATTTCAAGGTGACCAGGCGATGATGCTTACCCAAACATCTCCGGCATAGTCATTGCGAACATGCAGTAACTCATACATAGTCGCCTCGCTTCGCAAAGAACTTGAAATTTCGGGTCGTCGTCTCGTGTTCGCTTGAATTGCTTTTGAAGCTTCGTAATACGCTTCCAGCACGGTAGGAGATAATTGAGTGGGCCTTGGCCCTCTGCTTTTGATGCCGCCTCCAGAAGGGCCTGGTCAAGCATTGCTGTTTCGATGCGCAGCTCCTTACCCTCATCCTGCAGCTCACTTCTGAGTCCAGGGAGATAGACCCGTTGGTACTGCCCTTCCTCTTTCAGGGTCAACCTGAAGACAGCGCCCAAGGTCCGGTCTTCGAAAGTTTCAATGGTTTCTATTTTGGCGGGCGGGGGAGTACCGGCGTTCGAGGGTGCGGTAGATCGCGGTCGTTCCGGAGTATCATCTGGGGAAACAGCGGGCGTAATCTTTATGCGCTTTCCATCTGGGTGTTTTGGTGTCTGTGCAGCTGAAGAAGAGGCGCTCGGGAACTGGGGGGGACGGCTGAGTTGCCCGCAACGGAGAGTGGGCGGGAGATGCATGAGAAGAGCCCGGCGGCGAGTCCGCCGCGCCGTCGCCAGAAGCAGGGGCCGGGTTGGGATTTGAAAGCTTTGCGAGACGCTTGTTGCGGATCTGGAGCACATTGTGATATCTCAAGTCAGCCACCGCGGAGAAACGAGAAACAGGAAGGAAGCGAGGTCGGAAGTGACATAGGCTAGGGATCGACTAACCTTATCCGCATCGGAGAGTGAGTCTGACATAGCGAATATCAGAATGATCCACCGCAATGAGAGTTAAGGTCAAGCTGGTGCGACTGCTTGGTGCGGGGATGTGTGAAAGGCGCAGCTTTGAGGCAGATGAGGATCGTGGTAGACCCGCCACATTTATTAGACCAAACAACGGACGGCACGAATGACAGGGCGACGCCAAATAGGGATAAGAACAAAACAAATGGCGCAGAGGACCTGAAAATCAAATCCAAGCGAGAGTGGTTTGAGGAGACGATGCGAGGGGACGCTGGAGATTCGGTGGTGGTCGCCGAGATTCGCTCACATCGCCTTTGACTAAGCAGGCTCGGCATCGCTTGAGGAGTTTTGTATACTTCTCCATTTACGACCTTTGGGCTTACATTAAGGGCTAACTTGTGAATATTTGTATATTTATACACTGCCAGCATATTATATTTCTTATTCTCATTAATCAAATACTCATAGGACTCCCATCTTCGTCAAGAAGATCGCTGGGTACGAGTATACCAGCACAAGCAAGATCAACACTGAGATGGTTTCTCTGTAGAGACACCCAATGCATTTCAAAGAGACAATGTACACAAGTGGATTGTAGGAAAAGAAAAGAAAACCCAAAGACGCCGCCTATCGCGCATGTGCTATTGACATTTCCGCTGCAAAGAGAACAGAATGGTCGATGCAATTCCAATTATCCGCCCGCCGGCTCAGTATCTCCCTCTCAACTTCTCAAATCGTCGACAATTCGGAAGCTCCATTGCTCGAGCCTCCTTCATCTTCTCAATGTCCGGGAAGAACCAGCCCTGGGCATCTTGGATCTTGCGTTCCCGTTGATTCACTTCATTCTCGCATTCAAACCGGAGAGTTCTCACGTGGTCGGTCTCGACTTGTTTGTCCAGTTGCTTGAATCTCCGCGCGCTGAAGTCATCCACTTCCAGCGGATTCACAAAATAATTAAGGTTCAGGTTGGGTGTGGTGCGGCCCATTGTGTGTGGCGGTTTCGCGTTGTCGAATCGGTAGGATGGTGTAGCTGCGGGTGAGGAGGAGAAGAGCGAGGAGAGAAGAGGGAGAACGAAGAGAATGAGAAGAGGGGCGAGCTGGCGGAGCAGAGTCCAGCCGTCCATGTTGCCTTGTGTCTGTCCAGCGGCGTTGGCAGCAGGTCTGCGACGGGGGGCGCCTCCAAATTGGTGTACACGGAATCCGGGGCCTCCGTTCATGTTGAACACAAAACCAGGACCACCTAGAAGGGCGAAGTTAGTCTTCATATTAGTAACAACAGCAATCATGATGTCTTTGAAAGTAGACCATCCCGAAAGGGAGTATCAAACGGTTCGAACATGGTGCCAAACGGCTCAACGCATTCTGGGGATTTCGTACCAAAGCCGCCACCACCCATTCCTCCAAATCCACCGCTGAAGAATCGATTGAACAACTCTTCAGGTGATATTTCTTCCTCAAAACCTGGGCCACGTCCTCCTGATCGCGGGAATCCACCACCGCTGAATCCACTGAAAGGCGAGGCGCCGCTGGAGGCACTCGGGCCGGGGTTAAATCTGCTATCGGGGTCCCCTCCAAACTTATCATAGCGAGACTTTTTATCTTCGTCCGAAAGGATCTGGAAGGCGCGCGACACCACTGCAAAGAAAGTGTTAGACAGGCAAACATGGTCAGTTCGGTCGGGGTAACCACTCACTCTTGAAGGCCTCATCGGACCCATCGTAGCCGTTCTTGTCGGGATGTGTCAACAAAGACTGTTTCCGGTATGCCTTCTTGATCTGACTGTCTGTCGCCGACCGTTCAACGGACAAGATCTCGTAGAAATCCGTGGCTCCGCATTTTCGAATTCGGAGAACGGCCGCCTTCTGCTCGACTGTGTACTTGCGGTCTTGGTTGCCCTGGTTGTGCTCGTGCGATCGCGCGCCACCATTCGCGTCGGATCCTGACGCCTTGGCAGATGACATGGCGATCGATGTTGAAAGAGAGTGACACGGAGTGAGGCCGTTGCGGGCGAGAGAACGAGGGGAGGAGAGAGGGCGCAAAGGCGGAAATGGGTGGCGTGGAACCGCGGAGTAGGGGGGGATTTCCAATTCCCCAAATAGAACCGACAAGGATAGTCGGGCAGGAGTAAACGCGACCTAAATAATCGAGAGGTCGGTTTCGATGAAATGGAAAGCGGGCGTGGGGGGTGGCGGAGGGAAAAGCATCGTCTTAGGTGTCTTTGCCAAGCAACCGGAACGTCCAATGCGCCGCGGTATACACTCACTCACCCACCCTATCTCTGCTCTCTCTGCTCTGCTCGGCACTCCCACTCAGCAACAACCACCTCTTTCCACTCAGCTTGCCAGATTAAAACTTAGGCCTGGGTCTTTGACTCACATCACATAAACCTCCGAGGCACATCGCAACTTGCTGGGCCTTTCAACCACACACCACCAACCAAGCTCACCATGTCCAAGGACTCCACCATTGAAGAGGCCAAGCAGTCGCTGGTCCAGCGCTTTCGCGCCTGGGGTGGTAAGTTGACATATATATATCTGAAGCTTCCAATCGAGTATACCCAAAGGTTTCCTCAATATACTGATTTATCTCTCCAGAAAACTCCTTCCCACCAACCGTCCTTGCTTCCCTCATCTTTGCGCAACATGCGCGGCCCTACCAATTCTTCCCTATGCTCTTCCCGCCGGTCCTTCTTTTCACTAGCTATGCAAACCTTTCAGGGTTCAAGACAGAGAGTGCCGGAATTGGCGCAGCATGGTCTGGCCTGTACCTGCTACTCGCGAGCCGACGGAAACAGCCCATCACAAAGAAGTTCGGAACTCGCGGTATCGTGCGTGGAGCCACCATGGGTCTTTGCTTGGTCAACATGATCGCAGGAGGACTGGCGTACACCCTTGGAAAGCAGGATCAGGAGGAAGAGTCCTCAAAGTGAGCTGGAGGAGAGTCGGCTGGGGGTGGGCACTTGTCTCAAAATGCTTGTGCTGTGTCTCACGATTGTACGATATGTAATTGAAAATGGCCGAGCGGCATAACTGGGAGGAGTCAAAAATCGGCGTCGTTGAGAGTGGAAATTGAGGTCGTCATGTATATCTGTAACATATTCCAAAGCTTTACTCGCGGACACCTGGACATGCCGAACCAACGTGACATGAAACGGATTCATTCCCCCTCCGAAAGGCCCATGAAGAGTGCCAGTGATTTCCGTAATAATAGCGTAGTAATATTAAGAGTAGCACCGACCTTGGAAGTTGTGGATTCCCAAATATATTATTGCTCATAGCAGAATCACTAAATCCTCGTGCTTGGGCTGTCTCTAGTATACGGCTTCTCCGCCAGAAGATACTGACGTACCTTTTCTGGGACCAACCATTCCAGGTCCTCAACAGCACTATGAATCGCATCTCGCGCACGAGTAGAGCTGACAGATGGATCACCAGGCTTTCTACCTTCGACAAGTTGGATCTTCTGCGCCCATTCCCTCGGTCCGCCTTCGGCCTCTCGATCACCACGAGCAAGTGCGCGAACAAACTCTTCTTGGTCCTCTCTACTGCCCCATTCGTCACTTGGTCGCATTGTCACGCGTAAGCGATGCTTTGAAAATAACGCGGCTAATGGTTGTAATGTGTGTTCGGGTGGGTAGTATTTCGTATTAAAGATGCGGATCAGGGTATCGTAGCCCGTGAGATGGATCTGTTCAAGAGCACCGGAATAGCAATCGGATGCCTCAATTGCCGTCGCCTTATCAACAAAGTAAGGCTTCTTGGTGACGCAGATATCAATTGCTGGGAGATCTTCATTGGAGCGAAACCCCTCGGGGAAGCTCGTCGCTAAGTGGGAGCGCAAGTCGTGCGCGAACAGGTCCATCATGGCGAGTCGGTCCTCAAAAGAGGCTGGTTTGGAGGGCTTATCAGCATTTTGAGTCGCGAGTAGGAGAAGGAGGCGCGATCTAGGGTCGAGATGTTCCTGTAGGGCGGAGCTGGCTATGCGGAGGTGGGCGCGAGTCGGGGGGATTGAAAGACGAGTCTAGCACAAAGAGAGTCTTTGCTGGCGGAGAGCGTTCGGGGACGCTGCTCAGCACTGCGAAATCCTTTGAGGACGATGCGAATTGATTTAGCAGTGAGCTGTACTGCATGCGCAGGGCTTGAAAGGAAGCCATGGAGTTTTGACGCGGGAAATGGGATGAATCAACCCGAGGCACCTTGAGGCAATGTTGATGGGATGTTGATGGTGATGGTGATAAGAGATAAGCCCCGCCACAATACCTCCCCCCAGGGTTACCAGAGAAGGTCAGGGTCTCCCCAACTTCGGCATGAAACTTGACTTTCTCCACACTTTTCCTTCCAATGATCGCATTGACCGCAGCAATCCCAGCTGCGGCTGAGACTCGACTATACTCCTACGTGGCTGTGCACACCTGTTCGCTTATATCCATGCCAGTGCCAGTGGACAACACAAAGAGACACCATTTCTAAACAATTCACCTCGGATGGAGAACCAGTATTCCTCGCTTCGAGAAGCATGCGCCGATCCAGATGCACTATTCGCGATCCCACAAAATGACTTGCTGCAACTAGTCTACCAGGATTTCTCGGCGGATATTGACCGTTTAAAACGGGCTTATTCGATTCGCGATGGGTGGTGCCCCCCCCGATTCCCCATCTCCGTCATACATCCTTTACAAGGAGAACTACGATGAGGTCAATAGAACCCTGGTGGGGATTCTCTCTCTGCGTTGGATCCATCTGGAGCAATACGAAGCCTTTGTGTCGTCGCAACCATCGGAAATCCAACTAACAAAAGAATCGTTCGACTGGATTCAAGGCTTCTATACGCAGACGATCAGTGATTCGAATACCCTATACGCGCTAATCATGTCCATTGTCATCAACGATCTGGGGAAAGACCCGCAATTGGCGTTGGATTATGAAGAATCGACCGGCGAAAACATTTCGCATATCAACCATGACGCAGTTCTTCTCAAAGCATGTAGTGCTGGTCTCATCCGGTCTCTCGAAAGACTGCCTTGCCGAGACAGAGAAGATATCGTGCGCGCAATTGAACTCGGCGCGACTTTCAACTTTGGCCAACTAGCACAAGCGGAGAATGTTCCCGTCTGCCTCACGGGTCTCCTGAAAATGAGGTGCAGCCCTCGCAGCTTTCAGCTCCGATTCATGGAGCAACTATTAGATATTGCTGGAGCAGCAGGCCACATGGACTGGACGTGCGCCAAGAAGCTCACTCAACCGATCTTTCAATCTTATCAAAACGTCTATGACGCCTGCCAGGGTGTTATTTCAGGAAGTTTGGACATTCGCGGTGGATATGATCTCATTCTCATTCGGCGGGCACAGTTTCTTCATGATCAGGGCTTCCGGCCCCTCTGCGTGCAGGAGTCCTCGAGTGATCGCGCCTTGATGCGGATATTCTGCATGGGAAATGCGAACACCCTGGAAAAGGCAAAGCTTTTCGAAGATGCGTGGAATTGCCTCGATGACGCAACTAGAGAGAGCCTCGTGCGTGGCTTGAATATTGATGGGCACAGTGGGGAACCGGCTGTACAACCGACATATATGCCTGCTTTCCTGAGTCGAATTACGAGTGTGACAACTTTGACATATGCGCTATGCTACCTCTCACGCATGTTGAAGGTCGTTGAGCCTCAGGATCCGTCAACTCTCGTCATTGAGAGGAGTGTCCTGGGGGCGATGAAACAATTTGTCGAGACTGGAATTTTCGATCAAGATCCTACTATTTTAGAAAGTGTTGATATACCAGAGAGTGTTGTCGCACAGACAACATTATATTAGATTCCATACAGGTCCATACCCACTCCACCCTAGCCTAAATTGGTACAATTGTATTCAGACATGGTCAATCTCTTTAGAAATTGAGAGGAAAAACACTTTGGTCTTAACTGAAACGATGCTGAGCAACATCATGAAGGATTGCAGTGACTCAAACACTGGTCTGGCCGACAACGGGGATTTTCCGAGGAGGAACCGGGAGAGCTGAAGGAGGAATGGAACTAGCAACAGGAGGCGGAGGCTGACTCTTCGGTTGGTAGAGTGACCGGGTCTGATTGACATCGCTTTGGCTGGCCAGACTGATTTTAAGCCAGTCATTGGGAGTAGCCTGTTCCTCCAGCGAGCTCCGCATACGGATGACACACTCGCGATACAGACAATTTGTTTCGAAGCGCCAACTACACAACAGAGACCGCAACATGCCACCCTCGCGACCGGCAATCAAAGCAACCACAGGTGGCCTCTGAGCAGCAATCACTGTGACGGTCAAATCACCCGTATCCACAATGGTGAATAGGCGATGCGAGTCGGGGATATTGTGCTTCACTCTCTGCTGTTTCCAATGTTTTGGCCCTTCGGGGGCTCCATTCTCATCGGGGCGCTCGATTCCCATTCGAAGCGTCCCATGTCGCAGGTCCTTGGAGAAGATCGAAGAAGATGCAGAGTAAGAAAGCCGAGCATTGTAATTGCCATATATCGCCTTCTCAATTTTTCGGAGTGTCATTGTGCCTTCGAACCCTATCAGATGACAGGAAACACCGGAGGACCCGCCGTTGCAAAGCTGGCGCACTGCTAGTGGGCTGAACCAGGATATCGCCCATCCGACGCCAACAAATATCGCCATTCCAAAAAGATAAGAACCGATGTTGATACTGGTGGTTTTGTCGGTGGTATTGACGTTGTTCGCCATTGCTAATGATATAGCCGAGGAGAAGAGTCCGAATCCGGTGACGAAGAACCACACGCCTGCAAAAACGACGGTTTGTGCTAGAGTTGCCCGAAAGCTGGTCAGGTCCTGGGCATATCGCATTCTGGGAAAATCCTTCCACCGAATGGGAATGCCCCGACAGCGATCAGTTATGACAGTGGGCGTGAACTTGTCATTTCCAATTCCAACTACATCGCACATCGGATCTATATCCCATAGGTGAGTGGCATATTGATCAGGATCCGCAATGTTCCGCAGCAGAGTATCACTGCTCGCGACAGCATACTTCGCTTTGGCTTCGGGATTCTGCTCATTTTCGCCATAGTTTGGCCACAAGCAGAGCAAACGTTCAAGCAGGCGATTGCTGTCGTTGACAAGAGACAGTCGTGCGACAGCTTGAAACACATCTTCGTTATCGTCAGGAGTGAGCCGATAAGCTAGCAGTCCCATGGCGGCATATGCTAGCTCCACGGTACTCTCACCCCGGGTGTCTTTGCCAGAAGTCAGTTGGGCCAAAGCCTGAATGGCAAAGGTAAACAGCTGCAGCTCGCTCAGCTTGGTTCGGTTCGTATAGTGGTTGACAAGGTGTGTGATTGCATCTTCATGGGTATCCCATTTCTCGTCACCAGCCAAGTGGGAGCGAGATGGATGGCCTGCCCAGAAGCTGTTATACATGTCGGTTAACAAGACATTGTTGATTCGGATAACACCATTTCCGTGCATGGCCTCGACTGGAGAAATGCAATATCGGATCTTATCGGCTGCGAGCAAGACTTCAGGCAAAGTCCAGATACGTCTGCCCCAAATCAGCTTGTCTTCCGGGCGATCGTCGGGTAGAACGACATAGACCCGTTTTGCGCATCGTACGGCATCGCAAATAGAATTGATGTCCTTTGTCTTTTCCGAGTCGGCATGCATGATTGGGTTTACCATATTTCCATCTTTGTCCTTGACTAGAGGATCCGATGCGACACAGTCCATGTCAAGCCAGAAAGCTTCCATTGGGGGATCCCTTTCGTCTCGACGTGCGTTTTCGTGTTCCAGAACTGCTTCTGCGACCCGATAAAAAAATGGTCTCAATCTTGTGTCATCAATCCCTAGGAAATTGGCCCGAGAAAAACTGAGGAAGACGTATGGCTGAAGCATGCCAGTGTGCTTGTCACGAAGCTCGTCCGTCATCTTCACAACCCACCTGCCGGTGGATTTGTCTTTGACCACCAAGCGCCGGGGGATCATCAGTTTGGTGATTGTAGATTGTGGCTTCTTGTTGTTCGGCGACTGGTCTAGGATATTGACAGCGTGGTGGGGCCATTCCCAATGAACATTATCATAATCATCATAAGAGCCGGCTGCACCTGAGTCGCTCCAAGGTGCAGTGACAACTTGAACTGACAGCATGACTTGGATGATCCAGGCAAGCAGCAGGGTGAGTACTGTCGAGGCAATCCAGTGTACAGTGGTCTGAAAGATTCTCCGCGCAGGGCTCATTTTCTTCCACCGGATCTCCTCAGCCTTTTCATCATCCTCATCCACAAAACCGCCGTCATATTTGTCAAATCGAAAGGGGTTCAAACAAAGCTCAGAAAGCCAAACAACAAACGGTTTGTTTCCTTTGATAGTACTGTGGCCCCAGTGACGCGCTCGAGTATCTTTTTGGGCATCGGGGGTGGCTTGGACAATCAGTCGGCGGGGTATCTCTTTCGTTGTGCTGTAATAGGTATCGAGATCTGGGTATTTCTCGTGGTCGTTTTCACCGAGGATATTGAGATATCGTCGCTTCTTTTGTCCTCGATTTCCGTGTTGAAGCTCATTCATTCGCTCTTCAATCGCGTCCGAGTCCAGCTTGGGGCGCTGAAATCGAACCCCCGCCGTTCGGTGGTGTTTCCCGTCATATTGGTGCTCCAAATGAGACCTCCATACATCCCTTTCATGCTTTTCACTTTCCACAGAGGAATGAGAAGAGCCCATACTGGCAAATGAAGTTTCAGCCTGTAAAACAAGCCAAGCTGGGCATACTCAGAAAAAAGCAGCGATGATTTAATCTTACCTCGACCGGCCGTGCGGGGCCACGAGGGAGCTTATGTTATTTTATTCTTCAGCAAATATTTGTAATCCCTGGAATTGGAATTTCAGGGGCGTCAGAGCCGCAATGTCCAATGTTGTATGCACCTACTCCGTACCGTAAGCACGATTCTGACTAGCATACTGTGCTAAGAGTGCATCTGTCAAACAGGTCGCGTGGTAGACCCGCCAATCCAAGGTCTGGATTGTCGTCCCCAGGCGCTTCGAGGGTATGCTTGGGCCGCATGTTCTGCTCCTCTTTTAGTTTGGCCCCAATATCTCGAACTGAATACGGAGTAACCCTTCCTTAGGGGGTTGTGTCAGCCACGCTAGCGCGGGATTAGCTTTGCGGGTCCCAAATTGCGCAGAACCTCCCCCCAAGGAACCCTGTACTAGCTGAAGCAGACAGGGTCTTGGACCTGGAAGAAATACGGCGTTCTCAAATATCATCCTTTTCACTGTGGCTGTGAAGAATAAAGGGACAAGGAGGGAGCGTGTTGACCAATAACATGTGTCATGAATTGAGCGAACCTCGTATCGGCTGGAAGTTGACTCAACAAGCCGGCCCTTTCCTATTTCTGAAAAGTCTATGATGCATTAGTCTTGAGTTGCGGCCCGGCATCCAGATCCTCCATTGGACCTCACTGGTAGAATCATCGGGGCTAAGCATTGACAACTGTGTTGGTGTCAACCCTAAACTACGGAGTAGTCGTGTCGTCGCTGCAGAGGAGCGGGGCGCAATTTCCACCCCTCTGGATGACCAAACCACTTACGGGAAAAGATGGTCCCTGTCTAGACCAGCAACGGTAAGAGGTGCCGTCCCGTGAGCATTTTTTTATCGAGTCGAGATTTCATCGTTGCTTTTTTTCAGGTTGTGATCGCCTATCACAGGGTCGCCTTGTCGTGGACGCATCTACGGGTAAGCAGCCACAAACTGAACTTGCCTTGGGGTCCAAAAGGTTGGGATGAAAAAGAAAGCAATTTTTATGATCAAGAATACGGCTCTTTTTTTCCCTTTCAATTTTGCGTTTACGGAGTACAAATCATTTTGTCCCTCGGAGTGTTTTGATCCTTGTTCGGGCTGCGTAATGTCTGCGGCTCCTAACAATACTAGTACGCAGTAAGCAGCGTGCCTGAGGGTGTGAGCCTCGCCCACGTCTGATCAGATTCGACTTGGTGCCACCTTCATCTGACGAGCAGAATAGCCGCCTCTCATTTTCCTATGCTAAATGTATCCGTGGCACGAAAGCCTCAATTCCTGGGCCAAGGGCACAGGGCTACGGATTGATGCCCTCGGTCTCGTTACTCTTCTCGGGGCAGAGGAGATGGACCGTAACATTGGTCGTTTAATGCCCAGCGAGTATTTTGACTATTTACCATTACTCGGCGCTTTTGTAGTAGCTGGAGATCGGTTTACAGAAAAGAAGACCGGCTTCATTCTCTACAATATTTCGGCAGGAATTTTGACTACTGAATTGGCTGGATGGGTCTCACGTTGGATTCGAGCACAGGATTTATGCAAAGTTCGAAGCAAAGTGACCTGGGAAGTGGCAGATCGCCCTTTTCGATGGACCAAATTCCTTTGTGGTTTCACTTTGATCAGTTTACCAATACATGGAATGCTTCTCGCCTTGACCGTACTTTCGGCTGACTGGTGGGGGCTCGCAAATGTCGTCTCTATGATTATATCTGTCGTTGTGAGATGTGGACAGGTACATCAGAATCAAGCTGGTATCGATGCAAATATCGAAATGGCTGAAAAGGAAGCCCAGGCCAAAATGTCCAAGTACGAAGGGGCCCTCCAGCAATTCGAGGCCTGGCAGCGAACGGGTTCAAGTACAGAGACGAGAGACCCTCCTGTTGAGCCAAAGGACTGCCATGAGGCAAAGGTTCTTATGGTGACAGATGACTCGAAGATTCTCACACTTGTTGCCCCAAATTATCTCATCAAGGCGATATTCACCACAAATCCTCGCATCCCGAATCCCTTTTTCTATTTGACCTGCCGAGCAATCGGTTGGGTTGCGTTCGCCGTGCATGTGATTAGTATCGGCATGGCAGAGCTGCCAACACAGATTTGCTCCGTCGTGCTCATCATCGTTGCAACAGTCCTCACAGCTTACAAGGTCGGCTCTGAAGACTCGAAGTCGAAGATATGGAGAGCCTTGCGGAGCCGCTTTGCGCGGGGAAAAGAGGAGGATGAGACTTTGACCTGCTGGGTGACCTCAAGATTGAAAGCCACAATATCCTCATACCCAGAGGATTGGAGCGTGTGGGCGCAAGATGAGCAGAAATTTGCTCGTGACCAGAACGCAAATGTGCAGAAAGAGCGCCTCAATGGGACGGGGAGCAAACCAAAGACCTTCATCGACGTCGAAAGTCTATCGCCGGCTGGCAAGCCAGAGCCTATTCAAGAGCGACGTCAGGATCTTTATGCCTGGCTAGACCTGACAGAAGAGCAGGATAGATGTCTTGTCGCATGGGGTTTGATCCCGCATAACACCGACTGGCAGAATAGCTACCAGGACAAAAAGAAGATTCATCGGCAGAGAGAGATACGTGGCAAAGGTCGAGGAACAGAAAGAAACTGTTAAATAACGTGACAGATGTTGAGAAACCATCATTTTCTTTCCGTAAAAGAGTCAAGCTCATGGTCCCAGTCCCATCGAGGAGAGCCGCTATCTTCTGATGGAATAGGAGACATCATTGAAACAGGGTATTGAAGTAGGATGTCGGGGTCAATGGAATGGCCCTCCTTATTTATGCTGTAGTCTGAACCACCACCAGTCGAAGAGATCCCCCCCAAGCGCAGATGACGTTGGCGGTGTTAGGTAGCCGAATTCTGTATCGGAAAAATCGGGAAAATTGTCTGCATTGAATGGCGCCAAATCAAACACTGGATTCCGCGGATCCATCATAGTCCAGTAGTCCACGACTGCTGTCAATATGGTGGTTTCCGTTTGGGTAAGTTCATGGAGACGTGGCTTGTGGCAGAGGAGAATATCGCTGTATCGTGAGCATTGGATAATGAAAGACTTCAAGGCATTTGCCTATAAAAAGGGTTAATTGACATCGACATTTGAGAGTGTCGAAGAAATACTGACCATCATCTGGGCATTACCCCAGAGCTCGGAAATTTCGCCCAGGTAGTCCAGGGCAGTGCGTAGATACTCAGCCGAGCTTGCACTTATTGCCGAGCTGTCACTATAAAGATAAAATGCGTGTATAGTGCTCGCAAGCAGAATGCAATAACTATAAACCGATGGAACAGGCATATATCCGGCTGCCTTTGCTTCAACTAGGACTGTGACTAACGATCCGGCATGTACAAGACATGTTGCTCGCGTCTCTTCTAGCCAAGCCGGCGGAATCTCAGAATATTGGAAACTCTGTAACTTCAGAGCTAGCAGGAACGGGTGGCTCAGGATGCAATGTGCAAGGTGGTAAACAGTGTGCGATAAGACCATGTGCGCCGTTTGCTCGCGGTCGGTATCTTGCATATCGCTTTGTGAGCGAGGCTGGCCTGGCTCCGCTAGCACAGGGGAATTCCTAACGGCCAGCTCCTTGAGGTTTTCAAGATCTGAGTATATAGCCGAGAACTCCGAATCATTCTGCCATGGTGAGTGGGAGTTTGGCGTCTTGGTCATCATACATTTCACTGCGCGTCCCAATACAGAAGCAAGACCGATACTGATACCAAACATTCCGGATTGGTGGGACATATCGTGGGAACTCTGAGAACGAAGCTGGCGTAATGTAAGAGGCGTTGCTGATTTTGATGAGCCATGGTTGGTAGGAAGATTGAGAAGACAGTCTGAGTCCTTGATCGCGGGTGGTCGGTCGAATGAGCAGCACACAAACCGATCGAGGAGGTAAAGTGACCAGAAGAGATTCCTTCGCTCATCTTGCTCTAAAACAGACAGTTGAGAGCAAGGTTCCGCCATCATATTCAAATCTTGGCTGATTCGAACGGCCATTCCAATCTTGACCCATGCGCCTCTCCGTCGGCCAGCTTGAGAAACGGTCAGCATGAATTGCAAGTTTATCCCTGTAGCTGTTTCTACTAACCAGTCGCATCGATAACCCCAAGAATTGCCAGAGTTTGAATCAACGAGACATCTTCATTGCCATCTAGGCCATCGGGTGACGACATGATAAGCTCCCAGGCACCCCGCGCGTACCCATCGATCGTGCTTTGTTTTCTCTCTTTCCATTGTGATCGAGATGAATAACGAGTGGCACAAGCGATTAAAGCCAAGCGAAGGTGTAAAGGAATTTTGTTTTGCGAGACCTTTAGTTTGAAGAGTTTCGCGCTGAAGAAGCCATATGGTTTATTGTGACAGTGTTGAAAGTACACATCGCACGCTTCGAGGAACACCTTGTCGGGGGTGGGGGAGGCACTGGTTGAAAAATCTTGAGTAAACAATAGTGAAAAAAAAACAGAGACAAAAGAAACCGCACCAGACTCACCTCGGAACTCGTCTATGTGTTGCCATTGAATCGACCTGGTGATACTAAAGTGCGATATGCAATACTACGTGTAGTGCGAAGTTGTTTCAATTTCAATGAATTTTTTTTTCTGTTTCTTATCTGAGGATCACGAGGAAACTTAGTCCCTTGCAGACCCCACCTGATCACAATAAATTGAGATCATATTACTCAATTATATCTCGGTTCACCGTCGCATCCGGGGGCTACCCGGCCCCGCATTCCCGGGCTTCCGCGTTTAACCGCGGTGGGGCTATCCGCGAATAAAGAACGTGTACGGAGTACGGAGTACGAGTATAGACATCACTGGCTGTTTCAGATCACAATCTAGAATGGCATATAGAAAGCCTAGAAGGTCGAGTGGCCACTAAAATTTTACTGATGCAGATCTAGTGAACGGTACCAAGTTGCCTTGCCAAGATCAATTCGGAAATACTATATAGTACTATTGCCCTCTTGCCCAGGTGGTTTCCAGGTCTGATTCTCGAACCTTGCAAATGGAGAAGCCCGAAATTCAAAAAAATAAGTTAAAAACTTGAACCTCCAGTCTTGAACCTTGGAAAGTCCCTGAAAAGGACAGCAGAGCTTGAAGTCTCTAGAGCTGTCAGTTGAGATGTGCGTTAATACTAGTCTCGTACTAGTCTCGTAATAGCACTTGTCAATCTTGGAATAATATTCTCAAGGAGAATCGACGCATTTGAACATTAGACCTTGGACTTTGATATTAGCGCGAGAACCCACCAATACTAGTAATCCTTGGAAGTCACTGCTCATTGGTAGGATCTATTGACCCGCAGAATATTTACTTTAAGCTGCATGCAGCCAGAATCCAAACAGGATCAATTGCACCACACATTCTGCACGGAGATTCAGCCAACCCCGCTATGAGCAAAAGTACCAGTACCGCTCTGGCGGGGTCGTCTATCACTCGTCATGTCCTCCAAGGTCCAATTACAGAGTGTCAATTTCAAAGGAACCCGTTCTCAATCGCGCTAGGAATTCAAGTTCTCATCCCCCCCTTTATACCAAGCGTGAACTCCAGAATCCCTGAATAGGGGGATAAACGATTCATCCACTGCAGCCGCGCTGATATTTATTACGATATGGGTTTAGTCACATTCTTCAGTCCAGCTGTCACGCTGTTCTGTGGCTTGATGATCCTCTGGATCGTCAAGACGATTGCGAGTTATGCCAAACTGCGCCAGTTTCAGGGTCCCCGCTGGACTGGGATCTCGAACTGGCCTCATAGTCTGGCACTGCTTCGGCACAACTGCCACGAATGGTATGCCGAAGTCAATAATAAACATGGTATGCTTTCTCTCCTGGGAAGAGTTCACTTCGATGGATAATATTCTGAATACGAGATAGGCCCTATCGCCCGTGTTGCACCTCGAGTGCTGATTACGTCCGACCCGGAGGTTTGGATGCATGTCAACAATAAGCCTGGCTACAAACGCTCCGATTGGTATTATGCTGCCGCGCGAATTGAACATCGCAAAGACAATGTTTTCACTCAGACGGACAATGCCAAGCACGACCGACGAAGGAAGCAGATGGCTCCAGGGGTATGATAGCCTGTTCATCTTTCCGAGGTTCCATCTCACCATTTGAACGAAACAGCACCATGCTGACAGATTCTACTGTGCAGTATTCGGGAAGGGAGAATCTCCAGCTTGAGGGAGCTATCGATGAGCGAGTCCAGGATTTTCTAGACCTTATCCGGGCCAAATATGTCTCAACTGACAACGATACGGTACCCATGGACTTGGCAAAGAAGGTCCAGTACTTCACTCTCGATGTCATTAGCAGTGTTGGCCTCGGTAGTAATTTCGGTATGCTGGAGAGCGATCGAGACGTGGATAACTACCTATCATCGCTGGAAGAGGGTCTCGCTATCGGAAATACCGCCCTCGCCATGGGCTTCAGTTGGCTCACTCAGGCACCATTCATCGGTAAATATGTGGCTGCCTCACCCAAAGATAAAAACGGGTTTGGAAAGATGATGACTGCCTGTTTTCAAATTGTCGATGGGCGTGCTGCGAGTAAGACCGATAAGCGATCCGACATGCTGGCATCTTTCATACGTCACGGTCTCTCGGGGGATGAACTTCGCAGCGAGGCCCTAGAGCAAATCCTCGCTGGTTCTGATACAACGGCGGGTGCCATTCGTGGATCTCTCCTGCACATCATGACCAACCCACGTGTCTATCACAAACTACAGCGTGAGATAGACGATTCTGTCAGCAATGGACTTGTACCGATCGAGGGCATCATTACTACTGGTCAAATTAAACAGCTTCCCTATCTGCAGGCAGTTATCCGCGAAGCTCTCCGAGTTTGGCCACCCGTGGCAAATATTTTCTCGCGTGATGTCCCACCTGGTGGTGATACTGTTGTTGTTGATGGGAAGAGTGTATTCCTGCCCGACGGTGCTTGTATAGGGTATTCAGCATACGCTATGCACCATAGCGAAAGGATATATGGCAAAGATGCCAAGGTTTTCAGGCCCGAGCGATGGTTTGAATCAGACTCTACTAAGCTAGCTGATATGGTCCGGACAAATGAGCTTATATTCGGTTATGGGAAATACCATTGTTTGGGCAAGACCGTGGCTGACATAGAGATCGGAAAATTGATATTCGAGGTGAGATACCTTTCCACCTGGGCAACTTTAAACTATAAAGTGCTTTAAACTGATGAATTTTGAATTACGCGCAGCTCTTCCGAAATTTCGACTTGTCACTTATCAACCCGACGCGTCCCTGGGACGTGAAGAATTATCTTGGGCTTTTTGCGATCTCAGATATGTGGACACAGGTTACAGAGCGTAACCCCTAGTTTACTTTAATCGGATACGACAGGTTTCGACTATATATACATGTGCATATTTTTCGGATCATTGAAATTTGATTTAGAATAGCTACACTGGCGATCAAGTTCTGCTGCTCCTACACACTCAAGGTTCCACAAATACCAACTTCAAGTTGAAGCCCTGCATCTGAAATCCCCCGATCGGGTATGGTCGGATTACTATCTAGAGCGGTCCGGGCGGACACCGTTCTGGCCCCCACCGTGTCATGTTTATATGTTCGAGGTGATTTCACCACTCATCAACGCCCCGCACGCAGTGTAAAACCCAGCTTTAATTACTTCAAGTTGAAATTTCTCTCTGAACCGATATCGCCCTGACACGAAAATGACCATCACCGCCCTCATCCACGCCTATCGCAAACCGGGCCTCTCAGTCGATGATTTTAAGAAGCACTACGAAGCACATGTTGATCTCCTTGAACGCCTGACCGCCGATGATTTCCCGCTCTCGCATAAACGGACATATGTTGCTCGCAACTCCGTTGAGACTGCCCCCGATGGAGCATCCTCCCGCAATGCCACAACTCCGGCAATCTTGCTTGCCGGCCACCAGGCAGATTTCGACTTTGACGCTTATGCGGAATTAATATTTGCGGACCAAATTTCTCTTGCAGCCTTTGCAGCTAAGACTCAGACTCCGGAGGCGGCAGCCCAGATTGCTGCAGATGAGGAAAAGTTCCTTGATCGCTCTAAGACTGGGATTGTGATGATGGGGGATGTGATCGAAACCACGAAATGAAACAGGGAGGCGCGAGATACCTAGCAGTGGAAGCCCTCTTTGTCTAATATTACTTCTGTGCACTTTTATTCGAGAGTACCAGTGGACGACTCCTTTCAATCGTTGGGCTATTTGTTTTCGAAATTGCTCATGTGCTTACTAGTTTAATATCCATCGATCGGAAATAAATTAGGAACACTGCCTAATTACTTCTTTCAATTTATCCGGAAATAAGTACTCTATTAATTTATATATTTAAAGGATTGCTAGCTTAATTAGAAGATAAGGCATGCTTGCTGCCTAGAAAAGGGGCCGAGACAGTCACGGATGATCGCAGATTTCAATGTGAAGAAATCAAAAAGAAAGGTCATAAAATCACCTTGGAACGAGATGCTGTAAGGTGCATCTTCGATCTCAGTCTCAGTCTTCCACATCCCGCGGATCATGTGTATTCCAGAAAACTTCATATTCATCGGAACTCTGGACAGGCATAGCTTCGTAGCGGGTCAGCGGAGCCAAAGGCACACCCATTTGATCATACTTGTCCAGTCGTTTCCTCGTGATTTCCCGGCTCTTATTGATACTGTAGACCTTAATTCGATGAGCGGAAGAAGTAACATGGAGCCCCCAGTTCCATGCTGCACGGATATTCAGCGGCTGGGTATTCAGCGAGTTATCCCAGCACCGACAAACGATCTCAATCCAACCTTCCACTTCGCATGGAAGGTCCAATTCCCATGTTCGCCAAGTCCAACGTCCTTTCTTGGACATGTTCTCCGCCGGAACTTCGTACCAGGTGAAGCCCCCGTCTGCAGACAATTCCACTCGCTCGGGCCATCGACCCCCGCCGGAATATGCCCAGCCCTTGCAGCGAATTTTCCCGACGTGGATGACCGCTTGCTTTGTCCAGGGGGACATTATCGCCGAACTGACCGGCATCTCCTGGATCTGGATCCCGTCCGTCGGGCGGAGGTTGTATTTTCCCACTTGCTGGTTGAAGTAAAGGTACTCTCTGCTCTGGACCGGAGCACGAGATGTATCTTTGATGGCTTTGATACGATATAGCCATTTGACACTGCGGGCACCAATATATCCCAAAACAATTACCCGCAGAGGATATCCGTGGATCTTGGGAAGTGGCTCGCCATTCATTTCCCACACTAGAAGGACTTCGTTCGCTTTGACCTTTGACCAAGGTACGCTGACAACGTAGTTTCCAACTTCTAGATCCTTCACATACGTCTCGGCTCCGTAGAGCTCAAGATGCTTCGCAGAATTGATAAGTCCCCCGCATTCCTTGATGACCTTCTTCAAGCTGATGCCCACATACCGCGCCGTACCAATTGCACCTTCAGCCCAGGGTGCCTGGGGCACCTCGTCGCCCTGGCCACCGTAAAGCCCGATCTGCTCGATACGGCGAGTTCCCGAGCACTGCATCGTCACGGTCTTTTCGATTCGAGGAAAGCGACTGTCGTCCATCAAGTCGTTTAGGGAAAATCGTTTCGGCGTTTGCACCAGCCCATCAAGCGAGAGGTCCCACTTATCTTTATCAATTATCGGGATGCCGCCATGGTTTCGGACGAAATGGAGGGGATTGGGCGTGATGGATTTGGAAGTAACCAGCCGTTTGGGAGGTTCGCCATTGTAAGGGAATTTCAGAAGGTGCAACATGTCTGGATGTTTCTCCAATAGCACAGTTCGCCACGAGTCTTCAGGAACAGGCGTCAACTCCCCGCCAATTGCTTCATGCCAGGCCACGAAATCATCTCCGGGTAGAACGGGGTTTGTCCCGGGGATAGGGCCGAACATGAAGTCTGGACAATCCGGGAAGCTTTGAGAGGCGAGGAGCTTGTGGGCGCTTGCTTTTTTCTCGGGGAATTCTTCCCATTCGACATATCTGCACGGAAAAAGTGCCATTGTTAGTACTCATCAACAACACAAGAGGAAAATCGCCCAATTGCATGCACTCAAGAGCTCAGATAAACATACCCTTTCCAACCAACTCGCTCCCGTTTGAACAATTTCTTAGGATCCCCAACTGAGGCAATAGCCTCTTCATCCTTAAAGACCTTGCTTGCTTTAGGAGGATAGATGTGAACAGTTTCTCGCTCACTCTGATCAAGAATTGGCAATTTGTGAGCAGCCATCCCTGCTCGATCGTCCACTCATCGGGACGATTAGCCGTGTCCAATGACGCCTTGACCGACATATTTGCGATACTTGAAGATTTGAGGAAAAGAATTCAATGTGATATCATAAAGAAAGCAAGAGGCCCCGCGGGTACATGAAGAGATTTATGATAGCCCTTGGAATGTTTTGGTGCCCGCATTTGAGCTTGATATGACCTCACGACTTTTGGCTGAACTATACCACTTGCATCCTTGCCCTTCCATGGTTCGGACTGAAATTCCGGCGGGAATTCTGCACTGATAGTTAGATAGTCTAACAATATCAGCCAATGGATACTTTGGTAAAGGCAAGGCCTATCAGGATAGTTGAGTTGCTGTCGGATTGGTATTGGCATTATTTGCGAGGTATACAGGTCTCTAGAAAATGTGTAGATCAGACACATTCCCAATGAACGGTAAATCCAAATAGGTTGGATGTCCATACTACGAATCGCTCAATTGAGCTGAATGCGGGTGTGTGCCTTCATATTTCTTCGTCTTTTTGCGGTGATTGAAGTGCTTGTTCTATCCCTTCTGATTGAATTTGGAGTGGTGGGCGGTATAGAGTTTCTACAACATTCCTGGTAGCTGGGGATATTTACTCATCTCAATTCACCGCACAAGTCATAGTGCCATCTCTTAGCTTCCGATGGCCATCACTTGCGACCATGCATACTAGTAGCAATATATACTAGTATGAGAGCTCAAGTAGAGTCAAGATGGAGCCGTGCTATAAGCATTCGGGTCCAGGATCAAGTTAGTTGGTTTCGTTTTAGGGTTAGTGGTTATTTGCGACCATAGGTTTCTTGAAATCTACGAACGCATCATGGACCAGAAAATTGAAGCGAATCAGCGAGTCATACAGATGCACTCGAGCACAAGGATACCTAGTTCACGGATCAACCCCTGTTACAGTTGACTTTGGCGAAAGGTTAGTTCCCTTGATGGCTTTTTCGGACCCCGGCGACGAACGATGGGACCGGAAACATATTCGCTTAGAATAGGCTGTTTCAAAGCAAAAGGGTCGAGAAACAAGCTTAGAGACATGATCGACAAACACTTCTCGATGATGCGCTGGCGAAACGATAGCAAAGACACTGTTATCGCGGCCGCGAGCGCCCGAATCAACCCAACCCCGCAAGGAACTTCAAAGAACCCCTGTCGCGATAGACACAAAATTTGCTGGAACCGACTTAGATCGCTGTTCGAAGTCAAGACATTTCGATGAACAAGTCGCTTCAAACCGGAGGGGGTGCTGCAGATTGTTTCTTTACCCCTGGTGTTGCGAAAGGCCGGGAGCAAAAGAATCACCGGTGCTGGTGTTTCACCTTGCAAAGCTTCTCCGTGTGTTCGGCTGGACCCTGCGAAAAGAACAAGAAAACATTTTGAAAAGGGGTTGGGGGCGGGCAAGGGGAAAAGACCAGTCATCAACTCCTAGCTAATAACGAGATGAAAATTGAGTTGCGCGAGTTAGGCCGTCGCTGTGCTCATCAGCGAATAAATTGAGGATTCGGATTGTGACGTGATAGCCTCACGCCAATCTGCACGAGTAGAGCAATGCGAGAGCCAGAGCCAGATAGCAGGGTCCGAGTGGAGCGGGTCTGGCCTGGGCGCTGGCGCCCGAGAAGGGAGCACATTGTAAACGAAGGATCTCTCATTTCATCTCAAATCATCTCAGCCGCGGATCAGCCCTGCCCTGCCTTTTGTGAGCCGTGTTCAATCTATCGTTCAGATTGCTACGGAGTAGAAGAGTCCAGATCAAATGGCCAGCCGGGGGACCCGTCCAAAGTACCGGCATCCCAGGCGGTCCCCACCGGGCCGCACGGGCAAGACGGGCGCGGCATTTGAGGAATCTTTGGAACTTCATCTACCCCAGGCTCCCGCAGTGGGATCCAGGGCAGGAAATGGAGGATGAGATGAGTCCAGAACGTGCTCGATGCCGAGCCGCTGTGTCTATCCTCATCTCCAAGGGGGAAGTACAATGCGGACCCTGGGCCGGGATGGGTGGCGGGGTCTCATATTCAATGTGAAACGGTCGCTCGGGCGGACACACTGATTGACCCTCTGGTGAAACACTGAAACGGTGGCTGCAACACCCGAGCCCTTGGATGTGGATGAACGACGGGCGAAAAAAAGGATAGGAGGAGTGGCAGGAGTCAAAACTGATCGTGACAGTGGACTAAACCGACTCAACCTGAAGCGACGGGGCGATGATGGTTCCCTGGGAATTGTAGAAATAGTTCTTGAGGGGGTATTTGCAGGTGGGGATGATGTTTACTCCTTATTCCATGCACCATGCTCGGTGTTCCACACTCGTACGCCGTTTGACAATGGTGTCACCCAACACGATGTTGTCCGACCGAAAAGTACAACCCGGAAAAATTGGTCGTCATTGCGCCACTCTAGCTGTCATGGAGGAGACCGACCTCGCCTATTCGTTGGTGGGAATTCCAAGGCTGGCGAGGTGAGATTAAAGGTCCAGTTGAGAAGGCGGCTGGGGGGGCTGATTGGACTGGGTCCGTGTTTCTGTGCCTGGCAGTGGGGCGATCCACTCGGAGTATTCTTGGTATCTTCCATACAGACTCATAGTTGGAGTGATGGTGATGAAGGAGTGTGGTGGGTGTGGTGGGAGTGGGTGGTGGAGATGGGAAGTTCCTTTGAAGGAAGTAATTACCGTACGCTCTCTACGGAGTACTTACTCTGCCATAGTATAGTCTACTGTATAGTGTATAGTGTATAGTGTATTGTATACTGTACAGCACTCTATGGCAAGTGGGCCTTAATTAACTCTGCTTCATCTCTTCTCTGCTCTTCTCTTTTCTTTCCTCTCCTCCTCTTCTTTCCTTCTTCAAGCTGTGCTTTCCACCTTCTCTTCGTTTCTTTTCTCTTTCTCTAGAGAATATTCACTCTTTTCTACGCGAATCGACTTCGCCCACATTCTTTCACTTTCTCTCTCTCGCTGAATTCACAGTTTCTAGTTCATCCTTGAACTATCTACACTCACTCTCCCGACATTGACTGTCCTTGAGATTTTACACAAACCATCCCATTTCAAAATGCACGGAATGAACAAGCTCGCTCTGGCACTGGTTGCCGCGATGGCTGCTGTTGGTGAAGCCGATCTTCACGATATGCACGCTCGTCACCTGCATGCTCGTGGCTCTGGTCTGCCTCTGCCTCAAACTACTCAGACTCAATACGTCAGCCCCGTTCCTGAGCCTATTCCGACCCAGTCTCCCTCCGAGTCTGCTGTTCCTGCTCCTTCGGAGTCTGCTCCTGGTGCTTCCTCTAGCGCTTCTTCTGGTGCTCCCTCTGGTGCTGCTCCCTCCAGTGTTGCTCCCTCCAGCGCTGCCCCATCTGGCACTCCTTCTGGAACCCCCTCTGGTGCTCCATCCAGTGCTGCTCCCTCTGATGCTTCCCCCTCTGGCATTCCCTCCGGCTCTCCCTCTGAAAGCCCTAGCTCGTCTGCTCCTTGGACCATTCACACCTCTCGTCCCCACATCACTGGACGTCCCAGCTCGAGCCCCGTTGTTTCGCCCACTTCCGCTCCTATCTCTACTCCTGTTGTTGTCACCTACACCACTGGCACTGGTTCGACCGCCAGCGTTGTGACCACCACCATCTGGCGCACTGCCACCAACCACCACACCGTCACTGCCGTGAGTATCTCTTGATATATGGGCCTGATTCTCAAGATCGATTTACTAACATTGAGATAGACCGAGAGCAGCGGTGCTCTGGAGACCCCTGGTGACCAGAGCCACAACCAGGACACTGGATCTGATGAGACTGAGGGAACCTCCACTGTCACCTCCACCCTGCACTCCACTGCCACCAAGACCCTCACTGTCGTCGAGGCCCCCAGCTCTGCTGCCGCCGGCAATGGCTCTGGCTCTGGCGAGTGCGGCGCTGTTACCGTTACTGTGACCGCCACCGAGACCGTTACTGCTGTATGTGCTAAAAGAATCCTGCAATTGAACATCTATAGACTAACATTACTTCGCAGGACGGTACCGCCGCCACCACTGCTCCCGCTGCCAACAACCACCAGCAGGGCAACGGCAACGGTAACGGCAATGGCGACGAGGGCGATGACACCACTACCATCCCTGCCACCGCTACTGCTATCGAGACCGCCACCGAGACCCCCAGCGTGACCGTCACTCCCTCCAGCACTCCTTTCCCCAGCAGCAGCGGCCGTCCCACGCCCTCTTTCACTCGCCGCCCCATCTCTTCGGCCCAGGGCCACGCGACTACCTCCGTTCCCTACGTCCCCGGAGGTGCCACCATCCTGCCCATCCCCAGCGGCTCGCCTTCCTCCAGCCCCGCTCAGCCCCAGAAGCCTGAGTCCACCGGCTTCTTCGCCCGTCTCGCCCGCCTCTTTTAAGCCATAGACGGACGGATGTCCGATAGAGTCCCTCATCCAGCAACAGCCTGACACGACCACCGGTCAATGATATGAGAGCGTTTTCTTTTTCGAGTATTTTCTTCAAGTACAGCTGCGTGCTGGTGTTGTACCTATTTTTGTGACAAGACATGGCCCTTGGGCCTTTGGTACAAGCGGACTAGCCTAGCCCGGTTTACTTCTTTTTTCTTCACATTTCTTCACATTTCACTTCTGATCTACCAAGCCTTTTCTTTTCTATTGAAAATTGGCTTTTTAACTTGATTTTTCTTCTTTCGCTGGATTCTCATCGATGATGTCGTTGAGATCTAGACGCCTCTTTTGCCCTTCTTTTCATTTCTCCCAATGAGAATGACCTTTTTTTTTCCATCCCACTTATGTTTTTTTGTCATTTCCCAATGGGACTCGGAAAAGCACTCTCGTATGTTGACAGGTGAATGGATGAGGACAATTTTGTTTTCCTTTTCTGGTGTTATCTTTCTTTTCTTCGGTTGGGTTGAGCTCCAAGGGAATCAACGTTGCTGCACATCCAACTTCTTGTACAAAATAATTTTGTTTACTTTGCTGATCCACGTCTTTCGTATTTACATCGGTCTTTTTCTCTGTAGAAAATAAGCTTTAGTGCCTCCGAGCTGCCTGGTAGCCCTATGAGGTACCATGGTACTTCGGTACCTTATTGTTGTGGAACTATCCGAGTCTACCGCCCAATAATAGAAAGGGAATAGCCATTGACTTACAACAAGTGGGCCATCATGAAGTATCAAGCACCTTGCATGCTCCTAATTCTACTTGTACACCTCATCAGATACTCCGTATACTCCGTAGGTATCGTGGAGCTTACGTCTGTTGATCCGCGGACCCGTCGATCACCGCCGATCCTCCGGTCCGAGACAAAACCTCGTATCTGCCTCTGCCAATGCCACTGCCACTGCCACTGCCAATGGACCATACGGGCTCAGCCCTATCCATTCTTCATGGTAAATATTACCAATCATCTATCTGAAATAACTCTACATATTATACACAGTATTCATTATCATACACGACCACCTTACAAAATATATGTACGAAGGCTTCACCACCTCAACTATCTTCTATAGCCGCCACGCCTTTCCGCAACACCAATTCACGCATGCGGATCCATTCAACCCAAGTAACGCCCTGCAGCAAGCAATCCGCCAGATCGTCTAGCTTGGTAAGGTCCTTCAACACGGGCACAACTTTCGGCCCACGCTTAACGCCAGTCCGGAGTCTGGCCAGATACGCCTCGGCCAGAGTTCTAGGAGGCGAAGACTCGCCCAGTAAATCGATTTTGCGATGCGCAGCAGCAGACGTAGAAGAGCTCTCAGTTTCAGAAAGTGCCGCCTCCAACCATCTCGCCACAGTATCGATTTTAGCCTTCTTAACCTCCCGACTCGTCGGTTTCCGCTTCTTATCACCTCCATCTTCAACAATGGTGAAGCCAGGCTCTTTCTCTCCCCAGTACTGCACCACGCGTTTCGGATCAATCCCGTAGACGCCGACGCCAGCCAAATTGCCGCCGCGCTCTTTCTTCATGGATTCTAGTGCGGCGTAGAGCATTGCTTCGAAGAGTCCGACTCGTAATGTCCACTCTTGTACATGGCTCGAACTTCCGGAGCGGAAACGTTGGCGCTCGATGAGGATGTGCGTTGGTTTGTACATGGCGACGAGGGTGTGGAGGAGGGTGTGGGCTGTTTCGGCGTAATGTGGTAGATCGAAGGAGGGGGTTTTCTTTTTGGTAGCTTCGTCATCTGCGTCTAAATCCGAGTTCGATTCTTCGGACTTGGACTTGGAATTGGGATTGGGATTTGGATTTGATTCGGTTGCTAGCCCCGATTCTGATATCGTCACTGACGAAGCCTGTTTCAAAGCCAAATCAACCACAGACCCATCCTTAGGAGCCGGGGCGATCGCACCAGCACAATTCTCTCTTAAAGTAGCAATATCCGACAAAGGCAACCGCCTCCAGGCCGTGAGCTCAGGCCTCGAAACACCTCCGACAACACCCTTCTCAATCCCATGAAAAGGCCTATCAACCCTAAGATGCGCAAATGCCAGATTCTGAATCCCCATGTCAATACTCAACACACTTAAGGCGCCAGCCTTTTTCTCAAATTCGACATTCGTCGTGCGACCAGCACTTTGTAGATCCAGTGCCTCCCCAATACGCTCGGCTAATACCTTGCGCGTCCCGGTACTCGGTATCCCCGTTGCGCGGGCGAGTTTTTGTAAAGTTGCCAGGCGTTGGCCTAAGAGCCAGCTTGCTTGCCATGGGCTTGAGGCGGAGGTGATGGTACTGGCGACTTGAAAGAGGGTGAGGGAAGGCCGCATGGTTGCGGGGGCTGCGGGGGGAGGGTGTGTTTTTGTTTTGCCTGTCTCGGCGGTTGAGATTCTCAGGTCTTGATTTGCGGGGAATAGGGTTAGGTTTGGTGTGGGGTTGAGGATTCCGATCCGAGCATGATGTGTATTCTTGGAATCGTGGCGTAGGTGTCAGTGTGAGAGTGAATGCGGATGGGAGAGCGAATGCGAATGCGAATGCCTGAGGGGGGTTGGTTGGTTGGAAGGGATGAAGTGAACTTGGCAGGTCAGGCCGCATGTGAGGCGGTCGATGCCGATCGCGCGGATCGGCGCTCGGCCCTGGACTGCGCGCGGAGAGCTAGTGATTAGTGCTAGTGATGGAACGAATACCTTCACAGTCAACATACATTATTTTTACTTTTTGGGAATGGTTAGAGAATACCAGTAACGAATTCTAAAGGTTGATTAAGTTTGAAAAATGGTTGTTCCACCTTGAGAGAGCCGAATATGTATACACTTTTCCGGGAACCATCTCCAACAAAGCAAACGCTGGTCTATAACTGGCTTGAACAAGTAACCCCTCCAAATAATAAAGTTGTATAGGGGCCTGGGTGAAACCTACCCCCGAAACGCCGTGTAGTGCCCGAAGAAACGCCAGTAGAGCCAAAGTCAAATGCAGAGGACGCTGAAGGGAAAGGGGAACAAAAGGACAATCCAAGCTAGAGATGATATGCCCACATGCAAAGCAAAGCAAAGCAAAGCAAACAAAATAAAGCAAATGCAAGGCTTAGATAAAAGCCGGTGGTTCGAGGTCCGCAATCTCATCCTTAAGGTATAGAATAGGAGCCCACACGCGCCAATGTAGGACTCCCATATGAGCAAGGCGCATGCCAATACGATCAATGTCATATTGCTGCGGTGTGAGAGACTGGGTTGAGGAGGCCGGGGTAGTGGCTGTAGAGGACGAGACAGTAGGCGCAGGCGCCGCCGGACCCGTTGAGGGAGGCTGTGGTCCTGTGCGCTGGGATTCGCAGATAGCCAGTGGGGAAAGAGGAAGGTATTTGCGTGCCGAAGTGAGAGTTGCAGTCATGATCTTCTCGCGCATGGTGTTTTGGAAATAGCGGAAGAGATCAGACTCGTTGGACAAGTGCCATTCAAGGGCGGACTCGATGGGTGCGATGACTTCGTCTGCGACAACATTATCCAGGCAGCAAGCGGCACAGGCAAAGCGGGCGATTTCCAGCGCGATGCTGCGCATGTTATGGAGCCAGCGGGCGCCGCCGCGGAGATCTGGGTCATCGTCATCGGCTGCGCTGCTGCTGCCGGCACGGCTGCTTAAATCCATCCCATCTTCCATTAGGGACCAGATGCGAGTGCGGAAGGTTGTATATGTCTCATCACGAGCGGAGAGATAGCGCTTTTGGGTGTGGACATAGGACTCGAAAATATACCAGGCGATCTCAAGGTTGATGAGGTTCTGGATCGTGCTGCGTAGCTGCCAGAGTCGGTCCGAGTCGAAGAGGAATGTCTCGGGGAAGTCGGTTGGAGGAGTGAACTGGAGCAGTTGATCGGATATTCCCCGGAGGAGGGCATCGAGTGGCTTCATGTCGTCGGGTTGCGAGGATGCTGGGCTTTTCTGCTCATCTTCTTGTAGGGCACGATCCCTGGCTGAGAGGTACCATTGTCGGGCGGATTCGATCCGAATGCCTCCCTGGTTGATCTTTCCTTCAAAATATTCGGTCAAGAATGGCACAGTATCTTCGATCAAAAGGACTCGGAACGTTCGTATTTGGTGGTTGGCCACGTCCTGGTTCATGTCAGTAGGAATCCGAATTTATCCACAGCGTCATCGACTTACCAGCTTCATTGCCTCCAGAATAGCGAACAGTGTTTGTAACCCGTTGACGATTTCCTTCGGGTCTTGTGACTGTGAGCCATCGGTGATCTGCTCAACCATTCGATCCGCCCACTCATCTCGCATCGGAGCGCAGTGTGTTTTCAAAAGAGCCGCCAGCCACCCCGCTAGCGCAACCATATCGAGAACGCCTTTGCGCACCTGCTGCATAAGCAGGGATACCTCTAGATTTTGCATAACGCTTGGGTGATCACGCTCCGGGACAAGGGTCTTGATGACTTCCTGGAGGGTCTCGAACATGCCAGGGAGGCGAGGCTCGAACGTGCGCTTCCCACTTTCCCTAGGGCTATTGGAGGAGTCGCTAGCCTCGGTAGATTCGGGCTGCGCAGCCTGAAAGTTATAGATCGTGATCTCCGATGCCATCGAATCCCAATAGTCGGCGGAATCCTTCCGCTTGCGTCTTCCCTTCTCACCGTCGAGGTCGGGCTTGAAATGCAAATCGCGGTCAAAGTTGGCGTCCATGCGAAGGTTGATGTTGCTCATTATACAAGGCAGATCGAGCTCACTGAGCGTCTTCTTTGTAACGGGCGGATGTCGGCGGGCCTTACATAGTAGGCGTTGATCACGAGAGCTGAGTCCCAGGGTCTGTGGAATGCTGATGGCCTCGGGAGAAGGTGAAGGATCGCGAGGTCTCGATGAGTTGACAGCGGGTGCAGATGAACGAGCGCCAGGTGGATAAGCAAAAGGAGGCTGGCGATGACGACGAAGCGGGTGGACATTAGCGGGACTTTCGTGGTGAGAATCGCGCCCCTCGTTCTTGTGATACTCTTTGGAACGCCCACTGCCAGCCCCGTAGGCATCCAAAGGACCGTCTGCACCCTCCTCTTGCGTCCGTGCCTCTTTCGTTCCCTGAAGATCCATCTCGAGGGTAATTTCCCGAGATCTACTTAATCAAGTCTTTTTTTTTCCTTTTTCCCTTTTCTTTATGAATTCTGCCAACTAGTGTTAGATAATAACTCTCTTGAGCCACGCGAAAGGGGGGGATGGCGGGTGTTAAGGTATGACGGGTTAGACAACCCTACACCATTTTCTGACCCCCTACCCGGAGCAATCGCAAGGGCTAGGGAGGAGAAAGAAGGGAAAGCAGCACACAGGAGACCGTTGACTTACAATCTGATTTCGAATTCGCCCCCCTGTTTGCCTCAGGCAGGCGGCCAATCCGCGTTGACGACGAAGTGATGCAAGTGAGCTGTCAATTGTTGTGGAGCCACACCGACGATGCTGGGATCTGCAGGCGATCGGCCTCGTGGTGCGATCAGGAGGCAAATAATGGGATGATTTGTATTTGTTGCGGCGGGCGGGAAGGCGTTCGAGACAATCGAGTCAAGCTTGACGTATTTCGAGTATCAGATCTCAGCCATAAAGATCGGGAGATCCACATAGAGCGCAGGTCGCAGGTCGCAGGTTCGGGTCGCCCGTATAGAAATGCCCCTAAGAGATTGGCTGGTCGAAGGTTGTTAATAATCCAGGGGATAGCCCTCAAAAGGAAGAGCTTTGTTGCAGAGCAAATCACAGACACAGCCAAAGACACAGGAAAGCCAAAAAAAAACGAGCGATTGGAAAAGCGACCGGGTTGACCTGATATAGGTCTGCAACGTTTTCAGGACTGACGGATTCGGGAAGACGCAAGCAGAGGGGATCGACCTCACATTCCAATGCTGCTACCCGCTTCCAGGACCCTCGACATGTTCAGGAGGAATACTCGGAGATCAACCCCTGATACCCCTAAGCGATGGCACTCGGCATTGAACAGGGTTGAAAGGGGATTGGAAAGTGTATTGATCCATCGACCGCCTCACTATTCCTTTGGGGGGGGTTGGCTTTGTCAACGCACTGGCCACGTGAGGATTCGCCCCGAATTTATCGGGGAACTACTGGTCCAGCGGTGACGACTGCAGTCGAATTGACGATGTGTAGTCCCGTCTCAAGGTGGGTTGGACAGGTCGAATGCGTGAAGATGCATGATGTTTTGGTTTGTAGTAGTTTAGTGTGAGTGTACGAGTAGGGAGAAAGGAACGAGGTGGAGCCGGATGAGTGGAGAACACCCGCTGAGCGGAAAGAGTTAGTTAACTAGTTAGGACTGGCTGCCTGAGGATTAAGGTGTCAAGGCAGTAAGGCAGAAATATCTGACCACCTCATAGTAGGGTAATTACAAAATACTACTAGTACTAGCGAGTCTGTCAATTAGAAATACTGGTATATAAGAGGTCAAGACATCATGATCTCTACCTAGCTCTTTATCTATTTCTCCCAAAACCCCCTTCCCGTTGGCTTACCACTGACTTAGGACCTTCTATTGAGCCCCCGATGCGGCCAGCCCAAATAGGCCTTCAATAAGCATCCTCACCCGTCACTGTCTTGTGAACCTCAATTGTAACAAAGATACAAAAGAGTCATGTTGGAATCCTCCTGCCAGAGAGATCATACATTCATTTCACTCTTTTTATCTTCATCTTCAACTTCAACCCAAAATTCGATCGCTTGGAGACAAGCATCGTCTTACCATACCGACTTCATCTACATTCTGATACGACACCCACGCTCGCTATGAACTTGCTAGAAATGGTCTACTTCTTTCATTTTCTCTGGGCGTTGCCCGTTCTGTTATTGTCAAGGGCCACTCGTGGCTCCGATATCTCGCGGTTTGAGGTTCACTCGCTGCCAGGAAGTCCTTCATTGCCAACCAGCTGGGCTGGGAGATTGCCGGTGCCGGACACCCAGACAGGAAATGATCTTTTCTTCTGGTTATTCAAGACGGAGAATGTGGCTTACGATGATGACCTGATCAGTCAGTATCAGTTTCATACATCCTACGCCGCTTCTTACTAACATCTGAGTATACAGTTTGGTTCAATGGCGGCCCAGGTTGCTCGTCGTTGATCGGAATGACTACAGGGAATGGCCCTATCTCATTCATAGGCAATTCATCCGATCTCACTCTCAACCCATACTCATGGACAGAGTTGGGTCATGTTTTATATGTGGATCAACCTGTCGGCACTGGCTTCTCAACCGCCAGCACCCCATACCCAGCGAAAAACAACGCCGATGTAACAGCACATTTCGTTCAATGGCTCCAGTCCTTCCTAGACCTGTTCCCACATCTCAAATCCAAGAAGATCCACCTCATGGGTGAATCTTATGCTGGGATCTACATCCCGTACATCGCATCTGCTCTACTAGAGAACAACAACCCCCTCTCATTGAACATCCGATCAATGTCCCTCGGCGATGGGTCTTGGGGGAATGCAGCAGCAATGGCTGACGTCGCAATGGGCACCTATCTACACACCCAAGCCCACCAACTCAAAATCCCAAAATCCATCCTCTCAGCCTTCACCGTAGCAGACAATATCTGCGGTTTCACAGACACCCTCAAAAGGGCCCAAGAATACCCACCAAGCTCCAAGTTCCACGTACCCGGAAATCCAGAAAACATGAATTATCGTCGTGACTTCCCCCGCCACCGGCGCGACCTCATCACGGCCGGAGACGGCTCATGCAACATCAGCCCGATCAACGCCTCGGGAATCAACGACTCGATCCTAAACTCCACCTGCTACGGACCCTGCGCAACATTTTCCACCGCAATGGATTATCTAACAACGACCTCTGCCGCCGGCACCGGACCACCCTGCTACGACGTCTACGATATTTCCCACAACTGCGGCACAATCAGTCCACTCCCACTACTGGGAGAATATTTCAGTCAAAAGGACGTCCAGAAAGCCCTACACGTCGAAGAAAGTGGTCCTTACAGCGCATGCAATTCGACTATCCTAGGCACGCTTCTCGGCGCGACTCCGCCCACCCCGCCCGCGTACGACATCCTCCCATCCCTCGTAACGAAGCATAATCTCTCGCTGCACATCTACAATGGGAAGTGGGACATGCTGCTCAATCATATCGGGACGGAACTTTCGATTCAAAATATGACTTGGCGAGGTGGACAGGGGTTTGCGGAGCGACCTCATCGTCCGTTCTTTGCGGACAATGCGGCTCCTGTTAACGGTAGCTCTTGTAGTGCGGGTACTGGGGTTTGGGCTGCTGAGCGTGGGGTCTCGTATCATCTTTTTGACGGAGCGGGTCATAGTGTCTTTGCGAGTAAGCCGAGGGAGATGTTTTCTTTTGTGAGGGATGTGGTTGTTGGACGACGGATGGTTTAGTTAGGTGTTGATCGAGGGATAGGTAGGCGTCGGGGGATGTGGAGAGCTGGGCGTATGGTGTGTCTCTTTCGTGTCTGAACATTCGATTGCCTTGTACAGTAGCAAGCAAATTCTATCCAGATTGGTCTATTCTGATCAAATCGAGACCAAAGAATACCGTTAGCGGGTGAAATATTCGATGTACTTGTGGATCCATGGGTCAAGCGAGGTTAAGCATCGGACGATGTCGACTGAAATAATACATCAAGATGATAGAAGTAGGAAAAGCAGAATAATTTTTCCCAAGTTCAGAAATGTGTCTTCGTCATTCGCTGTGATGTTGGAATGCAAATTTCAAACTTTGCAATATCTTGACTTACTCTCTAGTTACCGATATTCACGTCTTCTTTCATAAATTTGGCGTTTTCGTATATCTTTTAATTTATTTCTCGTCCATACTTGTAGTACTTATATGCTTTTATGCTTACACTGTCCTAGAAAGCGACATCACTAGAATATGGGAGGCCTTTGCTTTTCTTGGCTGGCACAGGATCACAAGAGCAGTAACTAGCCCCAGCCATCACGACATTGCATGAGGCCTACGCGATAAGCTATTGTGAGCAGGATGCTATACCTCTTGTATCAATTTGAGGTAGTTCGTGCTCATTATTACTACTAAGTTGTAAGAAGTTGTCATCTACAGCTCATGACGACTCACTATGAGTCATGATAGACAATGTAAACAACAGCCTGAGACCTGTGATTCCCTAGTTCAGATCAGTCTCACCACTTTTGGCTTAGCTCTCCAAAACATTTGACGAGATGTCTCTGGCCATCTCTGGCCATTGATCAATATGTTTGGAATTGATTCGAGCGCTGCTGAGAAGATAGACTATAAGTAGGTCCCTCCCTCATTGCGACTGTTCCTGCGTCGACTTTTCTCGATCTTTCTTGCTGTCTATTATTATTTTAGAAACTTACAAGATTATAGTATTTCATCGCGAACTGGAGAATTTCAAGTGATGTTCTTCAAAGCTATCCATTTCGGTCCAATATGCGGATAGCATAAAAGCTGGCTATAAATTTGTCCTACGTTGAAGAGTGCTGAACTTAAATTCACTGTGATTCCAAGGTTACAATTGCTTGTTCTGAATTCCATAATCAAAATCACATATTGGTGGAATTATCCGACTCGTCAGAGAGTGCGAACATCTCCAGCATACATACCATCTTAAATAAATGCAACGCCAAATCTTTACTGAAGATTCAGAACTCCCGAACGGGGATTAGGTAAATCAGCCCGCCCGGGCAAGACCTTTTAAGTTGCTCAATGGGCTTGGTGGAACCTTCCTCCCAGGAAAGGCGGCACGAGGTACTAGTATATACACTCCGGAAGGGCTAAATGTCTATTCCCCAAAAAATACTATATTTTCGCTAATTCGAGGCAAAACTATCTATGAGCTTCTCGGTCCAAAAAAGGAGGTACATAAACTAGTCTATGGTATCATAGGGGTCAATACTTCAATTCATGATCATGAAAGATATGTCATATGGCGGAGACAGAAAATAGGCAGTATGGTCAAGCACGCTAAACAAAATGGGGCGTTTCGGTGGGTTCGTGTGTATTTCTATTCAACGACGCGTGAAGAATGGCGTCTGGGTGGGCATCGAAAGAAGAGAGTCGGCGCGCTGGAAGACGTCGCCCTCGAAGAACTTGTCACTGTACGCACTCGCTGGCGTTGATGGTACAGTTGCCTGAGCTGCTGGGCCTAGTGCCGCACTGAGTGGTGTAGCGGGGACAGTGATTGATTGAGGGGACATGCCGGCGTTGATTTGGTAGATGTTAGGGTGTGGGGCGAGAGCAGAAGTCGAGACGGAAGTCTGATGTTGCGACTGAGACACTTGCAGTGGGGGGCCGTACAGATTGCCCGGGCCGTTCGTTGGGGCCATGTCAGCAAGATAAGACCAGGGTGATGCCTCGATGAGACGACCGGCTTCGCGACTGGCTTTCTGGACTGGTCGGAGGATGATGATAATGTCTCCAGGGAGAAGTTGCATGCTGCGCACCTCCCGCAAGTCCGTAACCAAGTCTACAAACGATTGCATAAAGGTCTTGCACAGTTGCCAGAATTCTCGTTGGTTTCGAAGTCCACCGCCCGGCTCCTTGACTTTCATACTAGAGATACGCCCTCCCAATGCTTCGGAGACTTCAAGGCAGAACCTGCAGCGGCGAATGAGATTGTTCCAGAGGATTTGAATGCCTTCTGACTCGCGCGACTGCTTTGCCACTTCAAGACAGCGAGAGAATTGACGACTTGCCAATGGTAGCGCTTGGAGGGCGTTTGAATAGGCTGAGGTAAGCTGGTGGAAGATCTTTTCGAAAATCCGCTCTTCCTCAAACTCGTCTAACCCAGTCAAGGGATTGATTCTGAGTGCGCCTAATGTGGGAATAGGTGGGAATGCTTCACCGGAGCGAGGTGTTGCCAGAGAGGTCGGTACAGATGTGTTAATCATATTTGACCGACTACTGGATCGACTGCGCGAGTAGGCTGTAGCGAAGGGTGGAGTTGCGAAGCCGGGGGAGCCGATGGCTGTATGGCCTGATGCATTCAAGAGAAGAGGGGGGCCAAGAGGAAGCTGGGGATGGCGAATCGTTGTGTCACTTCGCAGTCGGCGAATCGGCGCAGAAGAGTCTCTGGTGGGGGTAACTATCGGTCGAGGGAATCGCTCGGCAGGTGCGGGTCCCTTCGTAGATTCAAAGACGACTGGTTTAGGTGTAGGGAGTTGCTTCTGGACCGGACGAAGTGGAACACTCAGGCTGGCACACGCATTTCGCAGCTCCACCAAGCTACCGTACATCATCAACATCAGCGATCGGACGTAACGTGAGTCGCCATTCGAGACAATCTTCGCGGAACTATTGCGCAGCTGTGTGCCAACGTGTGTATAAGCCATAATACACGTGTAGCATTCCCGTCTGACGGCTTCAGTCGCAAGTCGACTAGAATCAGGGTCATCGCGTAGGGTAGTTTCCGCACGTTCGAGGGCCTCGTTGAGGCGGTCAACATGCGTCGAAGCATTATAAAATACAAGCTCCAGGCTATGACGTCGTGTATCATCTTGCCGGATGACATTAATAAGGGTGGAAACATGAGAATGAATCTGAGCAAATGCAAAAAGTATGCCCTTAGCACTCTCAACGATCGGTTCAGCTGATCCTCTTTCGCCCTTGTGCTCCGGGAGGCTTGACATGCGATTAACCCAGCCGTCTCGTACACGGCGGTTCTCTTTCGGGCTGCTTGGGCTCGAAGAGCTACTACCGCTGACCGGGGTTTGTGCTGTAGGTCGTGCTCGAAGTACGGAACCATGACTGAGACCTCGCAAATGACTATTTCGGTAAGGTTTTGTTTCGTCTAATGTGCCGAGATCAGTGTTCTTGCGGGTGATGACTCCCATCCGTTTGCTGCGAGCCGCAAAAGATGCTTGAATTATTCCCTCGCTGTTGCTGCGATTCCGCTCGGCCGCTGTGTGGGGATTAACGCCGGGGCGAGAAAGACCAGCCATGTGATAATTGCCAGCTTGGTCGATGTAGGGCTGGCCAGACGCCATCCGGTAGTGAGACTTGATAGGAATCGGCGGAGGTCGGGATATTGATGGAGATCGAGAAGAAGGTGCCGATGATCCATCGCCAGTACTGGGAATGACAGGAAATCGGCTACTCAATTTGCGCTTGGGGAGGATAGGTTTGGGTGTTTCGAAAGACCCCTCACTACGAGGACGGCATTTAGTACCATTCGTTCACCAGTAAAGAGGATGACATACCTTGAATCAGCGCCGAAGTCAGGCTCCGGGGTTGTCGCTGCCTGACGACTCTTGAGGAATAGTTTTAGGTCTGATGTAACGGCAACTTCTTTTTCGTTGTCCGTCATCCCAGAAGAAACAATGTCGGTCTCTGCTCCTTCTAGTACCCGTCGCAGCGGATAGCGCAGCGGATTCCCAGCTATTTTAAGAATTTGTAGCTTATTCATATCGGACAAACCGACGGGGAGATCGTCGAGTCGGTTTTGCATGATCGATAGCACTCGCAGCGACTTCAACTTGCTGATTTCATCCGGTAGAGTGTTAATTTTGTTGCGGCTTAAATCGAGGATTTCCAATAAAGGCAATTTATAAACCTATAATAAATTAGCATAGCAATGATATTCTAGGGTGGTTCTCAAGACATACGCCTTTGGGAAATTCTCGGAAATTATTGGCTCGAATATTCAGATAGCGAAGGTGGGAGCATTCGGCGAATCGGTAGGGGATATGGAAGAGATGGTTGTTAGAAAGCGAAAGCCTTTCGGCAAAGTGGTTGGTTAGTTTTGACTTTGAATGTGGTGCTGGTGTCTAGCCAGCGAGAATAGCGACCACATACCGTTCTACCTCTTCTTTGACAATATCGACAACGGGTTCAGGTATTCGGACGATATGCGAGTGTCCCAGGTCAATGGTCAACTTCGGCTTGACAACGTCTGTGACGGCTTCACTGCCCGCCAAAGAGCGTTTGGTATCTTGGATTCCACTTTCCACCGCGCGTCGAGCCAGCTCAATTGTCTCATCATGGGTGAGCATTTTGGCCCCGGAGCCTTGCCTGCCACTGCCACTCGAGTTGTCGCCCATCGCTGTGCCTGGCCGGGATTCTTCGCCTTCGGAGCGCTGGGCGCCATCATTGTACGACAAAGGCGGGGGTACAAGGGAGTCGATGGATTTCCTTCCGCCTTCTTCATCATCGACTTCACCTCGATAAGGGCGCAGCCCTCGAACTGTGTCTTCCGGTCGAGTCATTGTCGAAAGCATAACCAGCCTCCGCCTAGGCTATCGCAGATAAAAGGAAAGGCCGAGTCGAGGTGTTTCTGGGTATTTGAAGGGTTCAAAGATTGACCAGTTCACTGGTGATCGGTCTTAATCAAGTACAGACAGCAAACACAGCCAAGTCGAACATCCTTGGCCGGCTCTAACCCACCCTCAACGGCGCAATACTAACACTTGAGGCTCAACTGTCGGGTCGGGATTCCACGGTGTAGGTGCGGTCAAAGAGGGAGTCGAAAGTACGGAGCCGCGGGCTATCGGAGTTCGTCAAAAATATCGGAGGAGTTCGAGTTGGGATAAAATCGTGTGGGTGAAACTGGGGCGTGTGGAACGGCGCAGCAGAAGTTCGGACTCGTCAGATTGCGCCGGTGGCGATGATTCACGAGACCAAGCCAAGAAATGCGACCGAGGAAAAACGGATTATTGGAAGATACAACGCACATGTGTCCCCTAGTCTCGAGGTTGTGGAAAGTGTCGACGCCTTGGGGGGGATGTCCAAGGTGAAAGGGACGTTGGACTGGAGTTGGAGAGGCTGGAAGGGCTGTGATTGGACCGAGCTCCAGCAACGGTCGTTCTCCGCGTGTTTCGTGTTTCACACATCAAGGGGAGAATACTATTAACATGTATTCCACGAGTAGGTATTACTAGGAACTAGCCTCGGAGCAGCCTAAATATTAGGCCGCTATGGTTTATTGACTACTCTTGCGATTAGACTAGATCAATGATCCATTTGCTCTCACGAAAATATGGCTATGGGAATACATCCAACAGAAAAATGAAATAATATACATGATGACCATCAAAAAATACGCCTAGAGCAGAAGCGAGGAAATGAGAAATCCATTCTCTAAGCCGACTCCTCAGTCTCCTGTGCAATGTCCGCCGGGCGTTCCGTCTCGCTCTCCATGGCGAGTTCAGGAGCACCAGACATCGCGACGACACGCTGGTCCAGCACTTGAGCCTCGAGGCGAGCCCACGTCTTCCACTTTTCGTGCTGCTCGCTCTCCAACTCCATACCAATTTCCAGATAGGAGGGGCCAAAGGTGGCACCAGTTGCCTGGGCCTCCTCAGCAGCGACCCGCCGTTGAATGTCCTCCTTTAGTCGAAGTTTGTAGAACTCGCGGCGAGCGATATCGTATGCGTTACTCTTAGTCATATCGGGGACATTGTTCAAAAGCCAAAGCTGCCGTTGGACAACACTGTTAAGAAGGAAGAAATGATGCGTTAATGATGAGCTCGACCACAAAGGGAAAACTAAGCTTGGAGTAAACCACAGGGTGAACATACCTCTCTCCATCCAGTTTCTTCCCAGGTTGCTGGATCCGGCTCCAATCATGAAACTCAAAGTCTTTGCCGGAGCTTTCCAGAACCACGCGAGGCCGGGCAAGCTCCCAGGGATGATCACGGAAGAACTCTGTTCGCAATTGATCTTCCTCGTATCGAAGTTCGACGGGCTTGAATAGACGGCTGGGCTTCTTCGGCTTGCGGCGCTTTTCTTGAACCTCGAAGACGACCTGCGGCTTCGAGGAGTCGGGGTTGGTCTGCAGGCGTTGGCGGACCAGCTGGTGCTGAGGAGTGCGGTTTCGGATCAGAGCCTCAGCTGGGGGAATATCACCAACAACCTCAACCCATTGAGGCAACTTCTTGATCTTTCCGGCGGCGAATTGGTTGAGCGCAGTCTGTCGTACCCGGAGGGCTGTGAGGTTGATTTTGCCCATGGCGGCGGGGAGAGAGGTGGGAGGGAAGAGAAGGGCCGATGTGATGACCCTAGATGGACGATATCGATAGAGTAGACGGTTGAATCAACAAGGTCGAACCGGACGGGGAATCGACAGGGCTGGGGCTCAAATCGCGAGACGTCAAAAGGTGAAGGTGGTGATGGACGCGGAGTGAAAAAGATGGGAGGGAGAATGCGCGGCCCCGATTGGTCAGCGCGGCTCCGCTGCAAAGTCCGCTCGAAAAACACCTCCAACACCTTCACATCGATCTCTCCAAGTCAACTCGTGTCTCTCTTTCCTCCCCCTTTCACTCTCGTGGGTCGCGAACCGCCTCTCGGCTCGATTGACCTGGACCCTGGGCGCTACTTGGACATGCATGGCTAACCTAGGCCCACGATGTCTGCCCTCTCATGCCTCCTCTCAATAGGTTCCCCAGCTCGTCGAGCCCGCGAAATTCCTCCAACCAGGTCGCGGGCGAGCTCCTCTTCTCTCCTTCGATGCAACACCCAAAGCCCTCTCCGTCCCGTGTCTCTATACGCCGATTCTCCTCTCGTCATACCCGTCCATCTATCGTCTCGGTAGCGGACCTGTTTGTTGGTTCGCTCATCCTGGCTGGTTACTGCCATGATCACTCGCCCCGGTGTCGCAATCTGTCTGCGATACCGCCGAGGATACCAGGAAGTCAATTGCGAACCTACCGCCGTGAAAGTGTCACGGATGGTGACAATCTCTCAACTCCAAAGCCGTGGGCGTACTCAGGGCCATGGCCGCGATTGCAATTGTCACAAGATCGATCCCAGCTCAGCACCGTTAGTGCAAGAGCTGGGGAGGAGCATGGATCAAAACATATTTCTATAAAAACATCGAAAGATACCGGGAGGAAGGATTCCGAGGGCGCGTCAACAAGCTCGGCATCCCCGACAAAAGCAAATCGCTACTAACAATTTGGCATCAATACTTCGATCCGAAAACACCTAATCACCCCTCACACCCCGACAACCAACTATCAGACGTCCATCACGAACCAAATACCCCCGAAGAACCCCTTTCCTACGACGAGAGAAGATATCTTTCGACCGCCAGTGTATATAGGAAGATCCTCGGGGAGGAATACGACTGGCAAGAAGCTGTGAAACTCGTACTACCACATCCGCACCCCCCAAGGCTTGCAGAAGGCAAATACGATTACGATGTCGACAGTCCCTCCGTTGCGGAACTCATTGAAGCCGTTCATTCCAACCCGAAAAACACTTCCCAATACCTCTTTTCACTCTATCGAAATATACCTTCACCAGGAGTCGAGAAGTTACCCGCGCGCACCCGTGGTGCCCTCCTTCGGCAGATGGCCAACCCTCCGAATCGCCGACCTGTTGATATTCGTCGCTATCTAGCATTGGTGGACGACATGATCGCTTGTGACATTCCCATGTCGCGCTCCCTGTGGACTACAGCTATTTCTTTCGCTGGTCGACGTTCAGGCAAGGGAAGGACCAAGAAGAAAAATATAGTTCGAGCTATTGGACTGTGGCAACAAATGGAGCATTATGCCAACATTGAAGCTGACGAAGTGGTTTTCAACGTCCTATACGATTCAGCCATCAAAGCTGGTGCGTTCAGCATTGCCGAACGCCTCGAGAAGGAGATGGTTAAGCGAAGAATTCCCTCCACGCGCTATTCCCTCATCCCCAAACTCAACTACCACGCAGAACGTCAAGACTTAGAAGGGATCAGTCGCACTTTTGATCGTTTCGTTCAGTCTGGAAACCTTGTCGACACGGTTATTTTGAATGGCTTGTTATCTGCATTCCTCAAAGCCGGTGATACTGAGACTGCAGAGGGGATTTATGAGCGCATGCTGCTAGCACAAAACACCAGGAAAGATACTGGTTTGCCAGCAGATGTCACGGGTCACTCGCTCTCAACGCGGTTTGAAATTTATCGATCGACCACCAAGCGGCTGGGCCGCTTGCTGAAGCTATCCGATGCCCTCAAGGATCCCCTTCCCAACCACTACCGTGCTTTCCAAGAAGCGCTTCCTCTGACGCCCGATACTCGCACATTCCATATCCTCCTTCGACATTACGCCATCACTACTGGCCGTTTTGACAAAGTTCTCTATATCATTCGTGACATGGAGAATACATTCAAATCCCCACCCCGCCACATGATCTATAGCACCCTATTTGAAGGGTTCAGTATCCACGGCAAGACCAAGAAGCAGACATGGACTGCAAATCGGCTTTGGTTGCTTTGGCACTCATACGTATGGGCGTTGATCGACTCGAGGAAATCACAGGACAGATTTCTCCCCAGGATTTTTAACTTCGGGAGACCTGGCCAACCGTTCAATACATGGGTCAACCCGTTTGCGGATGAAATGGATTCCGTCGAGGCCGAGACCAAGGCCAAGAGCGCAGATGAGAAGGCGGACGTGGCTCAAACAAAGGGGAGACCACCTACAATACAGAACAAGGCCGAGGCGACCGACGAGCTCTATATGTCTTTGCCATCCACGAATCCGAACCCGGAGCAAAACACGAGTGAGAAGTTCGGAACTGAAATGAACTTCATTGAGAGCCATGCACACGCGGAGCCCTATGATCAATCAGGAATGAAGGGCAAAGGAGGTCTCATCAAGCAGGAACTCAGCATGGAAGAATACCAGCGGTCCGAATACCTCCTCAATTCCAAGTATCTGGACAACGACCTTCAAGATCCCGAAGTTGAACACGCCTCGCGGCTCGAGGGCAGTGTTGAAAACGGGGTTTTCGTCGGTCGTTCGACCATCCTTCATGTTCTACGTGCGTTCGGCACTTGCACCCACCCCGAGGATGTCATCGAGGCATGGGAACAAATGCAGCAGCTCTGGGACCCCTTTCACCGAAATGCAGTGGATGTGGCTATCATCAGGGACGAGCTTGAACGCCAGCTTCAGAAACATTCCCTTTAGATCTCAGAAAGATTACCTTTAGATTGGAGATGTCGCGCCGACACCAATTCATGTACATTACTCATAGATTTACCATATACCGATTCTTTTATAGCGAATCATTGTTCGAATACAACACTACTTGTACATCATTTGGATTCAATTAGAAACGGTAGGCGCTTAACTCCTAGGGATATTAAATTTAAAATCGATTTGGCTTGGAAGAGTAAATGTACTAGCAAGGTTAGTGACTCCCGAGCATGAGATGACAACTATTCCGAGGTTCAATTAGTACCAACGTACGGCTCGAGAAACTGAGCACTGGTACCTCTAGGAACAAGACCTCGTTGCTCAAGGCGCTGAATAACCCGAACAGTCCAGCTCTGGGACTCTTGCAGGGAAATACTCTCGGCTATCTCTTCCAGTTCTGAGGCGTGGTCCGCGGGTATACCGGAGATCCATATTTTCTCCGCAAAATTAGGATTGTTCAGGCGCTGCACGTCTTTGACCTCGAATCTATATGGTTTGCTCCGTGCTGGTCCTCCGGCTACGTGGTACCATGTACACAGTGCTGAACCGGGGTGCGAAAGGAGGATGGTCCAGTGCGATGCGAACTCATGTCGTGGTCGACAGAATGCGACGTAGACACTATATGCTGATCCGTTTAGTGTAGACATTTTGGTAAGCTGTGCTGGATCGGGTTGGACGCGGGATTGTTGTGTTGTAGTTCAAGCCAGCTTGAATGGATGTTTAGCAGAAATCGAGGTCGTCAACTCAACATATATAGTACTAAACCAGGCCAGAATTTGAAGTCATCACCAGGGCTTTGTGTCTTTATTACAAACCACCTAGGCAGAGTCCTCATTCAACTTGAAGTTGACAACAATCTTCAAGTTCCCATTGAGCACAAAGGCGGGCAGTACATAGTACTAGTGAAGATAAAGGACCATGTCAACCCTATTGTTCCTCAAAGAGCCTTTCAATTTGAAGTAGAGCATAAAACATAGCACACGGAGTATGCATTCAGCGTTAATCTATACAACCAATCACGAACCACTATCCTGGAGTGTCTTGGATGTCATTACCCCGATCTCTTTAAGCTTTCGCGTTACTTTAAGCTTTTCCGGTTTCGTCCAGATCTATACCGATTTGGCAATGAGAACCATTCTTCCGGGGAATCACCTGACGTTTAGCACCCTGCGGTGGCGGAAAGTTTAGCACGGGCGGAATTTCCCCAATAATGAGACGTGCTGGATATTGTGTAGCTATTGCGTAGCCCCAAGAATCGCCACTGGTGACTGATGTCGAAGGATTCTTATATCGACGCCCGGGGGCGACAACCCCTGAATCGATACCACCCTGCCCTTGCCAATCTGTGAAATGAATCGTGGCAGCCATGCGCGACTCGCGAATCGATGGCCGACCTGGAATCCTCGGATTCAGCTTCCAATGCTGTACCTGGTGTCACAGGAAGCTATATGGGCAATAGCCTAGCGCTGAAAGCGACCGTTATTTTCTGCGCGGGCCTGACGATTTATAACGCCATTGAGCTTTTGATACTTATTTTCTCGACCTTTTCACGCTATGCCACTGTTTACTTCTGGAGTCTTCTTATCTCGAGTCTTAGTCTGATCCCTTATTCTTTGGGCTATGCTTTCAAATTCTTCGGAACCCTGACAGGGAACGCGAAGTGGGCTTCTCTTTCGTTGTTGACTATCGGGTGGTATGTTATGGTCACAGGCCAAGCCGTTGTTTTATGGTCTCGACTACACCTTGTCGTTACGGGTGGCAGTGGAAGCAAGATCCTTTTATACACCAAGTGGATGATTATCTTCAATGCTATCTTCCTCCACATTCCTACCACTGTGGTGACCTTTGGTTCATTCGGCGATCTTGACACCAACAACTTTGTCAAAGCTTACAACGTTGTGGAAAAGTTTCAAATGACAGGCTTTTTGTAAGTTCTTCCATTTCAAGTTTCCTCTCTACCTACTTGAGAAATTCAAGTCAGAAGTTAATCCGCTTTCAGTGTCCAAGAGACAATCTTGTCATTGATATACATCATCGCGACGGTGAAACTTCTCCAAGGATCCTTTCGAGAAAAGAGCCGTCAGCGCATGTACTTGCTGGTTACTATCAATATCGTTATCATCCTGCTGGATGTGGGACTTCTCTCAATAGAATACGCCTCCCTCCTGATTCTCGAAACCATACTCAAAGGTGTATTCTATTCGATCAAACTCAAACTCGAATTTGCGATTCTCGGTCGCCTCGTCAGCTTCGTCCGCAGTGGTCAAAGAGGTGCCGTTGAATGTGCTAGTGATAACACTGGTACTAGCTCGTTCTCGGGCCAGCGAACACAGACTTCTCAGACAAGATCGATGGATCAGGGCTTGGAAGAAGGACATACTCGACATCTAGAAGATATGAGTCAGACTCATGATACTACATGTGTGCCTCGTCGCCCGCCACAGTCACAAGGGTCATCCGGTTCACAAATACCATTCAAGGAGATGATCTCTGAGAAATAATATAACTCCTTTGGCTGTGTCAATTACCCTTTTAGTACCAGTGTTTTCTATCCTTGATGTGGCGGGGTTAGCGTTGCATGAACTCATTTGTTCATAGTAAATCGCAACCTCCCAATTATTTGAGTCATTCTCTAAGCATTTGAAGGTGAGAAATTGAGATATACCAATGCTTTCCTTATTTTAATCAGGCACCTGGGTATAAGGCAATAAAGAGAATGAATAAAATTATATATATAAGAAATCGTTTATGGCATATAGTCCATCTCTAATCTCAAATTGTCAAAAAACGGTTGAGCCCGGCTCAACAAAAAGGCTAGTTCCATAACGGACCATTTTCCAATCTTCAAGAGCCATAATGACTTCGATCGTCCACTGCTCCGAATTATATCCATCGGCCTCTCGGTAAAGATTTCCAATACTCCAATTTTGCGAATCACGTAAGGGCACAGAAGCCAGGATTGTATTGAACCGGTCAATCTGTGTCGACGCAAGGGTGGCAATGTGCTTCTTGTCTATAATATCATCACCGTCGAGTGGTCTGAATGATCGAACGTGGAGCTCATAATGAGACAGACTTCCTGCTCTTCGACTTCGGACTATATGGTACATGGTGCCGTATTCCAATCCCGGATGGGCAATCATGATAGACCAGTGAATGCCCTTTTCACCGAAGAGAATGGGCTTTGGTCTGAGAAATGCCACATGTATATCATATTTAGAGATGTCAGCTTGACGAATCATGTTATTTCAATTGAATTTCTGGAATGTCTGCTCACTTGATTATTTTCGTGAGTGAGATCGGAGAAAAGTCGAAGGGCTTTGGTGGGTTGTGGCAAGAATATACCTTTCAAATCAACAAAGCGAAAGTTTTTTCATACCAAAGTAGACTACCGTGGTTCTTCGTTTCTGATATTTGAGGCTGAATCAGGATCGGTTTGGGACCGTCCTTGTGCAAGCCTATCAATGCAAAGAAGACCACAATCTGAAACATAAAAAATTGGGCAACCTTTGTTCTATCTTTTTTTCTTCTTGTTTTTTTTTTTCTGGGAATGATTTCCATTCTATCAAATGAGAGTTATCATAGAAAGCCCTTGAGTTGTTAACAAAGAGGTTTAATGTTGTCTTTATGTGTGTATCATGATCTGTGCCAACTTGTACGTCATGATGTACTTACTTTTCCTACGCAATTAAGCCCAAGCCCACACATGACTTAGTTAACTCTTAACGGCTCACTAATCACGATAGCATTATCCATATTTTAGAAGTTGTTAATAGGCCATCGATGAACACTAGACCGTAGTAACTTCGGGTAAAAGTTTGGATGTCCCAAAGTGGAAATATGGATATGCTCACGTGATCACGTGTCTGCTCGGGCCGGCGCGACGAGTGCAAGTAACCTCCTCAACACTACTTTTTGATCATTCAGATCACTCTGAGATGCTTCCAAATGGATAATCGGAGAGTACTTCCGGAAAAAAAGCCCGATCTAGAGTTTTACTTGCATCGTGTCTTCCGCAAAAAGTCATTCCGGTCAGTAGCGCCATTCAACCGGACGCGAATCAACAAATTCCCTAACAATTTGATAGACCACTGCAGCGAGAGGTGATCTCTGCTGTCGCTGAAGGCCATGATGTCTTTCTTCAGGCCTCTACCTCCTTTGGCAAAAGTCTTTGCTTTCAACTTCCGGCCGTCATGGGCACTGGGTGTAAGTAGTACTACCGGCTATTTTGGCGCGCAAATGAAGGCTTCCTGCTGACTTTGGTTGGACAGTGACTATTGTCATTTGCCCTCTTCTTGCGCTGATGGTAGGCGAAATACTGTTCTAAATATGCCACTCTTCAATTGACACTGGAATAGATGGACCAAGTCAATGCCCTCCAGGCAATTGGTGTGGCTGTCTCGACTATAAACTCAAACACGCCTCTGGCCGAGAGACGTCTCATCCTGGACGATATGCTCTCGGGCCATCCTCGCACTCGACTTCTCTATGTGACGCCCGAGCTTTGCCAAACTGATAGTTTCCGCCGGAATCTTCAGGTAGTTCACAAGCAGGAGCAATTGAACCGCATTGCTATTGATGAAGCCCACTGTATCAGTGAATGGGGCCATGACTTCCGCCCAGCATACCAAGAACTGGGCTGGTTCAAAAATAATCTCATCAACCCGGCCGTTCCCATCACTGCACTCACTGCTACGGCCACGCCGCGTGTTCGCTCAGACATAATCAACATGCTAGGTCTTGACACTGCAAAGCTTCGACTATTCAACACGCCGTCTGCTCGTCCGAACATCCACTACGAGGTCCGATACCTAGAAGACTATTCCGACGATGGAGATTCTCAAATCCACAATCTTCTCAAGTGGCTCAAGGCAATTCAAACCCGACGCGCCGCGCGTATTGGCGCTGAAACCGCCGCCAAACTCCCACCGGTATCAGGCATCATCTACGTTGGGCTTCGCGCTATGGCAGAACAGCTTGCTGTCGAGCTTTCGCGAGAGAGTAGCGTGTCTGCAGTTGCTTATCACGCTGGGTTAGCCCCACAAGAACGAACTCGGATTCAAACACTGTGGACCTCGTCACAACCATGTGAACAATCCAAAGATGGGAGCGCCTCGCCAGCCTTCTCGATTATTGTCGCAACCAATGCGTTCGGAATGGGTATTGACAACCCACATGTCCGCTTCGTGGTGCACTGGACACCGCCTCGCAGTTTCGAAGGCTTTGTCCAGGAATCTGGCAGAGCAGGTCGTGACGGCCGAGCTGCTGCATCACTCGTATACTACAATACGCAAGAACGAGACCGGATTCATGACCGTCTCTGTCGGGATGCGGAAAATGTTAAGAATCGCGGCGGGCCGAGACAACATGTTGATAGCTTGTTGAATAACCAGACGGCCCGGCTCGAGAGCTTCCAGAAGGTGATTCGCTATTGTGACAGTATTTCCAAGTGCCGGCATGATATGATCAAAGACCTTTTTGGTGATTTTGAATTGGAGGAAATGGGGTCGCAGCAGCCGCCCTCATCGCAGGCAATCGGAATCGGCTCGTCGCCCTGTGACTTTGCTTGTGACTTTTGCAAAGAAGGTCGAGGTGGGCTGGCGAAGAGGAAGAGGAAGATGGTGCCCGATTACAGGATGGAGGTCATGTATGAAGGTTATGACTGATGAAGGGACTTCAACTTTTGTGTATATAGTAATATTATATGGGTGGTTCCATGTTTTTGCATAATTTCAAGCTATTCTTTCCCTTCTTCTGCGATTCTTCATATGCCTACTATGGGTAGCGAGTGGCATCTGCAAGACATGATTAGGTATTGAACTGTTCATAATGATCAGATTATTAGACGTGCGAAACCAGAGAACTAGTAAGTAGCTGCATCTCTTCAAAGCGGAGAATCCGAGGCCTGAGTTAACAGATAAGCATCCATATAGATATCCCATAGTAAGACTGTGATTAGACTGCAGGAGCAGGGAAAAACTGAAAGAGGGTTTACACGGGCGAACAATTAACTCCTATTTAGCAAAATATCACATCCCACAAATATTGCATAAAAAGATCAAATCGCTTAGCCTTTCCTCACTTTTGAATATCAAAACTTCAAAATCTCTTGTGTTTTATGTTGGTTGTCATCGTAGGTTGAAAAATAACCTGATCACATTGGCGGGGTCATAAAACCTACAGGCCGGGTGGAGGAGGGATCTGGGAGAGTTATTAGCAGCTTGATATGGGTAGAAATAAATACATGGCACTTACCGCACTGTAGCTACCTCCTCCACCAGGGGCTCCACCGGGAGGGGGAGGCGGTGCCTCACTCGCCGGAGGAGGTGGAGGAGGAGCGGTCTCTGCCGCTTGTTGCTGCTGTTGCTGTTGAGCGGCGGCTGCTTGGTAGTATTGGTAGTAGGCGACATAGTTTTGGTATCCACCGTAGGCGGCATAGGGGTCAGCTCCGTAGTACTGTGCATACTGTGCGCTGTAGTCAGCGGCGCTGTTGGCGGTAGCACCGGATCCAGTAGCGGCCTGGCCTTGGCCACCGGGACTAGCAGCAGCAGGAGAGTTCGAGTGCTGATGACGGTCGTTGTAACCGCCGTAACCACCGCCACGACCGCCGCCTTGGTAACGATCCCCATGGTATCGGTCGCCGCGATCGCCGCGATCACCACGGTCACCACGGTCACCCCGATCACCTCCGCGGTAGCCGCCGCGATCACCGTAGTTGTTGTACTGAGGCGGATTATCTTTGTGGCGCTGGTATTGTTCACGGACGTTGGCAAGCAAATCTTCGCACAGTGCCTTTGCTTCTTGGACATCATTGGCATCCGGACCACTTTGATATAGGGTTAGTTGGAGCTCCCATCTCATTAATAAGAGTTGGGGTGGGATGTTGGTACTCACGCAACGTGCAAAAACATCGACTCGTCACTTTCTTGGCCAGTACTGGATTCAATAAATCCAGAGCCACGGCCTTTTATCTGGACACGGCAGCGGGTCTTCTGTTGGATATGCTTCACATACGCACCACCCTGACCAACAACCTGGGCACGCAGATTGAATCCGGGAATGGGCTCCAGGTCAATTGGGATACGCTCATCCGGCCATTTGCGCTGTAAATAGTTAGTCATTTTGCTTTGCTTTGCCAAAGTAGAAAAATGCAATTCCATACACGGCCGTACTCATCCCGCTCAACCTGCTGTTCGGGTTCCCGTCGGCGGAACCGACGCTCGTCGACCAGGTTAGGGAGTTCCTTTTTCATCATATCGTCAATCAATTCGACGGCCTTGTCGAGGCCTTCTTTGGTTTGGCTTGTGATGTGAAGATAGAGAGGGGGGGTTCTAAGAAGTGTGGTCAGGAATGCCCTACAATCTCGCGATGAATAGATGACTTACAGCCGCTGTCGACATGCTTTTGTCTGGGAAATAGCTTCCGCGGGTCGTGACATCTTGTAAAACAGTAAGTCATAAATCTTTTCGTCAAAATAACAGAAAGAGGGCGTACCGGCGCCAGTTTCATCTTTAATCTATAAGTCACGCAGCGGAGGTCAGCAGTTGCAAAAGAGGGTTTGTGAGATGCTATGCATTTAGTGGATTGGGTAAGCTTCAGCCAGCCACACAAGGGTATGAGAGCAAAGGAAATAGGGTAGTTTGCGAATAGACCTCGGCAAAGGCAGTGCACTCGATCTTCAAAGGAAGACTGGAGAATCAGCTAACGACAACAGGAGCAATTACCAATTTCTGAGTAGAACCTTTCGTCAAGGTGTAGCGATTGCGCAGATCGTTGATCTCAAGATCCTTGATGTAGTCGCCATCCGTAACATACGACTCGCGAGGCTTGCCGTCCGCATCAGCGGAGTTTTCTCCTGCTGGGCTGTCGGTCTGCGACAGTCAGTCAGTCAGTTATTGATAGCCACGTTTCCAGAAGCAACAAGTATATACCGAACGGATTGGAGGGACATCAACATGTTGGATGCCCTTCTTGGCTTGAAGCTGGGCGTTGATCTTGGCCGCAGCGGCAGCTAGTCAAACGATACTTGTTAGAAAGGAGATCACTCAGAGGGCTGGGAGAAAAGTTCAAGGCATACCTGCTGCCGCAGCAGGGTCGGTGGGAGGTTTAGAGGCAGGGCTATTGGGTTCGCGACTGAGCGGGCTGCGGGTACGAGTGGACTCAGATTGTTTGGCAGATGGCGATCGCGAACGACGATCGAATCGGGAGCGACGAGGCTCTGGTTCGGTTTGGTCGAAGCGAGATCGCTTGGTTTTGCGCTCGTCGTCGGCCATGGTGAGGTAGAAGCGAGGTAAGGTGACAGGGGGACAGAGACAAAGGTCTAGGTAATTTGCGAAAGGGTCCCAAGTTTGGCGAATGGAGAGAAGGCGGTCGAGAATGAAAGGATGACCAATAAATCCTGTTCCAGTGGAAATTACACTTCCAATTGGGAGTAGATTGGATCAGCTCCCGGGAATTATAATGGGCGTGTGTAGGAGACAGTCTTCCCCAAAGGCACGATCACTGGCACTTTCACGTTTGACGATAAATTGCTTTGATATTCCTCGCGCCCGGAAATTCCTAGTCACGTGGAGCTGCATAAAGGTTATTCCCAAAATGGACTAGCGTTGGTGGTGAGTCAGCCTCGCCGAGGTCGGAAGAGCAAAAAGAATCCGGAGAACCCATCGGGAGTCTGGAGTGATTCATCGCACTACTTCTTCCAATTCTAAAGTAGTCATGGCCTTCAGACGCCCCTCGACGCTAGCAGCGTCAGCGTCGCTGTTCTCCTCCGCAGTTGCTGCTGGTCGATCTCGCACTGCTACCGCCCTGCCCCGATTCAATGCCACCCGCTCTTCCTCTAGCTCGACCTCAGCACTGGCATACAAGGCATTGCACCGTCGCTCTCCCCTGCCTCTGCCGGTCTCCGATGCCTCGCCTCAATGGGATGCCCCGACTGCCGTCTCGAGCATTCTGTACGAGACTCCCGTGCCTCCCTCCAACCCACCCAAGCGTCACATCCTGAACTGCCTCGTTCAGAACGAGCCCGGTGTGCTATCCCGTGTGTCCGGAATTCTGGCCGCCCGTGGCTTCAACATTGACAGCTTGGTCGTGTGCAACACCGAGGTCGAGGATCTCTCCCGCATGACCATTGTGCTGAAGGGTCAGGACGGCGTGGTTGAGCAGGCTCGCCGCCAGCTGGATGACCTGGTTCCCGTCTGGGCTGTTCTGGATTACACCGAGTCGGCTCTGGTGCAGCGTGAGCTTTTGCTCGCCAAGGTCTCCATCCTGGGCCCCGAGTTCTTCGAGGAGCTCCTCCAGCACCATCGCGAGATTACCATGCCCACTGAGCACCTGGACAAGACCAAGCAGGGCCACTCTTTCGAGCAGATCGAATACCACCCCCGCAACCTGCCTCAGTCTCAAGCTCTGCGCCACAAGCATGAGCATCTGGATGCCATCACCCGCCTGACTCACCAATTCGGTGGTAAGGTCCTGGACATCAGTACCAACAACTGCATTGTCGAGCTGTAAGTCCTAGCTGACCCCCAGTCCTCTCGGTCCACCTTCCCGCAGCTCTTACTGACCTTATCTCCAAATAGCTCCGCCAAGCCTAACCGTATCGACTCCTTCCTCAAGCTCATCGGTCCCTTCGGTATCCTTGAGTCCACCCGTACCGGTCTCATGGCTCTGCCCCGTTCCCCTCTGTCCGAGCAGAACGAGGACCTCGAGAAGGAGGCCGCTGACGTTGTCGATGCCAGCACCCTGCCCCCTGGCTAAATATCTACCCCAAACCCACCAATTCAAAGATCTACATACCCAATATGATTTGGTTTATTTGCTGCGCGCCGCCTTGAGCTTCAGGTCTCGATTCCATGCTATAATATTCGTGGTTCTCCTAGTTGATGTAAAATGTCTCATTATCTTGGCCTTTTGCATGCGTTTCAAGTTCTTTTTGTAGCAATACTGTAGGCATATGAAACGAACCGTCAAAAGTCTCCTCCCTTTCCTTTCTCAAATAATCAAATGGCCGTGATCGGCCGCGTCCATACCTCAACACTGCCACTACCTATAGTCTAACATTTGCAGCAATCCCTTTACCCCGATAGAGCACGATATCGGTGTACTGCAGAACCTTGATCCCAATTTTGGCCACCGCGTCCATTTCTAGCGATTGTCCGAGTGCCTTGCGCAGAGCGTCGTACCCAACGCCACCCAGTATCAAGTCGACTGGAATACGCGGAGTTTGAGATATACCCGGCGGGACGTCGAAAGGTTTATAATACTTTATCCTGCCCAGAGGCTCGTCTCCCTCGTAATAGGCAGTCGCCTCGATTGAGGTGATTGTGATGCTCGTCCTGTTTAATGGCGAGAAGAGGGTGAAATCAGTGGTTGATGACCAAAGATGAAGCTATAGAAGTCCCGCTATTAGCAAGAATAGCCCTTGCCATTGCCGGATTCGAGGGATAGAGAAGGAGTAAATAGATTGAGATAGCGATGGAGTGGTACTTACCGTTGCATCCTGGATGAAATGCGGCTCATGTTCTCCATGGTTGGGGGATCCTGGTGTGGATAGGGCGGGGATTGAAATGTTGATAGGAATAGCTGACAATGCCTTTCCTAGTTGAGGAATGGCTGGGATTGATCTTTCGTGGGCTCGAACAGAGACTATTGTGTTATAACCTGGAATGAGATTTAGAGTCATGATCATGATACAAGGTTAATGGGCCATCTGGGAATGCACACCTGATATGTAGGAAGAAACGAGGGTTCGTCCAGCTTCCACACCATCAGTCCCATTCATCTCCAATGGGCTCCAGGAAAGTTCTACCGGTATATTGCTGTTGTTTCCGGGTTGGACATCTATATTGCGGGCAGTGATATGGGCAATGGAGGACCCATTGTATAACACCAACAAGTCGACAAAGGGAATCGTTGCCAAGTAGCTTGTAGGGTTTGTAAAGTTCACCTCAATTGAGGCCGAGAGCGATGACTCTGTAGAATTGTTCAAAGACAAGGAACCCACACGAAGATTTAGATGATCAAGCGGGTTGCCGGTTGGAGCTAGGAGCAAGTCAATGACCGAAATAAACAAAGCTAGATTCAAGTTTGTACTATATATCTAATTTATGGAAATCACGAGAACATACTGTTCACAGGGACATCCCCAGAAGCCGGGATGCCACGTACTGTCAAGCGGCCCAGGCCAGTCTCGACCTTTGTATCTACGGTGGCAGCAACGTGCAGAACCACTGCCTTGTCACCAAACAGCATCGCCTGAACAACCTGCGACAATACGTCACTGTCGGTCACCTCTAATGGGGCGTCCTTTATAGCAAACTCTACCAGTAGTGCGGCCAACCCATCCTCGTCTTCTGTCATAGTCGAGTTGGAATCTTGCCACTTGTCGAGGTTCAAGACCCCGAGCTGGTTACCTCGATAGAACACATTCGCTATGGCTCGAACGCGAGGAACATCGACTTGGAAGTTCATCTCCTCTGGCAAGCCAATGAGAACCTTCATAACAGCCGACACCGATGGCTGTGCTTCTGGTGTATTGGGCTCAGCGAAAGGATCAGGGAGCGAGAAATGTGTATCCGTCATGGTGAAGTTCTTGACCAGGTCATCCAAAGCATGTCCCGTGAAAGGGAATGGCACGGTGACACTGCGCAGTAGAGTGGCTATCCAGTCGGGTGTTTGAGCCAGTGGAGCTTCCGCACCACGAACAAAGATGGTGGTTTCCTGGCCTTGAATGAAGCCCGAGACTAATAGATCCAAAGGCGAGTCCCTTCCTCCCGGGCAGCTGCTCGTCAACTCATCGGGTATTCTTTTGATCAGACCCTTGGCGTTGACATTAGTTGGCGCGTTGGTATGAACTGTTACCTCTGCTGTGGAGGCATTGGCAACCATGATAAGCGGCTCGCCGGGTGAGCAGTTGGGCACAAGCACGTCGAATCCAAGAGGTGGTATTGTCAGTGCGATAGGCGAATCAATCTTTGCAGTAAGAGCCACATCAACGGCCATGGCTCCATTTTTAGCGTCATGTACGTTGAACCTCGTGAGGCTGATCACAGGTAGGGCGGGGAAGTCATGTTCTATGTAGTTCATGTTAGTGCTATGGTGGCAAATGGGCATATCAAGATCATTTACCTTCAAATGTGATTGTGTCGGTGATTATTTGTTCGCCGAGGGCAATGAGACCGGTCGACAGGTGTAATGTAGCCTTGCCACGGATTCTCAGGCGATCCAGTCTGCCTTCTATCCAATCCATAGCAATCGAATGTATACCTTCGACGTCTCCAGCCGCCAAATCGGTAAGAAAATCGAGGTGGTTCTCATGTCCATTTTGGATGTTCACTTTGATAGAGGGTAATTTCGCCGTGCCAGCGAGAACATTGCCGTACTCTGGCAGATAAACTTCAAGGTCCGACTCGCCCGACTCAACCTCCCGTGCTATCCAAGTGGCGATTCTGCCAAATCTTCGAATCGAGTTACTCTTCACACGACTCGCATCCATGACAAACTCGCCCTGGACACGGGCGCGAACACCATCGGGAGTTGTTGAGTCTATTGATAGCGCGGTGGGGTTGAATACTGCAGCTTGCTGGGCATACTCTTTGACGACAGCCGGCGCGGCAAAGGCGAAGATCAAAATAGATAGGACTCCGGTCGTCAATAAAGCAAGAGATATGATGGTCGGCCATCGCACTCGGCTGGGTTTCTTCTGAGCGCCTCCTTCGGTCGAGGCCGATCTTCGAGATGCAGACGAGGAAGGTCGTTCAGTCCCGTAGGCTGCGGCATCATCGCGGCGATGCAGTAGTGGTGTGGATTCGGAAGATAGTTCAAATGATCGGCGAGGCTGGTCTGGACGGGTTCCTAGTCTTTGTTGGGATGGGGATGGGGATGTGGATGGGGTGGGAGAGGAGGAGCGGGCCTGCCCGTCCAGCAAGGGCCTGCTCGCCTCCGTCATGAGTGTATTGATATGGTCGTAGTGAGTTTGAATAGTAGAAGTAACTTTCCCCCTCTCTCTTCCTGTGTGACAGTGACAAAGTGATCTGGAGGGGGAGTGAGATGGAGATAGTGGAGTGATAACGGGGACTAGAAGTGTGGAGATCCGATGATGTCGACTCGACACCTGATTCAGGCCAACACTTGGCGCCGAGGCCGGCCACTCGCGTTCGTACTAGGAGTGCACTAGGCTATTATAGGTTAGCCCCGACCCAGCACCCACCAGTCACCAGTGGAGCAACCAGCAAACCAGCAAAAGTGCACCGCGGGCAACTGCACCAACAGCACCAGCCATGATTTTCCTCCGGATTTGATTTGACTCATTGCTGGTCCCTTTCAATTTCCCCCACCGCTCCCCCCTCTACCCCCAATTGCACTCACCCACTCACTCTCACTCTCTCTCTCTTTACACACCCACTCTACACCCTCACCTCCACCTGCACCTCCTGTATTTCCTATCTCCAAGTCCACAATGGCTAGCGGTCTTCAAGCTGCCGCCCGTTATGGCGCCCAAAGTGTAACTCAATTGGCCGGCTCCACCTCTTCTTCCCTGAGTCGAACTCTTCAGGCTAATGGTCTTCGACGATTTGCCCACCAGACACAAACCTCTCCTCCAACCTCTCCTTTCGCCCCTCGCCATCTGCTCTCCATTGCAGACCTGACCCCCGCGGAGTTCGCAACCCTGGTGCGCAATGCCTCCTCCCACAAGCGCGCTATCAAGTCCGGAGCTATCCCGCAAAGTCTTATTGGAGCCCTCTCCGGTAAGACCGTCGCCATGATGTTCAACAAGCGCAGCACCCGTACTCGTGTCTCGACCGAAGCTGCCACTGTCCAGATGGGCGGTCACCCCATGTTCCTCGGCAAGGAAGATATCCAGCTCGGCGTCAACGAGTCTCTCTACGATACCTCCGTCGTCATTTCCTCCATGGTTTCCTGCATTGTCGCGCGTGTCTCCAAGCACTCCGACGTGGCTGATCTGGCCAAGCACTCCACCGTCCCCGTTATCAATGCCCTCTGCGACTCCTTCCACCCTCTGCAAATTATTGCCGACTTTGTGACTATCTATGAATCCTTCACTCCCAAGGCCCACAATCTTTCCAGTCTGGGTCTGGAGGGTCTGAAGATTGCCTGGATTGGTGATGCCAACAACGTCCTGTTCGACCTGGCCATTGGTGCGACCAAGATGGGTGTTGACATGCACGTCGCCACACCCAAGGGCTACGAGATCCCCGCCGACATGGTCGACCTGATCCAGCGCTCTGGTGAAGGCGTTGCCTCTGCCGGCAAGCTTATCCAGACCAACACCCCCGAGGAGGCTGTCAAGGACGCCGATATCCTGGTCACCGACACCTGGGTCTCTATGGGCCAGGAGGAGGAAGCCAAGAAACGCATGAAGGCCTTTGAAGGTTTCCAGATCACTGCCGACCTGGCCAAGCGTGGTGGTGCCAAGGAGAACTGGAAGTTCATGCACTGCCTGCCCCGCCACCCGGAGGAGGTGAGCGATGAGGTCTTCTACAGCCCTCGCTCCTTGGTGTTCCCCGAGGCGGAGAACCGTCTGTGGGCGGCAATCTCGGCTCTGGAGGGCTTTGTTGTGAACAAGGGCAAGATTGTGGAGTAGATGGAGACATCCCAACAATACCCACCAACAATAAAATCAAAAAAATAAAGGACGACAAAAAAAGTCTGAGGAGGGATATTCTTCTTGTGTTCACTCCTTCTGAGCGATTTCGGGAGTTGACGTTTTCGGGGAATATACATAGAGCTTTTCATTCGAATGTAATTATTCATTTTTTTTTAAAAAAAAAGAAAGAACAAAAAAATCCACTAAATCTTCCCGAGACCCGTAAGACTCCGTTCGTATAGAGGCTCTCCACTCGGAAGCACCAATGACGTTGATGATTATTCTCTTTTTAAGGTTCCATAAAGTTGGTGGCTCGGCATGCCAGGGTTTCGAATACCCCGTACCCTAGAGTGACCAAGGGTACGGTACTACTTCTGCCGCTAGTTCCGGTAAGCAACTGATAAGATTGTGCCCATCCGATGGTTAGTGGGGCCATCGGATGCTGCCAGGCTGGTTATGTGGCGGGGCTTCCGATGGCATCCACGGTGAGGGAGGGGCACTGCCGGGGCTGAGGAATATAACCAAGCTTTATTCGTTATGTTTTGTATGAGGTAGGACAGTCGACTGTATTACGGATTATAGCTTTTGATCTTGCTATTCCCACCTGGGCATGCAGAAAATAAGGAACTCGAATGTGATAGATCATATGTACTAGATATGAGAATGGTAACCACTGCAGCCGATCTCGGTCCGGCAAAAGGAATATGCATCTACGTACTTCAAATATAACATCATGATCATTAGTTACCGTACTAAATCAATCCGATATATTTAGTACATGATCAACACGGCTCCTTCTATCCGGTCATCAAACAGTGCCTATTTCTCCGTAGGATCGACCGGGATATCCGGGCCAAAGTCCTCGGAAGAGTGACAGCTTGCAAGGTTGCCAATCCCCCCCCACACTCTCTCCACGCTCCGAAAAGCCACCTCCAACTTGTAAACCATCGGATCAGTCATTCTACAGGCGGGGTACTCCCGATTGCAATACAAACTATTTGACTACATATATCTCGTGTTCGTCAGTCCTTCCTGCCCATATATTTCCCACCATATCACCTGCATTGCATTCGAAAAACTTGAGCTCAAGCCTGGAGCCACATCACACGCACATACAACCCCCACATCTTGAAATAATGGGTTTCGCAGACAAGCGCGTCGCCATTGTCGGCGGTGGCCTAGGAGGCACAGCCTTCCTAAACGCCGCCCTCTACAGCGGACTGAAAAACGTCCAGCTTTACGAGCAAGCACCCCAATTCGGCGAAGTCGGCGCCGGCGTGAACATCACTTCCAACGCCAATCGCGTTCTCGACGCCTTCGGCCTGAAAGAAAGCATGACCGCAAAGTCCAGCCGCAAACTACCCTCATACATGGAATATCACAGCTACCAGACCGGCGACTACCTCGGCCACATTGAAGAATTCTCGCAACCGCCCGCCCGGCTACTGCACCGCGCGCATCTACTGGATTCACTGAAGGAGCGTGTTCCTGAATCCTCTCTTAACCTGGGCAAGCGACTGTCATCAATTGATCGAAACACGGACGGCGCTACTGCGCCATATACCCTCCATTTCGAGGACGGTAGCACCGCCGAAGCAGACATCGTCATTGGTTGCGATGGTATCAAGTCGAATGTCCGTCTTGATATGGGTCTGGGAGACTCACCGAATTACTCGGGCCAGGTTGTTTACCGCGGCTTTGTAGACTACAAGGACCTTCCATCCGAGACGGCGCAATTACTTCGGAAGACGGTCAATTTCCGCGGTCCGAAGTGCCACGTTCTGATTCTTCCTATCGGGAATGAGGAGACGAAGACTGACCGTGCGGCTGTTATTGGATTTATGTCTGAGCCGCTTGATGCGTGGGATTCGGAGAGTTGGATGTCTCGCTCTGATATCGATAGTTTGCAGGAACATGTTAAGGACTGGTGTCCGCAGGTGCAGGATATCATTACCGGTTTGCGTAAGGGCTCGGCGGATGGGAAGATGTTGAAGCAGGCGCTTTATGTGCGCGATCCGCTGGATAAGTGGTTCGAGATGAAGGAGGGTCAGAAGGATGCGGGTATTATTTTGCTGGGTGATTCGGCTCACTCTACGCTGCCTCATCAAGGTATGTTCGTCACTTTTTGTGGCTTGACGTCTCCTCCCCTACCACCGATCCAATTGACTAACTTGTATCGAATAGGTCAAGGAACTTGTATGGCTATTGAGTCTGGTATTGCCCTCGCGACTATTCTGCGCCACTGGAAGGGAGATGATCTCGTCGCAGCCTTCCAGTTCTACCAGGATCTCCGCAAGCCCCGGACAGACCGTGTCACGCAGACTAGCTACGAGGCTGGTAAGCTGGCGAGCTCTGATAGCCCTGACCAGATGACCAATAACTTCAACCCGGAGGCGTTGGGGGAGCGGATGAAGTGGATTATGGAATATAATGTTCTGGAGGATTTGAAAAGCAAGGGGGCTGGTGTGCTGGACTTTCAAGACTCGAGACTTTAAGCTCGTGATTTCTGTTTGAGGTCCACGGTGTTATAGATGATACTTTAGCCACTCTGTATAAATGATTGTTATGATTGTTCTATTCTGGGATTTGTTCGGTAGTTGTAGGCATGGGTGTTAGATTCAAGTTCAATTCACTCCGAGTCTACTAGTACTTGCATTATCCAAGAATCTTGGAAGTTCAACTTGAAGTTGTTCAACTTGTTTACTAGTCGTAGAGGTAATGCAGGTGGGGTGATGGATGCAGTGATGTTCCCTCGGTCAGACCACTTATAGTATATAGTAGTACTACTCCAGAATATTCTCAGAGATCGGGTGACAACATCTCGCAGCCATATTTGCCACCCCTCCGAAAGCCTATTAACGTGAAATCGAATAAAGAATCCTAATTCCACCTACGATAGTAACATACCGTCCGTATTGCATGATTCATTTTGAACCGAGCACGGCCGTTTTCACATGCCAACCCGCACGTGCAGCACCTCCGCATTTCTAGACATCTCGACAATTCCGAGTCCTCTTCTCTTCCTCACCACACCATGGAGGTAAGTATACTACTAGTATGCTACTAGTAACCCTCCATCACCTAACCCCGAGGCTATCAACCACTGGCACTGGCACCTATCTAACAAACCATTAGTTAAACAACCCAGGGGGCTTTCGCTCCCGACGCTCATACCCCAACCTCCACCACGTCTCCCTCGCTCCACTCACCCCCCGATTCCCCATAGACGACGACATCGAACCAACAGACTACTTCAGTCCACGCGACACTCTCGAACCAACAACTAGCGGATCCAAAACACCCCCACGAACTTCGTACTTCTCCAGCGTCTCCGTCCCCAGCACTCCACCCATCCTCTCACATTCGCGAAGTACATCTCGCACCCGGCACCACCACCGAAGCAAAAGCTCCAGCCGCGCCACAACATTCAGCGATTTAAACCTGCAATCGCATTCCAGGGAACTCTCTCTCCCAATCCACCACCAGAGTCAACATCAGCATAAGAAAACATCCAGTTCACCCCATATACGCCGACAGCAGAGCGAATCCGCCCACAGCCATGCCCATGCCCAACCCCACACCACCAAATCAGACGCAGAATGGATGCTCCGCGCCGGAATAGCCCTCGCCTCCTCGACCCGTGAAGAAAAAGGCCAAAGCTGGCTATCCAAGCGCGAAAGTTCGACCAGTCTCGTCTCCGAGATCCCCATCGACAATGAGACGGCGCCGCATCATCGGCACCACTGGCGCACGAAGTCGGGGTCATCGCGAAAGTCTCGGCCTGGGTCCGGTGCGTCGACGCCAGGAGGGATGACTCTTTCTAGACGGAGTTCTCGATCTAGAGGGACGAGTCGACGGGGGAGTCGGGCTGGTCTTACTATGACTACTTTGCCACTTACTACTACTACCACTACTACTACTGCGTCGACATCGTCTATGGTGGCGGTTGGGGCTACGGGGCCTGTGGCGCAGGGTAAGATTTCTAGTGCGGGCGCGATTACCCCGGAGGTACGGGGGCGAAGTTCAGCTGAACGTTCGGGATCAGGTCTTGAGGCTGATTTTGTGGATGAGCGGATTCGGGCGGAGATGGCTTCGTTGCAGCGGCGGGATGGAGATGGAGATGGAGATAGAGATGATTATTACGGGGATGGCGTTGAAGAGGATGAGGAGTACTGGGATGGAGAGGAATATGGCGATGATGAGTCCGAATACGATTATTCTACCGATGAGACGCCGGATGAATTCGACGAAGCTGATTTGCAGCGACTTACACGTGAGCGTGGATTTGGGTTGGGGGGGTTGGATTGATCGACTGGTTGAGTGGACTCTGTTTGGCGTTGAGGAATGGCCTGCTCCGGGTGTTTCGTCGACGGCTGCGACGCGCATTGGGACTACGCCTACTACTACGACTGTGACGTTTGAAGAGCCGCTGGCTGGAAGTAGTCTCGAGCAGGATGAGGTTCATGATAATTTGTCCATGGCCTCTGCGGAGCTGGATCGGTATTCTGATATTGATTCTGTCTCCCTTGCGGAGGGTGAGCCGGTTGTTGTTGAGAAGCCTGGGGAGGAGGGTGGATGGGAGGATGCGAGTTGGTTGTTCCGGGTTGTGAAGCGTGCCATCATCTAATGATGCTGATGATGATTATTTTGGGGTGATGGCTATTCCATTTGTATATACGCAACTTGTTTTTGTTTCTCTTCGAGTATCATCCAGCTCAACCGCGAAGGCGTGAGATCAGATTGGAAAACTAGCGATAGCGATGTTTTATGATCATTTTCGAGTTGAATCAGCGTCCAAGAATCAGCGTGCAAGACATTTGATATTGATGGCAGTACTTGGAAAATCGCCAGCAGAGCCACCATGGTTGCCGAGGTGTGCTAGAATCCTTATCCTGCGTCGAGACGAGGTCAAAGACTTGGTCTAGTTTGAAATACGAATACGAAGTAAAGGATACAATATTTAATGTTGGACAAAGGCGAAGAATCAGACTAAGTAGTACCGATGTAAATGAATTGTTGACTATACAAAACTCCAGACGGTGCAAAATCGATCGAATCACAAAGGAAACACGCCATCCGAGATCGCAATGAAGGAGAACAAATGAAATCAGAGAAGAGGATGGAAGGAAACGAGAGGTCGAGAACTGGGCCAAACCGACAACTCGAGATATGACAAAAGGGAAAAAGAAGAACAAGAGAGGTTAGAAATCGACGAAGTCGGAAAAAAAAGCAGGCGAGCTTTCGAAAATTCATTGGAAATTGAAAAAGGTGAGACAGGAGTGCGTAGGACGCAGTCGCCATAGCAAAAGGAATCATTCTCTTCCAATGGTTCCCAGAAAACCACTTAGGGCAACATCGGAAGGTCGGAGGGCGAAAGTTGGGGAAGATAATAGAAAAAGGAAGACATGGAAGTAAGTTGTCAGGTGATTCGCCTTTGCATACTATAAAACGCCAATCTGAGACCATGTGGATTCTCTAAAGGTCATGCAGTAGTTATCGTGATCGTGGCATACGTCGGAATATTGTGCGGTCGGATAAGTGTATTCAAGACCGTCGGGCGGGGTTCACGGCGTGAGAGCGAAGAGCGTGATGTGAGCGAGGATGGGAACGTGAGTCCATCCGGGTGCGATGTATGGAGTGTGTTTATTCCAAGCAGGGTTTAACCAAGGTAGTGGTGTGCCGTATTATCGAGTTCGAAAAAGGGGGTGTATGTAGGTGAGGAGGCCGCTGATCTGAGTCATCTGGCTTTCTTGCTTTTCGTGCTTTATTCACCAGGGACCGACTTTGACGGGAGTTCCGAGGCCATAGGTGCCGGAGAACAACTGGTCCCGTATAGAGCCAAGTTCGCTGCCGCCGGGGCTGTGAGATTGGGAATCTTGTGGTCCATTCATCCACCCCAGGCTCGAGCCAAGTTCGTTGATGGCGGCCTGAAGCTTGCCTCCCGATGTGTGGTTGTGTTTGGCGAGCTTCTGATCCCATCCTCCGTACTGCAGCTGGATGCCACCGCCACGCTTTCCTGCCTCCCGGATCACCAGGATCCAGGCCTTGCAGATCTCATCGTAGGCCGAGTCTCGTTCGATATTGTTCTGTGGTGTGCTCCAGCGGGGCAGGGCGTGGATGATATCCGTGGCTCCGTCCAAGTAGCTGAGGGAGACGGAGGGCTGTGTTTCGTTGGGAGGGAGGAAGTTGGGGGTGAAGTCGCTTAGAGCCTCGAGGAGGTTTGTGAGTGGCTGACGAACTCTGTTGTAGGCGTAGTCGGACTCAGTATTGCCACCGAGAGGGAAAGATGACTGGAGGACAGCCTGATAGTTCCGAAGGACCTGGAGGGTGGAGGAGACGCTTGGACGAGGAGAAGTGTGGGCCACCTCATCGGCCAGCTGGGGGTGACGCTCGCACATGGTCCGGACGACGGTTCGGAGGGCATCGGTGTCCAAGGTCTCTAGGAGACGGGGAAGAGCAAGAGGTCTGCCAGAGACATTTGGTCGGGATCGTTTGATGTTGCGGAAGGAAGAAGGGAGCTGACGAGGAGTAAAGGCGGGCGAGTTGGTAGGAGAGGCGGACATGCGTCCATCGTGGTCATTGCCATCATCATCGGCTTTCCGCTTGCGGCTGGTGTAGGATGATGAAGGTGTCGACACTGCAAGGGTTGGTCAGCTCGGTTTCCATAAAATGTCTGCAGAAAAGCTGTCTGGGCATGGTTCAGGCCATGGACTAGGGGATGGAAAGAGGGAGGGAGGCCATACTTATACGGGAGGGAGAGAATCGAGAGTGCTCGTAGAAATGAGGAGGAACAGGAGGTGTGGCCACCAGACTGTTCATGATGACAGCCGGATGGCAAGAAAAGATGAGCTTCTCAGAGAGGGATATGAGCTCTGAAGAAGAGAAAAAGGGCAGTTTTTTTTCAAGAAAGGGTGCCCATGTGCCCAATAGGGTGTGGTGAGGTGAGGTGAGGTGGGGAGAAAGAAGGGAAGAGAAACGGCGGTGGGTAGCGTTGCGGGAGGCAACGCAGGCCGGCCGTGCAGGTTTTGCTGGGGTCACCTTTCAACGTTGCAGACTGCAACATTTTTCTTTGACGAGCACACTTTGGGTTTTTGGCAAGAGGAATGACTAGGGAAAATTAAAGAAAAAGTAGTAGAATATTTCTAGCATGCTCCCTTGACGCCCATTAGATACAGCCATGGAGTTATATACAAATTTGTTACCAGCGAGTACTTGTACCTGTACTTCTAGTTACAACTACTTGTAACTACTTGTAACTATCATGTACTACTGGTATATGTGATACTACTAAGACAACGAATAATACTAGTCTTCTTTTGATTCCACTTAAAGTGCGCCTAGGGATATCGTATTTACAGGTACAGAGATTGAGCAGCCACAATGTCACGACGAATCTTCGTGAGCGCCATCTCGAACTTGCTCTCCAGGTCTTCGCTACCCATGACCTTGGCAGCCTGCGCCATCTGTCGCAGACATTCCTCCAACCGCCGGAAAACGCGGATCAAGCTACCCTCGTACACATCGGTCATTTTGCTAACAAAAGTTGGGGGTTAGTTCGGGTGTCTCCGCTCACATCAAGGGGGGTGGCAAAATGCTTACCAGATTTCCGCGAAGGACTTGCCGTTCGCCCAATCGTACATGACCTCCATGAGCTCCCAATGGAAACTATTGACATATTCTTCTTCGTTGAGGGCCAGCTTGGACTCTTGGGAAACCTTGGCGACCGTCCGAGCTACATTTTGGATGTCCTTGAGAGGCTTCGAGAGCTCATCCTTGGATAGCGGAGGTGCCTCCTTGACCTTCTCCTCAAAGACAAACACACTCATGACGGCGGCTATTTGCTCGGGGGTGAAATCGTTAAAGAAACCGTTGAAGAGCAATTCGCTCAGCATCAATTCATCACCCGTGCTGATCTCACAGGCGACTCGGGCCTTCATTTGAATAACTTCGGCATCGTTGATGAAGCCAAAGCGACGAAGCACGCGCTTGCGGCACTTGAGCTCATCCAGCTGCTGAATAGCCGTCGCCTCCGAAATCTTCTTCTTAACATCCTTGATTTGAGTGGTTGTGTTGACCTTGGTGGCATACTGTTCGTAAAGTTCTGGCAACCGAGGCGAGTTATGCAAGGGGTTGCCAACAAGACGAGACTCAAGAACTTCGATTTTCTGTGTAGTCATTCATCAGTATAATGTTATATAAAAAACAGCTTTCGTATGCCAGGGAGTACTTACCCTGAGCACCTTCTTAAAAGAATCATCCGTAATGCCCATATTTTCAATGGGGTCAAGCACCGCAATGCCATCTGGCATACGCCTCTTAATCTCGTCTAGATTTTTTTTGACATTGTTCCGATTGTCGACCGAAGTGAGATCCTTAGGGAGCATCATCTTAACGTGAGAAATCTCGCGAAGACAAGTGAGCATGCATGGTACAACCTCAAATCGGCACTTTTCTCCTTCCTTGGCCGGCTGAATTCCAGGAGGGAAATCCTGGAATGACTTGGTACCGACAGAAGGACCCTCGGCAAGCTTCAGGAGCACATCAACGATGTATGATTCGTGGTCAGGGATTTTCTCCGAGGCGTTCTTGGGTCTCCGCTGGGTGTATTTCACAACCACACCCCAGCCAAAGTCCGTACCCTGGTATGTGATGTGAACCAGACGACCGCCTGTCAAATAGGACAAAGAGTAATTGGGGTGACTGATGACGGCTTGTATGTCATCGGAGAATCCGTCAAGTTGTTTTCGCAGGTCATAATATTCACGGATTGTACCCTCGTCAGAGATGACCATGTTCGCCCGCCTTTCTTCCAGCTCATGTAGTTCCTTCTCGAGGTCTACGATGCTGCCAGTATTCTGGAACTGTTTGAAGCACCGTTCAAGCATATACTCTGGAGAGATACCATCCACACGCATAAGGTTGAGAACCATGTTGTAGCTGAGATGGAATGCGGAATTCAAGCGGTCCTGTTCACCGCGCACAATCTCCTTGGCAACCGCAGGATCCATGTGGTCATCCACCATCATGATCACGATACCTCGGTCATCAAGACCTCTTCGACCAGCGCGACCAGACATTTGAATGAATTCGGACGGCGAGACCCATCTTTGGCTTGTACCATCGAACTTCCGAACACTGGTGAAGACAACCGTCTTGGCAGGCATATTAAGCCCAATGGAAAAAGTTTCAGTAGCGAACAAGACCTTGATCAAATTCTCCTGGAAAAGGATCTCAATGGTTTCCTTGAGGATAGGGAGAAGGCCGGAATGGTGAACACCGACACCTCTTCGCAGCAGGGGTAGAATGTTGGCGATCTGAGGCAGGTCACGATCCTCCGGAGATAACATCTCGATAGCGCTATTGAAGACCTTGGAAACCATCTCCTTCTCGGAATCATCGTTAAAGGAAAGGTTTTTCAGTTGGAGGGCACCGCTTTCGCATTCACGTTTGCTGAAGCTGAAGATGATGACGGGGTTGAGCTTCTTCAGCATCACCATTCTGACAATCTTGAAGATATCGGAGGGGCCCTTATTCCCGCCTTTATTAATCTTCTTATCATTGCCCTTTCCTTTCCGCTTCGCGAGGGCATCGCTGGGATCATCGCCCCTCTTATCAGCAATCGCACCCATGGCTTTTTGAAAATTCTCCTCGCGGAAAGTTCCTTTCTCATCCACGACCAGGTGGATACCATCGCCACCAGCCGGGAAGAAGTAATGTTGAAGGGGAGTCGGACGGTAGTTGGTGTAAACGACGTGACAGGGCTGGTTGTGCATTTTGGTGCACCATTCGGCAAATTGCATGGCGTTGGGAATGGTGGCGGAAAGGAAGACATATCGAACCTTGTCGGGAAGGAGAATGATGGTCTCCTCCCACACAACACCACGATTGGCGTCACGCATGTAGTGAATTTCGTCAAAAACAACCCAACCGACTTCACGCATAATCTCGGAACCACGATACAACATGGAACGCAGAATCTCCGTAGTCATGACCAGACAACTGGCAGTGGGATTGATCGTAACATCACCGGTCATCAGACCTACATCACCAAACTCGGCCGCAAACTCACGGTATTTCTGGTTGCTCAGCGCCTTGATCGGACTCGTGTAGATCACTCGTTGGTTGTTCTTTAAACATTGCGCGATGGCGTATTCCGCAATCACCGTTTTTCCGGCACTAGTGTGGGCAGACACCAGCACACTCTCTTCTCTTTGAATAGAGGAGACTGCAACTTGCTGGAAAGGATCGAGGGCGAAGGGATATGTCTTCGCAGGCTCAGCAGGCGGCTTGTGCTCGGAGATGGGTACGTAAGGGTAATTCGGTGGGATGGCGACTTGATGGCGCACTTGGTGAGACACCGTGATCGAGGAATCTGGGGAGACTTGCAGTCCACCGGCGGTGATCTCAACCTCTTGTTCGGTTTCGAAGGTATCGGCGACAAGTGGCGCGGGGGCCTCGTCCAGTCTTTGGCGCTTTATTTCCGGCTGTTCATTCTCGGGGGTAGGCACATCGGCGACTGGCTCTGCATCGGCCATGGGTTCATCCGCAGAGGCCGTGTCGACCGGTTCCTCGACCGGCGCAGCGTCCTTTGCCTTGACGCTGCCGTTGGCTTGACGTTTCCTGCTCTTGTCTCTTCTAGAGCGCTTTGGGACGCCATCAGACGGTTGAACCGCCTGAGGCTTGTCCTCGAAGACGTCGAAAAGCTCGTCCATCTCCAAGGAAGAGCGTAGACTTTTCGACAGCAATTCTGTAGACAGCGACAAGAAATCCGAGAATGCTGTCTTTTTTTTTCTCGCAGAAAACTGGAAAGTTCCCGATGAAGCAGGCGGTGACTGGGAGAACTTTGAACTGCTGTATGGGTCACATGACCAATCCGGTCCACGTGACCAGCATCGTCCCATTCCGCACCTCGCGATGTTCATTTGGCCTCGCCCCGTCCATTCCCGATCGTCCGCTCTCTCCTCTCAGTACCTCCCAAGGTGGGTGATATTCAACACAATTGCATTACCGATACACCAACTCACAATTCTTCTTCTTCAGATGTACGCTACTCCCGCCATCCGCGCCCGTCTGGCCGTCACTGGCCGTCGTGCTTTCACCACCACTCGCACCCAGATGGGTAGCCCCTTCCACTACGCCGAGGGCCCTCGCACCAACATTCCCTTCAACCCTCTGACCAAGCACTTCTTCTGGAGATACTGGTCCTTCATGGGTAAGCCATCCGTTGCGATCCGTACTATATGCTGCGACCCATCTCACTAACTCGATTGCCTTCTTAGTTGTCGGTTTCGGTGCTCCCTTCGGTATTGCCGGTAAGCTCACAATGACCCAGAAACCCCCTTTGATATGTTGAATGGGTGCTAACGGATCTTCCTTGAATTAGTCTGGCAAACCTACAAGACCAAATAAGCTGTTTCACTAGTATTTCTCGCGTGACAGTAGTATGGTGGAAGATTATAGTGATGGAAGTTCTCAATCGGGCGTCGACATCGCTTGGAATCATGTACAAACTTAGAGAATGAGATTGGGTGTTTTGTTTGCACGTATCAATTATGCGATTGTAGCTGTGTAGCTGGTGTAGAAGGAAGCTCTAAGGACGTTGAAATCTGGATGAAGTCATTGGCTGAGCGGATGTGGAAAATCAAAAATTTGTGGTTCGGCGTTGAATTAGAATTAGGTACAACACACAACCTCCTTCCACCTCCAACTACAACCTCCCTTTTGAGCCAGTCAGTAAGAAGTGACTGCAAGTTGAGCTGGAAGGGAATTCTTACCCCTTTCTTCTCTTTCTTCTTCTATTTATTTCAGAGCATAGCGCTCATCCCATGGCGGGGTAAAAGAAGAGGCTCTCCACCTAAAAAAAAAAAGTTGATACCCGCCGAAGATGCGCAATTTGCGAAATGTCTGGCTGCGGGAAACGCAAATCCAGAGTGACCTGCCTCTGACGGCCACCGCTTGGGATATCTCGTCGGACTCGGTCGTGTGTACCTTTGGCCCAACGGAGCAGAGCCCTATCATCGAACTGCGGAGGAAGCGTCCTGATGCTCAGACTGATGACCAGGCCGATCTCCCTCTGAGCCGCGATGCGCTTGACTGTCTGGCCTCTTGGGATGCCCCATCCCCATTGCCTGATCTTCCATGTGATCGAATTCTGTCATTGCATTACTTTGCTGACAACCTGACGGCATGTCTAGTGCTGGAGGGTGGTGATATCATCATGGTCCGCGAGGAGCCCCTCCCCGGAGAGGATAAGATTGAAATCCTGGGCTCAGTGGATGTCGGAATCAGTGCGGCTGCATGGTCCCCAGATGAGGAGTTACTGGCTATCACAACCCGAGCTCGTACACTTCTGTACATGACGAGAGAGTTCGAAAACGTAGCCGAAATCACACTCACCGAGGCTGATCTCCAGGCTTCCCAGCATGTCTCAGTCGGCTGGGGTAAGCGAGAGACCCAGTTCCAAGGAAAGAGAGCCAAGGCTCTTCGAGATCCCACTGTACCAGAGAAGGTAGATGAGGGAAAACTGAGCAGCAACGATGATGCTGCCACTACGATCACCTGGCGAGGTGATGGCGCGTACGTTGCAGTGAACAGCATTGAAGAAGGCGCTCGCCGTGCCATTCGAGTATACTCAAGAGAAGGTACCCTTGACAGCGTGAGTGAGCCTGTCGATGGACTTGAGGGAGCCCTGAGTTGGCGACCATCTGGAAATCTCATCGCAGGCATTCAACGACTGGATGATCGGATTGATGTTGTCTTCTTTGAACGCAATGGATTGCGCCATGGCCAGTTTACTCTCCGTCTTACCGAGGAAGAACGACTATCTTGGGGATCACAAATCCTTCTTTCATGGAACATCGATTCGACTGTGCTCGCCGTTCGCTTCAAAGATCGAGTTCAGCTCTGGACTACAGGCAATTACCACTATTATCTCAAGCAGGAGATCCCCATTATTGTCGACCCACAACTGTCTCTCCCTTTCGCCTTTGAGTGGCATCAAGAAAAGGCATTGCGAGTAGTCGCAGGCTCGTCTGACTCCATTCTGGATCTGGAATACGCGTTCGATCTCAATCACGGCTCCACTGTCATCCCTGATGATGTCGGTGCTGTCGCTGTAATGGATGGGCAAATCCTTAAATTGACTCCTCTCCGTCTGGCTGGAGTACCGCCTCCAATGGCGCATAATGAGTTGAAGTTGGACTCCAATGCCATTGATGTTGCTTTCAGCCAGTCCGGCACTAGGATTGCAGTTCTCATGAAAGATAGCTTCTCGGTTTTCTTGTGGTCTTTGAAGAGTCGCCCAATTCCTGGTCCGATCTTAGAGTCAAGTTACCCGCTATCAGATTCCGCTACCAGTCGGCCCAGGCAGATCGCCTTTGTTAACGAAAACGAAGTCTTCGTTTTGAGAGAGTCTGCGCCTAACTCTACCGTCATCGAAAAAACCCTACTGGAGACTCGCGATACCGAGGTTGTCCATGAGGCAGTTAGTACCCGGTTTTCTTCGATTTCTCCAGGAATCGGTCACAATTCTCTATGGGTTTCGCATAAGGCAAACAAGGGTGCTACCTACACGAATATCTCTATCGACTCCGAGGGATTACTTGAAGTTTCTCCCTGGGCCGAGAGTCCGAATGTTGACACCCCTTGGGCCCGTGCCGTGTCAATCTCGGAGGACGAAAAGGTACTTATTTCAATGTCACGAACAGGCACACTCTATGCGAACAAGCGCGTGTTGGCAAAGAACTGCACCTCCTTCCTGACGACCCCCTCTCATCTTCTTTTTACAACCTCCCAACACCTGCTCAAGTTCGTCCACTTGAACCGCGTGGACGAGATGGAAGTTCCAGAAGATACCCCCGAAACAGATGAAAGATGCCGGAGTATTGAGCGAGGCTCGAAGCTGGTGTCGGTTATTCCATCAGTATTCGCTGTTGTTCTACAGGCACCCCGTGGAAACATCGAAACAATCTACCCACGTGCCTTGGTGCTGGCGGGTATTCGAACATTCATCGACCAGAAGAAATACCGATCTGCCTTCCTGGCATGTCGCAGCCAAATGGTGGATATGAATATTCTCCACGACTACGCCCCTCAACAATTTATGCAGAGTGTTCTGCTGTTTATCGAACAAGTCAAGAAAGTTGACTTCATTGATGATTTCCTTTCTCGTTTAAAGTAAGAAAAATTTGGCTGTGGTTAGGGATATCTACTAACATCATGATTAGGGAGGAGGATGTCTCGCAAACACTGTACAAAGACACACTGAAGATCTCCAAGAACGAGTCCGCGGTCGTTGCCCAGCCAGACACTCCAGCTGTGACTTCTGTGCCAAAGACAAGCAAAGTCAGCAAAGTCAATACTATCTGCGATGCTTTCCTAGCAATCCTTCAAAATCGGATGGACACTAATCTACAGAACCTGGTGACAGCACACGTGTGCAAGTCACCCCCTGATCTTGAAGCAGGATTGGAGCTGGTCGCTGGATTACGAGGTATGTCATCTTCCCATCATATGCAGAGGTTCGAAGCTCACAACTCCAATAGTCAAAAGCCCAGAGCAGGCAGATGATGCTATTGAGCATATGTGCTTCTTGACCGATGCTTACCGCCTATACTCCCACGCTTTGGGAATCTATGACCTCGAGCTCACTCTTCTCGTGGCTCAACAGGCACAAATGGTAAGCCATAATATGGACTTAAGACTGAATCATATCTAATTATTCCGAAAAGGACCCCCGAGAATATCTCCCCTTCCTTCGAAAGCTGCAGCAATTGCCCGAGACTCGACGGAAATTCGAGATCGACAACCACCTTTCTCGATTTGAGAAGGCCTTGAAGCATCTCTTTGCACTTGCTGCCCACGATGAAATTGAGGCATACGTCACAAAACATGTTCTCTACAAGGAGGCCTTGGAAATCTATAAGTATCAGCCAGAGCAGCAGAGACAGATCACCCGCCTTTATGCCGAGTACCTAGAAGAAAACTCGAAGCCCAAGGATGCAGCGATCGGTGAGTGACACACTAATTATAAGCCATAAGTATCCAGCTAATGCGATGTTTAGCCTACGAATCTCTCGCACAATATGATGAAGCTCGCAAATGCTATAAGCGTGCTCACCTTTGGCGCGAGTCTTTGTACTGCGCGATGATGGCATCTCTACCCGAAGCCGAGCTTGCCGCCCATACCACCGAACTGGCAGATACCCTCGTCGACGAAGTTCGCGACTATATTTCTGCAGCAACCATCTACTCCGAACACCTGCATGACATTACTACCGCGGCCAAACTTCTCTGCCGCGGCTCGAAGTTTGCCGACGCAGCTCGCCTGCTCACTCTACACGGGAAGAAGGAGATGGTGGAAGAAATCGTAGACTCCGGCCTAGCGGAAGCAATGGGCTCCATGACTGACCTACTCGCCGACTGCAAGAACCAGCTCAACGCCCAAGTGCCACGAGTCGCTGAACTGCGCAAACTTCGCGCCGAAGACCCTCTCGCTTTCTACGGTGGTGACCCAACCGGCGGCGAAGGCGGCGTCGATATCCCAGATAATGTCTCGCTTGCCCCGACCGAGGCATCGACACTGGCCGGTCGCACTATGTTCACTCGGTATACTAGCAAGACTGGACGGACGGGCTCTTCACGACAGACGTCCAAGAACCGCCGACGCGAGGAGCGCAAGCGTGCTAAGGGTCGGAAGGGCACTGTTTACGAGGAGGAGTACCTGGTCAACAGTATCAGACGTCTTATCGAACGGGTATACACAACTATATCAGAAGCCGAGCTGCTTGTCGATGCGCTGCTACGACGTGGAATGCGCGAGCGTGCTGCTGCTGTCGAGAAAGCGTTGGCGGACGTTATGAAGATGTGTGCGGATTGCCGCGATGATGTCTTTGAGGTACAGAAGGTTGAGGCTCCTAAGAGCGAGGAGGCTGAGGATGGGGCCTTTGAAGACTCCAATCTCCCTCTCCGCGGTGGTTCGGCTGTGCTTGCGGAAAGTCTTGATGCCCTTGAAGGCGGGGCGCGTGCCAAAGAACCTCCTGCTCTCAAGGATATGAAGAAGTCTTCTCTTCTGGCTTGAGTTGGACTGAGTGGGCCTCTGTTTACATGCTTATGTCTAAAAAATGTCGTATGATGATCGATGATTAGTTCTATAGATAACTATCCAACTTGAAGGATAACTCTTGAGAGAAAGTACATTATTGTTTACTTTGCCTCCTACTTAGTAGCTAGACCTAGAGGTCGCATGTCACCGACCAGCTCAGGACCTTGCAGGGATATCTGGGCTAGCGGATCGATGGAAGAAAAATGAGCTTCTTGTTAGAGGTGAACATATCCCCCTTACACCTTCTAATCTTTCCGCAATGCCGCCTCAAGTCATTTCTTACTGTGTATTCGTTAGACTCACAGTCTTCCCTGGCATCGAAGCTCTCGGTACCTATTGACAATTCCGAAATTCCCAGAACCCGTGGGCATAATCTCGGTAGAGATTTTTCCAGGTGGTAAACAAAGACTGCTCGACGTCATCGAGTTTGTGCCTCGTTCTTTGTCTCTTTCGCGAACCTCTACGACAGAACTGCGCCTCCGTCGACTCCATGCAACCAAGCATAAAAAGCCCTTCCCATCCCTACCTAGGTAGCTTATAGCTTCCTCACATCGAAAACCTTTAAATTTATTTCAACATCACGTTCGCAATAATGGCTAGCGATGATACTGGTATGGGTCTATAATTTCCATTCATTACTCCATTTAGAAGCCGACTCACACACAAGCTAGGGACCGCAAGTCTCCCATCTCTTCGAGACCTCACAATTTCCCAGGCAGGCGAAGGGCTGCGGACGGGAAAATTTACTTCCGTTGACCTTGTCAAGGCATATATCAAAAGAATTGAGGAGACAAAGCAACTCATGATCGTCATCCATATGGATGAAGATGCCTTGGAAGTAGCCCAGATGCTGGACAAAGAACGGGCCGAGAAGGGAAGCAGAAGGTATGTGCTCGGTCTCATCTGGCTTTTATTTCTTGCTGCTCATGTCTCATCCTAATCGATAGCCCTCTCCATGGAATTCCTATTCTCGTCAAAGATGAGTTTTTACCGTTTGGGTGGCAGAAATTTGCTCCCAAAGCCTCCTCTCCGTCGCTGGAATTAAGAAAAAAAAAAAGGGACCCTATGGAGTTTAATAGACTTCGACAAGCTGGTATGATAATATTGGGCAGGGCTAATCTAGATGATGACGCGGGATACCGGGTTGAGTATCCCGAATTCATCCTTCGTGATTATATCAATTATTCACGTTTCCTCACCCCCAGCGGTCCCGGCACTTTACCTGGATGTAGCAAAGGTTCAGCCGTGGCGACTGCCATAGGTTTATCCGTGGCGGCGCTTGGAACTGCCGTGAGTACCTCTATATCTTTTTCCTTCTAGAGAATGCTAATGCGGGTGTCAAGGAATCTGGGGCCATTGCGAATGCCGCTGATTTCAACCTCGTTGGTTTTAAACCCACAACGCGGTCTATGATGAAGTCTGGCTATTTTAGGTTTTCACCACAAGGAACGCCTACTATAGGGATCCTTGCGAAAACTGTCAAAGATACTGTTGATATCATGGCCGGTATATATGAACAATACGAGCACAATGAGTGGAGTTCGAGAATTCCATCGGACCAAGCACCCGAATGGGACGAAATTTATGAAGGGAGTTTACTATTGGTGTTTCTCGGAATAGCTTTGATTCGGACCCATACCCCCAAGTTATGGAATCATTCGAGGCTGCTCTGAAGACTCTAGCCTTGAGTGGAGCAACAGTCGTGGAGAATGCGAACGACCAGGGGACCAGTGAGCTCAAAAAGCTCAAGGCGCAAGTCAAAAGCCTTGTTCAATCGTCAGAGTTTAAAGAAGACGTGTTCAAATGTTTAACAAGACGGGGAAATGACTCCAACAATCCTGAAAATGCGCAAAGAGTTTATTACCTTGTCAGGAGATGCCCAAACGAGGAGCCCACAGAGAGAGAACTAAATAAGATGTTATGGACTCGCACAACACGTATTGCTGCAAATAAGGAGGAATACACAAAGGTACTCGAAAAGGCCCTCATCATCAGCAAAAATCAAGGCATCTGGGCAACGATAAAAAAGCACCGTCTCGATATGTTCGTTATTCCATCGTCTGATGAGGGCGTTACACTCGAGCTTGCCGCGCAAGAAAATGCTCCTGTGATGTCTGTGCCCCTGGTGTTTTTTCCAGACGGCTTCCAACGTAAATATACATATGAAATAACCCCTAAAATACCATGAGTGAAACTAGGTAAAGATAAGATGTCCCATAACAATTACTTACTTCAAGTAGATATAGTTTGTTGCTCATCGGTGGCCCATTCAAGGACATGTTTTTGTTTCCGGTGGCTCATGCCTTTGAGCAGTTGGCGGCTGTGCGAGGCCAGGAACCAGGCCCCAGAAGACCGCTCTCAAAAACGGAATTGGTAGACGTTCAGCCACTCACCAGCGATATGAGCGAACTTCAAATCGATCAAATAGATTAATATGTTCCCATCCCCCCTTTCTTGCTCTATTATCTTGTCTTTTACATCATGGAAACTTCCATTTGGGATCAATGGTTGACTCAAAATTTAGTTATGCGGGGAAAACAACGTTATCTCAACGAAAATTGATCCTAAGTTTGATGGGAAACAAAGTCAGTTTCCTGCATCTGGTTTCTAGCACAACTTTGAAAATGTCGGCCGGTGGGAATAAAAAAAAAAACAATCAGATTTCCTTATTATCACTGTATGGTTGTTCACCGACAGGTATAAGGATAATTTAACTAGCACAACACAACTATGGCCCCAGCCTAGAACTTAAAGTAATACTAACTACGAGTAGCACCGAGACACGCCTAGGCTCAGAGGATTAGACCACTAGAGACTCGTCTATGTAGTTACATCGTTCAAAATCTCCTCCTTAAATTACCAATAGCCTTCGCAACCCTGCCAGTGGGATTCGCTTAGCGATTCCCCTCAATTGTGCCATTTCACCAGCAGCCAGCCCCGTTGGAGAGCCGGCGAGCTAAATGTTTCCAACCGTCGGACCTCCGCCCTTTAGCCCTTGCATGGATCCCATGGCCAACCCCCTGAAGATAAAGCCCCCACTTGGCGGCATTTTTAGCACACAGTTTGGCGAGATGGTAGGAGCGGGGGTGATAAGTATCTCGCAAGCCCACCAATCCCGATGGTACATTGCGCATCGCCAGCAGCCACTCTAGCCTAGAGTGGAGCGATTCCCAAAAGTTATTCTCCACTGTCTATTGCTTAACTTTGAAGCCATGCAAAATCAACGCATGATGCCTGTTGCTTTAGCGCACTCCCCTCACTAAGCACCTATTAGGCTATCGTCGGCAAATTATTTTGTTATGTCTCATAATCCCATGCAGATACTCCTCCCGCCCAGACCAATCAAGTCCATCGCCGGGGAAATTAGTAAATTGCACCCGGCATGTCTGGATAGCTGAGATAGGGACAATTTTGTTTATGAACATGGATGATAAATGGTCCATGCGAGTCCCGTTACATCGCCCGTTTATGTATTTATAGTGTCGTCTGCCCCAATTGTATCGTTGCAGCTACCTGTCTTTCTGTTACAGTACTATCTTACCTTATAATGCTGTTCCGCCAGTTCTGCGCCGTTTTGGCCGCTGCAGCACTGTCTGGCGCTGCCCCAGCTCCCGTCAAACATGTTTTGCACGAAAAAAGAGAGGAAAGGTCATTAGACTGGGTGAAGGGTGATCGAGTTGAAAGTAATGCGATATTGCCCGTGCGCATTGGATTGACCCAGAATAATCTAGAAAAGGGATATGATTATTTGATGGATGTGTATGCACTTGAGAATCAAAGCATCAAAGCTGATAAATGGATGTGCTAATATTTTCTTAGATCAAATCCCGAATCCTCGAAATATGGGAAGTATTGGTCTGCCGATGAAGTGCATGACATGTTTGCGCCTTCAAGCCAGACAGTCGAAGATGTCCGCGAATGGCTCCACTCTGTGGGAATCGATCCATCTCGGGTTGTTCATTCAGACAACAAGGGTTGGATCGCATTCGACGCCTATGCTCATGAGGCCGAGAGGCTGTTTATGACGGAATTCTACGAGCACAAGCATACTGCGAGCCAGAGCATGAAGATTGGATGCGACGAGTACGTCAACATAACACCCTCCCAAAGCTGAGCCTCCATCCCATGCTGATTTTGATACGCAGGTATCATGTTCCGGGCCATATTCAAGGACACATTGACTACATAACCCCTGGTGTCAAATTGACCCCCGTCATGAGGAAACACAAGAAGGCCAAACGCGCCTCTCACCTTGCCCACAGCGACCCCATTCTGGAAGGGGTCTCGTTTGAAGAAGCAAAATACTCGATTCCTGCTAAAGCCATGTCCCTTTCTGCGGATTTACAAGGATGTGGGTATAATATGACACCAACCTGCATCAAGGCTCTATACGGAATCCCGAAAGCCACCAAGGCTTCCAAGAAAAACTCGCTAGGTCTTTATGAACAGGGCGACTATTTTGCGAAATCAGATTTGGACTTGTTCTTCAAGGCTCACGCTCCTTGGGTCCCCCAGGGTACATACCCCATCCCTGCTTTGATCGATGGAGCCAATTTCTCTGTGCCTTCCTACAGCTCTCTCAACACCGGGGAGTCGAACATTGACATTGACTTGGCGTGAGTCAATATCTTGAGAATCATTGCATCACTTAATACTGACGAATTACAAGTTATTCATTGATCTATCCCCAATCTGTGACTCTTTATCAGGTGGATGATCAACTCTATGAGCCGGAGGAAGTTGCGACTACCAATCTTTTTAACACCTTCCTTGATGCTCTCGATGGGGTACGTTTAAATTGTGTCAGTTTCTTTCATCGCTGACTCTTTCATAGTCATATTGTACGTATAGCGCGTATGGAGAGACTGGAAACAACCCAGACATCGATCCTGTCTATCCCGACAATCGGGAAGGAGGCTACAAGGGTACATATTCTACCATTCATTTTTCTTTCCATTACTGACTCTTGCAGGAAAACTCCAATGCGGTGTCTACAAGCCAACGAACGTCATCAGCGCCTCATACGGTCAATCCGAAGCGGATCTCCCTATCAGCTACACCAAAAGGCAATGTAACGAGTTCATGAAACTCGGTCTCCAGGGCCACTCCATCCTATTCGCATCTGGAGATTACGGCGTCGCATCATTCGCAGGAGATGGTGGTGCCAACGGCTGCTTGGGTCCCGAACAAAAGGTTTTCAACCCACAATACCCATCCAACTGTCCCTATGTGACCTCAGTCGGGGGGGACCATGATATATCCGGATCAAACAGTTGAAGATGCCGAGAGTGTAATGCACGCCAATCTCGGGGGCACAGCGACTAATTTCAGTAGCTCCGGCGGGTTCTCGAATTACTTCCCCCAGCCTCATTACCAGAAGGCCACCGTCAAGAAATACTTTGAAAAGGCTGATCTGTCCTACCCATATTACTCAGAGTTCAGCGTTGATGTCAACACAACCAAGGGTCTCTACAACAGGATCGGCCGTGCCTACCCGGATGTTTCTGCGAATGGCGCTCGCTTCCCAGCATATACCGGTGGGAAAGCTCTTCATTATTACGGGGCGAGTTTGGCTTCGCCATTGTTTGCCTCAGTTTTGAATCTGGTATGTTCTCAGTCCTTCTCGTGGTCAATCGCCTTTTCTGTCACTAAGACTTGGTTCCTAGATCAACGAGGAGCGTATTGCGAAGGGCAAAGGCCCTGTTGGGTTCATTAATCCTGTGCTTTATGCGCACCCCGAGATTCTTAATGACATTACCAATGGTACAAATGCTGGTTGTGGTACATATGGCTTTAGTGCCATCGAGGGGTGAGTTCGAAACTATTATATTCTGTCGGGTACGCAGAGGGGATGGCTGACTAGAGACACAGATGGGATCCGGCCACTGGCCTGGGTACGCCCAACTACCCGAAGATGAAGAAGTTCTTTTTGTCTCTGCCATAAAATATGGATAAATGAGAGGAAAAACCGGGCATACATTTCTCGATACGCTGTATTTATGCTGGTATTGATGTGCCAGTGATGGTGTAAATAATCGAGCTTAGTATATATATATATTTTAAAGAGATGGGGGATTTTCAACCTTGGAAGACTAGTACTATCTGCTCCAGCAGCAAGGTCACTGGACTATTTACCGCAATATCTGCCTAGATACTACTAGGTAGGTGTCCATCAGAGATCTCCCTGCTAAAAACAAATAAAGTGCACCCCTTCAAGTGCAATACAAAAGGATTCACCCCTCCCATAACCACGATCTCTTAGTACTAGAAAAAAGATTACGTTTTATACAATAGTACATCAATATCTTCCATCTGGAGGGGGCCGGTGTTTTCGACAATTAACATACCGAGGTCAAAAACAGGTCCCTTCGTAGGTTCATGTATGGTCTTATCATCTGTGTCAACTTCGGTCTTTCTGCTGAGAGGATATGGATGATAGCATATGGGTCGAAGCAAATAGTACCAGAGATGAATGATCGGATGAAGCTATCTAGTAGCATTAAGTTCCAACTACACAAAGTGGTGCTGCTGCGGAATGATTGGGTTATTAGAGCCTAATTCTCCCAACACTTTCTTCCCCTACACTTCTCGGTATCTTTGAGATTGCTGCTTCTCCGCCTCTGACCACATTGTCAGGGTTGTACTCCTCGAAGTTTCCTTCCTTCGGGATCTGACGAGTTGGGGTACCCCTGGTTTTTCAGGGCGTGCCCTCGGCGATTTTCAGGGCTTCGCCGCTGCTTCTGGGTGTTGTAGCAGATTCGTAGATTAGGCTCAATAGCTGTCGCCTGGTGTAAGATCGAACGGTATTGGCAGTGCAACCTGTCATTTGAGATTAGATTTTGTTGCTTTTCAGACACGTAAATACATATTGTGGCCGATATAGGTGGCGATCCGGGTGTAGTCGAGCCTAACACCATGTTCACGTAGTTGTTTCACAATCGCTAAAAGGAGCTAACTTAATGAGTTGGGGTTCGTTGCTTTAGTGGAGAGACAAGGATGACTTATCTTAGACATTTCAAGTTCTACTTCGTCTGGGTTGGTAGGCGTGATGAGTCGACGGACAGAAATAGAAAATACTCAGGGATTTCTGTGGGGAAGTTTGGAATGAGTTTGATGGGAAAGAAGGTGGGAGAGTACATAGGGAAGGAAACAAATTTTCAATTTGCCATTCAAGAAACCCATAGGCAATATTATAACCAGTGAGTGTGTTTATTTCAATTTCGAATCATGGTTACCAACCCTAAGATCAATATGGTCTCCATGGTAATATCATGAAGAATATTATCTATAATATGCTTATACTCTGTTTCTATATTATAGTGTTTTTGAGTTTCATCTTAGGTGCCCTAGGAATTACTAGTAATAAAAAGTATTCATATAACATCTTCCCACTATTTATGCATATTAATTTACTCCGGGTTTCAAGTTACATTCTTTTGCCCTTTTTGCTTTGATGTCTGTGCTTTTATCATTCATGCGGGTTAATTTAGTCGGCTAGAATCCACGGATCGTTCTCTCTTTGCATACTAGTATATGATAATTTGCCCATGGAAATCTTTCGTATATAGTATCAGTACTGTACAATTAGTATTTCGAGGATAAAACAGTAATTGGTCTGAATATTAGAAACTTGAAGTACGTTATTCTCAAAAGGATATTCGAAGTAAACGGCCTCAGTGGCTCTTTGTTAAACATCTGGAGGGGCAGCATGGAAGCGGTTACCCGACATGTGCTAATTCATATGCTGATTCTATTTCGTCCTATATTACTCTGCAACTGGGAACCCATACCCAACCATCAGCGCTGGCTCCTCAATATTGTGGTGTTGATAGCTGTCTCATAGTCAGAAATGTACTCGCAGCTGCAACTGACAGCAGGAAAAGATGCAGTTAACTTACCTCAGCACACCGACCGCGCCAGGGTCAAGCATCAGAGAAAGGGGGAACTCCATCGGGTATCCAAGCCATCGCTTGGTGAAAGCTCGCAGAAGATGTCCATGGGCAACGAGAACAACGTCGGAAGGGTTCTCGCCATGCATGCTATCCTTTTGGAATGCACGAATCTCCCGAATCAGATCATCAATGCGGTCGGTAACCTGTTGAGCAGACCTACAAAACCGTGTTAATATAGACGCCCACAGCTTCCAAGAAAGTGATTCTTACTCTCCACCTTCACAGCCATCACGCCAGATATCCCATGGGCGCTCAGAATCCAGTCCACGCTCCTTTCGCAGCGCGCGGATCTCACGCGTCAAAAGGCCTTCATAGTCTCCATAGGTCCATTCAGCCAGCCTATCCGTCTGCGAAACCTTTTGAGCATCCTTCAGGGCTTGCTTATCGGCATCAGAGAAGGCAATGTCAAATGTCTGCTTAGCCCGATTGCGGGGACTGATGTAGACATGGGCGAGGTTGACAGGGTCAATCAGTTTTCCGGATCCAACAATCATCTTTCCGGAAGCATGAACTTGCTGCTGGCCATCTTTGGTGAGATCCAGCTCAGTCACGCCGGTATACTGACCACTTTGAGACCACACCGTTTGTCCTGTGACGAGTTAGCAATAATTCCAACGGAAACTCGTCCTGAAAATGACCGGGAGACCTACCGTGACGGTATAGGAAGACACGGGGAGTGCCGGCGTCTTGTCCAGGCATTTTATCGGGAATTTATATGCGCCTTTTAGGATGGTTGTCGAGGAATCCTGGTTCTTGGATTGTTGATGGAATGGGGTAGTGGGGGAGGGCCGACTGAGGAAAAAGTATTTCCACCGCCCCGATTTGACCCTATCTTAATATCCTCACCGAGCACCCAGAACCTAAATTTGGTCTTTCATTTATGGAGCTACCAAATAAATACTCTTATATCATCGATACGTATAAGAATGAAACAGATCTAGGCATGTACTACTAGGTGCTAAATTACTCTCGAGTATTTACCGGCATAGCCGACCGCGTAGGATGACTTCATGATATTCTAGTCTGCCCCACTCACTTGAGCTTTGTGAAGGCGGGGCAGAAATAAGAACCAGACATCTCTACGGAAACAGGTCTTAGGGGTGATTTCAAGAACACCACTCTGGTCTTTCTTAGGATAAACTTTGCAACTCTTGACCGTAAAATTAGCTAGGCGGAAAGTTGTTCATCATCGTGGTTTTACATTTTCATCAGACAGCCCAGGGAAGAGACAAACCAATTAACCAAGCATTGACTACGTAGGTAGTAGGTTCTGGCAGCTCCTCTCGATGCCCAGGTGGCCTAAAATCAGGATGAACATTTTGCATAACAGTAGTCAAAGACTCATAATTTTGCTTTATATTCAAGGCTCCTTTCTTGAGTTATTCTAAAAACTTGTACAGTCTGCTAAAATCTAGAACTTATATATCTGATTCTTCTCAAAGCCCAATCTACTCAAGATACCCGGGGCACTGCGAGATCCAACCAAAGAGTTCTCCATTCCAGGTGGGCCACAGACAAAGACATGAGTATCTTTTCCAGAGCCCCGTATCACCTCTTTGAGAAGTTCTTCCGTCACATAGCCCTTGCGAAGACCGGAGACTTCCTCTTTCGGGTGACTGACAGTATAAACATATTCGAAGCGATCAGGGAACTGCTTTCTGTACTGCTCGAGCTCATCCCTGAGAAGAATATCTTGCTCTGTATTTACACCGAACACAAGATTAATCTTGGTCTGATCCTCCGGATTGCTCAGAATGCCCTGGACAAGCTGGTATATGGGTGTGATTCCTGCACCTCCCGCGACCAAATAGACCTGGGAAAATTGATTTGGCGTCCATGAAAACCCCTTCAGTGCCGCCATAAAGGTGAGTGTGTCGCCGGGTGCGAGTGAATGGAGATGGCTACTAGCTTTTCCGTTTGGGTATTTTTTGATCATCAGTTCCAAGGAGCCTTCTTGCTCTAGAAATACCTGTCGTTAGGGACCATGAAGCTTTCTAAGGGGATTGAAAGTCTCTTACCGAGGTTGCTTATAGGTGTGTATGGACGGAGGACTGGCAGCCATCGGCCTTGTGGCCACGAGAATGTAAGAAGGGCAGCTGCTTGAATTTTAGCAATTTGATGAAATAGCAAGTTACGAATGCAAACTTACAGGTCAGGGTTAGGCCGCTCTTAGCACTCTGATCTGGGAACTCGAAGACTAAGCGCTTGGTATTGTGATTGACTTGATCGACGCTCTGGAGGCGTAGGGTCTTAGGGCCAAAGCCACCAAAAACCTTTGGCGCCTCTATTGACTCTGCATGGCCTGATGGGAGCAGCGATCGTGTGCCATAGTATGTAGCAGCTCCTGCAACTGCAACGGCGGAAATTATCGTTGGTCTAGATTTCAGCGCGTGCCATAAACCTCGTGAAGACGCCATGGTTGAGATATTTATAGGACGAGGAGTTTCAAGATAATGAGTAGGCCTGGGAGCAATACCAAGTCATAAAGATGTTAGGGTGTAACTTAACGCTGACAGGGGAAGCTGGGGTTATATTCCTTTATAATAGCACCTCCAGGAAACGCCCGGGCGGGCAACATGCAATCCTATCAGATTCTGGCAAAGACCGCCCCGAACCCCGATGAAAGCTCTAGTGGAGTCTTGCCCGCCGTTAGCATCGGTCGATCTGTTCGGAATGTCGGGCCATGGAACCCCCGGCTACCGACCATCCGTCCACCTGGGCATCGGACTTTTCTCTTTTCTCTCCGAATTTAAGCCAACCGAATCGACACAGTTCAATTACAACTAACTAACCAAGTGTTTGGATAATTAAATACTACAAGATCTGAGATAATGACAGGCACTTCCCGAGGTCTCCGAACATATGTCGGAGCAAATCGGTATATTGGAGCTTGGAACCTCCTTGGTACAAAAAATACCTTGAAACTTCAGCCGCCTATTTGACCCCTTAAGAGATCTGAGACTTCGGTGTGGCCTGCTCGGATTGCAAAGTCTAGCGCCGAACTGCCATCTTTATCGGTCGCCACCACATCAGCCCCATTCAAGATTAAAATCCATGCCAATTCGGCATTACCATTCCAGGCAGCCCATATCAGGGGCGTCCATCCAGCTATGTCAATAGCAGATGGATTAGCCCCCCCCTATCGAGAAATATCTTTGCTAGTTCAAAACTGTCGAAACGTGCAGCTAGGTGCAGCTCCGTGTCCCCGCCGGAATTTCGAGAAGGAATAGTTGCGCCTGCTACCATCAAGCGTTTTGCGATAGCTACATACTGCCGTGTAGTAGCATACCAAAGTGGTGTCATTCCAGCTGCATTGGCTACAGAAACTGCGGCGTTTGCTTCTAAAAAGCGGTTCACAGCCACCTCTTTTCCTCGAGAGCTTGCCAAATGAAGCCCGGTTTCCCCATAAACATTTTGCGCATTGACGTCAGCCCCTTGTTCAATAAGAAAAGATATGGTTTCGTCGTCGCTATAACGAGCGGCATATATCAAGGGCGTGTTCCTGTGAATATCATGGGCCTCAAGAAGGTATTTGTGTCCACGATCCACGAGTAAAAACCGGAGAATGTCTTTGAATCCATTCGAAGAAGCAATGTGGATTGCCGACATGTGTTTGCGACAGCGTACTTTCAAGTCGATTTGCAAATTATTCTGCAGGATTTCTATGGCAAGAGTTTCATTTCTCCGGGTTAATGCGCAGAGAAGCCGGTAGCCAACAATTTTAGGGCGCAGAAGTTCGCAGTGATTCTTGTTGACGCCGCCAAGTCTGAGGAGATCATCTCGATCTAAGCGTTCGGCAATACACAAGCGTATCTCTGGCGGTAGCGTTGCAAATGATAGACGGCACATCGTTCTAGCCAGCTGTTATTTTTGCTTTGATTAACACTAATGCCAAGAAACCCTAGACCCGTTGCTAAAACCGAACACAGTGTAGACAAACTTACTCCGTACTCACGAACCGAACCATATGGGGATAGAAGAGATTCTTCACCACCAATTTCAATTAGGCCCGACTTGGTGTGATAATAGAATTCGTTGGTGTTGATTTGATTCAGGATCATGGTTATTATTCGATCCTTTTTGGACCAACTCGTATGTCTGCTTGAAACCCCCTTACTTTGGTAACAACAAGATTGTCAACGCTAGCGAAAAGATAGTGTCAAGCTGAAGTGGAGTTGGCTCAAAAGTAGGCCCATATCTTATTCGGCCCACTTCATATGAGATTAAATGAAGTACTAGAATGAGTTTATAACGCTCAGCCGCAGACAAGCGCCAATGGATAATTGGGAGCGTGAGCCAAAGGTTGATTGTTTTGAAGTGAAATGCTCTTGGGGGTACCTTTTGGTTTTCTTAAACCTTCCCTCGCACTAGCTTAATTGCGACTTAGGGGATGGCAAATAAAAGCCCTGGAGAAGCCAAGCGACACAGCGGACTGTCAAGCCATGGAGTATTTGTTTTGGCCAACACAATGTGCATGGACACTGGATACAAGAAGGTCCGCATTCCAAGTTCCTTGGAGAAACGGGGAACGCGTTTAACTAAAGCCCTGCCACGGGCTTTCAAATGTGAAAATTTCATTTCCCCATGAGACCATGAGATTCAGTGCCATTTCCAACAGTTTAATGTGAAAATCATGAGGGTCCCGAGGAAGTCCCCAGAGTCTGGCAAAAACCGCCCAAAACCCGCTAAAGGCCGATCAAGGCTTTTTAAGTGGAGCGTTGGCTGATCTCACCGGAATGTCGGGCATTGCGCGCCCCGACCACCAACCATCAACTACTACTAGTATCAACCATACCATCATAACTTTAACCTGGAATTTATTCAAATCAGTCATAGCTATTCACTGATTACTCCAATTTTTCAACTTTGCCGGTCAATTTCCTCCAAATGGCATCATATCCATTCGGTTTCCGTGTCGCGCAGGCTGTCGGTATCTCAGGTGCAGCGTGGCTAGCAGGCAGGTGGCTCTGTACACAAATTCAGAGCTTCATCTAACTTCATGCAGGGAACATCGCAGCTCTTAGCACCATCACCACACCTGCTCTTATCCTATCTCAAAAAGAAGATAACCCTCCTGTTGGCCTGCTGGCCAAACAATGGAGGAACTTGTTTGAAAATGGCAAATCAAAGAACCCACCCGTCGCAGTTGGCGTGACTTCTGCTTTCATCTACCTTGCTTGGTCTGTTCGATCGGGGGGGTCCCTTATTCCAAAAGACTCCTATCAGCAGATCGGTACTATTCTCCGCCGCAGCGGTCCTGACGATGAGCATTGTCCCATTTACGTTCGTTGCAATGTCAAACACAAACAACAAACTCTTAGAAAAGAGCGAATCAACAAAAGAAGCTTCCGATGCAAATACAGTGGATCTGGTTGAGCGCTGGACAACTCTAAATCAAATTAGAGGACTTCTGCCTCTGATTGGGGGGCTGTGTGGTATGCTTGCTACATTGTTGTAAGCGTGAAAGGCAAAAAGGGTTCCCAGTATTTAATCTACATTTATGAGAAATCATGTGCACCTTCGTGTATACTAGTAATTCGAGGCTCAGATCGCCTAAAAATGAAATTTACATGCGACCGAAATTCAAGGGCGCATACAAAAAACGTGTATGAGGAAATGAAATACCCCGACTCGAAGCCAAATACCCCGTCATAGAAAATGCGAAACTTGCAGGGACAGATCCCCGACGTTGCAACCCGAGTTGAAACAGTGCGTAGTAGAAAAAGACAATGCGAGTACGCATGAGAACATTGTTACACGGCAATCCCGAAAGTCAATCAATAGAACGACCCATTGATAGCAGACGTAGGTATTTCAAAGTTTCAAGATAAAAAGATCATCCGTATACAGAAGTCCTGGGGGGTAAAGTCGCACAGAAGACGAGATATCGGCAGTCCATCTTTGTCAAATGCCCCGATTTCTGTGACTCGGAGAAATTAATATCTCTAAGAGTTTGACCCCGGTTGCAAAATGCAAAATGGTCTCTCGCAAGCGCCGTACTCTCAACGCCGGGCTCACATAAAATCGCGGTTTATAACATCTTCAACAACTCGTAAGTGAAAATCTCGAATTTCATACAATCTAGTACCCACGCTTACCGTGTAGAATATGAAATTGCTCACACATGGCCTACTCGCCATTTCCCTCCTGGGGTTTCACATTACACCATCATCGTCAGCTCTGGTGGTAAAATGTCACTGCGCTGGAAGTTATAATAACACCATTCAAGTCTGCAGTGATGTCGGGGCCATATTCAGCTATACAAGTTGTGGATTCCAAGGGTGCTGTGTTTCTGGTACACAGCAGAAACGATTTATTCAGAGATGCAGTCGACTTGGATATGGATTTGACCGGTGTGATGACTGCTCTCCCTGTTCAGGTGGCTGATCTTCGAGTACCGGTATCAAGCATTGAGATCGTGATTCGAACTGTAGCCAGCTGGGATTTAGTTGGGCGAATGGATTTTCCCTGGCACGGTTACTACGGTCTTGTATCTAGGTTCTGGCGGATAACTCAATACTCGCCCGTCGAAGTGGCCTTTCGTTTGAGACACCAAGGGCTACTAGTACATTATGCAGCAAGTCATATTCCCGTTGAAAGTTATTTGATATTAATTCGAGTCTAAGTATGCCTTTCGTGTGAGGCTTCAAATATATTATGCAACGAAATATGTTCCTGAAAGAGATCTGGTAAACGAGAATTGAAATAACGAAAATTGATCTGCATCATCTTTGCAACGACTCGATTTGAATTCACCCTTTTCAAAAGGGGATCGGGGTATAGTCGAAGTCATTTTAAGCAAGGTCGCTGTGCATCATAAGTCATCTTCGATCTTCTAGTTGTTGACCATCTCGCCAGTCTCGGTCACAAGGTGATCCTCAACGCTGATGGGGCCCTCTCCAACACCGGTCAGGATAACACGGCTAACGCCATCCTTCAGGCCAGACACGACCCGAGAGTCGATCTGGTCCAGAGAGACACCAGGGGCAGTGGTGTTGGCCAGCTTCTCATAGAAGGGACCCTCCCAGCCACTAGCGCTTGCACCGAGGATAGCCTTGACGGTGCCGGCAACAAGCGCCTCGTCCTTCTCCTCGTAGTAAATGACGGCGTTAGGGCCGGCATCGAAAGTGTAGGCAGCAACAGTGCGGCCAACAGCGCGGTTGATATCGTGCACAAGGCGAACGGCGGCACGGGAGACATCATTCATGTAGAAAATAGGGGGCCACGAGTCAAGGCAGGTGGCGTGGAAAGTGTTGGAATCGCGCATGGTAATCTCGGCGAACTTAGGGAAGTCGCGAGCCTGGATGGCAGCCTCAATGGCGGCCATACGCTCAGGGACAACGTTCTTGGCACGGTGGTCGAAGAGGTCGGAGGTGTGAACAGTAGTCTGCATACCCTCAGTGCTGGGGACGTCCTTCTTCTCGGCGCTGACAACGAGGATCAGAGCCCGCATCTCAGGCCAGTGAGCGGCGGGGGCGACTTCCTCGGCCAGACTGTCACTGCCATCGGCGAGCTCACCAGTGCGCCATGCGACATAGCCACCCATCAGGGACCGGCAGGCAGAGCCCGAGCCCTGTCGCGCAATGCGGCTCAGCTCCCGTGCAGACTGAGGGAGCGAGTAGAGATCAGCCACAGCCCGGACAAGGGCAGCGAAGCCGGCAGCAGAGCTGGCAAGACCAGCAGCAGTGGGGAAGTTGTTCTCGGAGACAATGCGGAGGGGCAGAGTCGAAAGCTTGGGGAGGGAAGCATCGCCATCCTCGAGGGACTTGCGGAGGGCGCGAAGGTTGGAGAGACAGGCGAGAGTACGCTTGGAGGACTGAATCTCCTGAGGCTTGCCATTGAGGTTCAGGGTATCCTCAGCGGCGTAATTGGCAGAGCAAGAAGCGGTAGTCAGGGTGCGAAGAGAGCGCTGGGAGAGAGTGACGGAAAGAGAGGAGTTGGTGGGGAGGTTGAGAGTAACATCACGCTTGCCCCAGTATCTATTTTCATCCATATCAGTTAGGCCATTTTCATTTTCATTCTCATTCTCATTTGTATTTGGAATTGCATTTGCAAAGAAATTCCATGTTTGACTGTCTGATACCACCAGATGAGGGGCAGGGCAGACTTACTTGATGACCGCAATGTTGACAGGGGCAGTAGTGGTGGCCCGGTAAACGGACTGGTTGGAAGTAGACGCCATTATCTCGATTAGAATATATGAGAGACACTAGTATCACAGCCTGAGAATAGATCAAGAAAAGGGAGAGAGGCACTAGCAAACAAATCTGTTGATGATGGGAGGCGGTCAAGTTTAGGGGGCGGCCAACAAGGCGGTGAAGGTAAATTTCCGCCGATCGGAGTTTACTTCTTTACTTTTGGTGTACCCTAGAGTACTTTGGATTAGCAATCCACTCTGCATCTTCACAACATCCAACATGGGCGCCGGCGCAAGTACCCCATCTGCTGCTGCAGAACCCCCTGCAGCGACTGCAACTTGCCCTGTCGATCACAAGACCCGTGAGGTCTGGTTACAACAGAACGGCAACGCGCCCCATCCCCCGTCCTCGCCCGACCAGTCTCAAGCCTCGACGAAACACCAACGACCATTATCAACAGATCGAGAAATTAGCACAATCCCGCGGGCCGGTGACCAGAAAGAAGAAAAAGCCTGCCCCGAGGGAAATAAGAAACCTCCATCTCCATACGAAGCCGCAAATGCCGCGTCGCATGGCTTGCCTTCCAATGCCGAATCCGAGACTGGCCATGATGAGGCTAGCGGTAACTGGATATATCCTTCCGAGAAGCAGTTCTTCGAGGCCCTGATGCGTAAGGGCAATACGCCTGGATCTACGGCCTCGGCCTCCGAATTGGCGACCTCCGTCGCGTCGATTATTCCCATTCACAACGCTGTCAATGAACGTGCTTGGAAACAGATTCTTGACTGGGAAGGCAAAGTCCCGTCCTCCGATCCGGGCAGCAAGAAGTGCGGTGGACCTAAGCTATATTCATTCCGTGGACTTGGAGTCGATCCTCAATTCTTGAGCCCCAGGGCTCGATTTAACGGAATCCTCGGATATCAATTGCCCTTCGATCGTCACGACTGGGTTGTTGAGCGCTGCGATGGAGAGCGCATTGAATATGTCATTGATTTCTACCAAGGGAAAACTACGGGCAGCAATGGTAACCCGGCCGGGTTGGCTGGAAACGCTGGCCCTGGAAAGCTGAGCTTCTATCTGGACGTTCGACCTAAGTTGAACAGCTATGAAGGTTGGAAAATGAGATTCTGTCAGTATGTGGGGCTCTGACGAAATCGCACGCGGTTTCATGACAGGGACAGATCCCTTCAAGATATTTTTAACGGCGAACATGGAGCATGGGTTTGGCATAGCTGGGGCCTCAAAAGGGCAACTGTATAATTTATGTATCACAATTTTGTACAATAGTATTTTACATTAGAAGATCGAGGATCATGATCTAGAAGGAATTGATGTTCTCCATTTCATTGGTGCCTAGTATTCAATTCAATCGGGCTAAAACAAGGCCAGGGTAGCCTCAGCAAGGACGGGAAATGTTCACAAAGACTCGGAGGGGACTGTGGCTAAGGAATAATACATCAGGGATATCGTGTGCAGACATAAGAAGAGAGATAAAGCGCCAAATATCACAAAGGCAACGAGGAAAAAGCCATGCAGAAGACATCTATCCGATCACGACTGCCAGTATGATGATAGTGAGAATTACACCCAAGATAAGAAGAAGACAGACGGCGGTCGACCGGGCTCGCTTCTGATGGCGACTGGCTCCTCTCAATTCCACATTCGCGCCACGAGTGCTTTGATTAACATTCTCAACGTTGTCGCTGATTATGTCTAGCTGGCCTCCCTGCTCCGTCACTATATGGGCCACATCTCTAAAAAGTTCGTTCAACTCTCCCACGGATTGTTCAATATTCCGGATCTCAGTCTCGCGTTCAATGATCAGGGATTCTTGGAAATCGACCTCGCCCTGGTTGGCGAGTTGGGAGGTCTCCTGCAACTGTTGTTGCTGCTGTAATTGAACATCGGTATTATCATGTGCTTGCTCGCCATCTTCTATAGCGGTACGTGCTGCCACTGCAGATGCTCGCTGTTTCTCCAGTGCGCGGCGCTGAACGGTCTGGAATTCATCTAGACCAGCTTTGAAATCGGACGATAGCTTCTGCTGTTTGTATTTTTGCAATGGCTGAATTGTCATCTGTTAGCTAAAATATTCCCCAATGCATGTGGTGGGACTTCGGAAACGTACATTGACATCCTCCCATGTTTGGATCTTCTTGAACCCATCTCCAACATCCTTGAATCCCGTTCGAGTCTCTTCCAGCATATTGTGTACCCGTTCTCGCACACGCTCGGTGTCCCGCTTTGTTCCAAGTAGGTTGATTTGGTGGGTTAGACGAGCAGTGTTGGAATTCAAGGTGAACAACTGATCGGAGAGCGACTCAGCCAGTTGGTCAAACCCGGGGTCATCGCGGTACTGGGCATCTTCGGATCTAGAGAACCCGCTCTGGGCCTCGAGTGAGTTTAAGCGATCGAAAGACATCTTGTGGGAGTGATGCAAAAGAGAGAAAGGCAGATAAAGGCAGAGAAAGGAAGTGTATGAGATTGAGGGAAGATGCGCCCTGCTGCCTCCGGGAACTGCAGGCACCACCTCCTCTCCTCACATGACGTTATCTGTCGCACTAGTCCCAGACAGGTTAGCCCCATGTGCAACACTGATTGCGCCACACTTTTGCGCTGAGCCACACGTCACATGACATATATGGCTGGTGTGTTTTGATGCCTCAAAATATTCCATTATCTCATGGACTCGGCTTGACCACCCATCGGCACAACAACGTACATACTCCTCGTTCGACCTCTTCCCCCGCCATCGTCGTCGCTGGATTTATCGCCCTCCTCTGCAGCTTCTGCAGCTCTTCAGAGGCTCATTCGGACCATGCTTTAAGACTTGTCGCAACCACCTTCCTTTTGAACGAATCCCCATCCCACTCCAGCTCTCACCATGGCCCCCGCACAACCCCGACCATACCGTCGGATATTGACGTCCGCGTTACATCGACGCTTTGTTCATGCATCCGCACTTTCTCTCTTGATTTGTTATGCTATTGCAATTTCAATTGGTCACACATCATCCTGTGAGTGTCGAGGCGTCGCTCGGGGCAACCTGGGTGGTTTTCCTGTCCCTCATAGCTAACGATTTTGAATCTTCAAGTCCTCTGGGCATGGTTTCCCCTCGGCTCATGCGGTATCCGCACCGTTATGCTCTTTCTTTCATCCCTCTCCATCTTCGTCCTTCGTGTCGGCCAACTCCACCTTGGCTCAAGAACGGCTAAATGCTCGCTTGGGACCTTTCAATACCTCTTCCCCCTACAAATTGCTCAGACATTTGGCTGGTATATTTTTTCGGCATGGATCTTCACTGAGATTTATCTCTGGTCATCACCAGCTAGTGCGGAGCTTGAAATGGTGAAACGGGGCAGGTAGGCTAAGGCAGTCCACGAAATTTGACAACGCAGAAATTGACTCGATGCAGGATTCACGAAAGACCCACCTTGAACGAGCGACCAATCTATATTCACACATATCACTTGCTGCTCGCATGCACCCAGGCGGTATTCCACCTGTACTGCGACTATGACCGCGTCCCCATACCTGTGGCCAAGCGAACACCCGAGAATGGCGATAAGCGCACCCACCCTGTGCCTCCGACTCTGGCACACATTCAAAGTGCCCTCCCTCCAATGGTCGCAACCGGATTATCAAGAAGTGCAGTCGTTGCTGGTCTACTTCCCGTGGTCTACCCTCTGTTCTTCCGCCAGGCCGCATGGAGCTGGTCCTTGTACTTCGCAAAGCTGTTTTGGAACTTCTCTCGGTCATCTGCGCAGCCTAGTACTCTCCTGCTGACCCCGAGCTTCGTTCCTCTGCTCATTCGGACCTTCTTCTCGGGCTCGTTTCTGGTTCTGCTTTGGCAATCGACCAACGTTTTCTTCTCGGTATTTATTGGCAAGGAGCCATTGAAGCGCGGCCAGCCTCTTACCGCTGAAGCCAAAGACCCCAATGGCAGCCTGATCAATGGCTTGAAATCTAAGAAGGAAGTCGCGAAAGCTTTCGCCTTCTGGGAGCTCAGTCTTATCGGCCAGACTCTACCCGAGCGTCGTAAGACAATCTTCAACGAGATTGATCGCGAAGGTGGTTCTAGTTGGTCTCAAATCGTCACTTCCCTTACTAGTGTGATTAAGGCTATCCCAGACAGAATTTCAGCAAGCAAAGCACCTGCCCCAGGCTCTAAGCCATCAGCGCAAACTTCACAGCCTGTTCTCCAGACTCTTCCCAAATTGACAGAAGCACCTAAAACCGACAACATCTTCGCAGACGCTCCTAAGGCAACCTCCCGGACGGATAAGTTTGGCGCTTCTTTCGGCTCTGCAGTCAAGTCCTATGGCCAGTCTTCCGACTGGACTCCTATGGCGCGAGCTCGTGCTCGCCAAGTCTTTGACCAAGCCTCATCCGCCATGCTCAGCCCCGAGCGGAAACGAAAACTCATTGCTACCTCCAAGGAGTTGAACCTACTCACAGGTGGTCCTTCTGTCACTCACAAACCCGAAGATGTCCACCCAATCATTGCTCAGTTCCTCCGTTCGCCAATCGGCCAGCCTCTGCGTCAAACCTATGCTCAATGCGCATCGAACATTGTCCTCGGCTCCCCCGAATCCTCTCTGACTCTGGTCGTGGATGCCGTCGACGCTCTGACTCGACTTTTGATTGCTAGTCTGGCAGAGGACATATACGGTCGGGTCCAGGCCGATGTTCCTTCTGTGATTCGTCTGTTCACAGAAACAATCGTGACTTTAGAAGTTTTTGTGCATCAAGGTGGGCTGGATGCGCACTGGACTGACGTCTACTTCCCGCCATCCAGTAAACCCGAAGACCAAGAAGAAGCACGAAAGATTCCCGATATCGAACTCATGGTGGCTTCGCTGAAGAATGGTCTTGGGGATTTGTTGGAATCTTTCAAGCCCTACCTCCGTGATATCGGCATTGAGGGTAAGGACCTCCGACTTGCGAAAGAAGCGGCTGGTGTCGATGCAGAAGATTTGTTATGAACTTCGACACGCCTGGTGTCATAATCCATCATTTTTACTCAAGCGGCGACAGTGTTAGACTGGTCGTCTAAGCTATTGTTTCTATTTCTTGGGGTTGACGGTGGACAAATGCATGGTTAGGCGTTTTCTTTTATTTCAACTCGATCTCGATCCTAGTCGTATGATGAGTAAATGGTTCAACTCAAACTCATTTATTAAGAACTTTCAATTTCTCTGAAATTTAGAAACCTACAATGGTACCACGTTGGTCTTTAAGTTACTTGGGTGAAGACTACTACTGGAACCTGCGTGGAACTAGAAAATACCTCAGGATATCTCAAGTTCGTTACGAATCGACCACGTAGGTCAGGGTCACATGACAGCATCGCGATATCCTCGACGCCCCAGAGTTGTTTTCCTATCAACAGCAGGAGTCATTGCGAAGCAGCTAAGAGTCAACTTCTCCGTCGATTGTGACCCCTCCCACCAACATGTCGTTAACGAACATTTATCACCTGCGGCGGGTTGCAGATACCTCTTCGAAGGCATGCTTGATCTGCTACAAGCCGTCAACCAGCGTTCTCATCACGCCCGATAACAAGGTATGTTACGGTCCAGACATAGTAGAAATGACTATGTGCAGCATGTGGAAAAGATTTCCCGCTCGAACTGGATAGTATATGCTTGCGATCGCTAATCATCCCATCAGGACTTCTTCTACGTGTGCCCCGCACATCTCCAAGACCGCCACTTTTGCTCAGCGATAGTCGACACAGATGGTGAAGCAGCGCGCGAAAAGGAGAAGAAAATGGCGGAGGAAATCGAGAAGGTAAAAAAAGAATACGAGGAGAAGCAGAAGCGGAAAAAGGAAAAGAAGTCCGACAAGGACGAGAAGGACAAGGATAAAGAGAAAGATGAGAAGAAAGGGGATTCCAAGGACTCAAACTCCAACGACGAAAAAGAGAGAGACGATAAGGTATTTTATGGATAATTTTCTGGTGCTGTTTTTTTCTTTGCCAGTAAGCTGATTGTCGCTTCTTTGCCAGATCGATTCAATCAAGAAAGGGGATTCGGAATCAAAAACAGATAATTCTCCGCGGGTATTCGCTTTGCATAAGTGAGTTTTTTATGACTTTGTGACCATGTGATGGTGACTGATTATATCTAGAACCTTTTATCAAATGCGGATCGATAGATTACGAGGCATCGAGATGGCCAAACGTAACCAAGAAAGGATGAAGAAACCGTCTCTTTTCCCATCTGTTCCTAAGAAAGAGCTTTAAGATCGGGAATAAGAAAACTCTCGTCTCAATATATCTTCTTCAAGTCGAAACCAAGAAGAACTAGCGCAGTCCGGCTTCGCTGATATCCCTCCCTATCACCTCATGGGAGTTGGTAGAAGAACGCCTGGATCTTTCTGAGTGAATGCTTTCTATTTATTTTCAATATTGACATCTGTTCTTCCTGTTAGCATTCTGGCAACTGTGACTTCGAGTTGTGAAATAAAGACAGGGCGACTATTCAAAATATCCTATCAATTGCGCCCGCATGCCAAGTTCATGGCAGTGAATCATCCTATTTCCCCTTACGACGAAACATCTACCACCGTATGATATTTCCCCAAAGCAACTCACAACCTTGACACCAAGTATGCCCTCTGAAAAGCGACAGGGCGCTGTGCAAGGGCGTATGGCAAGGTACAGAGGACCTTTGCGTTTGATGCAGATTATTACTTCACCAGGGGGGCTTCTTAGTTGAATAAATTGGGCATATGGGCTTATAGCAGAAAATGAAAATCCCATTGCAGAGACAAAGATCGACGTTTGAAGATTGCTCTAATACTACATAAACGCTGTACGACAATGTCCTACCGCAAAGCGCCCTACAAAGAAACCTCACACACGATGGCAAACTCGCACAACGATCCAGCAGAACTAATCGACTAGGTTCCAAATCCTGCAGGAATGGTAGCCACGAGCCAATGCCCTACCGTTAGGCTGAGCAATAATTTAAGGAAAACCGAACTCTGTGCATGTACTGACACTTCATCGCCCTGCCTATCACACCCCTCCCCCATCCTCCACCCTCCATCCTCCATCCTCTCATTCCATCCTTCCCCGCCTTCAATGTATGTCCCATGTACACGACCCAATCCGTCCAGCAAGGCCACCCACGCCCCGGCCCGCATGGATGGATTGCATTAAGAGATGTCACGTCAACTGATCTGATTATCCGGGAAATACGGTGCGACTACCGGGCGTCCCGCAGTCTTTCGTGCATCGCAGGATGGTCAGTGCTGACCTGACCTGACCGTACTCCAAAGCTCTAACCTTGTCCCTCTCTCTGCCCTCTCCTTGCCTTGCCTTGCCCTGTAGGACTACATCACAGGTGTGCACGGGTGGGGTGCATCGGGAAAATAAGCACTAGGGTAGTATCCAACGGGCAAAATCGTGAAACCCCGCTCTTTTGCACTGCGAAACAATGCCCTCTCTCCCCTGTCAGCCTTAGTGGGCTGGATTGTAGGGTCCGTTGTACTTCTCGGGTTTGGGTTAGTGTATAGTAGTTGAGTGAGTTTCTTGCATCCTGTGATTCAATGGCGATCTTCAGGGTTCTGGAAATTCTCGACTGGTTGCCTTACGCACTGATTCTCTGGTGATGCGGCTCTTTCGGATGAATGGGTCTATTTATACGGAGTACGAGTGAGACTGAGTATGAACAGGCCACGATATTGGGTCTCATAGGATAAATTGGAATTCGAGTGGATTCTGGTGATGGGACTAAAATAGTACGTCGGCAATTCTCGCGGCCTGACCTAAGCTTGCTTGCTTACTCTAGGCTATCCGCTGCCTGGTCGAAACCTACTAGTACTCTTAATTTCTCTTGCTTGTTTAGGTAGGTATGCTGTCGAGATAATGGATGCTATCAACTTCAATGGAGCCTTGGAAGGCAGCGGTGAGAATAGACGACAGACTAGCCAAATACAGCACCTTTGTACTATATCTTTTACAAAATTGATTAACCTTGGAATCTATTCTTAAGTCCCGTAAGGCTCCGCAAACTTTACTGTTCCAAGGTTGCCTACTAGTACTAACCATAAGCCTATCAGCCATTAGTATATACCGATTGAAGTTAATAGATGCGAGCCAACACCAAATAACACCAACCCCCAAACCCCAATTTTGAGCTTCGGTTAAAGAGTCAGATATGTTGCCTAGCAGGCTGCAGACGCGGCTAGCACCGCACAAGACTTGAACTAGTCAACTTAGCGCATCCGATAGTGGCAGTAAACCGCCCAGGAACCTGATAACTACCAACAAGGATCAAAATTGTGGCCATAGCACAAATGCATATGTACTAGTTCATCTTGGCGTAATGCGTATACTTCTGGAGTCCTTCGACTGCATGTCCGCCAAGGAAAATTTGGTGGCTAGTATACGCGATTTCTGACAGGCAGTTCCCAGGGCTGAGACTTGGGCGAATGGCTTGAGCTTCTGACTTCTACTAGTAGCTTATCTGTATCATAGAGAGAGAAAAAAGCGGCTATGCACTTTTCGTAGTGCAGCCGGCGACCAACATAAAAACTTGAACCGGACCAGCTGTCCATTATCGAACCTGGTGATCACGCTGGTCCCACCAAGACTAACTCAGTCGCGAAACAGGCTAAGCACCACGAAACTGTCACATATGCAAGGCGATCACAAACGCCCTAATGGGAAAGGGGGGCGGCCTTGAAAAAGCGGAAGTCTATTTAATTAGCGCCCTCTGATCTGAGAAATGGGAGGGGGCCGATGGTTGTACACAATGTACTCCGTAGAAGAGCTATGATATCAGCGTGGATTATCACCGCGGCCATTGTCAGCACATCCAGTACGAGTATGCGCGCGACTCCACTGGGAGAGCTGAGAAGCTCCCCCCCCGGCTAGGCAGTGCACTGCCCCCCCCCACCAGGGTCAAGATGGCGCCAATGAGCGGTGGCTGTAGGGCGAGTCTGTTTTGGTAGCTTGTTGGGCTCCGGGGTTCTGGTCGCATTCCAGGGCTGATGACTGATGATGGACCACATAAACGGGTCCCCTGCCAAAACCCGAGGAAGTGCCCTGGTCCCTGATTCACCAGTCTTACCTCGAATTGCAGTAGTTGCATACTCGTAGTCGGATGCGAAGGGATGTATAGTCTTTTCTTTGGTTGTTCTAGTTTTCTTACCTTTAGGTAGTATAGGATGCACGTCCCGGGAGCTGCAATGGGTTTCTATCTATAGACATGAACCCTTGACAACCAACTTGCCCCCCATCGTTGCCCAAGATACGGCATTTGCAACCCATGAACCCTACCCAGGCACAGACATGGACATGGACCCGGACGCTTGAGAAGAAGAAACCAAAAGAAACAAAAAGGAAATGGAAATGAATGTACTTGGTATTCCGTAATTAAAATGAGAGAAATAAAATAAAATAAACCCTATCAGGCACACGTCCCAGGCACAACAGCGCCAGAAAAGCAGCACCAGCAAAGCACAGCATGCTCATGCTTCGCCCTACGGTATGATAACGGGGGAATACGGTGTAATACAAATACTGACTTGAATGAAGGTGAATTCAGCCCTAAACCAATCGGGAGCAGCAGGAAGGCTGACCCGCTTTGCACAGCCTCCTTCATGTTTTCCCAACCTTGGAAAGTCTCCCTCCCTGAAGGGGCAATTAATCACCGTTACTTTCCATCCCCTTCGTCATTGGCGTTTCGCCGATCCCTGATGAAACAATCTCTATGTATGCGCTTGAGGAGGTGGAGAAAACGCAAAGTCTCTCTCTACAGTATGGAGTACTGTACATTGTCAGGGGCAGACAAGAGTACGAGACCAAGGATGAATGAGGAAAGGTGGGGAGTGGCGGCTGACGAACAGCATTGCGCCGGGACCAATTTGCACCCGGCGATTTTCTCATGTTTGGTCGCTTGGCGCGCGACTAAGGATTGCCTTGGGGCCGGGGTCAAGGTTTCGGATTTGTCCTCAGCCACGAAGGGGGTGGTAGCGTACTGTATGTACTATGGTACTATCATACTATTGTACTGTTAGGGCGATGTGCGAGGTGTGTGTTTAGGAGGGAAGGGCATTTCTTCGTCCTCCTGGGCATTGTGTAGGATGGATGCAGCCCCTAAGACCAGCCCCAGCCTGGATCTGGTCTGGTTTGCGCATGCACACACACTCTCTCTCCCTCTTTCGCACCTTTTATCTGACGAACGAGAGACTTGGTGACACTCCTCACGAATCAGGTGGCATGAGTTCCAAGGTTGCGTGGTCTTGGTCTTGGCAGTCTGACGCCTCGTCCTATGCTGTATCACTTTTAAGGTGGTTTTGCGCGAGCTTTGTGTAAGGCTGTGCGGGCTGGCTGAGGGCGGGCCGGATGGAGTACGAGTATACTTCCCTTGTGAATGACTTGCTTACCAACGAACGGGCTGATGCTGTTCATCTCGTATACCCCGGCCTCGTGGGAACTGTCAGGTTCTATCTATAGGAATTATACGCAGTAGTAAGAACTAACAGAGCCGCTGATGTGTATTCTGCATACCTCTTGTGGTATACGGAGTACATTAGCTTAGTTTCCCGAACTAGTTAGCTTCTGTAGAAGTGATCTGTGGATGCTTTTGAATTTGCCAACATGGCGGTGACTGTCCTCGAGGAGCTGAAAATAAATCAACAACCCCTAGGCGAATGAGAGGGCATTGGGGCTCATGAGTAGGGCTGGCTAGAATGGCTTTGGAGTTGTTTCAGGCAGCCCTATGTGGGACGCGACGGAGATCGAGCCTCATTGTTCTCCTTGCTGACAAGTATAACCGGTGTGAATAAAGATGGTCATATTCTCCGAGAAGCGAACCCACTCCGAAGAAAAGCCTTTGTCGCCTCCACTGACGCAAGTGGCCGTCGCGGATACGACTGCAGCAGTGGATAGCCTGTAGGAAGATGTTTACAACTGCGTCGTGGCTTCGACTACCCGTCAGTGAGATGAGGTCTTGCCAGCCTGGTGGGTCTGTCGATCGCCCACTTTATGCATTTGAAGATAGGATTTGAACAAGAACCAAGGTTCTAGGAAAGAATCGAATGTTCGATATGTTCCATTAAAATTCGCTGAGAGAAAACAAGTATCATGGCTCGTAAACAGCTAATGCGAATGAATGCTTGTGGAATCTTATTTCAAAGGAGGTTTTTCGTCAAAGGTTACCACGGCCAGATCCGGGTTCTTGGGTCTCTGGAGCTCGCATCCCAGGAGGCATACGGATACCAACGCCTGCG